ACCGGCGGGGCTCCCGAGGTTGCACACACACCGGGCGTCACTCGCGCGCGATCCTCTGTTTCTCGCTTTATTTTGTTTCTCTCCCTCGAGTCTCCCCCCTCCCTCTCAGCCCGGCATATAGTACCTCCTACATACATCATACTTGCTATCGATAGTATCTCGCGCAGAATTTCCCTTGTCGCTCCACTATTTTCTCCGCTATGCCGTATGTACTGGAGCCACTATACTTGCTCCACTATGTACAATACAATACTCCTCAATGCGCATCCCCCCATCCCCCCCCATCCATCCCCCCCCCATCCCTCCTCGTTTCCCGTGGAAGTGGTGGTCGTGGCTGGAGATGATGGTGGTGGAGGTAGTGGGGGGATGGGCAAGCATGCAGTCAGGGTAGAGTACTGATCAGATGCGATGCAGATGGGGAGATGCGATTATATTATTACTACATGTGTTCTGGCGACACCGCGCGAAACAAAGTGCTCATGCTCATGCTCATGCTACATATGTGGGCAGAGTAATGCCCGGTCGACTTCGTGAAACCAACACTTCCCCGGGGAGCGAGGTCCGCTGGGTGAATACACACCTACATACATATGCCGGCGGGGGGCGTGTAGAGTACTATGTAGATGGATAGGGTACGTGGGGAGTGTGTAGGTATGTTGCGTATGCTGGGTTGGTTGGGTATGTATTGTGTGTAGGCAAGGGGCTGAGGCCTGGAGAGGGTGGGCTGGGCTGAAAAGGCTGACTCGTCACTCCGTTCGACTCCGTTCGACTGGCTCCAGAGTCTAGAGATATCGATTTCGATCCGTACCTCGCTGTGATTCTCCTCCCGTCCGACAAACATTTGTTTTGTTCCGCAAACGAGCACGGCGTTTGCACGTGTACCCGGCCGATGTCTGCTCATGGAGTCACAGACAGCTGAACACAGCCCAGTGCCCAGTACCCAGTGCCCAGTGCCCAGTGCCCAGTGCCCAGTGCCCGTGGTTATGACGATAGCGATCATGATGGTGAAGGGATACCCCGACCAGATTCCCAAACCACAGCCTCGACCCCTCCGACCCCTCCGACCCCTCCGTCTCGGATCACGAAGAGATCCCTCGTCGCTATCATACCTACCTTCTATATGGTACAGCCTTACAGGGGCGCCTTCCAGCCCAGTCCATGGTCGTGCGGACGGTACGACGGTATGACGGTATGACTCGTGGACTGGACGACAAAGAACGCAATATACTCGTGTCGCTACCACCGATGCGCATGGAGATCTGGATCCCTCGTGGAGGTGGAGGGGGTTTGTGGTTTGTGGTTCATGGCAGGAGTCGAACTCGGCTGCTGGGATGATCCATGGCGCCGGAGAGGGGGGGCAGTGAACTTTGAAGAAGTCGTCACGGCGGTTTCGTACCGTACCGCACTGTATCTCGGGTCCCCCTCTTCACACCTTCACATGGCCATCGTCGTCGGCGCCGTGTCGTTGGCGAAACGGTACCTGACTTGACTCACAACACGTCGACACGGCTGTTGCACAGCAATCCACAGGGGGTGGGAGGGGGCGTGATCGCGCTTCGTGGTGGTCACAGCGGGAGCTGGGCTCGCATGTGAAACGCACAGAGTCAACCAGAAGGCTACGAACGTGCTGGATGCGTTGGATGGCAGCGGCCAGATAATTGCACGCTTCGTTATCGCAGCAACAACCAGCACCACCACCGCCCACAAGCACAACCAGCACTCGCGTAGCCCCTCGGCGATAGCGAGCACAGTCATGCACATTACACGGAAGCTCTCTCCTGAGTCCTGCCTGCTATGAATGCTGCACTTCCAAGTTCCAGCGAGCGACTGCCAACGTCTGCCAACGTCGTGGTCGTGCGTGACACACGTGATATCACTCGTCTGCTTATCGCTCCACCTGGAGTAACGAGGCGCCACCAGCTCACTACTGCAAGGGCGAAAAGGGCATAAATGTGGATAAAGTTGAACGGGCTGATCGGTGCATGTGTACACTACGGAAAGGTGGCCAGTCCAGCTAAAAGTGCAAATCCTTGAGGCGAACTAATGTTGCATCCACCGTGTTGATGGGTGGCCACTGGACACTGGCCAGTCAAGTTTTGACAAGACGACCTCTAGATGTAGGTTGGTGCCCGCGGTGGAGAATACACACTACACTGCGCACTGGCATACTGCACGGAGGGACTAAATCGAGATTATACCCCCTTTATGTACGCCCAACGGCCTGACGTGGACAGTGGACACTCTAGTATCTACGTCTCCGGTGGTGGTGGTGCACACATGGAAGCTGTGTGTATATGTGTATAGGTACATAGTCACCGACAATACAATCCTTCGCATCGAGATTTCCCGTTTCCTCTCGCTCGAAGCAGCCGTTGGAGCCATGTAGGGCGAAACGGTTGGTAGAATCGTCGATAAGATAGTACTTAGGGCAATCAATGAAACCATCGGCCGCCCGGTATGTAGAGTAATCTGTTGGGACCAGCGGGGGCTGGGGGCGGCGAACGAGGCGGTGAATGAAACGAGGCGGCGTGTCGTCTCCGTGGTATGGCCGTCCGTTGAGATGTTCATGCTGGAGGCTAGAGGTAGGAAGCTGGAGGCTGGAGCTCGCCCGGCGTCCACAGCGCCACGGCCGCGTCCGGAAATAGGTATGCTACCTACTAGTCACAGGCAGGGCTCCGAAGTTCCGACGTGAGAAGATATGATTCCCTCGGCGTTGGCGTTGGCGGTTCTCGCTCCGAGGATTATCTACATATTCGCCTTGGAGACGCCTTGGAGACGCCCCTCTTGCTGCAATGGAGACAACACTGGATTCGCCTTAGAAATGTCCTCTCGCTACCGTGGATTTAGCTGCTGACAGCCCCATCTACATAGTCTGCTAGATCATCCACCTCCTCGCTCAATATAATAGTGACGAAGACTCGGTACAGATGAGCACTCTTTTCCCACACTACATAGGTAGCACGCTGTCAATTGCTGATGATCTAATGGGCGACAATGAATCTAAACAAATACTCCCTAGTAGTAGCACACAGTGCGGGCCAGGGCTGAGGGTGGGCTGAGGGGCGGTGGACAGCGGGGGCAGGGTCGAAAAGCGGATTTCACGAAATGCAATGATCTGATCGATATGCGGTATGCGGTATTACAAATTCGATGTGGCCAAAGAATGGGTGCAACATTGCTGTGTAAGTAAGTATCCTCTGGTTTAATGAATATGGGGTCGATTCGAATCTCAAGCCTCAAGGAGCTCGGAAGCTGGGATTGATGCCAGGGCCAGGTGAACACTGTGTTGCGTAGCAAAACCAGCTTTAAAGAAGTACGAATTTTGTAGGCAGCTGTGTGGAAATGGTACCTATCCACTCAGCGTTCGGGGGGAGTACGAGGTCTCCGTGACTCCCTGTCAGTCTAGCTAGCTTTGACCGTGGCTTTAGGGGTAAATTTTCTTCATGAGACTGCACAGCTTCCAAGAATCCAACTTGCATCAAATTTCAGATACTGCATCACACGAGGCAGATGCAGTGGAGTATCACCACCAGATCCCCCAAAAGACGTCTCTTAACGAGCATTCAACGAATACCATATGAGCCCGGAGTTCGTAGCAACGCTTTCTGATTTTGTACTGGTATTGCGATGGAATATTTGCCTTCTAAAAATTATAATTCATTTGACCTCCTTATTAATTCGGCCTTTCATAAATGCCGTATTTCAACACTTGGAATGCCACGACGAACGTCACACTGTGCCGTGTACAGTACACGGCAACATATCTGGTCACTCATCCCCCCCCCCCGCGGGATCGGGCATCAGTCCTGGCGACACTGCGCAGTTCTCCCGATTCCGTGTCTCAGCCTGCTGTACTTACTCGAGCCTTGTTTCCCCGACTGTGCTCCGGACGCCATCGGAACGATCCTGCGGCAGAAATGAATATTGTTCATCGTTCGTTGTTCAGCATTCATCGCCGCAGGCAGTGATAAACCTATACATATAAAATGGTTCTTCCACCACGGCCAGCAGCAGCGATAAAGTCCACTGTCCTATGCATTCGCCACGATGACTTTCCAAGCTGAGCCCGACGAGTCACGACCTTCGGCAGGCACGGCAATAGGTACCTGGTCCGTTTGCCCGATTGAGCCCCTACGTAGCCGACAGTCCTGTCACGGGTGAATCCCGATGGGTCGTTTATATACTATACCATAGTCTTCGGGCAAGTAAGCAGTAGATAGGGTTAATAGCATAGGACTGCGAGCGGGAGGGGCGGGTGTGGTCCCAGTTGCCAACGATCGGGTGATCTGCAGGATAGTGGAGAGGATCACAAGTACCCGAATGGGAAAGGACGGCTGTCCGGCACACAATGGAAGGGATCGAGAATGGCCGAGATGTTGGGAAGGTGAATACCACTCCGGTCGGCCGCGCTTCCGGCGGCTAGCTGTTGCTCAATGGCGGTTACACTGCGTCCGAGTACACAACCTCGAAGCCCCTCCCGCTCCCCCCAATGCACGATTCCGCTGAGGCGTTGTGGCCCTCCCCCCACACTATGACCTCGCCCACGAGCTACGAGCGTCTCGCGGAAAGCGAGGGCACAGCCCTGCGTACCGGCACTCCGGTCCGGTACCTGGCATAGGGACACAACGTGGGTACGTAGGCGCTAAAAGGCCCTCGGCTCCCTCAGTGATGCTTGTCGTGTGTATCTATGCGCAGCGAGTCTGGACCCAATTTTGCAAGCGAGATCTTTCGAGCCCTTGCACCCTGGCCCGCGAGCTCATTGCTCATTGGTGAAGGGGAGCGAGGAAATCGGTAGCGCTCACTACCGCTAACTCGATACATCTGGGTGCATGCCGACGGTCGGGGTGATCCACCTCCTGCCTGCGAAGGGGAGCCACTGCTGTGGGTGGCTATCGTCGTCGTGGACTCGTGGCGAATATTGTGGGCATGGGAAAGGGGCTGGTGTATGGTGCTATGATAGTGGAGGTATATAAATCCGGCTCGTCCGGCGGGCGTGGATGGAAGTGAGTCTACTGCCTCACCACCCATACACTCGTTAAACCTGCCCGCATACACTCTTTCAACATGAAGTTCACCGTCCTCGCCCTCCTCGCCGCCGCCTGCGCCGTCTCCGCCGCGCCCGGGCCCGATTACAACAACCACGCACACTACCAGCCGGCCAAAGTCTCCACGACGACGGTGCGTCGCTCCTCCGCCTTTCCCGCAGGCTCTGCATAAAACTGACATCCGGGGCAGAAATGGAGCGTCAAGTATGTGCCGACGACGGTGTTCCGATACAACGGCTACCGCACCGTTACTGAGACGAGGGTAAAGACGAAGACGCAGTACCGCACCGTCCAGGGCTACAAGAACGACGTCACCACGACCGTCTCAAAGTGCACTGTGACCCGCACGCTGGGCTACCAGGTGTGTCCCTCGCACTCGACCAGCACCGTCACCATCCCGACCACCGTCAACATCCCGACCACCGTCGACATTCCAACGACAGTCACGATCCCGACCACCGTCAACATCCCGACCACCGTCGACATCCCAACGACAGTCACGATCCCGACGACGGTCACGCTCCCCGGCGAAGGCGAGGTCGTCACCGTCACGATCCCTGGCGCGCCCACCCCAGTCGACGACGAGGTCATCACCGTTACCGTCCCGACCACTGTCAACGGCGAGATCACTACCGTCACCGTCCCCACGACCGTCACCGAGAAAACTACTATAACGTTGTACATAACGACGTTGACGATTCCGGGCGCGGGAGAGGTCACTACCGTCACCGCGTGCACAGTATAGACGAGTTTGGTGGGGAAAGGGGGGGAGGCGGTGGGAAGATGCGGTGGAATTGTAGATTTAATGTAATCGAGCGGGGACTTAATGGCTACTATGTATATCGAGCAATGTAACTAAGTACATACCCATACTGTAATCATCATTCCGATAAGTACGGTAGGTACATAGAGCATTGATTCATTTTTACCCAGTCCTTAGTTGTCGACTGCGAGCCCATCTAGAGTACACACGTCGAGTGATTCAAGAACATCCCGCCATAGCCCATGCGCCGTACGGCGTACGCCACCTTCAACTTTGCAGCAAAACTCGAAACTCGATCTGTACCGCGATTAACGTGATGACACTTGTAATCACTCGATCACTCGGTCACGGCTGGCCCGCTCACAGTCGAAATCCATACATAAAAGTCTTGGAATCCACACAAGTCTTGCAATCGAGTGAGGGGAGTAGGAGGAGGAGGAGGAGGAAGAGTAGGAGGAAGAGTAGGAGGGTGCTGAGGTTGACAATGAATGAGGAAACGGAGTGTGTATTGCCATGGTCTAATAGATAGGCCCTAAGCCATTCATGATTAAACAAAAGTTAATAAGCCTTAGAATCCTCAGTAGATTGAATAGGGTACAGTATGATACGATAAACTAAAAACCAAACCAAAAAAATAAGTCTTGGAATCATTAATGGTGTAGGAAGTATCTAAGCTTTAAAAGGCCATTCAAGTCGGTAAGGGTATCATCCATCGAAGAAAGCCTCACGGGCAATGTTTTGAAGAATACCAATTGTACACAATTTCCAAATCCCAATCGGTTTACATAGCATCAAACCAATGAACCATCCATACAGCATGCAGTACCAATTATAACAATGAACAAACACCATAACGCAGAGAAAGAGACATACACGCACAGACAGAGTAGAGATTATAGGACGGAGGTAAAGGTATGACAATGACCAAGTCTCAAGTCCTTCCAATAAATGAACAGCAGTCTGCAAGACAGATGACGTAAATCACAAATACAGAGAAAACTGAGATAGAAAGAAATTGGAGTGAAAATAGAATACTCAAATAGAATTCCCTCTAATATCATCCGGCCATCATCTAGTGTTAGCCCGGGGCACTCCGCCGGCACCTGTTGTGCTGCGCGTCCTCTTTGCCGCCTTGGTCTCGCTATAGTTCATCACGGACCGACTACGAAACCGCTGAGCACGCTTGTATTTACAGTAAAGGGAGATGAAGTCCTGCAACAACAATCGAATATCTCATCAGCACTGCTTTGCATTACGGACTGTGGGCAGTGCGACTGTCAGGTAAAGGGAATACGGGGGGGCAAGCTCGGACAAGCAGGATAACTGCAACGTAATACCCGCGGTGATCACCCGCACCGATTCTTACTCAATCGCAGCATTTGGCATGACGGGCTAACTTCCAATCGTCGGGATTGCATTTTGGATGGCACATACCTTTAAAACAACAACCATCAAACCTCCTGCAACATTTCGTGCCAGCTGTGTGGGCAGCCACTTCCTTACTTTGTCTCCTCCCCAACCTGCAGGTAACCGGCTGAGCGACTGCCCGATGATCTTGGCCACGGAAGGCCAGAGAAGAGCCCCAAGAATCATCGAAGTGACGTTGCTGCCCTGGAGAATGATGTTGTGATTCTCCAATCTGACCTCGCCGTCCCACTGCTGTTGAGCGTCGATTTCTACTTCGACGATAGGAGGCGCAGGATCCTGGGCTCGGCGGTTGCCGCGTCGTCGGCCGCCCTGACCATTGCCCTGCCGCTCCCGCTGCTGCCGTTGCTGTTCTTGCGCTTCGGCGTTTTCGAGCTGGAATTTCGGAGTGGTCTCCTTGATCCATCGAGCCTCATGGACGGCGATGTAGCGCTGCCACAAGGTGTTATACGCACTACGTATATACGGCAGTAGGGCAAGGGTTATCTGGGGCGACGGCGGGAGGGTGAAGTGCAAAGGATCGGTGTGGCAAAAGAAAATGACCGGAAGAACCGGGAGGACGGAATCGAAGACTCGAGTTCGTGACGCAATAAGAACGAATGGTATCAGCGGAAGGCCAACACCAAGGCCTGTATACATCCACAATTAGCACGGCGGCATTGCGTAAGGGGCGCATGGTTGTGGACACTTACGCCACGTCCACTGAAATTCAGAATCTCGGCCAAGCAATATCTCATTGGCGTATTCCGGCCCGCATATCGTGTAGATCGTGTTGACGCCTAACTGAATCAGAAACGGCAACTGCTAATCAATCGGAAGCCAGCTCACCGTAAACGGTACATCCAACGAACAGCACCGATCCAACTCCTGTCAAGGGATAAGCCAACGTGACCAGCCAACAGCCTCGGACTGCGGGGTAGATTGATTTATCGTACCGCCAAACGCGACAAATGCCCCCGCCTTGCCCGCAATCCTCCCAGCCTGGTCCACCATGTCCAACACGACGCTCTGCTCCTCCTTCAGCCGTATTGGCGTCTTGCACTGCGGGCACGCCGGTTTCTGATTGCTCCCATTCTCGATTCCAGTCTTCTGCATGTCTGCGATCCAGTCCAACAGACATGCTTCGTGCGCCACCAGTGTGCACTTGCATGGAGCCTTCCACTCGCCACGCGGCCTATCTTCCTCTCCTTCTGACGCGAAGCAGATCCAGCAGCGTATCTCCTCCTCCTCTGGCACTGGCGATGCTCGGGCGGTCGACGACGTGCGCGGTGTTAAAGGGATTAGCGTGCTGTCGGAGTCTGATGCGAGGGCGTCGGCGGAGCTTGTCTGCGTAGGCGACTGGGTGGCGCGACCATTGGGGTTGTGCTGTCGCGTTGCCGCAGCGGGGGTTTGCGAGGAATTCGACATAGCTGCCGAGTGCGGTGGTTGTTTGCTGTGGGGTAGGTGGGATAAAGGTTTGCGGGTCGAGGTACCTCCGGCGGAGCTGAGCTGGGGGAGGAGATGGGGCACAGACAAAGCGGGTACTCTGTTTAGAGTGGGATACAAGAGAGGTCAAGGCAAGCCGAGGACCAACAAGATCCCAGCACTTTGGATGCCGTAATTGGTCTGGTTGCTTCACGTGCGGGCCGTCGCGCTGTGCGACCTGAGAACTCCCGGTACACTGCTAGTCACTGATGAGGGCACGTATGAGCGTTGCATGGTTGAGTGCCTGTGAACTTACACGATTATCTCTCCACCTCCTAACAGATATACTTCACAACACTGACCAACCCACACAACAAACTTACAACAGTTCTGTAGCACCGCACCGTCCATCAACTTACCATGCCGCCGCCTCTCACCCTGGAGATCTCCTCCTCCATCATCTTCCCACGCTCCAACTCCCTCGGCGATGGCAGCATAGTAATCGACGTCTCCCCGCCATCTCCCGCGGGCGGCAGCCGTCCCATGCAGCAGCCGCTCCGCAAGGATGTGCTCAAAACCGGACCCGAGCACCCTATCTACCGCCTGCCACAATCCATCTCCTCAGGCGGCCTCAAAGTCCACTTGAACCAGTACACGCCTCCCAACCCGCGCGGGATCGAGAAGATTCAGCGGCGCTCCTTGATCTCGGCGATTGACGAGGAACACATCATCTTTGAGATTGCGAAGGCGTCGCTGGGCGATGCTGGCGCGGAGTATGCCATTCACAACTTCTTGCGCGAGGATGGTGAGGGGTCGTATGGACGCGGCTCGGTGAAGTTTACACCAGGATGGTTCTCGGGAGGCGTCTGGACAGTGGCTTATGTATATAAGTCTGCGGGACAGGTGCAGGAGTCGCGAGTGGACCTGAGGGTCGATGAGGGCGGGAAGGAGGATGGTATATGGAAGATGACGTTTCCCATGGAAGGCGTGATTGCGAGGGAACGGCCGCAGGAGGAGGGCGCGTTCGCGGAGAATGGAAGGTCCATCGATATTGTTGACGGCTCGCCAGGATTGGAGGGCTGGAGTGATGCCGAATGGAGGGACTTTTTGGCGGCGTGCTGGATCACGAAAGTGTGGAATATTTGCACGAGGACTCAGTGGTTTAGTGCGAGTATACGGAAGGGTGAGGCGAATGGTCTTAGGACATGGTAGTCATATGAATTCATTGATTTTGTTGTTGAAATCGTCAAGATCTCAGGATTGTGTGCACTTATAATTATGAATGAACGAATGTGTTGGCCTATTTCTTCTATCTATTCGCTCAAGCTTCACCTGAAGATGTCTAATAGCTTTGCAAGTGAATATTCGCTGAAAGGTTTCTGATACCTATTCCACCCACCAGCGTCAGGAGCTCAGAGAGAGAGAAAGTTAATTTATTGTCGCGACAGCCTGTCTAGACTATGGAGATCGTCTAGGCTGGCTCATCCGGGGTCCGGCTCTCATCGAAGTCCCGGACCTAGTGATATCCCATGAAACCACTTACCCTCCCCTCCCCACCGCTTCCCAGTAACTACTGGTTTCAGTTCCTACCGGGAATTGCCGCTCTCTACCATCCCACCTCGCCGCTCACCATGCTCGCAACACGGCTCCTCCAGTCGGCCGCACGCACGTACAAAGCGCGGCATCCATGGCCGCCAGACTTCTCGCTGCTCAGCCAGAAGGAGCAGTTCCGCCTCGAACGTCGATACCGCCGGCGCGCAAAGCTGAAGTGGGCACGTCCACGCCTGATGAAGGCGGTTACGTTTACGCAGTGGGGGAGCGTTGCTTGTTTGTTCCCCTACCGCCGGAAAGGAACGGAATGGAGTATGAAACGGTGGAGCTGATTCTGCGGGAAATGAAACAGTTGTGCTGGGCTATGGTGTTTTCTGGGCCGATTGGGGTAACGATGGGCATATTTTCCTCCCGGTACGTTTTTTTTTCCTTGCGGAGGGGTGTGTGTGGATGGACTCTTGGGAACTGACGATGGGCATGGCATGGCACGCGCAGATACGCAATTGGGTCGCAGAGAAGAAGGCCAGCTTCTGGTCCGTGCAGGTTCCCGCGGCGCCACAGTCGGCTGCGGGGGGAAGAGCTACCCCTGCTACGGACGAACGGAAGTGACACTGTACTGGGAGCTGGAAGATGAGCTGATGAGGTGAGCTAGCTGGTTGGTTTTGCTGGTGGAACTGTACGATAGGTGTATACGATGGGTGGAAGGAATGGGTGATTGGTGGGCATGAGGGTGGGGGTATTGTCGAGATCTCTCTTTGCAATATCGAAGTCTACAAATCGTACGATAGCTCCTCTCGACACTTCTAAGGCTCGGGATTTAATCTCTACCCCCATACGTAGTATTAGGCATACAGCTCTGACTACATGGTTGGAAATTTAAGCAATCACTCGTTCGTAGGAAAGTTGGTCAACGGGGGGATCTTTTGCCTTGCGCACCAAAAGGATGACTGCGCTTTCCACGATATTCCATACACAATCTGTACACCTCCACCGAATGATCCTCAACCCCATTTCCATTTCCATTACCTTTCCGCCAGCCAGCCAGCCAAAGGAAAAGCACGAAAACCCAAGCATCTATTTCAAATTAGAGTACAATGCATCCCACCGCTTTTTGTATTGTCTCTAGTGGTGAGCAACGTTGTCGTTACCGAAAACAACGTCCTCCTCGAACCAGTCCTCCTCCTTTGCGGCGACCTCGCCATCAACGGCGGAACCCTGACCCTCAACCTCAACTGTCTGAGACTCGTAGGCAGCGAGCTCCTCGGCGATGCTGGCATTGGCGGACTCGGGGAGACCGGGCGCGGCGGGGGCCGACCACTTCTTGACAGCCTCTGCGGCCTCCGCGGCGGACTCAGGCTTGGGCTTGTAGTTGCGCAATTCGCGGAGGTAGATGTCCTGGATCGGGTCCGTGGTCATGGCTGCTATCGGGATTACGTCAGGCTTTCTGTATCTCTCTGTCTGATGGTGATGTGGGGCGCACCGGAGCGGACGGCCGTAGGAGCGATGAAAGTGCGGGTCATCGTGGATTGCCGGAAGGCAGCACGGGTGAGTGCGGAGCGCTGGCGATTGTGGTGGGGCTCATGTTAGTCGAGGTTCCGTGCATTGGGTGGGGGGTTGGCGGAGGTGTTGAGAGAAATCCTTACCGACGATCTTAGAGACTGGGCCAACATTGTGATTGCGACTGAGGTTGAAGAGTGGAGAAATTCGAATCGGCGGAACGACGGTGGGTGGATGGGCAGATATAACTTGCTGGCGTTGAATTGATCGGGATGGGGGGAGGTTCGAATTGCCGGGGGTTTGGTCTCGGAAGAAAGGATTGGAGCACTCGCATAGCGATTATTACCCGGCGTGTAACCGGCAACGCAACAGCAACGACACCTATCGGACGATGGTCATGCCACTAATCTAAGTAATAGAGTGGGTGTAGAAGCAGAGAACACGCGGGCTCAGTAATCGGGATTGAGGGGGAGCGGATCACGATTGCCGATTGACGCTCGTTCCGTTTGATGGAAGCCGTGCGGCAGCCAAGCACGTGGGCCTGATCATAGGCTGTCACCCGCTTTGCTGTAGTTAGCCTCCTTGCAATGTTTGCCCAATGATCCGGCCACTCTGCTAGATATAAGCCACTTATAGGCACACGAAGTCACTCGATTCCACATACACTACTGCTCGAGTTGTATACCTCGCTGTTCAGTACATGTTCGCGTTTCCGCATCTCCTGCAGCATTCCGAAAATTGTTCGATTGACCCAAGTATCGTGCAGGCTCCCGAGTTGGATTGACTCACAGTCATCAATAGCTGTGTAGCGATCACTTGGCGAGGCTCTGGTTCTGGACGTTACCTTGGAGGATACAAACTTACACCACCATCACTCGCTCACTCGATGGTTTGGTTATTAGAAATGGGTGCTCAGCGTATCTCTAAATCTTGAACACGGCTACCTCACTTGCCTCCCTCACCCTGCAATGTTTCTCGCATTTTGTTTGCCTTAAAGTTCAAGCACTTATGTGAGTTGCCCTACTACATCTTCTACCATCACCACCTCTCCTCACCACCTCTCCTCACCACGACGACGACAACGACCCTCTGCCTTGCTCTCTCAACGACCCCACTCCCCACGTCACCACCTAGCCAAAACAACCTTCAAGACCTCCCTTACTTCTAACTCTTTCAGCTCATCGATAAACCACTTACGACGACACATTTGTTGATCGCACAACATCAACACTTTCCACCTCTTCCCTACTACAATGTAAGTTGCTCTTGCTCCCGCATTGATTATATTGAACTGCACGATCGAAGCCCGAAGCCCGTTGCTGTTGTTGCTGCGCCTACTGCTCCTGTTGCTGCGCCTACTGCCCCTGTTGCTGCGCCTGCTGCGCCTGTTGCACCTGCTGCATATGCGTCATCTACTGCTGTTGCTGTTGCTGCTCCCGCCGCCGCTGAATTAGAAGTGGTCTATAAAAGAGGACGACAGCGAACCCACTGACCAACGCTTTCATAGACCAAACATTCCACAAAATGAGCTGGAATCTCTTCGACAGTATCAAGGAATCCTACATCTGCCCCGAATGCAAAGAGGTCCCGCCCAAGTTCACCGAGGACTTCGGTTCCGGCGACGTAATCTGCACTAGCTGCGGACTGATCCTCGGTGAAATCGTCGATACCCGTTCGGAATGGCGCACGTTCTCGGGCGATGGCGAGAGCAGCAAGGCCGATCCGAACCGTATAGGCAATGGATACAACCCCTTTCTGATCGGTGAGGAGCTGCACACCAGAATTGGGGACAGCAGGGGAGTTCATGCTTCTGTCAGAAACCTCAGGCAAGCGCAGGACAAAGTGACCGGTGAGACGAAGAATGTTCGTCTGCGCGAGGGGTTCGACAAGATAGACTCCTACTGTGTCGTGGGCAAGCTCAATAGAATGGTGGTCGAGAACGCCAAGGAGCTGTTTTCTACCGGCTTCCAGAAGGGAGTCATCCGTAACGTCCAGGACGAGTGGATCTTTTCAGTGATCTACCATGCCTGCAAGCGTGCGAAGGCTCACGCCGGAATGAAGGAAATCGGCACCTTGCATGGTGGACCGACAAAGCCGTTTTCCAAGCAGTACCATAAGCTCCAGAAGTTCCTGCTGGACGAGAGCATGGCCATGGTTGCGGAAGCCGAGGTCAAGGGGGAGAATGTGAGCGCTGCTATCGACAGCTACGGTGGCTCGTTTGTTGTTGGTGCGAAGCAGTTGCTCCCCAAGTTCTGCGCTCAGTTCAAACTTCCGCATTGGTCGCTTTTCCTCGCCGGTGAGATCGCAGACGCTATCTCCGATTCTCTGCTCCTCACGTCCAGGGCCGGACCAAATGTTGCCACATCGATTGTCTACTTACTCTGCCACCTCATCGGCACCCCGAAGCCTTTGTCGGATATCTATCCCATTTCCAACCTCTCTCCAGGTTTGGCTCCCGATCTGCTTGCCTCGCACCGACTAACAGATCCCAGGCACGATCCAGAAATCCATCAAGATTTTGTCCCAGGGCAAGGACGAGCTTATCGCCAACCGCTTCTGGCCCAAGGACTCCAAAATCAACATCGAAGCCTTCGATAACATACTGGAGCCAAAGTGGTGCACGGTCAGGCCGACTGGAAAGCGGGGAAGACAGAATGAAGAAGATCAGGAGAAGCCTCAAGAGAAAAAGGTCAAGACTGAGCTCTCTGGTTCGCAGTTGACCAGCAACTCGCTGCCCACCAGCAACTCGCAGTTCCCCAATAACTCGCAGTTCCCCAACAACTCGCAGTTAACCAGCAACTCGCAGCCCATCAACAGCTCGCAGTTGACCAACAATTCGCAGGTAACCAACAACTCACGGCCCACCAGCAGCTCGGGAAGTAGCCAGGAGTCCAAGGGTGGTACTCCTTCTGCGTCCGCTTACGGCTCAGGCCGCGGAAAGGTTGCTGCTGCTACCACCGCCGCTACCATGCCGAAGAAGGAAATGCCAAAGAAAGAAATGCTCAAGAAGGAAATGCCGATGAAGGAAATGCCCAAGAAGAAAGTTCCCAAGAAGAAACTGCCCGAGAACTGTGGTATCGGCTTGCACAGATACAAGACCACGGGGCCATTCAATTGGCACGGTGTAAGTGCCATTTGTTCCCCGTTTTGATCAGGACAGGAGAAACTAACGTTCGCACAGCTCTTGCTCCCAGGACCCGTCTTGTACAAAGCCTCTTCGGGTCCCCCTCCCTTCAAGAATTATCTTCCTCTCAACAATCCTAGAGCTGCTACCTCCAAGAACCTCAATGAATCTAGATACTACTAGAGAGTAGCAGAAGGATAGCAGGTGAGAACTGGCTGGCTGAACTAGTGCTACCTACCCATACCCTTTGTTTTCGAGTATTCGCACCTGAGTGTTCGAATGCGTTACGCTTTTTACCTTTCCTGTATACCTACTCTTTCCTGTATCACTTACCTACCTAGCCGGCTTCTTCTGTACCTTCTTGAATACCCCGTTCCTGTTACTTTTCTTTTCCGCTTACTGTATTTCAGCATGTGACACTACCATCCGTGATTGTTAAACTTGGAGTACTGGAGTTTTGGAGTATTTTGTTTTGTTTTTGTCATTGATTGTACGGACCTACGGAGTAGACGGCGTTTCGGCGGGAGGGCTATTCGAGAGAGAGAGAGAGAGAGAGAGAGAGACAGCATCAATTTATTGTCGCATGCGGCCTTACTAGACTAGGTATGGCGACCAGAAGAGGGTTATTCGAAAAGAAGTAGAACGAGTGACACGGAATGTAAATGTGTGCGAGTGCGAGTGCGATATGGATAGTATGGATGGATACCATCAAGTGAAGTCAAGTCAAAGAAAATCCTCCCTCGTCATAAAATCAACAATTTACAGTCACTCACAAATAAAAGGCAAAATTACTTAATCACAGTCGCAAGCATCTCATCTCTACAATTCCCCTCTCCCACCCTCTCCCTGTCTCACTCCTCGTCTTTTCTCCCTCCTCAACCAACACCTCGCAAACCAACACAAGAAACGAAAGAAAAAAGAAAAAACGGCAGCAACCACACCTCACAAAACAGGCAAGCAAGCATTACTTCCTCACTTCCTCTCATCGCCCGCCACCGCAACCGCAGCGGTAACAGTACTGGTCAGCAACGATAGCCATTCCCTTCCGATACCGATCTCCTACTTCGGATCGAGAACGATGCCCTCAAAGTCGCGGGACGCAATATACTCCAGCGTGCGCTCGAAGTGTTTCCTCGGCAGGTCCGTGGACCCGCCGACTTCTGCGCTAGCCAGGTTAGAGTGGATCAGCTCGATCAGCCCGTTGAGGTATTTGACCGTAACCTTTTGTCGTTCGTCAGCGAGAGGCGAGGAGTGGGGGAGGGGAAAAACTCACGGCTTCATTTTGTCTATCGAAATAGTAAACGTATCGATTCAAGATCTCGACAAACAGCTCCACGCTGACAGCGGTATCCATGCAGGCATCTGCGACGCGCAGAGCACGCTGGAGACACTCAAGCACGCGCTTGCCGTCTCTGTACAGCGGGGATTTCTCGTCCTCGTCTCTGGCAGGGACCTCGACAGCCCACCACAGGTGCGAAGCGAGGTACACGGCTCTGCATTGGTCCGGTTTCTTGAGGAGTTTGCTACCGTGAAGGGCACATTTAGTGATGAGGTTATCGTAGTTCTCTTTGCTAAAGTTTCTGGTGGCGTGCAGAGCGTTTGCGATTACGGTTACAGCTTGGAATTGCGCGCGTGAGTCGGAAATCGCCTCTTCGTAGACTGTGAAAGCTTGCGCGAAGAACTCGTAGGCAACCTCTTCGAACTCGCATTGGTCGGCGACTTGGCCGCAGAAGAGGAACAGGCGGAGCGAAAGGTCGGCGGAGACTATGCGCACGTACAAGCCGGATATGCTTTGGTGCATGAACTTGTATAGCGCGGCGGACATGGTCGACCATTCATTGTCGTAGTGCTCGCGAGCCTTGAAGCGGCGGGCCAGCTTGATCGACTGCGTGATGAGTGCCGGCGTCGTGTACCGGATCCTATCACCGCCCTCGTTGAAAGCCTTTTTGGCGGCTTGCAGGAGCTATCGGGAGTCGGTGAGTGGTGGAACATTGAACGAGTGATATCATGTGCAAATACCTTGAACTGGACTTCATTATTGTCACTGTGCAAAAGGTGGACCATCCTGGCGAGAAGACCCTGCTCCTCCATCGTCTCATCCGTCTCCAGGTCACGACCAGATCTCCGCGTCTGTGTAGCGGGATATCCGGCAGCTGCTTGTTGCTGGCCCTCCCGGATCAAAACGCGGATCAAGTTGAAAACGCCCTCTGCGTATTCCGGTGTCTGTATCTTTGTCTGATTCTTGAGAATATTATGCACAACGACATTCGCAACGGAGCGGCGGGTTGGGTATGACTGAGCGTGGAGGAGGGGGAGATAGCTCGGAAGAGCAAGCACAGTGAAGAGGGACGCATAGGAGTTGACCGGCGCCAGCATCAGGTTGAGGATGTTCTGCTGGCAGGCTGGGGAGTGCAAATCGGCACTGTTGGCCATATCGGCGACCTTCTGATTCGTGTATCTAGAACAATCAGTCCACAATGCCGCTAGTCGGGGTTTTGGCGACTCACTTCAAGATCTGGTCGACATATTCTTCAGTTTCATACCAACCGGTTAGCCAAAGCTTCTGTCAGGGGCGGGAAAATCAAGCCTCGTCTTACCCAGTCGGTCGGGATAGATCTTCAGGGCCAGGTTTGCAAGGGAAACGAGAAGAGCGATGATGTCTTGAATCGGGAGATTTTGCGCCTTCGATGATACCCGGAAATCAGCCTGCGGTTCCGAACTGGAGTGACCAAACGCCCTCGTGTGTGCCCTTACATTCACCAGATTCAACACCTGCTCGTAGAAAATCTCGTAGAGCTTGACGTCGTCGGGAATTCCCTTAGCCGGTTTCTTCGGCTCCGAGTCCTCAGCCGTCTCGCTCTCGACTTTGGTTGACTCTGTTACTTCAGATGCCTCGGAGGCTGCCGTTCCTTTGTCTTCTCCATTGGCAGACGACGCCGAATCTGTCGACCGTGCGCCGTCCAGCTCATACGGCTCCGTTGTCGGTGGTGGCTCTTTGATAGACCCTGGAGGGGACTGTGAGCTAGCCTGCGACTCATCCGTCACATCGAGCCTCTCCATCAGCTTCTGCGCCGCTTCTTCCTCTTTCCGCAGCCGCTCCTCGGGTGTCTCGGACTGTGCTTCTCGGGTGGCGTATGCAGAAAGACGGTCCATGAGTCCGATGACAATAGCTTTCACATTGACATTGGGATTGAGCCTAGCAGTCGCTGACAGGAAAGCGTCTAACGTGTGCAGATGGAACTCATCGGGGAAAACCTGGGTGATGACTATGCAGCGTTAACACTGTATTTGATATACGGATACCGTATGATGCCTACCCTCAAGCAGATACTCCTGGGCGAGAACGTCACGGCACTGCACAACCTGCTCCAGCAATGGGGGAAGTATGACGTTCTTGTACGTCTCAAGGTCCACCAGCTGGCTCAACCTGACCAAATTGCTGCCCACGAGGAGCTGCAGTTCCTTCCGCTCCTGGGTTCTCTTCTCTCGTTCCCGGGAGTGGCCTTGGTGCTGCAGTCGGACCCAGAGCTTGTTCATCTCGATGAAGTTCGTGATGATGAAGGAGATGGAGTCCTGGAAATTGCCTTCTGGCCTGGGGATACCGTCAGCGCACACGAATTCGGACCTTCGAGTTCATCTTTCCAGTGACTGACCCGTCGTTGGTGCCGGTAGGAAGTGAATCTCGAGCTTGCTGAGATAGGTAGTATCGTAAGAACAGCCCTCTGAGTCTCCCAGTCAGCGAAAAAGGCCCACGTGCCAAAGCGAGTCCGACGTACCTTATCGGATGCTGAACACCTCTGCACATCTCCATCATATCCTTCATGATTTCCTTGACTGGCGCATCGGGAATGGACATGTAGACCCTGATGGTTTGCGGGAACGCGTCAGAACCCTAGTACACCAGCTTCGACAATAGTTCGGGAGTGTCCAACTCACGTTCCAACCGTCACCATCAAGTACAATCGCGGCACGATGTTTCCTACAAGAAGTCAGCCCACTACCGGTAGACGGACAGTTGCAACTCCACTCCTCCTCTCGCCCGGGGACATCGTACCGGCATACTGAACGAGCTCGTACAGGTCGGCCAGGTGATTAACCGGGTGACTGTCACGGAGGAATACGGACAGATGCCGAAGGGCGTCGAACACGGCCATGTAGAGCTCATAGTACTTTTTGGGACTGAGTGAGCTCGTCCGAAGTTCCGAGACCAAGGTGGAGCTGTGAGGGGGGGTGGGGAGGATGGCATTAGCTGTGTGGCGGCGGCAGGCGTCGGAGGAGCAGTGTTGGACGCGCATTGGCGCTTTTTATGCTTACCTGCACTTTAAAGCATCCATCAGTTTACCTTGTGTCTCGAGACATTTCCGCATAAGCTGGGTCTGCTGGCGCACCACGGCCAGAGCATCGTGTAAAAGGACGGCCTCTTCCATGCTTAGCTTCCCCGCAAGGGACGGAATCGGCGGTTCGGGGTGCGTATAGGACAGAACGTCGGCAGTTTCGGGTGGAGCTGTGTGTGGGATTCGGGGGTTGTTTGGCGGCGAGGTAGCGAGGGCCGAATGTGTTGCGAAGTTCGGGGGTGGGGTGTTTCAGCGGGCACGAGGCGGTGGTGGTGGTGGTTGATGCGGGATAAGTATGGTGGGTTGAAGGGATGAGATTGACGTACGTTGCCAGAGACAACCGGACGAGACACACCAACTACCAAACCACCACCACCACCACTATCCCACCACGACACTACAACACCACACCGCCACACTCTAGCTAGCCATCTCCAATTCAATTCAATGAAAACGGCGAGAAACATAAAAGCGATAGGTATTTGATTGATGATCGTGGTAGTAGTAGTGGTGGTCGTGGAGGAGGAGGTGGTAGTGGAGATGATGATGATGATGATGGACATCCATAGCCGTAAAGCCGCATTCTCTCGTGTTGGATATCTCGTCGATTCTATGTCAGCTGTCAGCTCTCGATGAATAGATATATAAGCGTAAATAGTTGTTACTCTACTCTATGTAAACCCTCCGCCTACAACTGCTCACCAACGACTTCAGCATGGGATCATCCGAAGTCACTCGGATTTGAGTACTTGATGCCATGCCTACTCGGATTTGTCCCCGATCGAGGAGTCCATTGGGATGAATCCAGAGCCGATGGTAAGCTATGTCTTGCCGCTCAAGATCCGGCGTCGATAAGGCGATTCTTCCCATGTCTCGATCTGTCCCTCAAATCTCCCTTCTACCTACATGCAGATGGATCTCTGGGACCTTCCTGCGCCTGCGTAACTGCGCTCTGCCAAGCCCGCTGCCGGCAGGCAGTGCTAAGTTGAGCGCTCTCTCGTCTCTAGACTCTACAGCAGAATTGCTCTCCATGTGAACTGCTCCAGTGCTCCAGTGCTTGATTGCTTTGTGCTGGCCGGCCGCGTTGTTCGGTTGGTTGGATGGGTCCGTTGGGCTGGCTGCTTGCTGGCTGCAGCTGTTTTGGGGTTGAAAGAGCTGTTCGCCTTAATCTTCCTTTCTCTTTGCACTTTGGCTCTTCTTCGAGGACTCTTCTTCTGTCTTCTGTCTTCCGTCTTCTTTTGCTGTCCCTCTTTATCTTCAGCTGCTTTTTCCCCCGTCCCCATTCCCTCTCTTTTGAGGCGAACGAACACTGCCACCAAACTCTATCACTCACCCAGATTCCTCCTCCTCCTCTTCTTCTTCTTATTCTTCACCCTCCCAGTAATAAACCCCTCCCCTTCCCTTCCCAGCCCCCTCAAGCCGTCGCTGCCCCCAACAACAATCAGCAAGCATCCGTTGTTTGTTGTCGGCGTCACGAGGCATCCGGAGCGAGCGAACAAACGAAACCCTCTCTTCCGTCGCTTAGTGTTCCTTCGTCGCCGCGCCGCCCGCCTTGTCGCTTCGCTCTTGCTTTACGACCCCCATCCATTTCTCTTTCATCCTCCACCCAAACCCGCCACACTGCAACCGAACCCCAACTCCAACACCCCAACCACCACCACCACTACCACCACCACCACCACTGCACACTCCCCCATCTTACTACCATCCGCACACATCTTATCACCGCCCAAGAGTCCTGCCATCTCTGAATCATGGCTGCCGAATACTCGGGCACTCGCCTGTATCTAGGCAACCTCCCCAAAGACAGTAAGCCACCTCTCCTCCCATCGCGTTTGCTGTGCTTTTTTCGTTCTCGCGTTTCTTTGTCGTCTCGTCGCGCGTGTGCGCTCGTGCGCAAGAAACGCCCTGCTGACTCTCTCGCCCAACAACAGCTCGGAAACAGGAAGTTGAAGAGTTTTTCAGCGAATTCGGCCATGGCACCATCACTGAAGTCAAGCTCATGGATGGATTCGGCTTCATTCAATACGAAAGCCCCGATGACGCGAAGGACGTGGTACCAGGTCAGTGCACTCCCACACTCTCTACCCCATATCCCAACACAGTTACGCTGACGTCTGTGCGTTCGCCGCTGCAGCCTTCCACGGCAAAGAATTCAAAGGAAGCTCCCTTATCGTTCAGTTTGCTCGCGGCAATCGCCACCACGCCAGCCCTAGGGAATTTGCGCCCAGCGGACCAGGCGGTTTCCCTCCTCGTCCGAGGCGCACTCAATTCAGGATGAACATTACTGGCCTTCCTCCGGATACCAGCTGGCAGGTGGGCTCACCATTACTCCTCGTTTCTGCTGCACACTACATTTCTTTGATTCCGTGGGGCCTACGATGAATGTGCGTTCGCTATTTTGTATCGCCCCTACTACTGCTACCACCTACCCTACCACCATGTGCTCCTTGGATAGGCTCTGGTGGTCCTGAACCTCTTGTCCCCGAGGGTTTGGCACGACCTCGTGGGACTTGCGCTCTCGTCTCCTCTCCAGTTGGCCGGATGAAACTCCTTCACAATGGGAAATTACTAGTCCGATTGGAGTCGGTGGGGTAGTGGGTAATACTGTCATCGATCAAGACCTGAAGGGATGGACATATCTATTGGCCAGGAATTATCCGAATACCCGTTGCGCATCTGATTTACTGGAGGAACCATCTGGGGATTCGTTGAGGAACTCGAACTCATTGAGGCTTTGTGACTACCTAGGACCTGAAGGACTTCGCCCGCAAGTCTAACGACAGTGTCGTCTACTCCGATATGAGTCGTGACCGCGATGGCCGGGGGTACGTTCTTATCTCATCCTTTCGTTTTTCACTCTTGCTAATTGGCGACTCCAGTACCGTGGAATTCGAGACCTTGGAGGACCTCAAGAGAGCGTGTCAATTCCTCGACCAGTCCGAATATCGCGGTTACCGCGTGACTTGCATTGCTGACGTATGTACCTATTATTCCCCGTCGACTTTATCGGTTGCTAATCTCCGAGCAGGAGGGCGCTACTTTGGGAGGAAGTGGTGGAGGTCGCTACGGTGGAAGTGCCTACGGCGGAGGTGGTCCCCGTGGACGTTCGGTCTCTCCTCACCGTGGAGGCTACTCGCGTCGCTACTCTCCGCCTCCTGCCCGTCACGCCTCTCCCACGAGGTACGGTGGTCGCAGCAGCCGCTACGATTCCCCTCCTGGACACCGTGGCTATCGTGAGCGCTCCCCGCCTCGTGGTGGCAACGGCGGTCGTGATCCCTACTATGGTGGAGCTGGTGGTGGACGCGATAGGTCCCCGCCTCCTCGTAGGCCTCCTCCTCCTCCTGTGGATGACTATGCCCCGCCGCGCGGTGGAGCACCCGGATACGGAGGTGGTCGGGATGATTACCCTCCTGCCAGACGTGGATACGACGAGGATCCTGGACACTACGGAGGAGGAGGTGCTCACGGTGCCAACGGCTCAAGCAGAGGTGGTGGTGGTGGTGGTGGTGGTGGTGGAGGTCGTTATGATGATTCCAGGCGCTATCCTAGCCCACCTCCTCCGAGAGGAGGAGGAGGTGGTGGTGGCGGTGCAAGGTCCCCTCCTCCCCCGAGGGGCGCACCTCCCCCTCGAGGTGGCTATGAGGAGTACGACCGCCGCCGGTATTAGGTCTGATCCAAGTGACCCGCTGGGTTGGAGAAGGAGCATTTCGGCTGACAATATTGCTTAGCGAGCCAACCACGGCCGGTTTCGAGAACGTTCCAACGGGACCGAAATCTCATAGATCGAATGCGAATGTGAATGTGAATGTGAATGGAGGGGGAGGCGGTGGTGGTGGCAGTAGCTACCGCAGCAGACCGGAATGACGTAAAAAGCTGGAGAAAATTTTACAAATACCGAAAAGTTTCACAATGAGAGAAGATGTGATGGGAAGGGAAATGAGTGAGAGGATTCTTGAAACCTCTTGCTAACGAAAATAATTCCCTTTTCTGTTACTGTCTGCTCATTGGCTTTTTACTTGTTTAACGATTTGTCTGTCTGTCTTGTCTCTATCCGTTTCTTTCACGATTGGTTTTGCCACTTGTTTCCTGTTTCTCTCTCTCTTTCTTTTGTTTTCTTTGTCGTGGAAACTACCTAGGGGGCGTGAGTGGGTGGGTGAGTGAGGGAGCGAGGGATGGATGGGGTACGATTATGGCTTCTGTTTTTTCTTTTTCTTCACGGGAATGAATGATTGTGTGCTATGATATGGCTACCATACCGTCACGATCACGATCGCGTGTCTCACTTTTTCTTTCTGTCGTCATTGTCTGTCCATCACATCAACCAACCAACCAACCAACCGTCGACCAGACCTTATGCGAGTAATCATGCATCTACCTATCGACCAACCCAGGTATGCCACCGTATGTATACTATGCTAGGGATGGAAATTCCGCTTCAGCCCTACCTACCATTTACGCCACAACCAACCAATGCGGAAAGCAGAGTCGTCGTCGTCGTCGCATCGCAACTTGTATGTAAGTAAAAAAAACAGATTTCATTCTGCAAAAGTGTGAACCCATACTACCAGGTAGTAGGTAACTCAGGTAACTCAGGTAACTCAGGCAACTCAGGCAACTCACAACACCCCCCAAGTCAAAGGGGGTGAACATTGAACATTGACCATGAACATGAACATGAACACAAGGAAAAAAAATCCACTCCCGGCTCCCTTCCCAATAATCCTCTTAAAGTAAAAAAAAAAAAAAAGTCAGTCGCCTTATCACCCACCTCCCTCCGAACCCCAAGTCCGAATCCTCAGCCCAGCCCAGCCCAGCCCGGGCAGCCCAGCCCAGACAGCCACTTTTGACCCCCCACCGCGCCCACCCGTCCCCCGCCCACGCCCAAAACGGAAAGAAAGAAAAGAAAAGAAAAAGAAACAAAAACTAATAGAAAAAAAGTGTAAAAGTGGTATTGTTACAAGTAGATTTGTTGCCGCGCGCGCTCATTTGGTTTGGTGGTGGTCGGTCGGTCGGTCGTGGAAGTAAGTGGTTTCGTCAAAGTCGATTAACTGATAATAGCGTACGTGCCGGTGCCGGTGCGGGCAGGCGGACGTACATCGTGCGTGCGTGGTTCCCATCCATCCATCAAGAAATCCAATCCTCCTCCTCTCTCTCCCTCCCCTCCCCATCGCCGGAAAACACAAAACACAAAACACAAAACACAAAACACAAAACACAAAACCCAAAAAAACCGCATGGTTATAGGATAACGCAGCATCCGGTATTCTTCTCCTTATCGAAAGTTGTCAGGGCAGCGCGGGTGGCAGCCTCAAATACGTCGTCGACGCCCTCGCCGGTGAGGGAACTACATTCCAGGTACTTCTTTGAGCCCACCTGCTTGGCGATTGTCTCCGCATAGCTCGCTTGTACGAAGTGCATCGATTTCTTGCGCATCTCCTCGCGAGCGGCGGGGTCTTCGCGGAGGTCTTTTTTGAGGCCCACGAGGATGATGGGGACGCCGGGGCAGCGCTCTTGTGCTTCTTCTATCCACTAGAGGAGGTCAGCGGGGAAGGATGGGCAAGAGGACGGGGTAGGTACCTTGTTCTGGACGTTCTCGAGTGAGTCTGGACTGTCGATGGCGTAGCCGATCAAGATCACGTGCGCTTTGGCATATGCCAGTGGTCGTAGCCGCTACGTAAAGTCAGCACCGATGTACGTCGTGGGCCGAGAATGACAATGCTGAATGGTCGAACCTCATAATCTTCCTGACCAGCCGTATCCCATAATGCCAACTGCACCGACTTGCCGTCCACTCGGCAATCCGTCACATAGTTCTCGAAGACAGTAGGGACCTGTATATACCGTCAATGGACTGGCGGGGCGGGGGGGGATGGTGTGTTGGTGGGGGAAACCGTAGATATCACTGACATAATGCTGCATGCGGATTAGCTTCGTTCAGATTGCGCGGCCCATTCAAAAACATCGGGAGAACTCACTGTTGGGAAATAACCCAGTGTGAAGACGCTCAAAAGACTGGTCTTTCCGCACGCACCATCGCCGATAATAACAAGCTTCCTACAGAGACGCCCCCAGGCATGTCAGCCATCTACAAACTCCGTACGTAACCACCAGGGCAAAAAAGCGCCAGGCTGAGGGAGTATTTCCGTCGCGGGCCGGGGAGCAGTGGGTTGGTTATTGAGGCTATATTTGGCAACAACCACCACCGTCATGAGCACCTTTTTCCCTCCCCGTTCCCACCCACGCTCCCAGTGCTTGTGGATTTTGATCCTTTGCAATTTTGCCGAAGCTTCGGGATCCCCTCCCTCCCTCACAATCGTCCCGGGGGAAGGGGTGTCCACTCCCACGCCCATGCCGCGCCCACGGAAAGTAGAGTGAAGGGGGGGGAAGTTTACCTCCGGATGACATTGACAGCTTGGTTCTGCGCCATCGCTGATGTGGATTCGGGAGACGGTCGGCTGTGCAACGTGGTCGGTGGCGGTACAGTCAGGGTTCGCGGTCGGTGGTAGCAAGGTTCCAGCGGGAGACCGAAGCTGTGATGGAGGAGCGCGATGGATGACGAGCGAGGAGTCTGTCGGTCAGGTCGCGCTGGTGGGTCGCGGGGGGGTGTAGTGCAGTGTGGTTGCTTTCGCGGTTGATTGAAGGTTTGGAGCGACGACGGAGACGACGACGACTGCGGCGGCCAGGTAGTTGATAAGGAAGTGAGCTGAGGCGAGGCTTCTTCTTCTTCTTGTGCTTCTTGTTCTGCCGTGATCGGATCCGCGAGTCCCCAATTAAGGGAGAGAAAGGAGCTCGGAAGAGGCGGAGACGGAGATGGAGGATCAGGAAGAGGGAGGGAGTAGTAGGGAAGGTAAGAGAGAGGTTGCGAGCAGCAGCGGCGGCGGCTGTTTAGTTTTCTGGGGGGGTGCCCGGGGGTGGGTGGAGGGGGGTGGTTTATTTTGGGGGGTGGTGTTGGGTAGGTAAGTGGTTTTGGCGGTGGATTTGGTAACTGCAAGTGGTTTGTGGGAGGGTTCTGTTACAGCACTCGCGAGCGTAATACGGTTGCAGGCGGAGTTTGGGGTTAGCGTGCGCGTGAGCGAGGGAAGAAGAGTGAGAAAAGAAGTGAGAAGCGTCAGAAGGGGAGCGGAGCGGAGAGGCGAGCGAAAGAGGGATGGTTTCTACGAGGACTTTTTTCTTCTTCTATCGAGCACGGCGCTGTGGGTACTGGAGGTGAGTAACTTCATGTGAGGATATAGTGGTATGTACGCAATGCTACGAGGCACGATGCTTTTACGTTGAAGGGCGCGGCTGGGAGCAGAGAAGAGACGAGACGAGAATCTCTCGAGAACACGCGCAGGACGATGATGGTGATGATCATGGGTACATACTCTACATACTGGTAGGTATGCTGTCCATGTAGTTACCGTACTCCAGTGTACCGGAGTTACTACAGTAGTTACATAGCATATAGTTCCATGTAACTAACTGTGTGCTAGGCAGAGCAGTTCGGATCGATAGTTCGCCATGACGATCGCGAACAGCGCTCCCGCGTCTGGCTGGCTTCTTCAATCGCCTTCGAGTTGCATCCCGTTGCTACTACCTATCGGAGTTACATGGTAGCAGTAGCAGATTCTACAGGCTATACATAGAACTGCCTGCCTGCCCGCCTGCCTGTCTGGGTTCCTGGAGTCGGTAGGGCGGTGTGGTCGAGCAGGGACGTGGAGAGCGAAGACACGGTACGGGGAGCAGTGAGTTCTTCGGTATGGCATAGTAGATGTGCGGTAGTCAGTTGGATAGATACAATGGAAAGCCCAGTCTACTCCGAGCAGCAGGGGAAGCTCTCTCGTCTTCAGCTCTCCCTTCTATGCGTTCTCGGGCTTCTCCGCAGTAGTACTGGTACTTGGGTAAGTACCGTACTTGCTCAAATACCGTAGAGCACTTCGAGGGCTGCTGCACATCATGGTACGTACCTACCGCTGCAAGTTTACGTAGATACTCACCTGTGGATGGTCCGCTTTACACGCCCCGTCGGCCGCGGTTCTTGCCGTCCCCTGGGAACGAGGGCCACCTAACTATCGCCCACCAAACGGATGGCATGGCAAGCCCCTAGCGGCGAGGAGTTCAGCTGAGATGGAACCGCAATTGCGAGCAGTGATCCTTATGCAGAGTGCAGACAGGGGATGATCGCCGTATCCGCATCCGAGAAGTCCACAGGAGGGCACACGACGGATGCTTGAGCAGGCACCCAAGATGTAGATGCTCTAGAATAGTTAGAACACAATTAGGTTGCCTATGATGGCGATGCTCCGACGTGGTGGTGGGTACATAGCGTGCTTTCCCCATCGTCGGGTGCCCCGGTGTCCGGCCGTTTGCGTTGGTCCGGCAACGGCGGCGGCCTCTCCCTGGTCTGACGGTCAGTCATGTCAGCCTTGTTTCGGCCCCCTCAGGGTCACCATTCTCATCGCCCGTTCCCAATTCCTACCTTCCTCCTTTATGATGACTGTCATTCCTCCGCTTTGTCCTCGGACCCCACTCTGCGTGTCCCCGTCCTGCATCCAATTGACCGTGTGTCTGCCCGTTGTCAGCGAATACAGTTCAATTGCTACTATGTAGCAGTAGAAGTAGGGTACTTTACGTACGAATCCCCGAGCATACGGCCTTTCTCTCCGTTTGGAGAATCATGATTGGAGTAGAAGTACTCTACTCAGTGCACTGTGCACTTACTCGTCGAGCTTGAGCCTGTAAAGTACGTACTCGTGTGCACATCTCCAGCTTTCTGCAGGATTCAAATCTACTTCTCCCCCAAAGCCCGCTTTGTTGCGGCTCTATACTCTAGTGGAAGCATTCCCACCCAAAGATTGAACCTTGCCTCGTCTTGCTACTTGTAGTGCTGTTTGCTACCTCATCGTCATCATCATCTCCACCACTACCACCACCACCATCACCGCATCTCGTTTCGTTCCGGGATCGCCCACCTCCTTCTCTCCCTCTCTCCCTCTCCATCGCTCTTCCCATCCAATCCAATCCTCTCGGTCATTCCGAATCCTCCCATCAGCCTCACTACCTAGTACGGTAGTACTCTTCCTCGCGCACTCGTCACCAACCACACAACTCACATCCCCGTCAATTGTCAACCTCATTTCTCGCATATCAGTTACCCGGCGAACATCATTCGTTGATTTCGACTGCTGCCGCTCGCTGTCCCGTGACCCTCGCATAAGCACTTCCACTACGCTGATAGGTACTTCGAAGGGAGTACTGTAACGAGCAACAAACACATAATTGCTACTGTCAGAAAGGGGAGACAGAAGAGAGAGAGAGAAACAGAGAGAAAGGGAGAGAGAGAAAGTTGGTGCGTGTGTGCATAGAGCGTAAACGACCACTGTCAGATGTGCGTACTTTGACTTCGTTAGTCCCCTGGTTGCTTCGTCCACTGTCCACCACCCAATTCAAACGACCACCCAACCAAATCTACCCACCAACTACTTTCACTACCACTACCACCACTACCAACTTCCTCCTCCTCCTCCCCACCACCACCACCTCCTCCTCCCCCCCACCACCACCACCACCTCCTCCGCTACTCTCAACCATCACCACCACTACCATATACACCCACCCACCGCATCATCGCTTTGTCAGCCGTCACTCAGCAGCATCGCCACTAACTTTAGGTGCTGAGTTTACCGCCCCGCAGCAGTAGGTGACAGGCTCAGGAACCCGTTAAACCTCGCAGCTTCGCCGTGCACATCTCGGACGTCATTCTCTTGGTGCTCCCCGACTCCCGGAATAAGGCAAGAATCTGGACATGCCTGCTGGTAACTCACAGCGCAATCCACAATCAGAAACTCAGGACCATCAATCCTTACCCGCGAACAGCAAAGCAACTCACATCCGCAACAAAGACGGTACTAAGTTGATTACTGTGCCCTCCCGCAAGGTGTCTAACCCCGAATCTGCTGCTGCTGCTGCCGCCGCTACCACTGCAACCACCACCACCACCGCCGCTACCGCCTCCTTCTCCTCCTACTCCTCCTCCTCCTCCCTCTCATCCTCCGCCGTCTTCGCTACCACCGCCGCCGTCACTCCATCACCTCATCCCCCCCCACCTCCTCCTCCTCCTCCACCACCACCGGCTACGGCTTTCGTCCCCACCATGGACTACTCTAACGGAGCAAATGCTAGCGCGGCGGGGAAGAAGAAGAAGAAGAACAAGAGGGGAAAGCAGGTTGCTCAGGCTCAGCACCACCACCATCACACCCACCAGCACGATGAGTACGGTTCCATTTCGAACGGGCCCGCAGCCATCACTCCGCCACATTCGAACCACCCCCATCACTACCAGCAGGACATTCGGGACTCGATGGCTGACTTTGACGACAACGACCCCCCCGAACTCGTGGACCCTGACGACGAGGAGGAATACTACTCCGACCAGGACAACGAGTATGACGACAATGAGCCCTACTCTCCACCGCCACCTTCTGCTCCGGCTCCGGCAGCCGGCAAGAGCAAAAAGGGAAAGAAGAAGAGCAAGAAAAAGGCCGCCGGCAGCGAGCTCCTCGGCGCCGGAGGTGGTGTTGGGGCTGGGCCGGTTCAGACCCGCAAGGGAAAGGACCGCATATGGAACACTTCGACCACGGAAGAACGTGAACGGATCAAGGATTTCTGGCTGTCACTTGGCGAGGAAGAGCGTCGATCTTTGGTCAAGGTGGAGAAAGAGGCTGTTCTGCGGAAGATGAAGGAACAGCAGAAGCATTCTTGCTCGTGTAGTGTCTGTGGACGAAAGAGGACTGCTATAGAGGAGGAATTGGAGGTCTTATATGATGCTTATTACGAGGAGCTTGAGCAGTACGCCAATCAGCAACAGACAAATAAATATCTTAGCCACGTCCCTCCGAGTCCGCCGTCCGGTACCTTTCCTAGTAGCATACCACCGCCGCCTCCGCCGCCGCCTCCTACTGGAGCCCCTCCCCGTACACAGCCCGGGAGTGTTATCAAGCCGGAGGACGAGGACGAATACGACGAGGACGAGGACGATGATGAGTACGAAGACGACGACGAGGTGCTCGACCACCCTCTCTCGCCACCGCCTCAGAACGATCCGAGACCAGACTTCTTCAATTTTGGCAACAGCCTAACCGTACAAGGTGCGTTGATTCGCAATGGGGGAGGGGGGAGGGGAGGCACAACATTGGTTGAGGGATTGACGAAGCGGTTGACTGACTTTGATCTTACAGGTGGAATCTTGACGGTGGCAGACGATCTGTTGAAGAATGACGGGAAAAAGTTCATCGAGATGATGGAGCAGCTGGCGGAACGCCGAATGGCCCGCGAAGAGGAAGCCAACAGTGTCAACGGCGTGGCTCGCGACGCCAACGTTCACCACCAGCACGTTCACAATCACACCCAGCCTTCGGACTACGACGACGAGGAGTACGACGACGAAGAGGACGAAGATGAGGAGTACGAGGAGGACGAAGAGGAGGACGAGGAACCTGTGCGTAATCTATGTCTACGTGGAGGGACTACACACTAACTCGACAATGATGAAAGGACACCATGACTGAGGAACAGCGCATGGAGGAGGGACGCAGGATGTTCCAAATCTTCGCCGCTCGGATGTTCGAGCAACGTGTACTCCAAGCCTATCGGGAAAAGGTCGCCGAAGAACGACAAAAAAAGCTCCTACAGGAACTCGCCGATGAAGACAGGCGCAAGGAGGAACGTGAGGCCAAAAAGGCTCAGGACAAGGACAAGAAGCGGGAGAAGAAACGGCAGGCGAAGCAGGCCAAGGAGGAGGAGCGTCTTCGCAAGGAGGCGGAAAAGAGGGAAGAGGAGGCCAAGCAGAAGGAACTCGATGCCAAGAGGGCCGAAGAGCAGCGGAGACGGAGGGATGAGCAGAGGCTGAAGCGGGAGGCCGAGAGGAAGGCTGCCGAGGAGGAGAGGCAGCGGAAGGAGGAGGAGAAGAAGAAGCGGCAGCTGGAGGAGAAGGAGAGGGAGGCTGAACGTGAGCGCAAACGGAAGGAACACCAGGAGCGCGAGCGGAAGAAGCGTGACGAGCTGGCCAAGAAGCAGAAGGATGAGAAGGAGGCGCGGGACAAGGAACTGCGGGAGAAGCGCGAGCGCGAGGATAGGGAAAAGCGCGAGCGTGAGGCAAAATCCAAGAAGGATGCTGTCGAGAAGGAGAAGAAGCGCAAAGAGGAGGAAGCAAAGGCCAGGGCCGAAGCTGCTATTGCGGCGACCAAACGTGCTCAGGTCTTCGCACCTACTCCGCCGATGCCCCAAACTCAAACCGCACCCCCGCCCGGATACGGATCACCACACCTCCCAGTTATCACGCCCGCGACCCCCAAACAGTCAGCTGGTCCCCAGATTCACCGACCACGTAACTCATCCCAGCAGGGTTCGATCCAGGGCTCACAAGGTTCTTCTCCGAAGACTCCAAACGTGGCCCCTCGTTTCGGAACGACTGCCTCCCCTAGTACGCCGATCTCGCAGCAGCAGAACATTACCGGCCCGGTTCCCATCAAGGGATTCCAGTTTCCTGGCTTTCCCCCAACGTCTCCCATGCCGCATCACATTGGTCCGCCGCCCGGTGTGACTCCCCCTGACGGTGGCTTCAACATGCCTCCGATGGGCTTGAACGGACCGAATCCGATGCAACCCTTCTTGACCGGCATGCCCCAGCGTCAAAATGGAATTCCCATGTTTACCGGACAGATGCCGTTGGGAAGCCCGCAATACCGAGGATTTGCCACACCGAATGGAATCCCCATGCAGATTCCGCCTGCGCCGGGAATGCGACCTATGGTGAACCAAGGCCGTGGAATGTTCATGGGCGATATGTCACATCAGCTTCCACCGGGAGTCCCGCTTCCACCGCCTGGATCACCGTTCGGCACTCGGGTCGAACCTGTTCCCATGAGCGGTCACTCGAGAATACCGTCCGGATCCTTTGAAGTTGTCCACAGGCCCACTCCAATCCAGAGACCTTCGAGCGTGGCACCCCATAGGAATGGAGACGATCAAGTGGACGAACTCTCCAAGGTGATGGGTAGCCGTGCACTCCTGGAAGATGACGAGGATCCACTGCCCGAGAATATGTCACCGAGCAGGAGGGTTAGCGGTCCCCAGTTTGTTCCAAGGCCTAGAAACGTTGCTTCCCCCTCGATCTTCGGAGACAGCCTCGGCGGTAAATTTGCACTCCGTCCCCGGAAAGGATTTACCTACGATGGAACAACTAACGTAGGACCGATAGGTTTCAATGATTATGGAGCCTCCTGGTCGAATCCATTGCCTCTGGGTGGCAGCTTATCTGGTTCTCTGCCTAGTGCGTGGGCAAACAAAGCAGGTGAATAAACCTACATCCCCTTCCATATTTATGATTTCTAATAGTCCATGTGTAGGCTGGTCGGACATTGATGCGGGTGCATTCAACCGTCGACGGATCACGAGGATAGATCAGATCCGCATGTTGGCGTGTCAAAAGTTCCGCGATCTTAGTGGACCCAACAACCAGCCTGTGGAGATCTCTACGCTGCAGAGGGCTGTACAAGCCGTTGCGCCACCGGACTTACACTTCGTGCTGGACGAGCTCACCCATACTCTCGACGTGGAGGGCGATTCTCAGAACGGTGGAGGTAGTTTCGATCAACGTGCCGAACATGGCAGGATACTCGTTTACTACGCTCCGGACGAGTATGCTGATCCCAACCACCACCACGGTCCTATCCGTGCGGGAGAGATTGGCAGTCCGAGTACGGCGGGAGCCGTGCCTTTCAAGACTCCGTTAGGAGGACCACCCGGGATGACTTCAAGTCCTGCTGGGTTTTAATGCGGTGTTAAGGGTGGTGTCTTTTTAGTAATTCTACTGCTCTGCTTCCACACAAGTATCTTTTTTTTTTCTTTCGGGGAGCTGTGGAGAGGAATCTGGGTGGTTTGTAGGGTGGGGTCTGGTTTTTTTTTTCTTTTCTTCTCGTATGATTGTCGACTGGGCATTGGGTCTTTGTTACTGTGTGCATTTACATAGCTTCGAAAACCATTTGTACTTTTGCTTGGCTCGTCAGATGGATCGTTCACACCATAGTTAGGTGGTGAGGGAGATGGATTGATGGGTGGCCGCGAGACGAGCGAACTGGATGTGGAAATGGAATTCCATACTATTTTTTTCTTTTCTTCTCCTTCGAGTTGGTACAAGTAGAACGTGATCTCGACGACCCAATCCCTGTCTTGGCTCGCAGCCTGCGGCTCGAAATTTCCTTTCGGCAAGCTCCACTGAACTTATACTCGCAGCTAACTACACCCCACCTCGACACGACCGCCAAACCACCACCACCACCGCCGGCGTCCTTCACCACTCCAACAACAACACCAACAACAACACCAACAACAACAATGAACCGTCTCGGCCTGCGCACAGCCTTCACCTTTGGGCGTCCACCCGTCCCCACCGGCGGCGCCGCAATCCCGGGCATGCACATGCAGGCCCGCATGGCGTCGGGCGGCGGTCCCCCCTCGCGCAGGAAGAAGGGCGGTCCAGTCGGGGACGTACGAGTCCGCATGTCTCCCCCCTCCCCCTCCCCTTCCCCCCGCCCTCTCCTGCCTCGAGCCGAATGCTAACGCACCACCCACGCACCAGGCATGATCCGCTACTTCCTCTTCCATCCCGCGGAGCACACGCCGCGGCCACTGAAGTTCGGCACGATGCGCTCGCTGCGGCACTGGACGGTGCACCGGGCGTGGCAGCTATTCTGTGCGCAGCAGCGCGTGGCGCGCGAGCGCGAGCTGGAGCGCCAGTACAACTCTATCCGCGAGGCGTGCGAGGCTTTGAAGCTGGTGACTGAGGGCGGCGAGGCGGCGGGTAATGCGGAGGGCGGCAGACTGTATAGAGTCGCTCTCGGAAAGAAGGAGGTTGGATCGTTTCCGATTGAGCTAAGGATCCCCACTGATACTCCGCCCAAGAATGGTTGGAATCATGGGTGGAAGAGGGCGTAAAGCGTGGCGGGATGGTGTCTTTGTATATTACTACTATTACATGAGGATGGGCGGGCTATCTACGTGCTTGGCTGCTGCCGCCGCTCTATCTCTACTGTACTCCCGAACCCCTCCTCGCCCGGCCGCCGCAGGATAAACCGCTCGTCCAGCCAGTCTATGAACTCGACAATGGTGGTGGTGGTCTCGCACATGATGTTGCGCTCCTTCTTTGGTACCTGCCCATCCAGCATCTCCGAGACGTGGTGCTGCGTCAAACGGAACGGAATCGGGTGCGACATCGAGTAGTCCAGAAACCGCTCCACCGCGCCCCACGGGGTCTTGTCGAATCCCGCGAATAGGGCGGGATTGGTAAGGAGGCCTCGCGCAGCCATTACGCCTGTGTGTCCCATTCGCATCAGCCACCCCTTTCACCCATCACCCATCCCTCTCCCTCCCAGAAGAAGAAGATAAACTCACCATCGCACCCCGTAACGCTCGCAATCCGTTCCGCATCCCCCCTCGTAAACACATCACCATTCGCAAACACGGGGACCTGCGCCACCTGCACGACGGCCCTAATCGCCTCTAGATCCACCGGCACAGAGCTGCGCGTACTCCTGCGGCGTCCATGCACCGTGATGTAGTCCACGCCACTCCCCTCCTGCACAATCCTGACCCATCGCCTCGTAACCTCCAAATCCCCATGAACCCTAATCTTAACACTGACCACAAACCGCGCTCCACAGCGCTTCTTCGCCTCCCGCACCATATCCCTGACCCGCTCCGGGGCGCCCATAAGCGCGCACCCGACCCCGCACCCTACGGCCCAGCTCTGCGGACACCCACAGTTGAGATCCACCCCATCAGCATACGGCTGCACCATTTCCGCGGCGCGCCCAAAATCCTCGACAGTGGATGCGCCGAACTGGACGATCAGTGGCGCGTCGCAAAAGGATGAGGTGAAGTCCGCTTGTCGTGCTAACTCGGAACGGACGAATTCCTTGGCCAGGATCATGGGTGTGTAGCATATGTCGGTGCTGTAGTGCTGGGCTAAGAGGCGGAAGGGGAGCTTGCTGTATCGCACCATCGGCGCGGATATGAACACGGGCCGATGCTGGGTGCGGGTGCGGGTGAGGACCGCGAGAGGGCTGTGGGGTAGAAAGATTGGTGAGTGGTGGCAGCGCGGGGTGGGAGTGGGGAGGGGGCGGGGGATGTACTGGTTGTTTGGATCCCGTGGTGGCGGGGGCGGGATGGCCGCTGCTGGTGTGGCGGCGGCTGCCATTGGCGGTTGTGGTTGTGCGGGCACTGTCATTGCTGTTATAGTAGCTGGTGGTTATCTGTCGCGACTCGCGGGTGGAGGTTGTCGTGCTGCTGGCCGTGATACTGTAACTAGCACGTTACTTGAAAGTTGAAGATTTGAGCGCGCAGCAACAAAAATAGATGGATGGTGGGGCAATGATGGCGCATCATACATACCGGTAGTGGGGGCGCCAGTGACCAATGGCCAGTGACCACACCACAGAGTGCGCATACTCATACTTTATTCCACGCTGCTCACTGCACGTGTCATGCACGATGAACCCGAGCTCTGACATTGGACATGGACACCTTTTTCCAATCATGGCCTCTCTTCATCGTCCCATCAAGAATCAAGATACAAAAAAGATCAATACAAAAGATTGCTTTTATTAAACCCCCCTCCCCCCCCCCCCCAAAAAAAAAAAAAAAGAACACCACACAAATGCAGTTTCTGGCTCATGTATCCCGTCGGTATTTTAAAACAATCAAAATATGTAGATGCCATGCAGATGCCATGCAGATTTATGTATCTTCTCAAACACGAATAAACTTTCCTTCTATCGCAAAGGTATATATATCAAGTAACGACTCCGTTTTCATACTTTGAACCGGACCAGAAGAAAAAAAGGGGGAAGAATGTGGGAAATAAAGAGACAGAGATCAAAAAAAGACGCAACAGCCACCTCCGTCCAAAGTGCTTTCCGTGTGCAGAATGACTTTTTTCGCGAACCGACGGAAAAAAAACCGAATGACGATGACCCGACCCAATGAGTAATTACAAAAAGGAAAGAGAAAGAAAAAAAAAGATGCGATCCCGAGAATGCAAAAATGACCCACAAAAACACCAGAGAGAAAGTAAAGAGGAAATAAAAGGAAAGTATGTAAATACGCTTCATGTGCCCCCGGAAATACCGCCACACATGGAAATACAAGCACAAAGTGCAAGCAGAGTGGTCAGGCCCTGTCGTAATAATCAAACCCAAAGCACCTTACTTTCACATTGCGCGGTTTACTAGAACCGTCGCATGTTGTCCACGAAGAGGGCAGGAGTCTCGACGTCTTTGTCCGTCTCCCGTCCCTCTGCCTTTCTGCGATCGAAGAAGCTCTCATGCTCCACGATCACCTGAATCCACTCGGCCAAAGCCCTTCCGATGTATGTGGCAGCCGTAGCCCCGGTGGGAGGATCCTCCACGACCGGGAAGCCGTGCTGCAGCGAATCGAGGTATCGCTGAGCAGGCGCTGGTAGCCGAGAAAGCCCCAATACCCGCTCCCGACTGGGCTGCGGTCGGTCGACCCACTCCAGGGAGAATTTGAAGTGGGCCTGCAATTTCGGCTTTTCTACCGGTGCTGGTGCAACGGGTGCTGGTGGCGTCTCCTTCTTCTCGACCGGCTTGAATCCAAAGACGCTGCGAATGCTCCACCTGCGGGGGACAGGGGTGACGGCTTCATCGGAACGAACGGAGGCGGCAGAAGATTCCGATGGAGCCTCGCTCTCGGTCAACGACGTAACTGAGGCTGTGGCGGCCACCTGCTGCAATAGCGACCCCGGGGTGGCAACAAAGGGGGCGAATGTAGGGACCATTCCGTCCAGGAGGGTTCCCGGGGGTCCGGTGGCAATGTCATTTCTCAAAATGACAATCCGCCGGCCAGGCGCAGGGAGACAAGATGCAGTCGAAGACGGCTTTCCACCACCACCATCCTCGTAGGCCTTTTTCAGTTGCAGGTGTTGGGCATAGCCAGTCCTCAGGCGGAGGAGCATAGTCTTGAGTACCTCACTACTCCACACATTAGTATCGGACGGGACCGAGCGATCGGACTATCCCGGGTAAAACTTACATGTCAACTTCGCTGGCATCGCCATCGTACCTCCCCAGCCTCCAGCACATCAATCTCATGTAGTATGCCCTTACTATAGGGCACCAATGACAAAAGAGCCTATCCCACATTGGTTCAGACAAAAGCCAATCAATGCACACAATTCTTTTTCGATCATCATCCGCAACCAACATGGGCCATATCGTATAGACGAAAGTGAGTACTCTCAGCTCCGTCATGTTGTTTACACTCCCAAGCATCGTCTGGGTGACTCCGAGCCAAAAGTTCCAATCGATGTAATTCCCGAGGCCCTGCAACTCGGCCTGTGAGAGGATAGGCATCACCTCTTCCATGAGCTCGCAGAGTTGAAAGCAACCGTCTCCATCGAACATACTAATCTTCTGCACCGCGGCCTTGAGCATCGCGGAAAAGGCGGTTCCGACGCATTCCCGGATGTTTCGCGGGAGAGTGCTATCGAACAATACCTCCCGGAGCAACACAATCAACTTGTTTTCGGCCATGGTGCGCGCCGCCGCCGTGTTCCGCGCTGCAAGGGGAAGTGTTGCTGTGGCATTCATAATGTCTTCGAAGGTTGTTGATGACGTTGCCGTCTCGGGATTTGCGGATCGATGGATGGTGTTATCAATCATTGAAAGCATCTGCGCGAGAACGTGGATATAGCCAGGCGCACACAGCTGAGCGGTACGGGTTGCGTCGGGCGACATATACTCAAACATGAGGACGTGGTATTCTCTGATAAAGACGTGTAGCAGGCCTCCGTCGCGACCACACCAACGATTCAGCCACGGCCCAAACCACTCCACTGGGTTGCCGATTGGTACTTTCACCGGCTGCCTCAATTTTCGCATCAGCAATGCCATGCTCGTGAATCCGAGAGGCTGCAGGGTCTCGGGAAACTCGGACACGACGTCCTCCGCAACATGCCGCAAATCCGTACATCTTCCAATTCCGAACCCCAATGGCACTCTTCTCACTAGATCTGGCTTCAGCCCCCAGAGGCTGATCAACATCTCAGCGACGCCGGCGCAATAAAAGAAAGCATAAGCAAGCACTTTCCCGCCAAACGTAACTAGGCCTAGCGGTGCCGAGCGAACACCCATCCTCTCGACGACATATGCCAAAGTATCAAAAAGCGTTCTGGTGAACAACACCTTTATGTTGTGTTGAACAGATTTCTGCACGGAAAAATCTGAAGTTGCGGAACACAAGGACGCCGATGACTCCGATTTTGCCGACAGAGGCTGCCGTTGCGCGAGAGGCGCAAACGTAGATGGGGGAGACCGCCATTCCGGTCGCGACATGATATACGAAATTGCACCCAGATATACTGGTCTGTCACCACCGGGCATCATCTGGGGACTTCGATTGCGAAGCTGCGCTATCAACCCTGTCCACCAGCGGTGAAGCGTTCGAACCCTCCTCTCGAGTATTTCCGGAGATATATTGCTCGAAGTCTGGTTGTAGTGTTTCTGGAGGAACGGCAGGAGGTTCTGTCGGACAATGGTTGTCTTCTGAGGGGCAGATTTGTTCGAAAATCTGCATCCGCTTTTAGCCATCATCGGGTGGTGGTGGTGAAGGGGGGAGGGGCCCGGGGGGAGGCTACTCCGGATACCACAGGAGCCCTTACTTCTGATAATCCGCATCGAGCGCCTTGAATGCCTCCCACATCTCGTCTTTGACCACCTTCTTGAAACTCGAACTTCCAGAGCTGGCGGTCGTTAGGGGTCGGTCCACAGAGATCGTTTTGGGGATTGGCGGTGGAGGTGCTGGAGGTTGTTCGACGGGGGACACATTTTTCCCAAACAAACTGAGTCGGCGAGCTCGTTTTCCAAGAGTGTTGGACCGTGAAAGTTTCGGGGTCGGCGGCGGCGCGGACTCCGGTGTTTCGGTTGTTGGTGTTGTAGCTTTCGCCTGGCCCGGCGTCTCGTTGCCGTTCGTAGGACTGATCGATGAGACTGAGCTTGCTTTCGTGGACCGGCCCTCGTCGTCTCGACTGCTCGTATCGTCTCGGCTGCTCGGCGAAGGTGACCGTGACAGGCGAGAAGTGCTGTTCCATGGATGCGAAACCGCGTCTGACTTGGCGTCCACGGATGGCTTGCTCCCGCCGTCAGAGTCGGTTCCCCCCAACCTACCTCGTTCGTACGAGGTACTGCTACCACTTTCCGAGGTGAATTCCGACTTGACCGCGAAAGTCGACACCGTGATCTTGGGTGTGCTTGGAGTCGAGCAGTCTTTTTCCATCATCGCCGCCGAGCAAGCATCCCCCGGAAGGGTGGTCGAGCTTCCAGGGATTTCGGCGGGGATTGGCGAGACGGATATTGTAGTGGTCGTAATGCTGGACTTGGACGGGGAGATTGGAAAAGAGGTGCTCAGAGGAGGAAGCCTATGGGTGTCTAGTTTTGGGGGCATGGTCGTAGGAGAAGTGGTAAGGTCGAGGGAGGCAGGAACCTTCGAGGTCGAGTTATTGCGTCGGCGCATCGACAATGCCGGCGTGAGCGAGTGTCGCAGGGAAAAGGCGGCTGCAGGTCGGGCTTTCTCCTGTGGGCTGACAGCCATTGTGCGCGTAACGAAGACTGGGGGGAGGTTGCGTATATATCCAGGTATGTGGAGCCGTGCTGGGCACGAACTGGACGTGTAAGGAATTACAGAGTTTTTTGCGACTACAAGCGCAGGATACGCAGGAAGACCATACGAGAGAGAAAACAGGAAGTGCAAGAAACGAGAGGAGGAGGAGGTAAGGTAAGACAGGGAGGGGGGGAAACGAATGACAGAGACCGAATCAAAGCAGACAAGAACAAAGCCGCCCTTTTTTTTCTTCTCCCACTGAGGGGGCTTTGACAGGCCGTGACCGAAGGCGAGGGGGGATTCGAAGGGGGGTCTGGAGCCAAAGAACGAATGGCAGGCGGAGTGTGCAGAGTAGCAGGTAGAAGTCTGATAGGTGAGTTATCCACGATCAGACAACAACGCACAGGTCAGCCCGGTGGTGTTGGCGGCAGGATGCGGAATGGCGGGCTGGCAAGGAGACGCTTCTCGACAGACTTTTCGAGCGGAACGGGCGAGGGGGGGATATGGGGGAAGGGAAACAGAAACGGAAGAAAGCAGAACAACGCGAGAAAACAGAAGAATAGAGGGAGAGAAAGAGAGGGGGACGAGGAGTGAGCGGCGACTACATACTAGTAGAGTCGAGTTGAATGGTAGCTTGGTATTGCATGATCGAGACGAGCACTCTACTAGTATTTGGTAGAGCGATGGGTTATTTGACACTTGCTGAGCTCCCACCTACATATGAGTTACCCCAGCACATAACCAATTAACTAGGTATCTAGATAGATTCTTACCTACGTCCTTACTCTACAGACCATCAAAGGTCTTCCGACTTCATTCGGGGACTGCATGTATGTAGGGAGTCCATGCGTGTGCTCGTACTAACCAACCAACTGTTGCCTACTTTAACCATCGCGAGAGTGTACAGTGGAATCGGCCCGCCGACGCCACCAGCGGTTCGAGTCTAGTGCGAGACCAAGTGCGGGCGTCCGTGTGTCTCTCGGTGCGTGTGGGAGATGCTGTGATCCGTGCCGTACGCAGGGTGATTAGGTACCGGGTACTGGGTAGAGTAGGTATAAGAAAAGAGGAAGAAGAAGAAGAAGAAAGTCGAAATCCTCGTCCACGAAGGATGAAAGAAAACGTTGTGGGAGATGTCTGGATGGGATGGATGGAATGCAAACTCAAGTTTGTATGTAGCGGACGTCCTTTTTCCAGTCTACAATCATACTACCACGTGAAAGGCATAATTATACATGCCGTATCTACATACCTACTCCAGATGACAACACATATTTACATATGTAGAGGTAGTATACCTAGTACTAGGTAGTACACGGATGGTCTCCGTGGTTCCTTCTTCCCACGAAGGAGCTCGGGGACGAACGTGCGGAGAGCACAGTGGAGGGAGGACCGTCCGAATGCCGTGTAGGTAAATACTTGAGTATATGTGCTACATACGGCATGTAGAACCCAAGTCTTGCCCCTAAACACTGGGCAGTTTCGATGCACTTTGTGCTGGCGGACAGGCGGCGGCGGCGGTGAGGCGGCGAGGCGAGGCGGCGAGGCGGCGAGGCACCGTTGCCCAACTGCGCATGCATTGCAGCCCGAAGATTCGTGCGGTGGGATGACGGACATTCAATACGATGTAGTACCGTATACTACCTGGATATAACTACTATAAATTCTAGGTAGTAACTAAAGCCGGGCTGAAGGGCTGAAGGAAGATGGTGGATCCACTCATCGAGTTCTATGGGTGAATAGCCTAGGTAGGTAGGTAGATAGAGGGCGTACTATACGTACGTGCCTGGCAAGGCATCACGATAATCCTTAGGCTATGAGTGCTGATAAACAAAAGAACATCTGGTTACCGGGCAGCGAACAGCGAGACAACATTCCTTTGATGCTGACGAGTACATTATGTAGGTAAATATTTACTTGGGTACATGAATCCCTGGTTCGGTATAGTACTCTGTTGACTGCCTTGTGTGTAACTAAGAGCAAGTAGGTACTCTGGACACATCATAGTCGTCAGCTTCCGTTCGAACCGATCACAAACAGACGACTCAACAGCCGAGAAACCCCCCAGCCGCTCCGCTGTCCGCTATTTACTTGCGTCTTGGGAACCGGATATACTTACTTTGGTACCAGTAATTTCGAGGCGACCTTGGCGCCATGCCCCAAGTCGGGTCCGCCTTTTTTTTGTGGATATTCAGGAGAAGCTGTGACGCTGCTGTTCGCCGAGGACAGACGCCACTGCACTGGCTTTCACCGGCACAGTACATACAAAGTACTTGCACCGTGGGCCTGGCGCAAAAAGAGAAGAAAAAAGAGAAGAAAAAAAAGGCATCCCTAACTCCTCTATATTGGCCACAAGGAAATGGACGCCTACTAATATGTACTCTGTGCTATATGCAGTACCTACCGCCGGTCCGCCGTAGCTGACCCCACTATTTTTACTCTCCTCTCTGGGGCCTCTTAGCCGCCCGAAAGGCTTGATGGCGCTATGCAACTGTACTGTACTCCGCTACCATTACAGTGCATCACAGGAATCAACTTTATTCACATGACTGGAGTAGAGGCACCACTTCCAGCTCGTTTGTTTGGTGAATTGCTATAGGTAATTACATGCATAATAGCTCTTCGGAAATTCACCACGGGACTTTGACAGCATTTCAGGTTGGCCGGCGGAGAGTTTTGTGAGCCATTGCAATTGCCAGAAATCTTATCGGCCGTATTATTGTATGGCAGCCCCTTTGCACTGCAGTACATCCCTCCTACAAAATGTCTCTCCTTCAGCTTACAACCGGTCTCGGTGAATTGCGCAGGTACATTCTCCCTCCGATTCTGTGTTCCTCGAGCTCCCCTGCGGCGATCAAGCTTTTTTAAGCCTCACTCGCTTATCTTGTTGAATCCCCAAATTGTTCCCGCAGCGCTTACCAGAGCCGAGGACTCGATGCAAACACGTAGATGCTTCTGGACGACTACTAGGTAAGTGCCCATCCTCTCCGGGCGCCGAAAGCCGATTGGATTCGACGGCGAGGCCCTTAATCTCCTCATCGAGGCTATTATGCTATTATCGTGGCACAGAGTGCTGTAACTAACCTTCTCCCCCCCCTCTCCCCCCCCCTCTCTCCCTCTCTCTCTCTCTCTCTCTCTCTCTCTCTCTCTCTCTCTCTCTCCCTCTCCCTCTCCCTTTCGATAGCCAGCTTATGCTACATACTTCTATGAGTTACCGGTTAGTAACATCCGTCCGGCGTCCGGTGCATACTATATGTACTTACTCGAGCTCCCAGGTCCTACATGTGAGCATGTACGTAGTACTCCGTCACATCCCAACCCGACCACAGCAAGCACGCAATAAAGCGGTGATATACCTTTACTATTGCTTGCCTGCCGAGGTGTAACGGACGAAACTACCGCTCTATGTGTGCAAGACTCTCTCTCGCCCACCTACCGTACCGTATGAATCCACCCCACCGCGTGCGCACGGGTACCGGTATGGACCTTTGATCAACCAACAAAAAACAAAAACAACACACTCCCGAGCAGGCCGACTGGATGGGAGAAAAACACGGCTCCTCTACCTACTGTCCCACCCCTCAGCTCGGTGGTTGAGTCAGCGGAGTTGTGCCGTGAGTCTGTCTTGCGGGGGGAACGGAAAGTGGATACTTGCTTAGACGATCCCACCCTTATTACGGTGGGGGTGGCGGCATCCTTCGCCTTCCGGAGCGGCCCCGAAAGACTTGCGTGCAGTTCCCTGGTTCAGCGCAGATCACAGGTAAGTACTTGTTAGCGGCCCTTCCCCCGCGCCTGGCCCGTGGACGATGATACCGGTATGTATGTAGTGATGGTGGGGTGGCGGCCTAGACTAAACACCCCGATGTATCCAACACGAGTGAGATACGCGATCTGAATGGAACTATTGGCTACGGCGGGTCGCTATAGGTTGGTCTCTCTCCGTATGTGTGTGTGTGTTGGATTTAATGACCTCGACAGGAGGATGAGATGAATCGAATTGGGTGGGATATTTCGTGAGTCCGAGTGATTTTTGATGTCTAACTAACAACCGCTAGGATGTAGATTGAAGCATGGAGCACTGCGACAATATGCTTGCACTTTGACGATCACGGACCGACCAATTCCATGCTTGCACACTGACGATCACGGACCGAAGGATTTCATGCTCGGTAGGCTGGTTTTCCCCCTCTAATTCTTACGTGATCGATCCGAACTCACAATGATCCTGAAGGTCCCTGTTCTTCTGCAACCCGATCCGCCGCAAACCCAGGGATTGACTGACAGTATGACGTTGGTCATGGAGTCCATCACTGAGCGTTTCACAGCGTTACATACACGACTACATACATACAAGCCCCCTCAGAAAACGGAGTTGAGCTCCCGCGTAATGGTACGCTCATCGCCTGGCAACATGGATTTTCTAACCAATTTTGATCGGCCGAAACAACAAACCAACACAAACGCCACCCACCCGCCCCCCTATGTACTATCTAGGGTCTTGATCAACTTTCAAGAGCTCAGCTTCGTTTAGCATGCCCAAAGGGCCAAGGCTACACCACGCACCTCGCCGTGTGCGTGCTGATCTTGCCTAACCAGCCGCAGTGCGGGAATACACTGCATACATTCCTACATCCGCTCCGTCATCTGCGTAATGAACCGTCATTGCCGTGTGCTGCCCAAGTATAGTACATATTTATGTACGTGCAGCTGTCGCCAAGCTGTTGGTTGAGCGGAACGAGGGCTTCCCGGCGTCGCGGTTAAGTAACAGCTCACCCTGCCTTTGTGCATAGAGCTAATAGTTACTTCGAGTACCTGGGTAAATACCTACCAGGAGTACCTTCAATATCAAGTGACATCGGTAACCCACATGAACTCTTCTGTACTGTACTAGGTATGCATTCCTACCTTCTATGCATCAAACCGTAGCTTACTCTACATCTCAACCCAGGCGGCGAGGCCACAAGCTTCAAGCTCGCGTCCAGTTTCCCATCATATCGACGGAGATGCATTATCCTATCGTGCACCTGATCAAACGATATCTAGGAGAATTGATATCGCGCATCAAAGCGCGTTACTAGTACTCGTACCCGTACTCGTAGTACACACGCTCGAGCACGAACACGAACGGAAACGGATATATGGAGGACAATCTTGGGTGGCTCAGTCACTGGGCCACTACGCTGCTGCTGCTTGAGAGCCATGATCTTCTCGCATGGATACATAGGATCTCCGGCCGTCCGATTACCTAGTTATGCATACTGGATTTCCATGCACAGAATTCCAACAACTGGAACTGCGCCCTCCTCCTCCTCTCTGTCCCCTCGCGTACATCTACAGGCGTGAAACGTCTCAAGTGCGATCACAGCCTGTCACTCGCCACACAAATACAAGCGCCAGGGCATAGGGAGTCAGGGAGTCAGGGGAATTTTCCCCAGGTTATGTACGATAACCAGGACCCTGGGTTTCACAACCATACAATTCCTCCCGGATCTTGCGGACACGGGAGTCGATTGAAACTGCTTGACGGCACCCCTCGATACCGGTTTCAACTCTCAACCGCTGTCTTCTTGCATACGGTAACAGTATCGTGATGCTGCTGCGACACGGTACGGCACAACCCCCGCGTCATATGGAGGACTTATCTGACATCTCAAGACGATCTCATGACGATTTCAAGATGTTGAACCCCTCTGCCCCCCCACTCTCTAAAGTCCGTCCTGCCTCTCCCGTTTCCTCTTCCCTCCATATTCTTTTCATTACATCATTTTCCATAGCACAGGTTGCTGGATATTTTTTTTCAACGAGTTTCCTTTTTGTTTCTTGAACTTTTCCACTTGCTTCTACACACTCTAATCACACGAACGGCCGGACCCGACGAATATACGACCAAACCATTCGATAATATCTCCGTGAAGGCAAATCTTGAGATAGGACCTCTATTGTATTGTATAATTTTCCTCGCCGGAAGAGACGAACCAAACGAATTAGCACCATGACATCCACCAACAGCTCAGACCCGTCCAGCGTCATAGCCAACGGCACCGCCCAGCTCGTCCCAAACGTATTCTCGCAGCTGCGGCTCGGCCGAACGTCGGCTATCTCGAATGCAGCGCAGTTCCTCCTCGTGGCGGCGATGGTGTCGTCGATACTCCGGGTGCTATCGCGGCGGAGGGCAAAAGCTCAGTTCAAGCTGGACGATGTGTGTGCTGTTGTCGCGGCCGTGCTCCTGCTCGCGAACACCGTCATCTGTGTCGAGTTCCACTATCTGGGCATGGCCAGCTTCTCGTTCAATGGGGCGTCCACGCCAGAGAGAGAGGCAGAGAGGCAGACGAAGGTCGTCGAGGCGTTCAAGTTGAGCTTTGCGTTTGAAGTGTTGTATCTTCTCAGGTATGTACATGCGCCATACCGTGATAGTAGCGTGCGCATTGCTGATGACCGCGCAGCATATTCCTGGTGAAATTCAGCATGCTCTTCCTCTACTCGCGCTTCGCACACCAAACGAAAGGCATCCTCCTGTACCTGCGGATCACGCAGGGGATCTGTGCGGCTACGTTTATCGTCTGCATCCTCTCGCTCTTCCTCAGCTGCAACCCGATAAGCAACTACTGGAGCGTCACGCCGTCCTCGTACCACTGCATGCACCGCACACTCCTCACCTACGCCTCAGGGATCAGCAATATCGTAACCAACACGCTCGTACTCCTCGTGCCTATCCCGCTACTACTACGGATCACACTCACGCGCTCCCAGAAGATCGGACTATCGATCCTATACTTCTTCGGCGCGTCGGTGATCCTCACCTCGGCGCTGCGGTTCGTCACGCAGCTGCTAAACGTGAGCAATCAGCAGGCGATGGGATGGTCGCAGATGGAGGTTTCTCTGGCACTGCTGCTGGCTAGCGCGCCGATGGCTATCAAGTTGCTTTTCCTCCCGTTGCTTGACGTCGACACAGAACGTGAGGAGATACTGAACGCTAGGAGGGGCGCGCCCTCCGCTGATCTGGATACGCCCACGTTCATGAAGAAGCTGATGGGGGAGCGCGACGCGTTGGAGGGCGGGAGGAGTCCGTGGCTGGTATGTTTTTTTGCCCTTCTCTCTCTTGTAACACGCTAACAGCTGCAAAAGGTCAGGCCTATGTCCCCCGCAATACTGGTCTAAAGGGAGAGGAAAAGCTTATGATTGATATGTCATGATGGAGGTGTGGTAATTCGGGGAGGGACACAAGCAGATACCACCCAGGGAATCCCCTGACCCAGCAAGGTCCGGGTAGATGATCTAGGTAGTAGAAGTAGTTTGCATGTATGAGCGCAAATAGAAGTTCGTGTGCCGATAGGCCCGATACATATAATGGCTGGCAGCTACGTTTAGTAGATATTCGCTCCGGGACGCTTTCCGAGTGAGAGTTCCGTAGAATCTCAGCCCCGTGGACGGGGGTCCTTGAAATATTTGGATACTGGTTCGTAACGCTCTATCTCAAAACCACCGGTGGCTACAGGTGTCATTGCTATTTCCAGCTAGAGCAATTTAGGTCGTGGATTCGTGGACCGAGTGAGCACGCATGATCGTTCCAAGTGCAATGATTCCTTCCAAGCTCTATTAATCCAAGCAGGTTTCTGTTGAGCGGGCACACTCATTCATCTGGAAGCGATAGTTCATGCCACAAAATCAGATTGGTATATATCCGCTATATAAAGTAGATGTCCGCTACATAAGACTCATCGGCCCTCCACTCCAAAACCCCCCTTAAATCCCCGCCCCACCCGTAACCTCCAAACAATGCCCACTGACATAAGCACTTAGCGGACTAGCGAGCATAAGAATACTCATTGCGGCCTCGTTGGCGGTGCCGGCCCTCCGCAGCGGCACCATAGCGAACCCCTCCGCGCCGCGCTGCTGCGCCTTCGGTATGCCGAGCGCGATCTTTTCGCCGCCCACTTCGGCGAAGGCGCCGGATTCCTTCTCTGCTGTGAGGCGGGTGGTCTGGGTGTGTTAGCTGGTGGCTGCTGGTCTGGGGGAAAGGGGTGGGGAGGGGGGGGACGTACTACGCTCCCGAACGCTACGGCATTGCATCGCACCCCGAACGAGGGACCCCACTCCTTCGCGATCGTTTTGGTCAGTCCGAGGATGCCCATTTTCGCGGTGGCGTAGTTCGCCTGGCCGCTGTATTCGCTCGTCAGTCTCCGCTCCTAGCACCTTCGGGCGGCAGAAAGAAACGTACGCATTCCCGTGAATCCCACTGGTAGATGAGACGTTAGTGATACTCCGTGGCTCGCCGTCCTTGACACGGAAATACGGCGCCGCCGCGCGCACAAGCCGGAACGGTGCCTTCGTGTGCAGGTCCATGATCATGTCCCACTGCTTATCGGTCGTTTTGTGGATTACGCCGTCCCATGTGAAGCCGGCCTATGCTCCCCCTCCATCAGCCCCCTTCCCCCTCCCCCCTCCTCCCATCAGAACCCAGAAAAACTCACATTATTAACAATATGATGTATCTTTCCCTCGCCTAACTGCACCGCCGCATTAACCACGGCGTCAATCGTCGCCTGCAACATGATATCGCCGGCCACAGCGACGGCCTTCCCGCCGGCAGCGGTGATCGCTGCCGCGACCTCGCGCGCCTTCGTCTCGTCCAGGTCTGCGACTACCACCCGTGCACCCTCCTTTGCGAACAGCAGTGCCGTCGCTGCCCCGATTCCCTGGCCCGCGCCGGTAATGATTGCGGTTTGGTCGGCCAGAAGGCCAGCAGGGAAGGTTGAGGTAAGGTGCCCCGTCACGAGAGAGAGGCGGTCGGCTGCCATTGTGGGTTTTTTCGTGGTGGAGGTGGGTAGGTATAGGTGGTATATGGGGCGAGCAAGGGGACTGGGAGTGCGAGAGGACGTTTATATATATATACGGGGAGGGGAGGGACACTTTCGCATCCACGGCCAAGACTCAAGGCTATCTACGGCTCCAGAATCTGGGGATGCAGGCTCTCGCGTCTACCGAGCCGAGGCTTAACAACCGTCTCGGTAAATGCTGGTGGTGGTACCGTAGTGGTGCTGCGATCCTTGCTTTCATCAACTCCAGGCTTCGCGGGTCGTCAACTGCTCCTACATATCGCTGCCTACAGAAACTCATGGCCATAATAAGTCCAGTACATCTTGGTTGGCAACAACATACAAACCCCCCTCCCCCCACCAAATCCCTCCCTCCCCAAATCCACCACCTCCACCACCTCCATCCCCACCATCCCGCAACCCCATAAAAAGTAGCCATCATGAAGACATCATCATATCATCGTCGCCCGTTCTCATTCCCATTCCCATCCAGCCCATCCAGCCCATCCAGCCCATCCAGCCCATCCAGCCCGCCTCGCCCACCCCCAAACCTAGGATACAAAGAACCCAAACACCCCAAGAACACTGACCCACGAAAGGAGAGAAGAGAAGAGAAGAGAAGCGATTACACACACGACACATTTCCCACATCGCATTGATTCTCGTCATGAGTTAGGTAGGTTCCCCGTCCGTGTAAAGCAGCCCATAGAAAGTAGAAAGTAAGAAAGCAAGAAAAACAAAAAACACCCCTTTTTTTGGCTTTTGAAAAAAACAAAAAGATATACACCCCGCCCCGCCATCCCGTTAGGAAATCCGAATAGATCCGAATAGAGAGAGAGAAAGAAGAAGAAAAAGATGGAATTCAGAAAACCTAGCACCGAAACCTGCCCTAATTTCAACCGTGAGAAGATGATGAGAACGCAGTAGAAAGGATGCGAATGAAAAAACAACCCACAACCCCACACTGGAACGAACAAAAAATCAACAGAAGACGGGAAGCAACTGGAACGCAAACCGTACAGAGTAAACCAGTAGTAGTAAAGGTGAACGGAACCCAAACCCTAGAACTTGACAACGAAACCCGAGAGAACAAAAGAAATGAAAGCCCCAGTAGCCAAACCGCAACGAGGAAGAAAGAGAAATGAAAAAAGAAACAGGAAAAAAACAAGACCCAAACCCTCACAGCCTCAACACCGCCGACCCTCAGCCCAGACCCATTTCATACGTACATGAGTAACAAAATGAGCATTTCAATGTGATCAAGAGAAAGAAAAAAGTCATCCTACTGGCAAAACTAGACATCCCGTCCATTTAGTGCCCAGAGCTGTACCATCCCGTACCGGAGTTGGCTCCCGCATGTCTAGCACTGCCCTGCGAGTACTGATTAGGGTGAGCTCCGGAGTACATGGAGTAATGGCTCGCGGACTGTCCCTGAGCGTAGCCACTCTGCTGTCCCTGATGCGCGCCGTAGAGTCCGGGGTTCAAGTGAGATCCGTACATGGCAGCCGGGTTCTGACCTCCCTGCTGCGCTCCGAGAGCAACGCCGCCGCTAGTCGCCGATCCGGGACGTCCAGGCTGACCCTGAAGTGAAGGAGTAGACGAAGGGCCCGTAGGAGGCTTGTTTTCGCCAAACTTCATGTCATCGTTTTGCGGCTGGCCAACCTGCTGCTGCTGTCCGACGGACGAACCGCCGAGAGGCTGCTGCTCCTGTGGAAGGCCTCCCCGCGATCCAAGGAAGTTGGGGATACCATTGCCATAACCACCCGCGGTGGAATGTTGGGGCAGCGACTGCTGAGCTGCACTCGTGTTCATCCGGCTATAGTCGGCAATACCGGCCATCGAGTCACGTCCTTGGGTAGGTGACGCGAATCCACCGAGTCCGGCAGGAGACGATGAGTGATCCGGGTACTGCTGGGAAGGCATGAATTGCGGGTAGCCATACATGTTCTTGGCGAAGGAATTGGGCTGCGTGTAGAAATTCTCCACTCATCTTAGCAAAAGATCATAAACGTGAACGGATAAGGCTTACCTGGTGCATGAACTGGTGGTAGTAGGGATGGAATGGCTGCTGCATAGGATATTGTCCCATGCCCTGCTGATGCTGCGAAGTCTGGACAGGGGCAGGACTGGGGGTGGCGTGGCCGCTGCCCTGATCACCCGTTGGAGCTCCGTACCGCGAATTCGGCTGCTGAACCTGGCCGGCGGCAGAGGTTGGCGCCTGAGCCGACGATTCTACAGCTCCACCCAAGCCACTGGACGCCCGTTGCTGCGAGGCACCAGCTTCCTGCTGTGCGTGGGCTTGAGCCTGCATGTAGCTGGAGTTACCGTAGATCCCAAATCCGGGAGGTTGCGACCGATCCGTGTAGTAGTTGTGGTACTGCTGCTCTTGCGCCGATGTGGCCCCAATGCCTAGGTGCGATGGCTGCTGCTGAGGCTGCATGTACTGGGCGTAGTTCTGCTGCTGGGTTTGCGAGTGCTGCGCCTGAGGCTGTGTAGGAGGCTGCTGCTGCTGAGCAGATTGCTGCTGCATGTGTTGAAACGAATCGAAGGACTTAGCCTGGGGCTGCTGCTGCTGTTGCTGCTGCTGCTGTAGCAGCTGCTGTTGCTGTTGCTGTTCGGTATAGCGGTTGTACTGAGCGGCCAGTTGAGGGTGGATCTGAGGTTGAGTCATGCTCTGAGGACCCAGAGGAGGTTGAGGGCTACCCTGAGGGGCAACCTGGGGTTGGCTAGGAAGGCCTGGTGCTTGTCTCGGAGTGGTGATGGCCTCGGCAGCAGGAGCGGAGGGTTGAGGAGCATGTAATTGGGCCGGAGCAGTAGGCAAGGCGGAGGCGACCGGCTGTGCGATCGGGGAAGGCTGCTGCGGAGGCTGCGCGACGGGTTCGAGTGTCTCGACCTCATCTTCATCGTCAAGGTCGCCGTTGAGACCCATGCTGCCGAACTGAAGAGCCGTGCGAGCTACTTCTGCATGGTTTCCGGGCATCACCACACCCTCCTGCTGATCGAGGACACGGCGGAAGGCATGCCTGGGCGTACCCTTGGAAACGGGGTATTTGTTGGAGAGGACGGGAGTGGCAGCCTGCACTTTAGGAGTGGTGATGGTAGGGGTGCTATCGGGTGCAATGGAAGTTGCGACAGTGCTGGCCTGGGTCTCGGTAGGAGGGGGTGGGGCGGTATTTTCAAGCTTCTCGACATTGTCCTCCGTGAGCTCCTGAGGAGGCTCGTGTGACTCTACGGGCAGGGTCTCGGGGACCTCGGGCTCTAGCTCGGCCTTGGGTTCTTCAACGGCAGCTGGTTCTTCGTCGACGGGCGTCTCTGGGACGAGGACTTCGGGTTCTTCAACAGGTTCTTCGATGGGCTCTGTGATGAGCTCTGCGACGGGCTCGGGTTCCTTAGGAGGAGTAGGTGCCTTCTCGGGAGCTGGCTGAGGAGGGGGAGGAGGAGGAGCTGCCTTTTGGAGAGCTGGTTTGGGTGCAGGAGGGGGGACTGCCGGCTTGAGCAGACTGGTCCACAGCTTGACCGCAGGCTTCGGGGCGGCAGCTGGAACCTCGGCGGGAGCTCTCCGTGCATCTTCCTTCTTGTCGTTGCTCGCATCGGTCTGCGTCTGCCAAGCATCGCCGCCCTCGGGGGCAGAGGCAGTAGAATCGCCCCAAACGTTAGGAGCATCCGAGGAGCCCGGAGCCTTGAACTGCTGGCGGGGGGCACCGTTGCTGGGAGGTCCGCCACGTCCACGTCCACGTCCGCCACGGGGTTCGCTTCCGCCACGACCGCGGCCTGGGCGGGAGCCATCATACGAGGCCCTTCCACCACGACCAGGTCGCGAGGAGGGAAACGAGTCGTGCTGGGGCGAGGTAGCTGCTGGCTGTTCTTGGGCCTTGGACCGGGAGCGACCTTGGCCCTTCTTCTTGACTTCACCCCATTGGGCGGTAGAACCTATCGCAGAACAACATGACGATGTTAGATAGATGGTCCATGACGAGTTTGAGATGTAGGAAAGTGTGGGGGAAGCAAGGCTTTGATGGAAGCAAATGGGGATTGAGTCCGTGCAGCTGGGCGTGCAAGCGGGAAACGAAACGCAACGCACTTGGTAGGGTGGTTACCCCGGGGGGAGGGGGGTTAAACGAGACAAAGAGCTTAGAAGGGGACCGTACCCTCGGTGAGCTTATCAGCAGTAATCTGTAGGTCTCCGTTGTTTTCCTGCAATTCCCACAGGATATCGTCCGAGGCGAGGTTCGGGAACAACTCCTTCAGGTGCGCAAACTGATCGGGATATTTCCTCTTGAGCGCACCGAATTCGCCTTGATCTTCAATTGACTCGCTGTTGTCGAACGAGTTTCCGTTGAAGGTGTTGGTGTTGCGGGCAGCTCCGCGGAAGGCTCCTCGGGATGTGAATGAGCTTCCGCCGCGGCCTCGAGCCGAACCCCGTCCCCGAGTTGGAGCCGGCGAGGGGCTTGGACGTTGTTGTACTTCGGACATGTGTATCGGGATTATGGTGTATGGGTGTTGCAGTGGGTGGGGAGGGGTGGGTGTGAGTGATGGTGGGGTGGCGGGTTGGTTTAGATGATGGAACGGGGGAAGGAAAAGAAAGAGAAGAAAGAAGACTGGGAGACGGGATGGAGGCGACGACGGATGGCGTAGCGGTAGTAGCGTCGAGATGGGGGGGTGGTGTTGGTGGTGGGAGAGAGAGTTAAGGTTGTGGGTTGCTGTTTAGAAGTGTTGGTTAGGGGTGGGGCGGTATGGAAAAAGCGAGGGTGGGATCTGGGGGGGGCCAAGAACGGAGGAAGGAGAGAGTGAGCAAAGCAAGCACACGAAGACGGAGCGGCGACACGAGAAGAACAACGGCAACAGCGAATGGACAACACAACGCAACGCAACACAGCACAGGACAGGACAACACGTACGAGATGGGGATATCGCGAAGAGAAGCAAAGAAAGGAAGAAAGCCGGGTAGCTGATGTCGACTTGTCTGGTTGGATTGAGGCCAGATCAAAGGATCACGAGAATGAGGACGATCACCGAATAGCACTACGTACCGGTATTTGCCCAGGCATGTACACAACCACCATAGTTATTTACTTACGTGCGCCACTCCAGTGCCCAGAGGTCTAAGCAGCGTTGCCTATGGGCTGCTGGATGCTCACTTGACAAGCGACGAAACCTCAAACATCCGTTTACGTGCAGAGGAGGCCGTGATCTCCCTGGCGATGCATGAACTCGGCCAATATATGCCCCTGTGCAAGCTGCCTGGACTACATGACCTGAGGTGGTACTCGATACCCACAGCAGCAGCAAGCACTTTATCTCCCGGCAAGAGCAAAGCACGGTAGGCTCTCCGCATGCCAGTTGGAGCAATGTATGGAGTGTACATGCCCACTCTAATAAAGCCAATCGAAACAGGCGTGAATCCCATGGCCATAGAGTGCCGTAGTTACTTGATTACTGGGTAGATGCTCTATAGACCCGCACACTCACGGAGATTCGCCTCCCCCACAGTTCCCAAGACCAAGAGTCTACTTCTACTATATACTTCGGTATGTATCATTGTATCCACCACTGCCCGCCCCATGCCCGCCACCTCGGGTAACGTAACACTCTCAGATCAACAAGGAAGAAAAAAAACAACAGTGGTCAGTCAGTCAGTCAGTCCGGGTCGGTGGATGGGGGATGTGTTGTTCGTCTGGCCTGCTGCATGATATAGCCACCGCGCTCCCAGCGCCAGTGCCAGCAAAAGAACAGCTGTCATGACTGTCCAGTGAGAAAAGAGGCCCAGCTACGTTGTGACTGTGGGCACGGCCAACGAGAGCAAGGGAAACATATCATGATCATCTGCACGCCCGTCACGAGATCTGGTCTGATCGGCTTACGCGCCCAGCCATTCACTGGCATGTACCTACTCATCACATGATTGTCGGATAACGCCTCTCCAAAGCGGCGAGAAGCTACTAGCACTCACATACCTAGCGGACAAAGAAACATCGCCATGTCGTGAACATCGTCGGTAGCACAGAAGAGATGTTGGGTTATCCGCACTCCGGAGACAGAAAGGAAATGCACAAGTACATGGAGGGCCCAAGTAGGCGGGTTAAGTAAGTGAGAAGTACTCGAGTAGACACAGAATCGATACATAGCAGAAGGAAACGCCACGAACGCCACGAAAAGAAGAACCCCAGAACAAAAGTGAAAAGCCCAATTCCGACAGCCTTACGGGCTACACCAGTCCATCCGCCGCCACTTGTTCCTCTCGTTGGATGGCTTCCTTAAACATCTCGCGGAAGACATCGAGATGTTCGGCAACCTCTCCTCTCGGCAGTAGACCATCAACATCCTCAGTCTGCTGATGATGCTGTTGCGACTGCACACCCAGCTGCTCGCGAAACCTCTTCGAAACCATCTTGGCAACCGCCTGGGCATCCTTCAGATTCTCCTGAGCGAGACACTTCTGCGCTAGCTCGATGCCCATCTGCGCATACCTCTGCTGGCGCCTCTCGGGGAGCTCGTTCCACCACAGCGCGGGCTTGTAGTCGATCGTAGCAAAGAACCGGAGGCCGGGTTTGACATCGTCGCCGAAGCGCAGGAGTATCATGGCGTGCTCGGCTCTGTTCACCGCCCACTTCTCGGCGGTAGCCAGTAGCCGCTCCAGCAGCGGCTGCGGCAGCCGTCCGGTCTTGCGCGCGTCTCTACACAGCTCCCGCCCGATCGTCCCCAGCTGCTGCGGCATCGTATCCGCCATCGTGTCCACCATCCTATTGTAGAACTCGAAAAACACCTGTGTGGCCCTCTCCAAGCCCAGTTGCTTCTCCACCTGCCTCACCAACTGCCTCGCAATCCCGTCTTTCCCATCCCTCTCCAAAATCCACTTGACGAGCACACCGCCCTTCCCCTCCCTGACCAACGCCATCACGAGCGGATGGCTAAGTGGCACCTCATCGAGGAACTCCCTCGGACTCCTGATGGCGCCCGCCTCCACCAGCCCCCTCAGCACCCTACTCCCACCATCGCCGACCCGGCCCTCGCCCAGATCATTATACCTGGCCAGACAACTCCTAGCCAGCTCCACACTCGCCGTTCCGAGTGCAACATGCTCTTCAAACACCGCGATCGGGTCGACAAGGTACTTCTTAATCCTCTGCTCACGCATCCTCCTTGCAGCATCAGCCGTCGGCGCGAACGGCTGCATCTTTAGCAGGCTGCCCAGGTGCGCGCTCGCGCTCGTGTCCGCGGAAGACGCTGACGTCAGAGACTGCCGGAAGGAGTCTTGGACTGCACGGAGAAGCGTGTGCGACTCCCGTGGCGTCAAGGGCAGGGGCGGGTGCAGCACTGAGGAGATCTTCCGGAGGACGAGGGCGGACGCTGAGATGCGCGGCGCGGAAGTAGGGTTCATGGTGGGCTTGTGTGTGTGCGTATGTGGTTCTCTGGAGGGGTGGAGCGCGAGGGGGGTGTTCGGTGATAGTGATGGCGGGGTGAGGCTCGTAGAGTGGTGTGGTATGGTGTGGTGCTACTAGTAGGTATAGTGCTCTACTGATCATCAGATTGATGTGATAAATCATCACAATCAAGACATCTGGTTTGGGTGGATTCCCTCCTAACAATCAATTGAGTGCTTAGCCCGGATTACCTGGTCTCATCAATCCAGCGCGTCTCCGCAGGACGGCAGATTCTTTAGCGCGACTGACGCTGATGTGCACTCATAGAAACATCGTGTCGACTGAATCCACTTACAGACCTTTTGTCCTATCGTCGGGGTACTCCAACCGTCCAACGAGCGTAAAGAATGTTCGGGGGCTCCTATAAAATCGGGCTACATAAATCGGACAACAATGGCTAGGAGAGAAGGAGTGATTTAAATATCGCTAGCATAATCAGACAAACTCGAGTATAAGGCTTTTGAACAGACTGTCACTCGTATCTACGGCATAGGTCTCTCCAAGTGGAAGGTTGAGAATGAAATGGTGAATTCGGCTTCCGAGGACTTAAACATGAAAGTTAGTCTCTGATTCTCCGGAGCGAGTTTTATGGGTTTTCCCCAATCTACTGTACTCATAGGACTCGAAGTCGTGGGATAGGTGGCTAGGTACATAGCATTGTCAGACTTCGGAGAACTTGGTGGTTAGTCTGCCATGACCCAACTCTGAGCATCCGTTTAGTGAGAATACCACTGGGACTGCGAGCTACCTAGGATAGTATGTAAGATGGAGCGGCGGCCGGCAGTTGGTCCCTCTGGCCAGTCCCAGGGAGCGTATAAAGAGTGCCATCAATAGCATCCTTTGCACGGCTTACGTCAGCCTCCGCACCGTCAAGCCCCCCTCCTGGAGTTTGCCGCTCATCGCTCTGTTTCGCTCGTAGGTACCTAGCTCTGCCTCTGCCCTCGGTGGCATGTTCTTGATGGATTGTCTGCAGACACTCTTACTAGGTCCGTGAACGTGAGCGTGAATGGGACGTTGCGGAACTTTGGTGAGTGAATGTGAGAGTGAATGGGGCGTTGAACGCTTCATATTTCCATACGATGCGCTCGTGGGCTAGGATCTCCACTAGGAATGGGTCCTCGACGGTGATATCGGAGTCGACGCTAATACTGAGGGTTAAATCGAAGGTTTGGTCTATATTTATGTCAGTGAGAGTTAATAGTAAGTTAGGCCACGAACGGTTTGCTTTCGGCGAATCGAAACCTCCGATAGGTATTTGGTCCGAGTGATCGTACATGGAGGGCTTGGAAGGTTTGAACCGTGAAAACAAATGTCAGACTTGTCAATTTCCGAGTGATACCAAACCCAGGAGCGAGGTTTACCGTTTGTCACATTATCGACTTGGAACTCGTCAATTGGCGGCATCGCACAGGAAACCGCGTGGAGGTTTCCCTCGCAGCTAATTGGAGCCCCTGGGCCTCGAGAGTTGACCCTAGGTTGAAACGGGGCATATTGAGTATATGACGTCACAGCTACGACGTACATACTGCCGGTGGAAACTTTGGCATCAACACTGGGCCATGGGGACTCGGATGCAACAATAGGAAGATCCATTGACTTGTAATACCGGTACCAGCATTGGCAATCCAGCCTCCCCATCCCCAGCATTTCCCATTGCCTGCACCACCGTCCAACCGTGTCTGGCCTCCCAGCTCCACCCACACACACAACTGCCAACTTTCCTGTCCTGTCCTCCCTGAGAACGTCCCCCCGTCCCCCCGTCCCCCCAGGAAGCCGCCCAACCACCTCCAACTAACCAGTCCGGGAAGAATACAGATCTCCAGTTTGGATCCCCCATCCCCATCCCCCGTCCCCATCCCCAGACGGTCCCCCGGTGTTGCACGACAGATGCTGCTGCCCAGATGCTGCTGCACAAAGTCTGTTCGTAGTAGTAGTGTGAAGTGGATAAAAGCAGCGTTGGCTGCTCCACTTTCGTGCCATATACTTTCACCTTCCCATACTCCCGCTTGGCAGACGTACCACCACCACCAACACCAACACCAACAACAACAACAACACCACTACTACCACCGTCACACCCAATCACACCGCCCAACAACGAACATATCAACGAACATATCCACAAAAACGAAAACGAAACCAGACACAATGGCCGATAAACAAATCCAAGAAGGTGACACCGGTACTTACCATCCCTCCCCCCTCCTCTCCTCCCCCCTCCCCCCCATCTCCCCCCCCCCTCCGCGCCAATCCACACCCCCTTCTAACCCACAATCCGTCCGTAAATAGTCTCATGGAAATGGGGCGCCGGAAATCCCAGCGGCGTGGTGGCGGAAGTCAAGACATCAGGCCAGCTCGAGATCGAAACTGCGGGCAAGAAGGTGCACAAAAACGCTGACGGGGATAATCCCGCCGTGCATGTGGCCCGCGACGGGAATGATGTCGTTAAGAGGGCAAGTGAGCTTACGAAGGTGAAGGAGAAGGAGAGTGATGGGGATGGGGAGGATGTGGAGATGATGGATGGGGAGAAGGAGGTGGAGGAGAAGGAGGCGGAGGATGGGGGGAAGGAGGTGGGTTGTGAGAAGGAGGTGAGTGGTGAGAAGGAGGTGAGCGGCAAGTCGGCAGGCGAGAAACGAGATCGTGACGATGTCGTGGAGGATGCTGAGGAGGCAGCGGCGGACGGGGAGGAGAAGTCCGTTGCGGCCGAGGAACAGGAGGATGCCGAGAAGGAGACTGGGAAGGAGGTCAAAAAACTGAAGCTTGACTCTGACGAGGAGGAGAAATCGAGTGAGGAGAAAGAGAAGAAAGAAGAGGCTGCTCCGCCGAAAAAGAAGGCTGGAAAGGCGGCCCCAAAGACGAAGAAGTCGGAAGACTCCAAGCCGGCTGTATTCCATGACACCCCCGCGGCGAGGACGAGGTCGAAGGCTACGGCGTAAGGTACGGGTAAGCACTTTGATATTCTATAAATCTCGATGGTTCAAGTGGTTGACACAGACAGGAACATCAGTGAATAGGATGGGATAGCTTTTTGAGATTTTGTTTCTGCAATGCTGCCAACGATCTTTACCGTCTTACCCTGGGGGTAAATGAGTCTATCGGAGCGATGAGAATGAATGTTCGATTCCAGAATGTATTTGTACAGCAAACAGACTGTGGCACCACTCATCTATGTGAATAAACAACCGCCAAGTGCCCATCCAAAATAACAGATCCGTAGAAGAGACGTATACACATAACATGCATCAATCACCACGTCGACTCACTCCGCTCCCTCTGATAAAAGAGCAAGTACACTTCCCTTTGCATTCCCAGGACATCACTCGTCCTCGCCTCCTTAATCTTATCATCGCTGATACGCCACCACCTATCATTCGCCCGTTTCCGCTTCAGCTTCTTCACCGCCGCCTTCGTCCGCCTTTCCGTTTCCGAAGGCGTAGGTGTAACGGATCTCGACAGCTCCGCGCCCAGACCCCCGGTTTGGTAGATCGATGTCGGCGGCGTGGGCTTGCTCCCTGCGTCGAAAGCTAACGACGATCTCGCGGTGCTGTTTGGCGACAGCAGCGTATCGCGGGACATGGGCCGTGATGGTCCGGGACTATCAAGGTGTACAGACGATGTGTTTAATGGAGTGGAAACCAGTGGAGTAGGCGGAAGTGAGGACCCGGGAGTCGGGACCGAGAACGGCGGCCGAGCAACGATCTGCCGTCGGAAGCACTCGTAGTGGCCGCTGTCGTGTCCGCCCTTGTGAGTTACCATGCACAGGAGACGGTAGTTTCTTCGGTCTGTGATGCCGCCCATCTGTAGTGTTTCTTCGAAGGATACTTTTGCGCCGTTTTTACGCGATGCGTAAGTATCATAAATCGAGCGGGAAAGGTGCAGCGCAATGATTTCCGGGTAGTCCTGGATCCGTGTTCGTCTGGCGATGCGGGATTTTGGAGCGTCGGGAAGAACAATGTCTTCCGGAACCGACTCTGGATCGGACTCCAGTGCGTGTTCCAGTCTTGATATCGTAGTCTCGATATCGGCTCTGTTCGGAGATGTCTCTAGCTTCCGAGTCAGTATGGCAATGGCATGCCGAACTTTACACCCCGCGCAGGCGAAGTCGTCGATGTATTCGACCGAGAGAGTGCCCTCAATGCACTCGGTGAGGGAAGCAGAGTTCTGCACAGCGGCCCATCGTTATTATTTCCAGCTCGATTCGATGCATGAGATATGTGACACACCTTCTGAGGGACAGGAAGAGTCAGAACCACAAACGAGGAGACTGTCGGCTTGGGCTTGAAGCCGCATTTCTGACATTCAATCTCGGACACCATTCTCCCCTCAAGCGGCATACCCACAAAATCTGCCTCCTCATTCTTCTGCTCTTCCTCATTCTCCGGCTCCGGGCCATTGATGATCACCATCTCTTCGCCCAACTCCGTAACATCTTCGAGTGAGTACCTGCCCACCACCGCCCTAACCTTCCCCTGGCGCTCAAGCTTCTTCAGCCGATGGTGTTCCTCCGCCAGTGTCTCCGCAACCACCTGCAAAAACTCATGGGCATCCTGCTGCGCCCTGGAGATGCGTCTCATAAACACCTTTTCCAGCGTATTGAGGAACGGGCGATTCGAGATAGTCTTCTTCCTGTATATCGGTCTCTCGTTCAAGCCTGTGAGCCTATTGTCAGCCAGACGCCACTTCCACCAAATGGACATGTGCCTACTATCAAGGATCTCCTTCAACGCCGCCGTCAAAAACGGCTTCCGGTCGATCAACAATTCGTTCTCACAGTTCTCGCCGCGCTGCTGCTTCGCCGCCGTGGTGCGCTGGCTCAGGTACGTCCGTAAATCCTCCAATCCGGCGAGGGCCTGTAGTATCGAGTTTATCTGCCAAACAAACCCCACACTTAGCTCACGAACTTCTCACTCCAGTATTCAACTCCCCACCACAGTTTTCAAGAGACATACAAAACAGTCATTAGCCGGATTCTCGAGCCCGACTACGCCTTTCCGCCGGTTCTTGGAGGACCCCTCCGCCGTCGTGTCGATGAACCATGTGGGGCCGAAAACATAGACGAGCGTGACGGCAGCGAGAGAGGCAGTGGCGGCGTAGGCGAGGGTTGCGTGGTTGCCAGGAGGCGGCGGCATTATGGTGATGTGGGGGTGGGTGGACGGAGGTGCAACTGCCGGCGGTAAGTCCCACTAGCAGCTATTTCTTGCGCCTGGGCTGTGGATGGGAAACTGGAGAGTTGTGATGGAGGGAGTTCAGACACACAGAGCGGGCGGTATAAAAGAGCGGGCGGGCCCCGAGACGATGTAGTTATCTATGGGGAAGCCGGATAGTTCCAGCTCCAGAAGGCTGTTCAGGGTCCTTTCCTTTCTTTCTGTCTGGGGTGATGCTACATCTACGCGTCGAGTGGGGCGTGGAGGGGAAGGAGGGAAGGGGAAGGAGGGACGTACGTAGCCGGGCTGGCGGGAAGAGTTGTTGCGACGTGCATGACATGACATCTAGGGTTTAAAGAAAATCTTCTGGTATGTATGGCCGCGCATCACATCGTCGCGTCCATGGCTGAAGATGTCCATAGAGAGGCAGACAAAGAGGCATACACATACATGCGGCCATATTCATAACAAGAAACCCGATGTTGAAGATTCCGCGAGCTCTCTTCACGCTTGCATTATTAGGTTCTTTTGGCTGATGAATGACCACGCCAAGACCAGTCTATTGAACCTCACCACCATAGATTCCGGCATACTCTTCTCACCACCGCCGAGCAACCTCTCCCGCCGCCGCAGCAGCAATGATGTCCTTCCTCCGAGTCCCGACCTGCAGGACCTGCCTGCAACGTCTCAGCGGCGTCAGCAGCCAGCAAATCCGTACGAAGACCAAAGCCGCCAAGAAAGGAATCACCGTCCGGCTGCTGGAGGACCTCCCCAAAGTCGGGCGGAAAGGTACCACTTTTCCCGCCTTCCCCATCTCCCCAGTCCAGTCCGCTCAAACAGGCGTCGCACGCATACACAGGCTCGATCGTCACCGTCGCCCCCGGAAGGATGAGGAACAACCTCTACCAGCGCGGGTTCGCCGAGTACATGACTGCGGCCGCGCTCAAGAACGTTCCCGAGTCGGAACTGACGCAGCAGCCGGATACGACGTTTATTCCTGTTGCCGAGCCGGAGGTTTTGTCCAAGGTCGAATTGAACCGGCTTAAGGTACTCTCCACTCCGCTCGGTACATGGGAGGAGGACCGAGCATTGACGTGGTGACAGCCGGCCCACACCATCTCTCTGATCGAAACTTTCCTTCCCACAACGCTCCAGTTCTCGCGGCCAACGGTGTCGCCAAACGACACGACCATCCACGGCTCCATCTCAACTGCGGATATCTGTTCCGCAGTGCGTGCGATTGCGGCGGCAAGCGGCGATGAGGCATCGAGAGTCGCCATCACCCCCGATATGATCACGTTCATGGACGAGGAGGAGGGTGTGGATAAGGTCAAGACGCTGGGAGAGCACAAGTTCCAGATTAAGCTCAAGGGCGCGGTGCACCCGGTTGTCAGGGCTGTTGCTATCACCCAGCAGGTCTCACTGGAGTAGGTGTAGATAGAGTGTACATTAGACTGGCTGGTTTGTCCGGATGTCTGATACCTGATGGTAGTTAACGGACTAGAGGAGGAGCACATCTAAAAATTACACACGACATCCACCACCATTGCTAGCCAGCATTGCACAGAAGTGTTGACCAGCAGTACGGATGGATGATTCACTCCTCTTTCCCCTCTCCCGACAAGCCCTTCAGAAACGATTGCACCCTCTCCACAAACCCCTCCATAACCTCCTTCGGCACACCTGCCAGATTGTGTGTAGCACCCTCTACAATGCCACCCTCCAACTTCCCACCGGCTGCCTCCTTGACTGCCCTCCACCGCCCCACAAGCGCCTCCTTATCCACAAACTCGGGGATGTACTGGTCCTTCCCGCCGTACAACACCATGAGCGGCGTGTCGGTCGGTAGCTTCCCGAACGTCTCCTTCAGCGTGGCGTCGTTCAGGTCGGACGAGAAGAAGTCTTCGGCGCCCTGTGGGTTGCCTTCGTCGTCTAGTGGGGCTGCGAGGGAGTACCTTTGTCATCACAGGATCAGCACAGGCTCGTAAAGGTAAGTAAGTGGGCAAGTGGTGTATAGTACCATCGCTCAGCACACACAGGCGTGCCTTCAAATCCTGGCCGCATCTCGGCAGGGATGATCTCCTTCCCGCGCCCATCCTTGATCCACGATTCACTGAAGTTTATCGACGTCAAGTATTCCGTCTTGCTGGCGCCCATGACTATCGCCTCGCGGTCGCTCACTGCATTCGGTCAGTCAGTCCATTGGCACTGGATTGACAACACGAGGAGGGTGGAGGAACCAGATGACTGTAGTATTGCCCCGTCAAGACGTGGTGCCGAGCCGGTGGAGGCGTTGAGGAGGTACTGGAATGTATCCTGCGAGCCTATCACGTAGGTACTCATCCCATCCATCAGCCAATTGCTCTTCCACTGCTCTGGATGGAAACGGGCGGACCAGTAGAGTGCCCCATAAGAACAAGCTTCGACTCGGGATGCGATCCCCTAAAATACTCGACCGCTTTCGCTATCTCCGTCGCATCTCTATATCACAGCCTATCAGTCCTGTTCCATCATATATAGCTGGTATCGGATATAGTATACCTTTTGACACTCCCGGTTCCCCATCCCGTGAATGACGACGAAGTGAGGACTTCGATCACGCCCCATCCGTCGAGAGTTCGGAGGTGCTCGATAAACGGCACGGTGAAGAGGCCGTCGCCCAAGCCGCCGACGAAGAGGAGCTTGTGGCAGGACTTCTTGTCCTCGGATGGGAGGTGCTCGAAGGCCACCAATCCCGGAGCCTGTAGATTTATATCACCATCAGCACTCACGACTGCGATTGCGATTGCGGGGAGGGATTACGGACGTAGGTATGGAGAACTCCCGGAGAAGTCATTATGCTGGTATGTATTGTACTGCCTTGGTGATGTGGGAGAGGAGAGGAAGCGAAGGATGGATGTCGTGTCGGTCGTGCAGTGAGGGTGGGCGATGTGCGTAATGTAGGTACCTACTGTAAGACCGATACCTAGAATCGATTCAACGCCGCCGCCGCGGATGAGCTGATTTTGCTGCCATGCAAAGCCCCCCGCCTTCAAGGATCGACCGAGAGCAAGGCTTAGCGAAATCATAAACCTCCAACTTCTTTCGTTGGGTCTTCGGTAGCGATAGGCATAACTACGCGAGAAGGCCGTGGGTTTCGTTGTGACAATCTTGATGCAATAATCGAGATATAATCTACTCTTGGCTAGTCTACAGTACTATTCCCCTGGTTGAAATCTGTGAGACGGTAAATTGTCATATTATCTCACTCGCGTATTCGATTTCGACATAGCTAATGGTAGGCAGCCCTACACTACCTGGGGGTCGTGAGCCCGGACGGGCGTAATACGCTATGATTGTGTTTCCCGCGGGTGGATGGCCTCCGTGTTAGTTTCGGCAATTGTGTATCAATTATATTCATCACTCGTGGCTGGCGGCAGATCAAGCGATAAGTGGGGTAACTTTCGATTCTCAAGTGGCATGCTTCGACGCGATGGTTGATTGATTGAGGGTTACTACTATGTTCGGATGGTGAAGGGTTATCGTCGTGGCTTTTACGTCGATCATCCATCCCATCTACTGCGCTGCGGGTAGAAGCGAAAAACAGGCGACTCGGTGCGAGGACAACCTCGCTGGCGCGCAGCAAGTACACAAAACGTCGGCATCAAACCATGTCCGAGCAGGACGTTATCGTGCTGCAAACCGGAACTCCAATCCTTTAACTGTCCCAAAATCTCCAGAACGCCGTTTTAGCTTGCCCCGCCTCGTGCGCCTCTTGTTCCCCTCGCAGTCCCAGTCCCATAGGCTCCTCGTCCGATGCCACCCCTGGTCAACCGCGGAGTTGGGGCACCTCTCGTGGAAGAAGAGCTATTCGACGTGTATGAACCGGTACCCGTCCTCGAGCCCCCCGCAGCACCGCGTCCCGAACTTGTCCCTGTAGCACCCCTCCTCGTCCCGACCCTCCCCGTTGGCTTCTTCTCGGCAGCTAACCGTCTCGCCTCGGTAGCGGCAGCATCTCTCTCCCTGGCAGCAGCCCTCTCCCTCGCCTCCTCCGCGCGCCGCTGCACCTCCCGTTGCTTCGCCTGCGTCTCGGCCTGGATATTCTCCAGTTCCTTGCTCGCGCCTTCCCAATGCCTGGACTGCAGCAGCCGCTGGGTGTGGTCTGTTTGACTCAAGATCTTGATCCAGAGGTTCAAGAGATTGTTCGCATTCTCGACGGTGGAAGACACGGTCTGCGGAGCGCGTGTGGTCAGCCACGTGGGTCACCGGGGGGAGGCCAAAAAGACGAACCTCCATGTTATCTTTCGCCTTCCCCAGCGAAGACAACACTCCCTCGATCACACCGTTGACCTGCTGGACGCCGCGCAGCTCGGCACGTAAAGCGTCGTCTCGCGAGGAGTCGGCTTCGGCGGTCGGCGCGTCGAAGGCCCGTGATCGGTGTAGATGTTCATCCTGGTCTGCCATTGCTGTCGCGCGCGCGGGAGTGTCGATGTCGGTGGCGATGTATTCGGAGTGGTAGCCAAATAAGTAGAGTGCTCTACTTATCGTTATCCGAATGTGGGTTGCGTCTTGCTTGCTGGTGCTGCTGTCTGAAACGGGCTAACTAGAGGCTTGGCGGACGGGCACACATGAATTCGGTCTCCTGGCTTCGGCGCTCTCCACCGCTCTGCTGCCGAGCAGCTCAGACAGTGGTCCATGCGGGTATGCGGGGAGCGCAGCGTGAAGCGGGGGTGCGGAGGCTTGTTGCCTCTCGGGGATTTGCCCTTGTCTCTCCTCATGTAAACCGGCATGCGTTTTGGAAGAGCGCTCTACCGTACTCTATTCGACTCCATGTAACTATCCCCCGTGTTGTTGTTACGATGTCTCCTCATCTTTCTCCTCCCCTTCTGTTCCCGTCTCCTTCCCCGAGCTGCCATGGAACGAAGCAACAAAGCCAAGGCTCGCATAGGGGGTCTGAGCACATGGGGACGGCGTGGAATTCGACCTAAAGCACCCGTAGATTCTCTATGTTTCCGCAGTAGCAAGGGTTCTTGTGATTTCCTTCCGAATTGAGCGAGAAAAGAAAACACAGTGACCGGGGTGTAAATAAGCCGTTGCACAGGGCAACCAGCTCCTCTGTGTGTGTTGCTCACCGTTGCCGTTGCTCTGTCCCCTCCCCCCCAAAGCCCATCCCCCCAACCCAACCTCCTCACTTTCCTCCTCATCGCTCACTCAATCAATCTGACAACCATCAACCCACATACAACCATTGCCATACCATACCTCGACCCGTCACCGCCACCACCACCACTACCGCGATACATACTACTAAATTCCACACAACTACCACTATAATTTGCCGTCCAATAATCAACTGTCGCTCTCCAACCTTCTCGCGATTCACTTCCGAAGCACCAACTCTATCCGTCGCTTATTCCGTGATTTAAGAAGGTTTAGGGAAAGGATATCACTCGACCTCAACATTCATTAGTGACAAACATGAACACGCCTCCGCGACGGACACGGACTGCCCGCCCGGTTACGCCGACGGCGCCGCGGCTCGCTTCGACCTTCGAGGAATACTCGCCCCGCCGGTCGCTTCGTCTGAAGGATCTCAAGGCGTCGCCGACGGTGACTATTGGAACCCTTTCGCCGCCGCCGTCCTCGCCCCTCGCGGCATCGCCCTCGCCAAAGCAGACAAAGAGAAGGACGACGACAAAGAGGGCGACATTCGCGCTGGATGAGAAGCCTGGCGCGGCAAAGGGGAAGGGCAAGGGGAAGGCGGTGTTTGTTTTGAACGACGAGGAGGAAGGAAAGGAGGAGGAGAGCAAGGACCGGGCATACGCCAGACCGACACTGAGGAACGCTGGTGCTGCGGGTCTGCCGACTCCGAGGAAGACTCCATCGAGGAAGAGGAAGCTTGCGCCGGAACAGGTCGCCAGTTCGGCGCAGGCTTTATTCCCGCCCACAGAAGCGACTTCGTCCAAGAGTACGTCTGCATCGAAGGGAGGATTATTCGGTGTCCGGAGGTCTCGCGCTACTTCCACATCCATTGCGCCGACGAACACTCCTCGTCACAAGTCGGCTGCGGGCACAATCACGGTGGAAGAGGAGACGGAGACCAGCATTGAAATATTCACCGACTCCGTCGAGCGGAGACCGACGTTCGATGCCGACCCCGACAATCCTTTCATCAGTCGACCCGGAGATGAGACGAGATCGACAAAGAAGACCAGGCAGCAGAGAGCCGATAGGTCTAGGAATCGCTTGGGCAATGCGGGCGAAAGGAGCGATGGCATGGTCTATATATTGTGGGTCAAATCTGTCCCACACCTGTGAGATTAATCTAATCGTCCGATGACAGCCGTGGAAAGAGGGTTTTCAAGAGCTTCAGCAAACTTCCGGATACGGATGATCGTGCGGGCTCCGAAGATGTGGACGAAGAAGGCGAAGGATTGAACCCCACCGAGGTCAAGCCGAGGCTTCTCTTCCCGGGCGCTTCACCGGCCACATCTAAAGCAAAGAATGGACTCAAGGACAGCATCATCGCTGAGGAAGAGGAAGTCGACGAGGAGGCGGAAACCGACATCGACGACATGCCGCAATCGCAAACATCCAGCATCATCGTCAAGACCAGGAAAGCCGGTGGGCGTCTCTCAGTATCCCGCATGACTCCCGAAAGCGAGGACGAAATACCGAGCACCACCACCAAGGTCTCGAGTTTCAAGGCCAGACTCGCCGCTGCCGCCGTCGCCGCTTCCTCCTCATCTGCTTCTTCCTCCAAGAAGAGGCTATCCAGCAGCAAGGCGCTATTCGACGATGGTGAAGACGACGCTTGGCACCAGACTTCCGCATCGAAGGGTGGATTCGTAAGTGACGATGAAGTACCAGCTTCATCTTCCAAGACTCGGGGCGTCAAGAGGGGCATCGCTGAGACTGGCCTCACAACGCCAGCGAGCACTGTCCGGAAGCGAACCAGGCGCACCATCTATTAGGCTCCAAGTCCTAATATTTCATTCCTTGCTTTTTTGCGAACTGCTCTTTTACCCTTTTTTCTTTCATTGGCAAAATGCTACCCGACTTACTTTTCTGTAACCATTTTTTTTTCTTGTGTGATCGTAAGTTTTTGATGTTTTGGTTTTTGGTTATCACCCATCCACTCTACTTCTTCTACTTCTTCTACTCTACTTGTTACCTTTTTGTCTGTCTGTCTGTCGTCACTGGATGGGAGTGTGTCTGTGTGTTTTTTTGATTGGTGTAGCTTTTACTTATACCATTGGTCTTCGTTTCGTTCTCGTTCTCGTCTGGTCTGGTCTCTTCTCGTTTCGTTCTCGTCTCGTGTTGTGTTATGATATCTTGTCAGGATGGGTGGGTGGGTGGGTTTTTTATCTTGCTTCTAGCGATGCGATGGATTATGGATTGGATTGGATTGTTGGGCTTGTTTGGGTTATTCGTGGGTTCGTGGGTTCGTGTGGTGGGTTGGTGGGGAAGGGATCTTTCGTTGTGTTGTGTATGCTTGCAGCTTACTTTCTACTTGGATGGATGGTTGGGTGGATGGATGGATGGACTTTTAACTCTTTTGCTTTGCTTTTACTTTACCTTACCTACCCGGCTTTTTCTATCTTTCTATCTGTGTAAACGCTGTGGTGTGGCTTTGTTGTTTTTTGTAATTCGTTACTTTATGGTGGAAGGGGATTGCTATGATTTTTTGGACAGGAATGATGGATGAGGGGAAGGAAGGGGGGTTTAGATGTGGTGGATTGGATTGAGGACAGACAGCGAGTGCGCGATGGGAGAGCTGAGAGGAAGAACGGAGGTGGGTTCATGTGTGTACGTAACGATAAAAATATTATTATCCAACGGCTTTGGTTGCAAGTTGCAATTGCTGTTCAGTCACTTTAGTATTCAGTCACTAGTGTTCAGTTCACGATGATGGTATAAAAATCTATTCCGGTTCCGATTCCCTAGGATCCCTATCCCGATTCCCATCCCATCAATCGATAAAATGGTAGCCCAAGCCGAGCAATTGCCACATCACCACTCTTGCACATGCAAAATGCAAAAACACAACCCGAATCACAAGCCCACAAGCCAGAAAAGCAGAAAATAAAGCAGAATTAACGAAGCAGTTGTAAAAAGATGAAAAAGATAAATGGATAAAAAAAACAGATAGGAAAAAGTGGAAAAAAGAAATAGCACTTCCGCATGCCGAGAAGGGAAGTAGCCAAAACATATGCTCCGACGCCCCCCATCCCCCACCCCCCGCAAGCAAATGAACGAGAAGTACAAACTTTTTTTCGGCGTGAAGTGAATTATGTGTGATGTAGCTATGTGCTTTACCGGCCAAAGCGCATTTCGGTCCTAGCGAAACTGTGGAGGGCTCGGAGAAACACTTGGTAGCCGACGCCGTCGTTGTCGGTCACGTTGCTGAGAGGGAGTGTTAGTTATGTATACTGGCGGAAGGATGTGGGGGGGAGGGGTAGGTGGTATCATACTAGATCTCGGTCAGACGTAGCTGCCACGGTGGGTAGCCTTTCAGTGTGATATTTGACGAGAACAGGACGAGGAGGTCTGGCTCGCCCATGCAGTTTTCTATCCCGTGTTAACACCACCATTCAATCACTCGTGTATTCCTTGAGATCCGGTACCTTTAACCTCAGCATCGATCAACTCGACGCTCACATCCTCACTCGACAATTTCCCACGCTGCGCCATCTCACACAGGGTCTTGGTAAGGTCGACCATGCTCTCGCGGCCATCCTCCTCGGAAATAAACATGACCTCTAGCCCCGTCGGCTCGGAGCCCTCGTCGGTACTGGTATCGTCATTGACGAAAGTGCGAGAGTGCGGAGCGTGAACACGGAGCGTGGGCCTCTCGCGGCCGAAGTACGAGCGGAGCTGCTGGGAAACGGCGCGGTGCGAGGTTGAGATGTAGGATTTCAAGATACCTGCGGATGATGGATGGCGTTAGTCAAGCAAGCGCGCGGGTCGTGGCGCCCGTGAAAGCCCTCATACCTGTCCTTTCGTAGACGCTGAGCCGCGGGATTCCAGCGCTCGCGCACCAACACGCGATCTCGGAAACCTCATCGATGAGCTTGTCCAGGTCTTCTCGCTCGTACTCGAGCACGACGGATAGATGCTTCGGGAACTTGCCACGCTCGCGCAGCTCGGCGACGTCCTTGGCGATCAGCTGCGGCGTGCGGTGGTGGTAGTAGAGGATTGCGAAGACGTGCCCGACGACGAAGTTGTACACCCAGCGGAGCCGTAGGTATATGCTGAAGAGAGTGTAGATTACGAGAAGCACGAATTTGTAGACTTGCGTCCAGAGGAAGGTGCGGATGGGGCCTTGTGGTACAGAGGTGCGTGGGAGGTGAGGGAGCACTAGGCGCTCGCGTTCTAGTGCGTCGGCCGTCTTGGGTTTGCGGGAGCGGAGGGCCGCTTTGAAGGGTTCGGTGCTGAACTGGGAGGGCGCGGTGGAGACCGAGTGGTGGAGTGGGCCGGCGGAGGTGGAGGACATGGCGGGCGGGCGAAAAGGGGACGGGCGAAGGCGGCGACGATGGACGAAGAGCCGAGTGGGTTACGTATTTGAAGTCGGTAACAAGGCGACTTGGTGGAGAAGTGGTGGTCGTCGAGAAGGAACAGAAAATGAGAGACGGGGGGTTAGGACTTCGTGAAGGGAAGATGTATGTACTGTGTAGTACTATACTGGCAGGCGCTGGGCGTAGGATGATGCTGCAGAGGAGGCGGTGCCAGAATTGGCTGACGAGTTGTTGTGCAACGTCGTCGAAACACACGTCGCCAACTGCTATCTAACTAATTCCCGGGCACGCAACGTTAACGCACCTCACTCCACACCCGCCGCAGCAGGAAGCCGGTATGAGTGGTCATGCTAAGCATCAGCCGGAAATTCGGCGACGACATAATTGCACACGTGAAGAATCTACGAAAACGCGAACGAGCCGAACCGATGGCATCCGCTTGAGAGACTTGGCTCTTTTCGCTTCATTTCATTTTTTCATTTTTCATTCTTTTATTTCATTTTTTGTGGAGGCTCAACAGAGAGGGATCCGGATTACTCTACCGGCCTTCCGACTCATCCGTCCGCGTCAGGGATTGTGCGAAGCGTAGTGGGTGAACATTCAAGGACGGGCAGAGCATGCCCGCGAACCGTGAGGACAAAAGTAGAGTCCAGGCCGTATGTTGAGCGTCTGTGTGCCGGCCAGGTTTTGCGTTTGAACGAGTGAACGTTAAACGCAACGTTAAAGGTTACTCTATGTGCCAATACTATGCACGTACTTGGGAGTTGGTATCTGTCGCGAATGCATGAAGCTCACCTCGAAATGCACATCCAGCCCTACGCTTCTTATCGGACACAATTTCCCAAAGATTGAGATTATCAGGTGACTACCAGGCGAGATCGCCTTCGTGCGAACTGGCTGCCTTCCTGCCTTCTCCAGACTCCGGCAGCGCAGAGTCGGAATCCGGTGCGCCTGCATCTCGTTTTTCTCGATGATGTTTGAAGTTGCAAGACCTCGGGACCCTTGCATCCACTGGCGGCGGCGCCGTCAGGAACGGATACGAACGTGAGACATCATCGCCAAGGCCGGACATCGAACCTTTCCCGGACTCCGCAGAAACAAACCAACTTCGACGACAACGCCTTCCAAAGCTCGGCGTCGGGGCGGTGTCGATGGCGGGCCACGCGGCGCCCAGAGCGGACAGTCTGCGATTGAGGTCTTTGTACTGGTGTCGGAGTCCGTCTAGCGGGCTTTGGGCGATGGGTGCAATTTTAGAACTCGACAGGGAAATATGACAAGATACGGAAAATCGGCTAGAAACCAACGGGGCAAGTGATCTACATGCTCGTCCAGAGAGCTGCGTCTGGTGGCATGGAACATGTGAGTAGGGCAATTCTTGAACTGCTTCTCTCCATCATCATCCGTTCGTTCGCGCGCGCCCTTGCTGCAACCTCCCACAAACCTGTCTGGTGATCATCTACTCTGCAAATACGCTCCACTCGTTACTGTCGCTCGTTGATTACTTTCCGAACCCCCGCCCCGTCCACCACTGCTTCGAACTCCGTCCTGTCACCTCCGGAGAAGAAGAGACTCCGCCGCTTCCCATACCCACCGCCCGGACGAGAGCTCATCCATATAGTACTTTCAAGGAGTGGGTCTCCGTCTACGCCTTGAATGCCTTTGTACCGACCCCTGACCTGACTTTCGGGAACAACTTAGACTCCCACCTCCAGACGCCCAGAAAACCCTACTCGTCAAGTCAGCTACGAGCATATCGTTGCTGTGATACCGGCTTCCAAAACTACATTCCGGACTTTCGGTTCGGGTTTACGGCGGGCGCGATGGGTGCGATGGTAGAGGAGTCGTGTCAGATCACGACGGGATGGTCGTTAATACGACCTCGGGACGATGCGCTCGATAATTTTCTGAGCATGCTGCAATCGCCGTTCCAGCAACAATTCACGACTCATGCCTTCTTAGCATCGCTGGGATCGTCCCTTGGAATATCGATGCTGGTGCTAGCAGCCTTCTGTCTACTACGGCCTTACAACTCACTAGTGTACGCACCGAAACTACGATACGCAGATGAAAAGCGCGCTCCGCCGGTGATCGGCAAAGGATATTTCTCGTGGACGCAGCCGCTGATTAAATGTCACGAGGCGGATTTGGTGGATAAGATCGGCATGGATGCGACTATTTTCCTAAGGTTCGGTGGTTCTAAGGCAGGAAAATTAAACGGCAGGAGCGCTGACGGGGTGAAAAAGGTTTATGAGACTTTGCAGGACACTCTTTTTCTACCTGGGTGTATTGGGATGCGTTGTTATGATTCCGGTAAACGTTAGGTGAGTTGAACGCTCTTCGCGATCAAAACTTCCCTAAATTCTAACGGTTTTCATCAAGTTGTAACCTCAAGAGTGCACACTTCCAATCTATTGATTGGAACATGGAGCAGAGCTGGTATGTCCTCATGAGTCCCACATTCACGTGGGGAAGGTGTATGTGGGCGCATGTAGTCATCTCATACGTATTCACTCTGATCATTTGCTGGGTGCTGTGGCAAAATTACCGAGTGAGTGAACTGTGATGGTTTCCTCCGGGTGAGCGATACTAATCCGGTATCTAGGAAGTGGTCACCCTCAAGAGGACTTACTTCGAAAGCCAGGAGTATACGGAATCTCTGCATTCTAGAACGCTGATGGTGGGCCTGTTGTTTTCTAGAACACTTGAACTTCGCTGACAGCATAGATCTGGCATCTTCCGAGCTCCTACCGCTCTGATGCTGGTCTCAACAAACTCGTCACGAGCCTCCCTGTACCAACCGAGGGCACGGAGAAGTACTCAATTGGAAGGAATGTCAAAGAGCTGCCATCGTTGATGGAAGAGCATGAATATGCCGTCAGGAAACTGGAGAAAGTACTTTCCAAGTACCTGAAGAATCCCAACAGTCTTCCCCCAGTCAGACCAATGTGCAAGCCAGACAAGCACGACAAATCAATGGACAAAAACGCACAGGTGGATGCCATCGAATACTACAAGCACAGGATCGAAACGTTAGAAAGGCAGATTGCGATAGCACGAGGAGGTGTAGATAAGAGAGACGCCACATCGTACGGCTTTGTGAGCTATCCCTCGATTGCCCGCGCCCACATCACAGCCAAGGCCGTTAGAGGAAAGCATCCCAAAGGAACGTCAGTCCAGCTGGCAACGAAGCCGCAAGACATAATCTGGGACAACCTGACTAGATCGAAGGGAAAGCGAAGATGGAACGGATTTATCGGCAATGTCCTGTTTTTTCTCCTCTCGGTTCTCTTCGTAATCCCCAACGTACTCATTGCCGTATTTCTGTCCAATCTCAACAACATCGCCCGGGTCTGGCCGAGCTTCAGCTTCTACCTGATCCGAGATGCGGAGTTTTACGCAGTTGTTCAGGGCTTTCTCGCACCGACCGTCACATCGATCATCTATTTGCTGCTTCCGATAGCTATGAGAAGATTATGTGCGTGGCAAGGGTAAATATGATTCTAAGGATATCGGTTTCGCTTTATTAACGATCATAGGGACATCACGAAATCCTCGCGAGAGAAGCATGTTACACACAAGCTTTATGTTTTCTTCATCATCAACAACTTCATAATGTTCACGTTGTTTGGTGTAAGCATGATCCCCCTCAATTCCACGACCAGCATATTGAAAACCGTGTGCAGACATTGTGGTCCACCGTCAAGCAGTTCATCAATAACGCACAAACCAGCGGCGTTGACTGGGACTCCATCAAAGAGCTACATTTCGGAGATCGGACCGCCATTGCAATCTTTGACATCTCCGTCTTCTGGATCACCTATTTGTTGCAGAGGAACCTAGGAGCGTTGCTCGACCTGGCGCAATTATTCTCGCTGATCGGAAAGAGTTTTACCATACGTTTCTTGTCTCCCACGCCAAGGCAGAAGATCGAATGGTCGGCTCCTCCGTCGTTCGATTACGCCACCTTCTACAACTACGTGAGTTGGGGATGTCTGGTATTTTTCGGGTTGATGGTCACTGACGACTTGTAGTTCCTATTCTATGTCACAATTGCCCTTTGTTTCGCCACTATTCAGCCACTGGTGCTCCCGGTTGCATTCTTTTACTTCCTCGTCGACAGTTTCCTCAAGAAGTACTCCTTGATGTACATCTTTGTGACCAAGGTTGAGAGCGGCGGAACATTCTGGAGGTTCATTTTCAACCGGCTCCTGTTCGCGACTGCATTTTTCAACTGTACGGTTGCCCTTGTCGTCTGGTCGAGATACGACGGACAAACGGCTTCATCTGTTCTTCCGAACCTACTCATCCTGATCTTCTTCAAGCTATATTGCCACCGCACCTTCGATGCCGACACCCGGTTCTACACCCGGACTTCTGGGCGTGAGAGTATCCTCGCCTCCGGCATTGTCAACCGCAAGGACAGGCTTGATATGAGATACAGTCACCCCGCGATCCACAGGAAACTTATGCGGCCGATGGTCCATGGTAATGCGGAACCCTTGATGGCCCAGATCTTCGGACATCAAGCGCCCGAGCAAGGAGACAGCCGCGGAGGAATTGGATTGCAGCCGATGGAACACGGCGTTATCGGAAAGAAGGCTCCGACAGCGGGATTCGAGATTGTCCAAGAGGAGGATATGGATTTCGCTAATTTCAAGGATCGCGCAGAGTTCGGCGAAGAACACGGAGGCGGTGTGCTATATGGAAATGAGAACATGGCGGGAATGATGACGCCCCCGCCAGGCTTTGGCTCTCCGGCGTCGTCTCGTCCGGGTTCTCCGGTGCTGGGTGCTACCGGTCCCCTGGGATACAGAGGCGCCGAGTACTTCCCCGTGACGGGGCCGCCGCCAATGCGATCCCCGAGGCTGTCAGGAGGGTTTTACCCGGCAGGAAATTTCTCACAACAGAGTATTCACCGACCAGAGAGTCCGTATGACTGGTCGCACACCGATGGACGGAGCGAGGCTGGGAGCGTGACGCATCTCTTGCACCAGCAGGGACCGTATAGTCATCACCACCATCACCAGAATCTCACAGATCACCGCGAGGATCACGAGTACAGGGGGGTTCAGAGGTAGATATTATGCAGATATTGTAGGTAGCTTCAGATTTGGGTATTGATTGAACATCTTTGTCTTGTCTTGTCTTGTATGGCTTGAGGGGCACGCGGAGTTTGGGGTTTCTATTATTTTGTATTTTGTAGAACTACATTTTTTTCTTTCTTCCCCGGCTGAGATTTTGGGTCGGTTCTGTGTACAGAAAACTTGGGAATGGGGGCTTTCGGTTTGACTGTACGATACGAGTAAGATTTATACCTATGGTACTGGGTGATGCTTATGTGAACGCGAGATGATATGGATGAGAATCTTTATAAATTACTGTCGATGAAGTGTTCGAGAATCGAGATCAAGTGAGTATGATAAAAATAGTCACCGTCGATTTGAGTCAAGCTTCGGGATTTTCCAACTCTGGATGGACCAGAGTCATCAATTTCGCTTCAGAGTGATAGAGCACGCTACTAGCACCACAAAGAGCCCTTAGCCCTAAGCCCTAGGAGCGGCAAAAATTAAGCGGTTACCCTGCCCCAGACCAAGTATATAATGCCGCCTTCCCCCACACCCCTCTTCTCTCAGCATCTTAGTGCTCGGGCAGACGAGTCTCAGTGAGGATTTAATCCGAGAGCTTGTTATTGCTGGTTGAAAACTATAACCTTGACCGCTCCTTGCCTGCTTCGGCGGCGTGAGGGAATTTTTTGCCTTTTTGTTCTCTTTGAGGGATACATTTTTTCATCAGCCTCCAGGTCGCTGACGTGGGGTTGAAGAAAATATTTATTCTCAGAGTGGGTGATACTGATGTTGTACGTCGCGTGTGACGATGTTTGTTATCCTTGTGTATCATAAAAGAGGCGACTCGAAGCTCCATATCAGGGAAACATTTGCGCAATGGGTCGCGTCCTTGCTACAGTGTCGCGTGTCTATCGTGCGGTCGCATGTTGCTCTCCCTTCGAGATCACGACTCCTGAGGATACGTGCATCGCCACATCGAAACTCACACTTCGACCCGGCTCTCTGCCGTCTTCGAACCTTTCACTTGACGCGAAGTGAGATCCGATCACCTGCAGCATCGTCAATAGGTCGGAGTTCCTTAAACTTTCGCGATATTTCACCGCACAAGCCGTCCCTGTGCCCTCCGTTCGCCACTCGAAGTGCAGACTTCGTACAAACCTCTCCTTCGTATCTACCGCCCTTACACCACAGAGCCGCTGTGTTCACGTTTGTCCTCGATTTACGTTCTGACCTTTCCACCAGGACAGCTCCCGAGTCCCACCTGTATCTCTGCCCAGATGATGACACCGCGTGCGGGAGTGTTCAGGGGTGGGAATCTACAAATGATGCTGTAGGAACCCACGGGTACAAGCACGAATACGACCCGCGATCCTCACGCTTTCAGGTTTCGTCACTCCTCCTAAGCCAGTGGCCACGTATCCCCACGGTGACGCGAAACAGTACCTTTACATTCGACCGATGCCCTACGATCCGTACATAGTCCCCGCAGCCTCCCGTTCCCCAGGTGCTGAGCTGGCAGGCAGGCCGTTCGGTTTCCCGCAGAACGTGCAGAGGATCAAAATGGAATGTAGATACACAGAACCCCCCCCCATTGATACTCGAACGCAGCCCTGTCTGCAGCATCGTTAGTCCAGGGCTGCAGTGCAGGCTCAGGGTCTTCCCCTGTTTGCCCGTTCTGCCCTGCCTTCTAGAGATTATGGCTGGCTGTTGGTGCAGGGCGAGAGACTGTTTCCTCGAATCCTGCGGAGAGTGAACTTGAAGGCAAACAATCATCGATGTCCACGTGAGCAACATGATAGAACATAGAAGGCCGCGGACCATGGACCATGGACCATAGATCACCCTCCAGCCTTCCGTCGCAAGGCAAGCGAAGTCGGCTCTCGAGTGGGCGTGTGTGATGGCCGCCAAGTCTGCGCACGTGCCGTCAGACCCGCTAGGCCACATCAGTGCTGGCTCATGTACCTCTAGCGGCGGCGCTGTCGAATGAGCACATTCGCCCAACAGCTGCCTCCACCGAGCTCTCTTTAGCACGACCTTTCACGAACCCACTATAACTTTTTGTCTTTCCATCATCATCAAGCCGCCTCAACACCCAGCCAGGAACTATCTGTTCACCGCCGAAAAAGGGACGGAAAGACAAAAAACTACAACTCCCTCTCTGTGCGTGCGTGTGTGCTGTGTGCTGTGTGTGTGGTCGAAACGAAACGCGCGCGACCCTCCCACGCTCCCACCCCGCCGCCTCCGCTTTCTCCGTGTTCTCTCGCTCTCTTTGTTTTTCTTCGTTTTCCCAGAGTTGCGTGCGGGAGTAGTAGCAGCAACGCAGCTGGATGTCGTTGTCGATATACACCGCGCACGTAGGAGGGGTTCTGCAAGCCGATGGAAATACTTTTGCCTCGTACGTCGTTGCTATGGGGTGGGGGGAAGAGGGCGGGGAACGCAGATGGAGGGGGAGAGGCCGCTAACAGGTCGAAAGCGTCGACGAACTCCGGAAATGGATCGAGCAGAAGACGCGGCTACCGACGTCATGTCAGATACTCATGACAGCGCGGGGCACGAACGTGCGCGCAAATGTGCTGTCGAACGAGGTAGTTACCTCCGCGCCTATTGTCGCTACTACCTCGATAAAGCCGAACCTAACGTAACGGGCTGTCTGTCTGTAGAGAGAGATATTTTTATACGACCGGAAACAGCTCGAGCTGAACTCGATACCTCCCAGCGAACCCCTCCCGAAGCTGCCGGCCATCACCCCGTTCCCCGATGACCTCGAATCGGAAACCGACATGTCCTCGTGGCGGCTGCTATTCAAGAAGCGCAAGGCGTGGGCGGAATCGGTCCTCGCGCACACGGAGCGACTGACGCAGCGGATCCGCGAGACCGATGCGGCGACGAAGACCATCCAGCGGTCGGTCGCGGTGGCGTTTACGAATCTGGAGACGCATTCGGTGGGGCTGGGGAATTCGCTGACGAAACTACGGGAGTGGGCGGACGGCGTGATGGATGATCGGGAAAAGGCGCTGAAGGGGTGGGAGCCGGCGGTGCGGCAGCTGCTCCGCATGCCGGTGCATGAGGAGTTTAAGAAGTATGGCGTGGATGAAAAGGGTGCCCGCAAGGTCAATTGTTTGTCCGACTTCTTCGATATCAAGGAGGTGCAGACGGCGGCGGCGACGGCGGCCATTCTGGCACAGAGGTTCGAGAGGGAGATTCACGAGTTGGGGAATAACATCGAGGATATCTGCGCCAGGACCGTCAACCTCAAGACGGCGATCCAGCAGTCGGGAAATAAGGCATCGTTGAATGTGGAAGAGCAGCTTAGTGGGCTTGTTGAGGAAGTCAGTCTACTTGTGAACAAGATCCGCACAGATAACGAGTATGCGAGGACTCTGCAGGGCCCAAAGTCGGCTTCAGCTGCTTCCAAGCGCGCCTATGCGTCTACGACCGACTATCTTCCAGGGCTAACCGCGGTCGCGGCTGATTTCGGGAAGCTTTTCATTGCTGCGTGCGAACGCAAGGTTTGTTTCATGCAATCATTTGCCGTGCTATTCTGACTTGGCCTCTAGAACGCCGTGAGTGTAACATGCCACGACCACCTCCAGAACATTGCTGTCATACAATCGATATCGGCGCCTATAAATCCTCAGATCAACAAGCTAGACTCGGCATATCAGGAAGAGGATAGTCACTTTCAGCTCTTGTCGCTCGTTGAACAGCTGCCGATATCCTACGGATTGCTTCTCATCGAGTGTGTCCGGCGAAGGGAATGGTCAGAGAAGTTCCAGCACAACGGTCAGAAGCTGGCTGAAGACTTGGCCTCAATCAAAGAAGACGAGGAAAAGCGACGGCGAAAGTGGCAACGGAGCACTGGGCTATTGCTGCCATTCGAGCTCGGCGAATCACAGATATTACGAGCAGAGCTCAACACCAGAGGTGATGCAAGCGGCGGGCTTCCTAAGGTCACTCGACAAGATGTCGAGGCCTATCTTGATTCTCTTAAAGCTGTTGGCGGCATGGATGTTTTTTTGAAGGATCTCACGCAAGCGCTGCAAGCGCTTGACCACCCTTCCAAGCGCATAAACAAGCGGCTAAAGGGATTCAAGATGGGTAGCATCCATGAGGCGGGCATGATGGGTTCTTCATCTATTCTCAGTGGCCGGAACGATGAGGAAGTGAAGATTCTTCGCGCCGATAAGGAGCAACTGTCCGAGAGAATTAGGGGCTACGAATCTCGGATACGGAAGCTGGAAGATCTTTTACACCGGGGAAGGACGGCGGGCGGGGCTCCATATCCGACCAATAACCCGACTGGACGTCCATCGACCCCGGCGCTGTCGCAGCCATTCCCTTCGAGCCTGCCACCGGCGCACTCTCCTGAGCAGACTTCCGCCAGGCCGGCTACGGCACAGCACCGCTCTTCGTTGGACAATGCGTTGGAAGCTACCTACAAGGCACGGATAGTGGAACTGGTGGCGGAATTGGCGGCGGAGAAGGAGAGGGCTGCTGAGCTCCAAAAGATGGCGTCCGAGAACACGGAATCCGAGAAGGCGGTTATGAATGCCAAGATAATGCAGGCGGACGAGACAAAGAGGGACCTGTTTGCGAACCTAGAAACGACGGTGCAGCAGAATAACATTGAGAGGAAGGCGCTGACGTCGGAAATCGAGGAGCTCAAGGAGAGGCTAGACAGTACCTACGAAGAGCTGGATCGGCTCGAGGAGGAGAAAATAAAGCCTTTGGAACACGAGTTGGAACTTGTAGGCGGCGAGTTGTCGCATCTCCGGGAGGATATCGAGAGGGAGGTCCAGAGGAACGGTTCACTGGTCGAACAACTGAGGGCTGCGGAGCTGCAAGCGGATATCGAAATCAACGGCTTAAGGGCGGAACTGGAGAGTCAAATTCAGCATACGGAGGAGGAATCGTGGAGGGCCGAAGAAGCTACCGCCGCGCTGACTGAATCTGAAAAGTCGAAGGCAGAGATGGCTGAGCAGATTGCTGGATTGGAGAAGGAGCTCGTGGATACCAGGACCGCTCTGAACACTGGCAGGGAGTCGCTGCTGGGTGCCATGAAGAGGGCTCATGGTCATCTTTCGCTAGATGATGCCCCAGATGACCTCAACGCCATGATGGATCTGCTTGAATCTTTGATATCACAGACAGTGGTCCACAACAAGGAACTGAACGAGACTGTCGAAGCGGAGAAAGCGAATTCGGCTGCTCTGCGAGGAGAGAAGGAGTTCCTGCAGAACCGTTTGGACTCGCGCACCCTCAAAGCTAAAGACCTTACTCAGCGGCTATACACACATAATGCTCGATCGATCCAACTGCTCGAGTCCCTCGGCTATAGAGTGGTGCGTGGGGAAGACTCGGTGCAAATACTCAAGGTACCTCGCAACAGCGCTAATAGCGATTCGACCGTGCTCACCAAGAGCACTATCATGCCTGCTGGAGGAAACACCGCACAAAAGACTTCCCCGCTGCGCCTAGAAAATGCCCCTGCTGTGGAAGACATCGGCTTGCTGTACTGGATGGAGAGCCCTGATAGTGACACGGAATCCGAGAAATACAGCAAGTATCTTAAGACGATAGTCGCCTTCGATCTCGATGCCTTCAGCGAGACAATCATCAACCGGGTGAAGAAGGCAGAGCAAGATGCCCGGCAACTCATGAAGCAAGGTCGTGCCTACCGCGAAAAATACTACCGCGCGCGTGATGAGGCGAGCGACAAGATTGCCTTCAAATCCTTCAAATCCGGCGACCTCGCCCTCTTCCTTCCGACTAGAAATCAGAAAACACGTCCATGGGCGGCCTTCAACGTTGGTGCGCCCCATTTCTTCCTTCGCGAGCAGGATTCCCACAAGCTCGCCTCCCGTGACTGGCTCCTCGCCCGCATCAGCAAAGTCGAAGAGCGCGTGGTTGACCTCTCCCGCTCGACCGCATCAATCAACCTCCCGCACGGCATCGAGCGCTCCTCTATCGGCGGACACTCTTCCGGCGGAGAATCAATCGATGACGAAAACCCATTTGAACTCTCGGACGGGTTGCGATGGTACCTACTGGACGCCACGGAGGAAAAATCCGGTGCTCCATCCACCCCCGGACTCTCTGCCAGCACTGTCGCCTCTGCAAACGTCGACGTCAAGGGCTCCCTCAAGTCCAGGAAACCAAATACAGGGGCCAAGAAGAAGCTCTCGGAGATCACGACGGAACACTCGCGTAGGAGTAGCAGTGGCAGTCAGAACCGTGCAGAGGCACTTGAGGAGGTCCATGAAACCATCGCAGCCCTCGAGCCACCACGTACGCCAGTCGAGAAGATTGCGGCCAGCATCAGAAGTCGCGCTAGCAGTATCAGATCCGCGACGACGCAGGAGCCTCCTATGCAGCGGTAGTTGGCCGTTTACTGGATTTGGGTCTGCTTTGGGTTTGCTTTGTTCTGCGGGGTTTTTTCTGTTTGTGCATTGGTTTCTTTATTTTCCTTAGGATAGGATAGGATAGGCTGGGTCAGGTTGGACTTCCCATTGTCATTGTCAGTTGTTCAATTAGCGGTTTTGTTTCCGTTCCGTTTTCATTAGGGAGTCGGAAGGGCATTTTGGTGTTGCTAGTGAGGGTGGGAATGGGAATTTGAGCTTTTTGTTTGGTTATTGTGTGGGGTGATTACGATGGTGGAATCGAACTGGACGGTGAATAAGGGTGGAGTGAAATATATTGCAATCTCAAAGACCACGAGGCGCAAACAGTAGCCGTAAACAGCGACGTGAATTTACGATGAAGCTGAACAAACAAAGATATCTCCATTAAACCCCTCTCGCAAAGACAACATGACCCATCCTACTCCTCGCCCTCATTGACCAGCCGTCCCACAAGCAAGTACTTGCCCTCGAAATGTGCGGCCCACTCCTTCAGCGAGCCCCTCTCTTCGTCGGTCAGATCGACCAGCAGGTCCAGCGGCATATCGACGTCGGTGAGCATATCCTCGTCGAAGCTATTCTTTGCGAGGCCACGGCTGGCGTCTCTGCCGGCGAAATTACTGTAGGGGCCGCCAGGCCCGTAGAAGCTCTTTCCGGCGGTGACGTCAAAGACCTTGCCCTGGACGCCGAGCATGACGCGCGGGTCGTCGACGCCGTTGAACGGGCGCAGCGTCGAAGGCGTAAACGTCTTGAAGACCATCGGCGCGGAAGCCGCGAGCGTGGGTGCGGCGGAAGGCCGCAGCCGCGTGTACACCAGGTACAGGAACAGCGATAGCAGAACCGCGTTCACGGGCGTAAACACGCTGAGGCTACGTGGCGGCGAGATAGTCAGTACCGTGTGTGCGTGCGTGCGGATTGGAGTGGCCTGCGTACGCCTGCGCCTCTGAGGAGTCTGTGGGAGATGTTGAGTGCGCCATGGTTGCGGTGGGAGATCGGTGGGAGTCGGGGTCGTGGGGAGGGTGGAATTTGTGCGTGGTGTGTGGAGAAAGACGCTGCAGTGACGGAGGTGGTTGCTGATATGTACCTGGGTGAGACACCTTGTGCCAAGCCTGATACCTCTCTCGATTCTCTGGCTACTCGTACGTACCGGCCGGGAGGAGTGAGCCGATTGCGGTGGAGCCGAATCGAAGGACTTTCTATGGATGCTGGGTAGGCTGCGAACATACATACAAACTAGCGACGTCTCTAGATATACAACTGCCAGCTCTAAACCTTCATATATACAGCTATCCACCAACAGCAGCAAACACTGGATGATTCCTCCCTCCACCAATCCAGGCCCATCCATACGTCATTCCTCCTCTCATCCCAAAGAACCAGCTAAACAAAGACCATTGCAAGCAGAAGAAGGGAAAGTAAGTATTATCGACACTGAGAACTAAACTATCCTAAAAAACCCCACAAAAGAAAAACCAATTGCTCCCGCTAATGCAAAAAAAACAAAGAAAAAAAACTTAGAGCCCAAAAAATAATACACAAGAAAAAGAAAAAAAGGTACAATGTAAGGGAGGGAAATAGATTAGGTGGGTGCGTTAGATAGTTCGTCTAAGAGCTTCCTTGAAGCTCTGGAAATAAGCGATGAGACCTTTTTCACCTCTTGCTGTGCCAGCTGCCAGTCGCCAGCATTCACTGCGTCCCGAATGCCGGGGAAGTAGGATACTTCATTGGAATTCTCGGCCTGGTGGAGATGTCAATGGTGGTTCCGGAGTTAGAGGAAGGAAGGAAGGAAGGATTGCTACTCACATCGGGGCCCATGACCATATGCCTGAACCACTCACGACCTGGTGCTCGACCTCCGGGTGCGTGCAGGTCCAACAGGTGCTTATCGAAATTTCCCATGCGGATACTTCTCGAGCGTCGCTGAGAAACCGCCCATTCATCCGTCTGGACGTACATGCCTTCGAGGTCCTGAGCCATCCACCCCTCGTTCATCTGCGTAAACTTGACGATATGTCCTTGACCGGTTTCGATCGCCTTCACCAGTGGTTGCATGTCCAAGCTTGCGCCCGGTGCTTGCTTGACCTTCTCTTGAACCCAGTCGCGCAGTTTCTCGGTCTGTTCTTGAAGAATATACGAGTACGCCATCATGTCTAGTGGGATGATCGGATGATCCGCCATTTCCAGAGCAAGGAGGATCAGAATCTTTGCGAGTGCCTCGTGATAGGCGAACGCTGGGTCGACGATGCTCTTCATCCAGGCAAAATTGTCGTAGCAGCTGTGGGACGGAACGCCTCTACCGGAAAAAGAGAGGTCGACGGACGAAATGCCGGCATGGTGTTGGAAAGCAGTGTAGTCACCGCCGGCACCGAGGCCCGGCATTTTCCGGCTATCCCATGTGGTGTTGAGCAGCTTATGGGATAACGGGTCCGGCACACGACCGAGCACCTTCTTCACCGCGTATTGCATGGCCGGCGAGCCGGCGGCAGTGAAATCAGTGCCTGTTACGGCTGCGTCGAGGTTGATGTAAGCTATCACGTTGTCCCGAATAACATCGCCGATTTCCTCAACGAATTCTCTGCTTCAATTAGCAAAATGGACACCGACGGCCTCAGCGCCGGATGCACTTACGTCGAGCCGATGAGATTATACTGCGAAGCATCCCAGTTCGCAAAGACGATGGTCCGGAGAGGTCTCCAGCCAAACTCCATCATCTTTCCGAACACTCTCGCGACCTCGAGCATGATAGCCGTACCCGAGTTCGGATCGCTGGCACCAAAGCACCAAGCATCTCGATGGTTACCGATGATGACTTTCTCCTCAAGGGGATCGGTCCCTTTGATCTCGCCGAGGACATTCCAGATGGGCTGACGGTCCTTCTCGACCTGTTCGTTTTGCAGATGAATGACTGGCGATTGTTCGATCGATCCGGTCCAGTACTCATCCACCTGCGGCACTCCGCCAACCCAATCTTCCTGAACCCTGCGGCCTTTCCCTTTGATTGCTTGCAGGAGTGGTCGGGCGTCTTTGTATGACTGTCATTTAATCGTCAGCTCGGGTACATACATTAACCGCGTGCACACGTGTAACTTGTCGGGACGTACCAGCGGCAACGAGGGGATATTTAACAGCCCCGGGTTGTTTTCTTTGGATACCCTTTCGGTCGTGGGCAAGCTTGGAAATCCAGGAGTCAAAACATCACCCATGACCAAGCTCTTCAAGCTCACACTCCCCCTCTGCACCGCGTTCTCGGGCCAATCCCATCCTTCAGTCTTCGGATCCGTAAACAGCAATGCTCCGGCCGCGCCGTGTTGCTCAGCAGCCAAGATCTTCCGCGCAGTGTCACTCTGCGTTCCTCCGTGCCGCATCAACACCACCGCACCCTTCACCGAGATGCCCTGCGACTGCAGCAACGCAAAATCGGCTTTCGAGCCGTAGTTCGCATACACAACTGGCCCTTTGACGGTCCCCGACTTCGAATGTCCATGGAACACCAGGGTGTTTTCCGGCGGTCTTTTATCGTTCGACGACTCCTTCAGTGTCGGTTCCTCCAGCTGCGCCTCCCACTTGGGCTCGTCCATCCACACCCTGCGGCCACCAGGCTTCGGGTAGTTGAGGTAGACATCGTACTGCATCCTCTCAGTCTTGAACCCAAAGCTCGAGAACTCCCCCTGCACGTACTTGGCTAGCACGTAGTCCCCCTCCGTGCCAGCCATGTGGTCGAAAGAGCTGATGTATTCCAGCCAATGCTTGATGTGCTCCCTCTCGATACCGCGTTCCGCATACGACCGCACACTTTCCGGATCGAACGGCCCCAGGTACTCGGAACCCACCGAACGAAAGCTAAACACATCCGTCGCCAGCAGCACGTAAACGACGATCAGCGAGACCACGACCGCGAGCAGCCTATACACCGGCACCATCGCGGCACTATTAAGGTCTGCACAGCACGGTATCGACGGAACAGCAGGCAGGCGACACCGCATCCCGGCGAACGGATTCGGCACCGACCACCTCGATGTGATAGAGCTGAACCTTTTCGTGAACGACAACCTCAGCCCGCCGCCAACGCCGCCGCGCTCCGCCGCATCCCCGTCCATCACTTCCATCTGTATCATTTCCCTCGCCAAGCTCTCGGCACTCGACCTCGGCGACGCAAACTCCTCCAGAAACGACGACTCCATCGAGCTGCGCACGCTCTCCACCGTCGGCGCCCTGTACCCGTCCGCCCGCGTCGCGGACGGGCCCCCCGAGCCCCCCGGCGATGACTGCTGTAGCAACCCCGCCGACTCGCTCGTCTCGACGCCGCCGACGACGCCGCCATACTCGCTCGCGGCGCGCGACGACGACCCCACCGCCTCCTCGTACGTCGGGATCGGCAGGTTCCGCCCCAGCATCGCCGGTGTCTTCTCGTTGTCGGGCATCGGTCTCGGTCGGCTCGGTTCGGTTCGCTATGTACGCACGCTACGATCTCGGTGTGTCTGTGGCTGTGTCTGTCTTGTGTGCGTCTTGTGTGTGTGTGTCTTGTCTTGTCGGGGGTGCCCTTTATTCCGTGGGCATGTAGGTAGAGTGGAAAAAGATAATCGTCGATGGAAGGAGCGGATGGTCGAGTGTCACAGACTACTCATTCGTATGGGTATACCGTAGGTAATTGGGCGGGTTGCTGTGGTGGTGGTGGTGGTGGTGGTGGTGGTGGGCGGGGACGCGCTGGCTATACTATAGTACCGTATGTACCGTGCTTTCCTTCCTGTTGCTGATGTTATCTCAGGAGGTTGCTTGCTACTGCTGCTGCCATGGAAGGCACGGCGTGGCACACCCCTGTTGGGAATTTGGCAGCACCGAGCTGACGAGTAAACTGCTGCTAACTAGATACCCTAGCGGGCTCTAGAGTAACTCTGGCATGGCATGGCATAGCACCGTTGTGGGGATGCCGGGATTGGCAGATCATCAGATATCACCAGCTTGTAGTTAACCCACGCTCCTGAGTATATGCTCAGAGCGCCGGTGCATATGCATAATTACAGTGGGCTATACATTGATGTTCTCTCACTTTCTCACACTCTCACAGTAGAATGCCAGTAGTAGAGTAAATACGGTGGTTTACTAATGGTACCGTCGAACGCAATGATGATTAACCCGGGAAACAAAATGAAAAAAGTCCATACTCACGGTTGGTGGTGGCGCAGCAGTCGAACCGGCAACCGAGCCGGCCGGGGAGGGAGGCACAATGGCCGTGGGAGGAAACTTCATCCGTACCATGTATCTACACACGGGCGGAGCTTTCGTTTAGGCTGTAGTTAGGTATAGAGTACCAAGAATCTAGATATTATCGTAGTAATAGCTGTGATGATGGAGTTTGGAGGTTTTGTATCTTCATACTCAAGCCACCTGCTTGAGAAGTGGCACGAACGACACACTTGGAGCTCTGGGAGCTCGACGCTCCAGGAACCACAGAGTGCAACTGGTAGCTGCCACGCTGCCACGCTGCCACGCTTCCACGTGCATCCGTCTTCCCTGTGAACGGTGGCCATTTCCCGTAGGCCGTTGCCGAAGTTACCCGGCCAGACAGGCACAGCGAAGCTAACCCGCATCGAGCAGCTCTTCGGATCTGCGCTGTGTGCCTGTCTTCGATCCTCCGGATGTATGCTATGTACCAGGAGCTGCCAATAAGTGGTGCCCCACCTCCATTACGAAGCATGAGCACTAATCTATATCAGGAATGCACTAAACCAGATACAATTAAATGAGTGAGTGGTTGTGACCAAGTTGTATGGGGGAAAAACTGGTGAGGCAGCACTTACCCTTACACCCGAGTACATATGCAATAGGTATCTGCAGAGAAGAGGAAAGGACATGGCCATCGAGTAGCCGCATCACCAGAGAAAATAAAAGCACCGTAAAACAAGGCGACAGTTTCCTTGTCGTTGAAGTTATAGCTTCATCAGTCCCTAATTCCCAATTCCCAATCATCATAACCCCCCACGCCCCCCGTCCCATCCGATCCCATAGCCTCCCTAAGCCAAACCGAAATGAAGAAAACCATAATAAAACACACAACCATTATGTAAAGAAACATGAAAAAAAGAGATCTTATGCAATTCTTTTCCCTCTAAGCATGGTATCATGGTCCCCAAATTCATATCAAACATCATTAAAATCAAAGTAAGAGAAACAAAAAAGCCCCTAAACCCCCACCAAGAAACCCGTATGAGAAAAGGAAGTCTATGATTTAGTCCTTCCTGACGTATTCCCTTCGGAACTTATCGTCGATGCTGACGAGGTAGAAGGTGCCCTTGGTGATGGTGTCGACGGAGCCGCTGGGGGTGTAGCTCTTCTTTCCGTGGGCGTTGTGGCGGAGCTCGCACATCTGAATGATTGGTTAGCACGTGTAACGAAGATGCTCGTCGGAGATGCAAAGGGAACTTACGGAGTCGTAGACCTCGGGGGCCACGATGTTTCTTGCGGCAAGTCTCTCGGTTAGGTTCAACTTGTCTTGGAAATCTTTGGTGGAGCCTTTGACGGTCATCGAGAAGAGAGAGCTGGCGAGGCCACTGCCGTAGGAGAATAGACCCACCCTCTTGCCCTGGAGAGTCTCGGAGTCGACATTCTTGAGGAGAGCGCAGAGGCCCGAGTACACACTTGCGGTGTACATGTTTCCGCAGTTAGTAGGGACCTCAATGCTGGGCTGGACACGCTCGGCGAAGCGCTTCTTGGAGAGACCGACGAAGGTCTTCTCAATGTTGCGGTCTGCGAGCGAGGTCTCGTAATCGATGTCACGCATCTCCTCGGGAACAGAGCCGAACTGCTCGGAGGTGGGCGAGGCGACGTAGTCGTTGTACAGCATACGGGCGTAGGACTTGGCAACGAGCTTGCAGGTGGGGGCGTGGAAGAGCAGGTAGTCGAATCGGTCGAGACCCTCGGCAGGTGCGCCGTTGACTCCGTTGGAACCGTTGGCTGTCCGGTTGGCGGCAAGAGTGGCAACGCGCTTGTTGTATGCCTTGTAGCACGCGTCGACGGCCTCGGTGTAGCAGCGGATGGAGAAGTGGCCATCGACAACGGGGTACTCGCTGGTCAGGTCGGGCTTGTAGAAGTCGTAGGCGTGGGCCATGTAGCTTCCCCTCTTGCCAGGCTCGAAGACGAGCGGGGCGTCGGGTCCGATGAGCATGGCAACGGCTCCAGCACCTCCGGTTGGGCGTGCGGCACCCTTGGCGTAGAGAGCAATGTCACCGGCAACGACAATTGCATCACGGCCGTCCCAGGCGGAGGACTCGACCCAGTTGATGGCGTTGAAGAGGGCGTTGGTGCCTCCGTAGCAGGCATTGAGAGTGTCGACACCCTCGACATTGGTGTTCTTGCCGAAGAGCTTCATGAGGACCGACTTGACGGACTTGGACTTGTCCAAGATGGTCTCGGTGCCGACCTCGAGGCGTCCGATCGAGTCGGTGTCGATGCTGTATTTCTCGATGAGGGACTGGGTGACGGTCAGGGCCATCGAGTAGATGTCTAGTAGCACAATCAGCGTCTGCGGTCATTCGATCCGGGACTGCCAGGCGTCTCGGCCTGTCCCGAGTGGAATGGACCCTACACACCCTCACGGTCATCACAGAAGGCCATCTTGGTCTGGCCAAGGCCGATGGTGTACTTTCCGGTGGAGACACCATCGAACTTCTCGAGCTCAGATTGCTCAACGCACTGAAAGCTGGTTAGCCACCTGTTTGAACATTCTGCGGTGGTTCCGGGCGGGAGGTGCAATTCGGAGGCAGAGCTAAAGGGTGGTTGGGCAGGCCTCAAAGGGGTTGCATACCTGGTTGGGGAAGTAGATCTCAATGGCCTTGATGCCAATGTTCTCAGGACGGGCAGACATGGTTGGAGAGGTTAGGGTGCGTGTAGGGAGAAGATTGATAGTTTTGAGGATCGCGTCGTGAGGAAGCTAAAGGACTCGTGAATTGGACAATGGAAGGCGTGGGAAACAACGACGATACGAGCTGGTGAGAAGAGAAGGAGAAGGAGGAGAGTTCGGGTGACGGCGAGATTTAGCAGGAAGCAGCCAAAGGCGGACGGGAGAGGGGCAGCACGAGCACTTTATGGAGGCGAGTTGGGGGGGTTGATTGATGAGGTTGGGGGAGGGCCGATAGTTCGCAGTGGCTTGGGTTTAGTGGGAAATTGGCTTTCGATTTCGGGAAGGCGTCGTGTTCAACACCACGTCCGAAAACCGCTTGCACAACCCAGAACCGATGACCTGCTCCCAACCAACAAACAGCTGTCAACGCGGATGTGCTGGGTGCTGTCCGGACGATCCTTGAGAGGTTGGTTGGTTGAGGAGGATCGGGGAGGGGGTGGATGCTATTCGCAACTCTGGCCTACTCTACTGAGGGCTTGTGAGCTTCGAGTTGAGTTCGCTTCTTTTCCTGAGCGTTTTTGTTGCGAACCACCATCCCGAAGACTCCGCACGTGCGCACGAGGGGGGCGGCGAGATATGGCACCGAGAGGAGGAGCCAGGGGGCGCCAAAGGCGGCCTGCTGTTGTTGAGGTGATGCTTGTTTAGCATTGTTTACCGTCTCGCCATCTCCGTTGCCATTGCGCCCCTTGCCTTCGTTGCGCCATACCGCTAAGATAAATAATCGTAAGCTCTTTGATGCAGCAATGAGCATCTTATCGTCTTGGCAACGTCAGGGTCGCTTCGCATCAAGTGGGATGTACTCTTCCTCTTCTTACTGGATGGGGTGTTCCGCTTCGGACTGCTGAACGGGAAATGTCCAGCGGCGGGTGGAGACTTGTGGGGGAAAAGAAAAAAAAGAGAAAGAGCTGTCCGAACGACAACAACAACAAGTGACAACTCCATTAGCTCGAGACAGACTGCCGGGCACCACGGCCATCAACCAGACCTGACCAGCACCATAGTCCATGGACACTTCTCTCTGCTGCTCTCCGCTGCACGCATAAGTATCATGTACCCAAGTAGCCACGACTCCATCCCTCGGATCGGCCAATGGCGAACTTGCATCTTCCGCCGTTCTATACATACTCTAGATGCATCACCGATTCCATGCAACCGATTCCTCCGGTGTAAAGAGTGTCCTCTGGCTACATATCCTTCACCACCGGGGGGAAAAAGTCACTCTACGTACGAACACAGGTACATAGAGTATGTATCATCACGGTCACTTTGCACATCTATAGAGCACTCTATGTAGTAGAGCGATTGTTTCTGCAAGGATAGGGACCTGACACCTATGCAGGTTCACGCCCATCGTTCTTTTTCGCTCTGCGTCCCCCTATGTATCGGCTAGGTACTCTAAGGGAACCGGAGTCGAGTGCAAACAGCTGCCCATGCCCACCGCCGCCGCTTGCACACACCCTACGGGAATCTATCTCAACCTCTGCAAGACCTTGAGCAGGTCTCCCAGAACACCCATAGCGGTGACATCTGCGCCGGCACTGTGAAGGGAATCATATCGATCAGCAAAGGGCTTTTGCAACCAAAGCAAGGGAAGGAACGCAGGTGGAGTTTTACCCCGCTCCTTGAACGATGAGCGGATTGTTGCCGTATCTCTCGGTGTAGAAACTGATGATGTTGTCGCTGCCCTTCAGCCCAGCGATCGAACTACCCTTGTTGAAGCTAAGATGTCGTGAAGAAATTTTATCAGATTTTTTCTCGCACTTATCAGATCCGCACCGACCCGACCAGGGATGAACCTTGGCACGTGGGGGGGGGGGGGGGGGGTGTAGATAGATGCATGTGGCGGGGTGAGTGAGAAACCACTTACGTCTCCAACCCCACTTTCACCTCCTTCGTTTCAACGTTCAAGCTACCGACGTATCGTACGACAGCCCCCTTTGCCTCGGCTTCCTCCTTGATCTTGGTCATGTCGCCATCGAACTCTCCAAGGCCACCAAGGAACTCGTCCGCGCTCTTGGCCGACTCCAGAGGTCCCGGAATGAGCGACTGAATGGGGAACGAAGTTGGTGACTCGACCTCCAATCCGCAGAGACGCGCAAGAATCGTGAGCTTCCTGGCCACATCGAGACCATTGAGGTCATCGCGGGGGTCTGGCTCCTGTATAGTAGTAGTGAACCGTCAGCGTCCCCCGCACCCAGCAAATCACTCGCACGGGTGACAAACAGTGTAGCCAAGCTGCTGTGCTTCCTTGACACAGGCGGCGAAGCCCTTTCCACCGTTGTTACCGTCTAGAGGTGCAAAGCTGTTGAACAGGAAGCTCATGGTTCCCGAGAAGATGCCCTCGATCGTTTTGATGCGGTCACCGGTCTCCACAAGCTCCTTGAGGGTGCTCAGTACTGGCAGACCAGCACCAACGGTGGCCTCGTGGAAAACATAACCACCCTTGGGGTTGCCTCCGTTTGCGGCGGCCGCGTAGATATCCTTCCACAGGCTGATGTTGCCCGAGAAGCCCTTCTTGTTGGGAGTCACGATGTGGATTCCGTTGGAGAGGAAAAGCGGGTAGGACGTAGCCAGGGACTCATCGGAAGTGTTGTCGACGAGGATCACAGGGCCGGGGGCCGCCTTAAGGAACTCCAGTGTCTGGGTGGGGTACGAGAGCGGGGACGTGCTGGACGAGGCAAGCTCCTCGGACCACTTGCTAAGGTCCAACGGCGCGTAGTTCTGCGAGACCAATGCCTTGCTCGAACGCGAGATAAGGATGGTGGCGAGCGATGCAGATGGGTTCCGGGCGATGTAGCCTGCAAGCTGCGAGATGAAGGCTTTCCCGACACCACCAGCACCTATGCAAACAATCCAATCATCAGCACCCACCCACCCCGCCATCAACTGCAAGATCGATCCACTAAGCGGGGAAAGCACAGACCGATGATAGCGACGTGTACGTTAGACATTTTGCGAGAAGACTGTGTATTTTTGCGATGGTAGTTAGCCAATTGAGTTTCGAGATCGATGCGATGGAGCTGCGAGGGCGGGGTAAAAATTCTGAGATTTTTTTGACATTGCCCTCAGCCCTACGAGGGGTACCGATTTTTAGCCCCGTTTCTTCTATGACCTACCCCACACTCTCGCTCCGCGTGCGCCATGTGGGAGGGACACTGGGACACAAGTATAATCTGATCCGATCACGCGAGCGAGCGAGCTTCACACCCTCATCGTCCAATAAAATTTATATGGCTCTCCCACGATTGATTGCGAGTGATGATGTTCCGCCCACAGTTGAACCTCCCCCCACCACCCACAGCCTCCGCCCGCGTCTGTAGCGCCAAAGAGCGATTGCCGAAATTCCCGAATGGCAAAACTGTCCAGCCCCTGTAGTTATGTAGATGCAACATCAGCCGTATCCATCTCGGTAGTTGCCATAGTATATAGCGTCATACGCGTGTCCCACTGTCCCTAGCCTCCTCCCCGCGCCCGCGCCCGCGTTCCCTTCCCACCGTCACCGTCACCGTCACCGTCACCGTCACCGTCACCGTCACCGTCACCGTCACCGTCACCTCACCTCACACGATCGCTCGCTCGCTCGCAGACTCGCGAAAATGTCGCTGCTATCGCTATCCCTAGACCCAGCCGATATCTGCGCACGCCTGCTGCACGCTTTCCAGGTCTTTGAGTCTTGGACCGTCCGCATCGCCGTATGCCCTCCTCCACATCCTCTTCCTCCTGCCTATCTCAAACCAGGATGACAGACTGATTAACGTGGGAGTACGCAGTTCGCGATCGGAATGTTCCTCATCTTTCCCGGATTGCTCTACGTGCTCTACGACTGCCTCCTCTACGTCGTGAGGTCGCTCGTGTACACGGGTGCCACTGCTAAGGCGGCTCGGGGGCCGGACGGGAGGGGGAGGGGGAGGGGGAGTGTTGCGAGCTTGAGCGACGGAGAGGATGGGGAGGACGACGAGGAGGATGAGAAGAAGGAAAAGCAGGTGACGGCGGCGGCGTGATCGATACCCCTTTGCATCATTGGTTCGGGCTTTTGGGAGGGCATGGGAGAGGGGGGGGAGGGGCTGAGTGGTGGGGCGTTTTTTATGACTTTACTTGATGTTACGATGCGATGATACCATAGTTATGTGGCAGGCGCCTGTGCGCCCGCGTGTGTGCGTGTGTGTGTACTTATGCCGGGAGATGTAGAGTACATGCGATGAGCTTTTTTGTTTGTATCTGTCGTAGATCCGCTCATGATCATGTTAGGCTGGAGTAAGGTCTTGCTTGCAAGACCGGAGATAATCCTACTGTGATGTCGCTTGGTGCTGGAAAGCACAGCGAAGGGATGGCGGCCTTCCCGGCAATTCTCGAGCCGGATCGACATACAAATTCTTCGGAGTCCGGCTGACTGCGCGTCCGAGAGAGAGAGAGAATAGACCGCATCCAGATCACTTCCCGTCTGTCCTCTAACCCAGGCCCGTAACTAATCCGTGCTGTCGGGACTCCCACTCACATGCCCACTGCCCGACCAGAAGCAGCGTCCACCCGCCGCCATCGGCGGCTAAATAAGGTTCCACTTGCATCTTGGCAGCAGCGTCTGTGGCGGCAATTTCAGCCCTAGGCACACCGGCCCTGTGATTGCACGTCGACTGTCGACTGTCGACATCCGTTTGCGTGCGTGCATCTACCAGTGGGGGCGTACGCCGTACGGATCAGATGGGATCCTCGGGAATGCGAATGGGAAGGTGGGTTGAGAGGTCTGGGCTCTCGGTACCTAATGTACCACCACCCACCACGACCACGACTACGATTACCACGTGCTTGCCACCGTCATACGACTCCTGTGCGAATTTCGCGTGTTTGTAGATACCGTACCTACCGCCTTCGTTTGAAGGGTAGGTAAGATGAACTATGCGGGGTTCGATGCCCGACCTGCCTGCCTGCGCATGTGGAGTGGAATCGAAACTTGCAATTACCGGCATGCAGTTGCCGCGAAAGGGAATGCCGGCTTGAAGGATTACATATGGCCAGTGCTTGTATGTAACTGAGCATGTATGAAGTAGCAAACGGGAAAGGCGACGAGTAAAAAATAAAATAAAAAAAGGTCGGAAAATGCACAAAAAAAGAAGAATGCCCTTCACTCATCCCCACAGGCAAGTACTAGCTCCCTGAGCTCCCTATCTCTGACCCAATCGACGCCGCTGGCGACGACGACGGCCTGCGCAACGTTCCTGGTGACCTCCCACATTATCTTCGCATCCTTGAGCTCCTTCTCTGCAGCGATGTGATCCTCTCCTCGGAATTTCGCATTCTCCGCGTCGCGCTGCGCAGACAGCAGCAGCAGTCGGTCTGCCATCTCCTTGTTCCGCAGCTGCGCGTCCACTATCGCCCGCCCACTGCTGACCAAAGAGTCCTGCGTGCGTATCAGCATCTGCGAAATGTTCGCGTGCGTCTCCGCCAGGGCATCGCGGCGCGCAAGGAGTGGCAAGAGCGCTCTGTGATGCATGTCAGTACCGATCACCATTCATCCACCCATCCTGTGGGGCTTCCAAACAGAAATGCATACCTCTGCCGAGCCGTAGTAGCAGCATCGGGGTGTATCGCCTTCAACAGCGGGCCGGTAACAAGTGTGGCCTCGACCGCCGCCTCCTTGAGCCGTCTGTTCGCCTGAGCCTCCGCCAGCTCCCTCTCCAGGAGCTCAATCTGCTGCTGCTCGATATCGTCTACCGTCCACCCGTCCATCAGCACTTCATCCATTCATCCATCCATCACCCACTCCACCCCGCCCCGCCCCCCCACCATTCCAACCGACCCCCACCAAAGGTGACAATTCCCCCAAAACCAGCAAGGGTCGCCCACAGAAAGGATGAATCCATAGATAGACCGATAAACCGATAGACCGATAGATATACATACCCGTGCCAGTGCCAGTGCCAGTGCCAGTGGCTCCTGCCGCCCCCGCCCTCGCCGCTGCCAGCTCCGCCTCCAGCGTCCGACGCTGCAACGTGACGTTCAGCAGCTTATCATGCAACGCGAGGAGCTGCTGTTCGCGGTCACTCAACAGCAGCGACAACGACGTCGACGTCGACGCTAGACTGCCGGTGTTCCCCCCAGCGCCCGCTCCCCCCGCACCCCCAAGCACCGAAAAGCCGACTGGGTGCGATTGCGTCGAGAAGAGCAGTGCTAGGCTCGTCGCGCGCAGCTGGTCCATCTTGACTTGACTGCGTGCTTGTCTGCGTGCTTGTCTGCTGGTTGTTTGTGTGAAAGACACGTCGGTTGGATTGCGGCGGGTAGTTATTTAGGTATGTAGGGTCGGACAGGGGAGGAGTAGGTAGGGACCACCGGTAGTGTAGTGCAGTGTAGTTACATAGAGTACATGGTAGACATTCAGATCGTCAAAGAAACAAACCATGCACAGGTAACAAGTACTCTACTCTACTTACCTAGTACGGTACATACCGTAGTGTACAGCCTGTACAGTCGTATCCGGACGACGAACGACCAACTACCGTAACGGAGAATTAGAGCCCCTCACTCACGACTCACGAGGGCACTTCTTTTAACTTTACGGTATTGAAGAAATGAAAGTTTTGCCGTTCTCAGCAGCCTGCCAAAGCTTTGGTTAGGCGCACATACTATGAAATATTGCTGGATTGGGCTGTCGCACCGCGCTAACAGGGATCCTCACATGTTCAATGTCCAATGTTCCATAAACTCCGTCTCAAGCTCATGGACACTGGACACTGGTCTTCCTCCCGCCCTCCCCCCACCTACAGACTCCCACGTCTACAAGCGCCATACACCTTCGGGCTTGTACAATTACCCAGGGTGAGCCTTGAGGTCGAGGGGGTCTCCGGAGATTCCGACGCCGGCTCGACGGAATCCTCCCCTCCCATTCACTCCACAAAGTAACAACTACCTATCCCAGTTCGAAGTAACTATGATACAACCCCTGCGGAGTGGGGCATATGGAGTGGGGCATAAAACCGTCGGGACCCGGAAAGAGGGTATGTATGGTATGGTATGTATGATTTCGTCGGACGAAACTAGGCAGCCAGGCTCCAGCAGCTGTGTGTAAGCCGTGCTCCCAGCTGTAAGCTGTACATAAGTAAGCTGTAAGCTGTAAAGTAGAGTAGGCAGATCGAATCGAAGGCAGATCGAAGGCACGAAAAAAAGGTGAGGCCAGGTCAGGTCGTTGGTCAAGTCAAGGGCCGGCAAAGGCAGGCAAAGGCAAGGGCAGGCAAGGGCAAGGGCAATGAACGACAGTGAATGAATGAATGAACGATGCAAATGCAAATGCAACTGCAACTGCAATGCAGGTGCGGCTGCTAAACAAACCCTCGACGCAACGCTTGCTTGGCGTGTTCCCCCCAACCTTGCGGACATAGCCGTGGGAACCACACTCACCATCTAAACACCCACTGACTGAACGGGAGCTCACATTTAAATAGTTGATGGAAGCGTAAGGAAGCCGCCTGCTGCCGTCCTTTTAAATACAAGCAGCGTGTTGTGGCCGCTCTGCTCTGATGTAGATAAGTCCTCAGCAGCATACCCTGTTCTAATCCCATTACTTTTCATTCGCTTTATCAATCAAGGCTCCCGCAATTGTAAACATCCTCCCCAACCCTCCACACAACTACAAATGCCGCCGTACAAACAAAGGGACCGTCATGGCCGTCATAGGAGACATTTAAACAGAATCCAGCCCTCACGAAAACAATCTCCACAAATGCAATAACCCACCTGGCGAGTATTAAGGTATGTGTAACTAAGCGCGCTCTGTAGCAGAACCCCCCCGAGTCTTCGTCGCTCGAAATGCACTAAACTCCTGTCTCCCCAGAACCCAGATGCTAAAAAGACTATGAAAGAAAAGAATAGGAACGAAAAATGATCCGCAATTGCCTAGTAATAGAATCCAGTCGAGAATCCATGTGAAGCCGGAAAGCAAAAGAAAGAAAGTAAGAACCATACGCTAACGCCAACCAGAAACCCCCTCAAGAACGTCGCATTGTATTGCGACCTGTGAACCATGGAGTCCCACACCGAAGGATTTCAAAGGTCCTCCGAATCACGCCTCACTGGTACTGTAGCCAGACTCGGTGCTCTTCGTTGGCTTCCTGTTTGCCTTACGCCAGCTACCTTTCTGGCTTCCGGAACTCCTATGCTGCGCCTGCGGGGCCTCCTCTTTTATAGCGGAAGAGACGGTATTTGAGGGGCTCGAGTTTTCGGTTAAACCCTGATCCTCCTTGCCAGAATTTCTCGTACCGCCCTTGGTAGCTGGATTGGTCCTTGCCTTGTGCTTGGTTAAGCGTCCGACGTTCTCCGGATGGGCAACAGTTGACAGCGGGCCTCCTTCATTCCCAGGGTCCAGACAAGTAGCATTTTGCTTGTAACTGTTAGAGCGAAGACGACGTTTTCCTTTACCAACGATATCATTCGTGGCACCAGCTTTTCCCTCTCCCTCTCCGTCGATCGGGCTGGATGGTTCGTCCTCCGTCGCGGAGGAAGAAGAGGTGAGACCTGGGACGAGTAGTTCGGCCCCACTGGCTTCTGCACTTGAGCCCTGCTTAACACCCAGGTTGTCATCATGCCCCCCCGACCTCATTTTGTGGCTTCTCCGGCGAGTGCGTCGGCGCCGTTTTTTCGTGTCCTGAGGATTATCAATGTCCGGATCGACATTCTCCATATCTTCGTGGCCGGTCTCCGGATACTCATGCCGATCGGTTATCGTTTCAGTGCTCGGAATCTCCGGTGAAGGGTAGTCTAAGTTGAATGCCGGCTCAACTGGTGTAAGTCTCGTATCTGTCTCCACCTGGATGGCTTGCGGTATCTCAGAGGATGGTTCCTCTTTTGTCACGATCGGAACCTCCAAAGCATCGCCTGAGTGCGTTTCATTGGAAGGGACTGTGCTAGGAGCCTCCACAGCTAGGACTTGACTCTCAGAAGTGGCCTGGGGAGGTGTCCAATCGTGCGCAATGATGGAAAGCCTCTTCGGAACAAACTCTTTTGCGTCCGGCTTCAACACTGATGATGACGATCCTGTCTTTGCGGAAGAATCCACATTCTCCGGCGTCACAACTGGTGCCTGCACTGGTGAGGCATTCTTCAGGATTCCATGGTTTGGCGCCGATATACGGGGGTTCTGCAAGGGGTGGAACTGGTATTCGGGATACCACACGGTTCTTCCAGGGAGGCTGAATGTAACCGCCGGGCGTGAAGACGCCGCTCGCTTAGATGATTCCGGGATTTCAATCTGTCTGGAAGATGAATCTTCACCATTTTTTGGAGCGTTGTCGGAATGGAGCGGGTCGAAAAGATCCTCGAGCAAGCGGGGTTCCTTCGATTCCGATTTCGGCACAGATTCGTCGCGGTTACTCTGCGTTGACCAGAGCTGAAAGTACTTTCCTTCAAACTGCATCAGCTCCTCATGAGTTCCTTTCTCGATGATCTTGCCCTCCTTGATGACAACTATGAGATCCGCGCCCATTATCGTCGAAAGGCGATGCCTATATTCCTGTAAGCTGCTGATCATAGATATTTGGAGCCAGCACTCACGCCACAATAAACATCGTCCGATCTGTGCCGAGTTTCCTCAGGGCCCCCTGGATCTGGCGTTCGGTTTCCATATCAATCATACTCGTCGCCTCATCCAGCAAGATGATCTTGGGGTTCTTCAGAATAGCTCTAGCTATCGAAACCTGTTTGAGTGGCGTCAGCCTTAGAGTTACGCTAGGAAAGATCAGCTGTGGAGTGCAGACTGTCTTATATAAGGCGCTGTGTGGTGCGCAAGAGGGACTTACTCTCTGCAATTCGCCGCCGGAAAGCTTTACGCCACGCTCGCCAACCTTGGAGTTGTAAGCATCCGGAAAAGTGAGGATCTTCTCGTGAATCGAGGCTGCGCGACACGCCTCGTACACATCTAGTTCGGACTTGTCAGTCATCGTTCCGTTTTATTCCTAAGCACCATCTCACCTTCGTCTGTGGCATCAAAGTTGGCATATTTGATGTTGTTCATAATCGTGTCATTGAACAATTGTGGGTCCTAATCGTGTCAGTACTTATGTCTAGCAAACTGACGGCTAACTAACCTGAGGCACAACCCCAATGTGCTCGCGCAGACTTGATAGTTTGATATCCCGGATATCGTGGCCGTCGATTTTGATAGCGCCAGAGGCGACGTCGTAGAAGCGGAAGAGGAGCTTCAAGCATGTTGTCTTTCCCCCACCGGTTTCCCCCACAAATGCCACCGATTTACCCGCTGGTACATGGAGACTGACATCCGTAATCGCGGGTTTTCTAGAGTCATACGAGAAGCAAACGTTCTCAAAGTCGATCGTCCCTTCCAGTTTATCCAGCACCAACGCACGCGGGTCATCCCGAACCGCTGACTCTGTCTGGAAGAGCTCCAACAGGCGCTCCGCATCGAGCATTTGAGTCTGAACCCTCCGATAGAAGTTTGCGAAGAAGGATAGCGGGGCGGATAACTGAGCCCAGTACGACAGCAGAGTCACAAAGCTGCCGACTGGCTGCACTCCTGTGGTGACTTGATAGACAGCATAGAAGCAGGCAGCAAGGAGCCCCACCATGAAGATGAGACTCTGGCCCACATTGAGAACCGAGATCCCAATGAGCCATTTGCGCTCAGCTTTCTGGTAAAGGTTGATAGCTGTCATAATTGATCTCGTCAGCACCCATGATACGACGCTAGGGACACCGGAATGAAGTACCTCCACGAAAACGGTTCTGCTCGTAACTGATTCGGTTGAAGTACTGGAGCACGTTAGATCCTCTACAACTAACTATAGCTGGAGCAGCGGGACTTACGCTGACGGTGGCCCACGACGACACTGTTTCGATCAAGATGCTGACTTCATTTTTTCCTGCCTGCACTAATGTGAGTTTAGAATCTTCATAACTCTCGAGAGATCGTGACTGACATTATTAAGTTCCCTTCTCGTGCTGTTCCTCGCAATACTCAATTTGAATGTAGCGTAAAGGTACACCACCATGACGGAACCGACAATCAATGCCATATAGGTGCCGAAAACGATGAAGAAGTACGCGAAGGCAACAAGGAGATCCGCAAGCATCGGAAAAACCTGAAAGAGGATTGTTTCGACGAATCCATTAACCGCACGGCCTTGCGCTATCGAACTCCAAACATCACCGGTCTGCTTGTTGCTGTGAAAGTCATACGAAAGAGACATGACGTGGTTGTAAGCAGCGCCAGTCAGGGAACGATACGAGTATTGTTCGATCGGCATCCAGAGGAAGTTTTGCAGGGCCTCAACGCCGGAAGCCGAATCCAGCCATCGCAATGCGACATAAAATGTCAACTGCACCCATGGGATACGACCTGCAGTACCAGTTAGCACAAGTGTACATTCCAGCAAGTCCGATCACGGCCCCCCAGTCCATATCCGATTCACCAGCCCACTCTATCCATATGCAATGGGCCCCACGGGTCCGCGTGGTGTGTCCACCCGGACTGTGGTGCGTGATCCAGGCCGGAAAAGTGGCCTAAAGGTCTGAGAAATTGTGAGGCTTACCACCGGCATCCATCAAGGAGTTGGTGACCACACCGAGTTGATGTGGGACCAGAACGTTCAGACCTCTTCCAGCAAGCAAGCATAACCCCACGAGGAACATGGTGAATTGCAGCCACCGGTCGCCTTGCGGCCAGACATAGGGCCAAAAAATCTGCGATAATCACTGCTGTCAGAAGAATCCTGCGTGTCCACCGGGCCCTCCCTGATACTGACCGAAAACGACTTTGCGTACGCCCACCAACTTCCACTCTCCTCTATCTTCTTCAGCATCCTCTCCTTAGCTTTTCTCATTGCTTCGGCCTCGCCATCGTCAGCCACGCCATCGGAATCCGACACCGATCCGTAAATAGAAGGCGAAGCCTGGCCGTCTTCCGAACAAAGCAAGCGAGCCGATTCCTCGCCAATGGGGTCGTCCGGATCCTGGCCCCAGACAGCCCACAGGCCTAGCGGCAAAACAAGGAACATCAGGAGCCGTGATCCTTCGACACAGAGTCTGGCAATCTCGAAATTATTGGGGGCCTTGTTTGTCGCGAGAGAGAGACCAAACAAGGAGACTTCGGCCACCATGGAAAGGAGCCATGAGCCATAGTATGGATACCAGGTGGGGTTCCGCGTGTCGAGCAAAACAAGCTCCATGGATCCCCACAGCATTATGGACATCAAAAGGTAAACCTGGGACAGGGTCAGCCCAACGCCGCAAAGCTCAGTCGTGCTACCTCGGGTACACACCACATTATCTGACGAACTCCACCATCCACTCTCGGCCAAGGAGCGCAGGCACATCAACGCCGCTTCGCCAACCTGCAAAAATCCAAAACTTGTCAGTCGAGAGCGCCAAACAAATATATATGTTCCCAATATCTTGGGACGAATGGAAAGCACTCACATAGCTCACAATGACTGCCAATTGCAGCATGATGAACAATCGTTTCCGATGATCTCTCTGGGGTGCGGTCCGACTTGCGAGGGTGCACATAGTGATAACCTGGGATCCGACGAACCAGACAAGAAATGCAGAAGGATACACATAGTGTATGAGGCGGATGACGTCGAAGACGGCATTCGTAGGAGAAAGTGCAGCCATAGCGAAGATACCGGGGGTGGGTTGGTAAAAGGAGGGGAACCAACTACCGCAGTAACTTCGACAGTGACGGTGTCTGAGAGGGATGAAAGGGAAGAGCTGAGCTGAGGGACTCAGAGCGAAATATGTTGTTGTGTATCGACTTTTCGAAGATGCGGATTAGTAAAGAGATGGTACAAGGGTAGTAGTAGGAAGTGAAGTATGCAGCATGAAGCAGAGGCTATTTTAGGGGGGAGGGGGTGAGTGTTGCAGCAGTGCAGTTGTGGCTGATATTGAATTGACAACAGCCGATAGATCGTAAAACGAGAGACCGAAGCGAAGATGAAGCGGATGAGGGAGAGGGAAGGGATGGTTACTTACTTACGTAGGGACGTGCTCGGACGGGCTTTAACAGCAACGGAGGCAGCCGAGAACAATGCTAGGATGGAGAGGGAAGGGAGAGTGAGAGAGTGAGAGAGTGTGTGGGGGGAGGGGGAGAGGAGGGGGAGGGAGAGAGGGAGATCGTCAGGGCAAGTTGGAAGCTGGCGGAGTAGCTCGAGTTGCGAAGAGCAGAGCAGATCAGTACAGGAACGAACGAATGGGGAAGGGGAGGGTCAAAGGAAGGAAAGCCTGAAGTGGCAGCAGCAACAACAGCTTCAACACAGTGCAGCGAGCTGCCGGAATATCAAAGAGTCCAGGTGAGTTGATCGACGCAATGGAACAGAAATGCTGAATACGCTCGGGACGGATATGCTAACTACGTACGATGGCAGGCAGGTATGGCGAGGCAGGAGGCTGGATGCAACGAATGCAACGAATGCAACCCTGAGGAGCAGCACTGTCGAGTCTCGACGGCCAAACAATTATAGAATAAAAATAAAACAACACCCGGCGGCAGGGAAGAATTCGATGCGGCAGCGGCAGTCTGGCAGCATGCACTCAACACCAGTACCAGTACGGTCCACCGGCCACCAAATGGGACGAAACGGCGGAGAGAGGGGCAAAATAAAAGGAAGCGTCCCGGAGGCAAACAGAAAACAGAAAACAAACGAAGAAACGAAGAAACGTGCGGCTCAGCACTGGGCTCGATTGGCGGCGGCTGGCTTGCTGGCTGGCTTGCTGGCTGTTCGGGCTCGCTTTTGCGGGTGCGGAAAACGGTTCACTCGCTTGCTCCAGACATCTACTATACTGCGGCCGATGTGCACCACCCACCGATCGATCTCCGGCAACAGAGACACAAAGGGCAGAACAGGCAACAGGCAACAGGCAACAGGCAACAGGCAACAGGCAACAAGCAGCAGGCAGCAGGCAGCAGGCAACGATACCGCCGTGATGGATGGTGATGCCGAATATTGGCGATGGTTGCTGGCGAGGAGGAGGAGGAAGAGGAGGGAAGAGGGAGAGGATGATTACGCTGAGGGCTGGCGAGCTTGGAATGCAAATTCGACGGCCCGGCGCAGGGTGGATCGTCCTCTTCCCTTTTGACTGCGCACAGAAATTGGTCCGTTGGGTCGCTTTACTCATCTCGCTCCATGATCCATGGCAACAACGAATGCGCCAACACCATTGGCAATCAACAGATTAATCAATCACTACAACGATGGCACCAATATAGCTAACGTCCACACCCAACACCGTAATCAACTCGACACGCACCTGTCCATCCTAACCAACCATACGCCACCACCACCACCACCACCACCAACACCACTACAACAGCCCAGAACTCAGAGCATGGAGCCCGGAGCCCAACGATGAATGACCTCACCTCCACCGCCAGAATCATCACCGGCATCATCCACAACACCGTCTCTTGTCGGACACCAAGACTCACTATGGAACGAATCGCATGTGGGCTGGTGTGTGGGAAAGGAACGGAGAGCAATGGCAAATTACCTACACACCTCTTACGTCCGTACCAGCCAGCCAGTCCTTGGGTCAGCTAGTCAGTCAGTCCTCCAGCTAGCCAGCCAGCCAGCGCCGGACAGACACGAATGAGCGAGCTGGCCGACTGACAGATAAACGGAAGGCGAGCTCCTGGCGATGCCCATCGCCAACAACAGCAAGAAAACCAGGCAGGTTGGAGCCCGTATCGTCAGAGTTGGTGCCCATCTTTCTCCATCGTAGGTACCTCACCGCCTACACGCTTTCAAGCAATCCAACTAGAACTGATATCCTCCCTAGGCCCCCAACCTAATCCCCCAACACTCGTTTCATCGACCAATACGAAGGCTGGCCGGCCAAGGTGGTGTCCAGAATATCGAAATATCTCATGGGTACATGCCGTCGTACATAGCACTACCGCCGCCGTGGATTCTCACTCTCCGGGTGATCTGATCCTCACTGTCGGCAATCTGCTGTAAGCACACCAGCACTCCGTCGACCGTCGACCCTCGGCCCTCGACTCTGCTCCTTCCCTCCCTCCATCCCTCCCTCCCTCTCTCCTTCCGCCACACAACACCCCACCCCTCCCCACCCCCCACTCGTCCCATCCACTCCTCGCCCTTTCCTTTTCCAACATGCCGCGAAAAGAAAAAAAGAAAAAGGGTGTGCCAAGCTGACATCTTTCAAGTGCACATCCACACGTACACACTTGCTTAGGTACGTATATCCATCCACATGTGTCCATTTTCTCCGGCATTCATTTTTGCCTTTCCGCCGTACACGTCAGTCAGGTCGAGTCGGTGTCTTCAGAAAGGACAGGACAGGACTCGCCCATCCCCCCTCCCCCTTCCCCAAAGGGACCGGCTGCATCAAGGCTCCGCACCCACGCCCTCAGGCCAGCTCTGCCAATATTCGCCGTCCGCAATCAATCTTCGCGGACCCTATTCGGGCTCGCACCTCACACCTTTAAGGCTCTTTTGGAAGTCGCTTGTTGCGCATTTCCCGGCGTACCACTTGCCATTGGTTACCAAACACCCAGAACCCTGGTGATTTGTCGGTGTGGACCTTCTGGTCAGCGGCGCACGGACACCTACTCACACTACCTTGTCCCAGGAAGAGGACCAACTCCCCCCCCTCCCCCCTCCCCCCCTCCCTCCTCATTCCACACCAATTCGGGTCCATCCTGGAAAGTATCTACATTTTCCCCAGACCCATACACGCACCTGCCAGCAGGATTCCGAGATGCAACTGTCAAACGGAATGTCACCGCCCGTCCGTCCCGTCGCTGACGACTGCACTCCACAGCAAAGCTGGTGCCGGTACATCGAAAAAGTTCTCGGATTACGGACGGCCACTTTGTTTAACTGCCATGTACACGGTAGTACACGCAAACCGACCGGCGACCGCTCATCAGCATCATCAATCAGCAGATAATAAAAGGCCCGGGAACCGGATACTTCACCTTGCATAATGCAATGGGCCAATACTCTCCCATATCAGGGCAGGCATCATCACCACTGGCTGGCAGGCGCTCCATTCAAGCCCGGCAGTGGGACGGAATCCAGTCTATGTCCGTATGCACCTTGGGGTTCCGGGTGGTTTCACTGCAGTATTTATCCCGGGAGGAGCATCATTAGCTTGCACGTATTTGTGTAGTGTGTGGTGGCCAATTCAAGGGAGTCTGGTCCTGCGGGGTATGTGGGTAGGTTGGGGTTTTTTTTCGCAGTTATCTTGAAGCGTATCCCTTCCTTCTCGACTCGGCTTGCTGGACTGTGTTCCGATAGGCAACTTCTAATCGTGGCCTTCGGAAGGTAGGGGGCGGTATACCACGTCGATCATAACAACAGCGGCTGCGCGCTGCCGGTTGGGCGTGTAAACCAAAGGGACAACTTGGCCCTGGCCTGCACTCGACCGAGTGAGTATTTGTGATTTCCCGCCTGCATAAACGCGTCCATCCCACAGTTCTGAAAGGAGACATAGGTAAGTGCTTGGAATGGACCCGGATTCCCGGTCACTTGACAACGGGTTGCTTCCTCAAATGCACACGCACTTTGCATTCCAAGCCGGCAATAGCGCCTATTGCGCGGACTTGGCTGGACGGCGGGTTCCGACGCCGGGACTTTGTCTCTCTGGCCCTACTCAAGTACCTACCTGCCGGGGGCACACAGGCGGATCTACTGATTTCTCGCAAGAGATTTTCTCCGGAAGCGGTGGTGCTTCGTTTTTGATATGTGGGGGTGAAAATTAATGACAGCATTCCTCATGCTCAGTCAGACATTGAACCGCGTCTAGAGCTGACGGCGTTTGAGGAATGCTCGGAAGAGATTTCCATGCTTTCATGCTTGCTTCTTCCATCCTTGCTTGGCATACCTTCCGCTCTCTACTGCGACTGCGCGGTTTGCAGCTATCGGTAGCTCACACATCAGGAAGTAACTTCCCCATTGATCGATGTTCTCTCGCCCAAAAAAGAAAAACAAAAAGTGCAACATCGACTCTATTCTCGGTGGCTTTTTCGACAATTCCATCGACGATCTGTACTCGGCTTTCCGGTCTGGCCCCCATGATTCCGCACAACGATCGGCACTTGTTGGACCCAGGTCTCGGCAATCGTTTGATGTGCAGGTAGCTATGCGTCGGGAGTGGAGCTTCATAGTTTCTCGTTCATTCGTAATGTATATGTATGTACGTTACTTTACGCGGATCCGGGACGATAGATTGGAAATGGACCGCCTGCGCGGATTAATACCCAGCTTATGGTAATACGGGGTTAGGCGGGAGAGTATGTGGGTCTTGACGAAGAAGTGAAGTCGTGTTAAGGTTGGGCTTTTGGGAGCGGGCGTCGGGCGGCTCCAGCGATACGGATGTAGTGAAATGCCAAGAGTCGGTGCTGTGTTGCTGTTCCCGTAGATATTCAGGATAATATCGGATTGGGAGTCTATGACTCTACAGCCGGCTCCATCACGCGGCTCCATCACGATGCGTTGCCGTGAAATGCCAATGCCGGTACGTACAACCTCTGTATCTAAGTGTGTACATATACCGAAATGAAAACTTCCCCACGCCCTCCCCACCCTCCAACAAGGCTACTCCTTCTTCTTGAAAAAACTTGTCAACTTCGCCATGCCCCTGGTATTAACCTTTCCTAGCTCCCTGACGCCTCGACTAACATTCTTCTTCTTCTTCGCCTCGTCTTCCTCGGTCTTCCGTTTCTTCTCTGCCTTCGCATCGGAGGCTTCATCGTCATTCCCACGCTTCAGCGAGAAGTCTCCCGACCGGGCGGCGGCAGAGTCGAGGCGTAGCTGCTTGAGATGTGCTAGGTGTTCGTCCAGTATCGCGAAATCGTGGACAGAGGCGAGGTGCTCGGTGAGTGCTGTGGCTAGAGATGTGGGGAGGTATGTGCTGCCGAGGAATTGTGCAGATACGCGGAGGCGGAGGAGGTGTGTCATGGCGGCGTCTGGCTCCTCCTTCGGTGTATCCTCCATATCCCCCTCCTTCTTCTCATCGCTCTCCTTCTCCGCAGCTGTGGTCTCCTCCTCCTCGCCGCTCCGGGCCTCGAGCACCACCACAGACGCGGCAGTAACCGGCTTGACCAACGGCCTCCTCACAAACTCCTCCTCGAGACTCCTCGGCAGCGCCTGCGCCATAGCCTGACACTTCCTTGCCAGCACTCTCCGCGTTTTCTCCAAGCACAGGCGATACGCCTTTTCCCCGCCCGCATCGATAGCCGCACACACGGCGCGGACCCTGCGCTCAACGACGTTTCTCTGCGCGGCCAGCACGGCCGCCCACACCGCAGGCAGCTCATCGAGCAGGTCGTCGAGCGGGAGGAAATGCTTCTCGTCCGCCTTCGCGAGCAGGTGCGGGAGCAGCAGGAAGAGTGGGTCTAAGGGAGTGGAAATGTACAGGCTCCCGTCTGAGAGCGTGTACCCCGGCGACGGGTGTGTGAGGAGCCAGGACCGTGGCTGCGATGATGGAGGCGTGATCTTGGTCAGCTCGTGGAGGCCCGCGGAAGGGTGCAGGAGGTAGCGGGTCGGTGTGCTGGTACGCGGGTGGGGGAGCGTCAGGATTTTGGTTGGGGACGTGGAGGATGGCGTGGGCAGGATCGCTATTAGGGTCGGTGGGGGAGGCATTGGCGGTACTGCTGGTGGTGGTGCTGGTGGTGCTGGTGGTGCTGGCTGGGAAGGATAGTGATGGCGCGTGAACTGAGTGAGGAGACGTGTTTACGTCGGACGCGTTTGGGTCTAGGTACTCTAGAGTTGGTGTGGTTTTGGGTTTGTCGCGTAGATGGATGGGAAGGTTTCACGCGGGACCGCGCTGTGAAGAGTTTGTGTGTACGAACCCATGGAGAACAAACCGAGTGGTTACTGGACGTGGTCTCACTGCGCCCTGCCAACTTTTCCCCATCTCGAATCTCTGTAATTCTTCAGTAAATAGGCTTCCAATGGATTCATGATAGGAAGCCGTTGGTTATCTAAGCTTGTCGCCGTTCCTACACCCCTGCATTGTAGCATCCACTTCACTGTCTATCTGTCTGTCGTGTCATCGGTCATCCACCATCCTTCGTCCAACGTCGGTGCAAACAGAGCCAATCACCCAATCTTGTGATCGTGAGCCGAATACATAGAATAGCAACTATCTCGACTACAACAATAGCAACAACAGCAGCAGCAGCATCAACAGCCGAACAGCGGAAAGATTAGCAAGCACATGCCACTCGACGATGTCCAGCGCCGCCGCCTCCTCCAACAACAAAGGTAAGTGCCTAACCTCCGCGCGCCACTCCCCACGAGTGATTCCCAGCTCACTCGCCGCGACCCGTTTGCACAAACAGATATAGTGTGGCCACCACAAACCACACAAGATGTGCTGAACCTCACGCCTCGTAAGAACCGGCACAACTACACGATGTCGAACCCCCCGCTCTCGCCATCACCACTCCGACGCTCCTCGCAGCCCGCGCAATTGGACGGCGGACCCTCCAGCGGCGACGAAGAATCTACCGACGAGGACGAGGAGGTGCTGAAATTGAAGCTGCTAAGGATCGAGGCGAAGTTGAAACTCAAGCGGCTCGAGAAACAGAAAAAGAAGCGGGCGCTCGCGGCGGCGGTCGGAGGAGGTGGAGGGGGGAGAGGGAGGGCAGAGGAGAAGAAGGAAACCAAGTCGGCTGCTCCGGTCGTCGAAGTCCCCCTGTCGCCATCCGCGAGACGGTCGCTGGCAACGCATCCTCCTTCGCCGAAATCGCCGTCGAGGGTCCTACTCGGTATCGATAGGGGCCTTACCGGGAAAGATGTTTCGTTGCGTCGTGCGCCGCAGTATAGGAAGCAACCGGCACCCATTGCTAGAGCACCTTCCCCGACACGCCCCGCGAAAACATTCAGCCAGCGACTTGCGGAGGAGCGCTCGCGCGAGAATGAAAAGTTTGAGAAGCAGAAGAAGATTGCTCAGACGAGGAGTAAAGGGTTTGGGTTCGAGGCCGATGCGGAAGCGGGAGTGGGAGCGGCGGGAGGAGTGTCCACACAGGCGGCGCAGAGAGCTACACATTCGTTCACGTCTATCCTCTCCGGCTATGATCAGAACCAGCCGAATAATCGCCTCTCAAAATCATTCACGTTCACGGCCGGCGGTGGCTCCTCGCAGAATATAGGCCGCCCGGCCTCGCCTACCCGACCGTCGTCTGCCCCCCATGCTGCACCCGCACCGGAAGAATCTACCGATGAAGCAGGCTTCGATTCGTTTTCGGGCTTGCACCTGCTCCGGCGTGTCACCCCGCATCCTACGGTCTCTCGGTACTTGGCGCAGAAGACCATCTTCCAGCTGCCCGAGCTCCTCAAGACCATCGTCTCGCCAGACTACGAACCACCAGAGGTAGAAGGCGATTGGGTCGTTGTGGCGACCATCTGCTCCAAGTCGGATCCACGAAGTGTTGGCCAAAATACTGGCGCCAAAGACACCGGCAAGAAGTACATGGTGATGCAGCTGACGGACTTGAAGTGGGAGATTGAGCTCTTCCTCTTCGGCGCGGGCTTCGAACGTTTCTGGAAGCTCCCAGTCGGCACAGTCGTTGCCCTGCTAAATCCTGGCGTCATGAAGCCACGCAACAAGGACTCCGGCCGGTTTTCGCTCACCATATCCGACGACGCAGCCGACTGCCTCCTGGAAATCGGCTTCGCGCGGGACCTTGGCTTTTGCCGCTCCACTAAGCGCGACGGGAAGCAATGCGGCACATGGATCGACAAGCGCCACACCCACTTCTGCGCCTTCCACGTTGAGCAAACCGTCAAGAAGGCGCGCGTCTCCCGCGCCGAAGTCAACAGCATGACCAGCCTCTTCTCGCCGCCGAAAAAAGGCACCCTCAAGCCCCGGAAGTTCCTCAGCGCGCGCGGTGCAGGCGGCCGCGCAAAGGAACGCGACGACGGCCTCCTCCAAGAAGGTCCCATCGCCGACGTACCGCAGCGTCTCGGCGGCGCAGGCGGCAACATCTTTGTCGCTCCCGGCCGCTCCACCGCCGCCCTCCTCGACGACGAAGACTACCTTGCCAGCAACTTCTCGCGCGGCACCAAGGAGGACCGCCTTCACAAGCGTCTCGAGGACGGCAAGCGCGAGCGCGAGCTTACAAAACGCATAATCGAGTCCCAGGGTCGCGAGGGCGGCTTGGGCGCTCAGTACCTTCGCACCCGCATCGGAGACACAGCGAGCGATAAGGAACGGGCGGCTACCCGTGCCCGCGAGGCGGCGGATCGGAAACAAGTACCCATCCCACCCCCCGTCTCTCCCAGCACAACACTAACACCCAGAATAGGTATCGGAGTCCCTCTCATCGCTCCGCAACAACAGCGCCCGCGACATTCGACTATCGCCGATTAAGCGGAAGCGCGCAGGAACTATGGGCTCCGCCCCGGTGGTGAAGAAGACAAGGTTTGCGCCTGCGCCTACGCCGGTGCCGGTGCGGGCGAATGCCATTGATGATGATGATCTGGATATTGTCCATGAGTAAAATGATTGTGATGCGATACCCGGGGAGTTTTTTTTGGCGCTTTTATTTTCGAGAGAGGGAGAGGAATGGGGAGGGGGGGTGGGTGTATAAGTTTGAGTTTTGCCGGTTGTCTATAGATACTTCTTGGAATAGTGCTCGAGCCCAGGAGAAGGGGACGAGTATATGGTCATGCCATGTCACTCGGGTTGGCCGTCCTTTTGGATAGTTACTTGTTCGCAGTAGGTGCATGGATACGTCACTCGTTCCGTTCCCTTGAATAAAAGGATCCTTTCTATGATTGAAATCCTCTTCCGTGGTTGTGTTACTGAGCATACGTTTTTGAACTTGTGCAAAATGCACTCCAGTGTGTACCGCCTAGACATCTTGGATAAATTAAGTACCCGAACCTGTGTTTAGGACCTCGAGACGGTTTCGTGTAGATGAAGCCCCCCCACCCACCCACTACCACTACCACCACCACACACATGCGACCACTTTCTAATATCTGCAAAACAGCCGGCCCAAAACCTAGCCACAGCCTGTGATGTGTCTGTATTGCTCCAACTCGGGGTGATCAGCATGGTTTTAGATTAGCGATTACCTGGAGAAGTGAATGAGGAGGAGAGGTGTAAGACAGTATCTACATAAGAAGGAGTTTCTACTTTCTGACCGGTCGCTCGCTCGCTTGAATGCTTGATTACGGTAGTTATCCTTCACAGTGGTTTGAAGTTTCACGTTCATCGCGAGCACTTTGGATATAATGTTTCCACGTGTCGTGCAGTGCACAGTTCACGCCACAGCGCGCGGTAATAGGAGAGTACACTGTACGACTGGCTGTGCACAGTGCGAGTCCTGGATATAGAATTTCTGGCAAATGCACTCGTACCACGGTAGTGACGGGAGTTGCCCAGCACCTTGTACTTCACTCCCCACACCCCTCCCGAGTCCCCAGACGCCGTTCGAGTTTCAGTTTCAGTTCGCTCGACGATTCCTACAGATACGGAGTTACGCAAGCTACACAGGTACATACGTGAATGCGCCGGGTGCATTGACATGTCTCTCGCGAGGTCCACTGGACGTGCGCCTGGCACTTGCAGATCCCGGACGTGCCCTACATCATATGTGTACCGCCTACTAAACTTGTAGGACAGGGCAGGGGAGGAATACCTACATAGGATGAAACGGCGGTTCTGCACTTGCATTTGCACTTGTGCCCGTTACTCTATATCTAGTACTGTCACGTAGCTGAGGAAGGTATGTATGTGGCTAGGTAACTAGGTAAGACGGCGGGGGGCTATGTTTTCGAGATGTGGAGACAATCGCAACTGGAGTCTGGGGGAATGGAGGGGGGAGGGAGGCTTCGCGGATCCAAAACTCCCAAGACCCCAAGGCCCAAGACCCCAAGAGACCGCAGCATAGGCGGGTGGATAACTGACGGCGAAGGCGCTTGTATGTGAGCTGCAGCCCCACGAAATTATCGATCACCGGTTCAGGGCGAAATTAGCCGTTTCCTGTCTCCAAGATCCATCCAGGTGCGCCGTCGTCATGAAAGCAACAAATCCCCCCACCTCTCCCCTGTGCGACTCCATCCGTCCGTTCTTGCAAAATAAAACGTCAACGGATGTATCGCCTGTCACTTTATCATGTATATACTTAAATCCCGCCGGTAACTTGCGCTGCAGGCCGGGAGCATCTATTCATCGACTGTCTCTCATATCCGTCTCGGTATGTAGATAGTCGTGTGCAAGTGCAAGTGCTCGGTGTCGCAGGTAATCGGCATTGATGTCGAGAGCATGAGGGCTGGACAGTACCGTATGGCCGTGGTCTAATTGCCTCTGGTCAAATTCGAGAAAAACATCCCACTGCACATTGCCGACGTCTGGCTCTCGGTGATCACGGCGGCACTTAGTGCTATATATAATCGTGCCCTGACAGATGGGGGGAATGTGTCCGATCAGAGAATGTAAGAACTATAAACAGACGATGGAGATTGGAATTGACATTCCTCATTCAAGCGACCGAAAGCGAACCGCATTCCCAACTTCCAAGTCGTAGCCGGAACCATCTTGCGGGTTTCTTGATGGTTAATTGCTAAGGAAGATGGCTCCTGGGTAAGACGTCTTGGAGGCCTTCCAGCCCATGAGAAGGGAGAAAGCGGCGCCATCACGTCGTACATACTTGGTACTATAGGTACGAGTGACTAATTCACTTGAAACTCCTAGCAGCAGTAGTATTGCCTTTGCACTCCCCCCGCCATTCCAGTCGCAATCTGACTCGGCTTCTTCACAATATCCATCCTTCTGCTGCGTCCACCGCCGGGAATCGGGTGGGCAGATGGCCTATATGGGTTCCGCATTCACTCCTGCTCTTCCGCTGAGTCCTTCGTCCGTCATCGGGAACTTACTTCCCTAGCTTACCGCTGGACAAGTAACAAGTTCACCGCACCATGTCTGCGTTTCCTCCCACTCGGGCCATCACTTTTTGAAACAACATGCGCCGAGATAATAGCATATTGACGCGAGCGGGTCCGCGGCTCCTCAGTAAGTCTCCAAGGAAACTACACGATCCTCAAGAGATAAATAGAGTCTGACTCAGGTAGAGTGCAATGGTTTCTTGCGCCCCTCCCCGCCTCCTCTTCTTCTCGGGAGGACTGTCGAAGACTTTCTTGGGCGCAATCGACGGCTTATTGAAGTTGATGGATGGTCGGTCCTTATCAGCATCAGGTGCACAACACCTCAGCTGAAAGCTGAAGGAGGGATGATAGATCCCTCAATATTGGCAGATTTCCGGAGCCTTGCTAAGTAGAGTAGTCGAGATGCTCCCAGAGGTTCCATTGGTTTCGGTCACGCTGGCCTATTGATTTTTGGGCTGGAGGGATCGTTCGCTGTCATTCCCGTTGAATTCTGTCGAGCCTGTTGTCGAGACCATACGAGCGATGTCGGAGATCTATTGTGGAAGTTAGTAAAGCATAATCAATGTATGTGGAGTCCTTACCAGTATCTAGTGTGTGAAAAGAAGACGGAGAATGCGATCCATTTAATTTGGCGGTGAAGAGACCAGAGTACTCGACTGTCTACCGTAGAATTCTGATAACGAGTCGCACTTTTGAAAAGCGACTCTTGGAGAAACGGCATGTCTGCGAGGGCTGAGATGGCGAGGTGATGTTGTTGGGAGATGAGGCTGCTGTTATCGTGAACTATTCCACGAACAATTAAGTTAGTGTACACGGCCATTCCTGGCACGTCATCCGAATCCACCACCATCCCCAGATTCAAAACTCCGACGCGCGCCACGCCAGACTACGTGACGATCCAATCAGACGGAACGGTTTCGGCAGGAAATGGAGGAAGCCGCAGAGCTCGGATATCGCGGTCCCGCGGTTACTAGAGGTACTTAAACAACACTTTACCCCCGGTGCAAATTTAGGGAAAGGGAACAAAAGGGAGCCGGAGCATCCTTGACGCCCATCTCTCTCACCCCTTCTCTCACTCCCGCTCGTTGCTTTTCGACCCTCGCCATATCATCCTATCCCTTGATTTTGCCGGCCCTGATTCGTTCTTTCCTGTTGTCACCACTGCTACTATCTCGGCCGTCGTTATTTCCAAGATGGTGAGTACCGTACTCTATTTATTGTCGGTTGTAAACGCTGCACATCCAAGGGCTTGCTTGCAGCTTTTAATTGAAGGAGAAAAAGAGAAGACATCCCCCGTATATGATATCGAGCCTCTCCCCTCCTTCCCAGCACAAGTCCTAGCCTCAACTCCCAGCGCACAAATCCACACGTTTAAATACAACCCGCACCCTGCCCAGAAACCAGCTGACATGGCGAAGTCCAGCTTCACGAACATGTTCAACCGCTTGCCGATCTACTCGCGGCCGCCCAAGGAGCCATGCATCGGCGAGCCGGTATTAACGCACACGTCGAACGAGCAGCTCTCGGGAAAAGTACCGGCGTCGGTCTTTAGACCACCACCTTCACACGAATTCGACAACCATCTGGGAATCCTTCCTACCGGACGCATGCCGAGTGTGATGGAGCGGGGACTACCGAGCATTCCAACGTGAGCGACTCTGCATACACCCCCACCCCGCCGCACCCCTGGCGGCCTCCAGATAGAGGACTGACTGACCGGTGGATGCGCTGCAGGACTTCAAGCTTTGCGGACGAGTTTCGGCCTGCGACTGGCCCGGCGCCATGGGATGATCCGGATCGCTCGCGCGCGCAACACCCGGATCCGTTGGTATCGCCGCTGCTCAGCGAAGACGCCTGGTCCGCCTCCGGCGATGCTCCGCGGAAGAAGAATAAGGTTACCCGAAAACCGGCGCCGATATCGCCAGTGATGGGGCTGGGTATATGGGACGGTTCGGGGACGGTTACCACTACGATCACCGCCGGCGGTGGCGGTCACACAGACGACCGTGCGGCCAGCAGCAGCAGCAGAGGAGGAGGAGGAGGAGGAGGAGGAGGCCTCGGTTCGGCCAATGCAGGTGCGAGTTCGTCATATAGCAAGGGGGGCATCACGCTGGGGAACCTTGTCAAGGACCGCGTTACTGGTCGGCGCAAGATGTCGCTGCTGAGTCAAGCGCCGCCATCGGTGACGGTGCAGTCGGATGATGGTGACGGTGATGAAGATGAAACGCTGGTGATTAGACCCAGCCCCGCAGGATTAAATTCCATCGACGACTGGCTGGACAGCAGGGAAGGGTTGCATAAAAGGTCCAACACCGTCTCGACTGTTTCCACTCAATACACCCACAACGATTCTTCTTCCCTGAAACTCCATCTTCGACAATCGACCTTTCGGCCGTTGCAACCCCCGGCTGAATTCATACCGGAAGAAGAAAAATCCACGATGCCTGTCCCTCCGATCCCCGCCCGCTTCTACACCAAACCTGTCGTCGCGGGGCCACCGGTACGAACATCCTCACTCGCGCGGCCAAGCACCTCCCAGAAACCGCCGCACCAGCAGCGCGCATTGCCACCGGCACCCAGCAGCCGCCCGATCTCGCCACCGATCACCCCCGAACGTAAGCCGCGCGAAGAAGAGCCGCCGCGCGACCACATCGGGCAGCTCGAGTACGAGCAGGAGCAGCACGAAACCCGCAAGCGTGAGCTGCGCCAGGAAATCTGGGGGATCGAGCAACGGATGAAGGCGGCGACTATGGAGCGAGCGCAGCGCGAGAAACTCAAGGTGCGCCTCGAGGGTCTGAACCAGGAGTATGCGGACGCTGAAAAACTCCACCATGATCTCGGCCTCAAGCTGTATAGAGCCTACAGACGGAGAGATAAGCGCGAGGGCGTCGAGGGGCCGACGCATCTTTGGGTTAGCAGAGTTACTGCTCCACATGGAGGTGCCTGATAGGCCACCTCAATCCATTCTATCTGCAAGCAGGCGTGTGCAGTCTATCCATTCCACCATTTCAACATTTCTTTCGTTCTTTCGTTCTTTCTTTCCGCGAATACCCATCAGCACGGAGTCTTCTTTCTTTCATTTCCTTCTTTCTTCTTGGGAGCCGGTTATATACTTGTACTTTGGATACTTGTGAGCTGTAAACTACAAACTTTGGTGTTTTTTCTTCGTATCATACGGTGTTTAGGGCGAGGAGGTGGGATGGAGATGGGGGAAGGTGTTCATTTTCAATTTCTTGGATTTCAGCGTAGAATAATTTATGGATGACGTGCCATTGCAGACTGTACTCAGATATCACGCTGCTACTGTACTTGAGCAATCGAATCCATGCCGATGCCGAAACCATTATGATCATTACATGTAACTATCGCCAGCTCATCTACCACTTCCACTAACTACCATCAAAAACACAAGCCAACAGAAACAACCTCCAAAAGAGCACACACAGTTCTCGTCTATATTTCTTCTTCGCGCGGACGTCCAACCAACCAACCAACCATTCCCGAAAGCGTCTCACCATCCAACAACCCTCTGTCCACCCCCATAGCTCGCGCCACCACTCCCCCCCTCGGCCATCCATCCTCCCCCAGATGGCTTGAGCGCATCCGCGCCGAGGTACTCAAACAGCCGCCACAGCTTGCGCCGCTTGATGTCCCGCCCCCGCCCCGTGAACGAGCTCAGGAGGCCATAGCTTATCAGGATCCGGTCGAGCGTGCTCGCTATCATCACGACGTATTAGCCACCACCACACTCCAGTATACCCTGATAGCCTGCGGAGGAAGGGGGATATACAATCCATAGCCTCGAACTGATCCCGTGTCAGCGCGATGCTGAAGTCTCTAGGATAACTCCCGTCGTCCTTCATCTTGGGGTGCACCTGGCTGTACACGGCGCCCGGCGGGATCTTGCGGTTCAGACGGGTGACGAGCGCATGGTTACTGCGGCTTCTTAGCTTCCGGGAAGGGAACGGAACGAGAGAATGTGGTGGGGGGAGGGGGAGATGCGTACTTTCGGACGATTTCGTCTAGCGTGGGGGATTGCGTGGATGTTGGGAGGTAGTACTCGCGCTCACGCTCTCGCTCGCGGTAGGAATGGTGGTGGGAGGTGGAGATGCTGCGGGAGATGGTCGGTCGGTGCACGGCTAGGCTGAGGGAGCGCTCGGTGGAGGGGATGCAGCAGGATACGTCGTAGTCGTAGTCAAGGTCTTCTCGGTGGTAGGTGGTCATTGTGAGTGGTTGCTGTGAAGGTAGATGCGTAAAGACTACGGATGTTTGAGGATCTGGATGGAGATGATTTGTGGGTGACTGAGGATGATGTCTGTTGAAGATGAGAGGATGAGGAGAAGAAGATGCCTGGTTGAGTAGAGGTATGCAGCTCTTATACCCATCGCCATCTTCCTCAATGAACTCATACATCTCCAGACATAACAAGATAATCTCCTGAGGCGCAGCAGAAACAACAGAAAACAGAAGAAACAACTCACACCTGAGCTGGGCCTGTAGAAACGAAAGAGGTGCATATAGACCAGGCACTATAGCTAACAATGTAGGCTCCCGTAGGTGCTAAGCCGATGCCCTGCTGTAGTGCATGGAGACTGCCTCGGACATTGAGGTATGATAGATCACCTTGGGGGATGGGGTATGATAGATCACCTTGGGGGAAGGAACGACGATATTCCATCCAGCGAGAGTGTATGGTGTAGGGTGTAAGCATCAATCGATACCTCTACTCTGCTCCATTTACTCCCATGGATACAAAAGAGCCGATACCAGAGAGCCGATACCACGATAGCGATATCGAGTTCCAAGAGCACTCCCTCCCTCTATCCAGCCGTTTCGCTTCCTCCCTTCCTTCCTTCCTTCCGTTTCCGTTCTGGCGAGAGCTCCAAACCCAAGCTCCAAACCCAAGCTCCGATATCCCTCATACAATACAATCTTGCCGCGGCCGCGTTCCAATCGTGACCGTGGCAGCAACCAGTATCTGCCAGCACCCACGGTTTCCTGCGTGGAGGAGAAGGAGGAGGGGGAGCACAAGCAGCATCCATCCATCCATCCATCCAGTGCGGCGTGGCCAGCAAAGAGCTCGCCCCTATAGAGGATGGATGACTGTGAGACTGTGACACCCGACCGTTTGTACCTACATTGTATCGCTCGGTGTATTTCCCCGGACGTCCTCCCCCTCCCCCCAACGGGTGGCACATGTCTGTGGAAGTGCACCGAAGCTTCTACCCTCCCCTTCCGTAGCTATTTCTATCGAGAAGCAGCAACAACTGCCGCCATCCGAGCGGCCAACTTCTCCCAGCCACTAGCAGCCAGCAAAACCCGCACGCTCGCTCGTACGCTCGCGGACGCGCACACCGCTGCGTATGTATCTGGAGCTCCCATCCGCGTTCCGGTCGGTCGCTCCCCTCACGCCTCGTCTGCCCACCGCAGCGGCTCTCCAATAGTAAGTGACGGGCGCACGTTCAGCTGGGGCGACTCAGCCCTGTGGACCTGGTGGGCTGGTGGCGTGTTGTCGTTTGTTCCCCTCCCCCCCGCCCCGCCAAACCAGCCCTGCTCGACCCTCCAGAGAACCGCAAGCACGAATGGCTGCTGGTATGGTACATACGGAACTGGAAGCTGGCGGTGCTCAAGTTAAGGTTTGTCGTTCGTCTTTCTGCGGAGAGGACGTCATCGCTACTATAATTACCATTTGTTAGCAGATTTCACTGTCACTGTTACTGGCGACGAGGTGGAGATACATACAGAGTCTTGATAGGATCTATGTACCTTACATGTCATGTTCGACGGATATCTGCGTGAAGCGTGGCCTGAGAGAGGGTGGTGTCTCTAAGGGGGTGAGGTGCGTTTGTAGGTGGTAGGTGGGTGGTGGTAGGTGGTGGGTGGTGGGCTAGGCGGCGTAAGTGTAGACATCAGTTCTCACTCAGCAACTCACTCGCTCGCGGTGGGCACTGGGATATGCCTTGCACGTGCTATTGACGCTTGGAGCCTTGGGAGACGGTGGCGCCCCGACAGATAGACCGTAGGTGGTTAGAGTCCATACCATGTGGGACACGGGGAAAACGGGATCCGGGAGCACCGTAAATCGCTACCATGGTCGTCCATAGAGTCCCTACCGGCCGGATGCAACGATGAACAGTTTCCAGATTGCTTGGCTTCCGCATACAGAATGTGTAGGTATGCCAACAGCTATCAACATGGACTGGTGTTCCATTCACCCTGAAACTGCTAGTTGCCCCACCCTAGTCCCAGTGTCGATTACCGGCCTAAGGTCTTTAAGCATATGTACGACCAAATCGCACCTGGCCGAATAGCCTTCCCAAAAAGCCATGACGACGTGCATCGCCTTCTCGTGTCCGTGGTCACCGTTGCACCTACCACCGCTTGCCACGCGCCAACGCCTGCCCAGCAGCCTTCCGCTGATGGATGCCTCGGGTGCACCCATTGAGTCTCACGAGCCACCTAATTGCCGCCTTATGTGCAACTACACGAGGCATCAAGCCTCCGGATATTTCAATCCGGGCCATACCGTATATATCTCGCGCGGGACAATGACATCATGAGAAATCATCTTGTTGAGAAATTTGATCAGAAAGACAATTCATTTGTGCGCCATCCATTCGTACCAGTAATTTTCCAGTCCACCTTCAGTCCATCCCCTGCACATGCCCAATCCAATCGACAAAGTAGAAGAAGTAAAGACACTATTCCGTAATTCATGAAAAAACAAGAGAAAGAAAAAGCACACAGATAGATGGGCAGCAACAACTAGGTAGAACAAGTAAGGTAACATGCACCGGCATCACAACAAAAGAAAAACGCGAGGAAACGATTCATTTAGCCCATTTACAACTCCTCCTTCGCGCGGTTAGAAGCCTGGGTGGCCTTCTCTTTGACGGCATCGGCGGCTACCTGCGCACTCTCGTACGCACGGTCCCCGGCCTTCTGTGCCTGATGGGCACCGAAACCCAATAGTGAGCCAAGCTTATCTTGCGCGTAACCGATGGTAGCCTGAAACTGTCCCCAGACTCCCTGGTCCTGACTTCCGTACCGGAAGTAGTGAGCATTCCGTCTAGCCATGGCGATCATCTCGTTGCGGGTGGTTCCCTGGTAGGTGTTGATGTTGTAGGTGTCCAAATAGGCCTTGAGATCGCTGTCGGACCAAGTGTCGAAGGTAACCTCCTTAGCCGTGTCGGTAGCCTGAGCAAGAGCAGATGTGAGGGATGCGAATGCCTGCTTAGAACCTTCGGTGACGGCTTCAGTACCAGCGGAAGCAGCGCTCGCAGCGGAGTCGGTGACGACGGAAGAAGCACTAGCAGCAGAGTCGGTAGCTCTGGATGCTGCACTTGCAACGGAGTCGGCAGCAACGGAAGCGGCACTGCCAGCGGCATCGGTGATCTTGGAGCCGGCAGAATAACCTGACTTAGACGCAGTCTTGGAAGCTTCAGCGGCGGCAGAGACAGCCGACCGAGACGCGCTGCTATAGTATTCAGTAGCAGAAGCGTAGAGCTGGTCGCGGGAAGCAGCGGCGTTGTTGGACACCTTCTGGCCGCGAGCCTCCAGCCAAGCGCGCAGATTCTCCTTGGTCCAGGTATCGAAAGTCCAGGCACCGTATCCGGTTGCGGCCTTGTGCTTGTGCAGCCTAACCTTGGCCAAAAGCTCGTCACGCTTGGAAGCCTGGGGAACGGGAACTCCACGAGAGTCGAGGTAGGCCTTCAGTCTGGTATCACTCCACTGCTCGATAACCTTGTCGAAGGCAACTTGGCCGTAGTAATTCGCAGTGTCGGTAGCCTTGGAAGCCTTGTCGCCCACGACGGAAGTAGCAGCAGACGCAGCGCTGGAGATAGAGGAAGCAGCAGACTCGCCGGAGTAATAAGCCTTGTTGCGACGGGCCAAAGCGATGAGCTCATTGCGAGTGGAACCTTGGGGAACCTTGACGTTGTGCGTGTCGAGGAACTCCTTCAGCTTGCTATCGGACCAGGAGTTGAAAACGGCGTCGGAGACACTCTTCTTTGTAGATTCCTTGTCTTTGGCAGCCTTAACGGAAGCCAAGCGAGAATTGCGACGGACAGCAGCGATGAGCTTGTCTCGGGAAGAAGGCTGGGGTGCTGGATATCCGTGTTCGTCCAACCAACGCCTGTGCACCACCGCCTGTTAAATTCATGCGTCCTAAGCATCGACGCGTTTGGGATCCACTTACTTGAGATCACTCTCGCTCCAAGACTCGTAGAGCCAGTTTCCGGGGTAGGCAGAAGTCTCGCCGAGTTTGTCGGCAACACTCTGATAGTTGTTGCGAGCGGTTGCCAAGAGGGTGTCGCGATTCCGTGGGGTAGGGTTGGGAATTCCGTGGCGGTCCAGGAAGCTCTTGAGCTGACTCTCGGTCCATCTGTGTAACAACACGGTCAATCAGTATGACGTCACCCCAACATAACCACAAACACAATTCCAACCAAAGGCAAGGGAAGCTCACGAATCGAAGATCCAATCCTTGATGCTACCGAAAGCGCTCTCGGCCGTCTTCTCAGTCTCGTGCCATCCTGCTTTGACCTGCTGCACGAGCCAATTCTTGTCCTCCTTCTGCTTCTTGTCCACTTCCTTTCCTGCGTCGCTCAGGTAGCTCTGGAGCTGGGGAGCGTCCCAGTTCTTGTAAGAATCGACGATCCGGGTTTGCCAGTTGTCCTGGACAATCTTCTCGAGATCCTTACGCTCGGCGGGCTTAGGGTAAGGGATGTCGTGGTCGCTCAGCCAACGCTCAAGTTCTGTCTCGTGCCATTTGTTGTATGCTGTGCAACGTCAGTATCAATCAATCACGTCAAGACACCGTATTGCTCTTTCTCTTTCGACGGTGAATGAAGGGGAGCTTACTGGTCTTGCCGAAGCCCCACGACGCCGCGGCCTGGCCAGCAACCGCCGCTATGAGCAGCAGATTGGACAACTTCATGGTGATTGTTTTGTGTTATGTAGGAGTGAATTGCAATGTATCACAATTACTCGGAGGTGGTGATTGTGTCGTGTGGGTTGGGGAGAGGGAGGGAGGAAGAAGGAGGAAGGGACGAGAGATGGAGAGGGGGATTATGATGTAGAAGTAGGAGACGGTTTGTTCTTGGGCTGAAGGAAATTTATGTAGCTTTGGATTAACAGGTATGACGGAGCTTGCATTCAACGGGGCGTGACGTTCCTTGGAGCCTAGGAGTGGCAGCCGGGTGGTTGGTGGATTGTTGCGTGTCTGGTCCTTTTCCGTCGATCACTTATGATGTAATGAAGCGTCATGTTCCATGAAGTCGCTTTCAGTCACCACGGCTTGACACGTGACGAGCGCCGGACGGTACAGACGTCCGTCCGTCAACGGGCGGGAAGTGGAAATTTCGAGATTGGGCATCCCAGCTTCTCCATGATTGCTCGGACACGGTGGGGAAATTTTGTGGGGCAACGTATTTACGTTGCAGCTATAATATACAGAACAAGCGGCCGCAAATAGACAACAGATCAAAAACTCGCAATCAGAACCTATACATCACATGTACATACAGCATACAGCTCAAAAACCCCCTCAAGAAACCGAGCCCTTCGTTCCCTCGCAGTCAAAGCCACCTTCACGGACCCCTCTCACGGCCTCCGCCCGTACCTGCCAATTGTTAGCAGCTATCGCAATCGCAATCGACACCGAGCAATCGGCCAGTCAGCCGCGCTTACCTTTCCAGAACCCCTTATCGACCTTATCGTTCTTCCCGTCCTTCTCGTGGTCGTACCTCTGATCCATCTCTCGATTGTGCTTCTTTGTCCCCTCAGACTCTTTCGCCTTAGTCTGGGAATCGTCGAGAATCTTCGGCTGCGGGTGGTGGTGCTTGTCGCCCTTCCCATCGCCACCCGCCGACGCCGCAGCGTGCGTCTCGCCGTCGGGCTTCCCTCCCGTCTCGTCGTACCCGCCAGTGCCCGTGCCGCGCCCTTCCTTGACAGGCTCGCGCCCTGGGTGCTCGGCCTCAGAGGTCGCGCGCGATTGTCCCTCGAGGTCCACGCCGAAGCCGGTTTGCTCGGGGTCGCCGTAGCCCGACACCGCAGTGTGGTTTCTTGTTTGCGCTGTCGCTGCTGTAACGGCCAGGCTGCGTCGGAGGAGAAGGAGGCGGGTGGTTGAGGAGAGCATGTTTTTTTCTTGATCTTGATCTTGTCTTTCAATTCTTTGTGAGTGCGATTGTGTTTTTTTTCTTTCCGATTGAAGTGTGACAGGAATCGAATGTGAAAAAAAAGAGAGGGGAGAAAAGGGGTTAAACAAAGAACCCGTCCCTCCCCACTGATCATTTCGCAGCGTAATGGCTACGTTTTTGGGCCCCTACCTTGGATTATTCATGAGGTTTCCACTCGGAAGTGGGTTGGTGATGTCACCACTGTCGAGCGAATCGGGACGCTAACTGATAGCTAATTCTAGGCGAGCAAGAGTCCGGCTAGCGTGTCTATCCATGCAAGCCACTACGGAGATCGGCTGTGCATAATCGAAGGCCGAGATCGGCACATGAGATGTCACTCTGCCGTGTGGTCAGGAGGCGGTGATCAAGATGGGAGGTCGCTCTGAGCTGGGTCTTTGTACCGAGTTAACTACCTAGACTGTAGTTACGACTAGTTGTACCGTGTCATAATCTTGATAGGTCAAATACCAGTACACTACGACGAAACAAAAAAAGGATCATTCCAAGCTTGGATTCAATCAGCTTGCATCTCGAATGGGTCCTCCCAGATTCCAGTTCCATATACCTAGCCTAGTACGAGTAACGCCTAAACCACCCACTAGTACCTAGTTCAAGTATCTGATTGATATCGTCCACTACGTAGATCACTCGGTCGGCAGCTTGGAAGTTGGAGCCTTGGAGCCTCATTTCACATCCGGGCAGAGCACCTTCGCTCACGGCAAATGGAGAGCAGAATGGAGCCGATAGGACTTCATCCTTAAAACGGGCAAATCGATGGACGGCATCAATTGCGACTCACGAAAACTCGCTCTAGATTCTATTGAACTTGCATACTTCACCTGTTGCCGATGAAGTCCAAGGCTACTCTTGAGTCTGGTGATTCAAGATGCCGCGCTGTTCTGTAACCACCAGGCCATCCCATTCGCAGTCTTTCCTGAGCCAGCTCGTAATCCACAGCACAAAGCCCCCAGCAGCAGAGCATGTCAATTCCTCCAGGCTCCAGGCTCCAAGCTCCGTATCTACTCGTACCGAGACCAGAAATACAAAAGCCCTCCAAGTGATCCACTGATCCTCCCAGACCGTGAAAGCTCAGGCTTGCATTCCCCTCCAGCTCCCCTTCCCAAGCACGAAAAACAGCACCAGCCACAGCCACAGCCCCGGCCCCAGCTCGAAGCCGAAGCTGAAATCGAAGCCGATGGATTCCCGCTCAGCGACCACAGCCGCCCAGTCGCAACCGCACCCGCCAAATACCTAGTGGCCGCCGAGTAACTACGGTAGCCGACAGACGCGCGGAACACCCACCCGCACACCCACCCGCCCTGGAGCCCACGCATCGCATGTAGAGTAGAGTACATACGGTATCGACGTCGAAGCATGTCCTCTCACGCGCATGCGCATGTGGATGCGGATATAACGGGCAGTAACGGGCAGTAACGGCCGAGCCCATCCCCTCACCAAAGCTCGATATCGTCATAGAAGCCTGCAGTCATTAGTTGCCCACCTTACAGTTACACGCAGTCTCCTTCGTATAGGCAGTCTCCTTCGTATAGCACACGCTCACTCATCGCCGTCAGCCCCGCCCCGCCAGAGCCACTCACCCCGCCAGAGCCCCGCCTTCGATATTGGCCTTGGCCTTTGCCTCTTCGGCCGTCCCTTCATACGTACTAGTAGCTGCAGCCTCCCGTGCGGCCGTGCCCCGCTATCCAAAGTGCCTGTGCCTTTGCCCGTGTGAGTGCATGTGGAAAGAAAAGAAAGTAAGAAAAAACAATATCAGCACGAGCAAACAAACAAAACAAAAACAACAACAAAACAAAAGCCTCAGGGATCGATGATCGATGACCTCAGTGCCCGGGTAGAGACCGATGTATGTACCTAGGCAAGTCGGTAAGTACTAGTAGGCATGTACGCAGGCACCGAACGGCCAACGATAGAGTCAAAGATTGGAACTGCCAGTTCACTACTTCAGATGTACCCGATATCGATGTAGCCCGCGAGATATCGATGCAGTACAGCAGATATCCATACCTATGGTACCGGTAGTCCAGTAGCCCAGTACCCACCTACCAAACCAACAGCGCATCTGTCAGTGTTTCGTATCTAGCCAGCCTGGGTAGGAGAGGTCGATGAAAACAACGATACAGTACCTGTCGAGATTCGATACAGTACATCTACAGTACATGTACCTCTGCAGTATGATACATACAAATCATACATCGCCGCCAGCAAACACCATGTACTCAATCGAATCTCAATCATCTCAATCGAATCTCGTCTGTCCGGCGCTGCGGCGGCGGGCGGGCGACCCGATAAACAAGTGCGCAGGGTTTAACTAGGCCCGATAAACAAAATCCGTGCTAACGGCGCCACCGCCCCTCCCACCGCCCCTCCCACCCCGCTTCGCAATATATGTAGCAATATACCGGTACTTGGTAGTCAACGCCACAGAATTCGCGACGAGGATAATACATAATCAACGCCACCCACAACCCTCCCGAACATCATCAACATCCGAACCCGCCGGCCGAAAACCGCCGGATCGTGCAGTGCAGTGCATCAACGTACCTAGAGTACATCACACCCAAACAACTAGAAGAAAAAAAACCACCTTCCCGAATCCACCACAGTTGCAGACATACAGACTTGCAGACTTGCAGACTTGCAGTACATAATCCTCGCAGCTCGTATCAAAACTCAAATAAACAACGAGAAAAAATCTTCCGCATGTTTCTGCCCCGCCCCAAGGCGGTTGAAGGTCGAAGGTCTGGCCAGCCAGGCAGAAGAATGCCCCGGTTCTTGCCTTCTTTTGTGTGCTTTTCTTTTTGTTCATGGTTTTCCAGGATGTGGTTTTCGATGCCCCCTCCCCCAAGTCATATGTGTATAGGCATGTATTGATATGTGATCCAGCAGCAAGTAACTTTTGATATTGGTAAATAAGTACTTCGTAGAAGATGCATATGAAGAGAAGAGGTAGATGTCCAGCCAACCAGCCAGCCACTGCAGCCAGCTCAAGGCATGACTCAAGTAAAAAGTAAAAGTAACACTGAATCGTCATGCAGTAGAGGTCAGTAGAATCGAATAGAGAGAAGTCATAGCTTCGTAATCGTAAGTCCCATAAAGCCAGCAGAAAATTCGAAAGATGAAGAAGAAGAAGAAAGCAGAAAAAGCAGAAAACACCGTAAAAGCACCCCAAGACACCCAAAAGGAAACCCACTACTCCTCATCGCACCCAAGAAAAAGAATCGCCCACAAAGGGAATATATATGAAACCTCAGCCACGGAGAAGGTTCTGACGATAAAGAAAGACAAGAGAGAGGAGACTAAAAGTAGCTGTCGCGGTTGACCGTATGAGCGCCGGGAGTGTTGCAGTGTGTGCCTGGGGTGTTGCAGGCGGAGTATCCGCCTCGCACAGCAGCACGGTTTGCGCTCTCGACGCTGGCGAGAGCTTTGATCGCCTGAGTGAAGTCGTGTGCATCTATCCAGGCCATTGGAGATGGTACTTATGAAGGAGGAGGAGAGGAGGGACATACCAGCAGCCTGCAGGAACCTGAGCTCAAAGTCTGACCAGCGGTCGGTATCAAAGCAAGAAGAGAACGAGAACTGTCTGATGTTGCGCATCCTAACCGACTTGGGACGAACGTATTGCAACCAGCCGGGTTGGCAGATCTGCTGGGTGACTATGGACAGTTAGATACGGGTGATTCTAGGAGGATGAAGGGGAGGGAGCGAGGGGACTCACTGAAGGCTGTCCACACTGTTACATCGTGCTCGCCATCCGCTTTCGCAGCGGCGAGACGAATACAACCCGACTCGTTGTCCTTGAGCAGTCGCAGGGCATGGGTGTAACCGTTATCGTCGATTTTACTTTTGTCCTGTCAGTCCAGTTTTTTTTCCCTGATGGGGATGATCAGGCAACATACGCGCTAAACATCAAACTCTCTCCGTCGAGCCAATACTCCGTCTCCTTCGGGACCGGTGCTGACGGAGCATTGTACCTCAGCGAGAGGAATGCATGGTAGAACAGAGTCAGAGTCTCAAAGTCGGCGAAGTACAACACCGCCCAGACGAGATTGCGTCGCATCAGCTTTACGCCCGGACCGTCGCGGGAGATGTCGAGCTTCGATGCGTTGATGGCGGTCTGAAAGCTGTAGCCATTGCGTCGGCCCGAGCTCCAGCTGGCGCCGTTACCGCCCTTTGTGCACACGACTTTGGCTTCTTCGCTGGCGTCGTTGCGGAACATCCTCAGCATTAGGCCGTTGTCGAATTCTCTGGTAGGGTGTTAGATGAAACATAATTGCTTTTCCGGGACGGTAGAAAAACATACACTCTGAAGATTTCATGCTCTTCGGGGGCCATGCTAAGGTTCTCCATCTGTGCAGCGTAACATTCCGATTGGCTGTTTAACGTCAGCATGGATTCCCATCAGATAACAACAACGACGACGACAACACGAGGCACATACTTTGGAGGCTCCGACAACGAGGTGGACCCTGGGCTCATTCCAAACACCTGGGACCACCAGTGATCACTGTTCGCCTTCGACGGGACCTGCGGATTAGCGACCCTCGTCTTCGGCCTCGAAATCGGCGGCGTCTGTGGCGGCGTCATGTGCCCTCTCGAGCCCAGGGTCGGTGCGGGAGTGATCGAGTAGCGTCTCGGCGCCATGGGAGGGGTGATTGGGGCGCCCAGAGGCGTGATAGGCGAGATCGGGGAGACGGGCGTCATGGGACGTTCGTGGATGGTGGTCGGCATGTACCGGTAGGTATCGGCCGGGGGCTGGAACGGAGGCGATGGCAGGGGGGTGCTGTAGGGGCGGCGGGGAGGACTGTCGTATGGCTGGGATACCGAAGGCATGGGCGCCATGGTTGGTGGTTGGTACCGCGACTGGTACGCCTGCTCCTCGACTGTGCGGCGGTGGTGCTCCTCGGCCTCCCTCATTCTGGCTGCAACCTTCTGTTGCTGGATGGCCAGAAGACGGATCTGCTGCTGGAGACGGAGGACCTCTGCTCGCTGCTCGCTCTTCTTGCTGCGAGTGGGAGTAAACATGCTGCGCCGCAGTTAGCACCCACCATCCCGAAGCCCATATACATATATCAGGAATACATACTTCCTCAGCAGCCCCGCCAAGTTGAACAGGAAGGTCCTGTGAACATCCAGTCTCGCCTGCAACGACGAGCCCTCGATATTCCTGAACGACGACAAGATCTCGTTCCACGACTTCCTGGCGCCCCTCGGCGAGGATCCACGGCGAGTCATGCTGCATCGGAGCACGATGCCATCTAGATCCTTCAGCGACGACGAGCAGCTTCCCATTCCCAGGGCGATGTCGTCCAGCAGCTCCGGAGATAGTCGGCTGAACCTTGAATCCGAGAATTGCACATCCAGTTCCCGTAGGAGCGTCTTGATCTCGAAGAGGGTGCTGATAATGCCACGGACTTCCCGTGCGGCCTCGGGAAGCTCATCCACGAAGCGGTAAAGAGAGTCGGCCAGATGGCTAGCGATTGAGGCTAGGGTGATGGCCCCGAATGATACTGTGTGGTCCCCCATAGCGGAAGATGTATGAAATGCACCTGGTGTTCAAGTGGAGTGTGTGTGTTTACGGAATACTGAGGGGATCGTGATCGTAATCGTAGCAGTCGTAAGGGCGTATAACGGAAGATATTTTTTTCAGTTCATCAAGTTATCGAGAGCAATTGGAGAGTCGTAAGCGTTATATAGAAACAGACTAGAGAAACAAAAGTGCTATAAACTGTTTTATATCATGAAAGGCGGGTGCGTGTGCGTGTGCGGCGGGTGAGATACTATGAAGTCGGGAAGAGTGGACGACCGAAGGTGAGAGGGTAAAAGAAGAAGAGGGATGTAAATGAGCCACGGGCAGCAGCGAGTAATAATAAACCGGCCGACGGAGCGCAGAGGGATCTAGGCAGGCAAGCAGGCAGGCAGGCAGGCAGGCAGGCAAGCAGGCGGACCCACGGAGGCTCTTCCAATGGAGAGAGGAGACGGAGACAGAAGAGGTGGGGATGTGACGTGGTCAAGCTCGAAAGGTATCAGCACACCGCATTAGCGGGCATATTGGCAACCCTTCAGTGATCACGAAATGAAAAGGAATCCGATAAACATCGTGCTGCGCATTACCAACGTGCGGGCTCTTCTGATATTTGCTGTAGGGTAGTGGTGGTGGGTGGTGGTGGTGGGTGGTGGTGGTGGTGGTGGTGGTGGCACTACTCACTCTCGGCTCAGCTCGTCTTTCTCCTCCCTCCTCCTCCTCCTCTTCCTCCTCATCACGACCCCTCCTCGTGGGACAGCTACTCTACACAGCAGCACCATAGCATAAGGAGATATCGATAGAGTACCTACGCCATAGGCCGTTGCAATTGTCCTCCTACTCCACTCCGGCAGACCCACGCTATGGCCCCGCTTCCATCCGCTCCTCCTCCTCCTCCTCCCCCGCACTTGCGCTTACCGTTATAGCAGCAGCAGCAATAGCAGCACTCGAGCAGGCGACTACTATCCTTACTTACTCACCACTCCGGCCTTGCGAATGCAATTGCAGCGACCAATGAACGAATTGGCCTTCCGGAGAGCGGGGAGGGGAGTGGCGATACAATTACAATACCGTAGAGCAGAGAACCGTGCGGTGCAGTTCAGTGCACACCACCCACGGTGCGGCGGGGGGTCTGGCTCTCTCTACGAACACAATATTTTTCGCAGAGTCGGTCGGATGTGTTGTGATTCTGCAGTGCAGGGCGCTGCATGACAACCACCACCACCACGAACACCCCCCGAACACCCACCACGAACACACAACAAAAGCTCACATCACACTCACGCCCACACACACACACACATCGAACCGGAACAGAAAAGAAAAGAAAAGAAAACAAGGGAACACCTCCATCCATAGCATAGCGTTCGTCGCCAATCGTGAGCCGGGTACACGAGTAGTGTTAGTTAAGCAGATGCCCACGAAACTCCGTTCGGTACTGACCGCTTGTTGATAAGTAACCTGCGAGAAAGAAAGTGGCTCATCCATGCTCTAATGGCGTGGCGTGCAGGGGGACGTACATACAGACATACTCACATACAAACTTGCAAGCACCACCACGAGAAGTATGTAGCATATGTACCGCAAGCGCAGTGCTGTCGCTGCTTCATAGGGTCGACCCCTCTACTCTACTCCACTCCCACCACCACGACCATCACCACCACCGCCGCAGACGTCGATACAGCTATCCCCGCCCGATGATGCAACTCAACTTGTCTTCCCCATCCATCCACCCCCATCCATCCACCCCCATCCATCCATCCACTCCCATCCCCCTCCCCACCACCACCACCACCACCACCACCACCACCACCACCAGCGCAGCAAGCGATTAAGAACCGGACTGTAACGTTTGTGCTATCCGCTGGCCTCCCTCCTCCCTCCTCCTGGCCTCCTCCTGGTCTCCTGGCGGGACTTTTGCGGTCGAACGAGCGAGTGAGAGTTGCAGATCGATGTCGCACGGATAGCGGCATCTATCCGACGAACAACTAAGCGAACGTCATGTATGTAGGTATGAGAGTACTGTATTGTACAGCGTGCACTTTGGATCTGAGGGAAAAAACGCGATCCGGATCCTGATGGTGCTGATGCTGGTGATGCTGATACTGATGCTGGTGGTGGTGGTGATGCTTGTGATGCTGGTGATGCTGGTGATGGTGGTGGTGATGCTGCTGCTGGTGATGACGGGCGTAAGTACATGAAGAAAAGTACATCGGTTGGGAAAGCTTTCGGCGCGCGATGGCGATGAAAGCCCCCCGTCCCCGTCCCACCCAGTACCCCATTGGCCGCCTGGTGGCCATACCTAGTATGCCTATAGACCGGACGAGAAAAAAGTATGTGGGGAGAACCCGAACCGGTTATCCCAACTTCCAAGCTCCAACGCCTCGACTAGAGCCCCCAGATTGAGATCCTCCGGTGATTGGCCCCTGCCATTCTGCGAAAGCCAGGATTGAACAAGCACGCCGATATTACTTGCATGCGCGATCTGCTTCTGGAACATTGCGGGGGTTAGAGTTGGGCTGGACACGGGATCATGGGACTTGGGACTTGGATGGACCAGGCTGCGGATCTGGAGGGCCAAAAATGCGAGTGATACTGTGTGGTAGAACACATACAGACTGTAGACTCCAGAGTCAGCATCATGTAGGTAGAGTACAGAAGTGCACTCGAAAGCGGCGGAATGGCAATTGTCTCAGGTGGGATTGCCGTTTCGGTTTCAATTACGATTCCCGAGTCACGCCAAGTGCCCGTTGGTGTCTGGCTGGGCGATCCGACTGTGAACACTGAGGTTCGGACGGAGGCTGCAGCTCCAGAGTCGAGCAGCTGCAAGAACTAATCTAGGTAGTCGACCGTCTTGGGCCGGCGTCGGAGGAATGCAGAAGCTGCAGAACAGGTTTCTTGCTCTCTCTCCGGACTTACTCCACCGCTCACCTCGTCTGTTCTAGGTAGTGGACACTCGAAGATATCGCAGATGGTGTACTATAGTTTTGTAGTCCATTACTTCCCTTACCTTACCTACAAATTCAATTGCCAAATCACAGTAACGTGACGTTCGCCGGAACAAACACGGCGTTCACCCCGATGCCAAACCCGACTTTGGAAGTATTGGTACCGGTACTCGTGCAATCGCCTGTCCACAATCCACGAAACTACGGTAGAAGCGTATTAAACCACTTGTGCAATCAATGTTGCTTCGATTCCCCTTGTATGTACTCCATCTAGGTAAATGGATAGTATAGACACCTCCATTCGCCCCATTCCTCTGTTCCTGAGGTTCGAACTTCGTCCTCGTCCTCGCACTCGGAGACTCGGAGTCGTTGCCGAGAATACCTAGCGTCGGCATGAGCGTGGGCATGAGTGTGGGCATGATCGTCGAAGCATATACGGTATCAAACGACGGGTACTCTGACGTTGAATGGAAGCGATGTTACCGTCGATAGTTTGAAAAGCGAGGAAGTTATGTTCGTATGTACTGTACTAGTACTGTACATACGAGGTGTGCGATCTCTCCCAGTCTCTGGGACGGAATATTAAACTTCCGGAAGAAACGACTGCCACTTCCATTGTTGATTATGTTGACTTATTTACGCATTAGCAAAAACCCAACCAGCCATAGTTACGGTAAGTAGACCATTGGGTCGGATTATGTACCTTTCGTCCTGTGGACCGTGGTGGCCAGCCTACTGTAAGCCTGCCGCGCATAACTTACACCAATATAGCAGGCACGGCCATCGATGTACAGTACATAACCAACCACCAGCCTTCACCGGCAGCGTGGGGGGTGTCGAGAGATGTACCGTGCTCGGCATCGGAATGCGTAGAATCACAAAGCTTTTGCCATCATCATCATCATCATCGTGGAACTCGGATCGGATCTTTCGGTGGAACCGTGGAAGGAGAGGTCTTCCGTCTCCAGAGCTGAACTTGGAATGCATGTCCGTGGGACTTCAGAAGTCACAAGTGGGTGGATACACATGTGGCGGGTGTGGTGGATGTGAAAGACGAATGCTATCATGTGCTGATACTGGTATGGTGGGGGGCGCATGGGGTGTGCTGTGAAGTCTGGACGTCGTGAGGATGGAACTTCAGCCTTGAGGGTCACGATATATCTACAAAGCACCCTTGTTCAACCGTCAACGACCGACACTTTGTACCGTATGTAGTACCACTATCTACTATACTCGAATAGTAGAGATTTGTGGCATGTCGGGTCACTTCTGAAGAGCAATCCTTCGTATGTATGTCCACATCCGTTCGCCCCTTCAAGAAAAGGAAGAAAAACAAAGAAAAAACAACAACGGGAAAACCTTCGCGAAATGCGGCTCGCCGCTCGCCAGCCACCACTTCCGAACCAAATCCCCTGATCCGTACTGCATTGTACAAACCGTACAAAAACCGGGACTCCATCGTCGTGCCTTCGGCGGTGTCGGAACTTAGAAGGGACCGAATAGTGAAAGGAGGTTCGATACTGTCGGGACAGTACATACCAGTATTGTTCGCAGGTATACGGTATACATACAGTGCCCAAGTACCACAGGTACCTATCCCTATGGCATAGCGTAGATTCTTTCCCGGGACTCATCCAGCCGGAGGTATGTAGATACACAACATAGGTAGCATAGATAGAGTACCGTAGAGCAGAGTACCTATTCAGAGCTTAGTTAGAGCACCTACCTACTCTAACCCCGCGGAAGAACAACAGACATCTTCCAGAATCCGTCAAACTTCCCCCGGAATCCCATCCGCCCGACAACCCAATCAAACGAAAGTGAAAAGGGTAAACCCAAAAAGAAAGAAGAAGAAGAAAAAAAAAACACTCCAGAGTCCACGGTTACAGTGTACGGAGGAGCTATTTAAAGAAGCGAACGAGCCGTCGACCGTCGTTACATAGACTCGTTTACTCGTTTACTCGTATCGACCCAGCATGTCGAGTTCATACGGAGCAGCTCGGGTTTGGAAAGAAAACGTGTACATATGACCCCTTCCACTTTCGTCTCAGGTTGATTGCCCAGATCGAGTCCAACCGTTACAGCCTGGTCTACAGGGGTGCGCCCTAGCTACTCTAGATACCGTGGCGCTGACTGGTGTGGGGAGGGGGGTGGAGAGCGTGCGGTGGGTGTGTGCAACAGCAACGGGAACGCGTCTGACTGGGCCAACAAACAAATCACGGTGCTAGGAGACGCGATGGACTACAAACACGTCGCGGGTACGCAACCTCCCCCCCCCTTCGTGGGGATAAGGCATGGATGTAGGCGAGGAACGCTTCGATTCTTAGCAATGGCCCCCCATTTTGACCCAACCAGACAAACATCCACCCCCAATCCAAGCAACCTGAAACCAGTACACAGTGACAGTAGAAAAAGAACCGCGATATCCATGGCGAAAAAAGGTAGCAGAAACATAGGAGAAGGAAATTAGAATACAGGACGTGATCATCGGTACAAGTTATGTTCTACCACGTCATTCGGATGCTAAAGGATAGGTCGTACATCTCCAGACAGGTAAAGCCAACCACCAAACACGAGTGACCGACCGACCGACAATCATGAAAGCAGAAAAAACTTGCAATCCTTACTCCTCTTCCTCGTCCTCGTCGCCAGCAGCCTGCGAATGGGGATTGGTGTTATTCTCCATTCTCACAACACCAGACTCGGCGACTCTGCACTTACCACGTAAGCGGCCTTCTCGTCCTCGTAGCGCTTCTTGTCGGCGGCAGCCTTGGCCTCGTAGGGACCACGCTGCTTCTCAGAGAGAGCCTTCCAGCGCTCACCGAGGACTTTGCCAACCTGTCCTATTCGTGGCGACGGTGATTAGCGGTTGTACAAAGACGGATGCATAGGCACGTGCGCGACTGTGTCCGGCGCGCAGGGGAGGGAGGCGAAGTAACTTACCGAACGCGATACCGGGGTTCTCGTTCCTGACGTTGTCGCGCTGCTCGTTCGCGAAGAACATGTAGGCGGAGAGACCACGCTTGGGGGCGTTGGGGTCTATCGAAAGGCGATCAATCAGCAAGCGTGTCCAACAAACGTGTCGCAATTGACGGAGCGCGGTGGCCAATCAATCAATCGGACAAGCGACGCGGTATGACGCATTGCGCTATGATGAAAGATGTTGTCACGGCGGACGAACACCGGGGATGATTGGCAGGCGACAGGAAAGGGATGAAGCACATACCCTTCTTCTTCTTGGTTCCCTTGGCGGGCTTGCGGGCTCTCTCAGACTTGGGCATCTTGAAGGTAGATGCTTGTTTGTTGTTTGTTTGTTATTGGGGGGACGCGTGTGGTGGTCGAGTTGATTGGTTCTGCGAGATGGGTGGTGAGCAAGAGGGAAGACGGAGGTTGTTGTGGAGGATGAAGTGGACAAGAGAGAGAGAGAGGAGTGGTGGTGGTGGAGTGTAGTGGGTAGTGTGTGGTGGGTAGTGGGTAGCAGAACGGGTAGTGTGAGAAAGTGGTGACGCGGGAAAATGAAAATGATCGGGAATGTACGAATGAGGAAATAAGGGCTCGCGGACGAAACGAAGTTTGCGGGGATTTTTTTTAGGAGGGGGAGGCAAACAATTCGAAGAAAGAGAAGAAAACGGAGAGAGATTGCACGCCAGAGCGAAGGGGAATTGTACTGTGGAAGTTTGGATGGCGTAGATGAAGAGCCAGATGGCGGGGGAGGGTGAGATGGTGATGACGATGCGGATGGGATAGAGAGTTTGTATGGATACACGGGAATTGGGTGTTTGGGGGGGTGGGGCGACAAGCAACGGCAGCGGCAGCAACGAGCGCAATGGGGGTAGTAGTGCGGCTCGAGCGTAGAGTGCGTTGCGTACGGATAGAGAAGTCGAGGCGTCGGCCAAAGCGAGCACGACGGGAATGTGAAGGGGGACGAATGGGAACGGCAAAAATGAATCTCAACGCAACGGAGAGGAAAGACAAACCTGAGGATGCGACGGCGAGTATCAGAGAACGAGAGCTGGCGGGAGAAGAGAGAGTTCTGTACTTTTTGGAAACTGGGTTCGGGCGCAAGCAAAGTCAGTGGGCGGGCGTTTTATCTTATCGCGACAAAGAAACTCACAGCAAGCAGAAGGGGGAGTGTTTTGGTGGTGGTAGGTAGGAGTGCGGTGGGCAGTGGGCAGTTGGAGGATGTGGGTGAGGGCAGTAGCAGCGGTAGTAGTAGTAGTAGGGAGAGAGACTTACGGCGGAGGGAGTTGTGTGGGAGGGAGGAGTTTATGCCGTGTGGTGGGTTTGGGTTTGGATGGTGGTAGCGGTGGTGGTGGTGGTAGCGGTGGTGGTGGTGGTAGTGGTGGGTGGTGGTGGTGGGCAGCAGCAGCAGCGCAGCGTATGTAGCGGTGGGTGGGCGGTGGGTGGGCGGTGGGCGGTGGGCGCAGGCAACGGTAGGCAGGTAACAGGTAGGTAAGAGTAGGTACTCTAGTAAGGGCGAGCGACGAGGCAGGCAGGCAGTAGTGAGCTGCGCTGCTTGGGTCTGGTCCGGCTGGCTGGCTGGCTGGCTGGCTGGCTTACTTGGTTGCTTGCTTGGTTGCTGGCTTGCTTTGGCTGGCCGGCTGGGTGTGATGGGCCATGGCCACACACTCGCGACTCTACCTCCCTCCCTCCCCTTCCCCCCCTTAGCCTGCTTGTGCTTTGCTCGCCCATCCACCCACGCATCCCCCATCCCTCCCTCTGCCTGCCCCTTCCCCTACCTCCTACTTTCCTTTCCCCCCTCTCCCGGCCAAAAACGAAGCAGTAGTAGTAGCAGCAGTAGCAGCAGCACCAGAAGCACCAGAAGCACCAGAAGCACCAGAAGCACCAGAAGCACCGCAGCAGCACCAGCAGCAGTTCGCTCGCTCGGTCGTCGCTCGGGTCGGTCGGTGCAAAGGACTCTTCGTGCTGCTATGCCTGCCTGAAAAAGGGTGACGGGCTCCAATCAGCCGCCAGTGCCTGCCTACCTGCCTGCCTGCCTGCCTGCCTGCCTGCCTGCCTGCCTATGTACCGGCCAGCCCATGGCCCACCACAGCAAACCGAGGGCACATAGAGAGAGAGCGAGACACACACAGGGGACATTTGCCCCCGTATTATTTGTGTACGTAAGCAGCGGCTGCGACTGGGCTGCACTGCACTTGGGGCATGTGTGCATACAGGAATGCCGCCGCAGCGAAGAAAGGAGGGAGGGAGGATGGCAGATGGCTGGAAGGATGGATGCGTGGATGCTGGATGGATGGACCGGAAGTCCCTCAGAGGCAAACATGAATTGCAAACACTGCCCTTCCTCCCCCTCCTGCTCCTGCTCCTCTCGCCTTCCCTTCCCTTCCCTCCTGTGCCCCTACCTGCCATGCCAGCAGCTGAATACCGTACCTAACCTACATACCTCCTACCGAAACACATACGTGAATCCCTCCCTGCCTCCCTCACGCGCCTGTCCTACTTCAACCATCCATCCATCCACCCATCTTTCGCACACACGCACACACCACGCACCGTAAAGTACTCAGCTCCGCATACTTCCTATCACGGCTAAGCACAAGCACGACCTGTCCTGTCCTCCTGTCCTCCTCGAACGAGTACTCCATGTACTGTACCAGTACTCTGCCTACCTAGTCCGCAACAACTGCAAGTACGCGGTTAAGTAAGCCGAGTCAGGCCACATCCAGCTAGAGTGCCGAGGCCCCACAATGCCCAGTGCAATTTGGCCGTGCAGTGTGTTTCCAGTTCCCTCCCCCCCTCGCACCGCAGCAAAGCGAAGCAGCAGCAGCGAGAGCGAGCAGCAGCAGCAGGAGCAGCAAGCAAGCAGCAGGAGCAAGCAACAAGCAAGCAAGCAGAGCGAGCAGGTTTTTTATTAGCCTGCCTGCCTGTCTGGCTGAGAGAGAGGGAAGACGTGCATTTGGCATTCCCACCACCACCACCACCACCACCACCACCTACCGCCGCCGCTCGCCGCCCCATCGAGAGAGAAAGATAGAGAAGACGGTGGGCGCTCCATCGAGGGAGAGAGAGGCATCCCCGGAACACCCACTGCCGCGAGCGCTCTGCAGCCACAACCATACATACAACCTTACAACCCCAACCAAACCCAACCCACACAACCTTACACCCATACATACAACCCTGGGTACAACCTTACAACCCTTAGCATAGCATACCGTAGCATACAACCATACAACCATACATACAGCCGTAGGTAGCAAGGGACTCCAAATACCGGTTCTCGCCGTATATTTGGGCACTAGGAAGAAGTTCCGGCCGCACGCTCTGCGTGTCTGCGTGCCTGTCTGCGTGCCCACCTGCTGTTCTGATGCGCGTTTGTGTTTGCACCGGTCGGTATCGACAGTGACAGAACTATATAAAACGGTCACGGTCACGGAACAACATGAGAACAAGCGGAAGAAGGAAAGAAAACAGAAGAAGAAGAAGGATTAGACGACCAAGAAAAAGGATTGTCGCCCACGAAACGAGACAGGACCAGACAAAGGAACAAGTCATAGAGGGCATGTATGATATATCCATACCTCACCTCGCGTACCTACTTGCTTTGGCTTCGTATCATACAAATTGAAGTACCTACCGTACACTACATAAGAAGTAGCAATTTGCAAATTGTGTGCCCGCGCATAACAGAAAGCATATCTAAGGAAAGAAGTAAAAAAAAAATCCAAAAAAAAGAAGGTGGCTGGTACACAACACACGACCTGCAGTTCCTCGAGAGAAAAAAGTCAAGTCCGAGGGAACGGAAGGGGGAAAAAAAGATCGAAGAAAGAACGGCAAAGAAGAACTCTCACAAGGCAGCGGTAACTGCCGTTTGATCGCTTTTGGCTGCAAAGGAAGAAAGGGAGGATTATTGGGGAATACATACATGTTCCAGCGATGAGCAGCTATGACCCGCCACCATAACATTGCCTTCCGTCTTCCTCCTGATGGCGATGTCCATTTTAGCACTGGCACTGGCCGTACTGCTGCTGCTGCTGTCGCTGCTGCAGGCGAAGCCAGTACTGCGGCTTCTGGAGGAGCCCCGTTTCCTGGCCGTGGCCGGAGAGAACCAGACGATGCAGATTGCGGGCGGGGATCCGTCCCGGTTCCTGACCATCGTTCTTTTCCTGACCGACGCCGTCCACGTCACTCTGCTGTCCCTTTCCACAGAGTCCTCCAGCACGGCTATCGCGACGAAACAGAAACAACACAGCAGCAGAAGAAGAAGCATCCTCTATTGTCCCACAAACTCGTGGCGCTCGTCCCCCATGACACCCTGCCACTGAGTCCCAGTAGAAATATCCCACCACGTCTCTTCGGCGCCGCCGGGAGAAGTGGCATCAACAACAACCGCCAGGAAATCCTCCCGCCATCGAATCCCGAGATTGATCCACCAACTTTATCCTCCCTCACGTCTGTGAGCGAGTCCGACGATTCGGAACGACTCCGGAAACTCCTCCGCACCCGCCATCCGCTATTTCGCAGCCGACCCGCCGTTCTCGCAGGCGTTGAAGTAGAAAACCTCGCTTCTTCGAAAGGGGACGCCTTTCGCGATCAGCAGAGGCTCGCCGCAACGGCCCATCGGAGCCGATCCGTCGTCGCCCCATCCTCCTACTCCTCCTCCGTCACCGCCTCCGAAATGATACGAAAACGAGTAGCGACTGGGGAGGAGTTGTTTGTCACGCCCGCGGATCCCACCTCACCGGCGTTCGAAACGGAAAGGCCGAACAGCGCCGGCGGCATGGCGGGCATAAACGGGTTCCGCGACTTCGCACCGCGCCCACGGAACGAGTATGTCCCGCCGAAGGCTCCTGACGATAGCGCTCGGAGGGAGAGGGAGCGGGAAAGGGAGCGTCTGCGAGAGGAGGCGGAACTGGCCGAAAAGTTACGAAAAAAGGAACTTAAGGGTCGAACCAGCAAAGCGAATCGGGAATTCTTCGGGCGAAAAGCATCGACACCGGGCAAGGACAAGCACGGCGATGGCGAATGGGCTTCCCCGAGTCCCGATGGCAGGGCGTCGGAAGAGGCCCGGAGACCAGGAGGTGTCAAATCAACCCTGCCTCGCCGGACATCCAGCTTGAGTTTGAAATCCAACAGGGAGGGCGAGCCTCTTTTCCATGGCGTGCAAAAGCGAACTGACGGACGCTCGACTCGCTCCCCCGCCAGTACTCGAGACGCTCGTGATGCAATCCGGGAACCGCGGCCGACGTCAGCGGCGTCGGCAGCGTCGGCAACGTCGGCAACCAGCGCGTCGAGTGTCGAGCGCGAGCGACGAAGGACTCTCACATCACCCGGCATCCCCAAACACTCGAGGATCCCAGCTTCTGCAAGCCCGTCGGTATCGCGACCGGGCTCGCAACAAGACCGTCGCACGGCTTCCACGATCTCGTCCGCCACCGAACGGCGACCACTGCGCAACCCTCCCTCTTCGGGCTCGTCCGTCAGCCGCTCATCCGAGTCCTCATCGCAACGCGGCGGTTCCCAACACGGTCGCAGCGAAAGCCATCCCAACCCCTCGCTACACGTCGAAAAGAGAGCGATCCCGAAGCCGTCGCCCGTGGGCGGGAGAGGATCACATGCCTCCCACATGAGGAGATCCGAAAGCGTTCCGTCGACATCGTTTTCGATGCCGATGCCAGGGTCGAATGGTTTCAGCCGCACACCGAGCCTCAAGACGGACAAGTCGAGCGAGGGTTCGGAGAAAGCAGGTGACGTCGATGTCACGCCCTCGGAGCTAGGCGACGACGACGATGACGATGACGACCGTCCCGATATGGACTCACCCTCGGTGCGCAAGATGCGTGGCAACTCGATCGATTCCTTCCTTGGACTCGATTCCAAACAGACCACAGCAGCAAACACGGCCGCTATACTCGATACGCTTTCACCAATCGACACCAACGCAATGCCCGTGTCCAATTCGGACGACAGCAAACTCGAGGAGCCGATTTTGAGCCCCACTTTGAGTGACTACGGACTCGCAAGCTCCGGTTCCTCCGAGTCTCCGCTCTACGATCGCTCGACCGGAAAACCGAAGACATTCCCGAAACCCAAGAGTGCGCTTGAAGACGACGACGACGACCTGACCCCTCTCGAGGAATTGCAACGGAAGGACCGCGAATACCAAGAACTCCTCAATCCATCAAAGAACGACGATGAAGAAGATACCTACCAGCTGCTTGGCGGCAGCAGGCAGTACGAGCCCATCACGAACCGGCCCGTCCGACCCAAGGCGGAAGCGGCAGCTGGCGACAGGAAGAGAGATCGGGAAAAGAACGCGCACGAGCAGCTCATGAACCGATTGAAGACTCTCCACATGGAGCTCAGGAGCGCACGCAGGGGCATCGACTACATCGAGCGGCGGTTGAACGGTGTCGGATCGAGCGACGAGGGCGAGTGGGTGGACGATGAGGACGAACCGTCAGAGGGCATTGTAACTCGCATCAAGGCTGAAGAGCTCAGACAACGCCAACGATTGAGAGCCGAGCAAGCTGAAGCTGCTGCTGCTGCTGCTGCCGCCGCTGTCGAACCGGAAGTGCTGCGTCCCTATGAGCCGTCGACGGTCGTGAAGGTGGGAACAGTGGGGTGCCAGCTCGCCCTGCTGTGGTTTTTGCTGGAGATCTATTTCTTGTAAGTTGACAGCTAGTCAGGTCACTCCCCACCCACCCCGCAGAACGAAGCGAGCTAACGTGATGATCAACAACAGCTACAAAGCCTTCCCGCCGTCGATATCGTCTACGCCCGTATACTCCGCCTCCATCCCGACCTTTGGCTCGCAGGTCGTCCACACCGTGACCGACAGCTTCGTCTCTCTGTTCCGGGGAGTTTTTGTCGGCTCCTTCGGCGCCATCTTCACGATCCTGAGCTTCTTCGCGGCCGTCATCGCCAAATTCACTGGCCTCTTCGGCGCAGTACCCTCGATGTGGCCTGCCCGATCATCTTCCACTGCCGAATACAGTATCGGACCGAGTGCTGTCCCTACGGGAGCAGAATTTGCTATCTGACAATGCAGAGAGAATGAGAGTGTGAGAGAGTGCGCGAGCGAGAAGTTGACTGACTGGCGGTATTATTTTGGGAGAATTGGTCGGTGTTGGAGTTTACGGCGAGGGTTTTCTTTTCCTGTTTTGCTGTTTTTTTTTTTTTTTTTTTGTTTTATGAGACCGCACGAAACATGGGGTACTTTTTTGCAATTGTGCTCGATTAATCCTCCATGCCTATCTATGCTGCGTGTTGTTCTGTGTCTTTGATTCTTTGCCCCTACCTATTTCTTTTCCTCTTCTTGATACCACTACTACTATACCTACTCTATGCTACGCCTTGTATGATTTCCATTCTTCTTCTTCTTCTTCTTACTCTTCTTCTACTTCTGCTTCACACTTCTTGTCTTATCACCATAGCATTATCACTCTACTGCTGAGTGGAATTAGTATTCATTCATCTGTATTCATCTGTATCTTCAAAGTTCAATTCAATTCAAGGAAGTTATCCATCCTCACCTGAGTTACCTCTGCCGCTAGGCAGTATAGTACCGTAACTGCATCACGTGCCAACCCATCTGTATCCATCCCACGCACCCACCCAGCACCCATCCAACCCACCTCACCCTCCCACCCACCCAGCACCCACCACCTTCCCACCCACCCACGACCCTCGCACCCACACACCACTCACTCAATGTCAAACCCCTCAACCCTCTACGGCGCCCCGCGCCCCAAAAACAAGCCTATACCACTCTCCTCGTCGTCGATCCACGCACTATCCACCGAGCTCGCCGCCGCGCGCTCCGCCCTCTCGCGCACCGAAAATCCCGCGCCCGCGCGTGCGCGCGCGCGCACGAACGGATCTTCCGCCACTTCGAAGACGGCCGCGTTGTTCGCTGGGCATAACAGGGGCGTGGAGGGGAGGGCGAAGCGCGACGCGGCGGGGGCGGGGTGTGAAGTGGTCAGGACGGGGGCGGGGGAGGGGGAGGGGCCGAGCGAAGGAGAGCTACAGCGCAGTCGGAAAAGTTTACTGCTCAAGGCGCGGCGGTACCGAGCTTTGCAGCGCGGGGGGGAGAGCGCTGACGCGCTCGTGGATTTCGACCGGAAGTGGGGTGAGGAGGGGAGTGCGGACTCCTCGTCCGACGACGATGGGGATGGCGGGGACGACGACGGGGTTATGGTGGAGTACGAGGATGAGTTCGGCCGGACGCGCACGGGGACGCGGGGCGAGGCGGAGCGGGAGAAGAGGCGGATGGAGGTTGCGCGGGTGGTGCAGGAGAGTGTGAATGATGGAGCTGGGGCTGGAGCGCGTCCCCTGCCGCCACAGGGCGTCATCTACGGGAATAATATACAGACACGGGCGTTCCATACTCCGCTGTTTAGCTCTGTGCCGACGAGTGAGGAGATGCTTGCTGCGCGCGCGGAGAGGGAGGAGGTGCAGGGCGACGTGGAGACGCATTATGATGCCAGTAAGGAGGTGCGCACGAAGGGGGTGGGGTTCTTTCAGTTCAGTAAGGACGTGGAGGTGAGACGGGAGGAGATGGAGGAGCTCGAGAAGGAACGGCAGAGGACGCAGGCGGAGAGGATGGAGAAGGAGGGGAGGAGGAAGAGGAAGCGCGAGGAGCTCGAGAAGAGACGGGAGCAGATCAAGGCGAAGCGCAGGGTCAAGGTCGGCGGGTCCTGGCTGGATGATCAGTTTGGCGATTTGCTGGGCGGCGACGGCGAGGGTGCGGCTTGAGACTGGCGGTTGTACGTCTACATACTTGTTTACGGAGTTGGGGCATCTGGGGAAGGCGTTTTGTATTTGTATTTGGTCCCGCTGGTATAATGTCATGATCCCGAGCTACACAGCTCCATCACACAGCTCCATCATTCCGCATTGCAACTTCCTCCTTCGTTGATGTTGTATCAATTACCACATATATTACTGCCAGTACAGATTCAGCATTGAGTTTATGGTAGCAAAACATTGGGCTGGGAAACAAACCCATGGTCTTCGCCATCTTCTTAGAGCTGGAGTTGAAGAGGGAAGGAGAGCATTGTGCATTCATTTCGTCCGGGTGCATGAGAACTTGCAGGTTAGGAACCGGGTGGTCATAGATGCTCACTCGCGCCGAGTCAAGGTCGCTATTTGTGCACGGGATTTTTGGGGTTTCTGTGTAGTGGGATGAGAATGATAATCTACTATATATAGGATGGGTGCAGTTTGGTTCACATTCCCTCTCCATCCTGCTATACAAAGTAGGTAAGTAAGGTGAGGGTGTTTCTGTTAAGAGAAAGTTGATCATGATTTACGGAAGTCGCTCGGCGCTCGTTCATGCGGTGATTCCCACCCAAACACAAGCAAAACCCCATCTGATCTCCTCGAACTCATCCTAGGTACTCATATAGGCGCGATCGTATTCATGGCTTTGTATATATAAGATCGCACTCAATATTTCAAATAGTGGAAACACTACCGTAGTTAACGGCCCGCGTTCCCCATCCATGTCACGACCCCGAGACCCGAGTTGTAGACCCGAGCTATAACCCGAGCTACAGCTCCGCCATGGCTACAGCTCCCGAGCTCCACTACTTCGCCCCGCACCCACCCCCACAACCTCCGTCACCGCCGCACCCGCCGCCGCATCCGCCACTGCTACTACAGTACACAAGAGTCAGCGTCTAGTTGACAGCCTCAACACGGAGGGAGAGAGGGAAACAAACCCGTCCGTAGCCCCCGTCGCACCAGCCCACCCGCCGTCATGAGTGTGACCGCCCCAAGCCGTCGCCGCCGACGTCGCCATATGGCAACCAGTATGGCTATGCTTCGCCACGGCGGCCTTCGTCTGCGTCTTTTTCTTGGAGCTGAAGATGGAGGTGAACATTGTGCTTTCCGATTTCGTTTCTTGTGGGTGGGTTTTCGTGTTGCGGGTCGTGTTGAGGTCGTGTTGAGGTCGTGGGCGCGTGTTTATGTAGAAGAGGAGGAGCTGGACGAAGAGGAGGGTGTCAACAGGGATCCGAGCTCGAGGAGGGGGGTGCATTGGGCTTGATAAGTACCCGCCGCTGCACCCTGCCCTGCCCTGGCCGGCGCGTGACCTGATGCGTAACGTACCGTAGAATACGTGCTCGTGCTGGTTATACATAGAATGCGAGTGAGCGCGTTTTGATGGGATAAGTATAGCCAACCATGGGATTTGCGGGTTGGTTCATGGGTTGGTTCATGGGTGGTCGCTCAAGATAGTACCTATGGTAGAAGTTACTGTTCGTAGGCCGAATTTTGAGGTTTCTAGAAGGATGAGAATGATACAGGATTGCATGGGTGCCATTTATATCCGCTCTCCATCTAGTAAACACGGTGATGATGCTTCTTCTTGAAGAAAGTCAACCATGAAGGTTACTCGTTCACGCGCACGTTCTCGGTAGATAATTCTTAAGCGTCCATACCAAGCAAAACTGTATTTCCTCGAATCCACACTATAGGCAGTCTTTTTCAAAGCTTGTACAGTAATAATATGCATTTTTTCAAACGGTAGAAACACGAACGGCCAACCTTCCCCTGTTCGTCTCGCATCCTCAATCGTAATCATCAGCGAACATATCTTCCGCCTTCGGTCTCTTCCGCTTAGGTCCCGCACCCGCCGCAGTCCCGCCAATCTTGAATCCCGCCATACCCCCGAACCTGGGAGTAGGAGCAGGAGGCTTCTCTTCTTCCTTACTTTCTTCCTTCTTCGGTTCATCCTTCTTCGGTTCCTCCTTTGGTTCACCCTTCTTTGGCTCCTCGACGACAATTTCCTCCGGTGGGTCATATGGATCCGAGTCCTCAACCATAGCCTCATCATCAACATCGTCGTCATCCTCCACCATCGGTTCGCCGTCCACGTCGTCGTCGTCATCGACCATAGGCTCACCGTCCACATCGTCATCATCATCCGCGACCGGCAGCGGCTGCGCCTTAGGATCGAAAACACTCGGTGTAGCCTCGACTGTTTTCCAACGGCTCTTGGTAGCCGCGGTGGACTGTGGTGCTGCTGTGGCCGTAGCCGTGGGTGTGTGGGAGCGTGATTTTTGTTCCTTTGAGGAACCGGAATCCTTCTTTTCTGGTCCACTCAGAAAAGCCTCCAGGAACGCGTCGTATGTAGCCTGTGGAAATATGCACCATTTCTTTACTCCTATCAGTACTCGGTGTAAAATATGATTCATTGCGAGAACCTACCTCCCAACCTTCCAGCACGCCCTCGACCACCATTCGTCGGAATTTCTCGGCTTTCATGCGGCCCCAACCACTTTCACGGTAGATCTCGCCGAGGTGAGAAAACACCTTTCGTTCTCGGAGTGCAGTATCGAAAAGTTGGCGATATCGCCACGCGGCGCGGACGCCGAGTGATGAGTTGGAGAGCACGTCGGAGATGATCCACAGCCCTACGATCTTGGCAGATGATGTGTCGGGCTGGTCGTCCTTCTCCTTTTCGGCACCAGAGTCCTCAGAGCTGGAGTCGCGTTTTGCCGCCTTAGTGAATGCAAGCGGTTTGAGCACATTGGAGACGAGGATGTCGACTACTTCTTCACCCATGCCGCCTTCTGCATGTTCCATGGCGAACGCCATCACTCGTCCAACATCCCCCCGGCGGACCTTGCTTGTAGTTGTGGGCACGCGGCTGATGAGATGGACAAGTTTTGCACGCTCGAGCACGCCAAGATAGCCCCTCGATTTCTTTCCTTCACCGCCAGCAAGACCAACGGGCCGATCATCGTGATTACCATCGTCGCTGTCGTCCTCATCCAGCTCATCACTCATGAAATCGTAATCTTCCACCACGTCGTCGAGACTGCCGGCCCATTCGTATTTTAATGGCTTCTTCGGCGGCACCCATACAGCGCTGGACGAGTCGAAGATGTCGACGGTAGGAGTGTACGGCTTGTCGATAGAGAAGCCCGTGACGATCTCCCATAGCTTCCAACGATAGTAGACACCCGCCGGGCTCCGTGCGTCCCATAGCCACGCAAATTTAGGGTCATTGCGGACTTCATCTTTCGACATCAAGAGTGCCTCGAATTCGGTCCCGTGAGTGAGAAGTGCCTCGATCGTGCCGTGAATAAGCCTCAAAACCTTGAGGTCCTGCGGAGGATGCACATGAACCTGTAGATGACCGGACTGCGATTGCTGCTGCTGCTGTGCTCGACCTGGGGGCCCAAACGAGGGTGGAGGCGCAAAACGACCACGATGGGAACCGCCCCGAACGCTCGGGGCGGCCCGAGGTGCCTTGGCACCGAATGGATGCGATTGTGCTGAGACGATGGGGATTCCTGTGGCCGCGCTTCCGGTAACGGCGGATGACAGGTGCCGCACGATACCGAGCCAGAAACCGTAGCCAATGTACTGCCCATTCAACGATGAGACGGCGGCCTCAATGTTGGAGACCGGTGTGTCCTGCGAGAGGGTGACGAGTGCAGAGGCGGCCTTGCGTACCGACGGTGAGGGTTGCGACGGACCCGGCGGCGGCGGTGCGGGGACGACGCGAATCGAATCAATCTTCAGCGAGGTAGTCGCGAGTAGATCGGTAATTGCGGCCTTGGTGATGTTTGGAGGGAGCGACGAGAGGAGGAGGGTCGGCTTCGGGTGCGGGGCTACTTCTGTATCTACAAACACAATTAAACTTCCCGACACCGATCGATGGGCGCACATCGCATACCTGAATCTTCGTCTGCGACGTATCGTTCCCTCCGCTTTGAAGGTCCCGAGTTCTCAAACGCCAGTAGGCCCGAACTTCCGTCCTTCAGTCTTCTCTTCTCATGGTCCGTCAGTGTCGCTGACGACGACGATGATGCTGCCGCCGCCGAACCAAAGATCCCGCCCTCCTCTTCGTCGCGCTCAAATGCATCACCAAGATTCCGTTTCCTCAGTGGGGGCGGCGGCACACCACCCAGACCCCCGCGCCCACCCGAAAAATGTCGTCTCCCCGGCGCGCCGCTACCTCCTACTCCTCTGAATCCCGCGCCGCCGCGTCCGTGTCCCCCACGGAATGAAGAAAGCGCAGGTCCATCGGGCGGGCCCTCGTCAAACGAGGCGACAAAATCTTTGTATACCGCGGCGGTCTCGGCTTCCTCGCGTTTACGCTTCTCTTCGGCTTCCACACGCGCTTTCTCGAATGCGGATTTCTTGGATGGCGCGCTGAGTTTATCGCGGACGTTTGGAAACTGGTGTGGATTCGACATGGTGCCGTGTCGCGGTCGCGGTTGAAGGAAAGTGGATGTGGAAGTGGAGGTTTGAAGCCTGTGCAGCTGCTAGGTGCTGAGGTTGGTTCCGTGTCGCGTGTGGCTGTGGTGGCTGTGCGACGCCGCTCATGAGCTAATACTCGCCTTTTCGACCAGCAAGCATTTCCAAAGTGGCCTTCTAGACCACTGCCCCCGTCAAGGCCAGTATCTACAGATTGCTTCATTCGAGTATACACACCATCCATAACCAGCAGAATGCGGCTATCCAGGCCGAATAGAGCAGACATTCGTACCATTAGAAGCCATGACACCCAAAAACCTCCCCGCAGCTCTCCCCGATTTTCCACTCAGTCCGTGTGGGTCCGGTACTACGAACGGACGTCAAAGTAACCAGCATTCCTGCAAGTCACACGATTGCACTCTTCCTACAAATGTGCACTTACGTACTATAGCCGCCGCCGTCAAAGACAGGTACCGTAGTTGTCACAGCCACCTCCCTTCTCTCCAGAATCCACTGAGTCCACCGATGCCGAGCTAACTATCCGTTTCTCCAGCGAACGGGCATCGACGCATTATTGCAACTTGTGCCCCCTTGCACTGCCCCACACCTTCAGTTTCAGCATCGAAACGTCCACACAACGCGAAGAGGGATTCGCGAATCGCCGGCCTGGATGCTTCTATGATCGGAATGGCAGCACCGGCGCCCTCAAAGATCCACTTACCCTGCAAGAAGAAAAGAGGGAAAAAATGTGGCCGTTCCCATTGCTGGTTGGGTGAGGGACACCAGCTTGCACTCGCCTCTTCAGCTCATGTGAACGATTAGGTAGATATCTCAAACACTCAACAGGGGGTTCCGCATCCCCCCTCTCCCTCCCCCTCCGATAACCGCTCAGGGCGGTGCTTATGTACACACCCGCAGCTCGATCACCACTTCCGCATCCACACGAAACCAGCTCGATCACCACACACAGCACGCTCTTCCCCCGAGTATATATTCGCTTCGGGGACGACTACCTCGAGCCGAGCACGGTCCCGAATTCGCCGCCGGGAAATAGGGACTGCACCCGAAGGTCCGGCCTCCCCGACGCCCGGGATCATTGCTTGTTTTGGCTATTGACACTTTGGAGTCGGGAGGGAGGGAGGGAGGGATCGGCGTGCTCGGATCGAACCAGCAGGAAAAAAGGGAAAAATTGCCCATCCAGCGCCGCCGTCGCCGCGAAGGGAAGCTTTACACGCAGCCTTGGCCGTGGAAGCACCTAGGTGGCCATTCGCCCACTGGATAAGTATCGTCATTTTGATCACCGGTACTCAAGGTGAGACGTTGACGGGGCGGGCTTCTGTGTGGTTACCGATGCATACTTGTACATATTGGATCTCGGCTGAATTGCTCGTGATCCCCCCTTCTCTCCTCACGGAACTGCAAGTGTATGTACAGTTGTATGCAGACTGTAGTTTGTGCGCTCTCGCGCTGTGGTACCTACATGCCAGAATGACATCTGTCGAAGCGGGAGCGGGAGCGGCAGAGTTGAAAGGTCGATGGCTATGTATCCAGACGGACAGCGCCCCGCTGTGGGTACTTACTACCTATATGCTTCTATTAATAGATGACCGGCCATGGATGAGAGGTACGCGTACATACCCAGGTCCTACTCGGGACATCCGCATGGTATGTCACTCGGACGGTCGACGCTCGGAGCTCGGAACTCAACCGAGAGCTGAGGATTGTGGCAATGTATGTACATATGCGCTAGGTATTCCGGCAACATGGTCGTCATGCGGGATTACCCTCATAGTTACTGAATCGTGGAGGACAAACCGTGATGTACTTACATACCGGTAGTTAACTACGACTTCCACGGCGTGTACATTAGGCTCCTATGCGAGAAGCACCTGTTATTTTCTCTCTCTCGCAGAGACGACGGAAATCAAACATCCCTGGCCTGACGACAAATGATCGACATATAGAGTACGGTTATTTACTCTACTAGTAGATAGTTCTTTAGTCGTCGGCCCATATTCTGACACTCTTGTGGGCTCGGGGTAAATATGCGGGGTTCTCTTCCAGGGGGTGTGGGTATTGTCATCACGGGCATCTACTATATTGTAATCTCTCCCTGTCACGCCTCCCATCTAGGTACTTCGGCAACGCCGAAAGCCCTACGAGTTTCCGGCTGCTTAGGATTCAGGTCAAGCACATCGTTTGTGTTTCCGGCAGCAAGTAGCCCGACTCCATAAAGTTTCCATATATCTAGCTCAAGGGAAGGGAGGGACGATGTTTGCAACGGGTCGGACGGGCCAGAGATCCCGCACAGCGGTATGGCTAACTACTATACACATGATCAGCATCCGGACATGACGCAACGCCGTCGTTTCCCGGCCGATTGATCCACAGAAATCTTTGCGCAGCTTGCAGTGCGGTTGCTAGGGGGTGAGGATACCGGTACCGGCTGGTGGTGATGGTACTCGGTGCCGGGGGATCGCGGATGGGTTGTGGACCGTGGTTGCCGTAATCGGTGGGATGGGAGCACCATGGCAAAACATTTACCCAGCGTGGCCATGGTTAGGTGCCCAGGTATTTCCCACGGCGGAGTCCATGCTCACAGCTGGGCCGCCGATTTTATGTATCTACCGGTATGTATGTGCTTTGCCATCGTCTCCGGTACAACAGCACAGAACCATGGAAACATCAGTATGTACGGGATCTTGCAGACAATCCCATACATAGCAAGGCGGTACATACCTACCAAAAGAACGTTGAATCCCGCTGGACGGATATTAGTATGTAGACTATCGTATCACGGCATCGAAACCACACGGACATAGGTATTCTGACAGTCTCGATGCAATGTACTTTACCAGTATGTAACTACTATTATTGTGTTTCAATATGGCAACACCAGTGCAATTATCACCGCCCCGTTGAACTATTCTACTGACCTACTAGTAACTGTCGGAGCAGCAGTGTGCAAACGCGTTAGGCGCGACCGGCCACCAGCTTACCTAGACTACTAATTAGTAGTCGATGTGAGGCCAAGAACACAAAGTCGGGTAGGCGGGCAGGTGGACACGATCATAACCTGACCCCCTTTTCCGATTTCCGGTAACCTGGACCTATGCACGATTGGGACGTCAATGTTCCTACTAACTACCAATACTAGCAGAGCCGAATTACTCCACATGGCCGCAACATATGTATTCCACAGGATAGGATGGCCAGGCTCTGTTTGTGGATCCAGTACATACATAAGAAGTATCTACCTCCTTAGCTTGTGATAATTAGTTCCGCTGACCGAACACTACTATATACATAGGCCAGAAAGAGTGAGCATCTTCCCGGCCGCCTGGACGTCTTTGGGACAAGACCCGAGATGTGCTTACTGCTTGAGAGTCGAGCTTCCCCGACTACCGTACCTTCCTACCTACTTACGGAACAAATTCGATATGTACATAGGATTTCCCCGGGGCTTCTCGCCGCTCGGTGGGGATCTCGCAGCTGGAGTTTCGCGCTGGACTCTTCCCCCTCCCCCGACCAGCGCCTTCCTCTCTGTTCGGATTGGATAGATTGATGTGCATTCATCAAGGCATCAGGAGTTGCACACGCAGGGGTTTGGTTCGGTTTTCGTTTCACGTTTCCGCTCCTGCTGGATTCTTGTCCACTCGTCTCGTCCGTCCATAAGGGAAGAAAAGAAGGAAGGAAGAAAGGGAAAACGAAAGAAAGAAAGAAAGAAGGCATTAACTATCCCCCCAGGCAGTTGGTTACAGGCTTAGGTACTTTGGTCGCCCTGGGGCCTGGACGTGGAAGCCGCCCGAACACCTCCGCCTTTCGAAACACTCCGGCGCGGTAAACAATTACGGGTTTTGCGCCGCTTTTTTTTTTCTCTTCCATTTTTATTCGGTACCTGATTTGTCCGGTATTTGTTTTCGTTTTTGTTTTTTTTGCTCGCCCTGCGCTTTCCTATCCTTTCCTCTTTCCTGTCTGCCGTAAAACTAACCATAGAGTGACCGTACCTAACCTACCTAGAGCACTTCCGTACCTACCGTATGTACCCTGGTGCACTGCCTCCTCGCCGAGACATAGACATGCTCTGATTCGCCACGCAACTTGGTCCGAGTTTCAGTGTTGGCGGCGGCGACGGCGGTGGTACCATGGTGGTGGTGGTGGTGGTGGTGGTGGTGGTGGTGGTGGTCACTGGTGGTGGTGGTAAGTTTAGCCCTGGAACACAGCGGAATGCTCTGCAACCGGCAGAAAATAATAGGAACGCAGCGGGTGTGGAAATCTGTGGGAGTGAGGTGGCTGACTACGGCCAGACCAAAAAAATAGCGGTGATTTTGCGGTGGAAGAGTGATGGCGAGTGAGTGGCTCGTCAACTCCAAGAAAAATGGGTATGTACAGTATGGAGTTATGTACATCGATTCCCTGGTGAAGCCGATGTTCAATATTTCTCACCAGCGGCATTCTTGCCCCAGGGCCGTGCAACCTCTCTCGTGGCCGCAAGTAGGTAGAATGGGTAGAAGCCCACATTTCTCACGGTGACCTTTTTACCCCCCTTCGTTCCCCTTCGTTCCTCCACCCCCGGATCCGGACTGTTTGACGGGTTATCTTCCCATGGTCGCAGGCCGCCCCCCCAGGTAGAGTGGCTAGGTATGGGGCGGTATGTATGTACTAGTACTGACGACCGGCGGAGGCGGGGACGGCGACGGCGACGGTGATGGTGATGACCGATGGATGGCGGGCACTCCCTTGCGAGAGACCTCACATATCTCACATACCTGATACAGAGTGCGGTACTTTACGTCACTGCGTCGAGCTCAGACCATCTTCGGAGGAACTCGAATGGCTGGCTAGGTATGAGAGTGAAGTCCATAACTATGGCCAGACTGTAAGCTCATGGAGTAGGTACAACATCAAACCCTACAACTAACCGTGACATGAGGTATCTGCATCTCGAGAGTGAGGATACAAGTGAGGTTTATATATATGGATAGTTTGAGCTTTGCGCCAGCTCGGGTGGAGATCCCCCCGCACAGGTGGAGTAAGTAGCTGGCTTCTGGAGTAATCGTACATAAATACTCTATTTACATAGTATCTATGCTGTACATACCGATCATGGGTCTCCACTTCCTCGGTAACTATGGGCCACGGCCGCCTTGTGGGGAGAGAGAGAGACAGCCTCCATCTGGAGTAGATAGGTATGTCGGTATCTAACAATTGACTTGACAAGTGGATTCTAGAGTGCGGTAGATCTTTGGGGGCTGTTTTCCTTCTTCGGCTCGGGATTCGAGCATATATATGATCTCGGGGAAGAATGATTTGGAAAAATGTCCCCAATAATGATGCCAAGCAAGTACTTTAAAGTAAGAAGTACCTGAAAACACTTCGGATCCTCGCGCAGCTAGGCTGTAGGTGGAGAAGCCCCTCCCTCTCTCTCTCCTGTAAACAGCGTTTCCCCCCTCTCCGTGGTCGTCGGTCAGTCCTCCGCTTTTTGTTCCCTTATTCTACCGATTATCTATCGCTTTTAAGAGTTGCATTGGGGCATTTTACTCTCGTAGTGGTGGAGAGCCTACTTTGTACCTACATGGAAGCATTTCTTCTCTCCCTATCTCTCTAGTAGTAGTTAATCGTTAGTGGAAACTTGCAAGCTTTCCCTAGAGTACCAGCAGCGACTTCCTACATACCGGTACTTACATCCAACTCACACACTCAACTCAACTTCACCCACGCTCGCTCTCTCTCACACCCCCCCAACCTTGAACACTCACCCTTCTCCCCCCATCACACCACCACCACCACCACCACCGCTACCGCCTTCAGCCCAACAACCACACTTAACCAACCGAATCTACCGACGTCTGCCACTGCACCCTCGCCACAAAACCAGCCCTCCCCTCTCCTCGAGTGTCCCGCTTCAACTGCGCTCCCCGCTTCGACACTCACTCAACCCTGACAGTGCCCGCGCAACTCGTACCTCGCTTCGCCCTCTCCTGCGCTATTCGGACGAAAGAAAGAAGGAAAAAAACTCTAGCTGACCTGTCGTGGTTGCGGAGCTCTCGGTTGACTCGATCTCAGACGAACAACTTCGTCTTTAACATCGGGGGTCAGCTGGGAATTTGACCGGTCGCCCCACGATGGAAAATCGATTACATCTGAGCACGGATATCGTTGAAGACGAGTATCGCAGGCACTCGTTCGCTTCGTCCGTAGTCCCGCAGCGAGGTTCCGTCGCGTTTACAACCCGCGATTTCACTTCGCCTGCCATTAGCATACAGGAGGCCGACAATGTATTCGACACACCGCCCGTCTCGCCAACTGTCGTCGGGCGGGACGACGTTTTCGCGACTCCGACAAATTCTCAACCCAGTTCCGCCAACGTTTCGCTCGTCGACTTGAGCGACTTTTCCACCCGTACACCGTCCGAAGTACCTCGAAGTTCGATATCGTCCGAGCCGAGGTCTCTCTCGTCTATAACAATAGCGGATGGAGGGTGGTCTTATGGGTTTGGGGGACATCGTCGGTCGGTGTCGTTATCGCGATCAATAACGCCCTCTTTGTCAGTCACAAGCGGAGTGAGCGGGTTACATCGGTCCAACACCGCGACTTCACACGGAACAAGTAATTCTTCAACTCTCTATTCGATACCGTCAAATATTTCGGGGATATCGTCAAATATTTCGGGGATATCGTCGCCGCCTAGTCCAAGGCAAGTGGTGGCGCCGGTCAGGCCTCACTTCAATTATGGCGGCCACCAGCAGACTCTGTCCATCAACGGCTCGGAATTAGACGAATCGGATCCGTTTGGGGATGGGTTTGAGATACCGGTCGGCGATGGATTCCGGCCACACATGCACAATCGGGTCCACATTATTAGTCAACGGCCTCCAACTTCATCGGCTGTCAGCCACAACGGTAGTTTTGGCAGCCTACCACCCCCTTACACGGAATACACGCTTCACACCAGATCACCGAAGCCGGATGACGGCGAGATTGATCTTGGTGTGGCCGTAAGACCTGTTTCGACAAATTCGGACTCCGGCATATCCATGGGTGACGGGGACGTTCGGCGAAGGAGCAGAAGGAGTGCAGCTGTTGTGGCAGGGGCGGGGATAGGAGTGGCAAATATGCGGAACGACGAAGGCGGTGAAGATTCTAGCGGTGCCACGAAAGAATGGCGCGAAAGACGGATTTTTGGGAGTCGAGCGTGGCTGATTATCCTTTCGGGTGTCGTTGCATTATTGGTTGGAGTCGCTGTGGGATTGGGTGTTGGTCTGGGAATTGGGGTTGCAAAATCGAAGGCGGAGTGAGTGGCCCCATCAGAGTCGTTGCGGAGGATTAATCTGACTATTGAAGTGCTGCTTCTGAATCTGGTACTTCAATGACTACAGCGACTAACGTTCGGCCATCGCCCGAAGAAACTAGTCCCCCTAAGTCTGATCCAAACAACGTGTATCCCGACATTCCGACAGGCAAAAACTTGATATCACCGCTCGAACTCAAGGACTCCCTAGGGGGATGCAGCATCGCTAGTGGCAGTTCACAGTCACCGCAATATTTCAGTCAGGGATCGAATGGCCTCTGGTCTTGCAACATGCCGGAGCAGAAACCGTTGCTGTGGGATATCGACGAGTGGCCGATGAAATTCGCCGACGCCGAGCTTAGCAAGCTTGGCACTGTCCCGGACACCATCGTGTGCGCGGAGTTCGACAATGCCAAATGGGGAGGGTATTTGATTTCGAGTCAGGAGGGTGAATTCAAGGAGGAGCAGAAGAATACCGTGTTCGTTTCACCCAGCGGTGAAAGCGTCCAGTACGCACCTGGAGGCGGTTTTAGGGAGGGGATGCAAGCGCCGGCGTTTTACAACCAGCCACTCGCTTTCATGAATATCACCTGGCTACCGGACGAATCGGTCAACAAGAAGAGGGATGCGGGTCCTATCACGACGCTGTCATACAAGTTTGGAATGCTATACAACAAAACTGTCATCTTGAAGGAGACAACCATGATTGAGACATTCAATTCTGCAGGAACCAACCCGCAGCGCTACGGGAATGGAACCGAATTGGTGGCAGGGGATAAGGTGTGGATGTGCATGTGGGAAAAGACGCTTCTCGAGGTGGAATTGATGGTCGACGAAGCCTCGTTAGCAGCAGAAAAAGTACCCACGAGGCACGCTCTAGGGAGTGTCGACGACGAAGAGGACGATACCTACAACAGCGGCAGCTTAACGACAACCATCACTGTTAGTGATGTTATAACCGCATTGTCGACAACCGAGTCATCATCTTCTTCTTCATCTTCATCTTCATCTTCTCCATTCCCCTTTGAGCATGGGCCACACCCCCCTGGGGCGCCACATCACGGGAGACCACCTCCGCCACCACCTCCGCCACCAACACCAACACCAACACCCACGCCTATCGGCTTTGCAGACTTCGATTTTATCGAGCGTCTTGTTAAGCGTGGTGGTGCTACCGGCAAACCTCGTCGATACTCGCGGAGAGTGATAATCAAGGAGTATCGGCCCACGCAGGACCGATTACGGAGGGTGTTGGGGATCGACAAGACGGACAGGGACGCCGAAGGCAGATCGATACCGGGTGCCGTGCACTGCCGCAAGATGATCGTGCAGACGGACCGCGGACTTCGCGAGTACAGCTCCGATAACGAGGTCGTCAAGGTCACGATGCAGGAATTCGACACGAATTCGAAGCTGAAAAGAAGGACCGACGAAGTTACCGATACCGATACCGATGATGATGCCGATAACGACGGTTGTAAGTGTAGATGGGAGTCATAGTCATACAGTTTGGGGGCGGAGAGAGAGGGGTCCGAGGGGAAGACGTGTTGGGTGATAAAATGGGTGCATAATTGTGCTTTTTCATTTGATTCCTTTTTTATTATTCTGGTCTGGGATGTAGTTGCGGTACGGGGGCTTGGCTTTTGGGCGTTTCTGGGGATCATTTTTCAACTGTGTATTTTTTTTTGCGGTACTTTTTTTTTTGCGATACCGTTGTTTTTTGTTTTACATTTTCATCATACCATGTATCTCTTTGTTTTTTTCCTACTCTCTGGGGGGTGGGGGCGGGCTTTTTGGTTGCGTTCATTTATTCTCTACATTCTTGGGAGGCATCATTGGGGCGGAGGGGGGGGGGGGGGGGGGGGGGGTGCTGAGCGGGAAGTAAATATTACCATGTTACTAACAGGTGATGTGATGGTGCTCACTCGGCTGCGTTTGTGCTGTGCTGTGCTGTGCTGTGTTTTGGTTGCTCGTGGGAGATGTGGAGATACGTTGAGCCTGGATGTTTGTTACCTGATGTGGAGGCTTGACTTGACGAGTGATGACACACGGAGAAGTGTATGACGCGCTATTCTATAGTACGATTGTAGATGAGCGAGAGTGAATAGAACCAGCCAATTCCAATTCCAATCAGAGGCCGATCATTATCGTGGCAACGAGTGATATCATATGATGGCTTTTTGGAAATTCGGTATTCGTGCGAGTCCGTACGAGTCCGCGCACCAACTGGACACGATTACGGGCCGGCGCTGCTCACGCCCACACTCACGCTTCGGAGGGACGGTATTGATGGGAAGTTCAACATATCTGGTATTCCCCTCCCCTCATACATGTCGTCCCGCTTCTGCTGCCCTCCTGCCCTCCTCCCGCTCATATCCATCCATCCTCCTCCATCCTCCAAGCTCTCGGCCATCACCATCACCATGTAAACCCACCGCCTACCTACTCTACATAATCCATCTCGAGTGGTCGGGTAGGTAAGTGGGTAAGTAAGTCCACTACACACACTGCACACGCCACACACAGGACAGGACACACAGGACAGGACACACAGGACAGGACACACAGGACAGGACACATAGGACAGGACACACAGGACAGGACACACAGGACAGGACACACAGGACAGGACACACAGGATAATCCAGGACACAATCCAGCGCTCTCATGCAACGGTATATAAAGGTTATGAATCAACAAGTTCCCGCAACTTACGAAAAGAAGAAGAGGAAAAGCCAACGTTTCCAAACCACCACCACTCCCACACCCACCGCACCCACCCATCCCCATCCGCATCCCACTCCCACCATCCCCATCCTCTCTCCTTTCCAAAACCCCACCCCCAAAAACCCCAAATCCAGCCAGATGTGCCAAAGAAAGAAAAAATGAACAAATGAAGAAGGCATAGGTGTGTAGGTAAGTAAGAAGTAGGTAGGTTGCGATCCCTTCCCGTCTCGTATCCTCTATCCCCCTTCCTTCCCTTCCCTCCACCGTCCCCTCCCCATGCCCATCCCATTTTTCCCACATGCCCTCTTCCCCCGCCATGACACCCGCCCAAACAGAAGAAAAAAACAGAAGAAAAAAAAAGTAAAAAACAAATCCAGCCCCATTGCACATAAAGTACGGGTCTAGGTTTAAAAGCCCCGTCTCGGGAAAAGGACCTGCAATGTTGTCAAGCCCTTTCCGTCAAGAATCAAGTCGAAGACGTTAAACATGCGAAGTGGAAAAAGCAGAAAAGCTAGTAAAAACGACAGGAACGCAACCAGGCACATGGAAAGGGTGGCCGATTGCCATTAAACACTCATTGTACACGCAGGAAAACAGTAAGTGACCGAAAATGAGGTGTCCTCATCTTCTACAACTCCTCCTCCTCCATGGCAACCAGAGGTGCGCCCAACAATCCTCCGAAGCCGTGGCCTCCTCTCTCCGGTGGTCCGCCGAAGTTCAGCCCGCGGGTCGGGGCGGTAGGACTCTTGACATCGCTGTCCCCGCTGCCCTTCCTCTTCTTGGCGGGAGTCTCGGGCTCCTTGTCGGGAAGACGTCCGGGCGTGAAAGCCGTAGGACTGAAAATGCTTGGGATCGTGTCGGTGGGTTGTGCCGGGGGTGTCTCGGGACCGTCCGACTTGAGCGACGTGATCGAGTGGGACCTCTTGAGCTTGACACGGCTAATCTGTGCCGCCAGCTGGTCCTCCATCCGCACTTCCTCCTCGGTCTTCATGTGTTCCCTCGCCATATCCCGAGGATCACGGTTGAGTTCGTCTCCCAACAAGGGATCGTCGTCCTCGCTGAAGCCGTTGAGACGCTTGCCGTTGGACTTATTCTTGGTGGGCTGTGGGAGCGAATCTCGGAAATCGCCGAAGCTGTTGCGGCCCTTGTAAATGTCATCCCCCTTGGGAATGAGTTCGCCGGTTGTCGATCCGAGGAGCGACGAGAAGTCGGCTTGCTTGGGCTTGGCCGGGGTGTTCTGTGTTGAGCTTGCTCGAGCGGGGAGAGCCGGCGGCTTGATCAGCCCGATCTTCTTGAGCTGGTGCTCGGATCGGTAAAAAAAGATGAAGCTCGCGAAAACAACACCGTCGGCATCGAGGTGGCTGACGGATTGGGTGGAAACGGTCTCCTTATCTAGGGGCTTCGGGTCAGAGAAGCTGTAATTGTTAGTAGTGAAGGGAAAACATTTTAAGGCGGACACAAAAGAGATGAATACCCAGCAGTGTGGCTGACATCGACGTCGCCACCAACATCGCCCTCGGGATTGCCGCCGTTTGCCAGATGGTCCTTGAACATGTCTCCCCACACGCCCCTGCGGACCGGGCCCTCACATCTCACGCGGAACAGATCGACACGGATCTGACCGGCTGACTCCTTCGGCTTAGAAGCTTTGGTCTCGCCCTCATCCTCCATGTTACCAACGACGGATGCTGGCATGCTATGCCTCCGATTCAGGGCGGCAGCATCGGACTCGGACTTCTTCTCCTTGGAAATGTCTAAGGTGTTGAAGAAATTCTCGAGGCCGACTTCACGGAATACAAATTCTCGCTCAGCCAGTTGACCCTCGGCGACTTCGATCCATCTGCTCGAAATCCAGGTCTCGACCCCGCGCCGCAGAAGAGTAGCAGTTTCCTCCTTGCTCTTGCCGTCGAAATAGACGTAGGCAGCCAATGACTCCCGGTCGTCTCCTTTGACCTTGGGCTCGTAGCTATCCAAGATGGTGATGGAGACGGCGAACGGGCAGTTGGTTATTGCAGGGATATACGAAGTAATTTTCGGGGTATGACGGAGCTTGTAGGTACCGTGCTCGGAGACAGCGCCGTGCTGGACGTGGGCCCAGTTGAAGTTCTCGACATCGGTGGGCGGATCCTTGGGGCAGTGGATCTCGACAGTAACACCTTTAAACGTCGGCATAGTTGGGTAGGTGGAGATATGGTGGTTCTCGGAGGGGGTTGTAGTGGACGGAAGAGGGAGAAGCTTGGTCGTGGAGGATGACTATGGGATTGGAAGATACTGTGTGAGCAGGTAGCGGCTTTGAGTGAGGAAGAGAGTTGTGAATGGGTAGCAGCGTTGGGAGAGGAAGAGAGTTTGAATGGGTGGCAGCGGGTGAGGAAGAGAATTTTGAACGAGTAGCGGCGTTGGACGAGGAAGGGAGTTTGAATGGGTGGCAGTGGGTGAGGAAGAGAGTTTTGAACGAGTAGCGGCGTTGGGCGAGGAAGAGAGTTGTGAATAGGAATAGCAACAGCTCGGGCAACGAACCGAAAGCAAGAGCTTGGAACTCGAAGCGATTAAGACTCACTCAAAATGCGGGATGCCAGCGACGGGTAACGAAGACGACAGCGAAGACGACGAGAATGACGTTACGTGGCTTGGAGGAAGAAGAGGGGCGACTGCTTTGCGGAGTAGATGGTATTGGAGTTGTATCTGTGAAGGGTGTCTGACCGAACCCTGTGTGTTCAACTCAGTAACTTTCAAATTACCGAACGCCAAACGCTTGCGACGTCACTCCAAGCTCTCAGGGGGAACGGGCTCTTCAATCAATCCGGCCACCGAGAAGCAAGCGGAAGAGAGAGCGGGCAGCGACAGGAAGCGGGGTGTCCGCGGCAGCCGTGGCCATAGGTATGCCCGGGCCGGGTCCATCGCCAGACCGCGCAACTCCACCACCACTACCACCGCTACCACCACCGCCACCTCACTAGCTGTTTCCCCGCCGCTTCCCACCTGCGATCAGGTACTGGAGCAACGCCAGACAAACGAGCTCTCGGCCACCGGCAATGGAATCAAGAAAAAGTTGAGACCTACTCCCGAGTAACGATAGCGTAGCTGGCGACAAAATTAGCCGGAGTTGATAAGGTCTCTGGTTGTGTGGGGCTGGGGGGAGGGGGGAGTGGTGGTGGTGGAGGAGGCGGTGGTGGTGGAGGAGGTGTTGGAGGCGAGGAGAGGAGTTCGTGCGAGTTTGTTGGAGGTAGTTAGTGAAGAAGAACGTCACCCCCTGGCTCTTTCACTCTGGCTTTTGCCCAGCCGGCCAGCAAGGGCCAGCCAACCAGCCAACCCGCCGTCTCCATCGCCGTGCTCCTTCAAGCTTCGGGATCATGTCAGAGCAGCCATTCGGTCGGTCAGCCAGTCAAGTCACGATCAGTTTCATAGTGCTCTGGAGTAGTGTGAATGCCTAGCCACGGGAAAGAAAGGGAAAAAAACACAACTTGCTCAAGCTGGAAGTCGCATCAACGGAAGCAGAAGAATTTACTATTCTGCACGAATAAGTATCATAGGCACGTAGGTGGTTTGTATATGTACTCTATGTACTCGATAGATAGAGTATGTAAACCCATAACATTCAATCAAATCTGAATTGTTGGCTGGTGGGGAGAATGAAGAGGAGTCCTCACTCGCTTTCCAATCATATCCGCCGGCGACCGAAGTGAGTTTCGAAATTCGAATCATATCATAGTTACCGGACAGCCGCTGCTCCTCTCTCTCTCCAGATGTCAATATAATTGTCAGCCATCAGCCATGCAAACATCGCTTCTCCGCTGTGCCCATTAGACAGGTTTCTGGGAGCTTCATATCATAATTCCTTTTCCCCCCTTCGTTTGAGTCCATCTTATGAGGACCCTCTCTCTCTCCGCCATCTCCCCATCCACCCACCCTCTCCATTCCCCCCACCCCCAACTTTGAACTCACTCACTCACGCGCTCTCTGCTCCACTCGATATCTTTTTTTTCCCACAGCCGCTTTAAGGCCCCCATGCCCGTGCCTATTTCCCCCCATGCCTATGCCTATGCCCATGGATGTCGGCTCGCTCCCTCACAAAGAAACTTGTGTTGCGTTGCGTAGTTGCCGTACCTGCGCTATGAGTACCGTATTCACTTCCCAGAAGTTGTGTCGTGAGCTCATTGGCCCGCAGTGCGCAGTTGCGGCTCTTATCGTCTCGGATGCGAGAAAACCGGCGGAGGTGCTGCGGGTCGAAGGGACTCCTTCTGGTATATACTGGGAGATAGATGTGTACTCTGGAGCTCACAAAACCATAGGTCTTCCGTCCATTTCTCCCTCTGTCCGTACATGTAGTTAAGTGGCGGTGTTATTGGTGTTGGTTGGTCGATGCACGAATGTATGCACGTATTTGTATTGTACACAGTGGTTAGGTACCGTATACCGTGGTCCGTGGCGTGGACATGCCGCCTTTGACAGCGTAACGGTTGCTCTCTCCACCCCTCTTCTCGGAGAGGAAATAACCACATACGCTCTCGGTGCTTTCGGAAGCTCGAAGGGGAGCACTGCGATTGGTGTCCGAGTAGTTGCCACGGACGTTCGAATAAACGTGGCCGAGTCACGATCCGTAACCAACTACATACAGTGGTGATAGTGGTGGTGGCGGCGGCGGCGGTGGTGGACTCGGCGATCGTGCGAGCCAGCCAGGCCAGCCAGTTCTGGGGCCGTCCAGCCCAGCCCGAACTGCTGCGGGGTGAAGAATTCCATTCCACCCCCCACCCACACTACCCCGTTGTAGGAGAGAACACACGAGGGCTATGATACTAGGCTGTGGGCAAGACATAAAGCGAATAAACTCGGTGTTCCTGATCATCGGATAGGTACTCGAGCGGTAGTCAGTCAGTGGCACGTGAACTCGTCACGAGTATTGTTTGTCAGAGGGGCACCGTGGGCTAGTTATTCGCAGAAACGAAACAGCGGCCCGTGGAGAGATCACTGGGATACCGATACACTACTAGTACATAGAAGAATCATGGTATGATGTGAGTTGGAGATGCACACGCAGTGGCTGGTCGTGGTGGCCATGACCATCCTTCGAAAAACGGCCTAGACATCAAACAAACATCGAGAGAGGTATGTATGAGTACACCCAGACAATTTAGGCCTACGTTTCGGTCGTGGGGAATTTCTGCGACGGCCACGCACAGCGATTGGCGCCGCACGCGGTGGCCATTCACTAGATATCACCCATCCATCCATCATAAACAAAGGTGTTGTGACCTCGAAGATGACCATCAACTCTGCATATAGATCGAAATGTATAGTTATCGCGGAAGATTGCCAACTTGCCATGGAAAGCTTCTCGGGAGTCGGCCACGTAAGGTGGCGCTACTGTTAGATTCCATGCATATATCGTGTTTGTACGTACAATACACACATGCCCAAAATAATAAATGGTTGTAACTATGCCGGAATCCGACTATTACGTCCGTTGATCTGTCCTATAGGTAACTACATCACTGCTGGCCCTTGGCCCACTCATCCCATTCGACAACTCTCTTCTGCAGCCTTGCCTGTTCCGCCCAAAACACCACCTCGTGCGCCCTGACCGCATCCTCTGTGGTACACTTGATATACTTCCGTTGTGCCTCGTCCACCGTAGCCTCACCATTCTTTACCGCAACGATAGCATCCACAAAAGCCATGGCCAGGCTGACATCGCCGCCACCGTGGCCGGAGTCAGTGTGCTGCTGGGGCGTGTAAACCTTCGTCAAAGCTGTTCGAAAGTCATACACGGTGATCGTCTCCGAGTCCGCCGTCAGCTCACCGAGCGTGCCATACACCTTCGTCTGTCTCTCGCAGATGCGCTGGGTATGCGCGATCATCGTGAGGGTGGCCGTTTTCGGCCCGTGGCGGGGCTCGTTCTCGTCGTCCCAGGAAAGCACCACAACCTGGTTATCCACCACGTCGTTCCCCGCGTCATATACGCAGCGGCCATATTGGCCATCTCCCTCGAGCCGTCGCTCCAGCACCTTCACTGCGTCGGCAACGTCGACGCAGTCCTCGATCTCTGGCGCGACGATCTTGTTGGGCCAGCCTGTATTGCCGTGGGAGCGGAGGTTTTCGTCGATGTAGATTCGTTTGGCGCTGTAGATACACTCTGGCTCCGCGGGGCAGCCGAAACAGTTTGTGGCCGAGCCGGCGAGGAGCGGTTTGTTGGCCCGGCGGTAGTGCACCAGTGAACCGTGCGAGGACACGGAGGTGGGCATGTGCGGCGCTGTGAGCCATAGTAGGAGATCAATGTCGTGGCAGCATTTTGTGAGGAGGGATGGTGCGCCGTTACGCCAATTCCCACTTGAATCCACAACATCAGGACCAGTTAGCTCTGAAGAGGAGGAGGAGGAGGTGCATTATAACATACCGGACATAGGAATGTGCGAAATGCCAATATCCCACAGGTTCGGTGTGATTGATATTTACCACTTCACCCACAACTTCATCTTCCACCAGGAGCTTATGAAGAAGCATATTATGTGGCGAGTACCGCAGCACATGGCCGATCGCGAACAACACCGACGGCCCGGCCGTGATCGAAGCCTGCATAGCCCGACAGTCTGCCAGGGTGACAGCCAGCGGCTTCTCGCACAGGATGTGAAGATTCAGAGGGCGTAGCGCAAGGACGATCTGCAACCGTTATAGACCCCGCGGTGCCTTGCCCAGTGCCCCTCCTCCCTCCCAGGGCGACGACGAACGGATATAGTACCTCGGCATGGGTCTCGTCGAGGGTACAAACGCACACGCCATCGACCTTCGCCCCGATGGCCTCGCCGGCAGCGACAAAGTCTGACCACGACGAGAACGCGAGCGAGTCGGCGATGCCGAATCGCCGCTGGAACTCGCGGCGCTTGTACGGCAGCGGTTCGGCGACTCCGACGATCGCTCCGTGCCCGTTGGAGTGCTTGGCTATCGCTTTGGCGTAGGCATACCCGCGGGATCCGGCGCCGATGATGAGGATGCGTGCGGGTTCTTGCATCGCTGTCGGTGGATGTTTGCAATTATGGAGGAAGCTTGTGCGGTGTTTAGTTACAAGTGACAGCTAGCAACCGAAGTCTAAGTGCTGTAGGTAGGAGCTATCCATGAGAGCGGGGTGCGCTGCTGGCGTTGTGTAACAGGGCCGGACACCGGGCTATCGATCGCCGTGCCAAGGTTCCTGCCGATAAGCATAAGCATGGTCGATGTGGCCAGTAACGCGGGTCGGTTTTTGAGGAGCTTCCGGGTAGGTTTAAAGCGAGCCTGATTATGAGATGATCTGAGCCATGTGCTCGAAAAGTGGCGGGCTACTTGACTCATAAGAACTCACTCGGCGAGCTCCTCACGGACCGTGCTGAAAAATATCATTCGTTTGTATGTACTTTGCCGTGCTGTTGCCTCATCTTCGGGGGGTTTACTCCTTACTTCTCAGCATTCTCAACCTCAAGTATCCAATGATCTATGTACCTCTTTATTAACACCAGTCATTTCTTCATCATATTTTTTGACAGACCAAGCTGACAGAGAGATGGTGACGGTCCAGTTCAGTCCAGTCCAGCAACTTCGAGGACGGTCCCGGACCAGTCTATGTACCATAGGTACTTGTCAGAGATAAGGACGGAATACAATTATGTCAGACAGCTAAGGGCATGTATCATATCATATCTGATAGATCGGGGGCAGTAGTGATCTTGAACGCCTCGGACGGCCCGATGTCTTCCAGTCCCGTCTAGTCCCGTCCAGGCCAAAAACCCGAATCAACGTGGCCTTGAGGAGCGCTGGCTACACTGCATTCTGCCCCATACCACGTTTATTTACTGCAGTTTCTGTCATTTGAGCCTGGCGGATGGGAGGGGTGAGCGTCACACCCAGTTTTACATAAGCCCCCAAACTTGACCACTGCCCTCCCGTCGTCTCTATAAACTTCTGCGCTCTCTATACATAATGAAATCCTCGTAGGCCCTATCCAGGGCGATCCCCACTGCCTAGGTAGTAGAACCTCATATTTGTCACGATCAACCTCCTTCCTGGATCTCCAATCCCTCGATGGACCGGACAGTCTACAGACTACAGTAAGAAAATACCCAAAGAAGAGAAAGAAAAGAAGAGAAGGAATCCAACGCATGGTAGAAATCAACAAAACACAATCCATTACTCATCACGCAGGGTAACAAAAAAAAAACCTACACCCCCATGCTGCCTCAAATAACGCCGTGGAACGGGCTCGCTTGGTTGGTGATAGCAAGGACTACCACCCTCTCCTCTTCCTCAGGTACTTCTTCCTCTTCCGAGGAGCAGCCGCAGCAGGCAGAGGAGAGACTGGCTCGTCCACCACTTTCGCCCAATCTGCAAGGCCACGAAGCCGCTCCGCCTTATCTTCCTGTGCCCTATATGGCAGGGGCTTCCACTGGTGATGGCTCCCCTCATCCTCTTCCATGAGCTGTTTCGAAGCTTCGTCTGTAGCGATCTCCGTGGTAAACTGCAACTTCCGTTGCGAATACATAGCTCGCGTGGCAGCTACCGCGTCGAATAGCTGCCAGCCTGATGGAGGAGATCCAGACACCTGCTGGGCATTGTCCGTCTTAACTTTCTTCGACTTCTGCTCTTGGAGCTCGTCGGCGATATCGCGCTCCTGTTGTTTCAACAGGGTGATCTCTCTCTGACGGTGTAAGAACCGCAATTTAGCCCGGTCGCCGCGGGCCGCAGCGACATATTCGAGCGGACGAGTGGAGTTCCAAGCATTTCGCTGCCATATGAGTCGTTGCTCGTAAAGGTAGTCATCGGAGAGAGACTCTTTTGCAGTGCTGCGCTTTCGTTTGCGCGGTTTCTTGTTACTGGCAAGAGGTATTTCCTCCTGCCCTCCATGAGGGTCCTCGTTCTCTCCATCCACACGCAATTCTATATTCGCCTCCGATGCAGGCCCCTGTGCCACGGATGGGCTGGTAGCTGCATCCACAGATCCTACAGAACTCTCGGTTTCCGGTGTTGGGTCCGGTGTGGGAAGACCTTGGGGGCTAGTCGTTCGGTAGAAGTCTGGCCCCGACAGGTGGTGCGAAAAGACGCTCTCCAAAAAAGCCCCAACCCGAATAACCGACACCCGGACCGGCTCACAGAAGTTTGGGAACTCCAGCAAGAACTCGCGAGCGAGTGCCTTGGGAGTGAACCCCAGCCCCCGGATCTGAGAATTGTTGTGCGGCTGGGGAATATTGAGACGATCACACAAGGTGTGAAAGCAGGATTCAAGGAGAGCGCCTCGCTTGATACAGTGGTCTCTGAGCCTCTCATTCTCGGCCCCTGTTAAGCCATGCAGTTCGCGGTCTGCCTCTTCGGTCTCCCGGGTGGGTGAGGACCGCGTGCTTGAATGGTCCTCATCGGACTCGTTCGGGTCCTGGCTGTCCTGGCTGTCAAGACTGTCGTCGACCACGATGGGACTTTTGCTACTGGTCCCCGGAACCTCGGTCGTATCAGGAGGTGTGGTAGATGCTGGCTCCTTTCCTGAGGTATTTGCATGTGAGGTAGGCTTGCCCGAGGTGACATTCCGAGATTTTTTCGACCCTTCCTCGATGGGTTCCCAACGAGGCACAGGTCTTGCCAGCACTGGGATCCCATTAAATTGTGGGCATCCATTTTTCTTCCAGGCCTTGTACTTGACGGTCGTCCCGTCATGGCAGTATGCGGCAATATTGTCGACGAGAAAATCGAGTTTCTTGGTCAGACTAGCCTTTTTGTTCGCAAAGTACTGCTTGAAAGGGGTCTCTGCAATCGACGATCCATCTTGCCTGGTGGCAAGCAAGTAAGTGAGGGTTTCGTCGAGCCTGTGGACGCTGCCTTCTACTTGGTTGAGTTAGTAAAGTTCATTGGGGTAGCTGGATGGATATTCCTACTGTTGGACTCCACTTTGCTGTAAAATTCGTGGCTTACGCCCGCTTTGACCAACTCGGGTGCTAAGAAAAAATAAATTATGACAACCATCTTCGAGTGTTGGGGACTTGGTGGATGCACTTACTTTCGAGGGTACTGTTGGTACATCCTTTCTCTGCAATGCCTTTACTGCTTGGTGCATGGTAAGGCTGTCGTTTGGTGCCTTTAACGGGGGACCCCACCCAGAGCATGGTTTGTTTCCGAACCGAAGGTGCTCCGGTACTGGATGATCTAGCATCTGCTTTTATTGTCGAGGTCTGGCCTTGCCCGAATGTTGATGGCTCACGAAGCCGGAAATCGTAACGAACTCTGTCATTGTCCCCAGGCTGGACAGTGTCCGAAGCCGCGGTCCCTGTCGGTCTTTGATTTGACCGCCATAATGACTCGTTGAGTGAGTCCTTGGTCTTGCTGACCTTCAAAGGCTTCTTAGAAACACCGGAACCGTGTTTCACTTCAAGATCTGACAGCTCCTCAGATTCACTGTCCATGGGTTCATCCTTAAACTTCCGTTTCCCAAGCTTCGATGGGGTGTGCACTCCTACAGCCCTTGCTGTGGTAGTTTTTTGCCGTTTCGGCTTGCTGAATATATTCAGCTCTACAGCTTCAATGCCTCGCTTTGCACCAATTTTGGATGTTCCTTTCGGTAGGTCCTATGTTGGGTTAGTCCAAATGATCTTGTAATGCAACTTTTCTGTGGACATTCCAGGAATCCAGATATTCGTTCGCAGGCATCGTGAACACAGATAGCGGAAAAGCAGGTGACTTGCCTTATTCGCGGTCTTGTTTCTTGAGGTACGCCGTATCGCTCTCAGACGAGGAGAATTTGAGTCTGACTCCAATAGGTCTGTCATTGCCTTGCCAGGAGCAGCAGAGCCATCCTCTACCCTACCCTTATTATTTGCACTCAGGGTGACTTGCAGCCGAGTCATTCTCGGATTCTGAGGGGTCATGTTTGTGGTGTGAGTGTCTCCCTGTGACAACGACATGACTTCAGTTCCCTCTGAGCACAAAACAAGCTTCGTGAAGATTGGCGGTAGTGTCTAATTCCCTCGTCTTAGTCTCAAGAAAATAATATCAAGATGTCGTTATGAGCGCCTTGATTCACTCGAGATTGAGCAGACCGACTCAAAAATCCGACAAAGCAAGATAAACTCACAATTAAAGGAGGTAATTACCAAGATGCAAGGGGTCGAGAGTGGATGTGAAGACTCTTTGAGAATGAAGAAACTGTTGAGGTGTTTTGAGGGTGAACAGTATTGATAGATCTAACCCTCCTCTTAGACCCCTTTCAGAGGGCGACTTCTAAGCCTATTTGCGCGCTTCCTAAGTGTCGTAAGAAAACAAGAGTCGCCTGTCGGGGTAGAGCAGATTCTAGCGATCGGTTGGAGGTATTGAACAAAGTACTGTCGAACGTGGTTGACGATGCAAGAGAGCGAATTGTCGAATTGTGGGCGAAGTTGTATTCGAGAAGAGAAGAGAAGACGCGACGAGAGAAATGTGTTGGAGCTAAAAGATGAGGAGCGAGTTTACCGGACGTTGGCTAACCGAAGGGAGGCTTTAGCCCTGTTTTGCCCCGTCATTAGTTATCTATCGGCATCTGATAACCTTCCGAGGTTACATCACCACTTCCAACGTCGACCCCTCCACCTATCAATTACCCACCGCAACGATTCGCTGCTGTACCGAGATGCGCTCCCGTGCTCTGTTGGTAACGTTTGATGCCTGGAAGACGTTGATTACGCCGAGGGAAGCGCCGGCGATGCAGTACACCCGGCTGGCTCGCGAACACGGTGTCAATGTCAAGGAACACGAGGTCGCCGAGGGATTTGCGAAAGGTACTTGATTAATTTCCCTGTCGACGAATCCAAGCTCTAGGCCTGTGAATGCCGAAGTTTTGGTTGCCATCACCGATACGATTCACCAGGGAGACGATGTGGGGAGGCTGTTGCATTTACCGCACACCTGTTCTTAATATATATGCCACAAAGACTGCGAGATGTTGCGTGTAACACTCGAAGCTAGGGGTGTTCCCCGCCCATGGGAAGCGGTGTCCAAGGGTTATGTTTGCAGAGGGGACAGAGTGGAACAATGTTCAGCCATCACGTTATGAGTCTTCGTCTTTTCGCCTTCGCTAACGGTTAGATCAGCCTTTAGGGATGTGTATAAGAAGTATCCAAACTACGGGAAGAATGAAGGGCTGACACCAGAAGAGTGGTGGACTAAAGTATGGGCCCTAGGTTTCTTCCCGTCTTGCAATGGTCGTCGATGTTAGCAACTAATCCTTCACCGTAGATCATTCACGATACCTTCTCTCCGATCTCCCTACCTCCAGCTTTGCCCCCAGCTTTGCTGTCTCACTTTGCCACTAGGAGGGCCTACATCTTGCACACATCGATCCCGTTCCTGTTGAAGTCCCTCAAGGCCAACAACCAGTACGACCACACCGTCATCGGCCTGATTTCCAACTCGGACTTTCGAGTGATATCTGTTCTCCGATCTCTGGGCGTGGCTATCAAGAGTTACCCTCCAATGAAAATTGAGGATGAGTTGGACGGTGAGAACGGGACGATCGACTTTGTAACACTTTCCTACGATGTAGGGGTGGAAAAACCACAGCAGAGAATCTTCGAGGCTGCCTTCGAAGAGGCAAAGCGAAAGACGTCTGGAGGTGAAGGCCATGAGTGGGTCAAGGTGCATATTGGTGATGATATGGAGAAGGATGTTCTGGCAGCTCAAGGTGCGGGGTGGGCGGGTGTTTTGTGGGATGGCGAGGCAAAGCCTGGTGTCCTATTGGACATGATTTTACGCAAGTAGATGGTGCGGTTCTGGTGGTTCATGTTGCTTCCAAATTTGGGTCGCCAGGTTTATAAATGATTGCTTTCCGTCAAACCCACAAACCCATCGCGCATGTGTGATTGCCAGATGAGAACTGCGGGTCCGCAGTGTAGTGCATACTTTGTTCGTTACTTGCAAACGATTCTGTCTGTCGGGATATACTCTCACTACTATCCATCTGTGCTATGATTTCCCCTTGCTAATGTGGCCCACATTGCTGCAAGCTTGCTTTTCCATGGTGGCGAAGCACGCAGTCGGTGCGCGTGTACCGCAAGAATGTTTTTTTATCTCGTACGTATACAATGCGGCGTCCTAGTTTCGCCCATCTATTGACATGGAATCAGTGCGTCCGATACTCCAGTCCAGTCCAGTCAATTTTTGGACATTAGTCGGACTGGACTGATAGGTGTAGTCTGCGCTGCTGGTAGAACTGGACGGACCGCAGTCGACTGCATGGACTGGTACGTTGAATTGAAAATGTTGGAAATCAGTAGTATGCTACCTATTCAATCTTCCGGAAGCCTTATATGAATTGGTTGAACGTCCCTTCAGACCCGGCTTCTTTGCATGAAACACATCTGGAACCGTGGAGCTTTCGTTGGCACGGGCCAAGGGTTTCATTTTTCTTCTCATTGAATACGGGGACGAGGCATCGGTGGTGGCAGATACGAGTCCATATCTCGGTAGCTGTTGAGAATGGTCTTGAAATTGATAGGGTGCACTGGTAGAAGGAAGGATACTGGAGTATTATTGCAAAACGGGTGGAAGAATGGATTTTGAAGGGTTGAAAGAGTTGCGGTGATGTTGCTTCTAAAGGTTTAAGGATTCGGCGGGGTTTTAAGATATCAGCCAGCCACATGGTTTGACCGCCAGAATTCTGTTCCTGGGGTGCAGACGAGCTCCTTTCACTGTGTGGGTTGAGAGGGAGAAGGTGGTCCAGTTTCGAGATGTTGGGGGCTTCGTCTACAGTACCTACTGGGACAAAGGTGTTCGCCACCGTCCAGATTTACGCCATAGATTGCCATATTTGCTTTGTAGATATATCCACCCCTAAATAGCACTTGATATGTTCTGCAACTCACAAGACCCATCGAGTACCGTAGTTCTCATCGGCGAATCAGGATTAGAATCGGGGGAACCGGAGGCCCCGGAGGCGTGCAGCACGGTTGCGATGAAGACCTCTATATGTACGAACTTCAGTATCGGGCATCGAACGGACTGCAAACAACGACTATTCCAGCGGGACAACCACGAATTTCCATTTCCAGAGGCTGGGTTTTCCGCAGATAGAAACTAGGGTGGTTCTAAAGATACGCGGCGTATGATCCACAATGGCATCCGGATTCCGGATAGGTCAAGTTGATACTTGAGATTTCACGGCGCAAACATGACAATTTTGGTGAGCGTTTGTGGGAAACGAATAGCGACTGCTGTGCGTTAAGTACATGGCAACGGGCTACAGTTCTTAATCTACCAAAGAGCTTGGATCAACAGTCAACCACGTACCGTACATGTCATGGTGGTTTGCTTCGGTAGACTTACGGTATTCTCCCCTCAAATCGCCGGATCAATCCAGTAGTCGTTGGTTACTTAGTTGTCGCTTTCCTCCGATAGCAATCACACCCCGTTCTTTTGGTGCTAGAGCCGTGGACGCCCTGCCGTCAAAATCCAGAACGTCCTGGAAAATATACTAGTAGTGTTGAATACCGTATCTACTCGTAAATAAGACACAACCGTTGAGTATTGTGGATGAGCTTGCCGAGTGGAAACGGGTGACACGAGCGCGGCGACGGAGGGCTGTATGGTGCTTTGTACAAGTGATCGTGCTCAAATGGCGACAAAAGTGGTTAGTGGACTTCCATTGCCAGTCGGCAAGCTCATTCACAATGCTTAGCGGTTGTGTCTAATTTACGAGTAGATACGGTAACAAGTAAAGCTGACATTCATGCAGCCAATCACAGCCGCGAATTTTAGATGTCACGTTTCAAACCCTTCCGAGTTTTCACAGGATGGTCTAGTCTACTATATTCTATAGGAGCTCTAGAGTAGTTACCGTAGTCTAACTGCGGAGATATGGCATCAATACTGTCAGTACTCAGAATACGGGGTTTTGATGCCATGATAGACAAGAAGATTAATGCTCAAATTCAGCACGCTCCCATGGGCCGGCCACGCATTTACTCAATAAATACACCCTCCTTCCGAGCAACAGTAGGCTACTCTACCGAAAAGCAAGCCAGCATAACCACTACCTATGGGACATAGCAACACCGCAGAAAAGGCATTCATATCGACACCGGTATGTAGAGCAAGGCTCAGTATCCAGGGCTCTAATATAGACGTTACCACCCACAGCCTACTCTAGAGTTGCCTACGCTGGGTCGACAAGACTTTATGGAATACCTCATGCGGCGTGAGAGCTTTCGCCGCAGAACTCACATGATATCACTCGCTCACAAATCCGACTTCCGGGCTTTCCGGGCTGGAGTCGCTGGAAAATACCTGGGTGCACTATAGCATAGTACATGGGCTGTGAATATGCGAAATAAATTGATGTTCTTTCGCCTTATCTTTCTTTTCCTCTCTCGCTGGGCTGGAAAACAGATGGTGCATAAGAACATGCGAAACTAGGTAAGCCATCTAAAAATGTTTTTGGTCTTGGAATACTCCAGGTATGTATAGTAAAGAGTGTATTTGATACCGTATTCTTACGTGGTTTTTGTGGACCACTTGGACCTTGGGTGCTCTATCTTTTCTTAGTGGTTCACCGGTCCATCCCTAGAACTTCCGAACGAGGGATCCTCTACCGGTAGTACCCGGGAACGACGTGAAGCTCCATCTGTAGAAAAGTTACCATCCAGTCATATTTCAATCAATTGAGGTCGCTGTCAACGTTGTGAATTCGAGGCGCACCGATACCGGTAATACTGACAGGCGCCTGAGGCGCCTGTCTAGCCAGTAGTTCACATACACAATATCTGCAACCTGCAGCTATATAGTAATATATCAGCTCACGCCGTTGTTGCAATGCCGGAGACTCGGAACCACGTTGGAAACAATTGGTCAATGGCGGTCCGGGGAAGCAGCTCTTCTAGACATCTGCATGCCGAGTATATGTACTAGGAGCAGCCATCTGTTATCTGGGCAATTCATGTGCCTACGGAGGCTAGTTGTATTCTGCAGATTAATCTTGAGCACTGTGAAATTCTTTTGAAATGTAGAGTAGAGTAGAATATAGCAGATTCGACGCAGGGCAATCAACACTTGCAGATGCCGCGTCTTCCTGTAGATAGATACCACCAGATACCTATGATATGTGCATTGTGCGGTCCGGATGGGTATTGAGTGGTAGTAGTCCAATCCTCGCAGATTACATACCTGCTCGCATGCAGACCGTCCTAACGGATTTATTGTAGAATCGAACGGCTGGCTTGCGTACGTACGATAGGTCTAGAGTGGAGTACCTAGGTTGGCCCAGGCCCTCAAGCTGGGATCTGGATTGCCCATTTGACGAAAACGATGTTTGGCGCAAGGCCCAAGTGTAGGTACTCCACGCATGATGAGTGCGAGGCCGTTAGTTAGTTAGCGGCGATTTCGCATCGGAACGAGCCGAGCCTGCCGAGTTCAATCTACATGACAAAGGTTCGGCATCCGGAATTCTCCTCGGCAGTGCGGAGGCAAACATACTCCGTGGGTATGATGGGTACGGGGAATGCTTAATTTGTAGAGACAAAATTCGCCGATACAGGCTCCTGCCGCACGTCGATGCGGAGTTTATATGTGGGAAATACATTAGGTACCTAGGGGCTGCTTCGTCACGGCTTTTGAGTAGAGTGGACTTTTGAGCAGACTTTTGAGTAGAGTAGCTGTGGAGATCTTCGAAACGTGGAACGCAGCAAAGTTGCTGATCGGATGGAGCAGGCCTGGACGCGCAAGAGCGATGCCAAAATTGGTAATGCCATTATCCATATGCACCCGGTGCCGGCAGCACATCCGGAGTCCGGGGCTGGGAGTGTGGGGGACATGAAGATCTATGTAGAGTGGGTAGCTGCGCTTTTCCAATCCATCCCGAGTGGTGGCCTACCTAGCGGCATGGCTGCGAACGACTCCCGTGTCCCGAGCGTTGGCTGCGGTTGTTCGTATGTATGATGGCTGGGCCGGAGTAAACTTTAAAGCCGTGGCTAGGGCATGTTTGATTGACTTTTCCGTAGGCAGGAAGCCGCGGGATAGGTAGGTATCGTGCGCGATTAGGCACACAATGATACCTATGGCTGCCAATGTTTGAGCTTCAGGCTTCCAGAATCCAGGCTCGTGCTGGGAGGAAGTTCTCGCCACCAACCGTCCCGTAAACTCGGCTGCATACTTCGTTAGTTAGCAGGTCGTCTTCGCAGCCAATAGAAATTAGTAACAGACCTCCAGAGTCCAGAGCGGTGACATCGTCTTCGCCCAAGTCCGGCCGATCGCAACCATCTCAACCGAAAAGTTAGATACACAGGAAGGACTTTTTTTTCACAGCATCGAACGGTGGGTAAGAAGCATGTAGAGTACGTACTTGCACTTTGCGCTTGTCTCTTCACACCCTCTTCGTCGCAAGTGTTGGAATCCCTTCACACCCTCTTCTGCGGAAGTATCGCTCGGCACCTTGGTATGATACCTAGCACCGTATGATTCTATGAACATTCGAGTTTCGAGCTGGGAGGCAGTGAGACTCGAAAGCTCAAGAGGCGCGGCGCGGATATAGTAGGACATCCTCGATGCCTGACAGCCTTGCCCCGCCCCCATTACCAGAAGTTAGGGGTTGATCCGAGCGAACCAGTGGATTCTCGACTACTCTGGAGTCTAGCAGCTACTAATAGCTCCAATTATAAACCGGTCCGTGTGTTTTTCGTGCCTGCCCGTCCGTCGTCCGCAGCATTCGTCGCCGCGGCCGGATCATGGCCCTCGGATTGTCGCACAAACTTCAAGCCCACCCGCCTAGGAAATATATAAATCAGTCGATTGGGAACTCTATGCTCTTTCGCTCTGTCTCCGAGGCTTCTGCAAGATGTCATCACCTGGCCATCACCTGGCCATCACCTCGAAGTTTTTTTTCATGATTTTCGGTCTTTCATGCGCGGTTTCAGGTGAGGCATATCTCCACGTTACACCGGAGGAATGTTCCACACAACACGCCCGTCGCCCGGATTCCTTCAGCATGCAAGGCATGGAAGTCCCCCCCTAGGAATATGCTGGACGCTAGATGGAGAGTGTGGGAATTCTCGGTTCCAGCGGTGCGGGTGTCAGTGGGCGCTCACCTCATCGCATGCTGGATGTGCATGTTTGCTTGTTTGCTAGTTACTACGGTAGTATTTAGTTATGCCCCACACGGAATCGAAGCGCCAAACAAATTGCCAACTTCCGGGAAGGGCCTGTGTTGGTGCTCGGAAACTCTTCCCCGGAGAAATCCGGTGGACACGGGAACTTGCTTTCGCTCTCGTATCACCGGGAAGGGAGTGGGTGGGTGAGGGAGAGTTTTATACATGGCCTGACCTGATAAGCAGAGGAGGATCCTCTTCGCCTAGGACACTCCTTGCTCGCTGTCTGCCATCGTCACCTCGACTCGATCCTGCTCTACTACATATACCTGCTGCTCTTCAGTCCGGCACGCTGAATCTCCCTTCAGGCCCCTCCACCCCACTAATCGGTCGGCTAGTCGCCAGCTACCTCCCCAGTCATGGCGGAACCCCTACAGCAACCTGCATTACTAGGTGCAGAGCCAGTGGTACGTGCCTACAGGCCTTCCGCTCGCGTGGTGATGACGATATTTGGTGACAGACAAAGAACGGATACATCTGACATTTCGCATAGAAGTCACCCTCTAGGTCGGCGACGCCGCTTAAAGGGACCTCCTCCCAGCGGCAGTATCAGTCCGGACGTTCACCTCAACAGAGACCTGCACGGATCGTACAACCAAACACTACCACCATGCCACTCGGAGAATCAAGACTCAAGCCACCGACATCACCGATGTCTGCTCCACGCGTCGCCCCGCCAGTTCGCGTGCAAACGGAACCCTCCAAACCTGCCTCTGCGATGGCTACCATCAGCCCTGTACAGCGACAGAGAACCGCCGTCTTGCCGCCCACCTCACCGAGACCACTCCTCCGAGCTTCGTTCAAGGTTGGACCTACCCTAGATAGTCTCGTGACGGTTCGTCGATCCGATTCGGGCTCCGTTGTTGGTGGTTCCGGTGGTTCCGTCGTCGGGGGCTCAGTTGTTGGAGGTTAGTGAATCCGATCCCCTCGCGAATCAATACGGGTCACTAATGTTGGAAACTTTCTGCAGGCCCAAGATCGCGCCCAAAAACCAGCGCATCTAAAGTCCTCGCGACTTCTCCCCTCGGCGCCAGGCCTGGATCGAATGGCTCTTCAGCACCATTCAATACTGGGAGCCAGTTGACAGTTCGCGTACCAAGTCATGGAGGAACTCCCGGTTCCAAGCTTGGATCCAGTCCCCCACTCCCCACCACGAGCCCTGTCTACTTTGCACCGCGAGCTTCACCGAACCCTGAAGCGAGGATGCCCTCTCCAGCACCTCAAAAGTTCTTCGCCCTTGGCGCTAACCCTGCGGCAAGCACCGTGGGTGCACGCCCAACAGGTGCACGCCCAACAGGTGTTTTGAAGCACTCTGCCAGTTTCGAATCCACCTCTGTACCGAAGCCGACGTCAGGAAACAAGAACATGGCCATCGCGTTTACCATGTCGTGGGACGCGGCCGGCGAGGTCACGGCCCGGTGTTTGCTGGACCCAGGTGCCTCGGTTGCCTTGTTATCCAAGACATTTGTGAAGGAACATTCCGTGCCGAAAATCAAACGAAATATTCACATCACGGTTTACGACTTGGAGAAGAGGGTTGTTCCGGATGCCGGTGGCGCTTACACGCAGCCGCTGGTTCTCCGGCACCAGGACCACTTTACGAAAGAGACATTCGAAATCGCAGCGCTGGACGAGCGCATCGATGCCGTACTACCGCTCGAATGGATCGAAAAACACGAACTCGTTGGACTTCGCTCGGGCCAGGTGTACTTCGGTTCGACATTTTGCATGCAGAACTGCACCAAAAATAGGCTAGCACTACCGAAGGACTCCTCGGCAGCATCAACCGCCGAAAAGCCGTTATCATCAAAGTTTAAGAAGTCTACTCCTGTCCCTGTGAAATCCTCAATCCCATCGCCCAAGTCTCCAGCCCCAGGGAAGGCCAGAGCTATAACAGGCACCAAGATCACCGCACCGTCTAAGCCAACAGCGCCTCAAAAGCCAGCTACCATACTGACGAAACCGCCCCCAAAGTCTCCTTTGCCCGGAAAGGCGGGGTTCTCCAAGCTCGTGATTCCGAGTGTTGCGAAAACAACCACAGCCGAACGCAAAATTTTGACTCCTAGGAAGTCATCTGCCACTATCAAGCCGACGAACAAGCCAATGGACACACAGCTGGCTAAACCGACTGGTCCAGCCCGTAAGCTGATATCTCCGAATTCCCTCAAGATTTCTACCATCAAAAACACCCCGAAGATGGATTTGCACAAGGCTCGGGATGCACCTGTGCCTGCTACTGAGATTCCTGGTATGCTACTATTTCGATTCCCCTCTGGCTTCCATGACTAATAAGTGCCAAAGATTTGATCCATGACGAGGATGGATACGACTCGACCGCCAGCTCTGAGTTTGAGGAGAACCCGGGGGTACCACTTACCCCCAACGGACACTCGGACAAATCTCACCAAAACGAATCCCCTGATGTCGACCACGCCCACGAGAGTCCTTCTGGAGTGATTGGCAGTGAAGTGAGGGGAGTCGAAGTTGTCGGTGAAATCCAATGACCAGCAACTTGCCCGGTGGGGCCATGCAAGAGCTAGTCAGGACTCAGTAGCTAAAAGGAGGGTTGACGTTTACGGTGGGACAGGACATGGTAAAGCTCACTGTAATGGCAGGTATTTTTTTTTCTCTTCGTTTGGTATGGGCATTTCTAGGTGTTATCGTATGGGCTTTGACCACTTATTTCTCTTCTCCGGTGCGATGCTTTTTTTTTTATCCTTTTCCTTCGTGTCTGTATCAATATGTGGTGAGAATAGCTGTACGATTATCTCTACTCAAAGAGGGGCCACTGAACAGTGGTCCGCTGGATTCCTGGGCGAAATACATTCATTTGGACTTGCATGCATTTCGGCATGTCAAACTTCTCAGGACTCCTCTCCAGTGTACACAAAGATCCAAACTGTATTCTTTATCTCCCCTAATAGCTATCAATATCATTATTACTCTTTGATAAGGCTTGCCATAATGAATATTCCTTTCGTGGGAGTCCATAGTAGTGAGTGGAATCAAATTTCACTCAGTCAACACTTGCATGTCTCTATTGAGGTTACTTACCTCTATACGTACATCTTTGCAGTAGCTTGACAGCCTTGTGTCGCCGAGCAGCTTTATTCCCATCTCTTAGCAGTCTTGCCGTCAATATCCCAGAATTCGAGACTTGACCCTCCCATAGTCCACGGCTACCGAACGCTGCAGCACTACTGACATTCGCAACAAATCCCTTCTCATTGAACGCTTGATATACCTACTTGATATTGCATTGAAATACATACTTCAAGGGGCCGGCGAATACTTCCGAGTGAGTCAACCAGTGTCACCGCTGCGCCGAGTATCGATCACACCCCACTTCACACATGGCTCGGACAGTGGCGGAGCACCATGTCGACGAGCAACCATTATCCACGGCGACATCTTCCGCACTGGAAGACTGCACTGTCATTCCGCCCGAGCCGATACCGGACGACGGCAGCGGGGACGACACTCGGGATCCGTTCGGGTTTCGGGGGGTTGCAGCGGACCCCGAGCTTATCCGGCAAGCCGAGGGGGTAGTGCTGCGACGGAAGGGCTGGGGCAAGCTGGCGCGGCTGTGTCCCAACTGCAGGTGGCTGTTCACGGCGGCCGATAAGGTCCTGCGACTGCTGTCGGCGAAACCGAAGGTTATTGGGTGGAATTCCGAGGAGAATCGGGTCCCGGCGACGGCGCAGAAGGAGGAGTTTGGAGTTAGGCAGGCCGCGGGCATGACGAAGAGTTGGACGAGGCCGGAGCTTGTTGCTTGTTATGTTCTGTTCGTTCCTACCCCCAGGTCTCCGATCCGAAGAGCTCCTAAAGAGTTGCTGAACATTGTGCTCTTAGGCTGGTACTCCTCTGCAACCTCCTCCACCTCTACTCCGAGCTCTACCCTGGTGCCGTGGAAAACGCTCTGGCACATTATTCCGTTCAGCGGAAAATTTCGAGTTGGCAGCTGGAGATTCCCTGGCTCTTCCTCGACACCATCGGAATCATAGCTTTAGTAACCTGTGGGGATCTCCACCGTTCTTTCTGGGGTTGTTTCTAATCAGCGAAAGTTGTCAAGATTGCGAATTCCTATTCTCGGCCGTGGGGTCTGTTCCTAGGGTCCCTTCTCTGCATCTCGGGTATGAGTGTGGCTGTCGTCAGTGAATGCGTCACTGTCTACACTCTGGGTATGGGACTGGTGGAGCTGGGAAAGAACGGCCTCTTTGCTGTGGCCACCGTCGTGATTGCCGATAGCAGTGACCTGGTCTGGAGAATGTTCTTTATTTGGTGCGGTAGTTGCACGATACCCCTGTGGGCGTGGTCGGGACTTTGGATTCGGCTTCAACTCTCTTCGTGGGGGCATGACGTCTCGGAAAACTGGTGAGCAGGATCATAAGTACGTGGTATGCACCTTACTAACTTCCATTTGGGCGAAACGCTACCTGGGTCTTTCTTGGATGCGTCACGGCGTTTACAATTCCTAATACCATGGCCTTCTATATCTTCATACGGCGAGCAGCAAACAAAGGATACATCCCAGTATCGCACAGACATTACGAGTGGAACATCTTCAATCCTCGCAACTTCCTGAAGAACCTAGATCTGTTTGGCGCACGGAACGACTTTTTGGGCCTGCTGACATTCAACGTTGCACTTGCGGCACTCTCATTAGCACTCGTCACACCTCCTACAGCTAATTTCGTGACGTGGAGGAACTGGTTTTTTATTGTTGGCCTAGTCGTTTTGTTTCTTTTCGTCGTGTGGGAGCTCTACTTGGGTGGTCAATTCCTGGGGAGACGTCGAGAGGATATTGGAAGCATTGACGGCTCAGAAACCCTTAGCAGTAGTCTTTCGATTCCATCTGATCTAGTGCTGGCACCGAATCCATATACAGCTCCCGGTGAAGACTTGGATGCGCTGGCCGGCCAGACAGCAGCCCGCTTGAGAGGAAGATACGAGCCCGAGTCCTTCCGGAAACGCTGTCATGCTCTGATACCGGAGTCGCTTGTCCGCAATCAGCAGGCTATCGTGTGTACGCTTTGCTTGTCGTTGGAGTCGTTCGCGTACACCTCGAGCTGCTGGGTCGTCTTCCGCGTCCCGGTCTCCGGCGTGGAAACGGAATGGCAATACTGGTTTTACTGTGTCCGTCCTCCTATATTCATCCGTTGTAGCTACTAACACGTGTCACAGGTGCATATTACTTGCACGGTTGCTGCGAGCTTGATCGTGTCGTTATTTGTTCCGTACCTGCGGCAGCTGAAGGCCTTCGTCGTCGCCGGCCTCTTGCTCGAGCTCATCTCGTCGTTAGTAGGTTGCCAGTCAGTTTCTCCCAATACCTGGTGAAAAGGTTCGCTGACGCATCAAGACCATGTTGGGAGTGTGCCTACGGGGCAGCCACGTATCGGACAGTATTTACGTTCCACTGGTCCTGCTCGGAGTGGGCAACGGCATGGTCGACATCCCGCTGCTGATCACCGCGCACGCGAGCTGCTCGAGACGCTCAGATGTCGCTATCGCCACCGGCCTCATGATGACGGCCAAAGGCATGGCGATGCAGATGGGTAGGGCAGTGTGCAATGCCTTGATGGGCTACTACGATCCGCTGGAGTCTTTCTCGGTCATGTATCCCGCCGCCGAGTCTACCCTGGATGGAGTGGAGCGCGTTGGGCTTGTCTGGTGGATGTTGATCGTGGCAGGTATCGTACTGCAAGCAGTGGGCGTTGCGGCGGCGACCGTCTTGCTACGGAACGTAAGCTCCATAGTGCACCGATGGGATGGGAAGAACGAACACTGACTTTTATGTACCTGCGAAGTATGATCTGCCATCGATCCGGCAGCACGTCACGGGAGTAATATTCGGTGTTGCAGATGATGCACCCGAGCCTCCTCCTCGGCACGATCCGGAAGAGTCGGTGGGAAGTGGCACGTCGGTTGGTGAGTTGGGCGGGAATTGGTGTTGAGATTGGTGCGTGCCGATTGTGTCTGGGTAGTGAGGTCGAAGATGTTTTGGACGGGGAATGCTTCATGGTTCATACCAACGGAAGTTGCATTATTCATATATTGGTGTAAGAATAGCGCTTCAACATCAATAAACCCTAGAGGTTTCAAGGCTCTTTTGAGGATTTCCTTTGAATGGGGTGTCATAGTTCCAAGACTTGGAACTTGGAAGAGTGGGCACCTCATCGTGTGGACGGGTTACGATGTCGGATCATGAACTATCACTCCGTTTTGACCCTAGGAGTCGCTATTGAAATTGGGAAATGAACTTGACTCGATTGATGTAATGAATGAGAAAGACGAGTAAAGGGGACTACTCTTAAAGGTAAACAACCAGCTCGTGTAGACAAAGGAATGAAGCCTCAGAGAGAGAATACGACGATAGCCGTCGCCGGGCTGGGCTGGGCCCTGGGGACTTGAAGAGGCTTATTCTGCTGAGAAGCCAGAGACAATGCTCATTGCTGAGAAGCTACGAAGGCTACTTACGGTGACGATGAAAAAGTTCAGAGAAAAGTGCAAATAACCAGTGAAACAGACGGACCAGACAAGTAGAAGTGAGAGTGAGAGAGCATCAATTTACCGTCGCATGCGGCCTTACTAGACTAACTATGGCGACCACCAACTTCCCTTCCTCTCCTGCCAGCTCCGCGGAGTAGAGAGAAAGCTCTACCACCACGGCCCGTTGCTGCGCCGCTAGCCCTGGCTCCTCGGCCTCGGCGCTCTCTCCCTCCTCCTCTCCTCGCCTCGCTTCCGTCCGCCTTTGTTCCCGCTACCTGAGCTTCCACTCTGATACCTGATACCTCACTTGCTGCGTCTTTCAAGTTCCCCAGCAACCACCAGGATACGTCTGCCCAATGCCCACACCAGTGGGAGCGAGAGAGCCCAAGAATCCAAGAAGGTCTGGCTGCACTGCTCGTCTGAACCGCTTGTCTGCTGGAGGTCTCAGATCTCGATGTGCCCCTTGCCCTCCCCTCTCCTGTCGAACCTCTGCGTGCTGCTATCGTCTAGATAATTCCAAGAGCCTAGGGGGTGGGATGATCCAGCGAGTGACATCGCATGATTATCTCCTCAACCACTGTTGGAAATTGTAACTTGGCCAGCCACATCCGCCGCCAATGGACCGTTATCTCTGAGTCAATAGCTATGTAATCAACGCCACGGTGGCGTCCGGAATCAACGCGCTAGCTGTGGCGGAGGTCTATGTTTCATCTCCATACAGACAGATACCTAGACCAGACAAGTTAGGGCCTGACGTAATCGCAGTGCAACGTCAGCGTCAAACAAACCCACAAGCTGCCAGAGTCTCGAGCGCTCTCGTCCCGCCTCGTCTCTCCCCACCCCTCCCTCACCTCGCGAAAATTCCCGGGTGACGGGTCCCAGGGGCCAGCCTCCTCCATCCTCCATCCTCCAGCCTCCGATGTGGAGAGCGGAGAGCTGCAGCTGCACCTCCATATTAACTACCGTACCATGCACTACCATGCACTACCATACCATGCACTCCGCGCAATACCCGACGGCGGCATGAATGCTTGTTTGTTTGTGGATGCTGATGGATGCTTGTTTGTCCGTGCCCGCCCGTGGGTCGGGGCCACGCAGGGAAGGGCCATCCATCCATCCTCACCAAGACGACCCGGAGACCTGTGCCACATATGGAGCACTCTGGATGCGGATGGTTTCCCCGGGAAACATCTTCCCCGCACTGCACACTGCGACACGTTGGTGGGTTTGGGATGGAGGGGAGAGGGGGGGGGGGGGTGGGGAGTTCAGACTCCTGGCGAGAATACCGCCCACAATATCACGATTCGCAGCTTCCCATGGTCTGGCCACCATACATATCAATCTGCCTGCCTGCCACCCACCGGACAAATCCCATGCCGCCTCTCCGTGATGCAGCACTGCTCACAAACGGAAGCTCCCATGCGCCGGTCTGGATTCTGGACCGTCGTCTTCATACATGGTGACACTGATTGGCGGTGCTGGATGGGATTCGCAAACATCATGGTGCACGATGCCTATAGGTATACATAAGCAGCCAGTCGCCAGCTACCGTGGCGGTGAGTGCGGGTCGAGTGATGGTGATCACTCCAGTCGGAATACCAGTACCGTGTGCAAGGGAACTGCCGTGCCGATAAATGACTGGTCCACCGCCCGGGGCACCGGGTGAATCACCCGTCCATCCACCCACTGCGCGTCCTGTGGCTACTTAAACCACCCTCCCGCAGCGACCGTCCTACACCGTCCTACACTGCCTCTCAGCTTCTCAAGCCTGCCGCGGCTGCCCGCAGGTGTGTATGCGGGTTCATATAAGCTTTTCAATTAGCTGGGCGTGCAGCGTATAGTGTAGGTAGTAGATTGCCGAGTCACCATCTGCTCCAGTGGTCCAGTGGTTCAATCAGCCGCCATGGATATGACTCGGCCGTCCAGGTAACGCGGGAACGCGGGGGAGGGGGGGGTCCCATCCATGCGGCACGTTCATACCGGGGCATTCCCTCCTCCTCCCATTCCTCCTCTTTTGGCTCACGGCTGCAATCTGCAAGCTGCAAGCTGTAATGGCATCGCTGCCTGGTCCTGATGTGGGAGCGGGATCTAGAGCTCCAGCTCGAGCTCGAAATGCTCCGTTCGGAGCGCCAATTGGCCGGTCCGAAAGGCCTGGACATCCCACGTTTGCAACATCCCGCGTCCGCTATTCTCCCCCTCTTGATTCTATTCCGGGAAGGGAGGGAGGGGGATGGAGGTAGCCCCTCCACCTCCACCACCCATCCCCGTCACCGGCATCTCGCCCTCCCCTCATGCAGCGCATGCCGTATTTCCGGGCACGTGTATGTACCGTGTATGTACGTCCATGCAAAGCCGCACGATGGCTCACTCGCCACACTCTCGGCACTCCCACCATCCCATGGATGGGCCGAATCCGCGGCGCGCATATGCATGTATGCATGCGTGCCGCCCCCACTCCCCCCCCAGTTCAGCCAAGAAAGATGGAAACGATGGAAAGAAAGAAACACGACCTGCCGCATGCGCGGCGATCACTAGGACGTCGGCCGTGGCCGGTCGCCGATTGCGATAGGTAGAGACGTCAGTGATTACCAGTCATGACTGCACTGCGGGAAACGAGAAAGGAGGGGAGGGAGAGGGGAAGATGCGCAAAGACAGAGGCACAGAGAGCCGCCTGACCTGTTCAGCTGGCTGGCCGCCCGCCGGATACAGTCGTGCACGCATACCTGCCTACCTACATCATGGTGATGAATATATGATTGTCGTCACCTAGGAATTGTCTGGTAGGTCTGTAGAGTATAGGTGGAATATCTACTCTAACTACTCTACTCTACTCGCGCGGATCCCCTCCCCCCATCGACCATCGACATTCAACCATCGAGCATCGACCATGCTTCCATCGAAACCCGGGTCCCCGCCCCCGCCCCCCACCTCCTCTCCCCCCACCACTTACCTCAAGCCATCCAAGCAGCAAGCAGCAAGAAGCAAGCAAGCAAGCACGCCCGTGCGATCGCGAGCCGATCCCCTCGGAAAAAGCAAACACATCACCGAAAAGCCGTGTACTACTGTAGCATCACACACACACACACACACATACGCACCACACATCATCCTTGCGGTGCAACCGGTGCTTATCTGATGCGACGTTGGAGACTTGGAGCAACCAGCCAGCCCGCCACAGAGCTAGCCAACTAACCAGCCAACTAACCAGCCAACTAACCAGCCAACTAACTAGCGCGCATGTTCCGGAGCACCCAACCAGCTAAGCTTTTTCCAGCGGCGCATGCTTCGATGCTTCGGGGAGGACGTCGCTGACTGCGTGAGCACTGCGTGGGGTGTGATAAAAGCTCGAGTCCCCGCCTCGTATGCGTGTGTGTATGCTAGAGGATGTGTATGCTAGAGGATGTGTATGCTAGAGGATGTGTATGCTAGAGGATGTGTATGCTAGAGGATGTGTATGCTAGAGGATGTGTATGCTAGAGGATGTATCGGCCGCCTAAATGCGTGCGTGTCTGCGACGTGCGTGCGGACAGATATAGCAGATATAGCAGATACATATAGCAGATGTGGATATAGATATAGCAGATACGGTGGGTGGGTAGGTTCACAACCCCAGCCGCCACGGCAGGAACGTCCCTCCAGAACTCAACTCAAATCTGGCAGGTGACGGAGTGGGGGTGGGGGAAGGTTAGTGGATGGCCCGGTCCGAGTTTGCGAGGAATGGCTGGCGAGGTAAAGGAACGAAGGAACGGAGGAAGGATGGACGATGCTCCGGAATCCGGATCCAGGGTCCCCAGCGGCCGTGATGCGCGCGCGGGGGCGGCGGGTGCGGGGTAGGTTGGGTGGCATATATACACTATGGTATGTGCTTAGGCAAGTGGGTGGAAGTTAGTTTGGCCTGGGGAGATATTACTTTACCGTACCGCCGTTCTCTACTTACCAGTACTGGTATCGTAGGTACTTTAGATATGTAGATATGTGAAGTCAGTAGAGTACCGGCATTCCCAGAGCCGCCTCGTCCGTCCACCATCGCTCATGGCGGTTCGCCCGCTGGTCGGGGGGGGGGGGGAGCGGTTCACCAGGAGGGTTGCGGCTCGCCCGGGGGTGTCGGTTCGCCCGGTGTGGGGTTGTTGAGTTTCCAGAACCGCCCTACCTGCCACCTGCGGCTGCAGCGAATAAAACCACTTTACCACCCACGGTAGCGGCCAAACTCTTTTTATGTAAAACAAAAAACCATCCTCGTGACACCGCGCCGCCTAGTTGCCTACGCCTGTTGTTTCCAACGTGCGTCGTGTGTGTGTAGAGTATGTGTGTGCATGGACCGTGGGGTGGGGTGTGTGTATGGATGTGTGGGTGGGGTGGGGTGGGGTGGGATGGAAACGTGTTTATGATCTCCAGTCGCACTGCACCAACCAGCGGGCGGAGACATCGTCAACTGAGGGTATGTGTATGTGCAGCGCAGCGCGTTCGAACTTTGAACTTTGAAGCACATATGATGATAGTCAGACTTGTTTAATTCCCAGTGTATTACTCCAACTCCCGCACACTGTCGAGATGGAGGAAAATAAAAAACGGAAACATAAAAAGGCAAGAAAAAAGGAACCATCTTCCGCACTCCACACACACGTCTAGCCCATGTAGATAGCCCCCCTCTACAACTCTAACTCTTCCCGGCTCTCCCTCTAGAGTTGATGCATCGTGTATCAGAAGAGATAAAAGAAGAAAGAAAGAAAGAAAGAAAGAAAGAGAGAAAGAAGAAGGAAAGTGAGAAAAGCACAAGTGCAGTTGTTGGTTGACTCGTGCCCCACTTGTCCGCCCCACTGCATGAGATCCACCATCGCAATCCCCCAGCCAGCCCGCCCGAAACGTACATAGAGAACGAAGACCAAAAAATGAAAAGTAAGACAAAAATGACCAGACCCAGCAAGCATAAACCCCGAGCCCACCGCTGAACCGTAACAAGCGCAAGAACCAAGCAACAAAAACAAACAACAAATATCCAAAAACCCCCAGAACCCCTAAAAACTCCTAGAAAAAAGCAAAACAAGCAATAATCGAACCGAACCGAAGCAAAACATGCCCCTCCAAAAACCCCATAGTTGCAGATCTCACCCATCCAAAGCTCAATTCCGTAGGTAATCCAGAACCGTCTTTCCCCAGACGCCCCGTGCCTTGTATCGTCCCATATCGTCTCCCAGTCCCTCGACAGCCTGTGCCAAGCGCTCCGCCTCGCCGTCCTCAGCCTTGATCTCCGAGAGCGGCGTGGTGTACGTCTTGATGCCGAAGACGACCGCGCCCGTGCCGGGGAGCTTCCAGAGCGTCTGGCGCTCAACCCTGAGCACGCACTCCTCCGCACGGATATTCATGTCGTCGCCCACGACCTCGCCGTCGTAGACGTGAGTGCCAGCGGGGGTAAACAGCTCATCTGTAGCTGCAATCCCCCAGTTGACGCGCTGCACGCCGTTCTCGACGCCAGGGCGTAGCTTTGCCAGGAAGCGCTCGAGGCTCTTGCCGAGCTTCGCCTTGAACTCCGGCACGGGCGCGTGCACATCGCCAATCTTCCAGCCCAGCTTCTCGCCCAGGCCGAAGCCGTTGGGGAAGCACACGACGAACGCGCTGACCGCCCAGCTGCCGTCGTCGGATGGCAGCAGAAACACAAAGTCCTCGTCGAGGTTCTCGCCGAGCGCCCGCAGCGCGTTCGGCGCCGACTGCGGGATGATCGGGTACGTGTTGCTCGTCGTGTGGTTCTGCACCAGCGTGCCAGATGGCGACTTGGAGAACTGGCATGGGAACCGCGTCGGTAGGTGCGAGTCGAAGATGTAGGTGTAGAACTCGGACACGGCGTATGAGGCATTGGGCAGGTGGCCGTATGTCTCGGACGGGTTAGACACGAGGAGGTGGCGCCGGTACGCGAGGCGTCTTCGGTACGAGTTGTCGAGCAGGATCAGGTCGTTGGGGGACATGGACTGGATGGCTGCGCGGGGGAAAGGGAGGTTAGCATTGTGATTTGATAGAGCGCGTACAAGGAGCAGTGGGCGGCTTACCCATCGTGAGGTGGAACTTTGGCTTGTAGGGGCGAAACCTGATCGGCGGGGTAGCTGCATAATTGAAGTTTGACAAGGGTTCGAGGGGTTGCTAAGCGGGCAAATACTATCAGCACCCTGGACCAAAATTGATGCGGATTGGGCCCTGGCCGCCGCCGCCGGGGGGGGGGGGGGGGGGGGGGGGGGTGGTGGCGAGCGGCGCGGCCGCGCCACGACGGAAGGAAAGAAAGAAAAAAGAAGAAAAAATTACCTTCTCCGGTTCGGGTCTCTGCTCCTCTATGATGACATCGCCGGGAGATGGAAGGTTTGCGAATCGCTTGTTCTTGAGGGAAAGGTAGATGAGGCCTCCGCCGAGGGCGAGGGCGAGGGCGTGAAGCATGCTGGAACTGTTGACCCCGCCACCGGCGAAGTCAAACTCGCCCTGAGACGTTCGGAAATCGGAGGTATTCATATCGACGATGGTTGATATGGTAGATGTCGAGGAGATGTCGAGGAGTCTGGATTGGATTGGATTGGATTGGATTGTTGGATTGGGGAAGTCTGGTCAAGGTCGATGAGGATGAAGAGGACGGAGAGAGGAGAGGGGAAGAGGATGTTTATGTGATTATTCTCTGGTGTGGTCCTTGTAATGTTTATCTAGGCGGTATGTAGAGTCCAACAGCTAAGTCCGGTCTGGCCCTTGGGGGAAGGGGGGGACTTTTTATCTTTCTATCTACCGAAGGTATGACCACTCGTCACTACGCAAGCAAAACCAAAACGCTACACTGCTAAGGGCCTGGTGGGGGGAGGGGGGCGGGCCATCTCTGCTTGGGATTGGGGGTGAATGGGGGGTGATTGGAGGGGGCATGAGGTATTGGAGGAACTGTTGATGGTGGTGTGGATGTGGTTGGGTTTACGGCTGACTTGACTTGTATGTAGTCCGGGAGGGTTGCCTGTGGGTTAGGATTCTGTTGTGGTTCTTTTTTTCTTTTTTCTCTCCCAGGGAGCGTTCGTTCAGTTCTGTTCAGGGTTTCGGTGTCAGAAGCACGTTACTAGTAGAGTCGGTGCAGGGCCCGTAGGTTACAGAGATACTCGCAGTCGCCGCAGACGTTCGTGAGTCGCCGATTTTACATACATTGCGGATCTTACACGTAAAACACCACTAAAGTCCTGATGATTCTTGGTATCGGAGTGGATCAAAAGGTGGGTACTTTGATACATGGTCGTCATCTCCACATCAGCCCGCACAGACTGGCCGGCGCCAGACGCCTCGCGAAGCAGCCGGGAACTCGTCCGTACATATTTTAGGTAGTTTGGTGCTTACTTCTTGGGTACATGACGATGACGGGTTGTGGCCACCCTCGTGAGTATGGCCTGGCCACTGCCCTGCGCCACTAACTGGAGCAACCAAGTACCCAGCTCCTACAGACAAATAATGCAATCACAACAACCTAGAAGCACCAGCATCAGCACGAACACTCGCACCAGCACCAGCACCAACACTTCACTTCACTCCACCCACCACAGCTTCACTCCACAAAGCACTCCACGCGCGCCCTGCTCGACGCGCATCCGTTGGTCTCCCCGTTCGTTCGTTCGCTCGTTCCCTCCGTTGCGCCTCCCTTTCCGCCTCGAGAGAGCCATACTTACCCTCCGTAGGTATCGACTCGGCAGTGCGGCTGCTGCGCCCTGATTCCGGCTTGCCATGCTCTCGCCGGCTCCGGATCCCCTCCTCACCCGCACGAGCACCGCGTTGAGGACGTTCGCTCCAGCCATGACCACCCATGCCATGCTATGCGCTGAGGAGGTTCGTTCGTTCCAGCCATGGCCATCCATCCACCCATCCCCCCTCCCCATGCCATGCGCTGCCACTCCACCCCCTCCCCCTCGGCCCCCAGTTCGACAGCCCGTCCGGGCTGGTGGTGGTCGGATGGAAAGACGAATCACAGGAGCAGATATCCCCACGCAGGCCTGCCTCGCCTCGCCATTCCATCCTTTGCTTCCTTCCGGCTGCCACATCCCACACGCACATGTTCCCACCACCACGACCATCCCCCACCCGCCGCCAATCGAATAAACCACGTCTGCGGTTACTGCAAGGTGGCCCGCCCCCTCCCCCCTCCCAAGGAAATCGAACCCTGCGCATCGCGAGCACCTCCTCCTCCTCTCCACCAACGCGTGGTGGCGATGACGACGTTGGAAGGTGACCATAGCTACCGTTCAATAATATCTGTTCCACCTACCTACATGCTATACTCTACGTAGCCAATATATCTGCTGCCACTCTATCTATCCATCTGCACCCAAGCATCTGCAATTGTACGGCTGCATGCGAATTCGATAGGAGGTGGTTGCGGTCGCGGTCATGGCCGTGTCGCGGTCGCGATGGTGATGGCTCACATAGGTAACCACATACATAATCTACTACTAGTAGCAGTATCTATCTATGGCCGGTGTGAGATGCGTCCGCCCCCGGCAGATCCGTTCGTGTGCAGCTGCTTCACCCGTTCATTGATCTCCATTCCTTTGGAACACGTTTTCCTTGTGGCCCCCGACGACGCGAGCGGGGATGCTCGAGGAACCCAGGACCGGTCGCCCGCCTGGGGTATTTTTAATTTCGAGTCAAACGTCGATAACCACATGCCCCGTGTGCTCTGCTGGTACTTGGTACTTACAGACGTCGATATGGTACTCTACATGCCTCGTGTATGTCCTCTGTACTCTGTACTATCATACTCTCTTTACTCTCAGTCTCTCACCCCCGGAGCCAGCCGTCAATACTTGCCAAGTGTACCTATTCTGTGCTCTACTGTCACCGCCGAGCCAGACGTCGATAGGGTAGGTACTTGCCAAGTGCACTCTGTACCATACTCGACTCCGCTCCAGCCCCGAGCCCCGCTTCGCCGAGTTCCCGTCTCCGACGTGGGGCTGTGACTCGTCCTGTTTCCAGGCCCCGAGACCACCGCCAAGCCGGCGCCATGCGGTGTAGCTGGTTGGTTATCTCCGCTGCCCACTTGGCACACTATCGACAACTACCCTAACTGCTCTCTATATCACAGCAACGACGGTGGTTCAACCCAGAACCTCGATCTGAACACCACGCGAAACACCGACCTGTCTGGTCGCTGATCGAGTCGATACATGGAATGGATGGATGCTTGAGGTTACTGCTATAGGTAGGGATACTATACAGTAAGGTAGATACGCACACTACTACTACCTGGTATCATATGCACCCCGACGGGTCGCAGTCAAACAATCACTCCGGTGGGCGCATGTCTATACCAGTAATACTCCAACAATGACTCAAGGAGGCCCATAGACCATGTTGATGGACTTGGATTCGACCATTGAAGCCAGCCCTGTCCGAACGAACCAAAACTCGTCAGCCACCGGGTCTTCCAATTTCGCACCGGAGCACGCGAATGACAAAAGAATAACGGATGTGAGTGAGCGCAGCGATGGGGCTGGCTGGCGTGGTGTGGTGATGGTCTGGCTGACTGGCTGGCGTGGTGTGGTGATGATGGGTGAATGGGCTGTACATACCGTGACTCCATCCCTCCCTGCCATTCCCACTGGACTTCCAACCTCCGAACGTCAAACCCGTCGCGATATCTGGTGATGTGGTGTTCACACCGACCATCCCGGCCTCGAGCGCCCTGGCGACCCGGATCGATCGCGAGGCGTCCTGCGTGAAGACGCTTGCGTACAACCCGTACTCGGTGTCGTTTGCCAGCGCTAGCGCTTCCTCTTCGGTCTCGAAAGTGGTGACGCACACTACCGGCCCGAATATCTCCTCCTTCATCAATGCGCAGTCGGGAGGCAGGTCAAGGAATATGGTGGGCGCAACAAAGAAGCCCTGCGTGAACGATGCGCGTGGACAGGCTGTCAGCAATCCACGGTCGCCATCAGGAGAACCCCCTACGTGTTGCTCTCCGCGAGAGTGTTGCTGCTAGTAGCTTACCTTATCACCCAACTTGTGGCCGCCGATAAGTGGGGTACCATATTTCTTCCCTTCTTCGATGTAACCCATCACTTTCTTGAATTGGATTTCGTCGATCAGTGGCGACAGCCCCATCAATTCTTTGTCCGTCGGGTCCGTCAGGAGCTGGATCTCACCATTCGGGCCGACCTTCGAAAACGCGGCCTTGAAGTGGCTGGACAAAACAAACAAAGACACGGCATGTGAGCGATCGCGGACGCTACCATGTATACCAATAGTATACACGGACGAGATGGGGTAAAACAAACCGCATGAACTCGTCGACCGCACCCTTCTCGACAAAGATCCGGGTGTTAGCAAAACAAGATTGTCCAACCAGAAAATTCATGCTGAATGCGGTCCTTGCTGCCGCCATGGGCAGATTGGCATCGTTGAAGATGATGCAGGCGCTCTTGCCTCCCAGCTCGAGCTGCACCTTCTTCATGTTAGTGTCGGCGGCCACCTTCTGCAAGTGCCTGCCCGTCGCCGTGCTACCCGTGAACGACAGCTTCCTCACGTCGGGATGAGCCGCCAACGCGGCCCCCGTGGTCGGTCCCGGGCCGGAAAGCACGTTGATGACGCCGGGCGGAAACCCGGCCTTCGCGATCAGATCCGCCAGCAGCAAGCTGGTCAGCGGCGTCTTCTCGGACGACTTGATGACGATGGTGTTGCCTGCGGCCACCGCCGCGCCCACCTTCCACGCAAACATCGGGATCGCCGCATTCCACGGACATATAGCGCCGACCACGCCGAACGGCTGCTTGATCTCCATCAACAGCTTCCCCTCCTCACACATCCTCGTCTCGCCGCGAATATCGAGCGCCGCCTCGGCGAAATACTCCAGCATCCCCGACACCGTGTAGTCCATCGCCTTGTCCGTCGCCTCGCGGTGCGACCGTCCCGTGTTCAGCCCCTCGAGCAGCGCCAGCTCGTCGGTGTGCTCGCGTATCAGCGCCGCAAACCGGAGGATCGCGCCCTTGCGCCCATAGACTCCGAGCCGCTCCCAGGCGGGCTGCGCAGCTTTCGCCGCGGCGACGGCGGAAGAGACGTGGGCGTGTGTTGCGGCGTGCACGCGCGCCAGTGGGGCGCCATCGAACGGTCGGTACAGATCAAAGGTGTCGGTGGAGGTTACCCACTATTTGTGTGAGGGGGTGGACGGTCAGTTGTGCCGAAGTGGGACCGAGGTTATGGGGGGGACGGGGGCCTGCGGACTTGTGCATACACACCTCGTTGTTGATGAAGAGACGGGTCTCGATGTACTCTGGAAGCTTCACCATCTTGTAGATATCTTCGGATTGTGTTTTCGCTAGAAATTTTGGATATTTGTGTATCAATTCCCCGCCGTCGTCTCACCGCTTTTATATGTAAACAACCCTTCAGCCTTATCTCCTCGCCGTCACAGCTCCTTTCCATCTAGAGTCTACCGCCCATCATTCACCAAACCCGGGGAGGGATAGTTGCGAGTTTCGATTACATTACGTGATGCCGAGTCTGAATTCTGCAGAGCATGGGGTTGTAAAAGCACAGAGCGCTCTATTCTATCATCGGTTTACATACAGTTGACTGTTTTACACGAGGGCCGGCGGCCTGATTACCTACCTGCATACCTACGTGATTACCTACGTTCGCGATTACCTACCTACCAGACTACCACGTCCGGGGCTCCGGGGCGCGGTCAATTCAATCCAATCCATATAGATACATAGTAATCATCCGCGTTCCGGGCTCGCAGGCATCAGGATTCGGTACTTTATGTGGGGAATCGCCGTCGTGGAAGCTGGAAACTGGAAACTCCCGCCCTATTTACTATGTATATGTAGGAAGTATGTATCCTGCACGACCCCCCACACTTACGAATCTAGGGAGGGCGGGGGGGATCATGGAGCATGGATCATCTGTATTGTACACAAGCAGTGCGATTACTCGCGGATCGGGATCATGGGTGGGCACTCGGTCTTTGGTCCTCTTGACGCGGGTGGGGGGCCTAAAGAGGCTGTTTCTAATTTCTGGTGAGATGCCAGGGGGCATTGGACAATGCTGAGATTCTGAGATTCTGAGATGCTGAGATGCTGAGATGCTACATGGCACAAAGGCTGCTTATGCGATTATGCGATTATGCGGTAATACGATTATGCGGTAATGCGATTATGCGGTAATGCGATTATGCGAAAGGATAGGGAATAGTGCAAAGAAACAGTGATATCGGGATGTTCAAGGGCAAGTATGTAGACGCATAATACTAATAGGAGGTGGTGGGGTGGCGGGGGGTCGGGTTGAGGGTTACACGAGGGCGGCCAGTGGACCCGTGGTGCACTGTTGACACGCGGGCTGGTGGTGGTGGTGCGTGCTTGCCCGGCTGCTGTGGTGGCTACTCTACCGATCCGCGGGCCGGGCTCAAGCGAAGAACGCCCCAGATCGTGCACGTAGCATAACCCGAGCCGCTGGCATCACGGTGTGGCACTCCGTGAAGGGTGGTTTGTTGTCGGTTATTTACAAGTCTAGGTACTTACCTATGTAGGTTTTCCGTCGGTGTCACTGGTTCTTTGCACTGTTCTATGGCCTTTCCTTTCCTTTCGCATCGTCGCTGTATGTAAGCAGCCCTTGTGGCTTCTCGGCAATGAGCATTTTCCCTGGCTTCTCACCAGAATAAGCCTGTTTATAGTACCTATGCCCTCAGCCCAGTCCGGCATTGTCGAGACTCTGGTTAGAGTATCGTCGCATTCTCTGTCTGAGGCTTCATGCGCTCTTTGCCTACACGAGCTCGTGGTTTCCCTTCAAAAGATGTCTCTTTTACTCGTCTTTCTCATTCATTATATCAATCAAGTCAAATTTTTCTGCAGATTTGGCTGCTAAGTTCCAAATTCCAAGTTCCAAGTTGCAACAGTGGTTAAGGAGCGATAATCACTTTATGTCACTCGCTTGCGCATCGCACCCTCTAGGCTCTTGGAACCCTCCAAGCTCTTGAAATTCTCCAGGCTCTTGGAAACCATCCAGACGATAGCGGCACGGTAGAAGACCCTGTGGTCGGCGGTGCGGAAGGAGACGGAGGGCCAAGGATCGCTTCGAGAACCGATACTTATTCGCAGACGAGTGGTGCAGCCATGCCATCTTGAATTCTTGGGCTCTCTCCCCAGCTTCAGCTTTATCTCTCTGGTGCGCTATATGTATCTTTGAGGAAAGGCCATGGCGGAGGGCAGGGCAAGCAAATAGATGAACAACCCAAAAACCTGCGAGACTTCACTCTCCATTGTCGGAGTGATTTTTCATGAGCGAGTGAGATACCTACCTACCTACCACTTAGAAGTTTAGGTAGACCTGGTGACTGCGCAAGTAACTGTTGAAATATATGGGTGAACAGATGATGATATTTTATTCGATACAGAAACAAGAAACCTATCGTCCACGGCGAAGGCCTCTATTTATGACTGAGCGCCCAACAAAGTTGGTCGCTCATCAGACTTCGCCGGGCCCGCCCATCAGAGTTTGCCTGGCCGCCGTCGAGACTCCTCCACCGCCAAACCTTAACTGAGATCTCCAGGTGACCAAAGTTTGACAGTAACTAACGTATCAGAGCACCGCTTTTGCAGACCGCTCTTCTTCCAAGTTGCCAACACCCCTCCAGAGTCCAGGCCAGAGGCGAGATCGAGAGGAGAGGACACACGGAAGAAAGACGAGACTTACTCCTCTCGCCGACAGCTCCTCCACCGCTTCCTCCTCTCGCTGATAGTTTCTCCTCTCACTAATAGTTCCTCCTCCTCTCGCTGGCAGTTCCTCCTCTCCCTCCCCTCGCTGCCAGCGCGGTAGCATGGCGAGGAGCAGTAAGGGGGATACAGTATGGTGAGTGGGGGAGTGTATGAGAAGGGAGAATGAGGGACAGTATGGGAATCGGAATGAGGGCGGGGGATTGGGGGGCGGGGGAAGGAGAGTAGTTTAGGTACATAAGGTGACGGAAGAAGAGCATCAAAAAGTAAAAGTTATCTCCAGGTGAAGAGCATCGATAAGTGATACGTATTGCATGAGACATTATGTACTGCTTGGGATTTCAAGAATCCTTATGAGCGTATAAGCCTTACTAAACCCTATTTGTCCAATTCTTTATAGCATCCTTCTGTAACCACTATGAGCTCATAAGGCGTGGCAGCTTGTAGGCAATGCAGAAGGCTTACGGGTCGCGACTAATTCTCACAGCACTCAGGATTGAGCAAGCCTTATTCAACAATATGAGCTGGAATTCGAAAACCCTGACTACACAAGCCTTATTTTACGAAAAGAACTACAGAGAAAAAATAATACTGATATTGGTAAAAGTTTCTCATGAGGGTTGTGTCAAAATCGCCCTCATATAAGGCTGCCATAAGGCCTGTAACTTTATTACTTTGCTCAATATGGTATGTACTAGTACTGCCTACATGAAGGAGACAGATGTTGGTGCCAATAAACCGGTTGCTGGGACGGCAGGACGGGTAGTTCGAAGAGTTTCAGCTTATGGAGCATCGAGAAGATATCGCTCGGTCGAGTGATGACGCGGAACTTTGGACTGATGGTACTCTAGTACGGTTATTGGCATTGTCATGACCCAGCTAGGTCACATGCAATCAATCATCAAACACACAATAATCTGGCACGGTTATTCGCTGCTCACAGGCCGTCACTCAGACAACGCACCGCTCATTGCCAACATTTGATACGGAGAGATTATTTGAGGCCATAACATTCGATCATCCCGGGCTTTTTTTCATTGAGTTATCCATCTCCCAAGTCACTTAAGTTACAAGTTGAACTCATCCAAAACATTGCCGTGAAGAAACAAAAAAACAGAATCCCAACATGCATATGCTTTACTCGTCATCGCCGAAGAAGACCTTGATCGGGAGCCTATGGGGGTGCATTCGTTAGTCAAGTCACGTTTTACTCTCTCCTCAGCGGGACAACATACCAAGCATCACCGCACACCTTGAACCGATCCTTCAGGCTGTTCAAAGCCTTAACATCCTCATCCTCCAAGTTCCATCCATTCAGGTCAAAATTCGACTTGACTCTGGACTCTGTAACGGTCTTGGGGATGACACTCCAGCCGTTCTGCAGGCCCCACTTGATCAGCACCTGCGCGCTGGTCTTTCCGGTCTTCTCCACGATCTTCAACAGCGCCGGGTCCTTGTGCAGCGGGGAGTCGGTGGATCCCAGGCACGAGTATCCGGTGGTGTGGATGCCCTTCTCGGTGTTGTACGCCACCAGCTTTGGCGACGGATTGTTGGGGTGGAGCTCGATTTGGTTGACGGCGGGAACCACGGTGGTCGTGGGAGCATTGAGCAGGATCTCGAGGTTCTTGATTCCAAAGTTGCTCACACCGATCGCGCGCGCCTGGTCCTTGGGGATCTTCTGCATCTCCGCCCACGTCTTGACGAAGTCCCAGTCGTCGTGGTGCTTCTTGAGGTCATCGGGGCGGGTGGACGACGGCCAGTGCATAAGGTACAGGTCGACGTAGTCGACACCGAGAGACTTGAGCGAGCTGGCGATTCCCTCCTCGACGCGCTTGTGCCACGGGTTGTCGAGCTTGGTCGTGAGCCAGATCTCCTCGCGGGGGACTCCGGAAGCCTTGATTCCTTGGCCGACTTCGGCCTCGTTGCCGTAGGCGAGGGCGCTGTGGGCGATTAGCTGCTGTGGGAGAGACGAGGACGGACGGGAGAGAAGCTTACGTGTCGATGTGGCGGTATCCAGCGCGGAGGGCGGCCTCAACGGCCTTCTCGACAGCACCGGGAGGCGATTGCCAGGTTCCAAGACCGACCAGCGGGATCTGAGCACCGGTGTTGAGGGGAGCGGTTTTCCTGTTTGGTTCCCTCCATCAGCAAGAGGTCAATCGGCTAGGTGGGACAGGCAGCTGCATACTTGGTCCAGTCACTCATAGTTGCGATTGTAGAGTATCGGGTTGTGGTGGGGTGAGTAAAGTGAGATCGGATTGCAGAGAGGCGGAGACGAGCAAGCATACAGAAGTAGATGTGAGTGAGGAAGATGAAGAAAGAAAGAAAATCGGATTACGGGGACAGATGAGTAGATAAATATAAAATTAGATGGGAGGGAGTCGATCACGACGCGAAGCAATTGCGTTTTCTCCGGAGAATACCCAGGCACAGCAACGACATCAATGGCGGGGTTGAGTGGATATGGAATTTATCCGGTAGATCGAGCCGGATAAATTGAGCTGACTACCGTTTCACTAACTAGTGCCTTGTGGGGCGCGGGGAAAAAGAGAGAACGTCATGCTTGTGCGGGTGTCCGTTGTCCGTCCGCCTTCGACGCGCTTTCCGCGGTGAGGGAAGGTCCGGCAAACCGGTTGAGGTCCGGATAATTGGAAGAATTGGGTAGAGCACATAGAGAGTGGAGCTCAGAGATGATCTCGGCATCTCAAAATAAGATGTGATGCGAACCACATGTGTGGATAAGCTATTTTGTGTTTGCCATTGCGTGGGTATGACTTGGGACCAGGGCCGACCCAGCTTCGAACGGATCAATTCGAGCCCTGCTGGGACTCTTCCGAATGGGTATATTGCTGCCATTTTCCGTGTACTTCGGTGTCAGCGTGGTGAAACGCCGAAAGAGCCCAATCGTGCAGATATCGCGACCCTGCGTGGAACGCTCGTTTGCAGGATGACCTCTCATACAACCGGTACAGGCAGAACTTCTCGGTCTGGCTTCTATTATCCAGCGGACCCACACGGTTTGGCCATTGTTTAGGCTTCATGGTTTTCACGCCTCGAGTGAAACCTTGTGAATTGACGATATCGACAGCAGCCAGCAACCTAGAAAAGCCCCGTCGGCCCCCTCCCACCCAACCCTACAAAGCCCAAGCACTTCATGGCACCTTCATCCCAATTCTTTCCATCCAGAAGTCCATCAAGAACAACATATGCCTCCGCCCATGCTGCCAAAGTCCCAGCGACCCCCTCGTACAACGAGAATGGCGCATCGGGCTTCCGATACGCCTGATCCCCGATCGGTGGCATCTTACCAGCCTCGACCAGTAATGCAAGTGCGCGGCCGAGCCACTTTTCTTTCTCCTCTCGCCCACAGCCTTGGGCAAGCATCAACAGCACCCATCCGTTGCCGCCTACACCATGACAGATTCCAAGTCCTTTCTTAACCAGCCCTTGCTCCCAGACTTTTTTGGCGGCTGCGTGAAGTGCATGGGAGTAGGCGGCGTACTCGTTGTAATTTGCCGGGAAACGCTGTCTCAATGTCGTGAGGAGTAGGACAAGTCCTGGTGAGCCGTGGCAGATCTGAACATGGGGATTGGAGCGGTGCTGCGCACCAAGGGAGGAGGGGAGGAGACCATTGTTTTCGAGGGCGAGGTGGCAGAGCGCGGCTATCTCGGTTAAGATCTCAGGAAGGAATGGCTCGATCGTCTCGCGTGGGACCTGTAGAAGAACAGTCAGGATTCCGGCGGCGCCATGCATGCTGCGGAAGGTTAGCCAATCACAGGAGACAAGGGACGTATACATACGCTCCAAGATACATCTTGTCGTGCCATTCCCACATCAGTGTATTCAAGTTATGCTCCTTCTTCGCCTTGATCCTTCCTCGCCTCCCCGCATCAATAATCTTCTGCACAAGCACCTTCACGATGTCCTCGCCACCTTCCCACTCTTGCATGCGTTCCCTGACCGCGGGATCCAACTTCTGCAGATTCAAGAGTGCCCACAGCAGTCCGGCCCTTCCGTACAGCACTTCATCGCCTCCATCTTCATCGGACGCACACGCCATTCCGACCGCAAACTCGAGAGTTATCATCGCTTTCTCCCACCTCCCATCGTCTGCGTCAGACATGATGTACTTCGTGTACGCCCCCATAAATGCTGCGCCGGTTGGCGTGCCGATGGGCGAGAGCTTTCCGGCGTGCAGAGAGTGCTCATGCCGGTGAAGTCGGGGTTGGTGCTTCCGAATGAGCTCTTCGAACTTGATCTTCGACTCGAGATGCGGAAGTTGGTACCATATGCGGCAGTAGGCCCAGGCGATCCCTCGTGCTAACTTAGAAGTTTCTCCGACTCAATGGGTGAAGTCGAGACGCACCTGAATGACCGGTGTAGAGGTTCTCATGGCTGTCACTTCCGGCAGGAGCAGTATTCTGTTCGATTAGCTGAATTCCTGCGAGGATCGAGTCCTCGAGGAGAGAAAGCGTGTGGACATCGAGAGAAGATGGTTGGAGAGTGTTTGGATAGTAAAGCTGCGCTGACATGGTTGGTCGGTGTTACAGAGCTGAGAGAGCTGTGAAGCACGGCGTCATCCAGGCGTTTTTACACAAAACGTACAGTCTGCATCAGAGTGACGTGACAGCACTTTATTCGAAGATGAGGCCTAGTAAGTCCACGTGCATACAATGAATCGAGAATCGAGAATTGAGGGTTGGGCCAAAACGAACTCGCGGCAAATGTGACAGTCAAGGTAGACCTGCGATATGGACCCCTCACTGTGAGATACCCATGTACACAAATAGTCACTCGGAATGTCGAATGCTGCTGCTCAGATTGCCATTCGCTCTCACTGGAATCGCCGCACGGGTTCTCTAGGCGGTGGTTACCTGATCACTCCGCCTCGAATCATGCCTAATTTCTTCGATAGAGTAGCCAGCCGAAAAGCCACTCCTGCTGTCGTATAATAGTGGTAGGGTACGTACCGTAGGTATTGTGGCGATCATGTTGGCGCGTGGAGGGTGCTGGTGCTGGTCTGCGAAAGGCGGCCTGAGTATGCCGAGACTAGGCCTACCCACCGGACATTTCCGGTGGATAGTTTTGTTCGCAAAGTTTATTTCGGCCCAGTTTGGTTCGCAGCTGCAGTGTAGAAATCTGCAGTTTAACGAGTTGAAGGCTGCCCAAGCTGCAGTTCCAAACTCTCAACTTCCCTGATGACCGTTCGGCAACCCAGATATTCAACAGCACGCCACACTTGTACTTTTTTTTTGACTTCGGGGCTACGTCAGAAAACCATAACTGGCTTTTTACAGCGACGAGGTGGCCCTTCCGGTCACTTGGGGAATGCCCCCTTCCATCTCACAATGGCGGCTCCTCCTCTGCGCCGTACCAGCAAGTGACTCCTCCTATTCACAGTCACAACGGAGGAACCGTAGAACATGGCCGGTGTCGGACATCGTAGGCGTAATGAAGAGGGACGATGGTGAGGTCGACTACGGTGGGGTTGACTACGGGGGCGATACGGGCATGTACTACTGGTGGTTGTCCATATGTAAAGTTTATTTGTACTTACTGTGGCTTAGTCGACAATCTGCAGTTTCTCGAGTTGTCAACTTGGGGTGGTGTGACAAACAGGCACTCATTCGGGGAAGTTGACGGTTCGAAACTGCAGCTCACTTTTTGTGTGGTAGATTCAAACTGCAGCTGCGAACCAAACTGGGCCTTCAGTTTACGGGTTTCGTTGGAAGAAGATCTGGTTTGTTTTGTTTACAGCAGGTTGTTCTTCAGTAAAGGTTTCGTTTGGAGGAACTCAGTGATGAAGGGTTGCGGGCAAGGTGGAGGCTCATGGCAGTACATACATGGGTGATCCCATGGGAGTCGGCGCTGGGACGGAACACGAGACGGCGAAGAAATTCAAGAAATACTCGGCCCACCCCCGCCCACCACAGGTGTAGGTAATGGCCTTACTATGTGGCTGCTGCCCTCAGTATCTAGTGTGGCGCACATTTGGCCCCGAACCGCTCGAGTGAAGCCATCCTAACCTACATACTCGCCCCGCTTTTCATGCTCTCATATATCTTATACATTGCAGAAGATAAAAGAGATCTACTCATTACATCCAAAACAACTTGCTCTCAGCCAAAATGTCCACCATCTACAAGAACTTCCGGTATACATCCACTCCATTCAGGTTTCTCAGTCTCTCAGCCGCCTGCTCGGGAGTGATATCTCTCTGGGGTTCCGCTAGGAGCTCATATCTATGGCCTTTGCGTTAACGACATCACATGCGTCACTCGCCCGGAAAAAGAAACTTACCCAACCAAAAACTTCCTCACAGTTGCACTCCTCAGAAGGGGCGGGTAGAAATGAAAGTGTAGATGTGAATCCCCCTCTCCTTCACCATTAATCGGGGCTTGATGGATACCCATGCTATACGGAAACTGCGTTTCGAAAAGATTATCGTATCTCTTCGTGACCTGCGAAAGCACCTCTGCGAGTCCGTCCCGCTCCTCATCTGTCAATGAGGGAAGTGAGGCAACCTCGCGCTTAGGAATGACCATGATTTCAAAAGGCCATACGGCCCACCACGGACAGAGTGCCACCCATGTTGAGTTGGCGAAGACGATTCGCTCCCCCTTGGAAACCTCAAGCGCGACGTAGTCCGCCAGCAGACCGCGACCATCGTGCTTCTTCTTGTAGGCAGCCATGTTCACAAGCTCTGTTGACACTTCGTTTGGTAGCCCTGTTGTGCACCACGCCTGTCCGTGTGGGTGGGGATTACTGCAGCCCATCGCCGCACCCTTGTTTTCGAAGATCTGGAGGTAGTCGTACTGTTCCTTCGGCGCCGAGACGCCGAGCTCGGCGGGTGCGGGGGCATAATGGCGGTGCGTAGACGGGAGGTGTGAGGTGTAGAGCGCGGTCCAGGTGCGGATGACGGAGACGAGCGAGTCGTGCGGGAGATCCGCCAGTGTCAGATTGTGTGAGGGCGAGAAGGTGATTACATAGCAACGGCCCTTGACACCCTGTGCTTGCAGGAGGAAGTCCGAGGAGCCGGCGGTGGTCTCCGTAGTCGCCGTGGTATAGTCGGGTTGGTCCTCTTTTACGGCACTGTAGTCGTTCACGAAGATGTACGTAGAGGTGTACGCGGGCATCATGTCCCCGGTTGCACGCTTATTGCTAGGGCAGAGAAAGCATGATGGGTCATAAGACGGCAGTGTTGTCTTCGAGGCAGTTTCCTGTGCGCCTCTGTGATGCGTCAGGGAGGGTGAAGCGGGGATGGAGGCGGGGTGAGCTACTGCCAGGGCCGCTTTGTGCGGTGCGGCGAGACTAGGATCCACGAGCCTGTGAGCGGATTGAAGCGACGGTGGGAGATGTCATCGAGAATTCGTTCTTCGGACATGGCTGGTTCGCCTGACGGGAACTGACTCGATTGCGGGGACTGACTCGTGGCGAGGAGCTAAATACTTGGTCGTCGTCCGGTGGCCGGCTCAATAGATATATCTCTCAGCCATCAGCCCTTTCGCGACAGAAGAAGCCAGGCCCTCTCGCCCTGGTCCTCCCCGCTCCGTATAACGGCAACTAGATCCCGCTGCCCCGTCGCTGATCTGACAGCCATGTGATTGTTTCAATAAAGTGGTTGAAGCGGGGTGTTGGTGGGCCATCGGGAAATAAGGATGAGCTCCGGATAAACTCAAGATGTCACTCTCAACCATGTTTCACAGCGCGCTACCACGTGCATCCAGTTGGCCCCCATGCCCGAAAGCGGCTCGGAGCGGCCACGCAGCAACAGCTTCCCCAATCTAATCACCACCACCTCGAACCCACATCCTGATGCAGCCATGAACTTTCTACACCACCAAAGCGCTGAGTGGGACCCTCCGGTAGTCTCACCATCTTCTCCGGGAATCCGCTCCCCACTGACGGCCTCCGTACGCCCCTCAGATCCTCTCGACGCACGTATGTTCTTCCTTCAGGTTCCCTAGAGCTCCCGCTCGTCGACAACCGCTAAGTGTAACCCACGCAGCCGATTACGATCCCATCGACCACCTGAACGCGCTCTTCTCACACCCATCTACACTCGGCAGCGTTACTCCCGTCGCTCAATCCCTCGATAGCCACCTCGACGCGCTCGACGACGAGATCACAGATCTTGTCATCACCCAGTCCGCTACCAATGCCGACTCACTCGCACGGATCTCGGCAGCAAAGGCGGACCTCTCGGAGCTGTTCAAAAACATCGACACGGTGCGCACAAGGGCCATGCGCACCGAGGAAGCGATTACCGCCATGACGGCCGACATCAAGAAGCTTGATTCGACAAAGCGGAACTTGACGCTATCTATGACCATGCTCAAGAGGCTTCAGATGCTGAGTAGGGCTCTTGTCCTAGCTCCGGCTTTGCGGGAGCTCCTGAAAGCTAACATCTGGGGTTAGCGACGGCATTTGAACAGCTCAAGGCGAACACAAAGATGCGGCAGTACCGGGAGTCTGCATCGTTACTTTCAGCTGTGCTCGAGCTTATGACCCACTTCAAATCGTATCGCTCCATCACGCAGATCGCAACCCTATCTCGAAACGTCGCCGACCTCAGGGCGGAGCTATTGGAGCAAGTTTGCGAAGACTTCGAGCTTGCGTTTGTAAAAGACGAGGTTGCGTCAAGGAAGGGGATGTTGTCGGAGGCTTGCAATGTTGTGGATGCGCTCGGCGACACGGCGAGGCAAAGGATCGTGAATTGGTACTGCAACACCCAGTTACGAGAATATCGGCAGGTCTTCCGAGGGAACGATGAGGCGGGAAGCTTAGACAACATTTCACGGCGGTATGCTTGGTTCAAGCGCATGTTGAAGGTTTACGATGAGGAACACGCAGGAATATTCCCACCAAGTTGGAAGGTCAACGAAGTGCTGGCGAATAGTTACTGTGATGGAACCAAAGATGACTATAAAGGCATTCTGCAACGGGCCATGAGAAAGGAGAGTGGTAAAAGTTTGGACGTCAACCTGCTCCTTAGTGCGTTGCAGGAGACGTTGGACTTTGAACTCTACCTGGAACGGAGATTCGGTGCGGATGTCGGTCTTCCTTCCCAATATACCGTGATGATTGCTGATGGTTGCAGCCCAGGATGTCGATGGAGACAATGTCACCAAAAGACGACCGAGAGCGATCACCGACCACATTCAGCAAAACTATCTCGGAAGCCTTCGAACCATACCTTTCACTTTGGGTGGAAGCGCAAGAGAAGTACGTTTCACCGCTCTGCTTCTGACAGCCCTGGCTGACAAATGATAGAACCCTCTCGCAAATGATACCTCAATACCGCAGCCAACCTTTGCGTCCTCCCAACTCTCCAGAAGAAGACTTCAACCCTGCCTCTTCCGTCCTTCCCTCAAGCATCGAGCTTTTCCACTTCTACCGTCAAACACTCGCCCAATGTGCCAAACTATCCACCGGCGCCAAGCTACTCGAGCTCTCCAGGATATATGGAAGGTGCCTCGACGAGTACGCCGACACAGTATTGGCATCTTACCTCAACACATCTGAGCGCCTTCCTGTCGAAGAGATAGCAGTAATCCTAAACACCGCGGATTACTGTCACACTACAACTGCTCAACTCGAAGAACGCATCAGAAGTCGAATCGACAAACCACTGGATGAGCGGATCGACTTTGAGCGGCAAAGCGACAACTTCATGGGAGTAGTGAGCAAGGTGATTTTCACCCTAGTCCGCCGGGTGGAAGTTGCGCTGGAGCCCGGATGGCGGGAAATGCGCAACTGCCCTTGGGCACGCATGGAATCCGTGGGAGACCAGTCCGGATACGTCGGCGTCCTCCTGGAAAAACTGAAGGTTTCGGCTCAGGAAGTAATAGATGTCATCGGGAAGGACGTGTGGCGCCGATCCTTTTGCGACCGTGTCGTCGAGACTGTTGTGGCAGGATTCCTCGCGTCCATTGTGGCCTGTAGGCCGATAGGCGGTGTAGGTGCCGAGCAGATGCTGTTGGATGCGTATGTGATCAAGAAGGCGCTGGAGGAAGTCATCACGTTACGGAAACCTGCCGCCCACCCGGGCCATGAGGAGGCGTCTGCGCAACCCCCACAATCATACCTCAAGCATGTCACGCGGACCCTCGCAAAGTTGGATGGGCTCTTGAAGACCCTACAGGTCTCAACTTCGCCCTCGGAGGGTATCGTGCAAGCGTATCTCATTCACATTGCCGACTCCAACCCTGGAAACTTCAAGAAGGTGTTGGATCTGAAGGGAGTACGGAAGGTGGAGCAGGCGGCATTTGTAGAGTTGTTCAAGGTTCATGTTCCGGCACACGATGGGCTGGTGGAAAACAGTCCGGTGATGGCAGGATTAAACTTGGGCACTGTCTCATCGGTTGGGCAAGGGATGGTAGGAGGTTCGGGGCAGAGCAGTGCACCGGGAGGTAGTAAGGGCGGCTTCGAGAACCTGAGTGCTGTTCTGGCGGCTGCTAGAGATGGCGTTGATACATTGCGGAAGGAGGGAGACATCAAGGATGGTGGGCTTGGAAAGTTGTTCCGGAGAGATGGTAGTGGCGGGTTCAGATTTGGCAGGGAGAGAGAGGGCGGTTGAGCGTTGGATTGCCCGTTAGCTTTGCTTTGCTTATTCAAGTCTATTTCTTGTCATTTACTCCATTATATGGACAGAGTCGCCGCGAGGCGCGAGTGATACTGGGTATGTCAAGAGGTGCAAACCACATCCGAACATCAGCAGTCGATTGATCTTGGCTCCGGCGGCCACAGCTTGCACGGCGGCGTTACGACTACATACCACCACCACGAGGGTCAATGAGCAATTGTAGCGAGTCATTGCCTCTGTTCGCACCAGTCAATGAACCGAGATGATGCCCGATGTGCAAGTGGTAATGACAAAAGTCAATCCTAAGAATTCCAGTAGCAGCCAGCTCATCCACCGTCACCATTTTTCCAAGCGAACGAGGTAGGTCACTCGCACTATAAAACATGATAGGCCTAGGATTTTGAATTTCGATAACTTCATCTCGGAACTGTCGAGGGTTACTGATGACCTTGAAATGGAGCTGAGCCGATCGGTAGAAAACTCTGATGGGGCCATTCAGCGATGGAATAGGAGATCTGGCGATAAAGTCGATGAATGGAGGACGAACGATGAGTTGCTGTTGATAAGTAGACAAGAGGATAAGGAAGAATGGCATTCGAGGTCATTGTCGGTGCTTTTGGAAGGTCGATGTTGCTTAGAACCCGGAGCTTGGAAGGGTGTTGCGGTGAAGGAGGATCAAATTTAGCGGCACTGTGGAGAAGCAGTACCATAATTGGCGACGGATGGGAAGTGGTAAGAGTTATTTACTGTTGTGGGTGAAGTTGATTTGGTATCCAGCGAAGTGGGATGGATACTCATGTAGCCGATATCTATTCAGTATCAGATCATCTGACTGTTGAGCTTGGGACGGAAAGATCCCTGCGCGTCACGCAGTTCTTTGGAGTCCGGCACCTCTGACCAACTCAATTCCGCCGTAGTCTAGTCCCCTTTTTGTTGCTTCTCGGACTCCGGAGTACCTACTTCAAAAGCAACACATCACTCTCATCTGTCAATTCAACCTCGCCGCAACAAATCCACCCTCACCCATACCACCACTACCCGAATCATGTCTGCCATCCTCGACGTCGTGCTCAGCTACCTCCCGCAGGACAGCGGCTACCTATCGAAGTGGCTCCTTTTCGTGCGTGTCCGCCCACAGCCTGCCGTTCCCCCGGGCCGCATCCAAGCCGGCCACAGTAGAGTACTATACTGACAAACATCCCTCCCCTCCAGGTCTCCGCCGTCGCAGTCTTCAACTCGGTGCAAAACTTCGTCACGCTCAAGCTGACGCAGCGCGTGTACCAAGAGCGCCCACAAGACGTGACCTGGCTCTCGTCGCGCACCTTCGGCACGTGGACTTTCCTTAGCGCCGTCGTCCGCGCCTACGCCGCATACAACATCACCAACCCCCAGGTCTACGATATCTGCATGTGGAGCTATGCCATCGCCGGTTTCCACTTTGTCAGCGAGTGGTTGGTGTTCGGAACTGCCAGGTATGTGAAGGGGATGGAGGGGGACGGTGGGCGAGGGCGAGGGTGATCGTGTGGGCTTGGGCTAATGTCAATGTGTAGTCTCGGTGCTGGTCTTACCGGACCGCTTATTGTCAGCTCCAGCAGTTTAGCCTGGATGTTCACCCAGCGGGAGTTCTACGCTGGCGCTGCCAGTGTCGCCGCCAAGGTCGCCGGTGCTTAGATGGAGGGTACGAATGGGGTGTGTGAAAATGGATGGGAACTTGGGATTGTTTTCGAAGCTGTGGAGGATATACCTATTCTAAATCTAGACTACCTATACCAGGACAACTACCAATGGGAACATACGTTCTACAAAGCTTGTGAACCCAAGGAATCTCCACATCTACCTACACGCGCTGTCAACAGCCTACATACATTAACCGCTTCACGAGAGACTGTGAACTGTTACGTGTCTTGATTTACCATAACTAGGGCGTCGACAGCGCAAAAGTGAAATTCGAGGCCGAGTGATGCGGTATGTACCCGGAAGTATTCGAAACTCTCAGTCTGGCACAGCCCCATGTCCAGCACGTCCGCCCAACACAGAGTCCTTTCTGTTGGGCGTATTGACATTGCTTGTCCCGATAAAACTACTGTCAAGACGAACTATGGACGTTGAACCTGCCTACATCAATCCTACCTTGGACAGCTTGGTAGTTTTCTAGGCATCTGTGTTTTGGCCTGGTAAGTTATATTTTCGCACTTGACCCTGCGCAATGAAGGAATTTAAGCGTTCCAGAAGTCATATTGCAGAAGGTGAGGACAGAGTCAAATCAATTGGTCTTTATCTCGTTCTGAATTAAACTGTGTACCAAGACAATTACACGCCTCTTCCGCAACCTCCCAGATTTCCCCTGTTGAAATAGCCCTGAAAAGCTCATGATACTCTTCCCGTGCTACATATCGTCCCGAAAGTGCGATTCAATAAGCTTCTCATAATACAGTACAGGCCTGTAGCAGTATCGATGGACGGCATGGTCTAATGCGCTGTTAGTGTCTGGTCCTGGGTAAGTGTGTGGGGGTATAGAATCCAACCTACCTTCATGTTCTCTTTTTTTTGTTTTTTTGTTTAATCATCATAGCATTCGACCTTATCAATCATGGCTGTACACAAGTCCAGTTCCACCCGACTGTCTCCGACCGCTGGCCGCGAGCTCGATGTGGGTTCCCTATTGCACTCCACCCGGCCCATCCGCACATAAAAGGAAAGACAGAAAGAAATCAGAAACAATGAGATGACAAAATGGAAAGGAAAAGAAAAGCGTCAGTCTTCCTCAAAACCCCACATTAAACCCGTATATGCCGGAATCTCCGGCCGACTAGCCCGTACTCTTTCCTCCGCTCTTGCTCTCACCGCGCCCCAGTGCATGTTCTCTATCGAGGCGGATTGTGAGTCGATTATCGACTTATGCAGTTGTGAGTTGAAGGTGATGAATTGATACATGCTCTTCTGCTGGTTTTCGTTTGCCACCGCCGAGAGGATGGCCATCGTTAAATTCTTCTTTTCCGTTCGAGCCGATTGTCGGCTTATGCAGTTGTGAGTTGAAGGTCATGAACTGGTACATGATTTTCTGCTGGTTCTCATTCACTACCGCCGAGAAGATCGTCTTCTGGAGCTCCTCGTCGACCATTAAGTGTTCCGGCGTGATGCGCTGGTAGCTCAAGGAGGGTAGTTGTTCTCCCTTCTCACTTGCACATAGTGGGTGTTTGCGAACGAGAGGGATAGCGGCAGAGTGTTGTTGCTGTCTATTTCATTAGTGTTAGGTGATGAGGTGTAATGAACTTTGAGGGAACTTACCCGAGTATCATGACATCGTCGAAAGTATGCAGGCAACTGGCGTTCAGTCTGCTCGCAGATGTTTTGACGGAAAGGTGAAGACTCCTCCACCTAAGTGGCAATAGCCGGGACTCGAAGGCAGGATTAGTTGGTGTCCCTAAGACCAGGAGCTAGAAGCCGTACGGCTTCGGTATCATCCTATTCGTTCCACCAAACGAGCAACCGGCAACGCGGACGATGTCGAATAGTCCGTAAAGGCTTGCCACAACTCGGTGGGGCTTCCGTAGTGCGTGCCGAGTTGCATCCTGGGGAGCGTCTGGCAGTTGAGGTCAGCAGAGAACTTGATAGTTCCGAAGGGATCCAAGAGCTTAGGGGAAAGGTGAGGATACTTACCAGGGGCCACGCCCAATAATCCTCGGTCTGTCCAGATCCTCGGTGGACCATTGGTTTTGACCTTCCATACGTCGAACGCTCTAAACGTTGCCTTTGAGGGACCCGAGGGCCGGCGTCCGTCTGTATAAGTCAGCAAGACACATTACGCTTCATTAAGGTGGAGTAGTCATGCAACGCAAAGTGAGTCTCGAGGGCATACTAACGATGATGATTATCTTGCCGATACAAGAATAGGAGGTGAGAAGGTTGCCTATTGGCATCTAGCCGTTGCCTTTCTCTTAGCTTCCTCTCATAAAACAGCTGACAGGTAGTATCATCACGGGAAGGGGGAGGACGGGAAAGTTACCTTGAGATAGGATTGAATCATCCGAAATATCTGATATCATCGCCGCTGGGGGCTGGTTGTAGTCTGATGTGATGTATGATGTGAGAGGAGGAAAAAAAAATAGAAAGAGAGGATGGAGAGAGAAGGAAGAAGGAAGAGAGGAGGGAGAGGTGGCGAGAGAGGGGTGGCGCATTGCCGCAACCAGGCAGGATCTGGCCGGTCCACGTAATAATTACCATATTGGGCCGGGCACATCGAGGGTTTGTCTATGACAACTACGTCAAGTAGAGATTCTTCACGGAGGGGCAAGATATTACAGGTAATTCAATCATTTCCAGGTAATCTGGAATCGGGGAGGATCTCGTGATCCTCATGGAGTCTCACACGGAATATCTATACATCCTTCACCGCATGTCTGCTGGTTAGTAATCGCTATTGTTGTTGAAATTTCTTTCGGTATCATACATTGGACTGAAGCACGGGTCACCGCTGCCATCTCATGGTAAATTACTGATTTGACCCGACCGTTTCCAGATGAAGCAAACTGAGACCATCGTTTCCTCTCCCCACCGATCGTAGAGATAATGGTATACAGGCCCACTAACACTTGAGTGTTATCCACCAAGTTCAAGGGGATTAGCGTATTGGGTACCGTTGGGTGGTATCAAGTCATGGGCAGAAATCCAGATGGTGCCGGGCAGTCCATGACAAATAAGCCTACCGACATCGTGTGGATACATACCGTAACGTACCGTATTTTCTCACGAGCCGACTTCCGAACTCCGGATCCGCCAGGATGATGCATGCGAGCGACTGCTGATTTGTTTCGAACTACAAATGAGAGGCTTTCGCGGTGCAGCCTCACATGCATCGCATCACAATACAAGACGCGCAAAATACTTTTCTCCGATGACCGCAGCGTGTTGAAAACCCAGCTTGCAAAAATAGATCTATTGCCGTACGGTATAGTATGTTATGTTACCACCAGTACATGACATTGTAAGCACCGCACTGCCCGCCCGCACTAAATACCCGCTGTCATTCGTACATAAGCTAGACCGACCGAATAGTTACTAACGATCCGGCGTGCCTGTCGAATATGCCGCCATGACCATCCACACTCGGTTCCGAACATGGGCTCAGGCCGCCCGGGCACGACCAACACACAAATAACTACAGTCTTCGGGGACCATTACAAATCCTCACCGAGCCGGCACGGCTCCGCAACCCAGCCAATGGCGGTGAGCCCCGGATGGTTAGCTTCTCAGTGGTCCGCATGTAATCATCGAGCGCCGTTGGGCCAGTGCGCCTGTGGCCCCCGCAGCTCCGGGTGGATGCATATATGATATGAGTGTAGGCAGATACACCGGACAGGCTCGGTACCAAGCTTGTTCAAGGTTCACACGCCGATATAGGCAGCTTGCCGTTGAGACGTCATCACCACCAGTCGGTTTATTTCAATGATCGCTGTTATCAAGTGAAAGCTGGGTAATTTACCATTGCAGTGCGCAGTATCCCCGTGCAGCAGGGTGGACAGCGGTCCGTATCGATGCGGTGATCTTTAATGCCGGTGCATATGTAGTGAAATATACATTTAGTATCTGATCGGGGGCGTTCTGGGTTGGACCATATACCCCTGAACACATGATTTGGAATTATCGGCGAGGTTCACCTTCTATGGACGTGGGAATACTGGCGCCTTTCGGAGTGCTTAGCCGCGCATATGGGCTCCACGTGGCCGGCTTGCCGCTGAAGAGCAGAAGTGGAGAAGAGAGAGCGCATCAGACTCCAAGCGACTGAGGAATAATGCTGTTCCATAACCAAGTACCCAACATCACCTGCAACTCGTAATCGTGCATAGACGTCACCGTCGGCCAAGTCGCGGGGGGAATCAAACTGACCGGGTCGGCTGGGATCGCGTCAGCACTGCCTCCTCCGCCTCTCCGCCCCCGCGCCGCTAACGTTGCGATTTCATAAAACGAAGAAGCTTCTAAGGAAGATCTTTATTTCTAGCGCATCGGAGATAATTTCGCCCGTCGGGAATAATCTAAGGACGTTTTGCGAACGGTTAGCGTGTGCATGGTTAATCACTCGACCACGTGACCGCACAGGGACGGGAAGGGTCCGCATCGGCGACGAGATTTCAGAGAGATCGATTCCTACGAGCCCGTCTGCTGCTCTGCACCGACTTTGATCAAGATCCGAGAATCTTGGATCGGCTCGCGGACGTTTTCGATCGGTGTTGAGACGTTGAATCGGTAGCCAGACGTGGTAGATCGATCACCGGGCGCCCTCAATCGGTACTCGGACGCTTCAGATCGGAGCTTGAACGTCCTGGATCGGTTCCCAGACGCTTTTGATCGGAAAAGAGACGTGGCAGATCGGAATTCAGACGTAGACGTGTCGGGACGGGGGGATTTGTTCTGCCAGTCATGTGCTTACGTCTGGCGTTGCTTCCGACGTTGAGTACGCTCCATACTGTAGCGTCGCCAAACCCAAATCTTCTGCACCCGTCCCCACAATAGACATCTCTGGAAGCCTCGGTGGAGGTGTAATAGCGTACCGGGTCTGAAAATACACTGTGGTCCCGGACGGACATCGACGAAGTGTTGAGGTCCATGCATTCTGGCGATAATAATCGATGAAGGCGAATCATGGCAGGCTAACAGTCTTATCCGTGCATCCGTCCAACTTCTTGCCCAACGAGCGGCCTGCAAGCCGACGAGTGTACAGGTTGAGGGTCGTGAACCAGCGGAAGGTTGGTGGGCGGGTTTTCGACGCTCTGGTAGGTAGGACCTCAGAAATGCCGCCCGGTGGACAGACCATTCTCCAGACTCCGTTCAATCATCGTTACGCACTTGGTTCGGTAGCACCTCTATTATTGCAGTTAGACACTATACGGTACTGCGTGGAGACGTAAAACTGCAAACAAATTTGAATAGATTCGTGAATGCCAAAGGACAGAAGGGCCAACGTACATACCTTCGAACCTCCATGAGAGACCAGCCGAAATCGGTCAATATCTGGCTTGTAACCATGGTGGATTATCATCCGGTACATAGCAGAATGGACTGGGGGTTTTTCTGGAATGTGTACTTACTATGTGGAGGGAGATACGGCCTCGCGGTTGAAGAATCATCCGATTAGGTGCCCAACCTCGCGGCCCCCAAGGCAAAAGACTGGCAGCCTAAGGCCGGTGCTCGTATTCAGGTTGGAATGACCCCATCGTGAGTTCCACAGATTCAGATTTCAAAATTCGGGGGGGTTGGTTAGCCAGTGCTGATCAGTCCGGGCAAATAGTAATCATCGAAGAGCTACATACAAGTCAACTTCAAACGACACCAACACCACCCACCTGATAGGCGTTCCGCAAGACGGAACCCACAGTGTCTCTCCAACTTTCGACACTTGCCCTGAAACCCCCAGTTATTCAGCCTCTAACCCAACCTACAGCAAATCAACGGGAATAGACACCCCCTCGGCAGAAATACCATCGAGGTCCAATAGGTAGGTAGAGCAAAGTTGGGGCAGTGCAGCCTCCATACACATACGGGGGCGATCCGAAGCGTGGCATCCATACCTACATACATCCTATGTACCTACATACTACATGTAATGTGCGATAACTGCAGGCACTGAAATCCCGCCGCTTCCGCATGCAATCTTAAGGTACCTAGACTTGTAGGTATTATACGAACTGAACTGGCCTCGCATGGATATCTGAGGAATATTGTAAACTCACAACAGGATTGCGAACTTGAATCCCTCTCCCCCGCCGCCCCTCGAGAACCGAGGGAAAGCTTTCATGAATGATGACGGATCGGGTGTTTTTTTTACTGTGGTCCCTGCAAGGACCAGCAGGCATTAACCAGAGTAGGAACCGCTAGGACATCGGCGTCTCCCTCGCACTCCCACCGTCCCACGCGCCTAATCATACCACATCGAAACGCGGCCGGGCCGCAACGTTTCCAACCCGCCCCCGTGGAGAGCGGCAACGCCGATTAATTCCTTCCAGATCTGCCATTTCCCCTTCTCCTCTTCTCGTATCCCAACATACGGGGAAGAGGGGAGGGGTGTTATCTTTCCAGTCCCAGGGGCTCTTTTCTCTAACCCGTGATTGTACATAGATTTGTTTGGGGTTGGTTGGCTCATGCATACTTGTGCATAAGGCGGATCGCCAGGCGAACCGCTTGTTGACAACTCCACCCCAACCCTCCGCACCGGTACCGCAACCGGATGTGTCCGCCTAATCTTCAATACACACTGCGTATTTTCTATGAGCGATTGGTATGTACCTGTGTATGTACATAGGCGGGCGGGCTGCCCATTCGAAAAACAACACCGAGGGAAAATCTGTGCTCGACAGACAGACAATCTCGATTCTCGACCGACTGGAAGACGGTCATATGGAGGCTCTAGCACATCATCTGCGGGGCGTTTGATGAACTGGCTGTAGAGTACTCTACTCTACTCTACTAACTATAGGTACCGTAGTCGTCATGTGGTCCGGTAAGATCGACGACCCTCGGACAGGACATGCTGTCAAAACGGCTGTGCGGTTTGGTCTGCCTGACCCTATTACCCCAAGGGGGACCTCCCGCCTCTACCCCTCTGCCACGGTCCGTTTGTTGTCATCGAAAGGAGGATAGTTGGTACACTAGGTACCTACCGTAGACTGCGAGTGCGCTGTTGCGGAAAAGGGGGGGCGGGGGCCGCTGGGGAATTTGCAATTCTGCATGTGGAAAGAATTGCAACTGGCGAGACTACCGTATGTACGGTACGGTGCGGAGGTATTCCCGTGTTATGTGTATGATATCATGTAGTATAGGTAGTAGATGTGCAGAGCTAACTATCACGCCCCAGAAAGTCGGTAAGATTCGCTAGTTAGTAGGTACAAGCGGAGAAAGACTCACCCCCGCACCGGTCACTGAATAAGCTGGCCGAGAGGGACGTATACCTATATGATGTGCATAGGTAGAGACGTAAGATAAGTATCGAAGGATCCATCGAATGATGCTTATCGAAGACGAGCTGATGAATTCGTAAGGTAAGCTAAGCAGTATCGGCTTGGGCTGAGAAAAAAGTGGCCCAAATAAATCTATAACTAGCATTTGTGGCCGGATATCGGACTAGTTCGGACATCCTGAACGTAAGTCATGAGAGTATGCGGATGAGATGGTGCAATTTTCTCCATGGTGAATTGGTAGCGCAATCCCTCATAGTTACCGCCCATAATCGAAAGTTTGACTCAACTGATTCCACGAGATGGACACTAAAGGAAAAACTCGGTCCTTGAGCTCGATTTGTAAAAACACAGATAGTAATAGTATATTTAATCCATCCTTATTATCCCGTATGTACAAGAATACTACTAGCTACTTAGAATACTGACGAGTGTAAAGAAACAATAAAACAATAAAATCCCAACCAGGGAGCCAAACCAGGCCCCCTTTCTCTATGATACCCCAATAACTCCAGAATAAAATCAAACAAATAACAAACCGCCCAAATACCACAATAATGGACACATACACGGTACACATATATACAAACTGCGAGATGCGCCACCATAGGCGTACATCTGCTGGTATTATTTACAGGTTCGAAGCAATGGCGTCCGAGAATGCCGATCAATACTCCGAAGGATGATATGGGAGGTAGTCCGAAGGAGCAGAGAACAATCTTCCGCCCCCAATGTTGTCCAAATTGTCCGCCGATCTAGCGGGCCGCAGAGATGGCCGCCTTCCTACCGGGGCATGCTGATTCGGTGCATGCGAGATTCGAAGCTCGGGGACCTCGTGCGGTTCGCACTGACCGCTTGATGGGGCATAGAAGGATGGATGGTACCATGGTTCGTTCTGGGAGTAGTGGGATGGTGGAGGAAATGCCGTCGGGGTGAAGTACTCCATGAGTGGAGACGTTGGTGTCGAGTGAGAATGACGGTGTCGAATAGGAGGGCCGTACAATCGAGCCGAGATTTGCTCCGATGTCTGGTCTAGTCGCTCGAGTGACGGGAAGAGGTCCAGATGAGGACAACTCGAGGCTGCAATGTGTGGTGAGCGATCAACCATACCGAGGGTATTGCGATGGTGTAATCGACCTGTAGATGGCATGAGCTAATTTTCTCGTGGTGTTGGGGGAATCAGTGAACACTTACGGTCTATGAACTTCTGATACTCCTTCTGGGCGTCCTGTTTCATCCGAGTCACCAAGACCGCCTTCATGTCGTACTGCAGAGGGCTTTGTATTTCGAATCCCTCGTCTCCCTGTGCACGTAGTGAGCATTCATCCTATCGAGCGGTGATTTCCTTGGTGGAGGTCTTACGGTTTTCATATCCGTGCCTTCGAGCCACATAACGTCCTCGCCAAAGTACTTTCTGAAGTGCTGAGCGAAGAACCGCTTCTCGAAGCCTTGAGTCTTGACGAAGAACCTCGGTGGTTGCTTCTGCGAGTATCTCCGAGTCGAAAAGTCGAACATGATGGCTTTGAGCAGTGATGTGAAACAATTTTGCGAGTTGCGGGCTGGTGACAACGATGTATTTGAGGTAGTCCCGTGGATCAATAGTGGCAGCATTCGGCTTGCGGGGAATAAAGTCTTATATGGCACTCTCTCAGGCGGGCAGTTGGGAGGGTGGCTCGCACTATGCCGTGTTGGTTGCGAGGGAATGTCGGTGGCGCTTTGACGTAACTAGTGCAGATTCTCTGAGGCTGGAAGGAAGAAGTTGTATGTGTTGCCGCTCGAATAGAAGAATCCGGGGCATATGAACTTAAGTATGCATGATCAAGGGACGATTGTGGCAATTTAATTCATACAACAGGTTGTCTCGCTTTCAGAATGGCAATGGCTGGCTCGAAGTCAGTGGACGAAGACACAGTGCACACTGCACACCGTACATATTTCCAGGTATACGTAGAGTAGGTATGTCGCGCCGCCCTGCTTGCGTGAGGCAACTCCGCCTCGCAAGGGGGGTGCGGGGGGGCGATTTCAGACCTCTGTAAACCAGAGCAGACAGATTGAACATCCCAGTGTTGAGGGGGCAGAGGCGCAGCAGCCCACGGCCCGAGATCTAGGGTTAGCTCAGCTCACGTTACACGGCGGTGCAAACCTCACGTCGGTATATTTTCTTTTGCCGTGAGTTATTGTTAACTGGCACTAGCCTGTCATGTAGAAACCAACAATACACGAGTAAATATTTTACGTGGCTTCGGGAAGCGTGTGAGCAGTCAGCTTAGGGTGGGCTTTGAAGTCATGATCTGGCCGAGTGATAGTTGTGCATATTAGTAGACCTAAGACCCCCGGCGGTAGTCGGACAGGTGAAACAGAGAAGCTAGCAGGCTTCAACCACATACAAGGCTACCTCCTGGCCCGGCCACCCGCGGTGAAGCGAGGCCATCTGCCAACTACTAGTACTGGCCCTAGGTACGCCATCCAAAGGGATGAAACATCGAAGCTTTAGAAGCTGAAAGTGTGAAGGATCCGGTTGGACCTAGGTACATATCATCTGAAGTTATCGCAATTTGCGGAGCATACGTACAAACAGCTCAAACCCCGCTGCCGCTCATACGGTACCTGGTTACTCGTCCATTCCAGATCTCTCCTACGACAACACTTCCAAGAGCATCTCCTTTTGCTCACATGGCACTCTTCCACGCTGTTTCAAACTAGGCTTTTCCGTTCAAGGTTTCCCATGTTCATTGTTTCCAGCACCAGCAATTCCCGCACTTCTGCCCACTAGCACTGCGGGTCTGTCCACACCATCTTCAGAGAATATTCTTCCATCGGATGTACTCCCGGGCAGTTCAAACACCGTTACATATGGCTAGCAGCCTTGTGAAGGCACCGATACTATATTCCTCAGTGCCTTCAGCACGTCATAGCGGCGTGGAGCCCTCCGAAATTCCGGATTCCGCCAGGTTGCAAATACCACCTCAAAATGCCCTACATTCGGAAGTGTAGCCCTTCCAGCTCGTGACTCGTGAGGCCACAAGGCTTCGCCGGCGTAGTTACCCCCAGATGAGGTCGCCGAAGAGATCGCACGTGAGTCTAGGTGTGTACCCAGTCTCGCGAGCCGTACTCACGCCTCGAGACGGGGTGACCGGGTAAATCAGGTGATGGCGATTGAATTTCAGTGGGATTTATCAGGCATGGCTCATGGTTATGCCGAGCCTCACTGTCCCCCTCGCAAGTGTTCATGTTTTGGACACCGTGGTGGAGCTGGTCCATGTTGATGGCCGCACCGAAAGGTCGGGCCCGTTCGGGGAGCGACATTCGGCACACGGTAACCACCCTGTGCTACCTCGTAATATGCCCATGGTGTCCTTCATATTTGTTACCAATTTGGAGTGGGTATCACTTTATCGCAAGGATGGTAATCGAAGGTACTGATGGGACTACATCGGTAACGGATACCTCTTCCACTAGAAGCGGGAATTTGTGGAACAGTGGTGGAATACTTACTATATAGTAGTTGCGGTGACCTTTCATGAAGTTGCATCTTTGTTCGCCCCAATGCGACGCTGCGACGGCGGCGGCGTCTACTCATCCCTCGCGGCAAACACAACACACGACACATGACATCATCGTCTCGGCGCATTCCAAAAATCTAGTAACCCGTGCCCGTAGCCCGATAACTTACCTCCAAGCCCCACTCGAGCTTTGCCCCGAGGCTCGAGCTGAGTCTCAGGCTTCAGCTGCGGCATCGCGACGAGAAAAAACGGTTTTATTCTCGGCCTCCATACGCCGTATATACGCCCGGGGCGATGCTGTCGCTTTGGTTAGTTACCGGTATGCATGTCTACCGTATATGTAGGCCTAGCGGGCGTGTATGTTTAGCAGGTAATCCGGCCTGGCTAGTGCTGAGTGGAGTCGTGGACATGGACAACTGGTGGCCCGTGGGAGGGTGAGCAGCACCGCCTCGCCGCCTCACCCACCCGCCGGCGACATGTGGCGCATGCTTTCCCTCCGCCGCCATGACTGTGGATTCAGCTAAGCATTTAAACGAGTATGTACCATACATGCGGTATGTATAATTCAAGGCTGTCGGCGTTTCCTGTTGAACGGATGCCGGCGATGACGTCTCGGAGCATTAAAACTACATTCGGTATGTGCATACGTATTTTGACCTTTTGACCGTGTTGACTTCGAATAGAGTACCTAGTACCCGTACAGAACAAGCGAGGGTGAAATCTACTGTAGCGCTACTACTCTATACAGCGTTGACGATAGGCGCATAGTTTACTGCCCGGTTTCCGTAGTGACGCACTGTGAATACATTACCAACTCAACCAAGACGCGCGTTCACGGTGTATGTATATAGCAACAATGCATCCGGCGCGGATACTATACTATAGCACTATCTAGTAGCTTTTACCTCCCCCTTGTATTGTACTATAATACTTGGAACCCAGGTAAATACAGAAATATCCAACTCGCTTATCGAAGTCTTCCAAGATGTAGAATCGCGATAACCTCCCAAACCGAGTGTTTCATCATGATCCAAAACCGCTTTTCGACGATCCTAATTACCATCCACATATGATGCTCTACATACATACGCTCACACAATAAACCGAAGCTAAAATTAAATAGACTAGAAAACACCTAGTCGACAATCTGCAAGAAATCCTCCTCCTCACTGCTTCCTAAGCCCGCGCTCCCCCACCTCAAGCATGCGATGTCCTCATCCTCGATCCAAATAACCAGCCCTGCGTATTTTCGGGACGAAAGCTTGTGGCGGCGCACTGTAGGGACCTGGCGGCGCAGCGTAAGGGCTTGGAGCAGACTGGGCAGTCACCACGGGCTCGTACATATTTTGGCTGTAGGGGTAGTAGGGAGAGTGGTAAGGAGGATCTGTGTGAGCCCCATCGCTTTCAGCAAAGCTTACAGACTGTCTCCGCCGTAAGGCACTCTGCTGGGCCATGCGAGATGGGAGATAGTCGTGATAGCTGCTGCTGTCCCCTTCCGCTTCGGCTTGCGTACGATCTTTCAGTATCGATCGCCCTGGGCGGGAGCTGCGGCCGCCGAAATGAACGGGACTAGGCGAGAATGATGCCCCGCCTCCGTAACGATCATTAAACGAAATTTCGTTGTTGTTTGAAACATTCGCTGCCGGGGCGTTTGTTGTATTGTTTACTGGTGTAACTTGGAGTGGAGCTTGGTAATCGTGTGGTGTGTGTGATGAATAGGGCCGATGCTCATACATGGCAGGATACGGAGAGTGATACTCGGGATACCTAGATGACCCCGCGGGAGGGGGCGCAGAGATAGCTTGGGGCACACGCTCATACCCAGATGACGTCCTTCTGGACGGGCGAGGTGGTAGTGATCCATGAAACGTTGCGTGATGGTCGAGAGCCGGCGGTCTGTGCTCTGATTCATAGCCCTGGCCTACGAAAGCTGAATATGGTACGGTAGCTGGGTATGGTAAAGTTATGGGGAATGGTACGGAAGCTGGATATGGTGCGGGAACGGGGTATGCTGAGTGCACTCTAGCTATACGACCCACGCGTTCCCTCGCGTCGAGGTTCGGTTGGGGAGCTATTTGCCCAGCATATGGGGACTTGGGAGGTATCAAGATGGGACGGCCAGGGGAGGGCGTATCGGGGGCTTGCTGCTGTTGTCCTGTTGTTCCTGCCGCTATGCTGCTACTGCTGCTGCCGCTCAGCTTCATCGTTGCGGGTTGTGGCTGCTGTTGATCCATGTAATGCGTGGAATGCGTGGAAGGTAGTTGATGTTGATATTCAGATGGTATTGGTTGAGGCATTGGTGACTGCTGATATTGATACTGCGTGGATATGCGCTCCGGCATAGTCGGTTGTGGTTGTAATTCCGTGGGTGCTAGCATCACGTGTTGCGATGACTTCTTCCTGCGGCCACAGACAATTCCAAACAACCCCCGAACCACAGCCACGAACCACTGGAGTATCCCGTCGAAATGCATCTTCGAATTTTTCATCTGATCCGTGTTTGGGATATCCGTGTTTGGGGTAGTTGGCTTGAAGCGTTGCCAGAACAATATGTTGAGACGTTGTAATTCTGATATGTAACGGAAGCCATACAGCAGGCAGAAGGATACCACTGATAGAGGTACCGAGACCACGAAGTACAGCCACAAAGGAGGCGATGATGTGGCCGGACTATTCATTCCGAAGATTGTCTGAATACTCGAGATTAGGAACCTAGTATGCGTATAGAGAGTCTTGAGATACCGCAATGAACGTGGCAGGCAGGAAGAACACCGTGAGATATGTCAATCGTCTCATACTTTCGGCCTTGAAATTTTTAGCAGGCATTAAAGCTAGGGGCTTAGGTAGTAACCTGTTCATAGACCAGCACGCCCTCTTTTAACGTCTGGATGCTCTGGTCGACCTGCACTGCGCTGAAAATCTATAGGCAAGTCAATCCAGGTCTCTATATATGAGGTTCAGAACTTACCATGTCAATTGTAGTAGCCAGTTCCTCTTTCAACTGCTTGACGAAGAGTATATTCTGCTTCAGGCCTGACCCAACACTTCGAAATTCCGCAATGATCTCGTCGTTCTCAGCATATTCCGACAAGTCCGGTCCTGGCACAGCCGCAATCGACAAATCGACTTGCAGCGCGTTGACGAAGTTCAAGTTGGATTCCAAAGCAAGCTGGCAATCCTGCAAGACTCTGAGCTCTTGGTGAAGGACCTTGATAGCATCGGTCGTTGGGTGCGTCAGCAATGATTTTTCCGGAGACCCCCATTCTGCGATGTACCCACCATCGATGCGCGCTGCAACATTACTTCACACTAGTTCCAAGTCAATTACTGAACAACTATGGTTATAACAAAGGATTATTACCGTGTTCGTGACTTTGACCCGCAGCTCTTCATCCAAGTTTCTCCAGGAAAGCATTGTGCGAACAATTTCCAACACCAGCCGCCTCGGATCGTGCACGGCAAGCTGCGTCCAAAGTGTTCCAGCATTGAGATTTCCCATAAGAGTGTTGAATCCGTCAAAATAGGAGCTAATACCGAATGGAGAGATTATATCCAAGCTCCAGCGTGGGTTGGCCCCAGACCCGGCAGTCCTCCGAAGGCAAACGCAAACCCTTTCCACTACCCCTATACGTTCGTGATCGAGTGCGATGACAGGCTTCCCTCGCGGCGTGCGAATAGGGGTGTGTCTCTCCCAAAGATAACTCAACTTCAGTCCGTCAAGGCAGAACTCCACGACAATGTCACCTAACATCGAGCACCTCAATTTTAGCTCTGGAAATTCGAAATAATCGGGTGTGATCCTAGTTACCGGTCTTGGTATCTGTACGGCGAGCAGAATAGTTGGTGAATGACCATCCAGTGGAGGAAATTTCGAGCTGACTGCTGGCCAAGTCCCCTAGTTTAGGACCCCACATCTCATCGTTCCAAAACCTAATTTCACCGTTAGAAGGATTAACTTGATGGACGCACACACTTACTGGACCTTGAGTTCTGGACACAACTACATAATTGTTTAGCTCTATGTACACAAAGCTTAGTAGTTCTGGTGGCTTACCCCATCGAGTATAGAATACGGTAATGTGGAATCGTCTGTGACCTCAAGCTCAAGAAATCGCTCCTTCGGAACTGTATAGTACAGTACCTCCGTTTCCGCAGCATCTACATAGACGTCTCATCAATCGTCCGTTTGAACACCCACCGCAAGCCAAACTAACCATGAGTGTTAAGGTCCCGCTGAACCCGTCGCATGACAATGTTATCATCCGTTTGAACTCCAGTACGTATAAGATATGGCGCATAGAAGTCGGTCCCGGGTGGTAGGTTTGGGAGCTGGGAACCAGCAGCATGCGCGCTCACGTCCCCGTCCGAGTCGTCCGGAGTGGGGTCGGTAGACGCTGACTTCTTTCCCGGGTCCGGCCTAAAGGGGGGTATCGGTGTCGGCGGTGGGATTGGAGGTGAGGGAGGCCCTCGGCTGATGGGCGGCCTTCCCCCCGGAATCCACGTAGTGATGATAGAGTCCATGTTAGAGCGATGTCAGTGTCGTGAGGGTGAATGTAGATATGTGTTAAGAGTTCTCAGCCCCGAACTCGTCGCAAAGGAGACCCCTTAGTTATGTAACACAAGGCATTATACACTGCAGAAACCCCCTCGTCCGATACGAAGACGCTCTATCATCTACTTGGTCGGACATGGCCGTCGCAATCGGATCGTTTTAGTACCAGATAGCTGGAACTTCTCACGACGAAAACACACCTCAGGGCGTTCAAATCGACTTTCTCACAAACCCTTCCCCGCAGCCTCGGATAATCCTGGCCGATCCGATTTCCATGACAATATCCGAGTACTCTGCCTGTACTCGTAAATCCGCAACGAAGCATTAGCTACCCGGTCTTGGCACCATGGGCCTCCATGTCGCACAACTCAATTAAATCACCAGCAAAACCACTTGACTCTTCGTCGACAACAACCTATGAGCAGGCGTGCTCAATCACGAATTCGATAGGCATTATCCAGCAGGCGCTAGATTTCTACACATGTACCTAAACTAGATCTAGGTACCTATCATACATAATTTCCTACCCAGAACACAGAACGAAAGCCACAACTATTCCACGGTGGTTTGAGGTTTCTTTGGTATTTAGGTTTAGACTAACGTTTATATATACGAGGATTCTCGCTGACCAAGAAGCTCCTGTATCTTCTTTGCCTCATAGTCGAAGCCACTACGATTGAAAATGTCCACAACCCACAACCGCCCCTACTCGTACTTGGGCCTAGCAAAGAGTCGGACGACGCAATATGATCGAGTGCTATCGCATGATATACGCTAGTTGGCCCGTCGCCGGGTAAAACTAACAACGTGAAGAGACACGAAAGCGCGTCGACCGGCGGCCGACTCCTGCCTTGATTATTGCACCAAGGTCAATTATACACACCACAACCATGAGCGACGACCTCGACGAAAACCCGCGCGCCTTTCTCGATGTGTGCATTGGCGACGACGGGCCCACTCGGCGCATAACAATCCGGTTATTCCACGAGGACACGCCCAAAGCCGTCGACAAGTCCGTTTCCCTCCTCTTCTTCCCGGCAGCAGCAGCAGCAGTGTTTTCCGGCGTCGCAAACTGACAGCAAACCAACCGATATGTAGCTTCCTCATGATCTGTCGCGGCGACGCCGGATCAATAAACCTCACAAATCCCAATCGCCTAATCAGACTCTGCTACTCGGGCTGCACCTTCCACCGTGTGGTCGACGGGTTCATGATCCAGAGCGGCGACATAACGCTGAACGACGGCAGGGGCGGAATGAGCGTGCTCGATCAGATCCGCGACGAAGAATTCGTCGGCGATCCGGCGGAGGAGAAAACGTTCGAGGACGAGAACCTGGGCTGGAAATCGATGAACGAGGCCGGGCTGGTTTGTATGGCCAACCGCGGTCCCGACACGAACACGTCGCAGTTCTTCATCACGCTCGACGATTGCTCGTTTTTGGATGGGAAACATACGGTGTTTGGAAAGGTCGAAACAGGACTGGATGTCGTCAGGGATATCGGAAAGGTCAAGGTGGGAGAGAATAATAAACCGGTCGAGGATGTGGTGATTGTCGACTGTGGCCAGTATTTTCCCGAAAGCCCGCAGCTAAGTAACGACGGCGATGATGAAGACTGCGCCGTCGATGGAGATGGAGACAAACCGGAAGAAGGGGAGGAAGACGAGGAAATGAATGATCGGGAAGAACAGGACACGCCTAAGCATGGCGGCAAGACTGGTTCAACTACCGGTGGAAACGGAGCAGGAAGTGTTTTCGGAGGAGGTGGAGGTGGAGGCGGCGGCGGCGGCGGCGGTGGTGGTGGTGGTTCGAACAGCGCGCGACCAATCGACGCTGACGACCGCGGCAGCTCCCCCAAACCTACCCGATCACCAGAATCCCATCACCAGCCTCCTCCTCCTCGTCGTCCTCGCTCGAGATCCCCCTCTCAGCGAAGACACCGCCGTCACCGCGACCATCACCACCGCCGCCGTTCGCGATCGCCCCGTCGCCACCACTCCCGCTCCCGCAGTCCCCGTCGCCACAAGCGTCACCGGGACGACGACGAGGAGGAGTACACGCGTGACGATCCGGATGCGGAGGAGCGCATACTCCGCGAGGAGCGCGAGCGCGAGGGTCGTCGCTGGGACAACATGCCATCCAACTCCGCCGCCGACGAGCCTGAGGTGAAATTCAAGGGCCGTGGAACAATGCGGTATCGGGAGAGGAAGCGGTGGGGAGGTGCCGGCGACAGCTATGGCAGACTTAATTAAGGGTCGGACGGACGGCGTGCGATTGATTTCCCATTTTACGTCACGGTTTTCTGGGGGGTTTGTTGGGCGGGCGGGCGGGCGCATTTGTGGCGTTTTGTTTTTATCTGCGCTTCCATGGATGGGAATCTGTTTGTAGCATCATAGTCCGGTTTATGCGATATCTCCTCGGTACATACAGTTTGTATCTAGTGCGTTTATATGTGAGGGAAGGGCTGCGATAGAATGGCTTCGCTCGGGGCGGTCTCAAGAGGAAACTCGTCCACAACCTCATTAGCTAGCACTCGCAATCAATCGGCAAAGGCCCGGAGGTACCATGATGCCGGGCTGCCTATCTTCAATGATGTCCCGTGACTTCTACCGCTTCTGCCTGTTGTACCGAATCAATTGGCGCCGTGGCTTGTATGTAGGAGGGTCATCGCTTCCGACAGGATGGGGATGCAATGAGAACGCTGCTCTATCATGCGTGGAATGCTTGGATTGAGTCTTTTATGTCTCGAAGACGGCGATGAAGCGATGCGAATGGTCACTTCGGATCCCCCACCACCCACTTTTCTCTGGCTATGTAGATATGAGATGAGTGGGATCTTCCGGATAAGTGCGTACCATCCAGCAAACCGAGTTGTGGCCCGATGCAGCACCGGGAGGTCAGGTGTGAATATCTGGTCAGGGGATATGGATGCGTCCGGATCGTGTCTCCTTCTCTTTTATTCGGGATAAATTCTTTTCGGCAGTCATTTTTTTATTTTTTTGCTTGTCCCTCTCCCGGATTCTCGTACCAAGAGGCGGCTGGAGTGGATGTGATGAGTTAGAGGATTGGGGATTGGACTGAAGGAGGGAGCGCTGAGCGGGAGTGGCTTCTCCGGGTGTGGGGTTGGGTTGGGTTGGGTTGGTTTTAAGCAGCCACTGGATATCAGCCGAGTTGGTGGTTATCTCGGAGTTATTGCTGTTGGTACTTGGTGTTGTTGGCGAGACTGGGAGTCGGATTTCCCTTCTCTCGATAAGCACTTCTGGCACAAGGGATTTCCTCACGCACCTGATGATGGAGACACCGATGGCCATGTCTGTCAATCAAATCCCGATGCCTTGAACATCACGGCCGGCTCTCGTTTAATGTACTGCACATAACGCCCGCGTGCCTGGCTGTTCACCATCCTCCGCGGGTCTAGCTGCCTTGTCCAGAGTAAAGTGGAGAGGATAGAGTGCGAGAGTTGCTCTGCTCGCAGCCAACCACTGCCTTACCCCTCCTCCGCATCAAACCGATAGCTGCTACATACATCCATAACACCCACTGCGAACTGCTGGGTAGAGTATCTACCGTACTCTAGAGCGACGAGGACTCACAGTTGTTTTTCTTCCTGCCGCCTTCCTCCTTCTTCAGCCCCCTCCCCCGAAGAAATCATTCAAGCAATCCAAACCACCCCATTTCTCCCCTGCAGCTGTTCCAAACTTCGCATCGTTTCATAGTTGCCTTACACCCTCCCGACTGCAGCCTCCATCAGACTTTCGCTCTCTTCCAACCCCCACTCATCGAAAGGCCACGCACGCACTCACACAGCAAGCTCGGCCGACAATACATACTCAAAGGCAACACTCTCTACCCCTCCGTACACCCATACATACAACATACAGCACACCCGGACGTGCAACAGCAGTCTCTCTGTCGTTTCTCCTTCTTTGGCTTCGTCGGGTGGTGGGGTTTAGGTTACGTAGAATCAACCTCCACAGCCTCATCTGCAACGTCAAAACGGTTGGGCTGGGCAATAAACCACCACTCACCACCACCACTACCACCTCCACCACCTCCACCGCCACCGCACCTTCTACCTTCACTTTCCTCAGCAACGCTACGAGTATCATCACCGTCGAAAAGCGAAGCCCTCTTGTATTCCCGCACATTATAGCTCGACAGCTAGCTGCACGCCGCTATGCAGCAATCACCGACCATTAGTTGTCCGCTCAAGGTACGTACGTCATCGCGGGCCGAGCAGTCGGCCGCGACAGCGGTGTCTTGACTTTTCCCGACTACCCTCAAATTCCATCCGCACATGCATTCATCTCTCTCCCTTGCTACCTCCGTACTCCACTTTCCAGGCGGGGGCGACGGGAAGTGCCCTATGCGAGGCCGTGCGCGGTGTCGGAGTTTGAGCTTTCCGAATGCGGCTGACATGTGGTGGGGTAGACAACTACGGAGATCGACTGGGTGGCACCGCTCAAAACCTACATCGCGAAGACCTACGGCGATCCCGAGAAGTACAATGAGGAGTGCAACACGTTGAACCGGTTACGGCAGGATATGAGGGGCGCGGGAAAGGATTCATCGGCCGGGAGAGACCTGCTGTATCGCTACTATGGGCAGCTGGAGCTGCTGGATCTGAGGTTTCCGGTCGAGGAGAGGGGCGTTAGAGTCAGTTTTACATGGTGCGTGGATATCTTGGTTCCGGTTTGGCGGAGCGGAGGAATGGCCTGCTACTGTTCCGGTCTGCTGCGCGGATGTCAGTCGCAAGGGTGGAAGGTGTTAACGTTTTGGGCCGCCCGTTTAGGTACGATGCCTTCACACACAAACAGACCTCACAGTACTCCCTCGCCTTCGAAAAGGCGTCCATCATCTTCAACATCTCCGCCGTCCACTCATGTCATGCCGCAAACCAGAATCGTGCGGAGGAGCTCGGCGTGAGAACGGCGTACCACTCGTTCCAGGCCGCCGCGGGAATGTTCACGTATATAAACGAAAATTTCCTTCACGCACCGTCAACAGACCTTAGTAGAGAAACCGTAAAAACACTCATTAATATTAATCTGGCCCAGGCTCAGGAGGTGTTCTTGGAGAAGCAGATTGCGGATGGGAAGAAGAGCGCCATGCTGGCAAAGCTGGCTGCTCAGGCGGCGTTGCTTTATTCCCAGGCGGTCGAGGGCTTGCAGGAGACTTCGCTGAAGGGTGTGTTTGACAAGTCTTGGATGACGATGTGCTTGGTACGGTCGTTGCCGGTGTTTCGTGTGGGGGGTTTTGTTGCTAAGATTGTGACTACAGGCCAAGCAAGATTATATGGAATCCCTGGCGCACTTCCTGCAGGCGATAGCCGACTGTGATCATTCGAACTACGGATTAGCGATTTCTCGTCTCCAGCTCGCTGATGCACTCGGCAGAGAAGCGGTTCGCCAAGCGCAGATGTTCCCCGGAAACCCATCAGCCAACGCCAACCTCTCCCCCGAGACGGGCCCGGCATTGATCCAGATCACCAAGCGTCACCTCGGACTCGTCCACGAGAGGCTCGACGAATTGGTCAAAGACAATGACTTCATCTACCACCAGAACATCCCTTCGGAATCTGCCATCCCAAACATTCCCAAAATGCCGGCTGCCAAAGCGATCCCCGTGCAGGAGCTCTACCAGGGTCAGGATATCAGCCGGATCATTGGCCCGGATATCTTCCAGAAGATTGTGCCCATGAGCGTGACGGAGAGTGCTTCGCTGTACGATGAGGAAAAAGCGAAGCTCGTGCGCGCAGAGACGGAAAAGGTGGACCTGGCCAATGCGGAGATGGTTGCAGCGCTGGATTACCTCAAACTACCAGGCTCGTTGAAGCTCCTCAAGAACGGATTTGCGGATACCGTCGATGTGCCCGACGAGTTCAAGGACTGGTGTGCTGACATGGCAAGCAAGCCGGAGGGCCTGGAGCTGCGGTTCACGAATTTGAAAGCGAGTAAACGTAAGATCAAGGATATCCTAGAGGCATCATCAAAGAGCCTTGATCATGAAGAGAGCGTGTGCGAGAGGATGCGTGCAAAGTTCCAGGACGAGTGGACACAGCAACCATCCAGTCGACTCACTCAAACGCTCAGAGGTGACATCAGGAGCTACGGAGAAGCCATTGATGCGGCTGTGCAGAGCGATAACCAACTGTGGACACAATACAAGCTGGTCCAGAATGATATCATCGAAATGATCATTGCCGGCCAGAGCCCGGACGGTATGGCGGTGGAACAGCTGTGGGATAGCCGAGTGGCAAGGGCGAACCTTGATGCGGGCGGTAGCACTAGTGGGAATAATGGTCCTAGCTCAGAGTCACTGCTCGACGTGGATGATGGCGAAGGTGGTCCAAGTGTGATGGAGCAGATTGTACGGGTGGAGGATCTACTCAAGAAACTGAACTTGATCAAGAGGGAGCGTGCGCAGGTGCTGAAGGATTTAAAGGATATTGTGGGTGCATCTGATTCTTTCTTTGGAATGCTAGGACTGATTCACGTAGGTCCACAACGACGACATCTCCAACGTCCTAATCCTGAACAAAAAAGCTGTTCAGAACCATGAAAATGCGCTGTTCGCCAATGAGCTCGAAAAGTTCCGACCGCACCAGAACCGGCTGCTCCAGGCGGCCCACAAGCAGTCAGCGCTGATGAAGGACTTGACCGGTGCGTACGGGGACCTTCTCCAAGACAAGCGGATCCGGTCGGAACAGTCGAGATACGAGGCGCTCTCCCGCTCACGCAACGCGATACTATCGAAGTTCAAAAAGTCGTACCAAGCGTACCTCGATATCTGCAAAGGCCTTGATAAGGCACGGCAATTTTACTCCGAGATGACGGAGACCACCCAGAGTTTGGAAAAGAACGTGGAAACGTTCGTCAGCAATCGGCGCAGCGAGGGAGCCATGCTGTTGTCTCAAATCGAGAACCAAAAGGGCACGGACGCTGAATTACAGCAGAGGAGAATCAAGGATATGATGGAGAGAATGACGTTTGGGGGTGGAGGAAACTCTCCTGATCCGAATAGGCCGCCTGCCAATCACCATTCTGCCTTGCCCACACCGCACACCATGAGTCCTCCTACAACACCGCGATATCCTCCTCAACACCAGCAGTACCCAGTCCTCCACAACGCGCCGACGCCACCACCCCCGCCCCCGAGCAACCCTCCTGCATCCGCCGGCTTCGCCCCTGCTGGATTCGGCCAGTACCAGGTGCACCCCTCGCACAACACTGGCCGGCGAGAGTCTCATGGCCAACTTCCGGGTCTTGGCCAGCGCTCCGGATCCTATGCGACCCACCAATCAGCACTCCCATCCCCGGGCTTCGCGCCCCCCAACTCACAATACTACCAGGGCCACTACCAGCAACCCAATGCCTACTCCGCTCCGCCAACTGCATACCAAGCCCAACCTTACAACCCGAGCACATATGTCCCGCCGCCGCCGCCGCCGGGCCCACCGCCAGCTCGACAGACCTACGGTGCGCCGCTGCCGCAGACTACGTATCAGCCCACGCAGATGCCGCCGCCGCCGCCTGGTCAGCCAGGCACCGGTGATCCGTTCGCGGGTCTGTCGGGGTGGAAGTGATATTTTTTTCTTTCTTTCGGTTTTTGGTTTCTTGTCTTGTCTTGGGGGGGGGAAGGGGGGGGGGGGTAGAACGGATTGTACGTAGCAAGCTCGGAAAGTAAACATGGTTGGAAATGAGGGAAAGGGACCAAAGGGACGAAAGGGACGAAAGGATAGGATGGTTGAATGGAATGAATGGGACGGGATTGATTCCAACTGTGTGTTCCGTATTCTGCGGTTTGTGACGAGTGAGTGATGCTCGGCCGGAAGTGATATCGTGTTTTTTTGTCTCTCGGGTTAATGATTCGGTATGTATGATGTACGGTAGTTTCAGATGGGGCTGCGCACGCCAGGGATTAGGTAGCCCGACAGGCACCTGGATGCGCAGTGCACTTTGTATTATGTACACACTGAAGGCTACGAAGAGTTGTGTATTTTCGCCGACCATAAGCACAGATTCCAAGCCCTGGTTGTCTCTCCAGGGGTTATTGGTTGCCGGTAGAAGTCTGAGCTGTCATTCACATGATATCTACTCCCCGTAAATTTTCCAAGCCTACCTCCCAGATGTCATTAGTTGTCGCTACTCGTGCCAAGGTGATTAACACCCCCCCGGGTCGCTCGCAAGCTCGCAACCCAGGGCACTCCTACGGAGTGCCTGACATGTCAAGCAGGTATGACACGTGTACCATTTCTTCCCTCGTCCGCCGCAATCAACCCCCCTTTCACCACCACAACCACAACTAAATAATGCCACCAAAGCGGGAACTTGAAGTAGAGATCTATGAGTCTATTGAAACTCGGATTTAAGAGGCTATCGACGTTGTGGAGGCAAAAATAATCAATTATTTACACGAGCCTGCTCGAGAGCACCCCGCTCTCCCTTTTCACCACCACAACCACAATTAAATAATGCTACCAAAGCGGAAACTTGAAGTAGAGCTTCATGAGTCTATTAAGACTCGGATTCAAAAGGCTATCGACGTTGTGGAGGCAAAAACAATCAATTATTTACACGAGCCCTCCCGCGAGCAGCGCGCACACCAGCACCAGCAGGCTTCTTCGTTTGCGCTTAGTCATTCGCACGCGCGAGGATCGAATTCGCACAGCTCGTAACCATCTTCTTGCGAGCACACTTCCTAATCGTATCCAAGAGATCTAGATAGAGGCAAATTGTAAGTTCCTGATCTCCTGAAAGCTTTTTATTACTTCCTGTTCGGTCACTCTTCGATTGTTGACCGTTCCATCTCGCTCGTAGTCTTTGTGGTGGAAGTTCGAACTCCCGAGCAGCAGCAGCAGCAGGAGGTTTTGTTTTTCTTCCCCTTTCTCCTCCACAACGTCGATAGCTTCTTGAATCTGAGTCCTAATAGACTCACAGAGCTCTAATTCAAATTCCTGCTTTGATAGAATTAAACAATTGTGGTTGTGGTAGTGAAAAGGGGGAGCGGGGTGCTCTTGAGCGGGGTGCTCTCGAGCAGGCTTGTGTAAATAATTGATTGTTTTTGCCTCCACAACGTCCATAGCCTTTTGAATCCGAGTCTCAATAAACTCATAGATCTCTACTTCCAGCTCCCGCTTTGGTGGCATTGTTTAGTTGTGGTTGTGGTGGTGAAAGGGGTAGTGTTAACCACCTTGGCACAAGTAGAAGTCTGAGCTATCATTCACATCATACTCCCAGTCAGTTTTCCAAGCCTACCTCCCAGAGGTCATTGATTGTCGCCAGAAGTGCGAGCTATCATTCCCATGATACTCCCATTCAGTTTTCCAAGCCACCAAGTCGAGGACTACGCTTGACCTAGGTATGGCCATTCATGTTCATCGCCGCGATGTTAACACAAGCCATCCACCTCTATCGAGGGCGGCGAAAGTTCCCCGTTTGCAAGTTGTAAGATGTAGGCCGAGTGAGCCCGGCGGTCTACCTTACACTTTACGGTACATACGAGAGATATGGCATCGACACGAACAATGCAGCTGCTGTACTACTACCGGTACTGGTACCGGTATCGATACCGATGCTGTGCACTGCAACTTGGAACGAACATCCGGTCCCATAGATGGTAAAGATGGTGATAATGAAAGCACTGTATGCATACATGCATATAGCAGAGTACTCGTACATACTTGAGCAACACAACCAAGCCTCCGCCAACCGGAGCGACGACATCCTTGCGGACGATCACGAGGCTATGCCTTCCTTCATTCGCCCTCTATTCTTCCAGAACGCCTCGCCCTAAACCTTGGCGTACACACACGAGATCGACGCTGTGGTTGTGGGCCAAAATTTCTGGGTCGGCCTTACGCTAACTGCAGGTAACTATCCGCCGTATACATTGCAAGGGGTGGGGGGACGGGGGGATGTGCATGCCGGTGTTGCTTGTTTTTCTTTTTTTGCCTGTGCCCGGGCGGATTCGCTGGATTCGGTCAATATCTTCGTCGTCGAAGACGGGATAGAGATAGAGATATTGATGGGGTGCTGGAGGGATGGATGGACGAGGCTCCGTGATGGGTCGGGGTTACGTAAATCCGCAGCAGAAGCAACGGCAACGGCTCCATGCTAGATAGTCAAGTGCACCTCCGGAATTCTCAGCACGTTGAGCCTCGAGGCAGACCGCATACCATACATACCTCCTACCTGGTATTCAGGTAGTCGACTGCGCTCGTGCGAGACCAGGGTTGCACTACCTACGCATTATTCCTTTCTGGCTGTACCACCATGAGTCCTACGCACGTACGCACGGTATACGAGACCAGTACCTAACTATGTTTCGTTTCGTGGAGATCTCGGGGCTCGGAAGTAGCAGTGGGAGTTTGAGGCCGTGTTGGAAGGCGTACTCCAGCCTCAGGGCGGAAGTATCTACATGGTGGGGAGGTGGGCGGGTGATAAATATCCATCCTCCCCCTCCTCCTCAGCACCCAGTACTTCCCCTCGGCATCAGTCACAACAGCAGCAATATCAATCATCACTAGCTCTTACCCTTCCCCATACATACACACAACCCCCCAATCCACACCAACAAGCAAGCAAGCAAAGCATGTGTTTCGGCTCCCGCTCCCGCCCGCCCGCCTCACCCAGCAGCGAGCCCTTACCGCGGCAGCAGCCGACCAAGCCGCCGAAGCCTCCCAAGGTGAAAACCGCAAAGGCGTACCCATCCTCGTAAGCACTACACTTCCCTTCCCCTTCTTCTTCTTCCATTACTGACATGCGTGAAGACGTACTAGTGGCACCAGGGCTTGGGGCGGCGGCGGTGGTGGAGGAGGTGGTGGAGGGTGCGGTGGTGGTGGCGGCGGTGGCGGTGGGTGTTGAGATTCAAGGAGTACAAATTGGTGGTGGTGGAGGGAGGAGAAATGGGAGCTGGTGAAGGCGGTCTGGAGGGAACGCGCGGTAATCGGGTGTTTGTGTGAAGCGTATGTGGTGCATTTGTTGCTGCGGAGCGGGGGTGTGGGGAGTGGGGGGTTGTGATCGTTATATATTCTGAAGTTACAACGGCTGTTGGCTTGCAACGACTGGTTCGTGATGTGATATCGCTGTAGACAGTATGGACACTCAAGCTGATATGTAGCCATGATCCAAACCTACGAAAATCTGGATATCGGGGGGGGGGGGGGGGGGGGGGGGGGCGGGGGGAAGTGGCATCCTTCATTCCCTCTTGGAATCCCGATTCACCACTCATCTCCAATCCTGACCCTTATCTTCGCCTTAGCAATCATCATTGCCACTAGTTATCGCTATTGTCGTTCGCCAACACTCGTCCCCACTCTCCTAAGAACGTAGTACTCGTCCCCAACCTGTCATCCAGCCAACGAACAATTCACTTCTTCTTGTCCCTCTTCTTATCCCCCATTCCATCTTTCTCTTCTTGCCGACTGGAGCGGTAGCAACGGGTGGCGGACGAGGCTTGCGATTGAAACATGCTTTTGTTTTTTCCTTGAGATTGAATAGCACTGTCATAATCTCACGAACTTCCGTGTACCGCGTCACCTCCGCGGACCAGGTCATGAACGATCACTCGCTATGTCGAGACACTTCCGTTATCCGTTCTCACACGGAGGTGCCGAGCGGCGGCGTGGGGCCTCTATCCGAGGCATCCCCGAGCCTTCCTGTATATATACCTTTCCTTCTGCCGTGTCTGATACTCAATACACTATCTCGCGATACCACTTTTCTTGACAAGCACTTCCAGCTCGAACCGAGTGATGTCCGTGATTCGGAGCGCCAAGCCGGGTCGGGACCTGGTAGAGGTTGGCTCGTGCTTGGAACCGCAACTTCGGGTGTCCCGCAAACGAAACAACTACTTGCGCGAGCTATTCATCAACATTGACGCGTCATACGCCGCCAACAGAGGGCATTCTCTTGTCTATGATACCCTCGGTGCGGAACTGGCGAGGGTGAACGTGAACATGCATCAGATCCCAGCAGCGGTACCCACGACATCCAAGATGCCGAGGTCCTGGTACGGCTGCTGAGACATCCGCCTGCTATGTATAAGGCGACACCCGACTCGCTATATGGGCTCGCTTCATTCCCCCGCAAAAACGCATATCGATCTGGAAACTATGGCCGAAGCAGCTGGATTCACATACCCTCCCACGCCTGTCGCCTGGCTCACGCGCGACCTGTTGGTGTTCGCCAACAGCATCGGCATCGAGAAGGACGAGCTCCAGTTCCTCTATGTACCGTGCCTCTCTCGCTCCTTCGCGCCCATCTTCGCACACGCTGAGGCTAATACTCTGTGCAGGAGCTGCATCCTGACTTCGCCGCCTTCCCCACGTATCCGATCATCCTCCCGTTCAAGCGCACGGACCAGGAGGTCATCGACTTCTACAAGTGGAGCGCGGGCGGGCCGGCAATCCCCGGAGTGCCGAAGCTGGATCCCCGCAGGATCGTCGACGGCCAGCGACATATCACCATCCTAAAGAATATCCCGCCGACATCTGCCGGAAAGGAGTTCGAGCTCCGTGCGAAGGTCGTCGGTGTGTACGACAAAGGCAAGGCCGGAACCGTGACCGAGGTCGAGAGCGAGCTGGTCGAGAAGAGCTCCGGAGAGGTGTACACACGCATCGTGAGCTCGTCTTTCGCTGTTGGCCAGGGCGGCTGGGGCGGTCCTAAAGGTTCGTTGAGCTTGCACTTGCACGTTATCCCGGCGTTGGACCGAGCTGACTGCGAGCAGGACCAAAGACGGTGAATTATCCTCCCCCCGAGGGAAAGAGACCGGACGCAAGCTTTTCGCAAGCCACCAGCCCCTCACAAGCCCTGCTATACCGTATCAATGGTGACTACAATCCGCTTCATGCCGATCCTACCATCGGCACAAAGATGGGATTCCCGGGCGCCATCTTGCACGGCCTGTGCACATGGAACATCGCCGCGCATGCGGTGCTAAAAACCTTCGGTGCCTCTGAAGCAGGCCGCCTGAAGTCGTTCCAGGCACGCTTTGCGTCGCCGGTAATGCCCGGCGACAAGCTGATCGTCGATATGTGGATCACCGGCAACAAGGAGGCGGATGGAAGTGAAGAGGTGATCTTTGTGACACGAGTGGACGGTGGGAAGGTGGTATTGTCGAACGGACGAGCGCTGCTGTCCAAGGTTGAAAAGTCTGTTGGAAGCAAGTTGTGAGTTTTTTGCACGAAGCGACCGCGTGAATACATTACCTGTATGTACTCTACTTGATATGCCGAAGATTGCCGGAGGAGGGGAGGGAAGAACCTCAACGGAATCATCAGGAATTCGAGTGCTTTTTTTCCTTTGAGTCTTTTTTTCATGAAAAGTACTCTTGCTGTTCCTCCGGCACGCAACAACCGTGTGCACCGTGATTCGCTTGGTTCGTCTGATTGGCGATAAGCTATTTGTTTACTCTGCTTCTACATATCACGGAACGGGGCGAGCAGGCCCGGTTGTGCTTGCTTATATGCTTAATCTCCATTCGTCTAGACTGCGGACATGGCCTAGAAGTGGTGCGGTCCCGTAGAGTGCTCTAGCATAGAGTAGCATCTAAAGCATCGCGAGCTTCCGGCGCCTTCGCACAGCTTCTAAGGACCTCCGAATCCATTCGACGTGTCCATTCCCTCATGTACGGCAATCAACCGTCAAGGCGATAAAGCGATGGCACCACTGGGAAAAGAAAACGCCGCAGATGATTTTCTCGTTTCTTCTTTTCTTTTCGATGGTTCTTGATGGGATGGACAAACAAACCATGACAGCTGCAGGCATTTTTGTTCCTGCCCCTCGTTTGGCCCCCCGCCAAGATGAGAGCCATCCCCCTCCCCACCCGCGTCATTATTATCGAAACAACTCACAGCTTCAATTTGCACTCGCGCACCAAGCGGGCAAAGCTGGCAGACTATCATCATGCTACGTACCGGCAATATCGTAATGAGCTACCCCTCACTAGCAGCACCCACTGCCACCTCCCCACGGGCCTCCTCTTGGTCCCCCTTCCCCTCTCCTGCTTGTAAAAGATAGCTAGGGAAAGAAGTACTATATAGATATACCTTCTTCTTCTCCATCATCCGTTCCCATCAAACCATCCCCTATCATCTCTGCTCTCATCGAACCGAGTTCTCTGATACCCCACAGCGTCGTTGAATTTGACTTGATTCCGTCATGAGTGTCTCCACCGTTTCCACCAAGCCCTACGGTATGTTGAGCTCTTGGAAGCGCACCACGTTTCTCGCGAGGTTGTGCTTGCGTGTCGTGAAAGCTTGAAGCTAATTGATCCCTTGCAGATGGCCAGAAGCCTGGAACGTGAGTTTCCGAAGCCTCAATCGGCACCACCGCCGCCCATTGAATCGATGGAATCGTGATATTTGATACTGACGATGGTTGTCATCTAGCTCTGGTCTCCGCAAGAAGGTCGTCGTCTTTCAGCAGAAGAACTACACCGAGAACTTTGTTGCAGCGCTGCTCCAGTCCATCCCCGAGGGACCCCAGGACTCCTTCCTCGTCATTGGTGGTGACGGCCGTTACTACAACCCCGAGGTCGTCCAGATCATCGCCAAAGTCGGAAGCGCATACGGCGTCAAGAAGATTCTCGTCGGCCAGAACGGAATTCTCAGCACACCTGCTGCCAGTCACATCATCCGCAAGAGGGGAGCTACCGGAGGAATCCTGCTGACCGCCTCCCACAACCCCGGTGGTAAGCTGCACACCGTGTAGATGATTCTTGCAAGAGTAGAAGCTTATGTGGAATAAAATAGGTCCCAAGGAGGACTTCGGAATCAAGTACAATCTTGCCAATGGCGCGCCCGCACCCGAGAAGGTCACCAACAAGATGCACGAGTTGGCATCTGCCATCACAGAATACAAGATTGCCGATATCCCCGACGTATGCGATCTTTCTCGGAACTTACTCTAGTAGATGCCGAAACTAACACACACACTCTCTCTTAGATTGACATCACTACAATTGGCACCAAGACATACGGCTCCCTGGAGGTCGAGATCATCGACAGCGTGTCCGACTACGTCGACTACATGAAGGAGATCTTCGACTTCGACCTGATCAAGAGCTTCTTCAAGGCCAACCCCAACTTCAAGGTTCTTTTCGACGGTCTGAGCGGTGTCACTGGACCCTACGGTATCCGCATTTTCCAGAAGGAGCTCGAGCTTCCCGAGTCCTCCACCCAGAACTGTGTCTCCCTCCCCGACTTTGGCGGTGGACACCCTGACCCCAACCTCATCTACGCACACTCCCTTGTCGCGGCTGTCGACAAGGACGGTATCCAGTTCGGGGCTGCCAGTGATGGAGACGGTGACCGAAACATGATCTACGGTGCTAACGCCTTCGTCTCGCCCGGAGATTCGCTTGCCATCATTGCCCACCATGCCGACAAGATCCCCTACTTCAAGAAGAACGGTGTCTACGGGCTCGCCAGGAGTATGCCTACCTCGGGAGCCGTTGACCTGGTTGCCAAGAAGAAGGGCCTCGACTGCTACGAGGTTCCTACCGGATGGAAGTTCTTCTGCAACTTGTTCGACAGCAACAAGCTGAGCATCTGTGGTGAGGAGAGTTTCGGTACTGGTAGCAACCACATCAGAGAGAAGGACGGATGCTGGGCCGTCGTTGCCTGGTTGAACATCATGGCCGCCATGGGCAAGGAGAAGCCCGACGAAGAGCCGAGCATTGCGAACATCCAGTTGGATTTCTGGAAGGAGTATGGACGTACGTATTCATCCGCTCTCCGACCAGCTAAACGTCTCCAGTTACTAACATCTTTCTCCACAGGCACTTTCTTCACCCGTTTCGACTTTGAGAATGTCAGCTCGGAAGGTGCCCAGAAGCTCACCGCCGAGCTCGCCGCCAACATCGGCAAGAGCGGGTTCATCGGCAGCGAGATCGCTGGCCGCAAGGTGACCGATGCCGGTGACTTCGAATACACCGACCCCATCGACGGCAGCGTAGCCAAGAACCAGGGTCTGTACGTCAAGTTCGACGACGGCAGCCGCTTCGTTGTGCGTCTGTCCGGCACCGGCAGTTCAGGTGCCACCATCCGCTTGTACATCGAGAAGCACACTTCAGTAAGCCACCCACCCCTCTATATCCTCCACCCTTCTGTCACTTGATACCTAACGTTCCATAGGATGAGAGTGTATACACGCAGGATGCCCAGGTCTACCTGAAGGACAACATCAAGCTCGCCCTGGACTTCCTGAAGTTCCAGGAACACATCGGCCGTGAGGAGCCTGATGTCAGGACGTAAATAGCTAGTGGTCTTTTTTCTTGGTTTTTTTTTCTGCTTGAGGGGGAGTTTGTTTCATTATCATTTTTCATTTTGTGTATCAGAACCTGATGGCGGGGGCACTGTTTTTTTTTTACTACCTATCTGCGTGGCACAAAAGCCATTGGTTGAAGAAGGTGGGAATGCCGTAGTAGCGGAGGAGGATCTTGCTATCAGAAACCAAAATCAAGATTTCCAACCGACCGTTTCACTTACACGAAGAGTAGATTCGTTCGTCGTAAAGTAGGTCATAGTTCGAAGTCTATTCTAAGGTCTTTTCCAAAGGTCTACCCCACATCGGCATCGGTATCGACAACCCATGAGCCGTGTCGACGGCCGGGGCCGCCGACTTCCACCACCACTACCACCTCCGAGCGTGCGGCAGCAGCAGCAGATCTCAGACTTGCTCGTGATAAACTATCAGAGCTACCGCGCAAACTGGCCGGCCAGCTGCAGCCCCAGCCCCACGACCGCTATGTGACAGCTCCGGAGGGGGAGGCCCTTCCAACAACCAGCCCGGAGGTTGGTGAGAACCAGACTCCTCCAGAAGAAGACTCTGGTGGTGGTGGTGGTGGTGGTGGTGGAGCCGCCCACCACCAGTCGGCCCCACTCCCTCCCGCCGCCGCCGCGCCCAGTGGGGGTAATACTGCGCCTCGACCCGCAGCCACCGCGAGATCCGAAGACGGGCGCCGATATTCACTGGACGAGGTTCTGGAGCGGCTAGAACGAATGGGCTTCCTGGCAGAATATCGGCCCAGACAGGCGGTCCTTCGCGCTTTCGACGAGAGCGTGCTGTGCGGCGGTGACTCGCGAGGAACGTTTGGAGCTGGCTATGGATCCCAATATATGTCTGCGGGAAAGTTAGGGAATGTTGGGGAACGCAGCGCTTAGGAAGAGGAAGGGGTTTCGCTCGTAGTGAAAAGGGAGGCCCTCCGGCCCCGGATATGTGTACTGGTAGAAGCGTTTGGCGATGGAAACGATGGATGGGACTGCACGACCGGCTGTGTTATTTTCCTTCCCGCTGCTTTGGGGGAATACCTGGTTTATGATATTGTACCATATCGTGATGTCACCGTGTCTTGCCTTCTTGTTTTCTTTTGTTTACGTACTACCTACAAGGTTGCGGCAGCGGTGTCTCACTAGAGTTAGATACTCTCCATAGCTTCGCTGGAACGTATGGCCGTCCGTAAGCGGCTTCTGGTCTGTCCTTGGCTTGGCTTCTCTCAACCGACTTTCATTTCCCAAGTACGATAAGTCAGATAAGTTGCTTGCTTGCTTGCGCCATCCCACCTACCATCCCGGATACAGCCATAGACAGACAGACCACCTTACAAGTTCCGTTCAGTTCACCATTACATACCATCTCTTTCAAGCTATCGCAACGAAAACACAAACAAACTCTACTCCTCGATCCCATACATACACGATTGTGCACGCCCCACCCCGCCCCGTACAAACACAGAAACATTTCACACGCACACCCACGCACACACCTCACACACCACACGCACGAAACGACAATGAGCAGCAGCAAGGACAACAGCAAGGAGGAGGGCGCCGGTGTTCCCCCCGCGGCCAAGAGTTCGTGGGGACCGTTCTTGAAGGTATTACCATTGCCGAGTTTCAGCGCCGAGGGAAAGGAAGGAGGGGTGGTGGTGGTGGGAACAGCATTTGGGGATGGCGGGCGGGGAGAGAGACATTGGAAGAGCTCTGCTAAAGTCACGGTATTGCGAATAGTCGATTGCGAGCTTCACGGGCGATTTGGCGAGTTTGACGGCTCCGGTATGAACTCTCCCCCTGGACATGGCGAGGTGTGGATGGCATGGCGGGGGGGCTGACGATGCGGGTGGGGGTGGTGCGTGTGCAGCCGTTTATTCTGAGCTCTACTAGCTTGACGGAGTATTCTAGCTACTGGGTACGTTTTTCTTCTACTCCTTGAGGACGATATGGGGGGTGGGTGCTCGTAGGGAATGGTGGGTGTGTGTGGCGGGGGAAGGCGGCTGACGATGGTGCGGGGTCGGAATAGGCGGAACACCCGGAGCTCTTCGTTGCGCCGGCGCAGGAGAAGGATGCGCAGAAGCGTGCTCTATTGGTGTTGAAGTGGTTCTTGTCCACGCTGAAGCAGCAATACAGCTCCAGGAATGAAAAGCTGTAAGAGGTTCTCGATGGATACGCGGGGGAGGGTGGTGTTGACCTTTGTGCGCTAGGGGCTCCGAGAAGAAGCCGTTGAACCCATTTCTAGGAGAGCTGTTTTTGGGAACTTGGAAGGATGAGACCGACACCATTGGGGAAACGAAATTGATTTCGGAGCAAGTCAGGTATGTATGGATGATGGTCTGAGGGATTTTGGGGGAGGGGGTTGCTGATGTTTGTGCGTGTAGCCACCACCCTCCCGTCACCGCGTATGCTATCATCAACGAGAAGCACGGAGTCAAGCTTGAGGGTTACAATGGACAGAAGGCGTCGTTCTCTCGGGGCGCGATAAACGTGAAGCAGGTCGGACATGCTGTCTACCATCTCAAGGGGTTTGACGAGCACTGTGGGTTACCAGGAGGCGCGTCGATGCCTCGCTTGTGCTGACCAAGTATCAGATCTCATCACTCTTCCTTCGCTCCATATCGAAGGTATCGTCTACGGCTCGCCTTACGTCGAGCTCAACAAGAGTTCAACCATCACGTCGTCCACAGGATACGTCTCTACCATTGACTACAGCGGCAAGGGATGGATCTCGGGAAAGAAGAACAGCTTCACCGCGACCATGACGAAAGAAGGCAGCAAGGAGGTGCTATACACTGTCGATGGGCAGTGGACGGATAAATTCTCCGTCAAGGAGGGCAAGACCAAGAACGAGGTAGATATTCTGTTTGAGAACCGATAACAAGCGCGGTTGAACAGCAAGCTGACCTGCGGCGTAGCTCGATTCGTACAACGCCAAAATCACAAAGACTACCCCTCTATACGTCGCACCCCTCGACCAACAAGATCCGCTCGAGTCCCGCCGGGCATGGGCGAAGGTGCAGGAGGCGATCGGCAAGGGCGACCTTGAGACTACCGGCGCGGAGAAGAGCAAGATTGAGAACGAGCAGAGAGAGTTGCGCAAGAAGGAGAAGGAGGAGAACCGGGAGTGGGAGCGACGATTCTTCACAAGGGTTGACGAGAACCCCATCTTCACCAAGCTCGCCGAGAAGCGCGAAATCACCGCCGAGGCTGACAAGACCAACGGTATCTGGGTGTTTGACGAGGCTAAGTACGCGAAGGCGCATGCTCCCGTGGAGACGGTGGTTCCGGCGGTGGTTCCTGCGGCCGAGTTGTAGGATGGTGTTTGTGGGAGGCGCCTACTGTCTATAGAGCCGAGTAGATGATGAAATATGGGTATTTGTAGTGGCCTGACGTTTGCCGCAATCGATCCGTGGGTGTGCGTAGAATTAATGTCGTACTGCCTTTGCGTGCTTCTTCGTTCTATTTTTTTTTCCGAAGGATTTTCCAATTTCATGACCGGTCCACTTATTTCGGTTTTCGTGGGGAATTTTTCTTTTTCGAAATGGTTATCCGGAAACGGAGAAATCTGCTCATCGGCAGGATGCGAGAACCCCACGGAGCGGCGAGGGCAGCGGACAATCTCGTAATGAAACAAAAGGCTCAGTTCGCCGAAGTTCGCCTCGGTTGGTCTTGGCTATCGCACATCATTCGAATCGGCGTGGTTTCTTAGAGCGGGGTGTGGTTGCTAGGTGGGGTGGTGAGGGAAGCGGAGTTTCATTTAACACAACGACCCTTCCTTCCCTTTCTCTTCTTCACTTTCGCCGAACGCAAAACAATAATAAATCACAAGCAACCGAATTCTTTACCGACCACTACCCGCACCCATCCATACCCGTATATACTCTACAGCAGCAATGGTAAGCTCATCTGCGTCTGTTTCCTTCCTTCGTTCCATTTCATTGCGTGAAAAGAAACGGGACAATGGCAGAAACAGCGAGACGACGAGTACAGCAGCAGCTAACCATTCTCGCGGGCGGGATCAAGGTCGCCCCTCGCAAGTTCTTCGTCGGTGGTAACTTCAAGAGCAACGGTACTCTCGAAAGCATCAAGGCTATCGTCGAGAACCTCAACAAGGCTGAATTGAAGGGTGACGTCGGTCAGTCCCCATTCCCTTCGGTGCGGCAAGGTACATAACGTAGCAACTTCTAACGACAACAACAAAAAAAAACAGAGATCGTTGTCGCTCCTCCTGCGCTGTACCTCCTCCTCGCCAGCTCCCTCATCCGCCCCGAGATCAAGGTCGCCGCCCAGAACCTCTACGACAAGGGCAACGGCGCGTACACCGGCGAGATCAGTGCGCAGCAGCTGCACGACGCCTCGATCGAGTGGGTGATCCTCGGGCACTCGGAGCGCCGCTCCATCTTCGGCGAGAGCGACGAGTTCGTCGCCTCCAAGACCAAGGCTGCGCTCGACGCCGGCCTGTCGGTCGTTCTCTGCTGCGGAGAGAGCCTCGAGGAGCGCGAGAAGGGCATCACCACCGAGGTTGTCACCAGACAGTTGGGCGCCGTTGCTAAGGTCGTCAAGGACTGGAGCAAGATCGTCGTGGCCTACGAGCCCGTCTGGGCTATTGGTACCGGAAAGGTCGCTACTACTGCCCAGGCCCAGGAGACCCACAAGGACATCCGTGAGTGGATGGCCAAGACCGTGTCCCAGGAGGCCGCCGAGAAGACCAGGATCCTGTACGGTGGTTCCGTGACCGAGAAGAACTCGGCCGAGCTGAGCAAGCAGCCCGATGTTGATGGGTTCTTGGTCGGTGGTGCTTCCTTGAAGCCTGCTTGTAAGTTGGCCCGTTTGTGTGAAATGACGAGGGATGAATGCTAATGGATGCCTGCAGTCGTTGACATCATTAACTCTTCCGCGTAAATAAACATGGTAGTCTGTCGGGAGGGGCTATTGCGAAGAATGAAGGAAATAAACGGATGCCGTGAATGCGGCTTCTTCGGTATCATTTCGTCATCAGTGTGAATGGCGCAATGAGCCCTTGCGGATCCGTGATCTTCCGAATCGTCTACGGTGATGGCGTAGCCCATTTCACGAGTGATAACACATGATTGCTCTAGCATCCCAAACAATTGCTCCGCCGACAAAAGAAATGGTACCGTAAAAAGAAAGAATGTTACCCCAAAAGCCTAGCTAATCAAGCACAAACACACGAGCGCGAAGTAAAATATCGCAAGCGGGAAGACAGCCAACGCAACGCGGTTCCGGACCACACCGCTGCCGCCCAGTATACTCACTCCCGCGGCCAAACTCCACAGGAAGCAGACAGTATACACCGGGACCCGGATGACGGCGTACACACGGAATGCGCTCAGCAGTGCACATATCACTATCGGGAAGAGCGTGTAACCGATAACACTGACGGCCTGAAAGAACGAGCTGTTCCGGGTCAGCCGTGTTAGCCCTGCACCTCTCTCATCCGGGGGAACGGCGGAACGTACATATTCCCACCCAACAGCCTGATCTGCGCCGTAACCACCGCCTCGCCAACCCACACCATGGTGAACACCCCCGCAAACACATCTGTCTTCTGCTTCTCATTGGCGCACATGCTCAGCAGCGTCGACAAGGCGAGACAGAACAGCAGCGGGCCCCAGAGATCCCATTCGCGCAGCTCCAAGCCGCCGCGCTCGCCATGCGACAGCACGTCGTTCGCGTCCGGCCACTTGCGGAATGTAAACTTCGGGTAGAGCACGGCCTTCATCTTCGTCCAGACGGCGAGGATGTCGCGCGAGAGGGTGTCCCACACGGATTCATCGAGGGTGTTGGTCGGTGCGCGGCGGTCTTCGCCGGGGATCGCCGAGGTCAGCGATGACGGGTTGAGCGGTGCGCTTGCCGAGGTGTTGGCGGCGTCGTCGAGCGGGTCGTCGGCGGAGTTGATGGAGACTGTACGCCGGTGGTGGGGTTAGCTGCGGACTGTGCTGTAACTATGCCTGCGCCGGGGTGGGGTACACGCACGCGTGTCAGGGTCGATGATGTCCTGTTCGATCCGCGAGCTGTCATAGGTGTTTTCGTAAGGGTTTGCGGACGCCATAGCGGTGGTGGTACTGGTGGTGGTCGAGCGTTCGGTTGGCGGAGACGAAGGTGGTGGATGCGGTGCGGTGACAGTTGACTCGTGGTGTTTCGTTTCGAGCTGCGGCTAAGGTTGAGGCTGACGTATCCCCCCCTTAGCTCTGGTTACACCCATTCAACTCAACTTGTCTCACGAGTCCCGAGTCAACGGCTCAACTTCACGACTCTAACATCACCGTTTCAGATCGGGTGAGATGCCATTTCAACTCTTCAGTATAACTACGCTTAGAATTGGAATGAATGAAAATTATACTTGGAGCCGTACACGAGATCGAAGGGCCACTGTAGAACTTCCGGCTGGCACGGCGAAGTTTGAACACCTACAAGGACCTATTCACAGGCATTGAAGTGTACTTTTCCGACATCTTTCAAGTTTCTACAAAATACCTCTTTCTGCTGCTCTCAATGACTCGGATGTCTGGACGGATATCTCGGGTGTTGCAATTGAGCTCGATCATGAGCTCCGGTTCCGTTCTACCGGACACACCCACTCGGCAACCTTGTACTAACAAGCTTCGATCTACCGCACCTAGTGAAACTTCAACGCCTGCCGTCGCTTGTACAACCCCACTTCACCCCACCAGTGACCACCCGCAATATCCGTCTTCACCACCACCACCATAACACACATCACCAACCAACGCAATGCTCGCCCTCCGCCGCGCCCTCCCGCGTCTCGCCCTCAGTGTCCGGGCCAACAGCACCGCGGCGACCGCGCCGCCGCCGCTGCTGACGACGCTACGCACCGACCTCAAGACGGCGATGCGGGCCAAGAACCAGATCCAACTGTCGGTGCTGCGCAGCCTGTTGGCCGACATCACGAACGCGCAGAAGACAGCGACGCCGCCGAACGACGACCTGGCGATCCTGCAGATCATCAACAAGACGCGGCAGAAGAGTGCGGTGTCGATCGACGAGGCTCGCAGCGTTGGCCGCGAGGACCTGGTCGAGAAGGAGCAGGCGCAGCTCTCCGTGCTCGACGAGTACGCAAAGCTAGTGGATACCGTGGATAAGGAGGAGGTCGTGAGCGTCGTCGAGACTGTGCTCGCGAAGCTGAAGAGCGAGGGCGCCAAGACCGCGATGGGCGATGTCATCAAGGCCGTTGCTAAGGAGCTGGAGGGACGTCCGGTCGTCAGGTCGCTGGTGGCCGAGGCTGTAAAGGAGGCGCTGGCAAAGAAATAGATGCGCTCCCCCTCCCCCACGAAGAGAAGAAGATGGTTGTATGATATGATGGAAGGTGGTGGGAAAAGCACTGTACATTATGGGTTACCTGGTCACTGCTGAAGCAAATTGTACTTGTAGAATCCATTGGGAGCTTATGCTCCTCTCTATAAAACTTAAAACAAACAGACCGAGCCGCCCATACCAAACAAAGGAAACCCATTACAAACTAGTAGCCGTAATTAACCAATCCCTAATACTCATCTATATATCTAACCAACGCTCAATACCCCCACAGCACCGGATCCACTGCAATCCACGGCCACGGTAGAAACGATTGCTACTTCTTCACCATTAGTCAGTACCATGTATGCACTTCCCCCAAACTAATATATACTCACATATCCAACAGTAATCCCATCCTTCTGACACTTCCCCCTCCCCTCCTCCAGCACGCTCAACAGATACGTACTCCGGACCATGATCTCCTCATACCTCACATCATACTCGCACGGGCCCTGCCCGCCATCCTCCACGCACGCACCAGGCGCATCGACCCAGGGCCTGCGCTCGATCAGGGTCGGCTTAACGCGCAGGGCGATATTTGCATGCTGATCGAGCCACAGGACCTGGCTCTCCTGGGTATTGAGCTCGTGCCTTCTCAGGCGGAAGACGGTCTCGCCGCTGACCCGCGCCAGCGCCGAGAACAGCGAGCCGCTCGGCCCGAACTTGACAAGGATGTTGTTTGCACACAGCTGGATGAAGCCCTGTCCCTCGTCGAGCGTGCAGTGCGTGCTCATCGAGAAGTCGGTTGTCACCGAGGGGTCGTCGCTGCGTACCCGTGGCGAAAAACGGCTGTAGATGTCGCTGGGCTTGCGCGTGTCCCGTGTGGGTGGCGCGCTGTACCCTACGCGGTGGCATTGTTGGTACGAAGTCAGGCTCTGGGTTATGGTTAGCTGTGTGAGAGGCGAGCTATTGGGGATGGGGGAGCGTACTCGTCGTGCGGGGGTCGAACAGCCAAAAACGAAGGTGTAGCCTCCCAGCTCCTGCGACTTCCGGAGTCGCTGGATAAGGACGGATCGGATCGTTTCATTGATCCTGTGGGAGATGGTGTTGATTTTCAGCAGCTCTTTGGTGGGAATGTTCTGGAGGATGTCGTAGAGGAGCTCCTCAGGGAGGGTAGATAGTTGTGATGATGAGAAAGTCATTGTTTCTGCGTGTGTGTTTGGTGCGGACGATTTTCTTCTATGATACTTGATTTGCTTTGAGCTGGACAATACCGGAATGAGGAACTCGAATGGAGCGGAGAACATTGTAGGTTTTATAGAATTTTCAGCAGGAGGGTTGGCCCGGCACGGCGAAGTGTAACCATCGACAATCGAAGGGATATATCGGGTGGTCACATAACAGCAGGTATGTAGGAATTTGCACATTCAGCTCCCGGTTACCTCATATCTATGAGACCTTGAGCTCGACGTGGTGTGGTCGGTGGTTCGACCGCCTAGAAATGGGCATCCCTATGCGATCCGAGTCCGAATACTGGGATGCCGGGTTGATCGGTTGTCGGACGAGGGAAAAAAATAAAAATAAAAAAGGACGGGTGGCAGGCAGGAGATCATCATGCACGTATAGATTGCTAGTAACTGTTCGCTTGATGGGATTGGATTACAGTGTGATTCCCGAGGAGGTGGTGTACGGGGTGCGCCAATGATCAAATGGTGAAGGCATTGAACAACGGCGGTGTGGACTGGATTGGACGGGCTGTGGGGTCCGCGCGGACCAGAAGGAAAGGGCTTCCTGAATGACGATGGTAAAAAAAAGACCCTTTTGTGGGTATCATACATACTCTACATGATGCCCGTTATGTCACGGTCAAGATAAGCACCGTTCAAAACAGTACCCGGGCGGCATGGCATCATGCATGGCAAGTATGATACATATTGTTGGATACACCCTTTTTTCCCTCGAAACGGCTTCGGAAGTGACATGGACTTACGTCCCCGTCCGGAAAAACTACACACGCAAAAGTATCGCCACCTACGGAGAAACTGGCCAGATGCTCTACACGGCACATCACTCGACGGGTGAGTGAGCTGACCTCACGCGGTCGGTCGGCTGCACGTCCCTATGCGACGGAGCTAGCCTTACCGATAGTCAGGGTGAGCTATAATGCGCTGTCGCCGAGCCGAATTATCCTCAGTTGGCCAGTCCGGCTTCTAAGCTTCCGATAGGTACCAATCCCTTTTTTGTTTGTTGTCGATGGCTTGATTCCCTTACGATCTACCCGCGGTGCCCTGCTCTACGTATTACTTCTAACGGTTGTTCGAGAGCATGCTTTCGCTGACCACCCATAGTCTTCAAAATGCGTTCTCTACTAGATACCTAGTACCTTGAACGCATCAAATCTCCGGATAAACATCCCTACGCCAACCCAACGGTCAAGTTAGCCCAACCCCTTGTAGTATGCATGCACGTGAATGAACCGGAAAACAACTCACACTCTCCTTCGGAGGACACACTCCCGCCCGATCCTCCTTCCGACCTCCAAGTCCACCTCCGCAAAACACAGCTCCTCGTCGCCCGCCCCCTCTCCCTCGCTGCACCTAGCCACAACCGTCCCCCACGGATCGATCACACACGCGCCGCCCCAACTCGAGCGCTTCTCACTATGCGCGCCCGCCTGTGCCGGCGCAACGACCCAACACTGGGCCTCGACCGCCCTTGCTCTCAGCAGCAGCTCCCAATGGGCGCGGCCAGTCGGCACCATGAACGCACTCGGATAGGTGAGGAGCTCTGCACCCCTATTTGCCAGCCACCGCGCGGCCTCCGGAAACCGCACGTCGAAGCAGATCTGTAGGCCGAGCAACCCGGCGGGCGTGGCGAACGGCGCACAGAACTTGTTGCCGGCCACGGTCGTGGCGGACTCGGTTAGTGTCGCGCCCGGGATCGCGACGTCAAATAGGTGCAGTTTCTGGTAGCTGTGCGATATACCCCCCGAGGCCGAGATGTAGATGCAGCTGTTGTGCACTTTCCCGGCGTCCCCCGAGGGCGTGTGGATGCCCACGACGATAGGCAGCGAGTGCGTCTTTGCGCTCTCCTGCAGTCCTAAGACGAATGGTGAAGTCTCAACCGCCGTGCATAACTCAAGTGTTTCGGCCGGTGTCCGAGAGATGTAGTCGCTTGCTTCGGGGAGGAAGAGGATCTTTGCGCCGTGGGAGACCGCGCGCTGTAGCAGACGCTGGCAGGCGGCGAGATTCGCCGAAATGTTGTGTGTGGCGCAGAATTGGCCGCAGGCTATCAGCGTTGGCATTGACGTTGCCATTGGTGGTGGCGGTGGTTTGTGGGGTGGTGTGATGGGCGGTGGTGTGGTTGTTTCGGAGCTTCGAGTGCGTCAAGTAGAGTATCGATAAGATGTCCCTGCTGGGATGAGGGGAGCTATGGCCAGTGCTGCCATCGTGTGTCACTCGCTGATCAGTGATCGACGGCCAAGTGATATGTGTGTCGTTTGTTCTTCGAAGCAGATCACCGCTTACCTACCAGTCCAGCCTGACGTGCCGGAATATCCTACAAGATGTCTACATGAATGTACTCCACATACGCGTGAACATCGAAACACGTCTCCGGCCGCGTGAAGGCTGGGGATTTCCGCCGCACTCATGATATCAATACCGCTGTATAACGTACTACGGCAGGCATTGTATAAAATACCAATTGAGTACTTGTACGATGGGCTTGGAATATCTCGCTATGTATTGCACTCGTACGATAGACTCGGAACAGGCCTCCCGCTCTGTATGGCACTCGCAGAGTTCCGCTTTCCTTGAGTTACCTATATCGTGTATCACCGTTGAATGCAGCCATCTCACTCGGGCCAAAACCGCCAACACCTTGCCCATCTCTCGCATTCCCTCGCTCCCTGCCTCCCTTTCTCCCTGCCTCCCTTTCTCCCTGCCTCCCTTTCTCCCTCCCTCTTCCACCGTACCGCAACCTCTAACAACGAACACTCTCCAACAACAACACAACGACAAGTCATGTGCTTCGGCCGCAAACCTTCCCCCGCCTCGGCCGACCCGGCTTCTCCTGCCGCCGCCGTCCCTGCCGCTACCCCCGCCGGCAACGTCGTCCAGCCGGAAACTAAGAAGAAGAAGAAGGGCTTCGGTCTGTGGCCGGACTTCTCGGGCTCAGGGTAAACTCTCTGCTCTCACCGTGGATGGGGATTCAGTCGGTTCTGACAGAAGCGATATAGTGATGGTGGTGGTGGAGGCGGTAGTGGTGGTGGTGGTGATGGTGGTGGTGGCGGCGGCGGCGGTGGTGGTGGAGGGAATGGAGGCGGCGGAGGCGGAGGAAATGGCGGCGGAGGTTAATTGACGAAGGAAGCAACTGTTCAGCTGAGAAGCGGTGTATTTGCATGATGAAATGAAATTCAATGATCACCGTCACCGTACTGGATGTTGCATACCGTGAACTGGTTGTGTAGCCCGACAGCAACCGCAGGACCGCAATATCCGTTTGTTCAGGATCAACTCTTCTCACAACACGACAAGCCATCTTGGAAACCACCATCTCTTCGCATCTTCACCCCGCCTAGCCCCAATTCTTCGCAATCACTAGAACCACATGTGCAGTTTCTAATAGATCAAGACTTCGGGTCTCCTTTCTGTATTCTCACGGTTTCCTTCAAGGGCAGGCCTCGTGGGAGGAGGTTACGAGAGGTGTGAAGAAGACGGACAACGAGAGGGGAAATCCTTAGTACCTATGTAGCAGTATGCCGTCGAATAGTCGCGCAGTAGAGACGACCTCAATCCCCCGAAGCCTGATGCCGCAACCTTACTATCATTCTGTTCTGCTGATGCGCCGATCTCTTGATAGTCCGATTGGCCTTTTCGGAAGCTTTGGGGATACCGTAGGCCTTTGTATCGCCTTCAAGTATCGCCAGGTTGCCCCCGAATTCCATTCGATTGACCCCCGTTGCATGCATTCCCCAGCCCATGAACGTCGAACATTTGCCCTGCCAACCGGAAGCCATTGGCGTACCTATCATACCTATCATACTGCCACCTATGACGTGTGTGCAGGAGCCCTGCCCGTCCAATAAGATACTTGTCCAGACTCCAGAGTTTCCCAGCCGCACACGGGTACCTAAGTCTGTCCTCCCTGCGTGATGATAGGTATTCTGCCTTCCCACCAGCGCGGTCGGTTGTCGCTCTTATACATGTGTATAAGAGCGTAATTAGACCTAACGGGCTCCCCAATCCAAGGGGGCTGGGGGTGGACGTGTTGACAGCAGGTTTGAGGCTTGCCTTCAAAAAGCGCGAGATGGAACGGAGGGGGTCGCGAGAGGGGTGGGCGTCCCTTCCAACAGGGAGACGGTGGTGGGGCGGGAGTATCTACTCGCTCAGAGCACGCTCATTGGCTGTGGGGGCAGCACATACATACCGTACCCCGAGGCGAAGATATCGCGGGATATGTATGTCGATAGGCCAACCGAGGGCTGAGAATTTGAGATGAAAGCTTTAGTTAGTGGAAAGCGATTCGTTGTGTTGTGCCGTCGTAGGCCAAATCAAGTTACCAGTATGTATGTAAAGGAACCAACGGAGCAATTCTAACATGTACGGTACATACGCAAGTGATATCTGATGGAACTGGCTTCATGCGCTTCTCCTAGGTACCTGGTTAGCCCACGAACATGGCCACCAAGGCAGATGGACACTGTAGTTGGCAGTAGCTAAACGAGACGATTGTGGATATCAGTGTAATAATAGAGGATATGGTAGATCCGGTATGTGCTGCGCATGGTTATCTGCTGATACGAGGTGAGAGTCGGTGATCGTGGACTAACTGCAAGGCTCATTACTTAAGGCAATCACTAGTAGCGTAACTACGCGAGCCGCTCCTCCCCATGTAGTTACACGTTAGGGCTGTATCCAACAAACAGATCCCCATCGAGAATCGCCGTATCGTCAGATAAGCATTACTAAAATTTGCAGGTTCCAGTAGGAGGTTCCAGTAGGAGGTTCCAGTAGGAGGTTCCAGTAGGAGGTTCCAGTAGGAGGTTCCAGTAGGAGGTTGCCCGTGTGGCTGTGCACTGTGCAGTTGTGTCTTGTTAGCTGAGTGACCAGGGTTCGTAGTAATACTCATTCATGGTTAGCCGGATGCGCAGCGCGCAGCGCGCAGTCTCCATTCACGCCCGTCGCTAACTAACCGCTACCATCTACACACTGGAAATTTCCCCTGGCTGTCGGCTGTTTTATTCCAGTCATGCAATTTATGACTGAGTGATGCTGAGCCTGCCTCGCTCGCTTCCATATGGTGTCACGATGCCAACTTCTCCGACGACGAGTGCGCCTACTGGCGCTATGGAATCATGGAAACCAATCTCAACTGTGCGTTCGGTAGACACAGACATAGCCTTGCGTTCATGGCTATGGTCTATGGAGGTATACCGATGAGTCCTCCTAGGTACTAGGCAATGTAGACATCTCCACTCTGAAGGCTGAATATTGGATGCTGCGTCTATCTAGAGCTCCGGGTGGGTACATATAAAGCTTCATCCATCACCTCTCTCTAGCTACTTCTCATCATCAGCAACATCAACAATATCAGCAACATCAGCCAGCAAACCAACAGCATCGAACAGTCCAGACCACCCAACAGTCCAGTCCATCACACAATGTGTACCGGCCTCTTCTCCCGCTTCCGCCGCAAGCAGCCGGCACCCGCATCGGCACCTACCCCCGTGTCCCAGCTGGCTCGCCCAGCTGTCTCCCTGCCGGCAGCAACACCAGCGCCGGTCCGGGCCGCTACCGCCCCGGTCCAAGCTCCTCCCGCTCCGGCCTGGGCTATTCCCGCCGCGGCACCCCCGCGCCCGCCGCCGGCACCCGCACCAGCACTAGCATCAACGCCGGCACCATACCGCGCTCCTCCGGCTCCGGCCCCGGCGCCCGCTCCGGCGCCCGCTCGCCCCGCGCAAACTAGCCATTACGGAAGTAGCAAGTATGCCCCCCCCCCTTTCCACACACACACGCATATGGAGAGATTAGTGGCTGACCGTTTGTAGTGATCATTCTTCTAGCGGAGGCGGTGGCGGTGGTGGCTGCGGCGGTGGAGGCGGTGGATGTGGCGGTGGTTAATATGTTGAAAGCCTTTCATGTGTGTTGCGACTTCAATGGGATGTATACGATCCAGGGGCACGTGGCTGGGCTGTATATTCTAGACATTGCGGAGTGGGTAGATAGGAAGCTTTGAGTAGTTAATATGATCGATTATAACCATAATATGGTGGAGGAGGAAATTTCTGATACCTTTGCCCATCTTAGCAATGCCGGTGAATTTCTTCGTGAGGACCACTGCGGATGTGCTTTGCTTACCATCATGAGTACCACCCTGTCGGTGCTATACTTGCGGTGTCGGCAGACCATGAATAGCAGCTCGGCGGGGAATGTAAGTGGGTAGTCGACATCATTCTTGCTCTAGCCCACACCGAGTGATATCTGTTTGGAACTGGCGTGTAGAGTGAGAGCGAGAGACGGTACATATTAACAGCCGTCCGCTGCGGACTCGGCTTTGAGAGGTTTGGGGAGGGTATTGTTGTTATCATTTGCGTACTCGGTCAGTTGATTTCGTGTTTGGTGAGGAGGAATCTTGGTGTGGAGACATAAGGGAGCTTCGCAACTTGGAATCCGAGAGGTAGTTTTGGCGCGATACCAAGCAATACATACCAAATTAGGAAATCATCAAGATTCTTCGGAATTGATTGATCCATCCGACTTTTAAGGCGTAAACCTCTTGGCGAATTAAATGAGCTGCGATCTTCACCTTCCGCCAGTCGCAGCTTCGGGCCGGTGATTGCAGAGGAATAGTGTTTTTGACCCTAGAGACAATATCATGTTCGGTGCTGATTCAGTCCCTTCTTCTGAACGCTGTGTGTCTTTGAATGACACTGCATGGAACATGAATGGGTCTACTGAGAAGCCATGCCTCAGGGTTGCGTTCCCGCGCATCCCCGTTAGCTACCATTAGCTCGTAGCGGCTTAACCGACGTCACCTCCACCCCACCTCCGAGCTTCCCCCCGCAACCTCAACCAACACCACAGTTTCTACCGTCCTCCACATAGCGTCATGGTATGTCTCCCACCCCTTCCCCATCCCACCCGCTAACCTTCACTCCCAGGCCTCCGAAGCGCGCCTCTACCAATTTTCCCCCGAAACGACTGCGCGCCTCCGGAAATTCCGGCTCACCACATCGCGCGCCAAAACGCCGCAGGCAATCATCCTCAGCATCGACAAGAAGACTTACGAAGTCGTGCCGGCAGCGGACGTCCTGGTGAGCCTGGAGGATGTGGTCGATGAGCTCCCCGAGCATGCGCCGCGATTTGTGCTGCTGAGCTACCCCATCACTCTGAAGGACGGCAGGAGTGCCGTGCCCTATGTCATGCTCAGCTGGATGCCCGTGACGGTCGGCAGCGAGCTGAGGATGATGTATGCGGGCGCGAAGGAGCTGGTGAGGAATACGGCGGAGGTCGGGAAGGTCATCGATGTGGCGGAGGAGGAGGAGGTGTTGGCTGTGCCCGAGGTGCTGAAGGAGCATCAATAGTTAGACGTGCGGGGGATATCCGGTGGGCCTTGCTTTGCTTTGCGCATGAGGAGGGGGAGGAGTATTCAATGACAATTACGTGCTTGATGGCTCTACTTTTGCTTGTTCTTCCACGGCCTCGCTAGATGCCTGTTGTCCTTGGTGTTGTCATCCGCGAGCAAGTCTCGTCCTCGGTCAACGGTGAGAAGCTCCCCCTCATTCCCAGCGTCATAACTGGACTAATAATCCCTAGAGACCATGTAAACTACAAAAACAAGCAATTCACCTCTCCGCTAGCCCGTACTCATACCCGGAAGTAACGATCCATGGCCACTATATCCCTTCCCGGATTTACTTCGGCCGTAACTTCCCCGAAATATACTCCGGATAAAGAGTCCTACCATACTACAACCCACAAAAATACAGCAAAGAACATGCCTAGGCATCACCAATTCAGGCACCGTCTAATCTAGGTCTTGATGTAAACAAGCTTTGCGATCCATATCCTCGGCATCCAACATCCGGGGTAATAACGTGAGCGTAGATCCGGGGGATGTGGGGTATGTGGGGGAGGAGTAGGAGTAGGAGTAGGAAGTAGGAGTATAAATACCTACGCCGCCCACCCACTTCTTCCCGCTGCCCCAGTGCAGTCTCGGTAGCCACAATCGTTATCATGCAGGCCTCAATCCGTCTCCTCCTCGCCGGCCTCGTGCTGCAATTGGCCTCCGCCGTACCAACACGGACCACGCCCACCGTCTTCCTGTGCTCCGATAGTACGGCTGCCAACTACAATCCCGCGACGACACCTATCCAAGGGTACCCCTCCCCCCGCCAAATCCACCCTCCATATTACTTTCCCAAATCCTAACGCCCCAGCAGCTTCGGCTACTACCTAGGCTCGTACCTCTCCGCGAACTTCACGAACCTGGCACGGGGCGGGCGCTCGACGCGGTCCTTCCAGAACCAAGGTCTGTGGGCGCAGCTGCTGTCCTACATCGTGCCAGGGGACTTCGTAATAATCGAGATGGGGCACAACGACAACGGGACGCCAGGGAGCGGGAGCGACCTGACGAAGGACCGAGCGGTGCTACCGGGTATCGGCGAGGAGATCATCGTCGTGCAGAACACCACCGGCGGCACGGGCAACGAGACAGTCTACACCTTTGGCAAGTACCTGCGCGGCATGATCAAGGATGTGCGCGGCAAGGGCGGGATTCCCGTGCTCAGTGGCATGGTCCCCACCATGGGCTGGACGAATGGTACTCTGCAGACGGACTGGCCGTTCACGGGCTGGGCGGAGGAGACTGCCGATAGCCAGCACGCCGGTTGGGTCGATCATACGAAATACAGCGTTGCGAGGTTTCAGGCGCTGGGTGAGACCGCCGCTAGGGCGATGTTTCCGCTGGATAATACGCACACGGATGCGGATGGCGCGATTTGTGAGTTTCTTTCCTGACGAGCGGTGGTGTGCCGAGGGATGGAGGTTAACAGGGTTGGATGTGCTCTACAGTGAATGCGGAGACTTTTATACAGGGAGTCAAGTGTGCACACACCAAGGAGGCCAAGGAGTTGGGGAAGTGGCTGAGTCCTAAGGGGAAGGCGATTAAGGGGAAGTGTTGATACCCTTGTAAATATGAGTGTCCGCCGCGGCACAGAAATACATTCGGAATTGGCTTCATGATTTATCACACGAAACTTCGTTGTGCATGATTAATTCAACATTTTACCTGCTCCTAGGCAAGCACATTCCCTTAACTTGAAGGGACAGCTCTTGCGATATTATTCTAATCTAATGAAATGCTGTATGGAAGAAGTTCAACAAAACACCGGGCTACCGTAGCAAATGAGACCTTCATGTGGCCAACTCAGGGTCAGGACATACCTTAATCAGCTGTGCGAATACTCCGTGCGAAAAGGGTGCCAACGAAATTCCAAAGAAGTGCCTAAAATATGATTCATTCATTCTAGGACATAACGTCATCATCCTCATGCTTTATTTGTAGAGACATCTCTGCTTCAGCCATTGCAGACATGAAATCAGATGTGTCCCCTCCACCTCCAGCGTTAAGACCTAATAGTTGGGGATCAATAGTGTTCCCCCAGCTCTGCTCTTGTGTGAGGTGGTCCGCTTCCGGAACAAAGTCGAAAATCTGCGGGGATTGGTAGCTGAGGGGTGAAGTGTTGTGGTGGGGCTGCAGCTGCGCTATCGGGAATTCCGTTACCATGGGGCTCTTGATCGGTGGGTAATGCAGCTGCTGGCTTGAGGATGAAAGAAAGGGTACGGGAGGGTAGTAGAGTTGTGGGGTTGAGAAGTCCATGAACTGCGAGTGCGGGCTTAGGAAGTCCATTTGCGCGGTGGGTTGTTCGAGTGATGCAGTATTGAGTGACGCACTATTGAGTGATAGTCGTTTTGTGCCCGAGGAAATTGGTCGCTTGAGTGTTAATGCTGTACCGTCTGAGGCGTAAAAATGAGTCGAACCATCGGCCAGTGTGAGGTCGCTGTCGTTCCTAAAGCCTTTGTAAAGGTCTAGAGTGAATGGGCGCTTGCGGCGGGATGATGGTTTAGCAATGGGCTTTGAGATTCCTGCCGGCGATTGTGTCGATTTCTTGCTCGATGTCGACTTCTTTCGTGGTTGGAGCTTCGTCGGTAATGGGGCTGGCGAGGTCTCGAGAGTGTCCGCCTGGTAAAGCTCCGGATTCGCTATCGGAATGTAACAGTCCTTCAACCAGCACTCGCCGTTCTCAAAGGCAGAATCCGGAATATTCTCTTCGATCTCATACATTATCTTTTCGGCCGTTTTTACTGCCCTTTCTGAGTTACGGCCAGTGCCCGGACCGACCAGCTCACCCCTCTTTCCGGCAGCCTCGGCCTTCTTGACGGTTTTCATCGCGAGGCCAGGACGGCGTCCGCCTCCCCAGTTGGGATCCACGGGTCTCCTCTTTAGTAACTCTATTGCGTCCTCTTTTCTCATATCTGACGGTGCATCATATATGGTCATCTTCCCCTTCTTCTGCACGCTCAGCCAAACGTAAGTCTGCAGCCGGTCCGCCAGGTTATGAAGGTATCCATCCCACTGCAACTGCAAGACTCGCTTGCAGAATTCCTCAAAGCAGGTGACCAGCTTTGCGGGAGGGCAAATTACCTGGGGCTCCGTCTTACTGGTATTAGGCTCCTTCGGATGAAACTCCCTGGGCTTGGGCCTCAGCATTCCGGCACGAATGAGCTGACCTATATCCATGAGGTTCTCCAGGCAGTCGATATGGAGGTAACCAGCGCAAAAGTAAGGATTATTATCGAACCGATCTCCACGCGGGAGTCTCCCCAGAACCTCCTCGATCGCGACACGGATGGTGCCGTCGTGGAATCCTCGGGGGCCCTTCTCTTTGCTTCTACAATCCCGGGCACGACAAAGATTGTAGGTTGAGTGATCGCACGTGAAGATTCCAAAGCCCTTGCAGTTTGCTGGATATTTCTCAAGACGGAACCACAAGTTCTTACCCAGAGGGTGGTGTTTGACGAAACGGGCGAAGTTGTCCCGATCGAAGAGGACGCCCGGTGCTAGGCGACCACGGGTGTCGTATACGAAGCCTTGTCGGTGCAGGAACTGTGGGAATACCTCTGGTATCGTGGTGTAGACTTTATAGATGACTTTCTTCCCCTGGGTGTTTATCGCGGCTTGATGGCCTTTAACAGCCGCAGCGGGACCAGTGTATGGTTTTGGGCGGAACTCTGGGATTAGGTCGGGAAGGGGGCGCTGGTTTGGAAAGAAGCAGCCACCATTGAGAGGACCTCGTTTGTGGCCTGAAGCAGTAGTAATCAATGGCCCAACTTTCCTCTCTGGCGTGACGAGGTCCGTATTCTTCCTCTGCTTCGACTCGTAATCGCTCTCAGTGTCAGAGTCATCTTCTACATCGGGATCGGAATCATCAGCTTCTGCCGGGCCTGGATGTTGCTGTGTTGTGTCCGTTGTGTCCGTTGTGTCCGTTGTGTCCGTGGTTGGTGCGTTTAACGCACCGCCCATAATTAAATCTTCGACGCCAAAGTAATTACTGTTCTGGGGCAGATGAAGGAGTTGGGAAGTGGGTACATGCGGCGGAGCAGTAACTTCAAGAGAATGGATACTGTGCTCAAACATGCCACCGCTGTCGCAGAGGTAGTGCTGATGATCTTCACTGACCTGCTGCATAGTCGTTGTCGTCATGGGCGAAACTTGGACATCCGAACCACCAACAGTATTGTCAGTGCCATGCTCCAAATCAAGCAGGTCCAGAAAGCTGTCGATGTCGAAATCTTCTTCAGTTGTGTTGTGGGTGTTGCTGTTGGCAGTATTTTGATCGGGGAAGGCCGCCATGGGAGCCGCAGGTGTGATATATCTGATGTGCGGGTATAATTTGCGTAGCACTTCCAGAGGCTAGCTTCAAAGGAAGTGATGGAATAAGGATAAGCAAGAAATGGGGGTAATAAAATACCTGGGGAAAAAAGGCAGTACAAAGAAGACAAAAGAATAGAAAAATTAGGGGATTATGCGGAGGGCGGAGATCAACTCCCAACGGAAAGCACAAGTGAAGAAGATTGATAGACGGTGACGAAAACCAAGGAGCAAGCTCAACGCCAGCAACATGGAAACGCTTATGTTCTTATATCGCCTATATTGAACGAGGAGCTGTCAGTTCATCTTGACACATGAGAAGCCCAACCTCTGTTTTACTACAGAAGAGTATGCCCTGTCGTTTGTCTGGTTTGACAGCTGGCAGTCAGCAGAATAGCCTAACTTTCCAGTGGTCACTGGTGCTCTATGGCCCACTGTGGACATGGCGGTCATGTGGCCGAACAAAGAACCCGCCCAGAAGATTATCAGATTTGTTCCACAGGGGAAGCCCTGAAACCTTGACATCAACCATTAAAGAAGCTGTCATATAAGGAAGCTGTATCTGCTCCGGAACATGCGGCGTTGAGGCCAATATTGCACAGTGAGTTGCAGGATCTTAACCTCAACTCGAGTCTTTTAGAAGCTTCAGCAACTTACTAAACCCCCATAACCCATTTAGTTGCACGCCCGCAATAACCACGCATGAACGGAATGGCTTCGAGATAGGCCAGGTCAGTATTTTATCGGGTGGTACGAGACATTAGCATCCAAGACCGTCCAAAAGCCCATAGTTGAAACAAATAAGGTACCTGTTACATGACAGGGCTGATGTCACATACGTCCGTGCGTTGCGTCACGACGGGTTGTCGCCGAGGGTAGCATGAGTAAGTGAGGTGGTTCAGCGAGCGTGTGATTAGTGGCGCCCAGGACACTCAAGCCACCGGCGTCAGGAGTTAGAACTCACCGATTAAATCACTGGAGGAGTACAGTGATGGCCAGACATATATCAAAGCGAGTACCATTCTGATATCTAATTGGAATCTGAAAGAAGACATTCGACTGAAGGAAAGCGGTACAGATTTGTGATGCCAAAAATCCACTATCCTACTCATCTTCCATCTCCTCATCGCTGTCATCATCAGGAAGCTTGATGAAATCCTCGTCCGCACCTCCATCTAACCCGCCTCCTCCATCTCGCCTGGCGTCCATCAGGTCCTCCACCAAATCCTCCAATTCCGTAACATCATGAGTTCTAAGCTCCTTTTCCTCACTCATGATGGATAACAATTTCCGGGATTCCTCCAACTCCAACGTGCACTGTAACTTCGTAAATGCCATCATTACGAGTTCTATCCTCGCCGTTAGCCGTATCCTAGCAAAGTGGGAGGGAAAGACAAACCTTTTGACCATGGGCAATGCTTAATTCCCCGTGAGAGTATATCTTTGGCTCGGCGGTATTCTTTGTGTCTGATCTCAAACTCGACGAACATCATCCACAACTGAACGCTATGTCGAGTTCTATTGCACTCCACCGCACGCTCAAAGAGGTGCCTGACGGCATGGACATTGTAGTGCTGTGCCATCCGCATCTCCGCCCACACGGCAAAGAGCCAGCCTGCGACGGTCTCGTTGCCATCTTTGAGGACGCGATCTCTGATAACAGTTCGCAATCGGTTTTCGATTTTCGTTCTACTCTCATTCCAAGCGTAGAGAGACAAAAATGCCATGTTGTGGGGAAATATCTCGAGTGCAGCTTCGAGATGGGATCTCAGCGTTGCCGGCTTGAAAGGCCTCGCGGTCGTAGAGTGCATATAAACCAAGCGTACTTTGCGGAGTAGGCAGAGCTCGCAAAAGTGGGACGTTGGCCCAGTCAATGAACGTCGGCCCAGCTCGGAGGTGAACCCATCGTACACAGCAATAGCAGCATCAAGGTTGTTACCACCAGCTAGGTACTCGAGCAGCGCTCTCAAGTCATTATACATCCCCGCATGTTCGTTGAGCTTGATAGACAGCATGGTATGCTGCTGGTATTCGAGGTACTGGCCGCCATATCGTTAGTAATTTCCAGCACAAGGGGCATTACACTAACCTTTCTGCACTTAAGAAGCAACAATTTCGACACATTGCCTGGCCCAGGACCATTCTCATCATTCTCATCACTCCCGAGCAGTTCCCCGCTCTCAATTGAAAGCAATAGGCGAATAGCTCTTTGAGCGTTTCCAATGAAGAGTTCCTCCCATATGCATGCATGCCACATGAAAATCTTATTCGGATCTGTGCTTTTCGACGACTCTTTACTGGATGTTGAGAAGATGGATCTTCCTTCCTCGTGCGTCGAGTCGTGCCACCTTATCTGAGTTACCGCGCCCCATACTCGAATGGTCTTGGAACATAGCGACACGGCTTTGCCAATCCTGCTTGACGGTCAGAGTCTGTATGAGAAACGATGACAGAGAGACATACCTTTTGGGATCATTTTTCCATATCCACTCAAGATAGTAGAAGCTCCAGGAATCGTCACTAAGCCTCTCCACCAGCTTTTCCAGAGTATTTCGAATTAACTGAACCTCATTTGGCGGTAGCGATTTGGCAGAAGAAATCCCATTGAACCAGCCAGTAGACCTGTTGAAAAGACTCTCGGAACCAACAGGAAAGTTTCGAAGCTTGAATCCAAACGGATCGTCGCCCATCACTGCCTTTTTCTCCGGTTCCATCCCTTCCCAAGTTATTGGCAGGGCGTCCCATTTGCTCTGCTCCTTGGGCCAGAACCACAATTCAGACGAATCAAACTTCATTCCTGGTGAGAGGAACACGTCCGCCTCGACCTCACTATTTGAACAGTACGGCCCGACCAGAGGCATGCCCCTGAGCATAAGGAAGGCCTCGGCCAGCCGCTTGCGAGAGGTCTCGCTAGAAAAGCTAAACAGGAAAGGTCTGATGTCTGAGAATAGAATCACTCTGTACGGATCATCGTCGTCAATCTCGTCAATTGTTCTGGCCGGCATACCGGTCTTTCTCGACCATTCAAGCTCCGCATCCGTCCAAGAGCCGAAAGGATCTCTGGGTTCCAATGGGGGAAGCTGAAGGTCATCTTTGGATGCCTTTGGAGATGTGCCAGTCTCCGCCGCATCTACAAACGAAGCCCAACCAAGCGCCTTTTTCTCCCCTATTCTCGGAACCTCACTATCCCAGAATCTTTCAAACACCTCTAGAATCATTTCAAACTCAAGTTGAGATGTGGGAGGCGTCAGGTTAGTGGGATGAAATAGATTGAGTTCCAGCATTGCTTGGAGAGCTGCGATGGCGCTCTCTCGGTATCCGGATTCAGACATGAATAGTATAGTGCGAGTGAAGACGTAGACAATAACCTCATCAAGTGCTTGCCTATCCAAGCTTCCGACACCCGCCCTGAAAGCTGCAGTTCTCAAAACCGCAAGGCATTCCTCATAGCACTTCAGGCACTTAGGATAAGAGAACGAAAGAAAATCAGTCTGTCGAAAGTCGATGAACTTCCTCCACAGATTGATCTGCGATGGATTTTCCTTGAGGATTTCGTTCCACTTTGAGAGCAGCTTTTGTGGAGGCAATATTTCCTGAGCAACGTCCATATATTTGGAGAGCAAGGCTTCATGGCCAGGGTTCTTGTTCAGTGCCTTCTGCAGGATGTCCAACTGGACTTCCGCTGTGCTTCGCTTCTCTGCAGCTGTCTTGCGCCTCCCTGCGCCACTTATGATCGTGTCGTGATGACCAACATACGCCAGCCACGCTTCGGCATTCCTGGGCTCTGCCTCGACCTTCCGCGCAAACTCAACCATTGACTTCCGATCACCCCAGTCCCCGCCAGTCGAAATGTAATCAGCCTCCGATGCAGAGTCTGATGCATACTCTAAATCCATATCGTCTGGGCGAGTAGAGGGTTTCTTCAGGCCCTCGATGCTTCGGTAATGATCCCATTCTTTATCCGAGTCGTCGGATCCCACGTCTTCGCCGCGGTTCTTCCTCTTTTTGGTTTCGATTGTCAAGGGCACAAAGTCCATATTTCTCGAGAACGCTTCATCCAAGCCCGTCTCGTCCTTCTTAATCCGTAGTCTCCTGGATTCTTTGTTTGCTAACTTTGAGAATGCTTGGCGCATAGCTCTCACGGATGAATCTTCTCCTCCGGCGCCGCCGCCGCCGCGGGTGCTGAGTACCATGACCTTTCCATCTCCCTTAGCCCTGTCGATTCTAAGATTCGGCGAGAGCCCCACGATGCGGCCACTGCCACCGCGATGGTAGTCTGGTATAGAGTATCGGTGCATGGTGCCATAGACTAGATTGAATTCATCGCCCTTCGTATCCACAAAATATTGCTTCTGAGGGGCATCTCGGGGTTCCTCTTTTCCCTCTTCTGGATAATATGCGGTGTCCCTTGGTATCAGTGAGGTAGTTGTTGTCCCCGCCTCTCGTGACCTGGACCTCCGACGCCGCCGCGCTGTGTCGTCTTTCTCACGATCATGGCCGCGCCGCGAGTGGGATGTCCTCTCTTTGGAATCGCCGTGGCGGTGTCGTCGTTTGCGTTGCTCGTCGTCGGTCCTGTCATTGTCCTTGTCCCGTTCGTGGTGCACTCTCTTGTGCTTGTGCTCGCGGCTCTGCGATCGGTGACTTCGATAACCACGCCTACCCTCGTCCTTCTCCTTGCCCCGAGAGGGTCCCTCCCTCTTCTCCCTCTTCTTCTCCCTCTCTCTGATAGTTTCGTCTGGAGTCTCTTTTGTAGCGAGAGTTGGAGTTGCTGTGGTCGGTCGCGGCTGCAGAGCTTTGAAGCTCGAAAACTTCGGGATTGTGCGAGTCGACGACTGCGGCGACACCCCTTCTAGTTAGTTAGGTGCTCATACATGCCCCCAGGAGGAATATAGGTGCCGGAAGACGTGAATACCTCTGTGGCCGCCTCTTTTCGATTCTCTGCCTTCCCCTCCTCTCTTGCAGCATTAGGTGATGTAGACATGATGTGACGTTTTCCGTTGGAGGTTTTGGTGTAACGAAGAGAGGCTGATCAACGATGCCCCTTAAACGTACGCACAATATTGATTCTATTCAGCGGAGTCGGATATTGGGACGAAAACTGAGACTAGGGCTCCTCTACATCTTTTCTCTATCCGTATGTCTTTCTATGCATTATCTAATAATACTGAGTGACTAGCTATGATCCCACTGAACGCGTTGTTGGTACTTTACTAGTAGAAGGGATTTTCCATCTAGATTTCTTGCTCCCTCGCTTGCCCTGCCCCCTCCTCTTCTTTAAGTACAGCCCAGACGACTCACCACCACCCACCCACCTACCCACCTGATCTTCACCAACAACTGACGTGAACATCACCAAACTCTCGCATCTTTCTTTGAATCCCCTTCTCCTTCCTCCTGCTCGGCGCTTAACCCTAACTCACTTTGCTGTCTCGCAAACTTGCCCTCATCTGTGCGACACCATCGCGTTTCTTGACATCGTCCGGCTTCTTCCCTTCGTCCCCGCCGCCTCTCTGGACCTCGCAAGGTACAACTCAAAACAACGAAACAACCACCCACAACACCTTCTTACACCAAATCCTTCCCATCCGCAGCGAAACGAACTCAACCACCGACAATCACCAAACTCCGCCCCCAAAACATCGACACGACAACCTACAGTACTAACCCCTAGCTAGCTCTCGAAAGAAACGCAAAAGGAATTTACCTGCCATCCAAGTTCAACGCGTCGTTAAGGTCGACCTACCAGCTCTGGCCTGTTGTTGCTGCAGCCTCACAGTGCCCGAATATCACCTTTTCACACCCGCTCATTCATGTCACTGGTGGTCCCGACATCTCGAGCTTCTATTCTTCGTCCGTTGAACGAGTCGGTAGACTTTGACGAAAATCCAGACACCCCAGGAACAACATACTCCTTCCAAGACCAGAGCTCGAAACCCATGAACATGCAAACAGGAACGGTTCCCCATCTTTCTGTGGCAATGATGGACGCCAGCATGCTCATCTCAACCGATGACGAAATGCTAGATTCGGATAGTGATCAGAGGAGAGATGAAGATTACGATATCGATGTAGATGCAGAGGTTTACTCTGTAAATGGTGGCGACCTGGAAGTCACCATGACGATGGAGGAAGACATAGTCGCTTATGGTCGCTTGGAACAAGATGACAACGACGACGATATCATGCTCGACGACGACCCAACGGACTACGGCGACGGTTACGACGTACATCATGGCGGCCATAATATAATAGCTACTCAGACTGATACGCAACTCGACGTCAACAGTTCCATGGCACCAACGATGTCGCAGCAGGAGACGTCCTTCTTCCAGCAACTCTCACCACACCAGTCGAATTTCAATCGTCAAGATCCGGAAGCCTCTTCTTCCCAGCCGGTCCTGACTCAGTCCGACATAGGAGCCGCTATGACGGAAACACAAACTACACAGCCCGACAACGGTGGTAACCGCGGTGACGGCGAGCCTGTTGATGTAGATCCGCAGCAGGAACAGGAGCAAGTGCCGCAGCAACAGCCTTCGCCAGTATCGCACCAAGATATTCCGTCTCAGTCCAATATTTTGCTCGAGGAGGAGGAAAATGACGGTACACAAAGCTCGACTGCCACTCTTGCCCACGAGGTTGTCAGGAATGACGAACAAACTGCTGAGGAGAACAATGACAATACGCCTGTGCCAAAATATCAATCCCAGCAAGAGCTCGAATCCAGCGATGCTGACGCCGGTCCTGTCGGAACCGAGGATCCGTTTGACTCTTTGTACCAGCATCCCGTGATAGTTCAATACGAGCAAAACCAGCTCACCTTGTTTCCTTCTATGGCTGATTGGTCGAACGACCCTGTTCTGGCCAACGTGTATAGCGACGTTCCCTCCGATTATCTTTTGCCGGACGTGGGTGTGTGTGAGAAGACGTTGAGCGATCTCTTCATGCATCTTCGAGATGTCTTGGGGCCTGCCGTTGGACTCGGATCTGAGTTGGTTGTGGAAATTGAACTGCTTGGCCTGAAGATGGGAGAGGTAAGTCCCCCACACGCTCCAATAGTGGCATGGATCATGCTTACCCGATTACTTAGGATAATGCGGCTTGTAAGTCTGTCAGTTTGCGACGAATTCTTGATCTGCACAATCAACTGCAGGAAAATGATGGTTACGAGATCCCGATGCCTGTCACTATGTCCTTGTACACGGTCCCCAAATTTCTTAGTCGCCTGCAGGAAATCACCGACGTGGTGCAAGAAAGGAAGGGTCTCCAGGAATGCCTGAGTCGTCTGGGATTGCCGTCCGTCGATGAATATTCAAACGAGGAGGACGTGGCCAGTCATCACGAGGCCGACGCAGCTGACTACAGCGAAAAGCAAACTGTGCCTAATTCGCTCCAGAATCCCACCACTGAGTCTCGCGAGGACAAGAGCCCAAGTCCCACCCTGCAGCAGTCAGAGGATGTTGCTGAGGTTGCGCAAATCCACGAGGATGCCATCGCTGTTAGCCCGGAGACCGAACACACGGATGTCGTTCAACCTGAGGCTGAAACCCAAGGCTCTACCCAGAAGGAGTTAGAAGTCTCACATACCCATGTGATTATCCAACAGCCAACTTCTGGACTTCTTAGCCATTCGGGATCCACAATCGTTGATGATGAAGAGTTGTTGGATGAATTTGAGGATGGTGAAGGCATCATCGAGGAGGCCGATACTGTGCTGCAGTCAGATCTTGCGGAACTTCACGAGAATGAGCCTGTGGCCCAGAATGGAGCCGACGAACTGCCCGGTGCTGTTGACGGTATGTTCACTCGTTCTCATACTCAGGCTGTGCAGACACATGCTAACATACACTCAGACGTCCAGTCCCTTCTGGAGAGTGATGTTGCGCCCGTCGAGCCGTCGACCGCTGAGCTCGAAGTGACAGAAGCAGAACATCCACCTTCTACCGTCGGCGATAGTGACGAACACGACACCCCACCTAACTTAGATGACAACAGCAACAAACCCTCCCCAATCCCAGTTTTTAATGGAGATGATGAAGATCAAGGCGAGTATGACGGATCAGAGCAATCTTTTGAGGAGCGCGGATACGGACAGGGGGAGAGTCATCACCGGTATCAGGAAGAGGGGCAACAAGGTACCGAACACATTGATGAAGAAGAGCAAACCCACGACGAGGGCGAGGAAGAAGTCCACGATGTGGATGCAGAGGGTTACGCAGATGTGCATTTCCAAGACGATGCCGTTGCAACAGAGGGTCGTCCGCATGCGGAGAGTGTTCACCAAGAAGAAGAAGATGGGGAGTATGATGCGCCCGGTGATTACTATGATGAGGGCGAAGGTGAATACAATCAGCAGGACGAAAGTGTTTACATTCAGACGGAGGCGATCGAAGAGTACGAAGTGGAGGAGTATGACGACTCCCCCTACAAGAGCTCGGAAAACCAGTCGCCCCCAGATGAAGTTGAGGTGATCGACCCATCGACCACGGATGCTATTGACATCACCACGATTGGTTCCCCTGCAGCGAGCACTGCCGACGACGAGGAGGATCTCATTGACTATGAGGATGAAGAGGAGCCGGTGCTACTGCCCCAATCTCCCACATCTTTGAAGCGAGTGCGCGACGATTCTGATGCCGAGGGTGATGACGAGGTTGATGCGGATCAAGGTTGGTCATGGCGCCCTGGTGGATTTTGGACGCTTTATAATAATCATCTGCATCCAGCCGCGAAACGCTCTCGTGCCGAGTAGAACTTTCGACTTGATCCCATCCTGCTGCGTGGTCACCCGAACACATCGGGAAGTCGACACGAGCACATGGATTCATCAACTTTGGTTCCTTTTCATGGCGGCATTACTTCCATTCGGCCTTCGGATGTTCGGTTCATCTTGCGATTATCGGTGCGGCGTTTCGGTGTCTTGGAGTTTATTAGCCGGTCGAGCATGTCTTTGTGACATATCGAACAGGCCTTGTGGGTTGCGAGGAAAACTATTCTTAGGGGCACGTTGCGAACCATGGACCAACCCATGGCTACCCGGTTTTACGACGGCCAGAGTAAGTTGATACTATTACTAACATTCCCTAATTTCCCCTTCCTGTCGTTGTTTTCTCCTGAGTTCAATTCACGATCTACGATTTTGAATTACCCCAGCATTTATCCTGCGGATGATTGGGTTGGACCCAGTAATTTTGCTTTGCCTTGCTTTGTTGCTTTGCTTTGCCTTGCTGCGGTGCGTTGCTTTCCCCCCCTTCCTTTTTTGCCTTTTCTTTTCCCCCTTCTTTTTGCCCCTTCCTTTTGCCCCTTCCGTTTGCCCCTTATTCCTTGCCTGTCTTGTTGTTTTGTGTTCCTATCCCCTTTGCGTGCGCTGTATAGTATAATTTCTTAGAATCCTGGCTTTCGGGCTGTCCGATGGGTCTTCAATGCTTTGCCTGGTTTCGTGGTATGCAATGGTGTGGCTTTTTCGGCTGGTGAGGGGGCGATGGATATGCGTACGATTTCTTTGGTGGACATGTTGAATGATATCTCTTCGGCCTAGATGGCAAGAGAGATGGAGGAAGAAGAGGCGGAGGAAGAGGTGGAGGAAGAAGAGGTGGAGGAAGAATAGATAGAGGAAGAAGAAGAGATGTGTGAGTGGAGGAGGGTGGTTATCTGTTTGAATTCTAGTTTTAGCGTATAGGAGAGAATACAGAGCGAGTGAATATTTGGATTCGTAAACGATGGAGTGAGACTGCGTGCCTATCGTATTCCACCGATTGACTTCTGGAGAAACACCGGGAACAATGAATTCTAATAGATAGAGGTTGTGAGCTTTCTTCTCAGGATTCGGAGTGGTTTTAGTACGGGGGGGTGGACTCATTACGCCATCTCGCTGGGAGAGAAAGGAATGCTCGCTAATCGGAGGTCCAACCACCACACGCGCGTGAGGTTGCGTGTGTGCCGAGGTGGCTCCGGGAGGAGATCTTGATCCCCGGAAATCCAAACGGAAACCTGGTCTATTGCGCCAAGCGGTCACAAAAGGGTCCCAACAATCCGGAGAGCGACGAGCTCTGGGGGGGCTGTGGGATTCGATTGAGCCTCCGTTCGCATTCGCACAAGTTTGTGTTTCTTTGTCCTGTGTCTGATCCACTGTCAATTCTGCCGCCAGGGACCGGCGGTGGGCCTGTGGCCATGCGAGTCTGAGGTGAGCACTGCACTGAGCTGAGAGGTGAGCACTGAGAGCTATGCGGCTGCCAAAAATAGCGTAGGGGTGTATGGCCTTGCAGACTGGCGGTTTGATGTGCGGCGCAGCCGTGTTTGGGGGTGAAGGCACAACATAAGAAGCATGTAGATAGTAAGTACTATACCGCAATATAGTGTACAATGTACATCACGCATCTTGTAACTCGGTATGCATTGGCCATTCGTCGGTACTTCGCCGCATAGAGTGCTCGTCCTGACCGGAGTGAACACATCTGCCGTCGGCTGTCTGGCGAGGCCGCGGATGTCCAAATCCCAATATCCCTATTCCTCACAACCCAGCTGTACCGAAGACTTGGCCCAGCGAGTTCCTGGAGTGTCTGCTTGTGCCGTGATGCGGCCAGCCATGCGTTCCAACAATGTCCCCACCACCACAATCACCACTACCGCCGCCGCCGCCGCCGCAGCCGCCCCTCTTCTCCATCTCCTCCATCGCAGCTGCACAATACTAACTAGTTCTGTTGCGACCCATCACCGTCTGCCCAGAAAAAGCCCCACTCACACCCAAGACGAGACATTCTGCCCTTTGCCTACTCGAGAACCTCTTCATCGGAAGCGACATTGAAACAACCCTGCCCCTAGAGTACACGCTGCTGCAGTGGACCTGACGACGACGGCCACCGACCACCGGCCACCGACTACCGACCGAACGAACCCCCCCAAGAATCCAGAAGTCTCCCCCCAAGCCGCGTGGCCTTGCCCCCCTCCACCTCCTCGTTCCCCCGGGAAGGCCGTAGTGTGATACTCGACGGGCATCCTTCCGTTTGCGCTTCTAGATACTGCTTCTTCCTCATCTACTTCGGTTCTTCTCCGTTTCGTTCTTGCGCTTCGTGTTCCCAATCTGACCTTCTAGTAGTCGGGAACTTTATCGTTTTCTTTTTTCGTTTCTCCCTCTCTTTCAACTTTGCCGATAAACTGCTCTCTTTGCCACTATTCCCACTGCTACTACTGCTATCACTGCGACTGCGACTGCGGCTGCGACTACCACTGCGACTATTGTCTCCACTGTCTGATTGTCTCCCCATCGTCTCGGCGTCATAGAAGCGGATTGTGCATGGTACATTTATTGCAACAAACTCAGTGCAATTCTTCCCCCAACACACTTATTCTTTGCATCGGCATACCCGGTCACACACCCCGTCGTCAACTTTAATCTTCTTCTTCTTCTTTCTTCCTCTTCTTCTCCTCCTCCTTCTGTTTCTTCCTCTTCTTCTCCACATTCGTTTTGAACACAGTTTTCTCTTGCGCGCCACCAACCGCTACCACTCCATACAACCACCGGACGAACCAGTGAACCTTCTGTCACGACCACCCGCCTACCATCCCACCCACCTAACCCGAACCTCGCTTTCCCCGTTTCCCCACTCCCGGAACCATCATCGGAATTTGGCATCGATAGAACGGAGTTAGACAACCCCAACGGCGACACAAGGCGATTACGTACGGTTGGAACTTGGGGGGAAGACGCCGGCATCATGGTGGTGGAGGACAAGTGCGCTCGCCGAACCTTCCTACCCACCCACCCCAGGAACGAGGAATTGGATGAGAGATGTGCTGACGTGCGCGCGCGGGGTTTGCGAAGATATATTGGCCTGGCGCTCGCCATAACATCCAGCATAGCTATAGGTTAGTTGACGTCTTCCCCTCCCCCCCACCGTCCGCCGCGCACCGCGCATCATCGCCCCCTCTCTTTTCCCCGCCCGGAGGCTAATACCGATGTGATGCAGGCACCAGTTTTATCTTGACGAAACGAGTACGTTCACCACGACCACAACTCCCCCCAAACCCGGCTCGATCTCGGCAATGCTATGAAGAGGTTGGGGACTGACGGGATCGCTCGTCTGCGGCTTTCGCCAATTTAGGGTCTCATACAAACAGCAGATCGAACGGGCTTCGAGGGCGATGGGTACACGTATCTGAAGAATCCGATCTGGTGGGCGGGGATGATCACCAGTATGTCACCTCCGTGCTGTTCCCACAGTGCTCCGATTGGTTATTACGTCGGGGGAGAAAGAACGGAATGGCTAATCCCGCGGAAATGATAGTGGTTTTGGGAGAAATTTCGAATTTTGCGGCATACGCTTTTGCGCCGGCGATCCTGGTGACGCCGTTGGGAGCTCTGAGTGTGTTGGTTGGGTATGCATCTTGCTCCTCCGTCCGTGCGGGAAAAATCCGGGGGTGTATGTACTCTGCATCATGTGCTGACCAAGGGGGGCGTGCGCGTGTGCAGAGCGGTGTTGGGAACATATTTCCTCAAGGAGGAATTGGGAACTCTGGGGAAGCTGGGGTGTGCGATTTGCTTAATAGGCAGTGTCATCATCGTGTTGCATGCGCCGCCGGACGAGGAGATTGACCGGATCGATGAGATACTTCACTATGCCATCCAGCCTGGTTCGGCAACACCCTCCCGACGTCCCACGTCCACCGGCGCAGTGAGGCTGACTTTGTGTGTTCATAGGTTTCCTCTTTTACATCGTACTCGTCATCACCTTCTCGCTGGTCATGATCTACAAGATAGCACCGAAATACGGAAAGAGGAACCCACTCATCTACATCTCGATCTGCAGCACCGTTGGCTCGTTGACGGTCCTGAGCTGCAAGGCGTTCGGAATCGCGGTCAAGTTGACCTTCGCCGGGATGAACCAGTTTGTGTATCCCAGCACATACGTCTTCATTATTGTCACGGGAGTCTGCATTCTCACGCAGATGAACTACTTCAACAAGGCGCTGAGCCAGTTCTCGAGTTCCATGTACCTTTCTCCCCCAGCTCCGATGGTGACAGGTGGAAGGCTAACACGGGCAGTGTCAATCCCATCTACTACGTCACTTTCACCACCTTTACACTGGTCGCCTCGTTTGTTCTGTTCCGCGGCTTCAATACCAACGATCCTGTCAACACGATTTCACTGCTCTGCGGGTTCCTGATCATCTTTACGGGTGTATACCTACTCAACTTGTCGCGCACCGATCCACATGGAAAGCACAATGGCGCAAACGGAAGTGCGCTGCCGTTCGACGATGGAATCCCGACGGACGGAATATCGGGAATGCATAGCAGACACAGCATGCAGATGCGTCGAAGCGATACGTTCACTAATGCTAGTGTCACGGGGCGGAGAAGTAGTGCTGGACAGAGATTACTGGGACGCGAACATGACGAAGAGGCTGCGGTGGGATTGAGGGGTCTCACGGAGGACAGTGACGAGAGCGAGTCTGAAATGGATAGTCCAAGCCGTGGACACACACGGCGGTGATCACGATTGGGTGTAGAAGGGAATGTAGATCGTGTATTGTTTTGTGTCCATCTTCTTTCCGGATTTTTATTTGTTTTGCCGTCTTTTCTCTGGTTATGGGTTTGGCTTTGGGTCGGGCTGTCTGTTCTTGTTTGTCTCCTGTGTATGTTTTTTCCTGTTCTTTTGTCTGTGGCTTTGTGGGGTTCATTTCTTATCTTATTTGGGAGGGGGATCACGATTTTTCTTTTGTTTTCTTTCCTTCCTCCACTCGAGTCCCAGACTCACTGCCTGGTGGCGGATGGGAGGGTTGGCGCGCGGGGAGTACTCTAGCTTTTAAGTAGGATCTGAAATAAGTAGAGTATGTAGGTAGACTGTGTATAGGGCGAGGGAACCGGATCTGAGCTTCCCCAGTGGGGCAGCGGGAAAGCAAAGCAATTGCAAGTCAAGTCAATTCAAGTCGCGAGTGATGATGGAGGCTAGTGATATCTTCGCGCAGAACGGTTCTTCTACCCGCCACGTTCGTGTTCCTCCATAACTCAACTCATAACACCTCCTGCTGCTCCAAGAACGGGTTCTCGATCCGCTCGCTGCCGTCAACAGGTGAGATCAATGTCAACATCGGTCCCCTCGCTACCACCAGTCCAAGCTCGCGCGTGTGCTCGTTTCCCTCGTCATCTGCGTCCACGTATCAGCTATCGTATGGCCCCTTTGCAAAATCGAAGTGCAAGGAAACATACCTCGCAGCGTCTCCTTAACCTCATCGAGGACGAGATTCATAAGCTGGTCGAAGCCCTTCAGAATACCGACGACTATCCCCCATCAGCCTTGTGCTCCTCCCCTTACCCTCTCCTCTCGTAGATCACATACCCTCGCGACCACCGTTAAACTTGACGGTAATAGCCTTATCCCGGAACTTTGCCAGGTCCAAGATGGCCTCACGAGGCTTGCGTTCCTGTTGAGCACCGCCGGGGCCGCCGCCGCGTCCTCCGCCACGTCCTCCGCCGCCACGTCCTCCGCCTCCGCCTCTGTCGCCGCTGTTGTTGCCGCGGAAGGGGCCGCGGAATGGGCCGCGGTGATTGTCCATTGTGTTTGTAGGTGGTGTTGCTGTGGTGGTGGTTATAGTGGTGACTACTGGGCGAAAGGTGCGTGGTGGGGTGGGGTGGAGGGTGGAGGGGTTGCTTCGTTGCTTGCTTGCGGTTGGTCGCGCGCGCTAGCAAGCGAGAGAGGCGCTGGCCGCTGGCGACGGGATAGCAAAGCTGGATAGGAGCTTGCATCGTCGCAACCTCACTCCTGACACTCCCCATTCACACTCACGACACATCATCGCAACACGCTACGATACCCATTTAGCTTCATCGTGGGTCTTGAGAGTTATTTCGTTCGAATCCCTGAATACCAGCTGACATTGGCCGAAGATATCCCTATCACCACAGCTTATCTAGATCCACAAACGCGTAGCTACAGCTATCAGCCATGGCGGTTATCTCCAGCAGCTCCGAAGCCTCACCAGCTCCTCCCACCCTCTACCGCGGCACCGAGAGCATGCATATACGCTTGACCCTCCCTGCGCTCTCCCCGCCGGAGGAATTCCCCGAATGTACCACGGCAACTGCAAAGTATCCTGCCAAAACGCACGCGCGCTCGGTGGCCTCACGGCTCCCGACAAAATACGGGTTGATCTACCTCGAGGGAATGCCGTCACAGACTTTTGAGGATTCCGATATGTCGCCGAAGTTCAGGCAGAGACGCGGGTTCCTGTATATGTCCGGTGTCGTGGATATTCCCGATTGTAAGCTGGTGTATAACATCGAGACGGATCACTTGACGCTGTATATTCCGCCCCTGGATCCGAACACGGTGCTGTGGACGGGGATGCCGTTGGGGCTCGAGGAGTGTCTGAAGAAGTGAGTGAGACCTAAAGGGCAAAGAGGGTATAGGAGCTGATGGTTTTGGCGGTAGATATGATATCGATGCATGCTCCCTCACCACATCCCTCACCCACGACCTCCTCCATTACCACCTCTCCCACCCTCTCTCACCGGTCTACCACCTCCCCACGCACACCCCGCACCCCGCCGGTATCCCCTCCACCCTCGTCCTCACAACCCACCACCTCTCCGCGGCCCTTTCCACCAGCCGCGTCTACAAAACGCCCTTCGAGATCTCCCTGATCCGGCACGCGAACGCGATCACCTCCGCCGCGCACCGTGCTGTCCTGTCCACACTCCGCTCGGGCTACGCCACGAACGAGACGCATCTCGAAGCGGCCTTCCTCAGCGCGTGCACCGCGCGCTTCGCCAAAACGCAAGCGTACGACCCGATCATCGGGGCGGGGCGCAACGCCGCCACGCTGCACTACACGCTCAACTCCGCGCCGCTGAAGGGCCGGCAGCTCCTCCTCGTCGACGCCGCCGCCGAGTGGCAGGGCTATGCCGCAGACGTCACCCGCACCTACCCCATCCCCGGCAGCAAGATCTCGGACGAGGCTAGGGCTACATACCGCCTCGTCGAGCATATGCAGGCAGAGTGCATACACCGCTGCGTGGCCGGCGCGGACTTCCTCGAGCTGCATAGGCTAGCCCACAGACTGGCCGTCAGGGGACTATTGAAAATGGGCATCCTCCGCGGCCGCGAAGAGGAGATCCTGCTGGCCGGCACGAGCCGCGCGTTCTTTCCGCATGGCCTGGGCCACATGCTGGGGCTGGACGTGCACGATGTCGACCTGCCGCCCATTCCCTCCTCCTCCTGCTCCTCCTCTCCTACCACCCCCACCACTGCCCACGTAGTCGACGAAGTGCTCCCGCTGCACCGCGGGGAAAAAGCGCGGATCATGGCCCCCAGACTGCTCGAGGAGAACATGGTCGTCACGATCGAGCCCGGGATCTACTTCTGCGAGTGGATTGTCACGCCGTACCTCCGCGACCCAGTGCACGCGAGGTTCATCTGCGAGAAGGTCCTCGATAGGTTCTGGGATGTGGGCGGCGTCAGGATCGAGGACGATATTCTCATACTGGCAACGGGGAGGGGGAATGATAATTTGACGGGTGCGCCGAAGTGGTAGGTACTGGGGAGTGCTGGGGGGGTAGTTGGGGTTTGTATAGGTTGGGGGTTGGGATTGTAGGTATATAGGGCGTTTTCTTGGGTCGTTTTCTTAGTCGTTTGCGGAGATGTTATACCATTGTCAGCTATGTAGAAGAGGGTAGAGGAGGCTTTTGACGTCATGCATGGACTCGTATCTCTTCTGTCTTGTGTTCGAAAACCCAGAATCTATAGTCAGTACCTAGCCACACTAGCAATTACGTATACCCCCGGCCTTCTTCCCTCGCCCCTCTCCCCACCCCGTCTCCTCCCAAAAACACAACGATCGCTACATACCTACATGTAAAAGAGCCTAAAACGAAAAAATAAATGAAAAGTAGCAATCGACAAGTTACTTCAGTACGAACTTAGGTTTACACGTAAATACACTATCTGCTCCCGCTACCGCTCTCCATCCCTTTCCTTTTCTTTCCTTGACTCACCGTCTTCCGTGAGGCTTCGCCAGTTCCTGGAAGGTACTCTCGATGTTTCTCTTGAGCTATTTTCGGTCAGCATGAAGGAAGCGGGAACAAGGAACTGGGGGGTGAGTAGGTAGGAGAACCAACATCCTTATACGACAGCACGAAGCAATTAAGGCTATCTCTCGAGACGAGCATGACCTTCTCGTCTATGCCTGCGTCGAGCTTATTCAGACACGTAAGGACGTGCCCGATATCGACGACGGGATTCCCATTCTCGTCGACAGAGTGGAAGACATAGTCTCTAAACAGCTTGATATAGTAACGATCGCCCGTCTCGCTCCATCTGGGGTCATGATCGAACTCGGGGCGCTCATTGATGAAGCCGAATTTCGCCATGAGGCGCACGAGGCGGGCGTTCTCCAGCTCGCGCATGAGCTCGGACTCGAGCGTGTCCTCGTAGTGCAGCGAGCTGTTGAGGTTCATCAGTGCGTGCTCGGCGATGTTGCGGGCTAGCTCGTTGATGTTCTTGACTTGGCCGTTCACCAGCGCGAGGATCTGGTCCTTGAGGTGCCCTGAGTACTGCTTCGCCATATATTCCATGCTCTTTTGTGGGTTCTGCGCGGCGATCGGGCTGTTGCATGCGATGGACAGCATCATACGGCCCAGCTTGACAAAGTCCTCCGCTTGGTGCTCTTGCAGCGTGCGCGAGGTGTCGGGTTGCACAACGTCGAGCACGCCGCAGCAGTTCAGACGGATCCTAAGGGTGTGTGTTAGTAATGCGGTATACTGAACGAGTGGCAGTGATGATACCTCATTTTGCTCGTAAGCAGCACCTTGGACGGCTCGATCGCACGGGCAGCTAGTCCAGTGGTGTGAATCGTCTTCAATGCTGACGCAATTTGAACGATGTAACTCCATATAACGTTTTCTGGCACGTGTCTAGATCCGCTAAACATGGACGCAGATCCGAAATGTGCTTCGGCCAGAGTTTTGGACAATGGATGGTAGTCGTACACAAAGACGATAGAGCTGTCGCCGAACTTGGTGGTGGTCCAGGCATTGTGGATTGTTACGACATTGGCACAGGTGAGCTTCTTCCACCGTTGGATCACTCGGATGTCGTTCTCGTTGACCAAACGGAATCCTGGTCGTCGGCGTAAACACCAGTTGAGCCGTAAAGGGGCGCGGGGGGCCTACCTTCGATCCTCCGTAGAGCATAGATGTTACCCTCATCTGTCGAGAAAGCCTTGTAGACCCAGGATGGATAGCCAAAAACCTGAGTGCTCTTCTGGTTCGACATGTCGAGAGGTACCAGCGAGTGATATTCGTTGATCGAAGCGGGAAGCAATGATCCGGATATATCTTCAAGGATTCTCCGTTACCACAAGGTGAAACAGACACAAAACGCCCAGGGGAGGACTTACGTGGCATTGTCTGGAGAGCCGCCTCTCCTTTCCGCTGCAATTCTTCTCGCAGGTTATCTGACAGGAAGAAGCCGTGAACCGTCTTCTGGAAGGGCAGTAACTTTTGCGGATACGGCGCCGTCGGCGCATAATGTAAGAAGTTAAGCTACAGCAAGCGGTCAATTTTCGGTCTCTTTCCTAAAGCAGTTAAGGAGTAACTGACGGGCATATAAGAGCTCTGTGGCGGCTGGTAAAACATATCGACCTGTCCCTGTGCATATGGGTTCACCTGGCCAGTGCCGTACTCATAAGGAGTTATGCTTTGAACAGTCTTCAGTCCGTTAGTTCGACGTCTACTCTTAGCGGGCGTGAATACATTGTCTCCGAGCCCCATACTATCAAACCCTTGCTGTAGACCCTGGTGGTAAGATTGCGAGTCATGTCCCGGTGACATCATGAAGCTGCGGAGCCGCGATGTCAGCCAAAGTTGCCCTCTCTCTCTCTTTATCTCTCTCTCTCTGTGGCACATCCAGGATCTTAAAGAAGGTTTTATGCTTACCTGTTCGTGGTATCTTGCTGAAACTGTGGTTGAACCGGCGGGGTGAGGGCACCCAGCATTGGCGGAGGGGCAGTAAGAGAGTGAGCTTGGAGCACAACCCAACAGCGGAACTGTAGGAGGACAACGCCTACCTGTATTTCCTCTCGGCGTGAACGGCGCAGCATCGACTGTTTTCGGGGATATGATATTCTTAGGCGGCGTAGATGGTGTGAATGACGGCGAGTCGACGTTGAACTTCCCCCGTCCTAAGCTGTGGTGGTGCAGGTGTCGGTGGTTAGCTGTTGTCATTTGAAGGTGGGAATGCTTCGTCTTCGTTATTGTCTGGTATTTCGCCTGGCGGTTGTGGGCCGAGCTTTGACAGAAGACAAAGAGCGAATTCAAACTCTAAACCCACCTGTTGGCTCCATTTGCATTTGGCTTTGAGCCCGGTTCATGATTGAATGCGCAACCTAATAAAGAAGCCGACCGTCTAACGTCAGGCCGAGTCCACATCACCCCTTCCCACGGCCTCTTCGCCGTACTCGACCGGCCGGGAACCAAATGGTAGAGTCCAACCTTTGCTCTCGTATCGGCAGTAGCCGTATATAGTGAGATTCCGACATATCGTGTTGGTCGAGTCTGCAGTAACGTTCCGCGAGGTCAGAACCGCCATTCCCGAGTGGCCAATTGGCCGTTATGAGGTGTATCACCTTTCGTTCTCGGTCGCGGCGACGATGTGAGCGCGCCGACTCGTCTCTCGCTTGGCGGGGGAGTTCTTGCACCTGTAAACAAGCATTGGTAAAAAATTCCAAAGCTTCTACCACTTGGCGACGGCGAAGGCTGCGCTGTGGGGGGGAGGGGGGTGACGTACGATCTCCCGAAGCGGTTGAGGGTCTTTCGGCCATTGCGAGCTCTTCTGTTTCTTGCGGGAGGTGTGGTATAGAAGTGGATTACTATGGCAGTATGGGAGCGTACAAAATGGATTATTGTCGGCAACTGGCGGGCTTGGAATAGTGTGGGTTTTGTCTTCTGGTTCGTTCTTCTTTCTATAATGCACACCCTTGCGGTCTGAGCTTTGAATGATGATGCTTTTGCTATATGCGCCTTACCACAGCTTCTTTCTTCTGTTTCTTCTTCGCTTTGTTCCTGTCGCATGAACACTTCAGTACAGCTGTGGGCAATTCAAAAGTAACTTTGGCGGTTCGAGAGCAAAGGCACGCGCAAGGCTGCAGCCTGAACTCGCGGTTTCTGGCTTTGTTCGTCGGTGGTGGGTGGCGGGGTAGCGGTGGTAGGAGGAGACGAGCGGGGGGAAGGACTCGGGAGGGGAGAGACGAGATATCAGCGCTGGGAGTGCTGAGGTGTGTATCCGGCCGTGGAAGAAGCTTGCCGAACAGCGAGCCTGCTCTAATGCGGCCGAGGGCAGAGGGCTGGGAGTTGACGATACTTGGCGACGATGGATGGCGGGGATGTCGAGTTAACTGTGTTGAAGGGAACACGGAAGTGACACCAAAAGCTATCTTCTTCCTGGTCACGTGCCCCCACCCCCCACCTCAGTCGTCCCTCTCACACCACACAAGAAAACAACGCCGATTTAAAAACTCGATTGCAAAAAGAGCTCACAAAATAACTCGAAGCCCAGGAACGGGACTCGAAATTACCAATTGGACAATGGAAGCAGGTGATTTGGATACCGAAAATGCTTCGGTCTCGGACGCTGCTCCTTCGCGCGACTTCCGAATCATCTACCAAAAGGTGTTTCCGTTCCCGGCGCGTCACGACTTGATTGCTTGGAGTCCACAGCTCGATCTACTCGCCGTCGTTACGGACAACGGCAATGTCCTGCTGTATCGCATGAACGGACAACGCGTCTGGGGAATTACGTACAAGCCCGGAAACGGCGGGGTAGAACGGCTTCAATGGCGTCCAGATGGTAGGTAGAGCTCGCAATCCGCTCGTAAGAGGAGAGGAGGAGGAAGAGGAGCTTCCATGAATTGTCTAGCTAACACCTTCTTGAAGGAAAGATGTTGGCTCTAGGCTACAACGACGGATCGACGCGGATATACGACGTTAACAACGGCAAGGCGATCCACCAAATCGTCTCCGAGTCTCCCGAGTTTGGCCGAGTGACCTGTATGGGATGGGCCGACAACCACTCCCACGCCTCCAGACACAATCAACCGTTGGACGCAAAATCGGCTGAATGTACGCCGCAGGCTTTGTTCGACTTGGACATCGGCTCCATGCTGCCGCGGCTTAGTGTCCTGCCGCCTTCATCTGGACCCGAGAGCACCTTCACATCCAAGACCACACTCGACGCCCTGATCAATACTGTTGCCAAAGGAGGAGAGGGTAGCCATCTCGATGTGCTGCTGATTGGCGAAGAGGGTGGGAAGGTGATTCTGAATGTGTTCGAATCCTTCCTGATCGGCACGATGGAGCTCTCGTCACTGTGCCACCAGTTGAAGCGTGGCTCGACACTTCTGCGGCACACAGCGTCTCCCAACCTCTCTACACACTCCCTCTTAATCTCGGAATATAAGACTGGAAACCTGCTGTTTTCGACCATGGACATACTGTTTATTGAACAGTTTGGTCAATACTTGTTTCAGCTTGCGTCCACATCTACACGCGTTCAGGCATTGATTAGGTACATGCGGGAAACGGTGACGAGTATCGCAACTGAATTCAAGTCGATGAATGATATAGCGCAGAGATACATCAGCATTGTCGACGAAGATCTGGAGAAGGTCGGCAGCGAGGCGGCACTGGAGTTTTATGAGTTCTTGGTCACTGGAGTCCCATCTCCCACGCTGAAGGAGTGGCTGGTAGATGTGTTGACTGAGAGAGTGAGTATCTCTTGCTTTATGTGGAAGGGCGGCGGCGGCGGCTGACGGTTGGTAATAGGGTCAAAAACGATGGGAGAAGAGTTCGCTTGCTGGCTACGAGATGCTGAGAAGATTGGTTCACGAGAGCTTACTTCCGACATGTGAACGGCTAGTGGTGCTTTTCTCTCGGTTGAGAGGGTTAGCTAGATGGTAATGTTCCTCCAAATACTAACGAGATCAACCTTCTGACTCCCTTGCAGGAAAGAGAGCGGCAGTCCTCTAGGTCTCGAACCTGACGATTTCACCCGCTGTCTGGAAGTAGTTGGCGGTATCAATCTTTACGCGCACGAGTTTCTCCAGGGCATCAACAATGAGCTGGACCACTACAAGGCGTTCATAAACTGGTTGCGCTATTCTCTTGACCAGATCTCGACCGTCATCAACATCGATGACAACAAGCCTACCGAAGACCCTCAAGTGGACGTCCTCAAGGTGGCAGATTACATCAGCCAGTATCTCAAGAAATCATCGCTCGAGTCTTACTTGAAGAGTGACACTGCTACTAAGCTCAGCGATTACAAGAACAGAGGGGAGAGCATCTTCGAACTCTATTCCAAGGACAGCAAATCGAAAAATGTCCCCGGACTCATGGAATTGGCTGAATACTTGGATGAGCTCTGCAAGACTGTGTTCTCAAAGCCCCAGGCGGCTATGAGGCAGCAGTTGCGAATCAGCAATCCGCTGCTTCTCAGCCCGGAGAAACTCGAGATCGTGGAAATGAGGATGGTCAAGAACGATCAAGCTTATATTTGTGTTTTCCCCGGCAAGGACAAAGGAGGCTTTTGTGAGTGCAGATATCTTCGTGTGGCTTCCGGGTGGTGACGCTGACGCGACTGGGCATGATAGTCTACATGATCAGCTGTGAGATCGCCATCAGCGGCGGACTGAGTTCGTCATCGAAGGTTGGCTGCGCCAAGATACAGCTTCCTGATGAAACGTTCATCGCAGACCTCAAGTTTGTCGACCACAAAATGATAATTGTGATCGTCCAAGATCTAGGTGAGCCCATTACCCCTCCTCCTCCTTCTTCTCGTCCCAGTTCCCTACTAAATCCCCTCTCTAGTCACCAAAGACACCGAGGTCGTAACGGTTGACTTCACCGAACTCGAGTACGATTCCGGATTCCAGCTTCCAAAATCGTCAAAGAGCATCTACAGCCACGCAACATCCCTCAAAGCACAGGAGCTCATAGCGGTTTCTAGAAGAACGTTTGATTCCTCCTGGGTTCCGAGACAGGTTGCCGTCAATGGAAAGCTTGACAGAAGGGTTGGATGCTTGATTGCGGCTGACAGCATGAAGTACATCATCTTTGATATGGATCACAGTGAGGAAGATGTGGAGGCGGCCGAGGCGGCGGATGACACTATGGAGTACGAGGAGTACGAGGAGGAGGAGTACGATGAGTACGAGGAGGAGGAGGAGGAGTAGAAGGGGGGGGCGGGCATAGATACTCGGTTCATTTCGCCATCCATCATTCAAGGCGCATTGCATAATTCATGGCGTTTCGGGGGGCGCAAGGAATACTACACAGATTTCACGCTACGTCTACATATCACTGTAACACTGTTTGAGCTGGGCTTGAGTTCGTGTTGGGGGACAAGAATGTAGAGTAGATGCAAGCAAGCTCCAGGTGCAGATGACATGTAGGCAGAGTACCGTCGACCGCGGTATGTACATACGGTATGTACGGTATGTACGATGTACGGCGCTGCAGCCGGCAGCACGTCTCCCCCCTCCTCCCCCCTCCCCCAATCGGCTCCAGATGCTGTGCTCACGTTGTGTTCCACCTTGGGATTCCGACCCGAGAACGAGCGGGCAAGCGAGCGGACGGGAGGTCGGGGTGGTTCGTTTGTCCAGCCAGCCATGCAGGTCGACGATAATAATGGACCAGGTCTGAAGTATGTGGCAGTTCGCATGAGGAAGAATCTAATCTTCACGTGATTTCCACGTTTTTTGTGACCAGCCTTGCCCTGCAGCATGTTGGCGTTGTTGCTGTCAGTGTTGTTGTCTCTGGCTCTCTGGCTCTCTGGCTCCCTGGTTCTGGCTCCCTGGCAATCGGAGTCATATGTACGCGCTCAGGTGCACGGCAGATGGATGTAGAAACGAGCGGGACTGATGACGGTAATTGGGAATACCCAGTCCACAGTGTGCACAGAATAATCGGGAATACCCAGCCCACAGTGCGCACAACAAATCCTTCGTGACGGAAATCGACAGATCGTCTCCCCGGTCATTTCAGCCTGATTTTGGCGGTGGACATGCCGCTATGGTGCCCTTTTTTCCTGGGCTTCCTTCGACCGGCGTTCTGCGGCCTTCCTTGAGGTTCGGGGAGTCGAGGGGCAATCTGATCGGTCGTTGACATGGATCATACGGAGGAGCCCTACGGATGGCAGAGCGAGCACATTATTGTGAAGTCCCCGAAATCTTTTCGAGGATGACTGGCTCGCTGCTTTCACACAACCGTGTTCCTTCTCCTTCTCCTTCTCCTCCTGCTCCTGCTCAGCTCCACTCCTGCTCCCGCTGCTTCTTTCTTCTTCGCCAGCCAATCCGCAAACCCCAAAGATTACGTTATCTCGATCATCTGTCAAAGTGCCGTTAGAGCAACTCCATCATCACCACCGCATAAAGCACCTTTCCTGCTGGCTTGGCACGACAGCACGGACTGCAAATCGAAGGTTCGTTATCCCACCACCCCAAAAGTTCCCCACCATCCATCCTTCCACCACAGATTTTCCCTCCACCACCGCCCACTCACAGCATATACCAAACACCCAACACACACCTCACCCACACACGCTGAACCTCCCGCTCACTGATCCCATACAGTAGCTTAACTTCGTCAGCCTCGATCCAGTCACAACACCGCCAGGTATCTACAACCCCCCTCGACCCCCTCGACCCCCTCCACCCCCTCCACCCCTCCCTCCCCTGCCAAACATCACTCCCGCACCCGTTCCTTCCCCGTTCCGCTCCCATCTTGCTTGCTGCCTGGTGTGGTGATCGTCTATCGCAATCCCCATCGGCAATATCTGGCGCAGAGAGTATCAGGAAACTAAAAAGGAACGGTGTAACGTCACCAGTCGAGTTGCAGTACGCAGTTGCAGGGTTAACCTCCGACCTGTATCAACACACGCAGCGCCTCGTGCTTTGTTTTCACTAGACGACCTCTCCTCCGCATCTCCGCCTTCAACCCCCCCACCCTCCCGACCAGCCTAACTCCACGCACCCCCATCGCCGGGAGTTAAACATCCACCTTTCTCCGACTACATTACCACCATCACCACCGCAACGATTCTGACTACATCACCCCCGCCTTCACTTCACCCCGAAATAAAAAAGAGACATCCGTCACAATGAATGTAGCTGAGGTCCTCGCAAATACTCTCTCTCCAGGTGAGATGCCCCCGCTGTCCCCCACTGTCCAGACAACCGACACAACCGCTCCCCTTCCCTCCACCAACTTTCTCCATAAAAGACTCCATGCTAAACACCCCTACAAACAGATGCCACAATCAGAGATAATGCGGAAAAGCAGTTGTCGGCGGCTGCGGAGACGCATTTCGTGAGTCCCCACTATCATTCACCAACCAACCACCTCGGTCACTCCTGCTATCCGGCGTGAGGCTGCAGAGTGGAAGCGGAGAGATGATGAATGGCTGACGTTGACTACAGCAAGACTACCTGCACATGTTGTCGGCGGAGATGGCAAAGGAGGATTCACAACAACCCATCCGTGCCGCAGCTGGTCTCGCTCTGAAGAACGCGGTCTCCGTTAGGGATCGAACACGTTTGGCCGAATTACAGGATAAGTGGCTCAACAAGGTCGACCCTACTGTCCAGGCACAGGTCAAAGAGAACGCACTAAAAACGCTTCAATCCGAGAATGTCCGGGCCGGTACTTCGGCTGCTCAGTTCATTGCTGCCCTGGCCACAATCGAGCTGCCCCGGAATCAGTGGCCCGAGCTGATGCCCGCCCTGGTGCGGAACGTCGGCGAGGGTTCGGATGCCCTCAAGCAGTCATCGCTTACGACAATCGGTTACATTGCTGAGTCTGAGGATCCTGAACTTAGAGAGAGTCTGGCTCAGCACTCTAACGCGATTCTCACTGCTGTCGTGCAGGGTGCCCGCAAGGAGGAGCCGAACGAGGATGTGCGGTATTCGGCGATGGTCGCTCTGGGCGATTCCCTCGAATTCGTGCGGACAAACTTCGAGAACGACGGAGAGCGTAACTACATCATGCAGGTCATATGCGAAGCCACACAGAGCACCGATTCGCGGATACAAGCTGCTGCTTTCGGCTGTTTGAACAGGATCATGAGCTTGTACTATGACAAGATGAAGTTCTATATGGAGAAGGCCTTGTTCGGTCTCACCATTGTAGGCATGGGACGTCCTGAGGATGAGGTGGCCAAATTGGCGATTGAGTTCTGGTGTACTGTCTGTGAGGAGGAGATCAGCATTGAGGAGGAGAACCAGCAGGTGGGTGTCCCCTTCCCCCTCCACTCTCACCTGGCAGCTTGTCCGGGGATGTATTCGTGCTGACGATTGACAAGATCCAGCTGGAGGGAATGACGGAGTTGCGACCTTTCTTCAACTTTGCCGGGATCGCCACGCGAGAGGTTGTTCCTGTTCTGCTCGAGCTCCTCACCCACCAGGACGAGGACGCTGCCGACGACGAGTATAATACTGCTCGCGCTGCCTACCAGTGCTTGTCCTTGTACGCTCTGTGCGTCGGAGGAATGCTGATCAGCGATGTCCTACAATTCGTCGAGGCCAACATCAGAAGTGAGGACTGGAGAAAGCGGGACGCTGCTGTTTCGGCGTTTGGCGCTATCATGGAAGGACCAGAATTTGTGCTGCTGGAGCCTTTGGTCAAGCAGGCCTTGCCTGTACTTGTCGGAATGATGGATGACCAGGTCTTGATGGTGAAGGACTCTGCTGCCTACACTCTCGGAAAGATCTGCGAGCAGTGTGGTCTTGCCATCGATGCCCAGCTACATCTCCCCAGCTTAATTCAAGCCCTATTCTCTGGATTAAAGGATAGTCCTCGGATGGCGAGCTCGTGCTGCTGGGCCCTGATGAATTTGGCCGACCGGTTCGGCTACGACAATCAGGACGGCGATGAGGTGCCGTTGTCCAAGTACTTCAAGGACAGTGTCAGTGCTCTCCTGCAGACTACTGAACGCCAGGACGCCGACAACCAGCTCCGCACCGCTTCGTACGAAGTGCTAAGCTCGTTTGTTACCAACGTTGGCAACGATGAACTCGGCTCGATTGCCCAGCTGTACACCGTCATCCTGGAGCGTCTTGAGAAGACGATCGAGCTGAGATCGCAGGTTGTCAGCGCCGATGATCGCAACGCGTTGGAAGAGATGCAGACCAGCTTGGCTGTCGTGTTGACTTCCATTACCCATCGTCTCGACAAGGAGGTTAAGCCTCAGGCGGACCGCATGATGCACATCCTCCTTCAGATTCTGAGCAGTCTGCCACCGAATTCGTCCGTTCCGGATGCCATCTTCGGAGCCGTCGGTGCCCTCGCCAACGCTCTCGAGGACGAATTCGCCAAGTACATGGAGGCGTTTGTTCCTTACCTCTACAACGCTCTCTCTAACCAAGAGGAGCAGCAGCTTTGCGCTATGGCAATAGGATTGACTAGCGACATCGCTCGCTCCCTTGGAGAGCTCGTTGCGCCGTTCTGCGACAACTTCATGAACTACCTCTTGAACAACCTTCAGAGCAACACCCTCAGCCAGCAGTTCAAGCCGGCTATCCTGCAATGCTTCGGTGACATTGCTCAGGCTATTGCGGGCCACTTTGAGACTTACCTCGAGGTCGTCATGGGTGTCCTGCAACAGGCAGCTGGTATCTCTGTCAACTCGGACACTAACTACGAGATGATCGAGTACGTCATTTCGCTGCGCGAGGGAATCATGGATGCTTACGGTGGCATCATCATTGCGATGAAGAGTGGTGGAAAGCGTAATTATCTCCAAGCCCTTGATGATAACTCTACTGACATCCTCATAGCGAACGTATTGGCGCCTTACGTCCAGTCCATCTTTGGCTTCTTGTCGGTCGTCAATGCGGATCCCAACAAGACAGAGGGATTGATGCGGGCTGCGATGGGTGTTCTTGGGTAGGCACCACCCTCCCCCGTGAAGACTCGTTTAAGGTTCTCTGACACTGATGTTACGTAGTGATCTTGCCGAAGCTTTCCCGAATGGAGAAGTCGCTCAATACTTCCGCGCCGATTGGATCACCACCATGGTTCGGGAAGTCCGCTCCAACCGCGATTACTCTTCCCGCACCATCGAGACGGCGCGATGGGCACGGGAACTGGTCAAGCGCCAGCAGCAACACAACGCTTAGACCCAGCATGAAAGCAATAAAACTCTTTAGAAGGCGCTCGGTGAGAGGCATTGTGTGGTTTTTCTTTGTGCTATATCGGTGGGTTGGTTGGGGTTCGGTCGCCTGGGTGCTGTTCTTTGCTTTGCTTTCCGTGCATCTTTGGTCCTGCTTTCCGTGTCTCCTATTTCCCATTCCGTTTCCTTGAGTTGTTATAGGGAGGAGTTTTGTGCTCTAATTCCTGTTTTTGCATCTGCCCTGGCCCCTCTCGCAACACCACTACCTACATCAACTCCAACCTGTCGCACATCTACATCCCTTCCCCTCCCCATCTCCCCCTCCCCCCTCCCCTCACCCTCACACCTCACATCTCCCCCCCATATCACACTTGCTCATGTCATAATGGAAAGAGATTCACAACCTGGGAATGCCCTTGACGATGTTTATGTGTTCCAAGCTGATGCCCGAATATTAATACTCCTAATGTATTCTCTGTACCACCACTGATTCCCTCCGCCCTACTGTACTACACGTCCCGGATTGCCCCACCATATCCGGTCCTCCTCATCCTCATCCTCACCCCATCTAACTACCTTGAATGCCTCAGACGCCCCTATTATTATTACCATCCTCATCCTCATCATCTGCCCTGCATGTGGGGCCAGTGCACCATAAAGGTGTAAACAAGTGCTTTGTAAAAATGTAAAACAGCTTGGAATATATAACAAAGATTTCATGGCTTGCGTGCACACCTAAATATGGTCTAATTTCTCTCGATCCGAAGAACCGGAGATGGTGGATACATGGGTTGCATTATGTCGCACAATATCACTCAAAATCACCCCGCAGGTGCCCAGCCTTACCTACTAACTAGAGCTTCGGATTCGCTTGAGCCTCAATTCAACGCACGACCTCTCGATTGCTCTACACCTCCATCCCACCAACACCACCGGCCATCACAAACATCATCAACCACATCCGGCCCTACCTCACTCACCTCGCCAAAATCTCCCACCAGCTCGCCGGAAACTCACAGCCATGTCGGGTTCGTCTCTGGAGTGGAACGCGTGCGAGTTGGGAGCTGAGCTCTGAGGAATGAATGGATAACTAACCGCGATGGATAAGCAGGAAGCGCCGGTTTCGATAGGCACATCACTATCTTCTCGGATCAGGGGAGGCTGTATCAAGTCGGTATGTTGTCCAGAGGAGGAGGATGGAGTTGGGGGGGGAAGGGAATGCAAGTTGGTGGTGGGATGCGGATGGGAACTGAACTGGCTGACTGGATGGGTAACAAACAGAGTATGCGTTCAAGGCCATCACCGCGGCAAATATCACATCCATCGGCCTCCGCGGAAAGGACTGTGCCGTCGTCATCTCGCAGAAGAAAGTTCCCGTACGTCTCTCCATCCTATTCTATCCGGTCCTTTCGCGGCTGGTATGGCGAGCTAATGCGGTGGTGTCGGTGCTATAGGACAAGCTCCTCGACCCCTCGTCGGTAACCTACATCTTCAACCTCTCGCCGAGCGTCGGCTGCGTAATGACGGGCTCGATTGCGGACGCTCGTGCGTCCGTCACGAGGGGAAGGGCCGAGGCCGCAGAGTTCAGGTATAAGTACGGCTACGAGATGCCGTGCGATGTGCTCGCGAAAAGGCTGGCGAATATCAACCAGGTGTACACGCAGAGGGTATGTTTTGACGGCGGGCGAGTGGAGTGGTGGTGGGGGGGGGGGGGGGGGGGGGGGGGTTGTGCAAGTGCTGATGGCGGTGGAATATAGGCGTACATGCGTCCCCTCGGCGTGTCGATGACGCTCATTTCCCTCGACGACGAGCTGGGCCCGCAGCTCTACAAGACGGATCCGGCGGGATACTACATCGGCTCCAAGGCGACGGCGTCGGGGCCCAAGCAGCAGGAGGCGCTGAACTACATGGAGAAGAAGCTGAAGAACAAGGAGTTCGCACCCGGCGATTGGAAAGAGGTTGTCGAGACCGGGATCCAGGCGCTCAGCAGCGTGCTCAGTGTCGACTTCAAGAAGGGCGAGGTCGAGGTCGGTGTCGTCGGTGCCGATGGAAGCGCCGCGTTCAGAAAGCTCTCCGAAGATGAGATCGATGAGCGTTTACAGGCTATTGCCGAGAAGGATTAGGTCTGCCTGTCTAGTCTGTCTAGTCTGGCCGGCTGTTAGCGGAATAGATTGGTCGATTGCTTGCAACAATAGCGAATGAAACTTCGTCTGCGAGTTCCATTATACAGTTTCTTTCTTTCTACACACAGATGCCCCCCACCACCCGTGAGAGCAGAGGGGTACAGAATGCGTTTCAAAGACCCGCACTTGTCCGCGTTTCATCCGTGCAAATAAGTGAGATGCATACAGTCTACCTACCTATATATACTTCGAGCAAGCGTGTACGAACGCGTATATCACAGGCTGTATGAGTACATGGAGTGCTTGGGCCCCGAAGTACTATAATTTATCGCAGTGGGAATCATTCTATGCCACCGCTCTACTTTAACTTAGACTAAACAGCGAAACCTCGTGGTATATAGGCATCTGGGTACCTGGTAGCGCTTCAACTCGGAAGCTATATCCAAGAAAACCTAAGGTGGGTAGATACCTATCATAAGTCTCCTTTTTCTGCTTCATCATTCTGTATTCAACGACAGTTTCGGTAGGGCAGCCTCATCCCGACTACCTATCTCCTTGCGTAGAAATTATAGAGGAAAGGTTTTGCTGTAACTATTCCAAGCCTACTTTTTTTGTTAAATCATGGATTGCATGCGACATAGCTAGATGATGGCAATAGATGTACACACACACATACACACTCCGTTTCCATGTCCACTGATATTCCAAGCCTACCTAGAGGCTGGAAACGTGAAGCGTTGCTTATTCAAGTTGGCGTGGCGGGTGAGATCGCATGATCTGAATATTCCACCCGGACTCCTAGAGATGCCGTCTTGGAACAGTCCTTAAGAATAACATCTCATCCGTCCCAAGGTCTACCTCACTCTTACTTCCAATCCTCTACTCCTATTCATACTCGTACTCTTCACACAATAACAACACTACCACTCCACATCAGTCCTCGACAGCATATCTTGTCCAGAACTCGCTGTTTATCAGCACGACATCGTAAAGGAATCATATCGACGTCGGTGTAAAGCCTATGGAATTGCCCGTTTGAACTTTCAAGTGTTCCGTTCGATACCTGTGTAGAACACCGTCGGCAAAATATCATCACATCATGTCCCGACGGGGAGGATGGGAGGATGGTACGAGAGACGGCGGAAGAAAGTCAAATCGAGACGATTATCGGATTATGTACTTTATTTTGGGGGAGCAAACACCCATAGGTAATCCGTCCAGTGTGGAGTTGTGAATTGGATTTCGTTCATGGCATAGCCTGGCCAGTGGGACGCTTTCTGGGTGGAAAGGGGAGTAGGTTTTTAGGGCCATCACGGGAGAGATATGTTATACGTACCTACCTTGGAGCACATAAGGTGCGGCAAGTATGGGGAGGACTGTGGAGTGTTGTGGTAAGTATAAGTGGCGGAGAGCTTTGACGACGACCTCCAAGAAATAGGAGGAAAATTGCCAAGTACATACACAGGTACGTACGTACTGTGGGAGGGAATTTCATCCCGACACTGGGGCACCCATTCAACGTCTACTTTCGATAGGCGAAGCAACCCTCAATCGGGACTGGCAGGTGTCATTAGCAGTGTATACCTAGTATCATCATCGCCACTGACTCGACTCGTCTGCAGTACCTATTGAGCGCCGATTATGTACTTTTCTTGGTTGAAGCAAGTGTACCACGGCCCACGGGATGCCTTCCCCAGGGTAAATATCGGCAAGATCGGTGTTGTCTACGCGTACATAAGTACCGATCGGCTTGACCCATTCTCTTGGATGGGTCTTGGCTTTGGCATTGCCGAGGATGGTTATGTCCCCGTTTCGTGAGGGGCTGTTGGAGAGTTGTTTTACCCAGTGGATATCACAACCTAATCCCCAAAGGCGGTGGAATAATCGTTGTTGCGCGAGGAAAAAGACCGAGTGATGGCGCGGGATGGTGCTTTGAATGGAGCACTCAAGAGTCACTTCAGACTGTTCACTCTGCCTATGTATTACTTCTGTTCCTACGGTATGTACTCTACAGCTATACCAAGTATGAATGGAGCCTGCGAGGGGAGTGTGTAACTGGGTACCTATGAAACCTACAAATCCACACGTAGATAACTAGTGCTTAGTAAACCGAATCATCCTCAGGCCCCCCTCCATGCAGCGCCGATGCCATTACCGGACCTCACAGTGAATCTCAACGACGTCGTCAAGCTGAGCCACATGATTCACCTGCAGAGTATTGATTTAGAGTATCTTCACACTTCCAAGTTCCCGGGCTGTATCCGACAGGCTCGTTTCTGCGCCACGTTTCCCACAGCCGTCGTCGTAGATTTTCGGCTCCCGCGCGTCAGTGCGACACCACGCACTCATGACCAAGTGCATGCGTTATCCTATACGCGTCCAGAAGGCGGAGTTGGTTTAGCCAAGCCCAGCCCCGCCCCACCCTCTGTGGAGTCTGCAACCGCGCTTTGAGCTCACCAAAGCCACTCCGGAGCTAGATCGCTCCAGATATAGTACCTGGTGGGGATACAACGGCCATGCGACAGCGACACCGAGACGCTACTATACTTCGTACATAGATGCGACACCTCGCTCGAAAACCTTTAACTCTACACTCGTCTTTCTCCTCGCTCGCACTTTCTCTCGCTTTTACTTTCGCATACGGACATAGCAGCTATGGATAAGCGGTTCAAGAAGGTCTTCTCTTCTATCAAGACGCGTGCTGAGGGTGGTGAGTTTCCCTCTTCTGCCTAAGTGGGGGGCGTTAGCTGACGGGGAACCATGGCAGTCAGCAGCGGCCATGGAAGTAGCAGTAGTAGGAGCGGTGGAATGTCGATTACTGCGCCGCTGGCAAGCAGCGGGACACCTGAGGGCGATCTACTGAATGCCATCGTACGTCATTTGTCCTTTCGGAGCTCGAGAGGTCGGTCGGGGGAGCCCATTAGCTAACAGTCGGGCCACAGCACCTCTTCGTCTCGACCGGTGGTCCGGACAACCCCAAGCCAGGCGAGGAATTCCTGCATCTCCCCGTGATAGTCGACAACGCCGAATCCTCACCCGCGGCGGCGGCGCAGGCCGCCACCGCCCTCCGCCAATACCTCTCGGCGAAGAACTCGTCGCGGCCGTACATCCACTACAACTCGATCATGCTTTTGCGAATCCTGGCGCAAAACCCGGGGTACACGTTTACGCGGCACCTAGGCGAGGCGAAGTTCCTGGCCGCGATCAAGGACCTGCTGCGCAACGGCCGCGACCCCAGCGTGTGGCAGATCCTGGGGGAGACGCTGGACTACTTCTCGCAGGACCCGGGGCGGATCGCCGACGAGGGCCTGCAGCCGCTGCGAGACCTGTGGCTGCGCGAGAAGGCGAAGCGCCCGCAGATACAGCTGCAGACGCCGGCGGCGTCGCAGGCGCGCGGACAGTACCAACAGCAGCAGCCGCCGATGATACCGCCGCGACCTGGCTCCAACAACAACAACGCATCCCCATCCCGCCCGCATCTCCCCTCGCCGACCGAGCTCGTCGCACGAATCAGCGAGGCGAATACCTCGGCCACGCTGCTCACGCAGCTGGTGCAGTCCACGCCGCAGGCCGAGATCCCCGATAACGCGCTGATCCGCGAGTTCTCGGACCGCTGCAAGCTTGCCGCGAGGTCGATGCATGCGTACATCGAGGCCGAGGAGCCGGCGCCGCCCGATGCCGATACCCTCACTACCCTGATCGAGACTAATGATGTCATCTCGATTGCACTGGAGGGGCATAGGAAGGCGGTTGCGGCGGCGCTGAGGGAGAGGGAACAGTTTGCTGCTGTCGGGAATGCCAGGGTCGGCGATGTCGGCGAGGTCCCCGTGGCGCCGGTTATGCATGGGGCTAGAGATGTCAGGGAGAGGAGGGGTAGTAGTCCTGTCAGTCCGATGGTGAGTTCGCGCTCTTGTTACTCTTCTTTCATCACGAGTGCCTAACGGTGGCGATGCAGACACCTCACACGCCGGATCTACCGCCGGCTCAGCAGCAACAGGGAAGTGCTGGAGTTTTCAGGTTTTGATCGGTGAGTGCGGCCGAGGGAGGTGGTACATTTGATCTTTTGGAGTGGAGCGCTTTTTTGGTTGTTAGCTTGTGCTTCTGGTTTTGGTTGTTAGCTTGTGCTTCTGGTTTTGGTTGTTCGGTGGAGCGGAATTGAACGGGACTTGGTACTGGAACATGCTCAGATTCCGTGTGAGCTCGTGTGATGGACTCTAAGACAGAGTAACTTGGCATATTCATCGTGATTGGTACCAGAAACACCAGAGGGAATAAGTACATAGAAAATATTAACGCTGAAAACAAAAGCCAAATTCCAATCAAGCCCAGACCATCCTCTTGACAGCATATCCCCACCTCTCCACCAGTCCCGTCCCCTTCTTCGCCTCGGCGAGCGAGACGATATCCGACTCCTCAACCTTTACACCACTCGCCGCACCAGCCAACTGCGCACAAACCGCATCGACGATTTCTTTCTCGCTCTTACTCTTCACCTCTGCGCTGCTGGCGGCGGAGGAAACAGATGCGGGCATAGCCTTAAACGCCCAGAACTTCTTCGCGGCGTCCTTCGGGCCTGCAGCAGAGGCCGGGCGGCTCTCAGCAGTATGTGCCGGGTGCGTCTGTAGACTCCTAGTGTTGACACGGACGAGGTCCTTCTGGAGGTCACTAGCGGTGTACTCGAGCACGAAGCCGACGTTCCTTTCCTCGTCGACATGGGAGCCCGCCAGGGTGCCGGTGATGTACACGCCCTTGCGGATAGTGGTGATATCGTCGACGGACACGCGCTCGAATGCGGACACTTTCTCGAGCGCCCAGTCGAAGATGCACATGTACGCGGCCTTGTCGGTGAGGAGTAGCACGTTCTCGACCATGCCCCCGCCGCGACGCGTCCCCGGCTCCCGTGGAGAGAAGAATGTCCAGCCGCCCTGCAGCTGCTCGGATTCGTCGGCGACGACTATTTTGCTGCAGATCTCGATGGCGTTCTCGCGCACGCGCAGGAGGGACACCGCCGGGTCCGACGAAATCATCTCGGCCTCGAAGTCGGAGAAGACCTGGGCGGTGACGTTGCCGAGGAGGAAATCGATGCTGCACTGCGTAAAGAAGTCGGAGATTATGTTGGTGAAGTAGCGGGTCATAGTCAGGCCAAAGTCAGTGAGTGCGCCTTGGAGGTTGCGTTTTCGTGTGCGCGTGAAGTCGCCCTTGAGTGCTGCGGTGCTGGCGTATTGCTTCGAGATTGCGTCGCCGTTGTCCGCCCAGATCATGTTGAACCATTCGGTGCGGTCCGAGTCCTTGAGTTCGATGTCGAGCGCCTGGAGTTGCGTCTCAAGCGCTCGACGAGCACTTCCGGATTGGACGACGTTGGTACGGTCGAGACAGTCCATGCAGTTCGTCCGAAGCACACCCTTCTGGCGAGACTTAATACCGGATCCGGCGACTTCTTCTGTGTACGAGATTTTGTCCAGCACATCTCCAATCTCGGTGAACAGCCTGCTCACGTTCTCGAAACGCATGCCTCGACACTCCGAGTGGAAGTCAAACCACGTCCAGCCGATCTGCGGACTGGAATCCGTGGTGTTCATGTTCGTCACGTAGTCACGGTACTTGTCTCCCACGATCGCCTCGGAGCCGTGCTTCTCGACCAGGTTGACGACGTGCACATCTCCGTACCGCTCCTGCACATTCCTAAAGTGCTGTCGCATTGCCGCTGCATTGCTCTCATCCGAGAGTAGCAGTACGGGGCGAGGCCGCAGGGAGTATGGCGACTGGGAGAAGAATAACGGGATGCTGCCACGGATCTGGAGGTAGCTGAAGACGTGATCCCAGTTCTCAGTTGATAGCAGTTGCTCGGTTTCGACCGAGTTTGCGGTGTGGCCTTGATCATCGACGCCGCGTCTAAGATAACGGAGTCCGGCACGGCGAATCGACCGGCGAGAGATGATGGTTAAAACCAACTTCTTTTGGCTGGTGGTAAGTGTTGTGGCCCCTTTCGTGGCAAAGTCCTCCGTCTTGACAACATGTGGATTGTAAGACTCCTCCTCAACTACCGTAGGGCCCGGATTCTGCGTCTCCGCCGGTGTAGGAGGCGATGAGGGTGTAGCTGAAAAAGTTGTTTGGGCGACGAAGCCCTGCATGAGAGGGAGAACGAATCCGTGCTGATCAGAGTCGATGAACTGCTGCTGGAGATGTCTGTTCCAGAAGTACTGTTCCCAAGTCAGAAACTGACAGCGTGCAACTCAAGAGCGTAACCTACCAGCGGATCTACAATCTTAAATAGCGGAACCCCATTACTCATAGAGTTGGTTTGCGATCCCCACGACCTCGTGATATCCCAGTCGTAGCTGAAGTAGAAACTCCTGCTCTGTGCCAGCAACAACTTCGTCGTGTGCAGCAGCTTCGGCGTCAGGCTGTGGGTGACAGTTTCCTTGACGGCCTCGGCGACCTCCTTCGCCTGCTCCTCAACCGGGGCTGCATCCTTCTTCGCCTCCGCCTTCTCGCCCTCGACGATATCGCCCTCGGCAGTCGGGGGCGCCGGCTGATTCTCGGGCTTTTTCATCTCGGCATCACCAACAGCCTTCACCGGCGCCTCAGCACTCATCCCCTCGCTCCGCCTACGATCCACCGTCCACCCACGCTTCGAAAACCAGCTCTCAGCAAACCTTCCATACGCGCCCTTCTTCGCGATGACATCCTGACCGACGGAGGTGGTACTAGTACTCTGCCGCTTCCCCCCCTCCGCCGCCGCCTTCCCCACCTCAGCAATCTGATCCTGCACTTCATCATCCACGATCGCATCCTCGTCGGCATCCACATCCGTCTCGCCGCCATCAGTCTCGCTCCCGTTCCCTCCGTGCCCGTCCGTCACTGCGTGCCGCTTCACCGCCGCAGCAGTGCTCCGGTCGATCGCGAGCGCTGCGTCGCTCCGCGACGACAGCGGGATCAGCGCGATATTGGTGATGACATACACCGCATGCTGTCCCCGTATCGTAGCCACCTGCTCGCGCTCCGTAATCGCGATCAGGAAGGAGTCGGTCGGCGATACTTTCAGGAGTCCTATCCATCCCGTGAGCAAGCCGGCAAGCGAGCGGGAGTGGAGCTGGGGCTGGAGTTAGAAAAGCATACCAGCGATTCCGTGTGCCTCGACCCGCGAACTCTCGCCGCCGCCGGACGACTCCGGCCCCTCACGGTGCGCGCTAATCTTGTGCGTGCCATAGTCGACGCGGACACTGCCCGGCGGGACCTTGGTGGGAGGCGACGACCGGCTGGCGCGCGAGTTCTGCAATGGCGAGAGGATGAGCCCTTCGGCTGCCGCGATGATTAGGAGCTTGCGGGCGAGGGGGGGCATCGTGCTCGTATCTGGTCGTGGTCGTAACTGGTCGTGGGCGCGTGCGTGATAGGTATGGGAGCTATAGCGGGGTATATGTAGAGTATCGGTGGTCACTGGTTTTACTTTATATGGGATACGGGATACGCGGCAGAGCGGGACGAGAGGCTCGAGAGGCTCAAGGGGACGAGATGAGATCACAATACGTCAACGCATGGCAGGCAGGCAAGTGGGCCGGAAAACTTGGTGGAGTTGACTGAGACCCAGTACCCAGTACCCAGGCACCTGGTCGGCCGGTGGGGTTGGCTGCTTGGTTGCTTGGATGCATGACGACAGCGGCTGACTGGATCGACGGCACTTACCGCCGAGGAGCTATCGTCAAGCGAAAGCGAGCTAGATCCCAGCACCATGCGGAATTCCAAACTATCTACCGACGACATGTAGAGTACCCCATGAGATCCACTTTGTGGGTTCTCTCGCTTATGGTCAAAAGTGCCAGATGAATCAGTGTCATGCTAGGAACGGTAGCTTGGTACGGCACCGGTACCGGTATGTACCAGGTATTAAATCACGACCGGGCAAATCACGATTCATAACCACGCGAACCCTGGCCAGGACCAAAAAAAACACTCTGGGTTGACAATAGCTTGACAACCCGACCCAAGGCTGGTGTTTGAAGCTTTGTTTTTGGTTTCATCATACCTAGTGTATGTACCGTGTTCGACTTGTCTTGAGCATGGCATGCGTATTTCCGGTACCGTACTCTACCAGTATCCTGCCTGCCGTCTATACTATGAAGTATGTATGAGCAGCCCCAACCCCCAGCTCTCCGCTCGAGGTAATCAAAAGGTATAGGAATACTAAGGATACCACACGGAAACTGGTATTCAATACCTACGTCCGCGTCCACATCCGACGAGAACTGAATCGTCGAGTGATATCCCATGTATATCGTGCTTTCCCCCCTTCCCAGCTAAAACCAGCTGGCTTACGACTGACATCCTGCATGTAAAAGAGCGTGGGTTATGTAAACCACAATGAGCCCTGCCATTGATGTAGAAATCCAGCGCGGTGAGTCGAGTGGCTTTAGGTTTGGCTTTGGCAGGGGCCACGTCGAGTTCATGACCATGACCATAACCGGGTTGGAGATAATCCAAATTACAAGCTTACCGCTGGCTCTGAAACGCAAACAGCGATCCGAACGGCAAGATGGTTGTAAGCCGTGAAGGCCGCCGCGAAGCGTGGGGAGGTGACGGTAAAGCGTGACGGGGCACCACCCCGCCCGGAAATCCGTTCCTGGCCAGAAGCCGACCAGTCCTGGCCCGAGGATATTTCGTCCCCACCGTTGTCCCCCCACCCTGCCGTCATACCCGGGACCAATGAGCTGTGGTGCCTGGCAGCTTGACGCTAGAGCAGGTACTCCAATACCATAGTAGGCAACCATTGTCCCGGTAGCCATCTCAATAGGTGGTCCTTGAGCGGCGGAAACCTGCCTAACCACTCTACCGGTAGTCTTGCTGATATGTTCCGATTGGAGTAAATGTGCACTTACCCAAGCAAGCAAGTACCCAGGTCCGCATCAGCAAACACCTCCAGGCTTCAGATCCTAGCCGGACGACAATTCGAACAACCGTCCCCCATCACGACAACCGGCCCGAACAGCACGAGTACCGTGGTAAACTAGTAGTGATAGCACACTCGTGACTAGCTACTATAGGTAGTTGGTATCCGGCTCAATGTCGTGCGGATTTCAAACTTGGAACTTGGAACTATGGGCACTCACTGGGGGACGGTACTCTACCCATCGTTGGTTTTCCTGGGAAACGAGCTCCCCAGACTCCCAAAGCATTCACGCAAACTTCGTTATTATACTCGCGTGGCCTATCATAATCCCCAACCAAAGTCATTCTTCACAACCCTCGGGCCTCATGATGAGCATCTAGGCATCTAGGCACAGCAGCACGAAACTTCCAGAGTAAACACTCTCATTTCCCATCCTATTAACATAACAGTATAGGTAGTAAGGCTACCTATCATCGAAAAACTAGATACTCCATCCCATCCAACCAATCATCCAACCATCCAATCTACATCCCCCCTCAATATCTACCAAAACCAGGCCCTCGCAAAATCATAACCGTAACCGTAAATCATAAATCATAAATCATGCAACATGAGTAAAAAAGGAAAAGTCAAGACCCGGGGTATTCATAAAGGGTCGGGGGAACCTTTAACCTTATAACGCCGTAGAAGAAAGAAATTTATATGCTCAATCATGAAACAGAAACAGTAGGAATGATAGGAGAGTATTTTTTGATGAGGAAATAGGGTTATGGGTATATGGGTATAGAGTATGAGTGATAAAGCCTGCGTAGGTATTCTGACGATGTGGGGAGGGCCCAGGGGGTATGTGGGGCAGCGATGAGAGGCGGCGTGCCCATTCATGCCTTCTAGATGCAGGAGGAGGAGGAGGAGGAGGAGGAGGAGGAGGAGGAGGAGGAGGAGGAGGAGGAGAGGAGATCTATGACGCTAGGCTGGGCTCGGGAATCCCAAGAGTAGAGTAGAAGGGAAGATAATAGAGTAAAGTAAAGAAGCATGAGAATAAGAATGCGAATATCAGGAGAGCGGGAACATCCCGTCTCATCCGCCGCTCGAAGAAGCAACCGAATCTAACCACGCCAGTATAGTAGTAGCAGCAGTAGCAGCAGCAGCAGCAGTAATCATAACCATAACGCCCCTTTCCCACCCATCACCATACCACAGCCAAATCTTACCGTCTATACCAACCCCAAGACGAATCCCAACCCCACCCAGGATATGACCAATATCGCGATGCCATTTCCGATCGGCGTCATCGTGGGCGGCCCCGCACTGCAGATGTACCCCTGTTGCCGCCAATAATCGCAGCCCTGGCCGTCGGTGCCCTCGTCGACCACGACGGCGTTTCCATTGTCTATGAAACCCACGTATATAGTCAGCATCATTTCCTCCCGCACATCAATCATTCCTTCCAACTCTTTCCAAAAAAAAACGCAAAGCGCGCGTGGAGGGTATAATCCATCCTCAACAACCAGGCGGCACAAAATAATACCTGGCGAAGGAGACGGGGTATTTGTAGCGGCGGTCCCGCCGGCCGTCCTCGTGCGCGTAAAAACACCCGCCGTGACCACAGTCTGTGTGCGCGTGACCACGCCGCCGGCCACCATCGTGGTCTCCGTGCGGAAAAAACGGCTCAGTGGCCGTCACGGTTTCAAGGATTGTAGTGGCTTCACGTATAGTGGTCGCTTCAGGAATCTCACCTCCCGTGACCACTGTAGTCCCGCCTGTACCAGTGCCCGTACCTCCTCCTCCTCCTCCGGTGGTTCCCGTTCCGGTGCCAGTATCGCCTCCCGTACCCCCGCCAGTCGTGCCGCCGCCTGTTGCGCCCCCGCCCGTGAACGACTTGCCGTTGCACGTGCCGACGGGGTCCGCGCGTTTCCCCGCGTCGCCGGCGAACGCGACGTCTTCGCCCGCATCGGGGAATACCACGTCGGTGCCTGCGGCTGTGGTGCAGCCGTTGCCAACGTTGGCGACGAATACGGCCGGCCCAGTGAGCGCCCGCTTGATCCGTGAGCTGCCGCCCGTGATCGTTACGACGGCGCAGTTCATGTACCTACCCGCCAAAATCGAGTGTTAGCAAACCGGGGAGTAAAGGAACATGGAATGAAGACGGAGACGAACATTTCCCGATTTCCTATCTGATTAAACCACGTCCTTTGGCGCGAAAACAAACCGCGTTAGCAAGCAATCATTTCGAGAACGGAACATCTGTCTGGCGGGCGGGTGGGTGGTATCTAATTACATACCATGCAAACACCGCCGTGCCGGCCGGCGTTCCCTGGGGAATAGTGAACTGGAAGGCGCCACCTCCACTGGCATGGGGGCAGTCTCCAATGTACGATTTAATAACCGTGTACGAGACGCCCCCGTCGAACGACAACGACACCTGGCACGACCCGCCGCCGTGCGCCGCTCCTCCGTCAATCCTACAAATTACCATGATGTTAGAGGCGGTTCAAACATGCAGGTAGGAACGGAAAGGAACAAACTTGAGATCATAAGTCCCACCGGGCGCATAGTCCCTCACACTCGCACCCTCGGGCGTGTCGAGATCCTTCAGGTGGCCGCGGCACGGATAGTTCGAGCCGGACGGCGACAGCGGCGCGGTGTAGTCGAAATCCGCCTTTGCCGTGTTGTAGTGCGGGTTGGTCTTGTAGTTTATGGGCGGCGGCTCCGACATCACCATGTGTGCCGCGCACTGCGGTGCGAAGAGGAGGCATAGCAATAGTAGAAGGCCGAGCATCGAAGTGGTCGTTGATCCGCCGGAGAACGGGCCGCGCCGAGACGTGGTCTGAGACATGCTTGTTTTCGGTTCGGGCCGATGTGGTGCAGGGCTGCGTGTAACGCTGCGGTGGTCCGTCCACTCTTACTATCGATAAGGGAACGGGGGGGACGGGACAAGGTACAAAAAGGAAAAGTAACCTGAGCGAGCGAGTGAATAGAATAGGGACGCTCGGAGGGCGGGAGCAAGCGACAGCGTACTCCTATAAAAACCAGCAACCACAAAGGCGTATCTATATGGTTTGGCGAATGAATGGGGAGGCCCTTGGAGGATCGGAGAATGGGCGCAACGACGAGAGAGGGCAACGGACAGACGATATGGGGGCGGCAGTGAATTGTTGACGTGGAAGATTGCGTAGAGGGCCGGGGCCGCGTTCGCAGCAGCTGGAAAGAAGAAGGGCCTCGAAGTATCAATCAAGGGGAAGTATTTCCTTTGGGTAGGAAACCCGACAGCCGGCAATCAAGACAGACGTGGTATGTGGTGAATAGCTGACGATGTGTGTGGACGGGTGGTGGGTAAACAAGAATAGAAGGGGGGATGACGGACGATTGCTCTGCGGTCAACACAGCGCAGCAGAATCAGAAGGGGGTGGTGGGCCCGGAGAGTTTGGAGTGCGGTGATGCTCTCGAGCGAGACGGATATTTTCAAACAGCTGGTTTATGTATGACACGAACAGATGGTTTAAACAAGATGACGCTTTTCCTTCCGCCCCAACCCCTCCCCCGTCCTCTCGACGGTCTCCCTTGTCCGCGCGCTGCCGCTCCCGCTCTGCTGGCTCTCGTCATAGAGATCGTGTGGCAGAGATACGGACGGAGCCAGAGCAGAGCCAGAACGGCACCAGAGCCGGAGCCAGAGCCGTAGCCAGTGCGAGGCCTGCGCTGTGATGGGCGAGGGGCGAGATCTCTGGTGAGCGCTGTTACTTCCCCGCAACGGAGTATGCCAACCAAGTTCGAAGTACATTAGAGCGAGCTGTACCTGAGCGAGCCGACACCTACGTTTCGCGACACAGCCCCTCCGGATCGCCCTGAAGCGAAAGCGCACCACCTCCCAGCGGACCGGCGAGAGCGTTGACAGCAACCAGCTGCGCCAGAAGGAGCAGGCTCAAGCCGGCGAGAAGAAGAAAGAAAAAAAGGGTGGCAAGCGTCATGGGCGAGTCAGCGCTGGCCATCCTCCAGCGAATCTCCAGCGAATGTTCGCTGTGATGAGCTGGTCTCAGGCTGGTCCGCTCTGGGCCGCACATATGCTGCAATATGCGTGTCTCCCCGCGGCCCCACCGCGTGGAATTTCCCGGGGGATCGAAACAAAGCAGGAACCGCGGGCTACGACTGGTGGCAGATCTGGACCTCGTTCCTGTCGACGAAAAAGGCTTATGTCCAGGAACGACGTGTACACGGCGTGGGGAGGCTTACAGTTGTTAGTTTGGACCCTGCATGCGTGATCGTCCAATAGCGTTGCGAGCTGGGAATGGGACCACGTGCAAAGAAAAATCAATAAGCCTTCTTCGCACGCATATCGCTGAGGCCATAAAAAAGAGGACAGGGCGGTCGAGGTGATTGCAATGGCTGCGGTGGTCGCGGTGGTCGCGGGCGTGGTGGTGGTGGGGTACTGGAGAACTACCGGCCTAAGCAGCTCCACGTCGGTGGAGGGGTTTGGTTGGCCGTCGGGCCAGTCGTCTCCCTCAGTGGCTCGGTTGCCAGGCCAGGGCCACAGTCCTCGTTGACGTTTGGCTGCGCGGTCTCGTCTCAACCCTCGCACCCCCACCACTAGCAAAGGAATTGAGACGAACATTTCGTTTCTCGGGCATTGGGCGTGCAGTTGTTTCGCGCGATTGATTTTTTCGCTGTTCTGATAGCAGAAAGGCTCGGCGCAAGATGATGTCGCGTTACGGTGGAAAAAGAGGGCTGCAGAGTTGACCTCGCCCCTAGAGTAGCTCGCTGCCAGCTGCATCACCACCACCACCGCCGCCGCATGTATGTACAGGCGGCTGGAGCTGCATGGCGTGCATGCATGTATGGCGAGCGAGCGGTAAACGGAGGTCTCCACACGCGATTCTGCCTGTCGACGTGTCAACGAGAGAAGCGTCGAACAAACCATCTGCTTTCGCACAGCGCCAGGCCAGAGAGGAGAGATGGATGCAATGTCATTTGCAGGCAGGCTCTTTCGATGGCCACACGCACATAGGTAAGCGGTCCGTAGAGCACCTACAGTTGGAGTAAAGCGTAGAGTAGACTTCGGCCAGGAACGAACTAAACTGCTTCCAAAGAGTGGCCGATGGAAAGATGGGCCCGGAGAACGAAGAACTAGGCCTTTGGGGAGCTCGGTGAAGAGAGAGCGAGAGGGAGAGAGAGACAAACGGGGTGGCGGGTGGCGAATCTCGACCATCTACAGTTCCATCGAGTCATAGGTTGCAAACAGAATCATCGCCCATCAATGCTGGTTGTACTTATCACAGCAATTCCGTGGGCCCTCCGAGGGCCCGTGGTCACTGATGGGCTGTCCTGGTCAATGGAGGCGTGTGTTGGGCCATGCGGAGTGGGCGGTGGCTCGGAGCGACACGAAGTCCAACATGCCAGGTGGGTATCAAGTACAGTAGAGTACCGTACCTACACTCGGTAAATAGCACTCATCTCCCGTCGGACAGCGGGCCATTGCTAGCTATGCGCTCAAGCACCTGCTGTGCATGCGTCGTTTTTGTTCGTGGACAAAGGGCAGACCGAGGGGCAGTATTGCGGCAGGTGTGGTGTGGCGTACCAGTAAGTAAGTAAGTGAGAGGTGAGTATCGTGCCATGCATGCAGTTGATGTGGGGGGCCACTTATGCAATTGGATCTGCGAGGCGGTCTCTGGGCTCCCCCATGAGGCGGAACGAAAGCTTGTCTTTGACACCGTCCGCTGTAAAATGCACGTTGAATCACTCTGCACTGGATACCATATGTAACTGATTTCCGTATGCGTCTGACGCTGTATTCGTATGTACGGTAATGACTTCACGATGCTTCATTCCTCGCTGTATTCGTATGTGCGGTAATGACTTTACGATGCTTCATTCCTCGCTGTATTCGTATGTGCGGTAATGACTTTACGATGCTTCATTCCTCGCTGTATTCGTATGTGCGGTAATGACTTTACGATGCTTCATTCCTCGCTGTATTCGCATGTACGGTAATGACTTCACGACGCTTCATTCCTCGCTGTATTCGCATGTACGGTAATGACTTCACGACGCTTCATTCCTCGCTGCCGTGCGACGTCGCGGATATGTACACTACTAACTGGAAACAGGTATTCCATCAGGGACGAGTTTCGCCTCTAAAAAAGAACAAGAAAAAAAGATGGCCTGGTGTTTGTTCACTTAAGGAACACTCCCGAAACCCCCATCCTCAGCTCACTCCTTCGCTCTCGGTATCTTGACAGCAATCCAAAATTCACACTCATAGACCCACTTCAGCATAGCGCCCTCTCCGTTGCCAATGTACTCTCCGCAGCTCCCCTTCTCCCTCTTCTCCAGCCTGAACCCGATATTCCTGGCGACTTCCAGCACCTCCTCGACCGTCAACTCGACACCCTGTGCATCCTCATCAGCAGCCTTCAGATCCGCCTCACGATTTTCCCAATGCCACAGCAGGGGGCCAAAATTGATCCAGACGCCCCCGTCGACCAGGACGCGGTGAATCGTCTCTAGGTACGAGAAGATGTTGACGGCAGTATCGATGAAGAAGACAGTGGCGACGACGTCGAACGCACTCTCGGAGGCGGCGTTGTTGTACGCGGACACGAAGTCGCCCGCCGTCATCGAGAAGCGGTCCTCTTCTGCGGCGCGCGCCAGCAGCGCCGGCGGGTGCACGTCCGGCACCGCTACCCCGCGCAGCTGGTTCGTCCTCGACCGGTGGTTCGAGAAGGAGTTGATGAACGGGTGCACTGTGTGTTGCCGCGCCGCGGACGTGCAGTTCAGGACGTAGTTCGACGCCATCAGCTGGTGGAACGAGTTCTCGTTGCCCTGCGCTGCGTAGCCCGCCACGACAATGTCGTATGCTAGCCGGCCCAGGCCGGCCCCGGGCACCAGCACCGAGATCCGGCCCTTTTCTGCCGGCGAGAGGTGCCCGAACCGCTGTGAGAGCGCCGCCATCACCGGTGCGTAGCAGACTTCGCGCTCGGATGCGCCCTCCGCACTCCAGTCGCGGTAAAACTGCTTCAGCGTGCTCCGCACCTTGTCGACGTCCTCGGCTGTGACGTTCATCAGCCAGTCCTTGCGACTGAGGATCTCCGGCTCGATTCCGAACGCTTCGATGGAGTGCCGGAAGATGGCTTCGGCCAGTTCCGCATTGTGTTCTATCGCTTCATCCAGACGGCCGAGCGTGGCCAGGTAATTGATTGGCTCGGCGGACAGGACCGATTGCTGGTACCGTGGCAGCGCGTGGAACTGATGTCGGCGACGGTGGGTTAGGTTGCTGTGAGCTGTTTGCCGGTAGAGGCTGCCGGAACGAGAGTTGAGTTAGCCAGGAGCAGAGGTGTAAACGCGGGGAGGGACGAAATGACGGACTGGTAGGCACCCAGTGTGGAGAGAACCGTTTCGAGCTCGGTCGACGAGGAAACATCGCTGAGAGGCTTCTGGAGGTCGGTCGGAATGTGGAGCTTCTCCTCTGACTCAGACTCCTCCGAGACCTCGTGTGGATGACCAGCCATGGCGGAATTGCGGTTGTCAAGCTGCGGCGGGGTGGGACTTGACTTGGCAGCGGGATAAAGTTGATCCAACGTGACCACCTACCACGCTACCGTTACTACATAGAGTACCAACCCCTACCCTAGGTAGGCCACTTGGTGCTTGCCAAAGAGTCGATCGCCTACATGGTATGATGATCTCCAGGTAGAGTGTTATCCAGATCACCGAGTGCACGGTGCTTTGACACGCTCCTGCCCACCAGAGGTTCTTTGTCTCCACACTACCTATGTCACTAGTATGAAATGAGCCTGCAACACATGCTTTTTCCTACTCATGTCACTCCACGATTCCCACAATCACACCGGATCAATAATGATTCTTTGTTTGCCTGGCCTTTCATGCTCCACTGAAGCCTTGTTTCCCTTCCGTGGACGACGCGGTCATTTCCGCCGATGTAAAACTTCTTTATTAGGATACGGCATATATAACAGTATGGACAACCCTCAAACTTCCCCATTGTTCACGACTACGACACCGACATCTACACCTAGCAATGTCGAAGTCGAAGTCGAAGTCTCACGGCCTGAGCGAGCTATTTGCCCCCGTGGGGAACTCCCGACCCCACGGCCCGCGTTACGCCTCGTCCTCCCACGAGCGGTACCTGCCTTCGCGGGCATTCACGGCGGAGGAGCAAGCGGCCGCCGTGCGGCTATTCGAGCTGGAGCACAAGCGGGTCAACGAGGGGCTATCGGAGCAAGAGATGGTGCAGCTGACACTGGCTCAGCAGCGGGAGCGGGGGCTCTGGATCGGGCGCAAGGACCGGCATCGCGCTGATCCACAGTTCGATGGGTGGAAACAGTGGTGTCGCCCTGAGGAAAGAAGGGATGAGCGTGCGGGAAAGGTTAGGGCCGCTGGGGTCGCCGGGAGTGTTACTGTCAGGGAGTATCTGAGGGACTGGAGACTTAAGGGGGCGGCCCTGAGGCCTGGCGCAGAGATCGATGCGAGTGTTTCCGTGCCGAAAAGGATCCAGAGGGGATACGAGGAGGGCAGGTTTTTCCCACATGCACAGGTCCCGGAAGTCATCATGCATGATGCCCAGCATGAGCATCCGTACTTGTTTGAGCAGGACGTGGTGGGATGCAGCTACGCTGAGAAGTGGGGAAAGGATTCGAATGTGGAGGATAGAAAGACGGCAAGGCCGGAAGTCAAGGGCCGTGGGACCTTTGGGTGGAGTTGGAGGCAGAGGAGGTTGGTTTGATTGATGCCCACTCGTATTTCGAAAGTGAATACTCACGTTGTTCTAGGTCGTTTGTCCGGAAGTTGGCCCTCATACGCATCATGTTCTTGTTTCTGCGCTCGGAAATGATTCGAGGCGGCGGCGATGATCAGCCACTCGTGACGGCTCCACACATGGTACGTGCGAATATCCCGCTTGGTGTGATTGGGCTCTAACTAATCTTCATCAAGAGCTACCTGTATTCCAACTACGTAAAGGCCACTGACGAGAATCTCAACTTCGGACCATGGGCAAGCGTCGAAGACATGCTTCGGGCGGTCGTGTCGCGGAACTTACAATACTGGAAGGGAATGGATGCGTATGCCCTGAACGCAGAACGAGTGCGAGACAACAAAGGGCGATCAATCCGAGCGCTATTAAACCGCCCGGCTTTGCCGAATGGACTGACAGCATTGGCAAATGTGAGGAGTAATTTTCACCGAGCATATACGCGCAGACCCAAGCTCGATGCGATCCGCGGGAACGAGCGGGAGCTGTACGCAGACAACAAGCGCTTCGTGCTCTACCTGTGGAACGACATCCGGTCCTGCCTGATGATGAAGGACACGCGCATCGTCGGCCTGGACAACTTCCAGAAGTCGATGTATGCGCCGTACAGCGTGGCGATCGCAGACCTCACTAACCAGTACAAGCCCGACGCGAAGAACGTCTACTACGACAAGGACGACTTGAAGAAAAACGCGCCGTTCAAGATCCCGGAACGATATCTTTACCCGGTGCGCCGCGGCACGAAGAGAGAACCCCACTATAAGGACCGCATAGATAAGCGCGGACGCATGGAGTACGGCATGTTCGCCTTCCACGTCCGCAAGCTCCAGGAAGTGCACGACGAGGAGTACGGCGAGATCACGATGGAAGACCTGCAGTACGGCGACCGCTACGACGACGTCGAGAGCGAGCACGACCGCCCGCCACAGGTCCTGAAAGACCCCAGTGCTAGGAACAAGATGTGGGCAGACGAGGGGCTGCGCGACGAGGCTGAAGATTGGTTCCTGAGACCCGTATTGCTCCTCGTCAACCAGTTCGTCGAGACCTATCTCGCAGAGGACAAGACCGTCAAGTGGCTGGAGCCCGAAGTCGCGCAACATCTGTTGTACCCAACAGATGTGCCGACGGAGCAGGATATCATAGATAATGTTCCTCCTAGTTGGAAAGTGCCGGATCAGTACTGGGTCTAGGGAAATGAATACTGGCAGGTCGGGGAGGTGCGTGTTATTGGTCTACGGACGTAATACTACATAGGTACCTACCTCGAATGATGGGAGTTTTTCTTCTTCTTTGACTAGGGAGTTAAAAAAAGATTGTTCTCTTTGTCCAGGGAAATAAGCACGATTGTTCTCTTTACCTTTCGAACCGCTTGTATGATACTATGCCTTGTTTCTTGACCTCTCGGTCCCGGTGAATCGTGATTGAAGATTGGATCACCCACCATCACACGGCTGGGCGTGTTCCCAGCGTCGACGATCCGCAAGTGCGTATGCAGCCACCCAGAAGCCAAGTTGGTATCCACCTCGCCACCGTGATTTCAACGTAGCTACCCACTCAGCCACCCGCCCACCTCGACACGCCCATTTGAGCTGGCGAGGATATCATGAGCTCGCTGTCGCTCGGAGAACATCACATACGGTAGATAATGCAAGACAGCCCTCCTGAGCCCACAGCGTAGCTACTAGAGTAGGTACCGTATAGTTCAAGGAGGGTTAATAAAAACGGTGTTTCCTACTAGAAAGATATCGTATCGGTATCAGAACATAAAAAACACGTACATATTTGACCGTAGGTACTGATGCCATATCACTACGATTTTCTTAAAGATGTGGTATCCCCTGGATCGTAGCTCGTTTCCGGTCAATGTATCCTTTAAAATACGGATTTCCCAACTCTGACAGTCCCTCTAATTAGCCAGCTACCCCTTCACTATACAGTAATTAGATGGACCTCATCTCTGCGATCTCCTATTGATGATTATCTTTTCAAGGTTTGGTTATGTCCCTTGCCGAGTGAGTGAGTGGCGACAAGCTTTCCGGACGATACGATTTTGACCGATGTTTGGCCGATTGACAGCTCAACCATGAGCTCAACCATGAGGTTTCTACAGTCTAGAGAACCTAGGATTATCTTCGCCTTGCTGTACTACGGGCTCTGCGTAATGCTCGTTAAGTAGTTGGCCTTTTCTGTGTGCGGTCACAGCTCCCTCAACATCGTAGTTTTGGTCGAAAATCCGAATTTTTGAACAGCCACAACTCAGGTACATACATAAATACCAAATCTTGTACATTTTTGACTCTGATAGGTAACTCGACATCATCTGATGAGCCCCAAATGATCAATAAGGGGTTATAAGAAATATTCCCAAAGTTTTGGGATATTTCTGCACATTGTTTTTCGCATCTTGAAGGCATTTCTCTCCTTAACTAGGTACCTAGGATGGGAACACCTAAATTGAGGCCAGAATTATCACTTGATATATACCAGGATATGTGAACTTTGAACGGATCAACTTTGGTTGTATACAGCCGTACGGTTGCTGAGTTGTGGACTCACGCACGTTCAAAAATGGCCCGGGGAGCACAGTAACGGCATATCTACGATCTAGGGGAGGTATATGTACTATACATGTTACCGCCTCCCTCTTCCCCAGCTGCAGAAGCGAAAAAGACAGGCTTGCCACAGGCTCACAGCTAGGTAAGTATATACCGCCACCATGGCCATGGACATCCATCCACGCAGATCGCCGTCCACTGCAAGATAAGCTACTGCTACTGTATGATAACTATGATATGATACAACCTTGTTATCCGAGTTCACAAATGCACGGTGGGTACTGGGTGCTGATTGCTGGGTGGGTGGTATCTGGCCGGTGACATATGAGCAGAGAAAGGCAGCTGCGGGGAGCTCACACGTGCGCTTCAGACAGCGTCCTGTTTGTTGATGCTCCGGGTTGATATTGCACCCACCACCACCACCTTCCGGCATCCGCCAGAACCAACTGAACCAACAGATCATCTCAGCAGCCAGCTTCACGGTCACCGACTCACTGGCCGAATCGAGGGCTTGTACGTGGTCGCAGACAGCAGACAGCAGACAAGGGCGGAGACAATGAGGGACGGAGGATTCCGAGCGGGGGATGTCGTGAAGCATACACGAACGCGGGTGGGGTGGGGGGCTATGTACGACCTGCCGTCTCTCACGAGCCACCGCCATATGGCGGAAAAGCACGCGATATACCTACATACATTCATACATACATGTTCTTGGCGGCGGCGGAAAGTGCGGTGCTGAGCTGGAGCACGGGATATTTCGACATCTGGAGCTCATCCCGTAGGTGTTTCAGACTACCAAACTACCCACTATCTATGATACGGCCATCGTTATCCGCGGAACCGAAATCCACTTCCTTTTTTTTTGCCGCTTCTCTCCGCGTTTACTTCTTTTTTCTCTTCTTCTTCTCTCATAAGAGAGGGGGGGTGCTCAGTCCCGCTACTATGGCTACGCAGGGGGGTCAACGTCCCAAAGATCTCGTAGAGAGGATGCTTGGTTTGGGTTAGGTGGGCTGTATAAAATTCATGGGTAGTTGGCCCCGGTTTACTCCAGTTACAGCAGCTTTTGGATGTGGCCGGGGAGGAGGAGGAGCTGCAATGCTATATTGCTATAAATATTGGGTTAATCCATTGGTATTCGGACAGACCGAGGTGGCGGCACTGGGGGGCTGTTTGAAGACCAATGAGTTCGTCGAGAAGTGAAACATAGATAAGTCTATCGTGGGGTGGTGGTGGAGGTGGTGGTAGTGGTGGTTCGTGCGCCAACTATACACCACAAGGGTACATTCCCAAGTCACGTGATATTGCATGACCACACCCAACATCTAGGGACAAGCTCAGGACCAAAAGCTTGATTTCGCATTCCCCTGTGCAGTAATCCCGGGCCCCTACATAGATACAGTTTCTGTTGTTCGCTCGCTCGCCAAACAACCAATTATGGCGGTTTCGTGGTTGTTTGCTAGGGTGGCGGGGCGTAATGGAGATGCAATATTGCGTGCTCGCCTCCCTGCGTTTGTGTGATATTACAACACTCAGAATGATAGTCGACTACAACACCTTCTTTGAGCCAATCTGGTCGGTAAAACTGCAGCAGAAACATGAGCTAAGTAAATGTGTAGCTATTACTCGAAACCACCGTACTGGTGGGAGCTCTGGCTGATTGACGAAAGTTGTAGATCATGCTCCGGCCATACGGTAGCATGGTCCCAGACTCGCAGGCCCGCAGAATCGCAGTGCCACCGCAGTTGTGCCCACCCACCTCCCCCAATACTCCTACGCACCACCGCGAGCTTCCTACCTTGAACCCACCCGCGTTTGGCACTGGCCTCTCGCTTGCTCTCTGCCGGCCGGTGATGACCGTAGGTTTATCCACCTGGCCCACCTCGAAATCCCGCTAAATTCAACCTCCTCGAAATGGGGGTTCTCGCGGGGACGCAAATTACCACTCCCCCCCTCCCAAAAAGCCGTCATTTATCAGTTGAATAGAATATTCCGGGGAAGCAGTAGCAGTACAAATACCATGCGCTCCCGCGTAAAGTTTGGAGGAGGCTATCAAGCTCCGGAACAGTCAAACAGACCACGATCATGGCAACAACACCAGACAGGATAGCGAGTGCGGACGAGAAGCTCAGTGGGGTTTCGTCAAACATCAATATCACCGGCGCCGATTCCGCCCACACTGCGTACGGGGACAACAAGTTCGTCGACCGCACCATCAGCACCAAGGACTGGGCTGCCAGGACGTTCGACAACGTCCCCGGACAGTTGAAGGACTATTTCTTCAGCCTATTCCCCATCGCAACGTGGATCTATCGATACAACTTGACGTGGCTGACAGGAGATGTATATTACCGACCCGTCCCACCACGTGGAGAATGATTGGCTAATATATGACGGCGCGGGGCAGGTCATCGCCGGTCTCACGGTCGGAGCCGTGGTGGTTCCACAGTCCATGTCATACGCCATTCTTGCATCCTTGACTGCGGAGTACGGACTCTATTCGAGCTTCATCGGAGTGTTCATCTACTGTTTCTTTGCCACAAGCAAAGACGTCACCATTGGTGTTTGTGTCCCCTCCCCGCTCTCCTCGCTCTCCTCGCTCCTCCCCATGATATACAATTTAGAGTACGAACTGACACGTGACCAGCCCGTTGCCGTCATGTCACTCGAGGTTGCAAAGGTCATTGCCCACGTGAAGGAAACCACCGGGAATGAATATACAAATGCGGAGATTGCTACAGCACTAGCCTTCATATGCGGTATCATATGTTTGGGAATCGGCTTGATCCGAGTCGGCTTCATTCTAGAGTTTATCCCTGGTATGTACATGATGCACCTCGTCATGCACTTATTGTTTATTGGTCCGCTGACATGGTCTTTAAGCACCCGCTGTGGCGGGTTTCATGACGGGCAGCGCCTTCACTATCGCCTCGACACAGTTCCCCGCACTCCTGGGCATCTCAAAGCAATACGTCAACTCCCGCGAGTCGGCGTACAAGGTGGTCATCAACACTCTCAAGAATCTCGAGCACACCAAGCTGGATGCTGCGTTCGGGCTCAGTGCCTTGTTCGGGCTGTACGCCATCCGCTTCGGATTGGAGTATCTGGCGAGAAGATATCCGCAGCACAAGAGGAAGTTCTTCTTTGCCAATGTCACACGCAACGGACTCATGGTCGTCGTCGTCACCTTGGCCAGTTGGTTGACTGTTCGCGGCGACATTGCGGCCGGGAGGGAGCCCAGGGTCAAGATCTTGAAGGATGTGCCCAGAGGATTTCAGGCCGTTGGCCCTCTCAGGATCGATAGCACCCTGCTCAGTGCCATGGCACCGCAGATTCCGGTCGCCGTAAGCCACGCAGTCATCCCTATATTGCATGAAGCTCTGTACTGACCCCGTGCAGACGCTTATCCTGCTCCTGGAACACATCGCCATCGCAAAGTCCTTTGGCCGCATCAATGATTACAAGATCATCCCGGACCAAGAGCTCATCGCCATTGGCATGACCAACGTGATCGGTAATTTCTTCGGTGCTTACCCAGCGACGGGTTCCTTCTCGCGCACTGCGCTCAAGAGCAAATCCGGCGTACGCACCCCGGCGGCAGGAATCGTCACCGGTATCGTCGTTCTCCTGGCCCTTTACGCTCTGACCGACGCCTTCTACTGGATCCCGATGGCCGGACTCTCGGCCGTGATCATTCACGCCGTCACCGATCTGATGTCCCCACCGCGCCAGGTCTACATCTTCTGGCGGGTACAGCCCCTCGAGGCGATAATCTTCCTCGCCGCCGTCTTCATCACCATCTTCACCAACATCGAGAATGGCATCTACTGGGCGATCATCTCCTCGGCCCTCGTCCTCCTCTACCGAATCGCGCGCCCGCGTGGACAATTCCTTGGTCGCCTCCGCCTCAGCAACGGACAGCAGGCCCGCGACATCTGGGTTCCAGTGGACAAGCGCGTGCTCAACCCGGATGCGAAGATCCAGAACCCGCCACCGGGGGTCGTCGTCTTCCGGCCCAGCGAGTCGTTTACGTACCCCAACAGCTCGACACAATGCGACGTGGTAGTGGACGAGATCAAACGGATCACCAAACGCGGCAAGCCGAACGCATTCCCGACGCTTGGCGACAGGCCGTGGAACGACATTGGCCCCCGCCGCGGCTTCACGCAGGCCGAGATCGACGGCGACACGCGTCCCGTGCTCAACGCGGTCGTGTTCGACTTCTCGGCTGTGGCCAGCATCGATACCACCGGCATCCAGTGTCTCGTCGATACCAGACGCCAGCTCAACAAGTATGCCGACCGCGAGGTCGAGTTTCACTTCGCCAACATCATCTCCCCGTGGGTGCGAAGGTCGCTGCTCGCCGGCGGCTTCGGCACTGGACAGTCCAGCTCCGAGTTCACGGAGGTTGCGGCGGTGGTCCCGCGGCGCGACGACGACGGCCGCGCTGTGTCGTCCCATCAGAAGAGGAAGGGTGCTGCAGCCGCCGGAGGGGAGGGCGGTAATAACTGGAAGATGTTCAAGAGCTATGTCCTGTCCAAGGACCACAAGGACGCTCGCTTCCAGGGCAAGGAACAGTACTCGGACGTTGAGGTCGCTGCCCACGAGGAGGAGCATTGGGGCCCCGCGATGAGCCAGGATACGCCGTTCTTCCATATCGATATCCCGAATTTGGAGGGATTGGCGTATGGTAAGGTGGGGTCGGAGTTGAGCGCGCAGAGCTCGAAGAGTGGATGAGTGGATAGGAGCAGGTTGGGTTATGTTCATCTTTGGGTTTGCGATCTTTGGGGGCTTCTTTGCTGGATTTTTTTCATGTTCTGCGGTACCGTTCGGTAATGTGTGGTTTCGGAAAAAAGTGATGGTTTACTCCGATGTCCACAGTGTGTCACTCGTGATCGATGCTCGTGCTGCAGCCATACCACCAAATAATTGTCATGATCTCTACTCTATAGGTCGCATGCAAACAATGATTAAACAGACAAACAGAATATACCACCAAGTATCGGCTTCCTCTCAGCTCCCCGCCAATCTATCGTAGGTATATACAGCCCGCACATTACTCCCACAGCCCACTTCACCCCTCTAAACCAAACCAAAAACACTCGCCGACCCCAAATGCCAACGTCAAATGCCAAATGCCAAATGCTTCTAAATGCCAAATTCCAAACGCCAAAACTTCCACAATCCATTACACCTTCCCCCACCCTCTCGACCCCACCCTCTCAACCGCACCCTTTTTTTTTCCGACCCCACCCCATCCCCCCTTCAATTAACCAAAACCCACCCGTCCTGAACCCCCACTCTCTCCGCCTCCTCAACCTCCCAATCCTCCGCCTCGATCCCGACCGCTCCGTCGACCCCTCCATCCACCCCTCCATCGTCTCCATCCAACCCCCCGCCCAGCGGCATCCCCCTCTGCCACCGTTCACACTGCATCCCCCTCTGCCATTCACTAGCTTCCGCCACCCGCCCCCGCCCCCGCTGGCTCTGGCTCTGGCCGACACTCCCGAGCATCCAGCTTGCTAGGCGGGTTATTCCAACTCCTAGGCCTCCTGCCCATCCAGATGGTCTTCCAGATCCTAAAGCGACACTTTCACCGCTAGGTCTGCCGCTAGGTCTGCCGCTGCCACGTCCGCTGTTGTAGCTGCCGCCGCAGCGGTAACAAGCATTCCGCCGGTACACTTCTGATACATGCAGTCGGGACTGCCGCGGCTGCCGCATCTGTCGGTACAGGTGTGTATGTGTTGTCCCCTGTTTTGCTGCACTCGTCGGCGCTGGGCAGCGAGAGGAGCAGGTGATCTGTGGTGTGTACGTGCTGTGGGAGCAGAGGATGTGGTGGGTTAATGTGTAGTGACACATTGCTGCTATGGTAGGGTGGAGGTGGTTGTGGGGTTGGAGGGGGGCGGGGGGCGGGGGTTGGTGGTGGGGTTGGTGAGGTTGGGGTTGTGGGTGAGGTGGTGAAGTGAGGTTGTGGTGAGGTTGTGGTGAGGCTGTGGCGAGGTTGTGGTGAGGTTGTGGTGGGGTTGTGGTGAGGTTGTGGTGGGATGTGGTGAAGTTGTAGTGGGGTCGTTTTGAAGATGTACTGGATTGTGGTGGGATTGCGAATTCAGATGTAGATGGAAATGTAGTTCCAAGATTTCGATGTAGATGTCGGTTTTGATGTGGTAGATGTCACAGTAGATGTCGCAGTAGATATCCCAGATACTCGTAAACTGTGAAGAGGCCGTGAAGAGTCGAAGCAGTAGTGGAGAAGTAGTGAAACAAGTGCGAGGCAAGTAAGAAGTAAGAACGAAGCAGCAGCCGTCGTCGGAGCCGTCAGACTAAGTACCTCTCTCCCTCCCTCCCTCTCTCCCTCGCTCTCCCCCTCCCTCACTCCCTCGCTCTCTCCCTCCCTCACTCCCTCACTCCCTCTCTCGCGCGGACGCAGTGAAAGATACCGGTACTAGTTAGTATGTAGAAGTGCGAACTCCGCAGTCAGTATAGAAGTCAAGAAGTCAAGTGAATGCGGCAGTAAGAGGTATATAGAAGTATTCGCCGCAGCGCGCGCATTCTACCCAGCTACCCATCTACCCATCTACCCAGCTATTATATCGCACCCCACCGAGTCACGCGTTGTCAAATCATCAAATCATCGAATCGCAGCTCGCAAACACGCCATCATGTGGGGAGAAGGAAGAGGTTCGTTGGCTACCTGGTTGACTGCCTGGCTGCGGCCGTTTGCGGACAAGACCACCAAGTTTCGTCCAATCCGCGGTATACACAACTTTTGTTCTGTGTTGTGCTGGCCGAACCCGCCCACTCCCGCCGGGAGCATCGAAAGTACGAGTATGATCAGCTGTGCACTTGATGTATCTCCAATCACTTTTCCGCTCACACTCCACCTGTTGGGTATCTGCTGGTCCCCCCGCTGTTTAGTCACGAATATCACTCGCCTCCCACACTCGCCCCCCTCACTCGCCCCCTCACTCCCTCAGCGCACCAGCCACAGCAATCCACTTGGCAAGATGATATATATACGCCCACACGTGCCCTACAGCTCGTATATGTATCGCAATCACTCCACCAACCCGCTCATTAACGTACGGCCTGTACCAAGTATATCGATGCACAAAAAAAAGAAGACCAGAAGATGAATAAAAATAAAAAATAAAAACCAGAACACGACCGTATGGTATTTTAATAAGACATAAAACATTGCCAAACAACTAACACCCCCCGCCCCCCATCCATCCATCCAGCCACCCATCCGTCCATCCATCAAAGTAAACCGTCATCATTATCCCGTAGACCATCTATCTGAACTTTGCAACACACCGGCCCATAACCTCGCCCTGGCACACCAGCTCGGCGTTGAACTCGGAGCCATCGAGCGTGAGGTAGATATCAAAGTAAACGCGGTAGAAAGTACCCTGCGGCGTATCCATGCGTTCAAAGTCCTTCTCAAGGTTCTTACGCGAGAGGTCACTGGTTAGAGTTACCACCTCCTTGATCCCTATAAAAATGTCCTCTGATTAATATGAGACCAACCACCATACGGGGGAATGGGTGGGACTTACTAGGATCTTTGGTGTACTCGGGGCACTGGTCGTCATCGCAAGCATACAGGATATCCTCGTACATGAGCGTGGCACCCGGCGCAACCTGTCTAAAGAACGAGACCTTGACGGGCTCACCGATCTTGACCCTCTGGCCCTTGGTGACGAAGATCTGCCTGGTGTACTTGCATCGGTCCTTTCCGTCCAAGCTAGGGACTCGGTAGGCCTCGGGGTGGTGGCCCTCTTTGAATGGCTGCAGCGTGGCCATGAGGTAGTGGCGTCTCGCGACACGCGATGTGACGACGCGTTCCGTGATACCGGCCGTTACCGCTCCCTTGACGATGGCAGCTACCGAGTCCATGGGGCGGACCACCTTGGACTGGAACTGGGGGGGCACGTGCAGCTTGATCTGCTGGAAGAGGTACTCGGAAGCACCGAAACCACCGACGACGAGCACGTTCTGCAACTGGCGGTTCTGCGCCTGGATGGCGATGATCTGGTTGCGGACGAGCTCCAAAATCCGGTTCACGACGGGCTCGAAGCACTGCAGGATCTCCTCGTTGGTGAATGACATGAATCCCTCCTCGATGCCGGCTTCGGGGTATTCCTTCTCGATGCCCACATCCACGGCCCATTTCTGGCCGTTGTTTCGGAAGTCGGCCTTGATCCGATTCTCAAAGTCCATAATGCACTTGGCGTACACCTTGCCGGCCGTCTTGGAACCGTCGGGAAGCTTCATCTTGCGGATCTTGGCACGCAGGATGTTGGAGAAGTTGCGGTTGAGCGCGGTTGAACCACACGAATCTCCGGAGCCGGCGGTACACTCGGCGACGGTGAACGGGACCTCTTCCTCGACCTCGTAGGCGATCAGATCGACGGTACCACCACCGCAATCCACGATCAGCACCGCGTCGTGCACCTTCAGGTTCAACAACCCCGTCTTGGAACAGAACATAGCGGCCGCCTCAGGCTCGGTGATCAGAGTGAGACGGTTGTCGTTCTCATCCCTTAAGAAACCGGCCTGAATGGCTGCGGCACGGGTAGCCGCCTTTCCTGCATCGTTCCAGATAGCCGGAACGGTCAGGAAATAGCGAATGTTGCGCTCCTCACGGTTGAACACCTCTCCCAGCGTCTTTTGCAGCTGTGCTCGCATGGCACCACGGAGCTGGAATAGGTAATCTGCCGCCACATCGATCTCGGACTTTCCCGGGGGGAGGGGAGGAAGGTTGATGGGATCGATGTAAGTGTTTCCGGAAAGCATAAGCTGAAGCTTAAACCATTCCACCTATAAATTCATCAGCAGCCGCTCATTTTTTGGCTCCGCATCTCCCTTTTCCCACCTTTTGTACACCCGGCTTGGGGTAACCTGTTGGCGCCAGAGCGTCGGCGATATCTGGACCCCATCCTACAACTTTCTGATACTGATCGTAGTAAAGAACCGTTGGGATCTACACGAGACGAAAATTAGCCAACTGTCCACTTTTCTTCTTCTCTTTCTTTCTTTCTTTTCGAATCGCGATCTACAAGTTGCAGCGCACTCCTTTCCACCCTTTCGATTTCTCACCTTGTTTTTTGTCTGATTACCAGCCCCAGGCCATTCCGTGATGATATCCTCCTTCGCTTCCTGGTCCGTTGCGAACGCGAAAGCAACACCACTAAAAGTAGTACCCTATGACCCGCTAATCGTCAGCAACCCACCAACTCGCAAAGCTCGAGTCCCAGGACCCCTGCTCTTTCCCATCTTCCGATGAAAATGGAGAGAAAGATAGAAAGAAAAAAACTCACAAAATCAATTCCGACAATCAACTGCGCCTTACTCCGATTATTCGTCTCCATCTCCGAAACAGGTGGTCTCATGCCTCCGCCCATGATGCCCTGTTGGCTGCCGGTACTGGCCCTGTGTTGCTGCTGTTGCTGCTGCATGGGGTATCCGGGCGGCTGGCCGTACGGTTGTGGCGGGCCCATCATCTGCTGATTCGACATCTGGGGCGGGATACCGCCAATCTGCGTGGGGCCGTAGGGAGCCCCGCCGTGCGGCGGCATCGGAGACTGCGGACGGCCCTGCTGCACTAGATGCGGGGCGCCGACGGGCGGTCCCACGTACGGAGGCGGATACGATGGGGGTCGTTGCGGGCCCATCTGCGGATGGCCTTGCTGTACGAGGGCTTGTTGTCCTTGTTGCTGTTGTTGCTGCTGTTGCTGTTGGGGCAGTTGGTTCGGGGGCGGTGACGGCGGCGGAGGCTGATTTTTGTTACGGAAGCCCATTCGCAGTCGATTGCTGAAGCCGGGGTTTGACGACATGGCGAGGGAGAGGAAGAAGAAAAGCGGGCGCGCGAGAGGGTGGTGAGAATAATAAACGTGGGCGTCTCTTTCTTTACGTTCCGGGATCGAAAGATGATTCTATTAAGAGGGGATACGATCTGTGAAGCAGTGCAGTGGCTGCTGCGATCAACCAGGTGCCTTTCTCTGACCTGGGAATGTTTGTTGTATGGGTGGGGTGTGATGTGATGGGATGATTTTGGGGGGTGGGGGGAAGGTGGGTGTGTGTGTGTGGAAGGATGAATGGGCAGGCAAGACGGGCTGGCTTGCTGAGAGGAACACACAGCGAGGGACACAGACAGAGAGAGTTTGCCGTGCTGCGTGCGAGTTCGGTGAGGCTGAAGATTGAAAGCGCGCAAGTTAGCTACTAGCAGCTTCCAGGGAATACGGAGATGGTGGTTGGTTGTTGGGTTGGGGGGAAGGGATTGGGGGGGGGGGTGGCAGTGGGCGCATGGTAGGTACGAGGTTAAGTAGAGCAGGTATTATGGGTACGGGCAACTCACATTGTTACTTGATCTCTCCGTCTTTTCCTGTCAACCGAAGCGAGCGAGCCAGTTGGAGCAGAAGAAGAAGGAGGAAAAGCGAGCTGTTTTGCTTCTATTGGTGCCGGTAGTTGCCACTTGTTAACACTACGGCCCTTCTATGATGAATGTGTCGATGGAGCTATTGCGGGATTCCGAGGACGACGAGCAGGAACGAGTGAGGGGGGGGTAGGCGACACAGCGAGGGAGCACACACGCACACGGGCGAGAGTGGTCTTGTGGAAAGAACGAGGTAGGGGGGAGAGTGAATGGAAGGATAATTTGAGGGCGAGTCAGGTCGGTCAATCAGAGGGGAGAAAGAGGAGAGGGAGAAGCAAGGCAAGGTAAGCCGGTAGTGGGCTGGTGGAGGCTGGAGGGCGGCTGTGCAACAGGTGGGCGTGCTGGCGGTGATACGGGAGGGGGAACCAAGGGATATTCTATGGGCGCCGAGGATAGCGCGGCAGCAGCAGCAAGTGAAGAACGTCTGCCACTGACAAGCGTAGTGGCAACTGTGAGCGTTCCGGGAAAAGGATCTTGTATCGAGGCGGCGGGGATTGAGGCTGGGGACTGTGGTGGTGGCAATGGTGGTGGTGGTAGAATAGCAGTAGCAGTGGTGGTGGTGAGGAAGGGAGGGGCGAGAAGGTCGTCCGCAGTGAGGTGAGGGGTATTATGTGATGTGATGTGATGTAGATTGCTGGGGGTTGGGCTTCGTGATTCGACATCCAATCGAATCCACACTTTCCCCGTTGGGGTGGAGATATGACTGCCTGTTGACGGTCCCGAGTACCTAGTGTCTTCAGGAGCCGAGCACGACGGTCTGTATGTGTGAAGAGGATGGAGTATAACTATGCCATGCTGTGACGACTCCGCAATGCTGTCTGCCACCGTCTCGTCAATTCATTCGGTCCATGACGACCACCACTCCTCGCGATAGAGTGCTACCCCGTACCACGGAAGAGACCATCGCAATCGCAAGGCGGAGCTGGGGAAACCCCTTCCTTCCTGTGGACCAGGTATGGTACTCTATGGTATGGTACTCTAGATACTGCGCGTTCGCTTTCGCTGCGCCCCGACCTCCGTCTCGCTCGCTCTCAGACTAGACTCCCCCTCCCAAAGTCCGAGCAGAGGAAGGCGAGTCTCACCCGACCCGAAGATGCGATCGAAATTTACCTACCCATTCAGCCTTACCCATCCCCGCCCAGCCGAGACGATCCCCGCCCAGCCGATCCCCATTATCCCGACTCCCCGCCGTCGCTCCATCATCATCAACCACCGTCCCTTCAGAGTGCGTCGCTACTTCTCTCAGCCTTCCCCCTTCCCCGCCTCCTCCCCTCGCTCATCAGCCAGAATCCCACCCCCTCCCCTTCCCCTTCCCATTCCCATCCCCATTCACCCTCCCTCACATGGGATGGCTGAAACCCTCCCAACACCAACCAAACCAACACTGACGACTAGGCAACCGCCCAGCTATGTATACCATACGTACGGCTGAACTCCCACCACCCACCACAGCTTATTTTTGCCGATAAGCGTCGACAGCTACACTTCAGGCCTAGGCCGTTCTTATCCGGTGGGCTCCAACTATGCTCCAGAGTGCTAGCAACTTGCACCCAACCGAACCGACGCTGGAGGTGTTCCGCGTGCGCAGGGGAAGAGAAAGAAAGAAAGAAAAGAAAAAGAAAAAGAAGTACCAGGAGCTGCCAATAAGTGGTCCCTCACCACCATTACGAAATATAAGCACTAGTCTATATTAGGAGCGCACTAAGCCAGATACAATAAAATGAGTGAGTGGTTGTGACTAAGTTGTATGGGGAGGAAACGCTAAGCTGTATGGGGGACAAACTGGTGAGGCGGCACTTACCCTTACACCCGAGTACATAATGCCGAGGGAAAGCGGGGACGTGAAGGAAGAACACCAAAAGAAAAGAAAAGAGAGGTGAAGGGAAGGGAAGGGCAGATCTGCGATACTTCTCGCGATCGTAGGCATACGGTACTCCAGATACTTACCAAAGTAGAAAGTTGGTGGCGGCTGGTGGTGGCGGCTGGTGCACGTCCAATAGAGTAGTTACACCGTACACGAACATACACGTGGTATTTTGTGGGATGGGATACGGGACTTCGGTATCGTCGGAGAGTACTTACCCACCTAACACAGACACATTGGGCCCTGAGGAATACCTACCTTACCGAGTGCTGAGTGCTGAGTGCTGAGTGAACACTGAATGCTGAGAAATGGTATCTAGATAACATCCTCACCATCTTCCTCGAGCGCGAAGACTTCACTCCTTATTCAGTCACATGCCCACACACACACACACACACACACACACACATATTTCCCAGGCAGACGACGGCCATTGCTGCCGCCGTTGCCGTCCAACCGTTAGATTGATTATTCGTATCTACTTTACCTACAGCATCAACGGGGAGTGGAGTGGAAGGGGGGGCGGCGATTCAGGCAGCGGGCAAGCTCTCGCCGCCCAGAGAGTTTACACCTAGGGTACTTTATGAAGGGATGCAGTCTCACCGGACATAGCATATAGGCCTACCACCATCTAGAGTACCATCTATGCAACTACCATCTCAGCCCGGACCGTACCGTACGGTACCGGTGCTGGTGGTGCTGGTGGTGGCGGCGAGGAGTTCGCTTGCCCGCCCGCCCGCTCGCCCACCCGCTCGCCACAGATAGGTACAGATACGTCTACATCCAGATACCCACAGATAGGCAGGAGATCTCGGCGCGGCTCGCTCGTTTGCATTTACATACATTCGACCCAACAGTTCCCAACTTCCCATATAGCCACCAGGCTGTCAATCTGTCAAGCCGGTAGACGAGATGAGATGTGTGGGGTCGGGGTCCCCCTTCACCGGCATCATGATCAGATCAGGCAACCTGTTCACTATGTGCTGCTCCCCCCTCCCCTCCCCCTCCCCCAAACCAAACTCACGCAAACCAAATCACGGGCCTCTCCCGATACATCCGCCGCACCTGCCACCGCCGCAGCGCAGCTTCCAATTGTAAGCCCGAGGGACCTGCATGAAATATCTGAAAAACCAAGTGAGAACAAAAGTGTTTGCGGCATAGCATATCCAGCATAGCGAGGTAGCCCAGGGGGACCAAGACCCAAGAGTCCCATTCAATAGCACTTTGTATTTTTGTATTCACACTTCATTCCGCAATGCACACCAAATCCCCATCCCCACCTCCATCTCCATCTCCATCCCAATCTCCACCGCAATCTGTACACGAGTGCTGCAATTGGTATCACCATCATAAATCCATAAAAAACAAGAACAACAACAAAAACATAAATTCGGGTATACCCCATCACGCACCACGCATCATAGACAGCCACACTAACGAAACCATACACCTCCACCTCACAAACTGCCCGGAAACACACATCTCCCCAGTCCAGTCCAACAACGAAGAATTACCATACATCCATCCATCCATCACTCCCTCCCTCGCCCAATTTAGATCCACACTGGCGCCTTAACCAGAATACTGCGCCCCCTGACCTCGACGGCCATGAACCCAGCCACGCGGAGCCTATCGCCATCCGACGGCTCGCCCGCCTGCTGGAGCAACGGAGACTGGGCCTGTACTGGCTGCTGCTGCTGCTGCTGTTGCTGCTGCGACTTTCCGTTGCCGGTAGGGCCCTGAGCAGCGCCACTGGGAGCCTGTGGCCCAGTAGACCTCTGGAGCCGCTTCATGACCTTTTCGCCGAAGCCCTTCTCGCCGCCTACCGCCTTGCCCTGCTGCTGCTGTTGTCCCTGCTTCTGGGCCGGCAATCCCGTGATGCCCGCGCGGGCTGCGGCGTCGTCTTTGGACGCAATGGAAGCTTGGTCGGTTGTATCATTGCTCGCATTGTCCGTCTGCATCAGGTCGCCTTCTGGCTGGGCGTTCATCGGAGTTCCAAGTGGGGGAAGGCCACCCTCGATCTTCATGAACTTGGCGTCGTAGCGATCGCCCGGAAGGGGGTACCACACTCTCACTTCTCTGGACTCGACGGGGAGGTTGGCGGCCAAGCCGATGGCGATGTCGACAACCATCTGGATGCCGCCCATGAGCCCCGGAGGTGGAGGGTCGTTGAGATGGGACTGTAGAGCGGTGAAAAGCTTGTTGACCAACAGCGCTCCAAGCTGCTGGCGAGCCTCGGTGCCGCGTTCGCTGTTGATGTGCGCATGCAGGGAATCAAGGGTTGTAAGACGCCAATTGCACACCTTGACGCTAAGTGCATCATGTTCCTCCCCGGTTTGGGGCATGGGCGATAGCAGCCGGATGTTGCGTTCGATCTCCTTGAGCTGCATCGACAGATTTGACTCCAGGGCAGGATGAAAGAATTGTTCCAGAATCTCGTCGACCACCCATCTGGAGATAGACGCCCGACCGACTACTGTCATTTCTCTGCCTCCCTTGCCAGCCGCTCCAGCATTGATGACACCATGCAGCCAAGAAGGGATCGTCTTCCACGACTGGCGAATCTCGAAAGCGACATTCTTGATTGCACCATCAAGCCGTTCGAAGCGCGACGTGTATTCGTTGTCATCAAGTGACGTGCGGGACTGTGCTAGGCGCTGGTGGGCGAGTGTGTTCTGGAGACGCTCAATTTCGGCGCTGCGGTCAAAGTAGAGCGACTTCACTTTGCGGTATTTGGTTTCTGTAGGATAAAAGAAAAAAGGAATCAGTCATCATTTTAGATTTTCGGGGAAGGGGGGAGGGGTAGAGGGGTTCCTACGCAAAGTTTCCAGTTCCTGTCGAGTTGCCTGGAGCTCGGCATTTTGCATATCTCCAGCTCGAGATTGCGAACGTACTTCGGGAGTTGCTCGTCCCGTCTGCTCTTGGTTGTATCCCGGGGGCACTTGGATCTGCTGTCCATCACCACCAACGCCAGCTTGATTTTGACTATAACTAGGGTTGCTTTGGTGCTGTGCGTATTGCTGCTGTTGTGGCTGCGGCTGTTGTATCTGTTGGCCAAGCGACGAAGATCCGCGGACTGGAGGACCCTGCTGTACCATGGCGTCCACTGGTCTTTGTTGTTCTTTGTGCTGTGGTTGCTGTTGATAATCGAACGACTGCTGTTGCTGCTGATGTTGATGTTGAGGGTGTGGTTGTTGTTGTTGTTGCTGCTGTTGCTTCTGCTGCTGCTGCTGGTACTCCTGACCGTGCTCGTAGTACACCGACTGGCGACCTGGCGGTGGACCAAAATTACTCTGTCGTTGCGGGTCGCTCGTGTATTCCCCGCCTCGCTGATGATTGTAGTCTACAACTTCGTTTTCCCTTGGGGTGGAAAGTATTGACTGGGGCCGTGGGGGCAGGGGTTGTTGTTGTAGATACGGGTTCGGGTGGGGTTCCTCGGTCTGAGGTTGGTGATGGTGTTGATGGTGCTGTTGCTGCTGTTGCGGTTGATAGGGCTGAGGGTCCGGAGGTGCGGCGGACTGCTGTGGTGGTTGATGTTTATTACTATGTCTCACCGAAATCCTGCGACCGAGACCGGCGACACCCCCTCCACCTGGTTGCGGGGAAGACGGAGTAGCAGCAGACTTATCACGCGAGGACGAAAATAGATTAAACCCGCCTGGCTTGCGGCTCGACGTCGTGGTGGTGGTGGTGCTTTGTGTGGATTGGCGGGCGGCAGATGCGAGCGATGTGACAGAGGATGAAGCTGAGGGGTGACTGTTGTTGTTGTTGATGGTGGAGTTATCGCTCAGGTCGATAGTGCTACCCCCACCGTTGTTGTGTTGCTGTTGCGGTTGCTGCTGCTGGTGTTGGTGTTGCTGGTGTTGTTGTTGCTGTTGCGGTTGCTGCTGCTGGTGTTGTTGTTGCAGTTGCAGTTGTTGCAGCTGCTGATGCTGGTACGGCGGCGGGTGCTGCTGTTGCTGCTGTTGCGGTTGGTATTCAGCCGCAAACTCCCCCAGTCTCGCTGGCGGAGACGAATGTTGATGGAGGGACGAGGGAGACAATGCTGACTCCTGTCGTTCGGACGGGACCAGTTGAATGGATGCCCTGTTGCTGTTGCTGTTGCTCAGATTGGTCTGCGAGAGCGTGGGTATCGTAGGATGTGTGTATACAGCTGAGCCGGGGAGAGCGATCGGCGGGGAGATGCTGAGGCGGGGTGAGTCCGGGCCACCAGAGCCAGCCACGCCAGGAGCGAGGGCCGGCGCGGCTGCGCGATTTGAGTGCTGTTTTTGGAAGAAGTTTTTTCCGATTGAAGGCATCGTGGCTATGTACCCACTGAGTGATGATGAGGGCAGAGGGTGCAAGGAAGTGAGTACGGTATGGAGACGGAGAATGAATTTGTATTGTAGATATTGGTATTTTTTTGGGAATGGTACGGAGATTTGGTATTTGGGATTGCAGAAAATAATAGCTCTAGCGATGGCGGCGTCGATGGCGGCGGTGGTGGACGCCTCTCATGGGTGGGAGACGTCCGAGGGTTTGGGATGGAGGGGTTCGGCTTTCCTGGGCAGGGTGGGGGGTAGGCTGAAGAGATGAGAATTGGATGAGTGAACGAACGAACGACGAACGAAAGAACGAGCAGCGAGCTGAAACTATTCGTTCGAGCCGGAGAATTGGGCAGTAGAAGCAACTTGTTTCAGCCCTCAAGGGATGCGGGATTGTGTGATATGAGATATGAGAGGGTGTGTGAAGGATGTGGTGGCGGGGGGGACGAGATGACAGTTCGGCAAAGTCAAGCCATTCAATCAAGTCAGGCGGCGAGTCAAATAGGTTGATGGAAGGAAGATGATGGGGATGGACAACTGCAAAGTGGTTTGCTGGGCGGGCGTGTGGTAGGGTCTAACTATCCCAGCCGTGCAGGGGAAGGCGAAGGAAACGGAGCTGCTTTTGCGTCTTCGGTTTTTTTGCTTTCTTTCTTTCCGTCGACGACGTTAACGTTGCGGCAGGTCCGAAGACTCAAGACTCCAGAGCTTTGTTCAAGGTGAGCTTTCTTTTCGCTTTGGCGGGGGCGGAGGGGCCCAAAATAGTAGCAGATCCCGAGTACCGTAGCGTAGCGTAGTCTATCTAGCCGGAGGAACGCGAGCTCAGCCACACGATTGCTTTTGTGGGTTGAGTTGAGTGGTGGATTGACTGGCTGGCGGATTGAGGGAATGGTGATTAGATGGGTATTGCCAGACTGCCCTGGTTCTTGCTCGTGAATCGTGATTGCTTGTCAGACTTTTAAACAAGTGATTAGAGTAAGGTTGGTAGTATGTACTGGCACATTAGGAAAGATAGATAAGTGCTTAGCTGATGCACCGATCAAAACACCGACGGGTGGTTAAGCAGTGTGAGGATTGTCGAAGAGAAGGAGGCCACCAAAGTCATAGGTACTACGAGGCTGACATGACGGGGGGCGCCGGCACGCTTTAAGAGCTCTGGAAAGCCCTCAACCAGGCACTTACACAGTTGAGTGCTGTACAATCAAGGGGGAGTAGAGTTCATGCAATCGATATAGTATCCACGCGTGATCGATTGCTTCTACATATCATAGGTACTTACACGGTGGACACGCGTTTTGACCGCGTTGGTGATGTGAAAACAGAGCGTCACCGAAGTATGTACCGTATCTTTCCAGTACTGTCCGAGAAGTATGCGGACATTCTCAAGAATACCTAGCGATAGCAGGAATCCTACCCGCCCCTTCCATGATACGGCAAGTACGGTACTTACTTCCACTTACATACTTCTCTCCTGTCATGTCAGGGCGAGTTCATCTAACAGCCGCCATTGCCGGTGAGGGGCACTTACCTCTGCATCTCCCTTGCTCACACCGTTTATTCTAGGTAGCATGTAGGTGAAGACGCCAGCAACACCTACCCGGTGGGCGCACCATGCCACAACGCCGATCCGACAAACCGGCTTTATCCTACGACGGCCGTATGGTACTCTACATGCTGGATCTTGACGGACTCGGATTATTCGACAGGCCGGAGCCTAAACGAATCGGGTAATTAAGGGTAATTCTGACGCTTAAATAGTGAGCCGAGCCGTTTCATGCATAGTGACTCACTCGGACCTGGCAAGCACTTCCGTCTCGTTCCGTACGTGCAGCGGACGTTAGAGTATGGAGGAGGAAAGAGGAGGCGGCGCTCGACGGCTCGACTTCGGCCGGAAGCCGTCAGTCGTCACATGCTAGAATCCCGATGCCCAGCCCGTCTAACTGGCAGGGCGCCAGTCTCCGGGACGGACCGAGGACTAGGTACCGCGAAAATCTGTTCGTTGTCGTCCAACAGGCAACTACCTGGAACTTCACGGGCATGGCGACGGACGGCCAAGGCCTTATGTTTGCCCACAGCCAGTGACGATGCAACGAGTAATAGAGGAGTTTCGCAGGTCGTGAGGGATGGTTTGCGAAATCGTTTTAGGCTTAGTGAGGTGACAAAAAGCGCTACCGGTTAAATTCGGGATCCATCGCGCTAGAGATACCGCGCGATTTGTCTCTTCAACCCGCACACGCTTGGGCCAACTAGTCGAGTGGGATGATCCAGTTAGGCATAGTGAGTGTCTCCTCTAAGGTGAATGGGGAGTAGCGCTACCTGCTCTAACATAGATGGGAAGTAGCGTTGAGAAGGAGAGTTGTTGTATCGGTCTTTGTTACGTACAAGTGTCATCCAGAAAGCATTGGAAGTCAATAAACCCACACAGTTACAGTCATTGAAGGAATGACTCTAGTCAATGAGCAGGAATGACTCTGGTCATTGAGGGAATGACTCTAGTCATTGAGCAGGAATGGCTCCAGTCACCGAGCAGCAATGACTGAGTAAACCCGCGAGACTCGAATAAAATACCGACTTAGACAGTCTATTGAAGTTCATTTCGACAGTACAGTGATGCTGGCCTTCGCGATGCGCATCATGGTGATGTTGGAGTACTCCTGTCTATACTGCCGTGCTCTGCTCTCCTCTGTCGCGGAGAATTTTTACTGAGTCTACGCTAGTCAAACCGCTAATCTCGAGAGTAGTCCACTTTTTCTCAGCCCGCACCTCCGAGTTGCGAAACGCCTTTTTTCCCACTAGAGGGCTCGGCACGCTAAAAGCCCACCTCACAGAGATCCCTCAGAACTGCAAAACTCCTCTAATGTTTCGCATGGCTAATGTAATCGCGTTAGGCGCTCACAGTAGGTACACTGCATGGACGTTCACCCATGCCTGACCCTATTGGCGCCGTCGAAAGGGATCCTCGGAGTACTACCTATAGAACTCTATGCTATGGGAGTCCGTTCGTTTGCCTTTAACTCTGTGAGCCTGTTTGAACGGTGTGTGTAAAAGAGTAAAAAGCCGCGTTCGGCACCGTCACAGAGCAGTCTACTATTGGCCATTCTCTTCGCCAGCCGAATTTCACGGATTACCGCGCCGTGCCCAAGCATGCCTTGAATTGGACAGAAGTATGCATGTGCGTGGAATTTTGTTACGTGAGTTCTTTGGAGGTGGGGCTGATTCGTTTGCCACTCGATTCGACCTTGTGTCGCCGCCGTTCCAAAGAAGAGCGAATTCATGGTTTTAAGCCTCGCACCATAGTAGCCTCGTAACCATCTACCCGAACGGGCCCCTGCTGTCCTGTGTGTTCGAGCCCCGAATGAAATGGAAAGTATAATTGGACATGGCCGAAATGATATGTACACACCATATTCGGGCACCAGTAACGCCATGTACATATTTTCCGAATGAATGCTCCTGCTAAACCCCCTACAGTCCGTTAGATACTCTGGAGTGGAGTATGGTGGATACTATGGTCGTGGGTGGTATTCATTTGACATGGGAGGTGGGCTGCGATTGGTTTAGGACATCGGCCACGACCTTGCGACCGCAGCAGGACGCTTCTCTTCGCTCTCACAACCACCACTACCACCACTACCCACCACCATCACCACCGCCGTCATCATCACCGACCACTGCCTCGATCCAGATTAAAATCTCGCCTTCCCTGTCGAAACTGATCGCTATAAACTCACAATTATTCACAATACAAATCCTCACCTTCGCATCGTCACAACAATCGTCGCCGTCGTCGTTGCGTGTTGCCAACTGATCGGTTACACCTTCCCCCCTCCCCCCGATCAATGGCTTCGGCCGTACCAAAATCTCGCCCCCGTCAATCGATGGCACCTACCGTGGCTCCCCTACAACACCAACAGCAATCGCCGCCGTTTCAGGCCGATCACTACGCATTCCCATCCCCTAACGCGCAACCATACGACCACTCGCCAGCTTCGTACACATTCACAGGCCCTGTATGTCGCTACATCAATGGAGCACATTTCCAGCAGCTTCTGGACCGAATTAATGTGGGCCTCCAGAGATCTACACAGGAGGAAGAGAAGCGCGCAGTTATCGATGCAAACTTTGACGCCCTCGAGAGCGACGTGCATGGCGAGATCCGCCGTTTGAAGGCCGAGTTATTTACTTCGCATGGTCTTCGTCCGAGCCCGAATAAGCGACCTCCTGATGATGATCCGTCGTCGAACTACAGCTCGCCTGACGCGAAGCGGCCCAAGGCTGACGACGAGGACGACGAGGTTAACGCCAGGGGAAGCTGGCGTTGTCTTTACTACGAAAACGACCCAGACAGCAATTTCCACTGCAAGGGCAAGCGGTATAAGCGTGTATCGGAGCTAAGGAGGCACATCAAGACGCATACGCTTCCGCACTACTGCAAGGACTGCGGATATCGTACCGCGGAAGAGCGACGATTGCAAAACCACAAATGTGAGCCTGGTAACAAGAAACGGTATTCTCCCGTAACGGAGGAGGATCGGCTCAAGCACGAACAGCTCGCACGGATGGGCATCAAGGTGGGGCAGATGCGGCTGATCCTGTTTGGAAAAAAGAGCGACAACGAGGAGGATAATATCGCTGACGATGGTATGCCAACACTCACTCATGCACGGCTTCCTTCTCCTCAACTTTAACTAACCCCCTAGAAGACTCCATAAACTCCGAAGGACCCAGTCGGCGTCAATCCTTCAGTGATTCACAACAGCCCCAACATCTTCCAACATTTGTGCCCGTCTCCTTCCCTGGCTTTCAGAATCCCATCCTCACCTCGCAAGCACCGCTCGATGGAGTCACACTATCGCCGTCCGCTCCCATGTATATTGTACCGCACCTCCCGCAGATGCCGCACATAGCGCATACACAATATGTCGTCCCTCACGGCTTGCACCACCCGCATCCCACGCCGCCCTTTCACCCAGGCTCGGCGCCCCATTCACCGATCATGCAACCAGGCCACAACCATTCCTACTACAACTCCGATTACCACCAAGAATCAAACGACTTCGTGCTCTACGACAATAATGGCACGGTGACTTCGTCACCGAGTCACCACCAGCAGTCGCCGCCACCCAACAACTACCAGTTATACACTATGCCAGGACAGTCTCCCGGATACACGATATACTCACCTCCGCCTGGGATGCCACAGCGCCAGGACAGTCTCGGCAATTACCTGTCGACTGTTTTCCCCGAGACCAACGGAGGCGGGCTCGACAATTTCGAAGGTGGAGTGACTGCGCGAGCTATGCCGGCCGAATTGATCGCGGAGATGGAAGAGAACCTTCGCAGGCAGGGCCGCACCGACACCAAGCTCGGTGTTGCCGAGAAGTATTACCGCCCCCCCTCCTGCCTGGGAACACTGCTGACAAAGTTTAAAGGTCCAAGAACTTCTTCAGGTCGTTGTCTAGCCGATCCCTTGGTAAACCTGATGGCAGTGAATCTAGTGGTGCGGAGAGGAAGATGTCGTTCTGGAAAAGACGAACGGCGAGTGCACCGGCAGAACTGGGCAACCGGAAGACCGAAGAGCACGGCATTTTGGGGGGCATCAAGAAGATCTTTTGGATTGGCGTGGGACGTAAAAGACCTACGCGGGTCGAGGAAGCTAGAGCCGATACTGCTGCACCTACTGCTGCACCTGCTGCTGCTGCTACCCCTGCCGAGGGTGCACCCGCTCCCAGTCTACCCGCTCCCAGTCTACCCGCCCCAGTGGTACTTGCTGCAACCGCCGAGGAGACACCAGCGGCCACCACTACTCCCGCCGCGCCCGCACCTACCAAGCAGCCCGCTGCCACCAGCTCTACTGTACCCGCCGAGGAAGTCATCACCCCCGCCATGGCCGCCCCAGTAGTTACCCTCCCAATGGTGCAGGCAACAGCATAAGCATTGGGGGGAGCATGTGGAGGTTCTTTATTTCTTTCGTTTATATCATCTTGACGGACAACCATTCCGTATTTTTTGTTTCCTATTATCACTTTCCTTTTAATGTCGGGCGTTTTTATGTTCTTTTTCCTTGCGTCGTGCGAATACCGAAATGACCGTCATTTGTTCATTGATACCTATATCGGATCTGGAATACCCAAAGTATTGTAGGGCGGGCTGGGGGGCGGGGGGGGGAGTTGCATTCGCTCCGTAAGGTACTTTGTTGATTGCGATTGCGTCGTCTTTGCTTGCTTGCTGTGCGATTTTTTCTTTCTTTTTTTCTACCTTGTCTTTCTTGGGATGAACTTTGTGCACGAAGCTGGTATGGTACGGTATGGGTACGGTATGGTACGGTATGGTACGGTATGGTAAGATATCACGTCGCGAAAAATTGAAATTCCGTCTTCTGCTGGATGATATTTATTGGTGGACTGGTCACTGGACCGTTATGGATATGGGACCCTACTACAGTCTACAGACATGACCACACATCCTGCCACCTGGGCCCCAGTCGGAGGACTGGCCTGGGCGGATCATTATTAATCCTGATTTCTGGCACTTGTTGAGAAGTGTCCGGTGGATACTGGAGGGCATGGTTTGTCATTTGTCACTTGCTACTCCCGCAGCCTCCGTACTCACCGCCCGCCCGTGTTCGACATACCTAGTCCAATCCGTTCGTCCCGAGCCTCGGCATGGACTGGACTGCAGTCCGGACCGGACTATGTAGGTACGTTGAACACTGCCGCCCGCGTCATTCCGGACGCTGGGAGGACTGACAGTCTCAGACTCTCGGTCCGTCCAAGGAATACCTACGGTAAGATGGGATGGGATGGGATGGGTAAACGGTCTGTGCTATCTGCCGGACCGGACCGTAGGAGGGCGTAGGAATGGCCGGGCTGTGAGATCGGAACTACAGCATAGGTAGCAGGATGCGGACGTAGGGAGGAGGAAGCGATTATACCATACCATGGCACTGGGTAGTGTGTATATACTTGGATGTACCATACGCAGCCTACAGGATCCGGAGCATGAGTGCTCAGTGATGTTCCCACTCGCTGCTATTTTCACCGTCACCGTCACCGGGGTACTATATTCGTCTTCCGGGGGATCTGCCTAGGAGACATTTTATGCTCTTGTGTTTGCATAAACAAAGGTAATAGGCAATGATGGGGATTCCATGAGCGAGGGGCCGGATCGGACATCAAGCTTTCCACCACGGGGCGGACCATTACGCAGCCAATACGGAGCAAGAAGTAAAGAGTGCGGCCATAACGCGAATACGCCTACTTTACCATTCATCCATCTATCTATCCAACCATCCAGCATCTCGCGGGAGGGAATAACTATCGATATCGATACCGACGGGAAAGTATGACCGTGGGTAAGTGTTGTATATACCAACTACTACTACTACTGCTACTAGTAGTAGCGCCTACTGGGACGGTCAAAGCTAGACGCGCGTATATCGAGTCAAAGTCGGCGCACTTTGGCTCTGGCTCTGGCTCTGGCTCTGGCTCTGGCTTTCAACTCTCCTCCTCCCTCGCTTCCACCTCCTCCACCACCACTTCTGGCGTGCCGCGTAATCGATGAAGCTACCTACCAAGGGGTTCAAGGATGGAAGAAAGGCAGTTGGATATTTTTGGTCTGATCGGCGGGAGAGGGGAAACTAGAGACTCGAGGAAGGAAGGTAGTTGAACATATCTAGTTAGCTGAAGAGAAGAAGCTTGAGGATTGGGGGGAGGCTCTGGGTTAACTGGGCAACTGGGTAGGGAAGGCAGTTGGATATCTCTGGTCAGCTGTCAGCGGGAGCGGGGAAGCTTGAGGATTGGGGATTTGGCGGCCATGCTTTAGGCTTCAACTAAATTCCTTACCACCAGTATTTCCCACTACGTACGGGAGGTTCTGGGTTAACCGGGTAGAAGGATGGCATACGCAATAAACCATGAATACACACTCGCAACGTTGACCCTCACTCGCGAGAACAATCTCCCTTCTAGAGATCTATCTTGAGGAAGTGGTGAAGTTTGCACCATCCGTGGGCGCCGTAGGAGTGCTAATAAAACGCCCTCCGTCCACCTCTCAGTGACCATATCACCCAACACCATTACCAACACACCAACCCACCCACCCCGCCCTTTCACCCACTCACCAGCTCCAAACCAACATCATGCGTCTCCTCCTCTTCCTCCCGGTTCTAAGCGCTTTGTTGGCACCCACGCTCGCCAGCGCGGTCCCGCAGCAGCAATCCGCGCCCTGGGGCGAAAAAACCGACGGCCGCGTCGAGCAATTCCGCAACATGTGGAAGGACCGCCAGGCGGGGCGGCAGCCGGGAAAGATGGAGAAGCTCGTGGGCAACGCCGAAGACCGCGAGCACGGGAAGTACACCAATCCCAAGCCGTACACGCAGATGGGCGGTGGAATGAGTGGTGCGCCTCCTCCTCCTCCGAAGGAGCAGCCGAAGAAACAGCAGCCCCAGCAGCAGCCCAAGCAGCAGCAGAAGAAGAAGAAGAATGGGCCTCCTCCTCCCTCCACCGGTGGGAAGAAGAAGGGCGGCTCTGGCGGGCTGCATAAGCGTGGCGGCGACGATATCTGCAGCCTCACCTCGCTCCAGGGCAACGGAAAGTACCCCGACCCCGAGGACTTCTTCAAGTTCTCCGAGGAGAAGCTCGGGAAGAAGTACAGTCCGGCGGAGCTGGAGGCAGCGCGCGACCACCTTGCGACGCAGCTTGCCGCCGCCGCGAAGCGCGATCAGGAGCGTAAGAGCGACGACCCCCCGCCCGTCCAGTGCGATGACGAGTTCCTTGCGTTCGCCGGCATCCCCAAGGAGGAGGTGGCCCCGCCCGCGCCCAACGTCATCGAGGTCGAGGCGAAGAAACTCGGGTTCAAGGACTTGGCCTCCGCGTGCCAGACCAAGAAGGCGACCGCTCCCTGCCCCCTCGCCAACCCCGATGCCAAGTGCGATTACTGCTGCGAGGCCGGCTACACGGGCGCCAACGAGTTCCAGGACTCCGGGTGCGGCTGCTGCAGCTACGAGTACGCCGGCGGCGACTTCCCGATCGACTTTGCGCAGTTGGCGTTCGAGTGCCGTCCCTTCAACGACTGTGAGGGTGGCAACGGGAGCGTCGGTGGCCGTGGCGGCGTCCGTGGCGGCCGTGGCGCGGGAGACGGCGGAGACGACATCGAAGTCGATGTGTCCACCAACAGGGACACCGAGATCTACGCTGTGTTCGAGGACATCAGGCGCCTGTGCTTCTTCTTCGACTCGAAGAACAACCAGGACGTCAACATCAACACGCCGTACGAGGGGGTCGTCGACATCAGGGTCGATACCGAGGACCTCGCTGCTGCTGCTGCTGATGATGGTGATGAGGTCGTGATTGCCAACTCTCAACCCGGTAGGGATTTCTATCCGGGTTCCCCGGCGAGGGCTGAGAAGTCGGGTGAAACCATCAGCGCTTCCCCGGCGAGGGCCGAGAAGTCGGGTGAAACCATCCGCGCTTCTAAGGATTACTATCCGGGTTCCCCAGCTCGGGCCGAGAAGTCTGGAGAAATCATCAGCTCTTCCCCGGCGAGGGCCGAGAAGTCGGGTGAAATCCTCAGCCCTTCCCTGACTGATATTCACTCCCTGGCCGATGCTCACACCAGGGAGGAGTTCGACGCCAAGGCGGCCCAGATCGCGCCGTACGGCAGAGTTTCGGACGTTGAAATGCTGGGGTTCTTGAATCTGATGGTTTAGAGAGTAATTGGGGGGGGGGGCTCTGGTGTATGTACGTACGGTGAAGGTGGCGTTGGCGGCGGTGTCAGGTGGTATTTGATGCGAATGTGTGTGTACCATTGCTTTCTTTTCTCGAGTCTTTCTTTCTTTCCGGCTATAGATAAAGTAATGTACTCAAGTAGTAATCAAGTTTAGTATCAAACAAAGGGGGAAAGGTAATACCATGACAGCGTGTGTAGATATCTCATGCCATCTTGTCGCATTCATATCCTAGATATCAACACCACTACCAGGATAGGCACCGTGTTTACAAGTCTGCTAGACTGAAGAGGTGAGCATTCCATCGGCCATTCCGATACGCGGCTGTGTGTTTCACGAAGAAACGTTGGTTGCGTAGTTGAGACAGATTCTGTGAGATCACTCGTGTTCCCTAACTGGTCACTCGTCGAGGTCCCTCCGCATGCGGGGCTATGGCCGTCTGGTTGGGTAAGGGTTCCCCATAATCTAGGTAGATGGCTTGGATGCAAAATAAATTGACGTTCTCTCTCTAATGGACAACCAAGCCCAGACACCGCAAGAGCGTCGCCGTCGTCTTGATCAAGCCTCATGGCTTGAGCAAAGGATTCTCCGCTTAGCTAGGCCCGCCGTCGCATGGGCTAGCTGTTCCCTGTGCACCATCAAGTCTCTCCTCACGAAACAAACTCTCAACGAGCGGACCGTTTCTCTCTCCCTGTTTCCTCACACTCACGCCCCCTCCCCCACACACTGCCGCTCTCGCTGGCGCCGCCGATAGCAAAGTTGCCACCACAGATTGCCGACAAGGTATTAGAGTAGGGTACGGCAGTTTGAGCTCACAGTGGGTGACGTCGAAGGGTGCACGGAGGGTGCAACGGGAAAGCCCGTTTCTCTTCTCCACCCTTCTTCCCCCCACACATCACGGCTTTCCCTTGATCTTCGATGAGGTCTGGGCACGGATACTACCGGTATATAAATGTTCATCGTGGATTGAAGGTTCTGCCTCTCGACGATCGCGATGGGGCGTGATGCGGGGTGTGGGGAAGGGGAGTCACCGCGGATGAAGTTCCTTTCCTGCTTGGACAATGGACAATGGACTTTGGAGGGCCACGGACGGTGCTAGGTGGAGCGGACAACATCCCGCGCACTGTTTCCGCACTCTTTTCTCCCTGGTTGCTTCTGTGGATGTAACTCTGTAACTCTTTCCTCCGTTGGTTGCCTCTGTGTATAATACGAGTATGGATGTACCGTAACTCTTTTGCTTTTATGGATGTAACGCCGACCGTCATCGATCGCTTCGTATGCAGAGTACGTACTGCTCTATTCCCGACGTTGGTTGCACCAGCCCTCGGGATTCGAATTGTGTGGGTGCCCACTGGCGCGGTGGGAGATGCGATGCGGCTGTATGGATGGTGGTCTCGATGGGTGGATGGATGTCCCGTCCGGGTCGTGCTGGTGTGATCGCCGTTAGTTGCTGTGGTTATCGCGAGCCAAGATGGCCGTCGACGTGCGGGGCATTTTGCCGCGGCTTGAACCGTTTGGCGAATCAGGATCCGCGCAACCAGGGGCCCTCACTTGGCGCAGTTAGCATGGGCCAAGACGCGGCGTGCAAGAGCGAACATCAATCTAAAAGGACTAGAGCACTATCAAGTCCCGGTGGGTGGTGTTTGGGGAAAACCAGGAACCGTCGGCGTGAGGGTGACGCAAGACGCATGGGCGGTGCTGTGGAAGGTTCCAAAGCGCTTGGCCCCTTGCGGGAAATGGTCAACTGCTTTCTACACGAAGTTCTTAGCATCGTTGGACGCCCAGGACGCGGCGGTGGCTGTGACAACACCATCATCCATCGCACGACCGTGCTAGCTGGTTGGTTGGTACAAAGTGCATCATCATCATCGCAGTGGTTTTCTTGATTCTGCTCCAGCCACATTTTCAAGCGGGCGGGAAGGAAGTCCTTGTATCGAGGCCGGCAGGTACTGTCATACTCTCCAACTTTGCTTGTTTTCACTTCTGCAAAAGCACTCACGGCGAATAATGTCTTCCCGTTGACCTTCTTCTCCTTTCTTTTCTGCTTCACACTGGCCGTCTCACTGCTGAAACAACGACAGCCTGCCCACACACACCACCATACGTACTTCCAACAGTTACATATATCCAGAGCCCTTATCTGCGCCTGGCCCCCCTCCCCCAAAGACATCTCTCCGTCAGCGCTTCAGCACAATTCGAACTCTTCCTCTTCGGAATCTCGCCACCGCCTGCCCGCCGGCCTGCCTGACATCTGACGCCCACGCACGCCGTCTCACTGCGATTCCGGTAGTAGTTACTTCTAGATTCCGACCTGCCATCTTGACCGCATAAGCCTCCTTCTACGCGTCCACGCCAAACACACACACCCCCACCACCCGCCACCCCCAGCCCCCGAGAAATCGCGCATCCGCGAACCCTTATCATCAAGGGTTTTCGCCCGCTCGCTGCATCCCATCCCTCCCGTCGGCCCGTTTTCCCTCCCACAAGCAACCACATACATACATACAAACTCTATCGCGACCCAGTCGATCGTTCCCACCCTGCCATGAGTTTCTTTAGCTCACCAACCTCGTTCCGACTCAATGCTCTACAACCTGTTCCCCACGCTCCCTTCGTTCCGATGATGTACTCGACATTACCGGGAAACTCGAGCTACGATATGACAACCATCATGATGGACGGACAGAAATCGCAGCCCGCCGAGGGACATCCCTCGCTGATGCATTTGGGACTGCTCGTGTTCGAGGCGGTGATGGAAGTAGTCTGTGTGTCGTTACCGGGCTACATCATCGCCCGCGCTGGACTGTTCGACACCGATAATCAGAAGTTCGTGGCGAACCTCAACGTCTCGCTGTTCACGCCGTGTCTGAGTGAGTTTCACCTGTCCTGGCCGGTTTGGGATCGCAATGTACTGACCGGCTTTGTTATCAAGTCTTCATCAAACTGGCGAGTCAGCTCACGCTCTCGAAGCTGGCGGAGTTGATTATCATTCCCGTTCTGTTCGTCTTCATGACTGCCGTTTCGTACTGTTGCTCCCTGGCGGTTGCAAAACTGTTCGGGTTCGAGAAGCCTGCAAGGAACTTTGTGATCGCAATGGTGAGTCCGCATACTGCTCCACTCCACCCCTGATGATGGATATGCGGGTGCTGATTATCGCGACAGGGTGTTTTCGGAAACTCAAACTCCCTTCCCATCTCGTTGGTCTTGTCTTTGGCGCACACCATCTCCGGATTGCATTGGGACCGGATTCCGGGCGATAACGATCAAGAGGTTGCCGCGAGAGGTATCCTTTACCTTCTCATCTTCCAGCAGCTCGGACAGCTCCTGCGTTGGTCTTGGGGATACCATGTTTTGTTGGCACGCACCGACGACGTCGAAACGGGTGCGCAGCCCAACGGCTCGGCTGGCAGAAGCTATCGCGACAACGAGGATGACAACGAGGGCGACAGTGACAGCGAAGACGAAGACCTCCTGCGCGTTCGCGTTGATCCGTTCATGTCGCCCCAGTTTGAGAACAGCTTCGAGGGTCTCCACCGCCAGGTGCAGCCCAACGAGCAGGATGCGCTGCTTCCTTGCGGCCACGACCGTAACCACCACCGCAACCACACCACGGGAACCACCGACTCGGCCTTTGAATCCGGCCCATCCGGCGAACAGACACCCGTCAGTAGGTACCCTAGTTCGGCGTCTCTCTCGACCTGTCCCGGCACCGATATCACTCAGTCTTCTTCCATCATCGGCGAGACTCCGCTCAAGGGCAACCGCGGAAAGCGGGACATCACCTCTTTCCCTACGATCACGACATCGAGCAGCACCGAGAACCTCCAGCCGCGATGGGCCGCACCGGCGCCTCAGCCTTGGTACTCGCGCACATTTACTGCCATCAAGAATTTCGGTGTTCGCTTCGCCTTGGGACTGTGGGAGTTTATGAACCCGCCTCTGTGGGCCATGTTTGCAGCGATCATCGTCGCATCCATCCCCCAGCTGCAGGAGTTGTTCTTCACCAAGGGCACATTCGTCAACGCCTCCGTCACACGTGCCATTTCGCAGTCTGGAAACGTAGCCGTGCCGCTCATCCTGGTTGTTCTCGGAGCAAATCTTGCCAACAGTACTTCCGGCAAGCAGAAGAACGCGCACGCCGACAAGCAGGAAACCAAGATTCTGATCGCCTCGCTGGTCTCCCGCATGCTTCTCCCCTTCTTCTTCATTGCGCCCGTGCTCGCCATCGCCGCCAAGTACCTCAACATTTCCATCCTCGACGACCCGATCTTCCTGGTCGTCTGCTTCCTCCTGACTGGTGCTCCCAGCGCATTGCAACTTGCGCAGATCTGCCAGATCAATAATGTTTTTGAGGACGTCATCACCCGGGTGTTGTTCTGGAGTTACGTCGTCGTCATCCTGCCGAGTACTCTTGCTCTCGTCATCACGGCGATTGAGGTCGTACACTGGGCCACGTAAGAGAGAGATAGATACCTGAAACCACGAATTCCCTACCTACAGGGATTTCTTTTTCCTTTTCCTTCTTGGGCGGGGGTTTAGGGAGCGTTGCATAGATGTGATACCTGCTGGCGAAAAGGGAGCGTGATTTTTTTTTGATTCGATTTCGGGTCTTTGTGTTTTTCCGTTTTTCGTTTTTCGCTTTCGAGGATGTTTATTTATTTCTTATTGCTATCTGTGAAAGCCATTCTGATTCATTTTTCTTTCTTGGACGGACCGGTCGCTCCCCCCGATTTACTTTCTCCTTGTTTACGATGCTCGGATTGTATGATGAATGGGATGGATCGAATCGAGTGGCTGGTACACAAGATTATGGATTGGATTGGATTGGATGGATTGGATGCATGTAAGGTTCTTATCCGCATATACCATATGGGCGCGAGAGAGTGTGTGCAACTGTGTGTGGGGGGGGGGGGGGGGGGGGGGGGGGTTTGCGAATAAATTTACGTTACGAATTCCTCTCTGTCCGTTGAATATGGTTTTGTGCAAGGTTTATTTGACTGTGCATTCCCGAGCGGTCGAGCCCTTCGAGGTCATCGGTGAATGACGATGATCTGCAGGAGATATCATTCAATGTGCAGGTTTAATTCGGTAGCCTAACCTGGCCTTGTCCACGTGAACTTTGAAGAAAGTGAGGGCCACATGATAAGGCCAGGGAAACATTTAACTGTGGCAATTAACTACTGCTGGAAGTGAGACCCTCTCTTCACAGGAGAGCTTACTTTGCTTGCTAGAGTAATTAGAGTACCTACCTGGTAGATAGAGAGGACCGGTCCGATATCATCCTCTATCTCATCCCGCTATCTATCTACTAACGCTGCTCCACTCACTGCCTACCAACTTCTATCACCCCTCCACCCCTCCATCCCCCACCCCACTTAACGCAACGCAAATCGCCATCTACTATCTAGAATCATCATCTCGCGCACACCGCACCGAGCACCGTCGACGGAGCACGCCCCCCATCCATCCACCCATCCATCCACGCATCTATCCATCTGTCCGATTACACCTACCCACAACCCACATCCACATCCTTCTACAACCCACAACCATGGAATCACCCACGGCCTCACCCACGCTCTCCAGCAAAGCCGTCAGCATCTCGGACTACCCCAGCGAGATAACGCTCCCGGACCGTAGCAGCACTGGGGGCAGCGGCGGCTACCGGCCCTCGCACCTCCTGCGGAAATCCCTCTCCTCGAAGCGTCTGCAGGGCCGCCTCCCCAGCTCCCCGCGCCTCGAGAATGACTCGACGCTGCATTTGCAGCCTGAGGAGGGTGTTGGGGGCGCGGGAGGAGCGGGGGGATCGGGATCGGGGGCGGGGGGAGTGGCAGACTACGGAGTCCGCGACCGCGCCGCTGAGCTGCTGGAGAAATGTGCGCAGTGGCTGGAGACGGAGCGGCAAGCGCGGCGGGCGCGGCGGGCGCGGCGGAAGGGCCGCGCGGAGACGGCGGAGGGGGAGCAGCAGCAGCAGCAGCAGCAGGAGTCGGGCGGCTCTGCTGACGAGAGCTTGGATTTGCTGGAGGCGCTGTTGCGCGAGCGGCCGGCTGTCACCGGCGGAAGCAGGAAGGGCTCGCACCGTGTCAGTAGGCGAAGCTTGATGGGTGGATTGGGGCAGGCCTCCGGGGCGACGAGCGATACGGAGTATGCGAGCGATGGTGATGCCGTGGTACCGGGATGTGAGGAGTGGTTGAAGATTCCGGAGGAGATCGGGTGGGATACGTTCAAGCAGGAGGTCCTGAAGCTCACGCATACGCTGCGGTGTAAGGGGTGGCGCAGTGTGGATTTGGATCGGTTTAGGGAGGTCGGCGTCGAGAGGATCAGTGGAGCGTTGACGAATGCGGTAGGTTGCGGCGGGGCTGCGGTGATGGGTTGTGGGTTGTGGGTTTGGGCTGATGATGTGAAAGGTCTATATGGTGACTCCTCCGTCGGATCTTCCTACGTCTACCGCGGCATCGTCGACGACGAACCTGGGCGTTTCCACGCCGAACGGTGAAGACACCCAGCGCAGACGCAAACCGGCTAAGCTGCTTCTCAGGATCTACGGGCCACAGGTATCCCACCTCATCGACCGCGATACGGAGCTCTACATTCTGCGACGCCTCGCGCGGAAGAAGATCGGACCACGGCTGCTAGGAACATTCGAGAACGGACGTTTCGAGCAGTTCTTCACCGCGCGGACACTCACTAAGGACGACATCCGCAATCCGGAGACGAGCCGGCACATTGCGAAGCGTCTGAAGGAGCTGCACCGCGGAATCGAAGTCGAGTCGAAAGAGCGCGAGCAGGGCCCGATCGTCTGGAAGAACTGGGAGAAATGGGTGCCCCGGTGCACAGACGTCATGGAGCACATCGACGCAAAGCAGAAATACGGCCTCGTCTGCGGCACCACCTGGCCGGTCTTCCGTGAGGCGGTCGAGAAGTACCGCGCGTGGCTCGTCGCCCGCTACGGCGGTGACGAACAGCTCAAGCGCGAGCTCGTGTTCGCGCACAACGACACGCAGTACGGCAACATCCTGCGTCTGCAGGCCGTCGAGAAGTCGCCGCTCCTCCTGCCAGGTAACGAGCACAAGCAGCTCGTCGTCATCGACTTCGAGTACGCCAGCGCCAACACGCCCGGCTTCGAGTTCGCAAACCACTTCTGCGAGTGGATGGCCGACTACCACAACGAGACGCGGCCGCACGAGATGAAAACCAACCGCTTCCCGACGGAAAAGGAGATCCGCAACTTCCTGACCGCCTACGTCGAGCACTCGTTCAGCAAACGCCTCCCCCAGCTGGGCGCCTTCAACCTCGACGCGAGAGTTCCGCCCCCGCCCGTCGATAACGAGGCGGAACTCGCCGTTGTCAGGGAAAAGGTCGAGAAATTGCTCCTGGAGACCCGCGCGTGGAGGGCGGCTAGCTCCGCGATGTGGTGCGCTTGGGGCGTCGTACAGGCGAAGGCTCCGCCGCCACCGTGCAGTGAGGAGGAGGAGGCACAGGAGGCGCCCGAGAAGGTGGAGGAGTTCGATTACTTGCTGTATGCGCAGCAGAGGGCACTGCTGTTCTGGGGCGATTGTCTGAGTCTGGGAATATTCACGAAACATGACCTGGAAGCTATGCAGGAGGGGCTGGCGGAGAGGGTTAAGGTTGTCGAGCCTATGTAGGTAGGTGGGCAGTTGTATTTGAGTAGGTAGGTATTGCGATGGATCGGTGTTCCGTAAAGATGTTACGACTTACGATATGTGTATGAGTGGGCTTGTTTGAGTATTTGAGTATTTGTAGGTAGATACATTAGGTATGTGGTAGATATGTGGTATCGAATATCGATATGGGCATATGTGGGAATCTTCTCTTCTCTACCTTGGAGTTGTCCGTGGTGCACGTGCATCATCAACCCTGACTCGACGGTCAAGTCTACATAGAGTCCGGTTCCGGTCGTGATACCAACTGCAGGCTGCCGGGAAACCAACTGCAGACTGCTAGAGGCCGGTGCTGCAGACGAGTGCTAACATGGAAGGCTCATGGCGGTGGAGATTGGTGGTGGAGTGTAAGAAGCAGCTCAACGGCGAGGTTGGAGTCTAGATGTCGCTGTAGCACGAGGGTAGGCGAGGCCGCATATAGACGGGGAAGAGGGGGGGGGCGAGTGCGAGTGTCCAAGGGACTGATATAAAACCCACCGAGCAACCCTCACTCCCCCGGACCCCATCCACAAGCCAGCAATCCCCATCACAACACCACGATGTCCAACCAGACGCTCCCTAAGCCGCGCACCCCGCTCCCCTCCACCTTCGCGCTATCCTCCTACCCGAAGCTATCCCACATCTCCGCCGGGCACCTGCGGCACATGCACAACCTGTCCCTGCAGCGGCCAGGTGACTGGTCTTCCATGTCTTCCGTCTTCCCAGAGCAAGAATGGCACGACGCACTGCGGTACCAGCTCAGCACAATGCTATACGGGGCAGGACTCGCACACTTCCACCAGCTTTCTGCCATCCGCGCGCCGTTCAAGATGCTGTGCCACCGGCTGATCGAGAAGATGCTGCACCGCGATGTGTGGAGCTACTGGTACCTCACCAGCCAGGGCGGGGTCGCGTGTAATCCCGACTTGAAGGTGCTGCGAGCGCCGTGGGCGGACCCCGTAAGGAGGGAGAATATCATGTACTCCGGGCATCTGCTGCTTATGACGACGGTTTTTGCTATGCTGTTTGATGATGATGAATGGGATCAGGACGGGGCGTTGGTGTTTACGCATGATCCCGTATATTATGGGCTGGGCGAGGAGGTCTATAGGTACAGTAGGACGGAGCTGCAACGCGCGATACTGGCGGAGATGGAGAGGGAGGGATGGGTCGGCGTTTGCTGCGAGCCGAATGTCGTCTTTGTCATCTGTAACCAGTTTCCGGTAGGGTCTTGCCTCGTTTCGCTGGCTGCTTCATGGGCTAATGTGGTGTGCACAGCTGGTAGCGCTCCGCCTCGACTCCGTCCGCAAGGGCAACGGGCACGCCGCCGAGGTGCTGGCCAAGTACGTCGCCGCGTGGAAATTGAAGGGCGTGCAGTTCGAGGGCGACCAGATGCAGGCGGACATGTACATGGTCCAGCAGAGACAGGCACTGCCGTTCGGCGAGATCGCTATGTCTGCTTGGTAACCCCCCTCCGCCCCGCAGTCCTGCTTGCCGAGTGATGGCGGCTGATGAAAGTAGGGCGGCCGGAATGCTCAACACCTGGAATCCCACCTTCTCCCGCAACCTGTATCCGCACCTGCTGGCGGGCTACCTCACGAAGAAACCCAACGGCCGAATCAACCTCAACAGCGCGCCGGTCGCCACACGGATCCGCGAACTTGCGAGCAGCAGCAACAGCAGCGGGAGCCAACCCACCGACCCCACCTCGCCAGAGCTGTTTACGCAAGCATGGGATGACGCTCCCACCCGCGCCGCGGCGCTCTCGCCCCTCCTGCGCCCAGGCAGCACATCCTCACGGATGCCGACGAAGCCGGTATTCGGGTGCGTTCTCAGCTACGTGTCCGAAGTCGGGCCACGGGCCCATCTCGCGGGGCTGCTGCAGCACGCCGACGAGATGTTTGGGCTGCAGTGGCGGGACGGCGGGTGCTACTATGCGCGCGGCGACGATGAGGTCGTTGTTGATGACGACGGAGAATGGAGGTTCTGTGATTCGTTTACTGGTAACGCGCTGATTCCGTATGCCAGGCTTAATGTTCAGGATGGGTTGCGAAAGATGTATGAACACCCCTGGACCGGGGAGGAGATAAGGGGGAGGCCCTGGGTGGATGGGCTTGGGGGCTTCGAGGAGGGGGTGGACTTTTTGAGGGCGATCTGGGATGATGAGGTCAAGGCTATGGTGCTGACGCTTCGCTGCTGGAACGGTACAAGGACGGTCAGGCCGGTGGTTAGACAGCTAAAGGCGGGCGTTTACGATGTCTACGTTGGTGGATGGTTGGTCAAGAGTGAGAGGGTGCTTACCGATGGAGGAGCGGTTGAGGTGGAGTTTCAGGTTGGCGAGGACGAGTGTGATTTGGTGGTTTTGAGGGACAAATGCGAGTAGAAGGCTGGGAAGATTGGCAGCGGTTCTAGGTAGTCACTTGCGAATGCACTCGATTCATAATTGCTAGGATACCAGCACCAGTCGCCCGAGTGATATGTGATTATGTTACCTATGACTGCTTCCCGTCCTCCATCGGCAGCTTCTCCCCGGGAAACGCCCAGCCCAGCAGCTTCTCGACCACATCCCGACCCGCCAGCTCCTTCTCCACATTTCCCAGCTTATCCTCCTTCAGTTTCCGATCCCCAGGGCCGCACCAACACTTCAGCTCCGCATCCCACCACCAATCCTTCAACGCGCCGCCGTCCCAATTCGTACAGAGCTGTTTCCTGACCCTCGCGGAGACATGTATGCACTCTCCCGTCTCTCCCTCATGATACGCCGCAGGCGTACGCGTCTTCTTGCCGCACAGTCGCATAAACCCCGTGGCGGAGTTATAAATCTGGCCCTCAGCCCACTCGCGGCGGTCGCCATCGCCGCCACCATTCATGGTGATGCCGCGGAGGTAGTCAAAGTCCCAATCGAGGAACTCGCGGGTGCGCTCCAGCATCCACGCGAGGCTCATATCGGCGATCTCCTGGTCCGGGTACCCGCCGCCCACGTTCGTATGGCAGCCCGGGAACCAGCACTGCCGCAGCTCTGTTGCCGCATTGCTAGCAGCCTTGTGCCATAGCGCTGGCGCGAACGGCGCCCGCCGCTCGTCGAGTGCGAGCGCGTGGAACGCGTGCCGCACCCGTGGAGAGAGGTCCGTGTCCAGGAAAGAGTACTTCTTGGCGTTTACGACGCCGGAGATGGCACGCCCGAGGAGCGGTATAGGGAGCGTCGGGATCCCGAGAGACCCCACGGTGTCGAAGCAGCCGATCGTGGTCACTTCTACGTTGGACGTCACGAGCGCGCTCCGCTCGCTGGTCTGCAAAGTGTGCACGTACTCGTCGTCGTCGCGGAGGCGGCCGGTGATGTAGTTCTATGTACACGGGGTTTCCGTTAGCCCATCGTGGGGAACTGCGCGGGTGGGGTGAGGTGGGGTGGGGGGGGACTCACCTGGTAGACCTCGTAGAACCCGTCCATCCCGCGCTTCGTCAACACGCCCAGGCGGCATATGAGCCCGCAGATGGACCTGGCGGTGTACGCGCCGCGCGAGAAGCCAAAAAGGTGTATCGTATCGCCGGGATGGAAGTTGTGTGCCAGGAAGCCGTACGCCTCGCGCACGTTTTCCAGGAGCCCGTCGCCCGTCCCGCCGCCGATGATCTTGTCGATTGTACCGCCGGTTCCGACCCCGGATTGGTAGTACACTATCTGTGGAATCCCACTGGAAGACACGCTCTTGAGTGCGCGTGTGATCCGTGTTATGTTCGTGGGGTCTTCTTTGACGCCGCCGTCGGAGTTCTGCCAGGTGCCTGTGTGTGGGCTGGATGTCAGCGGTGGGCCATAGATAGCTCGGGGGAAGTCTTAGTGTTACCATCGCAGCAGATAATGATCCTCTTCATCTCAGTGACATGTACGGAAATGCTGTCTCGATTAATATGTGATGGAAGTGAAAGCAGAAGTCAATCCTGTATGTAGGAAGTGTGTACAATCCGCACGGTTAAGAGAAAAGCCAGCCCTTGAGGGGGTGGCTGGAAAAGCGGAGGTTTTGAGACATCCACACATCCATCCATCGATTCCCGCGCTCCTTCCTACAGTTTTCCCCCAAAGGATCCTCACGTCCGTGGAGTGGAGAACTTGTGCGTCGCTACTAATTCTCCCTTTGGGACCGCAGCGATCCGATTGGATCGTGCGAGGAGTAAGCCCGCCGATTACCGAGTGATCATCGGCAGTGTGAGACAGCGCTAGGCTGCATCAGGGCGGTTGTCCTGGTCCGTCATCACGAGTCGGACGGCGTGAGGGCTTAGCTTAGGTAAACTAACCATGCAGGGCACACGCTGGCGGTGGGAGTGGCTTGGTGATCGATGGGAGCGGCTTGGAGATCGATGGGAGGGGGGGGGAGATACACACGGGTTGATATACGCGTACCGCAATGAGGGGGGCGTTCATGGAAGAGCGGTAGGCGGTGGGCTACAATACGCGGCGAACTGCCGAGATCGGAAGTGGAAGACGGCCGAGCGGCGAGCGGACGTTTGCCGGAAGGGCTCGCGAATTGAGGGGCGGTCCAACCCCCGGTCTATCGTGTAACAGAGGCGCGATTTCGGCCGATACTCCTTCGGGTTCACTCCCCCAGCACGCAAGTGGTTGTGTTACAGTTCTTCGTATTGCAGCGGTGGGATCGCCGCCAATCACGCGCCGTCTCGGATTCGGGCTGGGAAGAGTTGGTATTGGGTTGTGATTGGATGCTCGAGGTGCGATTGTGACTGGTGGGCGGGTAAATAAACGGCCAGGGAAGCTGTCAACTCGGGAATGCCATTCGTGGTACTACCTATAGGTATCACTTCTGAAAGGATGGGAAAGCCAATCGCGGGATTACAAAGTTAAATGCCACACGTAACTATGCTATTGGAGGCGAGTCAGACTTTATTAGTACTTGGCACTAAAACGTCGTAGGTTCGAATTCCGCGAAAACAGACAATCATGCATTATCACCCGTCGGCAAGTCCCGTCATGATGTTTCAAGAAATCGGAACTGGCATATGGGGGAATGAGGGCGCTTCAGCAAGCCATGCGTTATCTGAAAAACCCAAACAAGTAGAAAGAGGAGACAGGAAACCGGATGTGATATATTGTCATGATTGGATTTAGGTAGTTGGATACAGAATAATGAAACCGGTATCACACCAAAAAGCACACCTCATCAACATACGAGCAAGAGAATTATTGGCGGCGGCCATTGTAGCTGGTTGATGAAAGTGACAGGATGTGGAATCGGAGGGAACGGAATGGAGTATGGTTAGAATAGAGTCAAAGAACAATGAGTCGACGGGAAGGTTATTGCATTACTGGATATTGCTGGTGAATCGACCTAGCTATAATATGTATGTAACTTATGGAGATCCGTGTCCAGACTATTCGATGCTGGTGAACTCGTTGGATACAATAAATGTATTCAGGAGACTGTATTCGAGGGTAATCAAGAAGGACTCCCCGTCGGTACCAAAACAAAACACCAAATTCCTGTAGGTTTGCCTCCACCTATGAAATATCCATCTCCGCGCTGATCCATTTAAAGTACCTAGTGCTCCATCTCCATTATATCCACCGCAGGCTTGCCCCAAGTCCAGCGACCCACGCTACATACCACCATTGACTTTCTTCTTGCGTCTGAGAACAGCATGGAGAGCAAACATGGCCTCTCTCAAGACCAGAAGAACAAAGGTCGCTGCTAAGATGAAGAGAACCGCAGCCACAAAGATGATACTCCCAACCGAGGACCACTGTGAAACGTGCAAGAAAATATTCCAATCCTATCCATCTCCGCGCCAGTAGAATAAAAGTAGTGCTCCACCTCCATCATATCCACCGCAGGCTTGCTCCAAGTTCAGCGACCCACGCTACATACCACTATTGACTTTTCCTCTTGCGTCTGAAAACACCACGGAGAGCAAACACGGCCTCCCTCAGAATCAGAAGAACAAAGGTCGCTGCTATGAGGGAGATGGTCGCGGCGACAAATACGACACTCCCGACCGAGAACCACTTTGAAACGTGAAAGAAGATATTCCAATCCGGCGACTGCGATCCGTCGATAGCGGCGAGGACCACCTGCATAGCGGAGAGCACCACGCTCGCCGTGCCGAAGACGAAGACGAACGGCTCCACGAACTGGCCGAAATACGTTCCGTACTGCCCGTACGGCTTGTGGTAGTACATTTCGAAGCGAAACACGCGGTTCCAGAAGTTGACGCGGCCCAGCCGTAGGTCTCCGTAGCGGTATCGCCTCGACACCGTGTCGTCGGGGATCTCGTGGAATTCTCGCAGAATGGAGAAGAAGTCGCGCCATGGGGCGCCTTGGGCCTTTGACTTCTCTAACTGCTCGATCAGCCGTCGCGGGAGGAGCTTGAGCTCAATCGCTACTTCGAGATCGGACGGACTCTGGAGGAGGTATGTGTAGGAGCGCAGATAGCCACGGATAGCCTTTTCGACGGCGGAACCTTTGACTACATACTGCTGTTGGAAAGTTTCATCGAACAAGTATGACGGGAGCGGCTTGATGAACACCCTGTTGCCGTGCCATAAAAGATGTAGGGACGCCTTCTCGGTGATAACTATCTCGCGCTCTCGTACCAGCTGTTCGTGAAGACTGGAAATGTGTGAGCTTTTCGGCGTGGCGACCAGCCAGAGCCAGGGAGACAGTTCGTCCAGTGCGCTGGTGAGAAACTGGGTCTCGAGGAATTTCTTGATTTCGTCGTCGCCACTAACGAAAGGGTAGTTCGGAACTTCCGATGTGTGGGAAGTCGGTATGTATACTGGCTCGCGCGGGGGATCCTCAACTGGGCGTTGCTGTATAATCGTACTCATCTTGAAGTTTGACGACATTAATCGAGTGACGTGCTGTGCTTTATGTACTGGGGTTCGAAGCCGACCTGCATCTATTAAGTTCTGCTGAGCCGGAATTTGGAAAAAGAAAAGTAGGAATCGCTGGAGTTCATGTGTGCAGCCTTGCATAACCTAGAAGCACAATGCGGATTCGAGGGCGAAACACCGCAGCATGCGCAATTTATGCCGCCAACAATATATGCTAGGCTGGATACGCCAGATATCTTACATTCCATTCGTCTGGTTTCAAGCTCGGAAAACATTTTTGGGGGGTAGGCCCGAGATGGTCTGTTGTAACTTGTGACAAATGCCTTGTGATCAACTTCACTGGAGGGGGGCTCAAGCTCGCATATGTGAGTATGTACATAACTACCGTACCTAGTACACTGTACATAGTCGACGATTGGCGGGTGTAAATTGTGAGTTCTCTTCGGCAACACTCGTTTGTGCGTAGATAAGGATTGCGGGGTAGGTATTGCGAACACAGCCATATTTTGACAGCACTGACTATCCGGTGCCGGTCCCATCGCCCTAAAGGAGCCTGTTTCAGAGCTTTGGGATATTTACACAGGGTCTTTAGACACATCCGTTCCGAATCCGTGCGTTCGTCTCCGGAAGAACCCATACCGCCCTAACTAAAGCCACAGGACGGCTTCCACGTGAAGTAATCAAAGCCTGAAGGTACGTGGTAGAGTGCACACCCCATGCGGAAATCCATCCGTCAGTTCGTCCAGCCTCAAAATGACACAACCGCAGATGAATTGCACACATGCGGGGGAAGTAAGACAACGTTTCATAATCCTATCTGTGAGCAAAAATACTATATACTATGGTTACTCAGGTGCCGCGTTTCTTCTTCTTCTGCTTCGCTGTCCTGCTGTCAATGGATGAAGTTGAACCCCCAGAGCCTTCTGGCTCGGCGGTAGGGGAGGAGGGACGTATTGACCCTTTCCATGGACGGAAGAAGATGGGATCTCCGGATCAGCACCAACCTCGAGCTCGGGGCTATGAGATGGATGGATAATATAATAGATGATAATATTGATATCGTGAGCCTTTTCCTGCGCCGTGGAGCCTCTTCATGTACTGGTATGCACAGTACTATAGATGCTTCAGAATACTATAGAACGGGCAACCCCCTATCAAGCTGTGAATCCGGACCGTGCGGAGTGTGGTACTACCACAGTATTCCGGGGCTAGTTAATTACCATCGTACTCTGGGGCTGCGGGCAATGTCACCGCAGCCACGAATCATCGTCTCCGTACATAAGTGCATTCCGACATCGATATCGATATTAAGGGCTATGGCTGTGGAATTTCGACGGGTAGATAAATTAAAGCATTGTAGGTAAGCCACTAAAACAGAATCAGTGGGTCAACCCCAGTGTAGCTCGAATGGAGGAGAGTATGATCCGTCACTATCCATCACTCACCGCCTCTCATCACATTCCACCAACCAACCTATGGCCATGAGCGGTGCGTGGAGGTTGAATTCGAATACGATACCTGTGTAAGACAAAAGAGAAGCGAGAGGCGTTTGGCTACTCGCTGCGTCACTGCCAGCCCAGCTCCGGTCATACTGCATACTATAATAGAGCAATCATGTATGATCGAGGCTGGACCTGGGGGTATGTAGGGAGTGCACCGAGTCTGTTATCAGAACTGCAGACTCCGGCCAGAGGGGAGCACGGATTGCTATGATCTCGTATTGACAGGTCGCGTAAGATAAATGAAGAAACACAACAAAAGTGAGAAGAATGTGGACAGGATTGAAAAACCTCACGCCGCCATTGTCTAGATAGGTAGACTGTATCAGAGTATCATACGATTTAAAAAGGGGGGAAGAGGGAGGGGGTAATGTGTGCTCCCCGACGCCAGGCGGGATTTCCGGTGTATGTAGGCACCAGCGGGGCCCTTCCGGTGACCCTGGATGCATAATGATCGTTTTCTTGACCGAGTCCGGTTATGCCGTGGGTGTACTATGTCTCACCTGTCCCTTCATTCCGCCTACATATGTAGGTGCGTTGGCCCGTGTGCACTACATGAACGCAGGGAATCGAAAAACAAAACATATGCTCCATCTACTTGTGTTTGTATGTATGTTCCATATCTTCAATTGGTCTTCGTACATTGTGCTTTTCACTTTTAGCCTCACAATGTGATCGCATGCGGACGGCTACGTGTACATGGGCGAAACTCAGAGTTGAGCACAACCCCACCTTGAAGCCTACCACTTATCGCTCCTCCCCCGAGACTCTCCCCCAACCCCACGACTGTGTTTTGTTTTGACGAATATTGAAGATACCTCGCATCTCCTGGACACACGCCTCCATCGTTGTAGCTTAGACGCCATCCACACAGCAGCAGATTACCGGTGTACTGAGGGGCACCCATCGTAGCGAAAACAGCGGTTCAAACACACTTTCGGATCGTGGACAACATCGCCCATCATGTCTAACACGTCGGCTCTCCTGGTGATCTATTACACATCGTTTTTCATCAGTATCTTTCTGGCCCGCAGTTATCTCTGGAAGGCCTTGCCCTTGGTCTTTTCCGCTTTTCTGCTCACAGCCGTCTACTTCCGAAATCTTCTGGATCCGCAGTCCAAGTTTCTCTGGGGAGTGATACTATGTGTTCTTGCATTTCTCCTGCTGGCACTTTCGCCGTTGCAGTTGCTTCTCGCTCGTGAGAAGCGGGAAATTCCCAAGACCCTCGAAGTGCTCTACCCACAAGGCGGCGATGAAGATGCAACTGAATTCAGAATGGAGTGCGGCTCCCCACCCCCGTGTGAGCGCCCTTGAGACTCTGGCTATGGCTGACATGGACGAAAAATCCACGTAGTATCGTCGCCGTCCACGGCCTTGGCTCTTCTCCGAAGCGAGCGTGGGTACATAAAGGAACCAAAATGTGCTGGTTAAGTGACTTCCTTCCAAAAGACATCAAAGGAGTTCGAGTTTTGGCTTTCAACCATGATTCCGGCTATTCGCACGATGCGTCGAAACTTTCGCTGCCAGACTATAGCCTCGAGCTCTTGAGAGCCTTGGATGGCAACAGGAAATCTCAGGAAGAGAGGGACCGTCCGATAATCTTCATAGCACATAGTTTCGGAGGTCTTCTCATAAAGCGGGTGTGAACTTTCTCTGTCATGTGCTATTCATTGCCACGGTTCCCCTTTGCTAACAAATTCCTAAGGCACTTGTTCAGGCCAAGTCCAGCACTGAGAGTTACTCATATCTTCAAGACATGGTGAAAGGAGCCGTCTTCCTCGGCACCCCTCACCACGGATCCAGTATGTCAAAACTTGCCAAGATAGAAGCCACGTTGTCGTACTGGGCCGGATCGCGGACGGAGCTTCTGGAGCTTCTGACTCCAGGCTCGCAGGAAAACCAGCAACTGAACGAAGATTACATTAGGGCCTATGATCAAATCGAACACGTCGATTTCTATGAAACGAAGGAAGAGAGATTGCCGTGGTTGGGTATAAAAACCGGAGTGGTGCGTACTCGTGCCAGGCATTCAATCTTCACATTGATTCTAAAATATCCAAACATGTCCAGTGCGTCGACAAAACCTCGGCGATTCTGTCAGTGGGAAAATTTGGAATTCCACTGGCAGCTACCCACCGAGAGCTCAACAAATTCCCTAATCTTGAAGATCCCAACTATCTGAGGGTCAAAAATGAGATTGTCAGAATATGGAACACGGATCAGAAGCCTTCCCAGCAAGAAGGTGGGGCATCCCTGGATTGATCGATTTAGTCGAAATGCTAAAAACAAGGTTTAGCGCAAAACAGAACCGCTGTTCTCAAATGGCTCATGCCCTCCGAGTTTGATGCTGAAGATGACGACTATGTGCGGAAGAGAACACTTGGAACTTGTCGATGGCCTTGTGAGATGGACGAGTTCAAAATATGGGATGCATCTAGCAAAAGTGGCGATGAACTACCTGTCTTATACATCCTGGGGAAGCCGGGCTGTGGGAAATCATTCATCGCTCAGGTAGGCAAAATCCTACCGGTCCTTTTTTTTAAAAAAATAGCGAAACCGTCGCTGATTTACTACAGTACATGCGAAGGAAACTTCAGGAAGATACGTCTCCAGTGGTTTACTTCCACTTCGACTCGAAGCGGCTGAACAGCGACAAGAGCACGGCTCTGGCGTTTTTCCGAACCATCATCTATCAGTTGCTCAAGCAAACCACGCACATAGCCGCTGTGAAAGCAAGCTTCAAGAAGGCGATTGCTCTGATGCAAGAGAAGGACGCCGATACCAAACTTTCGGATTTTCGGAAACTTCTCGAAGAAATACTGTCGGAATTCAAAGAAGTGCGGCTTGTCGTCGATGCTTTGGACGAGTGCGCTCCTGGGCCGGACAATCGAGCTCACGTGAAATATTTCATTTCTTCTACCAGGTGTCTTCGATCGATCGTCACGAGCCGGCCGGAGCCGGACATCCTGAAAGATGCCCTGAACCAGAAGGAGGCGTGCAAGTCCGCTGTGACCGAAGTGCGAAGCGAAACAACGGATGCGGATATTTCTCTATACATCAGAGAAAGGCTGAAAAAGATTCAGTCGGTCAGAGGGCATCCCCTTCTGCAAAAGAAGATCGAGCAGAGGTTGAAGGAACAAGCGCAGGTGCGTTTATCTTTTAGCGGGCATTCCGGGTATGTATAGCTGACCCGCATCATGATTACAGGGCACGTTCCTTTACGTGAGACTGGTGCTGGATCAAATCGAACAGGAAGCAGAGACGGCAGAGGAGATTGAGGTCATTCTGGATGGCCTGCCCGACGACCTCCAGGGACTGTACAAACAGGCACTTGAAAAGATTCAACGAGATCACAAGAAGGATCCTCCAAAGCTCATGAGGTGTGTGAGCATTTTCCATTGGCTTCTCACGGCCCAGCGCCCGCTCAAGGTCGAAGGGTTACACCTGGCGCTTAGGGCTGAGAAGTTGAATGGCAAGAAGCACCCAACCAACGCTGATCTCGGTGCCAAGTTATTGAACCCCGGAGGGGTGATACAAAAAGCCTGCTTCCCTTTGGTCGAAATTCTCGCTGATAAGACCGTCCGCATTGTTCACTTTTCCGTGGCGCAGTACCTTCGCAAAGGAATCCGCGAGACAGAGGTCGCGGTTGAACCTCCAAACGACTCCCAACGCTACGCTCACGATAGGGCGATACTCCGGAACAGCTTAGAAGTATTTTACTACGAGGAACTTCCCGCCAACAGTAAGGTCGCCGTAGCGTGTGTGCTCTACCTTTCGATCACGATGGGGGCTACACTGGGAAAAGAGCAGCCAAAGCCCGTTCCTATCACGGCGCGGGATCAAGACGTATGCTTTGAATCCTCTCCGATTGCAGTCATGACCTGATTCTGACGGTATCTGGCAGTCCGAGTGCTATGATTTCCTGTCGTACGCAGTCGCACAGTGGCCCAGTCATCTCCTGAGGTCGGAGGAGGACTTCGGAATTCACCGCGAAACGTTGATCAAGTTCTGCAATGCGGATAATCCGGCTTTCACTGCGTGGATTCGAGACCGAGCAAGCCTAGACGGATTATTCAGAGTCACATTCCGATTGGAAACGGGAGCTACGATACTGCCGAGTCCGCTGCACGTCACGGCGTACTGTCGCCTGGAGCAACTATCGGAAGGCGTGATCGGAGAAGATGAGTTCGCGACACGTGCGACAGACGCAACGGGGGCGACACCATTGCATATCGCAGCCGAACAAGGCTCCGGTCCTTTAGTCAAGCTTTTTTTGGAAAACCTCGCCGTTCGAGATGCCAGGGATGAAAATAAGCAAACACCATTGCATCGAGCAGCTACCAACGGTCATTTGTCGCCGGTCGAAGAGCTGCTCAAAGGGGATGAAGCCGATCCCGACCCCCGCGATCGGTACAATCGAACGCCATTGTTTCTTGCAAGCCTCTACGGCAAGCCCGACGCTGCTCGTGAATTACTCAAACACGGCGCAAGCCCTGAGTGTGAAAGCATTGGAGGGGAAACGCCACTAACAGCGGCTATCATCAACGACCATGTTTCTGTTGTCCAAGTTTTGCTGGATGCTTCGAGAGGGGGGGATTCGGACGATTTTCGGCTTCCTAGTACTGCCGTCAATTCTGCCGCATGGAAAGGATACTACGAATTGCTCAAGCTCTTGCTGGAGAACAGGGTAGTGGACTTGACTGCAACGGACAGTGTGAAGCAGACTGCTCTCCACGCGGCAGCTACAAGTGGGCATGAAGATGTGGTAGAACTGCTTTTAAGATTCGAAGCCGAGGTCGACGCTCTCGAGCAATCCGACAGAACTCCCTTGTACTTCGCTGCCGAAAATGGTCGCTTGGGAATCGTGAAACAGCTGCTGAAAGCCGGAGCGCATATCAACGCCCTCGACCGACGGAACCAGACCGTGTTATTCAAACCTGCCGGGAAAGGACATGCCGAAGTGGTCGAGGTCCTTTTAAAATCCGAAGTTAACGTCAGGGCTGTTGACCATTGGGGCCGCACTGCCCTTCATTGGTCGGCTTGTAGTGGACGGCCAATCACCACCAAAATGCTCATCGATGCCGGTGCCCTCCTGGAGGCCAAGGAATGGGAGGGCAGAACACCGCTTCACTGGACGTCTCAAAGCGGGAGAATCCAAGTTATTCCTATCTTGCTGGATGCCGGCGCGAGTACCGCCGCCCAGGACAACACCGGTTACTGCCCCATCCACTTGGCTGTCGAATCAGGGAAACAAGACGTGCTCGAAATCCTTTTACCAAAATCGAATGTGGATAGCCAAGACGCACAGAAGAGAACACCACTCCACATAGCCTCGGAACTGGGGTACGTGAGTATTGTTAAACAGTTGCTGGCTGCCAATGCCACTCTAGAGTCAAAAGATGCAATCTCTCGCACCCCTCTACACTATGCGGCCGGACAAGGAAACTTGGAGGTGGTTGTGGTTCTGTTGGAGGAGGGATGTGTTGCGGATTCTGTCGATGGCCACCATCAAACACCATTACACCTCGCCGCATCGGAAGGGCACGACGACGTTGCTGCCAAACTGATGGAAGTCCGACCAGACGCCCTGATCGCCGAGGACAGAGCGAAACAGACGCCTGCTGATGTAGCACAGTCCAACGGCCACATCGCATTGGCAGAGCGATTGGAAAAACAGGCGAAAGAAGTACGGGATACCCATTTCTCACAGCAATCCGAACTTCACAAGGCGGCCCGCCGGGGTGATATGGATCGCGTTCGAAAACTTCTTGAAACAGAGACGCCGTCCCTTGACTGGTGGGGAAGAACACCGCTGCACTGGTCCGCAGAAGAAGGCCATGATGAAGTTGTCGAGCTCCTCGCGGCAACCGCGATCGATCCCAACATTGCCGACAACACGAAGAAGACCGCGCTGCACCTGGCCATCGAAAACCGCCACGAAAGGTCAACCAAGATTCTCCTAGGGGCCGAAGTTTCGCCGGATGTTGCCGACGTTTTCGGAAGAACACCTCTCTACTGTGCTGCAGACAACGGATCATATGACGTCGTGCATAGTCTACTTCTTCTCTCAGGCGTCAGCGCAAATGCTAGCGATCGATGGGGAAGAACGGCGATTCACCAAGCCTCCCTCAATGGACATGTAACCGCCGTACATCTTCTTCTCCAGCACGGCGTTGATGTGAACGCCAAAGACCTGAAGACCCGCACGGCGCTTCAGCTGGCCTCAAAGAATGGCCACGGCCCTGTGGTGGACGAGCTCTTGGCGCAGGAAGGCGTTGACGTCAATGCGACAGACGGGAAACAACGTGCCGCCTTGCATCGTGCCGCAAAACAGGGCCGGGAGACCGTGGTGCCACGGTTGCTGAACAGCGGTGCCGATGAGTCTCTTATAGATGCGGATAAACGTCTCCCACTTCATTTGGCAGCTGGTTGCAGGAATAACGAAGTGCTGCGCCGACTCTTGCGTCCCGAATACGTAAACCGACGGGACAAAGATTATGATATCCCCCTCCTCTTGGCCGCACAAACAAAAAACGTTGAGGCCGTACTCATGTTGGTGGAAGCTGGATCGGATGTCAAGCTTTGGAATGGCCTGGAGCAGACCTCCTTGAATATCGCTGCAAGAGAAGGCGACGAAGCAATGGCGCGAGCCCTTCTCGAACGTTACCAGGACCTTCTGCTCGTGAACAAGCTCGATTACTTTGGTATGCATCCGATTGCATACGCCGCACAACAAGGCCGCGTCGAGCTGGTAAGTCTTCTGCTCGATGCCGATAGCGATATCAAGCTGGTCTCCGATCGCCAATGGACGGTCCTTCACCTGGCAGCGGAGAAGGGCCACGAGAAGGTAGTGGCTCTGCTCCTATCGAAGGGTGCTCGCACAGATGCCGCCACCTACCGCACTCGGAAGACACCGTTACATGTGGCTAGTGAATACGGGTTCAGCCTGGTCGTGCGACAGCTGCTCAAGGCCGGTTCGGATGAGAATGCACTCACCAAAACGAACGACACGCCGATGCATCTGACGGTCCGCAACGGTCACCAAGATGTTGTCGAAGAACTCCTCAATGTCGGTGCCAACATCGATGTACGGAATTCCGACGGCAAAACCCCAGAGGCAATTGCCAAAGAATGCGGCTGGAAGGAAATCGAAGAGTTACTGCAGCAGAGCAGGAATAAGTAGGATACGGAACACCGTTCCGGGGGGGTGGGGGGGAGACTGAGGGGGGGGGGGGGGGGGGGGGGTGACAAGGGGGGGAGCATCGGGGGAGACTGAGGGCCAGATATCGAGCCTTCTTCGCCACAGCACCCGTACATACCCATCATGAGTTTCCTTTGTTTGATGCTTTTGTCATTTTTGTGGTGCGATTCTCACTGCGGTACCGGCGGGATGTGCTTTTACATCCCCCTCGATAGTTACGATCTGTTATCTTTTGGATTGTCGTCTTTATTCATTGTGTTTGGAAGAGTCTTGGTTCCTATGATAATTGATCTGCGTGATCATTCGAGTGAGCCCGCTACATACCAATAGTTACGGTACTATAATTGTGACCTTTTGGGAGAGCTATGGGTTTGACCGTGTGAGCTCGAGCCAGTACTGTCCAAGCTCTGTACATACCTAGTAGCTCGGGAGCTTCCGAATCTGTGTATCTGATATACATATATTGGGCATGCAAGTCCGATTGCGGGGTATTCTTCAAGCACTGCCTGCCAAGCACCCAAGCCGTTGCTTTAGGGGAGGGCTTTAGCTACATACAAGTTCTCATGTCATTACTTCGCCGTCGATTAGGGGTTGAGGGATGAGCGTGCTCCAGAGTCCAAACTTCAAAGGGTCAGATACCGGTACCGCGTGGAGAGACCGGGTATAATGTATGTGCTCTACATACCTGGTACGTAGAACTTACATAGAGATGGAGATTGGGTTTCATAGTTGTTAATGCCGACCCGCCGGAAACAGTTGAACAAAAGAACGATGAAGTGAAGAACGATGAAGGAGAAAACAAGGAAGGGGAAAAAACGAAGAAAACACCAGAATCGATATGTTGAACCTGCACATCGTGGACGCCTTGACTACACTTAGGTATGTACCGCAATATGTTTGGAGTCCACGACAGCGTGATACCAGCTATGTAGAGCTCACGGCCTCGCGGCCTCGCTCATAGAAGCCAGAACGGGCTCCGCACGGTGCACACTCCTTGGCAGATCCCAGTCTCTGTTGAAATATCCAGTGGCTGTTGGCCCCCTCCGGAAAGTCCCCGGATGTGGGCGCAATTAGTTACCGATGGATCCCCGGGCCCACAGAATCGATACGGATCCCGTATTTACCATGGTTCACGGACGGCCGCTCTGGTGGGCCCGGCCTATATGTACCTACAATACAATACACAACAGCATATTGCTCGCTCGCTACGAATGTAAATATGCCGACACCCCCGGGGGGTTTGATTGGTTCAGCGGTGGAGAAGTGGGGGGGTGGGGGGGTGGGGATGTTTTGGTTGCACCGCGCGGCTTGTCGCGGTCGGTACTTTATAGAGTACCTATGAGGCGTGTACTCGGCGCGCAGTGCGGAGAATAGGGAAGTACGGAAGGTAAGTATGCTAGGTATTTACGCTCGTTGACGGCGCTGACGCCATCGAGTCGGGACTCGGGACTCGGCAGTTGTAACTTGTGTTCACTGGTCTCTGCTAACGGGTGAGCGGCCCCATGTTCTTTTGTTGGCGGCGTTTGTCCCGGACGGGGAAAGTTGGATCCTACATAAGACATCGTTCACCCCGACTAGCGGCATTGACTGCGCAGTCCAACCTCCCGAGTCGCGGCTTGTTTCGCCGCATGATCGGCCACAGAGCGCACTGCCTTCTCGTCCGTGAGGCCGACCACCCGTGTGTGGGGATCTACTGTTTGGAGTTGGCGGCGGCTGCTGCTCTCGTGGCTCGCTTCGGGCTCGGCAAGGAGCGTGAAGTTGATATCAATTGGGCACACACTAGCCGCGTTGGGCCTGTTGGCGGCTGCGTATAGCAGGCGATTGCAATTGTTTTGCTGACGCCGCTTGCTGTGGTGGTGGTATCGGTAAATTGAAGCTTGGAGATTGGTGGGCGGGTACTGACCGGATCTGGGGACTTAGGCGTAGCTGTCCGTGGGGGGACATGGCGGTTGGAGAAAAAGCTCTCGGTGCGGTGCTCTCGGGAATTTTATATCCTGGTGTATGGGAAACGGAGAGCAATCGCGTCATCCCCCTCGTTGTTATTTACTCGTCGAAACATGCGACAATTCAATAACTTGGATACTGAATATAGCATCTATTCCACCCACAAATTCTGGATGCACCCAAGTAAGTAGGGAAGCATGCACAATGACTCGGGCATACTCTGCGTCTTGACCAGTTCTGTGGACTTGATGCGCTCCACGATCGCGGCGCCTAGTCTGCCGTAGTGCTATCGTGCATAGTCCTGTTCACAGTGAGTACGGAATTGGGGAACCTGCACCATCTATGATGCGGTTTACACACCACAATCGCGTCCTGGTGAGTCCACGATTGGCATTCTCCATCGCCAGCATCCTCCATAACCACGCTCTCGAGATCCAGGGCCAATATGCGGGTACGCTACACATCGACAACCAGTCGTTTCTCCTATTGCACCGTGTTGAACGGTGGTACCTGGAGTTTTGCCGCGCTTTAGCCTGAATTATAACCTAAAGATTTATCACCCGTATTGTGGACCCGACCATCAGAAACAAACCTTGAAGCAGGCTTTGGCCGCTCCCTAAATATCCATTGGGAGACTGAGGGAAGGAAAGATGGTCAGCTGGTATGTACATACATACATGGTGAGTGAGGATACTGGCAATCGGAAGTCGTGGGCTGATAAAAACAGACGACCCGCCGACGCGGTCCGTATTTTAGGGTCGGCTGTTGAGGACACCGACTTTAGTATTGCACGAGATTTGATGGCCGGCGCTACTCTGGTTAGTAGTGATCCAGAGAGAGCTCGTATAGATATATGCATAGTCAGCGGACAAGGTAGCATCTCGAACTACTAGTAGCTAACTACTGTACCAGTGTAGGAGTTTTCGAACTCTTGTTTTGTCCCGGAAACAGCATCTCTTCGTTCCTCTCTGCGACCTCATCCCTGAACTCCTGGAACATCCTTCTCAAACCCGACTCCAATATCTCAGCGGCATTGCGGATAAGCTTCCCTTCCTGAAGGGGTGATCCGTGTACTGGTGTTTAGTCGACTTCGGTACCAGTAGAGCCCTTAGCCGAGGGGGCAGTTTTTTCCTAGCGCTGATTTGGTAGGTACATAAAACGCTTGCATTGATAATGTGCAAGGAATGGCTGCACATATCTCCAGCAGCTTCCTCCCCTTCCAGATCATGGGTGAGACATGAAAGCGACTGGTTCGAGGCCGTATTCCTTGCAGATCTTGTCTTTTCCCCCCTTTATTATTCCGCACCTTTGGCGGGCACCTGCTCGCTGAACCCAGATGAAACGGCCGAGCTGCATGCCCCAGGTTCCCCTTCTCTGGATCTGCCCAGAGGCGAGGAGTGCTTACTGGAGCGATGATACATAAGCGTCCATTAACCCGCCCAGCTTCCAGGAATACTGTATATACCTATGTTCTAAGTTGCGGCGTCCGCGAAGCAGCTCTGGGATAGCTGGTCAGTTCGATAATGACGGTCAACGCAGCTCAACAGACGGTGCGTCCACCTACCCTGCGTCGTCCGCATTTCTCTGTTGTCCCCCACTCGTACGTACATGGTTACTAACGGAGTTGCTGCTGCTGTATAGGGTGCAATATGGTCGATAATGTTCGTCAACTCCATATTCCTGGGCGTGCGCCTCTACATGCGAATATCACGGCAAAAGGAATCGCTGCGGCCCTCCGACTACCTCATCCTTCTGGCATTCGCCATCATGCTCGCCGTGACGATCCTCGGAACCAGCCTCAACGTCCGCGAGCTCAACTTTCTGGCCAGCGAACCCAATTACCCACGAAACTTCGATGTCATCGCCGCTCCCTTCCTAGGATACACCCGTTCGGGGACCGAGGGGTATATCAAAGTCAGCATGGAATAATCCGCTCCCCAACTTGACGGGGAGACTCAGGCTCACGGCTCGCGTGGAAGCAAATAGGGTATATTTATACTGCTCATATGTCACAACACGGTGCTGTGCGTCTGCAAAGCGACGTTACTCGTGTTTTTCTACGAGGTCTTCCCGAAGCGGCTTCGAAGGGTGTTGCACGCAGCCACCGCCGTCGTCATTGCCACTTTCATGGCAAACCTGCTGGAAACGTTATTCTGGTGCTACCCGCTGAGGCGAATGTGGGCGCCCACCGATTTCTTCAGCTCCGATTACTGTGCGCTCAAGTTGATCCCAGGTCAGTAGACACTGCAGTGCCCTTCCTCGGAGGTTGGCGGCGGCGATGAATCTTCAATGTTGACGCGATGAGTTACCAGCCTACAATGCCGCACAGTTCGCCTCGCACCTGGTCGCCACGATCGTCGTCAATAGCCTACCGATGCTACTGCTCCGCTGGGTAGGCGGTAGTCGCCGTGAGGTAGCATTCGCGACCACCGTCGCAGCCTTCGGCGGGCTCAGCGTTTTCGCGAGCGTCACCGCGTTCGTCTTTCTCCTGCGGATGCAGGATCTCAAGGTTGATCCGAGTGCCAGACACGTGGCGCTGGTAAGCTCTGGGATAGAGGAGGCAGCAATGTTCTGGGCTGGTGCGCTGGGTGTTCTGAGCGTACGCAAGAAGAGCAGAGAGGAAACCAGCGAAGCAGATGGTGAGGAAACAGAGATGAAGGGGTTGGTTATCAAAGTTGAGAAGAGATGGAGCGTTACGGTCGAAATTGTTGAGGCGTGGGGGCGTGGATGGAAGGATCCGTGGGCAGCAGGCAGTACGGAGTTGTCGGTATCATGAATCACAGTCAATTTCACAATCACAATGCATCAAGACTCAATTAGAGTGTCTGCGTGCTGATTATTACGCACTTGATCAGAGTGTGACATACGCGCATACATTTTTGGCGCTTGGGTGCTTGATACGTACGTTGCTGGCGCGCACGCAGGAGGCCTCCCCCCCATGCGAACAAAATCATCAATTGGCTCGCTTGTAGACCGGCCAAAACAAAATATTGCCGTAATGCAAGGTGGTGCCCAAGTACTCTAGCGAACTGTAACTATTGCAGAGAGGCACTCTACATGGGATCTGTCGAAACCCGGTCCCAATCGCACAAGACGGGATGATGCACTTCTGACAATGCCTACCTACTCTCAGGCCCGGTAGTTTACACATATTAAGCCGCCGGTAGTGAGCCAGTTGTGCCCTAAGTACTCTACCCGAAGTCATCTTGAGTGGAGTGATCACCCGTAGATAACGACCTGCGAGATCAGTTCAGCTTCCAATCATACCAAGCACCTCGATGCACCTATATAAGGCTCGCTAAGTCGGCTTAATCGGCTCCACGCTGATTTTGTAGATTGTATGTATGTTCGATCACAATGCGTTGGACGTATCCAGAGCATCGCATACCTACACACTCGGGATGTCCTGTCTGCCCTCTTGCCGCTGCTACCGGTCTAACAATAGGACCTAGTAGCTAGACATCATGTCTGATACGCCAAGTTCCAACTCGGAGAGCTAGCCCATCTCCCAACAGCTCTAGTTAGTGCCGCGACAAGCGCCACGACCACTACATACATACATGATCCAAGACTCTGGCTTCAAGGTATGCACCGCATGGCGGGAGCAGCAAAAAGTACTGTGGAAAGCAGTCCGAGTACAAACAAAGTATGGACGAGATCAGTTTTAAATCGCAGATTTGTTTGCGGACGAGGTGCACTACTGCAATTCTGGAATTTCTCGAGGCCACCGAGATGGGAAGAATGGCTAGGGGAAATGAATGGGAAAGAGGAGGTGATGAGTCTGCTTCTGAGGAGGAAGACGAATCTGCAAAGATGGAGGAGGTGGTGGTAGAGGTTGATGAGGGAAATTTGAAACCAACACACATACACATACACATACACGCAGTGCTCCAGGTCCGACCACCACCACGGTGATGTTTGAATCCGAAAGTTTGAACTTCCCGGGTTTGAGACGGGGCTGTTGTTTGTCACGTGTTTGTTTCTTCTACATTGACCGACATGTGGCTTGCTTATTTTTCTCATGTTCTGGTCATACTGTTTGCTCTCATTTCTGTACCATTAGGATCTCTTGTCTTGACACCTATAAACGGGCCTAATCCTGTCTACCTAGATGGACTTCATCTCAGGCATCTTATTCGGTCGAATGTCATCTTGCATATCCTCCACCAGAACTTCAACAGAGGCTCGCGTGAGACGGCGAACCATGGCCCATGATCGGATACGGTATCAACCACGGCACTGTAGTATATTTGGGCGTACTGAAACGGGAATAAAATTCTCGTCGGCTACAATACCTACTCAGCAACAGTAGGTGTGATACCCCCTCGAAATTCGTCTAGGCACACGACAGTCTAGATATCTAGGTAGGTCATATTAGGTATATGTAGCAGAACATCTCGGCTTCTCCCGAGTCCCCATCTCTCCCTCCAGCCATAACGTACCATCAAATCTGCGCGTCCTACATCCTCTAACACGCAGCCCTCCTGCTCCTCGCAGCTCTGAGCTTGCCTTCGACCTACGCTAGACTATGCACCGCAGAACATGTACGAGTGATGCCGTACATACGAGTGATGTTCAATGCGATACTTCCCCGCCCCACCTACAAATCGAAACCCTCCGTATTCGTGCATGTCGCACGAAGGATGATGGCAGCAACCGCCGCCACCACCACCATCACCGTACATAAATGACCACCGCCACCCCGCCGCCGCCACCACCAGGCACCTCCATTCGTCCGTCCGTCCGTCCGACTCTGAAAATCCTTAAAAAAATCAAGTTCGAAGCTCAAACTCAGTAAAAGCATAGACTCTCGCATTAGCCAGGTGGAGTAGTCTGGACTCTGGAGGACCCTGCATCGTTTGTGTCAAAGTTACACCGCTCGATCGATCGAGCAATTTATGCCATCCGGATGGGCAGCCCACACGTGTCACCGTGATTGGTCAGGCCCCACCCTGTTAATCCGATTGCGTCGCAGTGCCCCGGATTACTCCGACACAGTGGATTTCTACATGCCCGTATCTTACAACCACATAGCACACGTAATGAGAGGAGAGTTCGAACTGTACAAAAAAAAAGATGGCTCTATTAACCCGTATCCCCAATGTCTAAGATCGCACCCAAAAACAAATGTCTTTTGAAAAAGAAAAGAGGGAAATGGACACAAAGAAAGAAAGAAACATGCTATACAAGAAATGACTCCTTAAGCCCGAAGTTTGACATTTCCCCACCCATTCACTCCAACACATCGCGCATTTAAAGCTCAACACCACCGGTGGCACCGAGAGCCTTCTTGATGTCGGTGTAGATGGCGAACTGGAAAGCGGTCAAGGTACCGACCATGAAGAGACGGGCACCGATACCAGTGTAGGACCCCTTGAGGCCAAGCTCTTTTCCGATCTTGATGAGACGGGCAGTGGTTCCCTCTCCGGGAGCACCGGGGGTCTTGTTGATCTTGGACAACATGGTGTCGGCGGGCTGCGAAACAAAGGCAGCTGCGAAACCGGCAATCAAACCGGCACCCAAGTTGGCGACAGTCTGCATGGAAGACGAGAGGTCCTCCTTGGGGAAGACGTTGTAGATCGCCTCAGAGGTCTTCTCGTAGACGACGAACTTGGCCATGGTGTAAGGAACCTGCTTGAACAAGATCGGTCCAAATCCAGAGTAGAAGGCTCCAACACCCTCGTTCTTGAGGATCTTTCCGAATCCGCTGACTAGTCCGGAGGCGAACTCGGGCTGGGAGACGAGACGGATACGGGTGGCCTCGAGAGGGCAGAGAGCGATATCAGCGAAAAACTCGGCGAGCGCGGACGAGGCGAGGTAGACGGCAGTGCGGTTCTCCTTGGCGCTCTCGTAACCCTATTGACACTATTAGAGATCTGTCTCGACTGTCCTTTTGGTCAGGTTGTACATACCAAGAGGTTGATGCTCTGCTGCTTGAACAGCTCGTAACCTCCGAACTTGAAGGCACCCTGGAGGAAGTATCCAGCGGCGGTTGGTCCGAAACCAGTCAAGAGAGCACCAGCGCCCTCACCCTTGATGACCTGTTTGAATCCACCGATCATGCCCTTGTTGTACTTGGCAGGGTCGAGCTGGATACGGGTCTTGACGCTGAACCGGGACGTTAGCCATCACTCTGCGAGGCGGACGAAGCCAGCGGTCGCAGGAAGTTGTGATGCGTGGCATTGCTGTGTGGGTAGTTGCAGGGCGAACAAGGGGAGACGACGGAAGAGAGAGTCCCATCAGGCGAATGCCGCAATAGGCGTAAGAAGTGCGGGCAGGGGAGGGGCACCAGCTCTCCGCAAGTACTATCGTGGTCTCTCATTTTCTCGCGTCTCCTCATTCAGGCCTCGCCCGCCACATTCCCTCAACAAAGCGCCGATCGCCAACTTCCAGCTCCACGTAGCAGCGGTGGGGGACAGATGCCGGTAACTTACACATCGACGGGCGTCAGGGCACCGTGGGTGACCGAACAGCAGACAGCACCAGCGAAGGCGAATCTGGAGTAGAGAGAGAGACCCGAGAGCTTCTCAGGAACGGGAGTGGGGGTGAGGGTCTTAGTAGCGGCCATTGTGTCGATTGAGGGGATGTCCGAACTCAAAAATTCAGTTGTGCAAAGCAATAACGTTCGTGAAACGAGGACCGCTTAAAGAAAGGGAAGCACAAAAAGACCGAGGTGGGTTTTCGTAGGAGCTGAGGTGAGATGTGGTGGGTTGGAGATTTCAGTGTGCGAGACGAGGGTAAAAGAAGGGTTGAAAGCACGGACGGGGGGCCGGGTTGAAAAGGGCGGACCACAAGGTTAATTTTTTTTCTTTTCTTCGGTAATCCCTTCTTCCTTCCGATGCCGGTTTCTTCCAGCCGCTATATCAGAATAGGGCAAAGCGTAGCTGATTGCGTGCGGCTCCGCGATAAACGCCGGAGCCAATGACACAACACGCAATAAAGCAGAACGGGCGGATGTCGTCGAAGTGCCTGACGAATCACGATCCTCGGGCTTCACACAACAGCGAGTGAGCACATACGGATAGCGCAGCTAAGAAGGTATGTACTCTGCGGTCGTGCATGCAGGATAGTCAATCACTGACAGTAACTCTAGTATCTCAGGCCGAAACTTACTACGTGGACGCCAGCAATTCGCATTGCCGAGCGAATTGATATCACCAAAGGAAGACGGGAAGCTCAAAGAAGCCTCTTTCGTCGGGTTGCGGATTGTCGACTATTCTAGGCCCAGCTGAGACCATACCGCGTACCGCCGATGTCTGCTCGGAAGGCGGACCGATGTGAGCAGCTTCTCTTCTTTAACGCTTGTGTCATATTACTCTGCATCTTGTGTAGTCGAGTAGAGTGTTGTACACTGTCCAGAGTTTGAGTACAAAGCTTAGAGCTTGAGTCCAGACAGTTAACAACGCAAACTGTTTTGTTCTCTCTGTCCATGAACCGCCTGAAGTTCCGGAACTTTGAAGAAATATGACCGCGGCTGCCAGCTGCCGATACCCACGACGGACTTCATATTCAAGAGTCGGATCGGGCCAATCCCACCACGGGTCACCGCGCGAGGCTATGTGAACCTGCCTGATCCTCGCGGAATACAACTGACACCATTGCCACCCACAGAAAGTGCAGGCCTCGGATATCACATCATGGTTTATCCTCACATCACGCGTTTCTGGGCGTCTAGGGCTGGGCCATGGACTTACTCACTCGGCTCTGGCTATTCGGACGAGCAGATGCGCTGGACGGATCGACACACTTTCAAACTCAAACCCCCCCACTAATCGTGTACATCTGGGGGTCGATATGTTCGCCAGTTTTTACTTCACCGTGAGGAAATTTTGCTCTCTTAGATTTCATTGAACAGAGTTATCTGGCGCTGCTGGCCCGGAGGTGATCCTGAATGCAAACAGTGAAAGAGCCAATGAACTATCACTCTTATTTCCACCGATTTGGGCCATGGGAGGTGCACTGACACCAACTTCACCAGATTGTCATTCACAAATGTACAGCTGCTATCTGTCTGGCCTTACCGGTGCTAGAAGCAAGGCACATATGCGCTGTAATACTTGTAACAGTAACGGAAGAAACATCTGCTCACTATTGATTGAACAACTGCAAATATTCGCTTGAAGTTTAATCTCGAATCACGAAGCACCCGACAAAGTATTTAATCATTGGGAGTCGCTCATGAGTTACTAAAAGCTGCCTCCCGTTCGAGTACAAGGTACATAGCCGTCCTCGTACGCTTTAGGATATTCCCGACGAAAGCATCTGCCTTGTGGACTCTCATTCTATGGCCGAAGGGAGAATCTGGGGATCTTGATCGACACGCAGAGCCCTGGTTAAACATCGCGGAACGTATCGCGGACTATTAGGTCTCGTGGTCATCTAAAGACGAGCTCGAGTAGCTTGAGCAACTGAGTGCGAACTGTACTGTCCTCGGAGAAACTTGTTGCCTGCTGGTAGAAATCCGCCCACATCTATGGTGTGACATACCTACCATCAGGGAATATTTTGCCTCGTCTCCAGTCTATTAACAGACATTCTGAAAGGCCGTTGTTCACCAAGCATCCCGTGGATCCACTGGCTTTGCTTCTAAGGGCAAGCTCCGGTTCGCTGCCGGAAAAGACATTCACAAATGTCTCTCAATCACACCCGTAACTGCAGGGCACCTGCAAGATCTCAGCCTGTCGGCTTCAGGTATTAACTTTCAGATCCTACAATTCGGGTGAAAGAAGTTCAAACTGCTCGTGTCAAACGAGTAAACACACGGGAAGATACATACATGGCCTTGGCATTCTTCCACAAGCAAGTCTTTGGCATGTGGGAAGTATTGTGGTCTGACCTGTCCTATGAGACTTGGTTTCATCGATGTCTTACCCTATGGCCCTATGGTCTCAATAGGCTGCTGAACATGTGAGCTACATCTGTGATCATCTCGCAGATAATCGGACACACAGATAATCGCCAGCTGGACGTTATCCTACTTAGGGGTACCGGCCTGACACCCGAGTCTGAGTTCATGTACAATAGTTGAGGAAAGATTGATTTAGCTGAATTATGTACGATTGGTTCTAAGGCCCGAAGGGTCGACATATACCCCCCAGAGCTTCCGCTCATCGTATTTTGTGACCGATTAAACCGCCGTGTTGAAAACGTGCTTTAGCTGGAATCTATTCGATCAGAATTCTGTGGCCTGGTTGACGGCCGCTGTTTCATTCGCAATCCTGATACCCCACATGGTACGGTCGTCTCGTTTCCTCGTGCTTTCTACCCATCCCAGTTCCACCCTCGGCTAACCCACAGGCTCTACTGTCGATCGTGGAGCTAATGAATTCGCCTGATCATCACTGGTTATGTCAGGGACCAAAGATCGTATCATTCATATGGGCTGACCGATTAAGCGGGCGACCCTCAGCCTCGGTAACCGTCACTCGGTAGAGGGAGCATGCATTTAGCACGGGCAAGTGAGCTTCTTAATCGTCCATTTCGAAAGTTAGATATGCTACCGATCACAAACCGGTATCGAAGCACATCTCCACCACCACCACTACCACCAACACCCTCCTTCGCAACGTAAGGGTTCAATACTCAGAGGTCTATGGTTGACTGCATATTCCAGACGGCACATACTCTCTGGCGACCGGAAAAAGAGAATACAGGCGAGAATCCTCGCAGCATGTAGGCGGCCATGTACATGGATCGGGGGGATACATTTTCCTCAGCAAGCCGCCGTGTGGAGTGACATCCGGTGAGGACATACAGTTCGACCTGGAGCGAAAACGAGACACGGACAAGTGCAGCATCTCCCTCTGTATCCATGGCCCGTGTGCAAATATAAAATGTCTCGAATCCGAACTGTTCCATCCACATCTCGAGCCGATTGACCACAGCGAGCTGGACGGTCTGATATCAGCAGCACTATTCATCATGAAATTCTTATCGATAACCCTCCTCTTCGTGCTGCCTTTCTTTTCTGGTGTTGTCGTCTCACTGGAAGGGTTCGGGTCTGTTCCCGCAGCCGTGAAATCGCACGGGGCACCGGTTCCCGATAGCTATATTGTCACCTTCAAGGGCCTCGTCTCTTCCTCGGCAGTCAGCTCCCACCACAAATGGCTGGAAGGAATGCTCGCCGCTTCGTCCGCGGTGGTCGGCGGAAAGGTGCCCGGAGTCGTCCACAAGTACGATATCGGCAGCTTCAAAGCCTACTCCGGCGTGTTCTCGAAGGATGTGGTCGAAATGCTCAAGAAGCAAGGCGACGTATGAGCATCGATCCCATCTGTGTTGAGGGGGAAGGGGGGGCACATGCTAACAGGCGCGTGGCCAAACAGGTTGCATCGGTCGTGCAGGATCAGTACGTATCGACTGCGGCACCCGCTTCCGTGGAAGAGCGAACGATGTCGGATAAGAGATCCCCCACGTTCGGGCACATAGAAAAACGGGTGTGCAAGAGCCAGACTCTGGCGCAAGACGAGGCTGCCGGAGAATGGGGCCTGGGCCGTATCTCGCACTACAAAATCTTCTCAACTCCCATGCTAGGATGGCCAAGCTATCCCTACGACGACAACGTCAAGTTCTGCTCCAAGCTCAAACCTTCGGGAGGTGTGGCTTATGTCATCGATTCCGGCATTCTGCTCAAACACCCCGAGTTCCAGGGACGTGCGGAGTGGGGATTCAACGCGAGACCTGAGCAATGGGTCGATTCCGACATTTGCGGCCACGGTACCCACGTGGCAGGAATCATAGGAGGTAGAAAATACGGAGTTCAGAAGACGGCGAAGCTCATTGCCGTCAAGGTCTTGGAGGGTGCGAATTCTGCATGTCAAGGCACCTGGGGGGATGTGATCGCCGGTCTCGAGTGGACCTATAAGCATGCCGTCGCGAACAAATGGCTTAAACAGAGTGTTGTCAACATGTCTCTAAGTATGCAAAATCTTCTGAGTGGAGTCCTGATATGTACGTGTATGGCTAACTCCTCATGCCTCACAGGTGGGCCGAACTTCCCTCCTGCAACGGAGGCGGTTGAACAGCTGGTCAAGAACGGCGTTACAATAGTGGTCTCCGCCGGGAATCAATATGTAGGTCTCTCCTTCAACCTCCTTATCGATTCGCAGTCTTACTGAATTCTCAGGACATGGACGCCTGCGACAGCTCGCCTGCTAATGCGCCGGGCGCAATTACCGTTGGGTCAACGGACATCGAAGACATGGTCTCTATATTTAGCAACGGTGGATGTTGCGTAGATATCTACGCACCGGGAACCAACATCGGATCTTCCTACATTGGCCCGCAATATCGTCTGATGTCGGGTACTTCTATGGCGTTAGTGATCCCCACCGGCTCCTAGATATCCCGAATTCTTTACTGATTGTATGCTGCAGCGCGCCCTTCGTCGCCGCAGTGGTGCTGTACAACAAATGTCGCTTGGGAAACGACACTCCCGCTAAAGATCTTGATGGCATCGTCAAAGATGCTTTCAGCATCACCGACCAGATCGTCGATTTCACCGGTTGCGAGGATAAAAACAAGATAGTATACAACCGTGCCACCTGTAAGTAAGGGATTCTGGGTAGGCGGCTTTACGATTGGCGGCGATAGTCGGATTTCATCGTGTTTTGCTTTTGGGCTTCGCAGGATGGTTCCTTTGGTGCGGGGTGGAGCGGGCTTTGGAGCGGGATGATGATGCTGTTGATGTCTTGAACCCAATAAATCTTCTTTTAGCCAGAGAAATGATGGAATGTATCAAAGCAACAAATAACGATCCGCGACACTACAGAAACCGAGAGCGGGCAGCTGCTGTCCCATGAGCAGAGTGATCGTCCATGATCCATATAATCGCACGTATGCGTTTAAAGGCCTTAGGTGGGTGTGTGTGTGCGCGAAGACTTCACCCCAGTCTGTGGAGCTCCTGGCTTTCAGAGCCTCGCGTACTTTATGTCGATAAATGTTTTATTCGTGGGAAGGTGGCGAGTGTCTGACGGCTGATGTGCACAGTAATACTTGGCCTTGATGCCTCACATACGTAGGGCTGCTGCACGTGAACGGGATATCTCAAAGTATACTGTAGGTCAGACGACATAGGAAGTTCTTGATTCCGGGTGTAAAAGTGCGGACATGTAATAGCTGAAACCGTATCGGTTCCCAGGTCGGGCCGCAGCATCGATACGGTGGCGTCCTCCTAGGGTACTTTGCAGTGTTCCACACCCACACAGCGTACTAGGTAAGGAGCTATGCGTGAATACCTGAAATCTAGAAGGACATTCCGTAGCCGCTGAACATACGGCGAGTACTCAGAGCCGTTTGCTGTTCTGGTAGGGTGAGTGGCCGAGAGAAGGTGGAAAAGGGCTGGCCCAAGCTTGCTGACTGTGTACCGGTGAGTGTGTACCGGTGGGCGTGTAATAGGAACATTACAGCCTAATAGCCCTGAATGCTGTACGACGTAAAGTCAACCGGGCGAGCAAGCTGCGGTGGAGGGGATAGGTACTCACTAGTCCAATAAAGGTAGGGACAGCAGTCAGACCTCGTGTGGCTGAACTTGGCAAAAACTAGTACAAAAGCAGCCTCACCAGCCATACGAGGTCCGACCGCTGTCCCTACCTTTAGAGAAGCGAGTATAGAGACGCCGAGATGGAGGTGACCTCTGGTAAAGTTTCGTGGGATGGTTCCCGATTTCATGAGTAAAAGTGGGCTTGCGAAGCCTAAGGAATGGAACGAAGCGCTAGAAGGAATGCTAGTGTCACTCTGAATGCATAAAGATCTATGAGTCGTGGACCGACGAAATGCCTAGAACTTGACGGATGACTGGCTATATACTAGAAATATGTACAGCATACAAATGGTAGATCAAAATCGGAACCATTTTGAATTTCGCTGGTTCTCACGCCTCAGCCCGGTATTTTTGTGGAGAAAGCGGCGTGAGCCCATAAATGCTTACCTCACTTGTCTGTCAGTCACTGCGGGGAGTTCTTCACGCTTGAAACAGACGACTCTCGTTGGCTGTGGTGTTTGAACCAATCAAACGTACGTACGGAAGGTTCTCGGCCACTAAAGCACACAAGCGTCTCGAAACGAAACACTGTCGATTTCGCGCACACAGCACAGCCCTCAGTCCATGTATGTATCCTGATGATGCACCCAAGCCTGAGTGCAACGCACATAAATCGCCCGTCCGTGACGATCGCTCATAAAACTCCCTATATAGATGTGGCGAGTGATAGACAACTCTCACGTGCGGTTTGACAGCAGAGGGAGCGACGGCCGGGTTAGTTACGCAACGTGCGCAAGCCCGTGCCCAGCCAAATTTCCCGAAGCCGTAGCCCGCCTAAACACAACACCCTGACCTCCCAACCAAAAACCCCCATCACATCAACTCCAAGAAAGCTCCATCCAACCCCCTATCTCCACCAAAACAACTTCAACCTACCGGTACGTTCACCACCCATTGTTTTTGGCATTGGCTCCATCGCTCCCTTCCTCCCCTCCTCCCCTCCTCGTCCCTCTCACCGATTACGCTTCATCACTACCCCGCTACCCCGCTTCCTCTGCTGACAGGTCGGCCAAATAGCCTCATCACCTCCTTTTGCTTCCGCCCTATTCAAGATGGTAAGTTCCAATCGTGCCGAACCTACTCTTGCTCCCATTACTCCACTGAGATGAAATAATAAGCTAATAACGTTGTGCAGTCTCGTTCCGGGTAAGTAAACAACGGCTAGCAGTTCCACCGAATCCTACCTCCTACGTCGCGGTTGCTGATCCAAGGGAACTGGTTAACAGTGTCGGTCTCGCTGCTGAGTGTATCCCTGCTTTCGAGGAGCTCAAGCTTGGCAAGAAGACCAAGTACATCATCTACAAGCTCGGAGACGGCAACAAGAGCATCAACGTCGAGAAGACCAGTGATGACGGCGACTATGACAACTTCCTGGCCCAGTTCCCTGAGAACGACTGCCGATACGCCGTCTACGACTTTGAGTACTCGCTGGGTGGTGGTGAGGGCCAGAGGTACGATGGAGGGTCCGGGGCGAGCAGCAACAGCTCTTCCGGCATTTGACACCGGAAGCCTGTGGACGGCACGATGGGGGTACGAATGCTAATACCTTCTCCGTAGGTCGAAGATCTGCTTCTACACGTGGTCGCCCGACAATGCTCCCGTGAAGGTGAGGGCTGTTGCTCATTCCACCCTTCCGGACAACCCCTAACGTCATGTTCTAGGCCAAGATGATCTACTCGTCCTCCAAAGATGCACTTCGCCGCGCCTTGGCCGGTATCCACGCCGAGATCCAGGGAACCGACTTTAGCGAGGTTGCTCACGAGACTGTCCTTGAGAAGGTCAGCAAGGGAGCCGGAAACCGCTAGATGCCACTCGAGCTTTAGCTTGATTTCCGCCGCTGAATTTATTTGTTCTTGATTCGGGATGTTAGCGATTGACTGGTTCGGTTTCGTGTTCCTCTTTGAATAAACTTAAAAGTGGGATATGATGGTAAATCAAGTTTTGTTTTCGCGGCCTTGGATTGCTGTCAAGCGTTTCTTATTTGCTGCTGTGCTCTGTGCGATGGGTGTCGGTTGGGAAGGGGGGGAATGGGACTGTATGCGATATGGTGGGGTTAATGGTGGGATAGCTGAAAGCACTCATTTTTATATGTTGACACTTCTGCTGTCACCGGTTGCACCTGAGCGATTTTTTGGTGTCGGGAATACCGTAATCTCTAACGTCCCCGCCGTCGCCCAACTAACTCAATCGGGCAAGAAGAGCCTCTTGAAAGTTACCCTCCACATTGTCAAAATATGGTCCAAATCTACCCCACAATCGAGAAACATCCCTCCTCCAATTTGTTTCCCACTCCCAGGCAATTTCACAGCAGGCACAATGACGAGCATTCGAATCCCGGCGGCCGCAGACTTTCACGTCCACCTTCGGGATGGCACCATGATGGAGACGGTGGTCCCTACAATTCGCCAGGGCGGAGCATCTCTTGCCTATGTGATGGTGAACCCACTTTCAACGCATGGCCGACTCTTCGAATATGAATTGTGGGCACAAGCAAAATCTCTCTCTTCCCTTCAGTATAATCAATAGATGAATAGCTAGCTAATGTGGCCTTTCTACTCGACAGCCTAACCTCGTCCCACCGATCTCGAGTGTTCAGCAAGCACTCGACTACCACTCCCGGCTCCAGGCGCTCGATCCCTCGGTGACGTTTCTTATGACTTTGTATCTTTCGCCCGAGATTACTCCCGAGGTGATTGCAGAAGCTGCAGCAACCGGCAAGATTGCCGGAGTGAAATCATACCCCAAGGGTGTCACCACCAACTCCGACGCCGGAGTGGTTGACTACGCGTCCTTCTACCCCGTCTTCGCCGCCATGGAGGAACATGACCTGGTCCTCAACCTCCACGGCGAGTGCCCTTCGAACTCAACCACCTCCCTTCTCAACGATGCCGAAACCTTTCAGCCCGCCACATCCTCCACCACCACCATCCTCAATGCCGAGGAATCGTTTCTTCCTACCTTGCTAGACCTCCACAGCCGCTTCCCGAAGCTGCGGATCGTATTGGAACACTGCACTACTGCCGCCGCCATCGCCGCCGTGAAACAGTGCGGACCTACTGTCGCCGCCACAATAACCGCCCATCACTTGTACCTAACCATCGACAACGTCGCTGGCAACCCGCACTGCTTCTGCAAGCCAGTAGCAAAGCTGCCCTCGGACCGTGCCGCACTTATGGCTGCAGCCACCTCCGGCGATCCCAAGTTCTTCCTTGGAACCGATTCGGCGCCGCACCCCAAGAACAAGAAGATCGGTACTGCCAATGCCGCCGCCGGTGTATTCACGCAGCCATACGCCGTGTCGTACATCGCCACTGCCTTCGATCGCGTCGGCAAGATGGATGCCGTGCGTGCGTTTGTAGCCGAGTTTGGAAGGGCCTTCTACAAGACTGTCGAGAAGGGATGGGAGTCGGCTGAAGATGTGACGAAGGATGCGATCGAGCTGAAGAAGGAACCAGGTGTAAAGGTGGTGGATGAATTTGGACAGGGAGAAGGCGTGGTGGTTCCGTTCATGGCGGGAGAGACCGTGTGGAGTGTCACCTGGTTGTAAAAAGAGCCCGTGACCTTTGTAGATGCAAAATGTCGATAGACTGACTGTCATTGTACCATTTGCCCATATGAATATGAATGCAAATATCACCGACCAGCTATTACTCCTGTCTCACTAGTTTCCTCAGGTTGTCATGGATGGGGCCACGAGTAACGGCATAGGGGAGTAAAGGACTATCGTAGTGGGAAAATAACTATATAAAGGAACTTTTCTCAACTTCCCTCGCACTTGATAGCAGCTCCACGGCCTCAATTGCTCCTCGTTCCACATCATCACCCAATCTCACTCCTCCCGTCTATATTCGACAGGTCCGGTCACGACACATCCCCTCACACTCAAACGATTTCCATCCCTCAAAGAATTTGATCCACCAATAATCCCCAGAAGCCACACTATGGATCGAGACGCGGTCAACAGCAGAAATCTCAATTCGCCCAATTGGTCTAGTGGTATGATTCTCGCTTCGGGTTTATCCCGGCTGTTCAACAGCCTGCATGTGGGAGGTCCCCGGTTCAAACCCGGGATTGGGCCATTCATTTTTTCTCCTCCTGTCTCTACGAAGACGACATATTCTTTTGCTTGGGGTATTGCCACGGTGGTATGTACCAGTATGTAGGTAACGTGTGGTTTTATCACCGACCGATCACGGATCCTCGGCGCAACCGGATATTCACCTTCGGAGACGGTGGTTTTTTCCGCTTCAGTGATGTTAAGAGGCGGAATGCGACCGCTTATAGTAGACGAGACAAGCTTGGAAAACATGATGCCACGTATTGTCCACACGGTTCACACACGCACTATGTAGGTACCTGCCATAACCTATCAGGCACTCCTGTTCGGCTTCAGTTCTATCATAGGAACTACCTTCTCCACGTCCGCCATCCTTAAGTACTCTACTCTACTAGTACCACGGCTTCACTGGTACGTACATATTCCCGGGTTTTCCGCGATTCCGATTCCGAATCCTCTGCGGGTGACATAGTGTGATTGTACCATGGTTCCAGCCAAGCAGGGTAGGTATGTAGGTATTCAAAAGCCATCCATACCTAGCATGGACTACATAGGACATAGTTACCGTTCTACGAGTACCAGGCTCCGGTACCGGTACTAGCCTCCAAGCCGAAAAGAAGACAACCCCCGTTTCCTAACAAGGCTAGCATGAATCGATAACTAAGGCTGGGCCGCCGCAGTGCTGGGCGAAATGCCGTTCATCATAAAGTGCAGCCCGCCACCGAGTATTCACCGTAAAGTGGTCGTGGTGAACTCCATTCTTGGCGAACACTGTGCACGGATCTCTTGCTACGGTGGAGGCTTCTATCATCATATGTACTTATCCAGTGAGTTTCCAACCGTCAATATTAGCAACTGGAAACCCCAGGTGTGCGGACTGGACGGCCTCAGGGCGGAGGGCGGGGGTTACGTTGCTTTATAGACGGTGTTTTAACTTTCAAAACAAGTTTCGAAGTACCATAGAGTGTACAGGGAACCGTGATCTACGTAGCATGTAACGACGGCCCGTCCCGCGGTAGTTAGCCTCGAGCAGCAAGTTACAACCCTGTCCCGGACCAGGATCGCAGATGGAGAGCATGGAGGCCATGGAGAGCAAGCCGCGGCAGGGAGGGAGGGTGGGAGGGCTGTCGGTTGGTTGGCGCCGCACACGCGCGTATGGTCCGACCCACAGTATTCCATGTTCGTGAGTCGTTCTCACGGTGGATGGTGGCGGGCACGGGGCGTAGGAGCGCGGCACTTTCGCTGGACTGGCCCTTCCTCGGGGCGGCGGATTCCCGCCATGGTACTCGGATAGCGATCGGTTTCGGGATGAGTTAACGACGGACTACGATAGGGATAACCCTACCGTACCGGCACTGGCACTGGCAGTGAAACACCCCTTGGTGGTTGGAGCGAGAGTGGCGGGGTATTTCGCCCTATACATATACCTACTACAGCCAAGGTGATTTAGATTTATCATTTTACTCCTGTATATTTCTGTATATGTACTTCAGGACTTGATTCATTGCACTGGGCGAGACGCCCTCGGGCTTGAATGGGGCCTCAGAGGTAGGTAGTCCACAGCAATCGAAACCAGTCTCGAGTTCACATTATATCGCTCGCGGGTCTCCCCCATGCATGCAAATAACTGAGCGAGCATCGTCGTCGATTACTTCAAGAACTGCGATGTGACCAGTGGCGCTCAACAGACCGGGGGCCCATGTGGGCTGTGTAGGAGAACGACCAAGATACGGAAGGAATCAGTCATGTTTCTTTTTCTCTTTGACCTGATACCTCCCAGGCACTGGCGCAACAACGAACTGCCGGCGACAGCGCTTCCTTCATCTCTGCCTCCCGCGGAGCTGGCAGGGAAGGTCGATGAGTCGCCATAGTAGTCTGGACAGTGCAAAAGCCGTATGCGATAATAAATTGATCTCTCTCATCATCGTTCATTAAGCACCTCCTAGTACCCGCCCATCGCCATCTACAGTAAGATACCTAACACCTCCCGAGTCCCCACATCCCGTATCCTCCTCGCCCTCCTCCTCATCCATCCCTTAAAACCTCAGAGAGAAATATGGTATCACAAAAAAATAACACTGACTACAGCTTGCCCGCAAAAATGAAAAGCCACCCCCAACAAAACAAAGAAAAAACAAACGAAACTCGAGAGAGACTTGAAGAAGAAAAAGGAAAATTTTGAATCCAAAAGCAACCGAAAAAAACAAAAGAAAAAGAAAGAAAAAAAAGGTTAAAGTTGGGCCGGAGAAGGTGAAAGAAATAGCGGAGAGCCCGGTACAAATACACAGATAGAAAAAAAATAGATACAATCCGAATGGCAAACCAGGACCAAAAGAAGTAAAGTAAAGTGAAGTGAAGTTGAAGTTGAAGAAACAAACCGAAAGAAAAAAAACCCTAAGAGCGCGATAAACCCTCCCAGCCAAAAAGCGTTGGCAGCAGCAGTAAGAAAAGACCCGTACAAAAATACATTTCCCTTCCCAGGCCCCAAGTCAATCGATCCAACAAAAGCAAAAAACAAGGAAAAGCAGTTACCAGCCGAAATCAACGCCTTCACCAGCAGCGTCTATAGAAACGAATCCAGCCAAGGAAATCCATAGGAGCACACTTCTACAATTCGCTCGCAACCCTCTAAAAACACTCTACCAACTCATCCGGTGCCTCCACTGGACTCACAAGCTTGTCTGCATCCACTGCTCCGGCGCTCTCGCCGCTGAATCGCTTGCCACTGGCACACAGATCGGCAGTATCACGCTTCCGTGCCGCGCTCCTAAGTGCAGACACCATGCGTTCCTTGTCGTCGAGTCGTGCCCTCAATTCAGCAATCTCGTCGTCCTTTTCTTTGAGCAGTAGCTCAACGCGCCCTTCCGAAACCACCTCGTTCAGCCCTGGCATCTTGGTGTTGTGCGGGCTCCCGCCGATTCCGTAACTGGCCCTATTCTGTGAACTCCGGCGAGCCTGCAATAATCTCTTCTCCAGGGTAACGATATAGCGATTCCGATCACCAAGGTCCGCTTGTAGCGCGCGAACCTGTGAACTGAGCGAAGCGTTGCCATCGTTGTATTCGCCACCGGTTGAATCTTCGTCCTGGTCCGAGCCTGGGGTCGACGGGTTGATTGATGACGACGATGAAAGGCGCGCGTTCTGAGCCGGCTGCATGGATGTGCGTATTGAGAGTGCAGACATATGACCACCCGCAGGACCGATCATCGACGAGCGTGCCGAGTTGACTCCCGACGACTTTGAGCACAAGATCAACCGATTTAGGTGCTCGATGCGCTCCTTCAATGCTGTACGTGCCAATTGCATTTCCAGCAGCTGCTCTCCGTGCTACAACAAAAACAACGATCGTCAGTCATGCATGTTCCAGCCAAAGCTTGTAAAAGAAGGTAACATACCCTCTCGGTATCCTGTTCACGTTCTACCCTCAACTCCTGTTCTTCTCGTTCCTTAGAGTGCAATTCCTCTTTCGCCTTCTGGACCTCCAATTCGCGTCGTAGTTCTCCAATCTCAGCCCGATACCTTTCCAACAATGCCTTGCTGTGTGCATCTAGGCCCCCGGGGAAATCCTCGCCCTTCTTTGCGTGAGAGGTAATGTTGTTCCTCGCTCTAGCCGCAAATTTCAGCGTATTCATCGTCTCGCCGATGTTGGTGACATTGCCTGCACCACTGGCATTCGCCAATGGAACAGCAATCGTGCACAGAATAGAAATGATCGAGTTTCCGGAGAGCGCAGGCTGAAGGAGACGGGTGAGTTTCGAGTCACGGTACGGAAGATGGGAGCCATCCTTGTCTTTCTCCGCATCCTTTGACAGACGCGCGATGACGGTTCCCAGGGTCAGCAACGAACGGTTGATGTGGGCTCCCTCCGTTCGCCGTTCTTTGTCCTCCGCGGCCCTCTCCGAACCGGCAAGATCGATCAGCGATAGCGTGGACACCCTCACACCACCGTTGATGCCAGCACGGCGATTGTCCGCCATGTCCCCGTTGTTCGAACCCGCAACTCGCTCCCTACTCTCGACAACGATCTGAACCACCGCGTGCGAGCGCGAGGACCTCGCGTTGAACTGGGTACTGCCCGTTCGCCTGCAAAGATCACCCCGAGCGATCACCCTCAGCAACTGCGTAGGACTCTGCACGATCTCCTCCTTGAGTGGCGTGGCGTAGACACCCCTCTTTGGATCCTCACGAAGCTTGATCTCCTCGCCTTTGGTCTGCTGATCCAGCGGCACGAATCCGGTGGTTCCGGGTTGCGATGCGAGCAGGTCGTGTATCCGCTCGTTGTAGATTTCCAAGTAGCTGACTCTCAGCAGGAACTCCCGGTGCGGCGTCTCCCGAATGTACGAAAAGATATCCGTGACGGCGAGCGGTATTACACCCGGCGACGATGCCGTGCCCTGCATGCTGTACGTCTTTCCGGTTCCCGTCATACCATAAGCAAACACCGTTGCGTGGAATCCTTCCATAACCCGTCGCACCAATCGTTTCGCGCATGATTCATAAACCTGGGCATTATTGTTCTCCTGGCAAAAGACGTTGTCGTATTCGTACGTGCCGCCGTCCTTTCCCCGATATCCGACCTGCTGGCGCCGCCCATCCACAATCCAGTCTGGGCTCATCTGGTCCTCGGGTCCATCGGGACGCACTCGAACCGAGATGATAACGTTTCCCTTTGTCTCCTTCTCCGAGCCGCCGTCCCTCTCCTCCGTTCGCCCTCGTGGGAGATCATCTGCACTCGACGAAGCAGTCATCGTCGTCGGCATCGTCGAATAACTTCCGTTCGCGCTGCTACTCCTGCTGTGAGGGGGACTCGTGGTGTATTCACCGCCGCCAGAAGTATTGCTGCCACCAGACATGAATCCAACACCACTGTCCCTCGAATACCGACCGGCAAGGTTTCCCGAAGAAGGCATGTTTTTTGGTCGCATTAGTGAATCCCTGTTAGGAGTCGGTCGTGTAGGACTTGCGAGTGGTGATGAAGGCGTTGGTGGGCTCTTTCCGAATCGACTCGGACTCGGCGGTGGTAAACTTGCGATTCTATCGCCGTTACGAGGAGGCCGTGGAAATGACTCTGCTATCGACACAGCCCGTTTAGGCTGGCCTGGCCTCGAGAGTGATGAAGCCTCCAGCGAAGGTACACCTGATAATGGTCTGCCGAACGACCCGGACATCGACCGACCGGGTGACGACGGCAGCAGTGATGTACGTCGCATGGCTTGGAGGGATGGTTTCGGGTTCAGCGAGTTTGGAAGTGCTGGTAATGCTGAATTCGGTGGTTTCGAGGTGTTGTAGGCGCGCGGTGTACGCGGCATCGTCGTCGTCTGTGTGGCCATTTTTTGCGAATAAGGAGTGTGGTATCTGCTGGAGTTCTGGGGGAACGAAAGAAGGAGCGTCAGATGGAGGTCAGGCCACAGGGAACAAGCGATTGAAAGGGCCGCCCGTCGCACTCCAGGATAGGAAAGCTGCGGGATAAAAAGGTGCTGACACTAGGCAGATGGGGGGAGGGTGGACACGCACCTAATCCCAGGAAATCAATAATGCAATGCACAGGAGCCGAGAATGGAGCCAGGCCCGGGCACTATGCTATCCTAGCAAGTGCTCGAAGGGTTCCTTGGAAGCACGAGCTGCTGCTCTCTCACTGCTGTTCCCGTTGCCGTGTCGCAGACAGCTAGTGGTGGTTATCTGTTCGAAGATGCCGGTACAAAAGAGTGTCGAGAAGAGAGCGTCCGAACGATGTCTCAAAGGTGGTTGATGTGCCGATTGTGGACGGGGGTGATGCTAGAAGTGAGGCGATGGTGACAACGACCCCACGCTTGAAGCTTTGTCGGGGAAGATCTGAAGAAGCTCGGGAACCTTGTGGGAGCGGTGAAGAAAGTATCGAAGAGAGTGAACACGCGGCGTCAACGGTGCGTGCGGAGCGGATGAGGGGAGAGGAGTGTTGGGGTGCGCGTGCGTAGGCGGCTGGGAATCGGTATGTAGTTGTAGTAGTGGCAACAGGTGGAGGATTCGGTCGATCCGGAGCCGAAGGAGAGGAGGAACAGGCAGGAGGGCGAGGATGGGAAGGCGAGCGAGCGAGCGGCGTTGAGGAGTGGATATTGTTGGTGAAACGGGGGAGGGGGCGCGGCGAATGAGATGCTGTTGTTTTTCCCTCTTTCCCTGTGGCTGCGGATTATTGTTATGATGGTGGTGGATGGGGATGCAGCAGATGGCAGTGGGTGAACGGGATGTTGGTGTGGGCGGACAGCTTGGTGAGTGGTGAGAATTTCCCAGGTGGGCAGGGGTGGGGCCAAGCAGGGTCCAATCCGGGCGAAGAACCGAATCAGCAACTGGCCACTAAACCCAACGACGCAAAGCGGCCCAGGGCCCACCAGTACCCTTCAGGACGCCCAGACGAAAAACCAATCCACGGATACGCAGGTTTCCAGCCCAACGGAGGTCGGTGCTCAGGAGGGCAGTGAACGGAAGGAGATGCGTGGCGATCTTTTCATGAGGATATTTATCTGAACAGGTAAATATGGAACTCGATGCAGTTCGCATCGGAATGCGAAACGGATACCGCAATTAACCGATTGACAGCATCGCGATAGATGACGTTCGTTATAGGTCGTCTGGGCTCGAGCCGTCACGACTGGGCTTCTTCTGGAACCGAGTTCAGACTTCTTGAATGATGGGCTCGCCGTTTCGATCTGTTATCATACCTCCCTTCGTTCCCGGAGAAGTATCATCACAGAACCAATGGCACCTACGAAACGGAAACGTCCTCTCCACCAAAAAGCCTATCAAGCCCCCTTCCCCACCAAAAGCTCCGCATGACGAACCTTGAGCCGCCACGAGAGATACCATGAAATGTTCTTTTTTCCTGGGCCTCGATACGGAACAGTACCGTATCTTTGCAACTGCATACAAAAAAAAAGCACATGCAAGCACCCAGAGGCAATCATGCAAGTAGCCTGGCCACTGCTAATGGAAGCAATCGAAGGAGAGATGTCACCTCCAGTAGGACAGACGGGTTCTCCTTTTCCAACAACGTCACAAGAAGCTGATTGAGATATTTACAGGTCTGACTGAATGACTGAATGACAGTCTGACCGATCGACCGACCGACCGACCGACCGACTACTCTAGGTAGAGTACTTACTGGCTGACTGACTGAGTACCGACTGACTGGATGGCTGATACGTGAATTCACCTATGAAAATGACGCTCTACATATCATCCATGTATGTAGCATCAGCAAGAGGTATTTTGGGCCCTTGTCTCTTCACGATACGTCTTTTCAACCAATCACTCACATTCGAAAGGGGGGGGGATGGTGGGTGAGTGAGGACATCTGCCATCAAATCAATCGAATCCGTCCCCGCTTCTCCGAAACACCACCACCACATCAAGCGGGCGAACAGGAAACTCGAGCCAGAAACAAAAAGGAAAACCCTCCACGCCCCACAAGATTAAAACATCTAAAAAAGCAAAGCGCTCTTCGGATCGAGAGCTAGCCTTGTACAGAGTTGGGAACTTTGCTCCGGCACTGAAAACGAATCTCGGGTGCGGACCGAACATCGGCCTAGCTCGGAGAGACAAAAGACAAGACCTTCCAAACAAAAAACTCGACTGGCCCTTTTGTTTCTGCTATGAGGTAGTATGTACTTCTACTAGTGTGATGTAGCTCTGTACTGTACGCCTCGGTAATTTTTTCGAGTTTCCCCCCGCCAGCGTGGAGTCTCCAAGTTTCCATCCAACTACCGGTACCTGCGTCAGTGGTCCGCAGTCAAAGGAAGTCGGGAAGGAGCTTAGTTGAAGAATTAGCTCTCGTATGTAGTCCCAAATGCATCGCCTCCCTCCCAGCTTCCCTGCTAACTAACCATAGTCACCTACGGTACATGGCCCCCCACCAGTCCAACTCGCTTCTCATCCCCTCCTGCGCCGAGAAAAAAGGGGGAGGGGAACTCAACTTAGGGCCCTAATCTTCAGGGCATTACCGATTCGGAGCTTACCAACTTTCCCTCCCCCCAACGAACGCACTAAAAAAAGTCAAAGTCCGACCGACCTTCCCTCGCTCCCTTCACCGGGCATCCCAACCCAAGAATCCATCCATCCAAGGTCCAACTTCCCCCGCATTCCTTGAAGTTGCGGCCCTCCTCCATCCGCCGCCGTCACCCAATCATCCGCTCCAGGTGGAATTCGGAAAGTTTTTTATTTTTTTTGCTTGCGTGCGCGCGCCTGTATCAGGTGGACTCAGATCCACTGTTCAGATCACGGCGAACACCCAGCTCCAAGCCTCCTCTACCAGTGATTACTAGTACTCTATGTACTCTACTTGGGTCCAGGACTCCAGGAGAATTGTCCTGGTGGACGGTTGCGCGAAAGGAGGAGTATCAATGTCCGGATAACTAACGATGTACTACCGCATACTCGCGAGTCGCGATAGGTGTCTTACCCCACTGCCCGATGAGCTCAGTGCACTCACCTAGTACATACCTCTTACCTACATAAACAAGTACCACCTCGGCCGAAACCCAATTGCCAGATAACCAACCAGGAGATATGTTGGTTCCGCAAATCTTGTACCTGCAGTGGTCTCCTTTCTGTGAGAGTGTACCTTGCATGCGTGCAGCACTTTATGCATGCATAAGCAGGTAGGCAGGCCGGTGGGTGGGTGAGGAGATCGTGTAGGCCACGCCATGCCATGCCCCACCCCACTCCACCCCATGGCCGGGCTAGAGTATAGGTACATACGAGTTAGCGGAATCTTGGGGGCGAGCGAGCAAGCGCATGTAGAGTATGTAGACTCTGCTCTAGAGTACGGAAGGTAGCCACGCCCGCCCGCCGCCGAGGTGGGGAGGTGAGGAGCCTGTGAGGCGCTGGGAGGCGGTTTTTAGGGTTCTTACCGGCGTATGGACGCACTCTACATACATGCGATGCTCCTCTGACCACAAGGAATCAATGCATAGGTACCGTACATCAAGTACCTACATAAGTAGGATACGTACTTATTTATGGCGAGATCGCCGCCATGGACACGGTGAGCCTGCGTATGTACCTGCGTACCTGCGTACCTGCGTATGTACCTGCGTACCTGCGTACCTGCGTACCTGCGTATGTACCTAGAGTACCTATGGCAAGTGAAAAGTGAGAAGTGAGAAGTGCGAAGCACCCCGACTCGAGTTCAGCTTTCGGCGATGCCGTGGCCCCTGCCGTGCCGCAACCGCAACCGCCGACACTGATCCGAGCCTGACAACTACATCTCGATCGGACACTGATCCCCGTCCGCGATAATCCGAATTTCTTCGGGTATGTACATAGGTGGGGGGCATCACGATACACGCCTGACAAGTGAGGCGATTCGTTGAGGAGCTTTTGAGCTAACGGTGGCCAGGTGATGGATCATGGGGGCGAGTTGGAACTTGGTTAACTAGCCCTGAACCCTAGGCGACGGCCGACATCGGACATCCCTCTCGAGTGTCCACGACTGACGATCTTGGTCTTTGAAGGAAAGGAAAAGAGCACGCACGAACGCACGCACGCACATGCTATGTACTAGCAGTTACCGGAGAACTTTGCGCCTCTGGAGTCTGGATGGCTACTTTTTAACTATTACCGCCGTGTGCCATATGGGAACGAACGAAAGCGGTCGGCCGAACGAATATCCTCACCTCATGGGCACTGCGTGGCTCGACGTCGCGAATTCCGTCTCTACTTACTATGTATCTACGGTACTATGTGCACCGTCCGATACCGGTCGGTTCCCTCATCACTTGCTCGTCGTCGGATCTACATGCTAGGTATACAACAACTAACCACGGCCCGCAAATGGACCGTTCTCGAGTCCCCGCAACGCAACGTGGGATCGGCCCTGTATCGGCCCTGTGGCCTTTATGTAGGTATCGAGGAAATCGGGAGGAAACCTGGAAGGAAATTTCGACTGTTCGAGGGGCCGCCACTGGATGTCGAGTGATCAACCCGTGACGGACTCGTGACGGGACGGTGTTATGCATGCAAGCCTGACTCGGGTCGAGACTCGAGTTGATAAACGTCAATTGGAATAAAAGATACATCGCTATAGTAAAGCAAGTGCACGTCGTCAAGTCGCTAGTTATATTGAGAATAGGAGTGTGTGGACAATGTGAAACGAGAACGTGAAAACATGAAACCGCACAAGTTAGTGATGGAATCTAGACCACCACCACCCCACTATCTACACTATACAGTCAAAAACAATGGCCGCAAAAAGACAGAGTTGAAAATCATGCACACGCTCTGCCTCTGCCTCTGCCTCCTCAAGGGGTCTCACGACTCGCAGTGTTCGACATACCTAGTCCGGTCCGGACTGCAGTCCAGACTGGACGGACTGCCAAGATATAGTCCAGTCTGGTCCGAGGCTCAGGACGGGCGGACTGGACGGATTGGACTATGTCGAACACTGCTCGAGAGTCTCGAGAGTGGAGACTTTCCAGTCGAAGGCTCTAGAGTCTAGACGGCTTCGAGTCTTTTGTTTGGACTGGCGTTTACAAGAAGCACTGTGGGGGTTCTGGGGCGTGTGGATTGCTGTTGGGCTTTCACATTCTGTAGGAGCTGTTGGGACTTAGTTAGGTTAGACATAATCGTAGTAGGGAATGGGAAGCGTTGGAACTTAGGTCACGGTGGTGGCCCTGTGGGGAGCTCCATGTACTATTATCGATGCGAATGTATCACTCGATTGATAGCTGCTGGGCCGGCCACGTTCGAAACTTTTTCTTTGGGGACCACCGTCGCCAGCAGATTTCAATTATGACTCAAGTAATGGATATGATTTTATCCTGCCGGAGATACGTAGAGGTATGCATCACACCACCGGCCTCCTCGCCACAAACCTCAACCTGACATAATTAACCCACATCCCACCATCCTCGCGCCTCCCCACGCCCTCCAGGACCTTTTCCACCTCCTCAACCGCTCCATCCCTCTCCCCTTCCGGCAGACACTTTAACATCTCGTCCGCAAACAGCCTAACCCAGCCGCCCACACCTCCACCCTCGCAGCTGGTCAACTCCGTCTGCCTAAGCTCGGTCTCTACCAACTCGATGGTAAACCCGGCGCCCTCCAGTAGCGCGGAATACTCCGCCTCGGTCCCGAACCCCCACGGCGTACCCCCCCGGGCCATCGCCGGATTAACGCCGCGATGCACCAGGGCCGCAATAATCGCCGCGTGCACCTCGGCCATATTCCCGTGCGCGCCGCACTCGGCAACGAACGTGCCGCCGGGCTGGAGCGCGGCGAACGCGCGCGCGAAGAACGCCGTGCGCTGAGCAGGCGTCGTCAGTAGGATCCAGTGCAGAGCTGCGTTCGAGAATAGTTTTGTGTAGGATGGGAGGGGGAGCGTCGGCAGGGATAGCGCCGAGGACACGATGTACTCGGTGTTGGAGGACGGAGGGCACGCCGAGATCATCCATGCGGAGGAGTCGATGCCGGTGATGTGGGCGCAGAGGGGGGAGAGCGTAGAGGTTAGCGCGCCGTCGCCGCAGCCGATGTCCAGGAGCGTGTCTGCGTGGTTGGATTAGTGGGTGGTAAAAGGAGGGCGGGGAGAAAGAGTACCATCGGGTTGTAGGTCGAGGAGGGATATAACTCTTGTGGTGAGCTTCGAGACGAATGGTGCGACAGTTGTGCCGTACGTGTGCGGGTCCCAGTTATCGACGACGGGGGTGGAGGCTGGGACGGATTGGGCCATTGTGTTTTCGGATTGGAGGATAAGTTCGTGGGGACGTGCTCGAGGTATTTATTCCTGAGTCAAGATACGGAGTACTGATGTGGGGAGAGAAAGGGACGTGCATATGCAATGTTGACTGTTTGGGCGAGTGAGTCAACTACCCACAAGATATCACTCGCATATGTTGAACATGGGGTTTCCGTCGGCCACATGCGGGCATGAAGGGTCACTCGATTCTCACCTCGGAATTCGGAGTTCGGAGTCTTTTGCGGGGGGGGGGGGGGGAGTGGGATGCTCACCGTCATCTCACGCAGCCCCCACCGGGCCCACCAGGCCACCGCAGCGAGCCATGTTTTTTCTGTGTACCAGGGACGATTCCGGCAGTAACGATGTGAGAAAAAAGACGTGGATCAATGGGGCGGGCGCCGGGCGATGAGCTTGCAAACGTTAACCAGCTCGGTTTGTGCCTGTCGGTTTCCATTCGATACCGGATTTCGGTAAATAAATGAAAAAAAAACAAGGGCGCGGCCGGTCTCGGGACGCATGCCCATTCGCTGGATTCACACCCCAACAAGGTACCTATCGCAAACGGACCTCTGTAGTTGGTGAGAAGGAGGGAAAGGGACAGATTCGATTTCTCGGTAATAGGTAGAGTAGGTCAGAATGAAAGAAACTTATTGGAACTTTTCGCGATTGGGGTCTTTGGTTATACCCCTCCTTTTTCTTCTTTCTCTCTTTCTTTTCTATGGTATATGGAGGTGTTCGTCGCGGAGACAACCCACCCCCCCGGCCCCGGCGCCTCGGACCCCCCACCTTCGCCTACGACTTCCGACGGAAGGGGAGCGAGTAGTATCTATCGCCAGGGACCTTCTTGCCGAAGAAGAAGAAGAACTCAAACGCGCCCTGTACCGACTCCTCGGGTTGAGGCACTCGGCACTCAGCACGACCAAAACTCCCGAGTTCATTGTACCTCCTACGTAGAGTACCAGGTAGTTATCTAGAATCTGTTGAGTTCTGCCACGGAGGCTGTGTCTCAACGTTCGATACTATGCTACAGAATGACGACGGCTGACTCATCATTCCGGCTGTTTGCCAGATGCTGTTCCTAGGGGGGAAAGGGAGGTTCGGGAATTTCCACATCATATGTATTACAAGAAAAGCACCGTCGTATGTGTACTTTTTGGGGTTTGCTGGCTCAATGATGTTCGCGGACGGGGGGGGAGGAGGAGGCTCTCAGTTGAGCTCGTTTGTGAGTGTGTATGTCGGTATGTAGTACATGGTGATGGACTGCCTAAAGCGGTGTCGACGGTGCCGGCTCACCGTACTGCGTTTCCTTAGGGGAGCGATTCACGATGCGACTGTGGAAGGAAGGAGGTGAGAGTTGACGGATGCAAAAAATGTCGAAATGAACGACTGTAGTAGGTATGTAGTGGGTAGGTAGCACGTGGGAGGATGGGTAGTTGTAGTAGAGTATGTCGTTGATGGATGAAACATCCAATCGGCAGCGCTATTGTGTCTTGTGTGGACGCGACCCAGGTCCAAGCACATGTCAGCTATACCTAGTAGTGTGGCAAGGTATATGTAGCCTACCAATAGTTTTCGTCAGGTTCAAGGGTTGTTTGGTGTGGGGTGAGTGGGGGGTGGGAGGATTCTTGTTTCAACGACTCAAAGCGGTTCTAGGATGCACTCGGCGAATCTGGACGAGCCACGGGCCACGGTATTTCACGCACAGCATATCACTCAAACAAAAACTCCGAATCCGGCGTTTAGACGGGTATTAGTTCCGGAGGACCCGAATTCTTCCACCAGGGAGTGCTGAGGCATGCCGGTGTCGTACGGTCGGTCGGTCGTGCGAACTGATAAGATGCTGATCCCGCCAGTCATAAGTACGGCCCGAGCGGGAAAGTGCGGACGACGTCGTAAAGAGCGAGAGACGCAGACACGGACATAGGCTCATGGCATATGGCACATCGCTGAGGATCGTGATGGAGGCCCAGAGCCCTCTTGCAAACGCATTTTTCCCCCCATCTCTGCAGCCAAAGAGATTTCTGGGAGAGATCCAAGAAAAAAATGGAAGTGAGGTAGGTAGGTCGGAAAAGTCGATACCTCCGATCCATCAGGCAGAGCTCACTCCGACTCACTCGTACGGTGTCATAGGTACCGCACCATTTCTTCGAGATCGAGCGATCGGGCGTTGACATTGTGAGTGAGATGCACCATTGCAATTCCACTTATCCCCCCCGCCCCTCCCCCCACAGCCCGTGAGCAGTGCCCCTCAAAATTTTTGCAAAGAGGATCATAACAAAGTTGTAGGCAAGATTGCTTACTGCTAGCATGCACCCACTCTATCTACGCGTCCTCACAACGTCCGCCACGATTGGCCTTACCCATTTACCCGGGGGGCGTGCTCGCCCTGGTATTCAACGCTATATATATATATATATATATACGCGCATATAAAACCTGAGACGTCAAGCAAACGGATTCCGTGAGGTTATGTCGCCTTCATCCGACATTGGCGATTGCTGCGGGTGACTGCGCCGTAGTGTTCCCGTCCAGCTGCATATCCCCAATCAGCTCCATCTTTTCACCGAAGACGCATCGCCAATGGGCACGATCGTATTGCATACTTACATCACCTACTACATGTCCACCGATATCGCCAAACGCGTCTTGTGCACCTTCCGTACATAACAGCGGACGGGCTGAAAGAGCCACGACTGCTACCGGTATGTAGCATGTAGGCAAGTCGGGGCCTGACGATGGTTGTGGATAGCTATCAAGGTTTGAAGAAAGTGCGTCTGGGGAGAAAAATATCCTAGCGGCGGGAGTGTCACGTCCCGTTCACGTCCACAAATGTGGTTCGCGAGAGCGGTTCAACGTCAGTGCCTTATGCCTGCCTTAGAGACATACATATGTGCATGCAGAGACAACGATGTAAGCCTTGAGCTGGTGGAAATTTTGATGACGTGCGTGGCCGGTTTTCTCTGCCAGTGATAGGCGCGTATGTTGGGCGGCGGCGGCGGCGGAATGGCCTCTCTCCTCGGGACTGGCATCATGTCGGCGCCGCAGGAGGGAGTCGTGTTGAGATCGCTTTCTGTACACCCAGGCAGCCCCCAAATTTTCAAACCATCGCCGTCACAATGGCCATTTGAAAATCGGATAGGCAACAAATCCGGAGATCTCCAGTGCCGTGCACTAGTGTATGCAAGTTGGCATGACTCCGTAAGTACCCGGTGGGTCGATCTCCCGGATCTAAATCGCCGGCAAGGAGCGTCAACAGCTCGGTGATAGTTAGGGTTGGGTCGAGCCGGGGGGCTATTCGGAAAAAATAAATAAAATAAAAATCGAAATAATAGTAAAAAGTGTTATTTTTTCGTATTTTTTGGATCATTCCGGCTATGGCGGGGCCACCACACCATCCGAGCGAGCTAAGTCTGTGTATAACAGTAGCTGGACAACTGTACTGATCATCCATCAGCCGATGCATATCTTAAACACTGCGAAGGCATTGTTGTGGCGAGCATGAGGACACGATGGAGGGGCATTACCCCGCGCTCGGTGATCGTGTTGGACAGCTGTAAATGCACTATCGAGTGATGCTCAGATTTCATGAACCAGTGTGCCGATTGTGACGAGCCATTTCGATGCGTACTTGCCAGCCAATATTAGTAAAAACCGACACGGTGCTTCGGGGCCTACCAGCAACTGTATCCTTCCTATGGTGCCATAGGTTTCGACCGATAAATACCAAGAAGTACTGAGGGGAAAAACACACCCGCTCCCCCCCGCCCTCGAAATGCATCATCATCACTGCATTCTAAAAAATGGTGTTAACCAACCAATCATAACGGGGGCGGCTTGGATGACAATCGAGCCTATACCTAGGTCCACATTGGGGTATCAGCATGGAAAGCAGCAGCAGCCTCTTAATCGTCAAATGAAAGCTGATGTCCCTATCAATCAATCTCCCCCCCTCCCCCCCCGTGAATGGGGCTTGATTGGACTCTGACGTAGATTACACGCACGCACTGCATCCTGATATCAGACTGGCTTCCAGCTCCTGCAATTGGCGTATGATCTCCACGGAGCTACTGAATCGATCATACGCCTTGGCTAGCGGCGACTGAAATTCAACTGGGCGGTGACCGGGCAATGTATTCGGTAGTTTGGGAGGGGGTGGATAGCTAGGCTGAAAGAGCAACGCGTCTATTGCATGAATGCATGAACTCCCGAACAGCGAATATGCCCCACACGAAGTCGAACCTGGCGCCACTCATACGATTCCCCGTGAGGCTGTCCTGCGAAATGGTTGGTGATTCGAAAGTTCGCAGACTGTCAACAACGTGGCAATCGAGGTCATTGGTAACTGCCTCTCCACCGTGCGGCATAAGCGCTGGCCGGCCAGAGGCACCATGACATATCCATCACGCACCCACCGTGGCTAGTCCTTCGCGAGCCAAGCCATTCCGGGGTGAGCGGAAAGTAACAATTCCTGCTTATGCAGGGCACCTTTAGGATATCGGAGGCGGGGTCGAGCGAATGACCACAGTACACGATCCAAAACTGCCGCTCAATTGAAACCTAGAAAGAGCGTCACCGCAATGTACCGATGGTCTTGGCTGATGTGCCCCTCCGGTGGGTTTACCGTAAAAAATGAATTGCTGAGTGCAGCGTTGGCGGTGGAGGAAATCCTCAGCTTTTTTTTGGATTTGGATTTGCTGCATGGCGTGATACTATTATCATCGACATCATCACGGACTTTCAAACTGGATCCTCCGGCCCGTGAGAATTTCCATGTATCGCAGCCGGAAAACTCCATTTGAAGCGGGTTATCTGGGAAGAGGGTTAGATACCGGGAGATTGAGTTTTATGGAAGGATTTGAAAGTCATCATACTATAGATGGACAAAAAGTCGGTGGTGTGCAACAAATTGCGACAGGTGTTCATCGTGTGACGAATTCTGCCCGAAGATGCAGAGCACAATCGATGAGATATCGTGCATATATTCTCACGCATTGCTGTATCGGCCGCGGGGGGGGGGGGGGGGGGGGGGGGGGGGAGGGGGCAGCTGCAAACAATCTTGTGTCTGGCTTAGAATAACAAACGGGATGTGATAGCGGTGGCGCAATGATTCGTTTTTCCTACACGTATGAGACGGTAGTAGGAGAGTGAGTATATTGCGGTCATCAAGGATGGTCCATGTTCCCTCTCAGGGGAATCTGCCAGTTAAAACAGTCTCCGCATGCGTCCGATAACCGCCGCCAAAGGGGACGATTTTCCGCCTGGTACCTAAACGATAAACTCTGCGGGAAAGGCATTGGGAGGGGAGTACGAATGTATTAGGGGAGTAGCAGTGTCGCTCACCGAGTCGCGGTGAATCGCCAAAAAAAGACGGTTGGATAGGTTGTCGAGGATACCCACGTAGGTAGTCAACAAGTCACATCACGTTCCGTGGATTTGGGGGGAGGGGGAGGGAAGGTGGAGCTCGATGTACCCGTTCGTCGGCGAAGAGACGGATGATGCACTGCTGATCTGGCTGGCAGTTGTGTGTTAGCCACGCTGAAGCTGACGGATAGAAGGATGGTAGATAGTATTAGGTACGTAGGTTAAGCGGTGGTGCACGGTTTAGCCTGAGCCTTTTGGGGCCAGCAATGTCGATGGGAGCGCGGAGACTGACTGGACGACGCATCTGGGTAGGGGGAGGGAGAGGAGATGGCGGGCATCGGGGAGAGCAAGAGTGTGCTGGACGGTATGTGGACAGTGAGTGGACAGCGGGCGGACAGTGGTCGTTGTTGGTGTTGTTGTTGTTGTCGGGGAGGAAAGAGGGGCTGGAGAGGAGTGGAGAATCGGCGGCGATGATATGTCGGATACCCCGCGGCCAGGTTTAGGGGGGAAGCAAAACAAGAAACATGGGGGGGGGGGGGGGTGAAACCAGTGGGCGTGGTCGCATGGCGGCGGGAGATGTGACGGGATGCAGCTGCCGAGCTCCGGACGTGCATAAGCAGATTAACTATATTGGTGGCCACTTGCATGAACTCAATGGAGACCTCGAGGCACACAAGCAAGCAAGCAAGCTTTGCGTGAGGGGAAACGGCATCTGCTCACTTGGGTAGAGTATCAAGTGCTTTACTACTAGCCCGGGCGAAGAAGAGCCCGAGGTCGTCCAGCGGCCTGCAGAGCGTCTGCTTCAACCGCCGCCACCGCCGCCACCGCCGCCACCGCCGCCGGACGGAGCCATAGCAAAGCAAGTAATTATTGACGGCGGGACGTTCCCCGAGCTCCGCATCGATCGATCGATGGATTGATTGATTCCTTGGCTTCCTCCGTGCGTGTCTGGAGACTGGCCGGAGTGCTGAGTTTTGACTGCACTCATTTCCTTCGAGACGCCTACCCTACCGAGTAAGTCCTTGGTTGAGTACTTCTTACCTATACCGACCGTAGTATCATAGCACGCATATACTGCTCAAGGGGCCCCAGCCACACCCACCCTAGCTGTGGCGTGCCGACTGTGGCGAATCCGCACCACGCATACACGAGCACTAGTCAGCGGTTTGCGGTGTGCGGCCATCGCCCCACCCGCACAAGTGCCGTGTCCGTCTCCACACACTACTGCAGCGTGGATAGGGGCCGATATTGTCGACTGCAGCAGCGGCGTTCGTTCGGTATACGGTATTATACGGTTCATCTGAGAAGTATCGCACGCCGCCTACCCTCCACCACCATCACCACCACCACCACTACCGAATTACCTATGTACGTAGCTGGTCTCACAGTGCCCAGAATTGGCTCTGCTTGGTCCGTGGCATTGACCCCAAGGGTGGCCGTGGATCGTTCTCGCCGAAGCGGATCGATATTGGTTCGGCGGATGCACGTCTGCGTCCTGTGCGGGGAGGGTGTGCGGTGGTCCAATAACCGCCAAAGCTCAGATGATCGATGATGCTTCGTGGCTAAGCTTCTGCACATGTGCATTGCAGCCCCGAATGGTGGTGGATTTTGCATCGTGTATGGCCACAGCAAGATACCCACGAACTGCACTATACACTATTCACACCTTTGCTCTGACAGTATGCGTCCCTCCCGTTCGTCCCTCCCGTCCGTAGCTACATGCCTCCGCAGCCATGGACACGACTGAGCGGGCGCTGTGACTCGCCGCTGCTTGGTCAATCGCCCGGTCGTCTCTACTTTTAGATGTTTTTCCTCTCACCTCCCACCTCACCTCTTGCTTTCGTTCCTTCTTCCTCTTTTTCTTTCTGTATTCTAGCTCTCCCCTTTCTTTCTTCCCCCCACCGTCATCGTCGGTCCTGACGTCTCCGGACAATCCTGGCAAGGCCTAGCCAGTCAGCCTTTCGTCTAGCCCTTTGCTATCCAATTGCACTCCTGATGATCCCCTCATTGCTCCGCTGCAGCTCCTGCTGCTGCTGCTGGTTTACCCCCTTCCCCCCCTCTTCTCTTCACCCCCCAGTCGTATCTGATACCGTGTTTTGGTGCTACTGTGCCCGTGGTGGTGGCCTTTCGTCTCCGTCTCCGCAGGCACCCCGGCCCGGCCTGCCTGCAAACCTGCTTCACCTCCATCTCTTTACCTTCGCCCTCGTTACGTTACGCGTCTCCTCAGGGACCACGTAAATCTTCTGCTTCCTCATAATTCTTTCATGCTATGTCACAAATATCTCCACCGAGCCCGTCCGGGTTCAACCTCCTAGCAGTTCACGGGCCAGCAACTATCCCGTATTTATCACAGGCCTCGGACGGCCCAACATTCGAATACTACCAACAATCGTAAATCAACAGCTTCATATCAACATCTCGTCAACCTGCGTCTTCGCCCTCCAGTTCCTCTTCCTCCTCCTCATCGACGGCAGCCTTTATCTGTTGCACTGCGTTAAAGGCAGACCTTCCTCCCCCCACCCCCGCCCCCGAGGCCATCTCAATCCCAGCTGCGAACCTTCACGAGTGTTGCCAACAGAGGACAGTGCTAAAAAAAAACATCACTATCCATCCTATTACAGCCGAACACGAGCTTTCCACCCCCCATACACCACGGCAGAACAGCTACCCACGGTGACCTCCCATCCTCAGACTGGGTCTCTTTGGCCCTGCGTCTGCCGCAATCGAGGAGCCTTCAACACACCTCCCCGTTCATAATGGAGGCGGATCAATTTCAGAGAGCGCCACTCCCTCAATTGTTCCGGCCCGGTTCGATGCATCCACCGGACAAGCCAAGATATTTCAACTCTCCGTCTCCTGTACCTGCCAGACGGATGTCAATGACAGATGCCGGCCGGAAGCCAATGATGCCGACACCACCAGCGCCCGCTGCAGCTTTGGATCTGGCCAGTGCTTTTCAACACCTCCCTTTCCAGCGGCTCAAGTTCGTGTCCAATGACGGGCAACCTCACGCAAAGAGGCGTAGGATAGCAGCTGCGTATGTGTTAACTCCTTATATGATTGGTGATACCAAAGGGGCTCCATACCTAACGTGAAAAGGGACAGTTGTCGAACATGCCGTAAACGGAAGACGCGATGTAGCGGCGAGAAGCCAGCATGCGAAACTTGTAAGCAGAACCGCCAGGAGTGCCTAGGTTACACCGAATCAACCCCGAAAGGCAAAAGCCCCCCACGCCACCATCATCAGGGCCAAATTCGAGATGTCGAGATCAGAGGTGGCGGAGGAGGCGACATGGAAAATATATCTTCTATTCACATAAAGCACGCCCAAGAAGACATCCCATCGCGCTCCCCAACCCCAAGGAGCCATCAACGTCATGCCTCGCAGCCAACGTTCCTGCCCAGCCATGTGTCGATAAAGCCCGAGGAATCCCCAGCATCCTCTCCTAGGTTGCACAGTCCCGAGTATATCATCAAAGAGAGCAATGCGGAGGATTCGGAGCGATCTGAGCATCGTTCAGACACGATTCGGGACTTTGGATTGCCGGATGATGATGATGATGGTGTTCGGCAAGAAGTGACGAGTAAGCCCCAACCTATATACCGCTGAGCAGCAGCACCCAAGCTAAACGCGCAAACAAGCCCCATTCCTGGAGACAACATCACAGCAGCGAGGCAATAGGATCCCCTACTTTCGATACTTCGGGCCGACAGCGATTGTTCCGGGCTTCAAGCAGATGGTTGTCGAGGTCAGGCAACCGAAGCCTGTGTACTCACAGTCGGTCAGCTCCGCTTCGACCGTCGGCTCGCCACCCTCGAGCTATGACTGCGCCACTCCGATCATGCTGTCGCCATCGAATCGGGACTCCGAGGACGGTGTCCCGTTTTACGAGCCCAGCGAGGCCGGACCGGTCGATCCGCTCATATTCATCCTTGTCGACGAGTTTTTCATTCACGTTGGCGCCAATTTCCCGTTTCTCCGTCGAGATGTCTTCACACGTGACGTAGAGGACAAGAAAGTTGACGCTTTACTGGTTGACGCTGTTTGCGCAGTATCGGCACGGTTTTCGTCGCACCCGCTGTTCAGGCGCCACCCTCCAAGCGCGGCAGGCAAACATTTCTCTAACCGCGCCAAATCATCCGTGGTCGAAACGTTCTCGTGTCCGAGCCTGCAGGCGGTCCAGGCTTGCCTCTTGTTGGCCTATGCCGAATTTGGAAGCAACCGAGACAGTGGTTTGTGGATGTTCTTGGGATGTGCGATCAGGATGGCTCAGGACCTCGGCCTTCATAAACTGGATGGAATACACGACGATGGTACGAGGATCATCGCCGAAAGCAACGCAGGCTGGAGCAGAAGCCTTTCACCGACGAACAGAGCGAAGACGCGGATCGACGGCTCGGAAGCCGGAACTTTCCAGGAATTTGAGGGAGCCGACGACAAGGAGAGGACTGATACCTTTTGGGCGGTTTACTTTCTTGATCGAGTCGCCTCTTCGGGAACCGGAAGGCCTGTTACCCTCAAAGATGCCGAAATTGAGATCCATATGCCACCGGTAAACGAACCTCAGAGTGATGATGAGTACCCTCATCCGTTCCGCGGCTTGATCCATATTATATATCTATACGGTATAGCCACGGACAAGCTCAACAACATCAACACCAGCGGTGACCCCAACCAAACCATCGAAGGGCTCAAGGGGCTCTCCGAAATGGCTGAAGTCTTATACCGTCAACTTCCCGGCGAACTTCAATTCAGTGTCGCCAACTTCCAGCACTATGTGAAGATCAATCAGTCTGCGGTATTTCTGTTGCTTCACTTTTGGTTCCACGCACTCATCGTGCTCCTCCATCGTCCCAACGTCCTTCAAGGAGTCGACGGGGAACCTCAACAGCTTTTCCCGGAATCGAACGAGCTGTCAACGTCCTCGGCCAAGACGATCGTCGACATCTATGCTTTCGCCGAAGCGGTGGACGCGGATATGAGGTCGGTGACAGGCAATCCGTTCAACAGCCAACCGATATATATCGCAGCGTGCGCGTTCCTGCAGGAGTCTGCCACGCACGGGCTCATCTCCAGGACCCTGTCGACTCCGATGGATCAGGATTTAGGCCAATCACTAGTCTCCGCCGGCAGCGCTGTCACCAATGCGGCTAATCTAGCTTCGTCAAAGCCACGAAGGAACTCTTCCAGCCACTCGCTTCTCGCCATCGCATCCCACGAGCATTATCAGCGTTGCTACAAGGCACTCAAGGATATCGAGCCGTATTGGCAGGGGGTCAAGTATATTCTGGCAGTAATGGACCAGAAGGCCAAAGGCGTCGTCGATCCGCTGCTTTATATCCCGGACGAGGAAATTGAGAGCGTTGAAGTGCATCAATGGGGACGTAAAGTCTGGAGTCTTCTTAAGCGGCGGGAAAAAGTAGTCGAACCTATTGGCGAGGGTATTGGAGTGCCAGAGATGCTTGCCCGTGGAAACTCGGAATTCCCTGACGAAGGTGAGTCTTGGATCCCCCCCTCATTCACTATCATACCAGCCGCCACTAACAGCCATCGAAGCAATCGGACTATCCATGACCGGCTTCACAGACTCGGTGAACTCGACCTACAACGTCCACTACCAGCAGCACCCGGAGCGTCCGCAAGCAGCATTTCCCTCGTCGCCGGCTCCCACGAATGCAGGCCACCACCAGCAGCAACAGCAGCAGCAGATGGGGCACTCACCACACTCGACACCCTGTTCCTACGCGAACACGCACACGCCGCTCACCACGGCCGCTGCAGTAAACCCGGGGGTACCGATGAGCACCGGCGGCGGCGGCGCATATCTGCAAAGCGGTGGTGGTGGCGGCGGGTTCGACCAGCGAGCACTGGCCGTAATCTTCGATGCCGGCGGGTCCTCGCTCGAAACGGGCGTCGTCGATCTGGGAATACTAAGCGCCGAAATGGGAATTCCAGACTGGTACACGCTCGAGTACATGCCGCATCCGGTTGAGGGCGGAGGAGGAGGAGGCGGCGGCGGCATGGGCTTCGAGCAGAGGAAGTCGGATGGCCGCGTGTGTCAGTGGTGAGGTGGGGGGATTTTCGATTGGAGGGCGGATGAAGGAGGGCGGAGGGTGCAGGGCGGAGGCAGTGGGACGTTCATTCTTCTCTTTTTGTGGCAGTGGGAGGTTTTTTTTTCTTCTTCATGGGAAGGGCTTGGGTGGGCGTACGGGTTCTGCTTTTTTTTCTTTCTTTTTGGGTTTACTTACACTCCATTACTTTCTTTTTTTCTGCATTGAGGGAGGGGGGGGGCGATTTAATATTCATACCGATGTATCTAATGGCTGTGGATGGTTGGAGAGGGGGGAGAATTGGAATTGGATTACTGCTTTTTTATTGCTTCCGAATGCCGTTTGCTACATTCTTCATACCAGCACAGCACGATCTTCTAGCGGTTCTTGAAGGCTATATCGCCATCAGATATCGCCTACAAAGGTCATATTTCCCAGGGAAAAATTACTGGATATCAAATGTGGTATGTTATTAAACGAAAGAAAAAGCAACTACAAATAATAGATAACCCACCCAACCAGACCCCGTCACAACTCCCGCAGTTTCATGTGTAGACAGGCCAAAAAGACAAAATAGGTACATGAAAACATAACGCGCCTCAGGCTCAGTTGGCCCATGTCGATATATAGTAGGCAGTGTGGTGTCATTCCGCCTCCTCTCGCCAAGATTATAGAAAATTAGGTATCGTATCGTCGTGCCGCTCAAAAGATTATCCGCAAATGAAAAACACCCCGTCTGTTCAAACTTCAATCTTCAAACGTCAAACAACTGCCGCTTCACCGTGCATCACTCCGGACCTCGGTGCCGTCCCGGGTGCATAACCAGCGTGATGGGGATGTGTCCGCCCAGCATCGTTCAGTGTGATGTCATTAACACCGTGGCCGTGACGTCCATGCTGTCCCGCCGTGGTGGGTGCAGATCCGTTGAGTGACGAGCCGTGATTGTGGGTGTTGTGGCGGCCATTCCCGACACTTCCGAAGCCTTCACGGTTTCCCGAAGCGAACCCGCTCACAAACATGGAGCTCGAGTCACCAGGCGCGCCCATCACGTTTCCGCCCGCGACGCCCCAGCCGGCGCGGCGCGTGGCACACCCGCCGCACCAGTCGCGCATCTCGTCGCCAGTGTAGCCCATTCCCAGCACCTCCTCGTGGCCGCGGTTCGCACCGCGCTTCAGCGGAACGTGGTTCCAGCGGAAATCCCAGACGCTGGCGAAACACATCCGGTAGGAGAGGATGGCCATGAAGATGCCGATCAGTGAGCCCGCGAGGATGTCGTACCAGTTGTGCGACATGTCCAGTGTCAGCGAGCCGACTATCAGAGTTGCGGCGATGAGGGGCGTGACGAAGACTAGGAGCTTCCAGTAGCTCGGGTGGTAGTTGGAGAAGATCTTGAGGTGCGCGTTGAGGTAGAGGGACAGGTAGAATAGGCCCGCCCAGGCGGCGACACTGTGCCCCGACGGGAAGGATTGTAGCGCGTTCGCGATCTCGTCCTGGCGCTTCTTGTCGGCATGGTCGCGGCAGATTTCAGTGGTGAAGTACATTCTTCTGTAACCCTCGCCGACAGTGTTGGGTCCAATCTGTGGGTCGCAGACGGTCAGGAAGTGGGGTCGCATTCCCGGGACAACGAGCTTGACGATGATTTGGATCGTGGCACCGGTCATGACGGAGTAGATGACTCCCATACAGCCGTTGTTGACATTCCAGAATGAGCCGCGCTGGAGGAAGAAGCTTCCGCGAAGGCGGGTCTTGGGGACACGCGCTCCTGGGGGGTAGTAGGTGCCGATGCCGAACAGGTTGATGATCACGATCGTGAGGATGGGAGTGAAAACAGCGATCATGGCATCGGCGATGATGGGAACGTACTGGCGCCGCTTGGGGTGGGCATAGTCCACGTTGACGACGGGACTGCTCGCCGATGTGGGATCAGAGGAAATCGCGAAGTATTTCTTGTATGGAACCGGAGACCACATTAGGAGCCAGAGAGCAATGGCACCGAGGAAGATAAACCTTTTTTCCACCCATAAAGTCAGACATGGCTAGTAGAGTGTGACACAGTGGAGGGAGACAAACGCAAGAAGGTCGTGCCAGTAGAGCTTAAACCAGCCCTTGAACCCAGGAGCCGGTCCATAAGGGTCGGCCCAGCCGTCTGAAGCCTGTGCTTCCAGATCACGGTGGGATGATCGTTTCTCACGGAGAGCATTGGGATCATTGGTGCTTGCCCGAGGTGTTACTGCCGAGGAGGGCTCTGTATCATTTGTAGGATGCCGCGTAACCGTTTCGTTACGGTTGGGGCGGAAGCGGTCAAACATAGCTGGCAGTGGAAATTTGAAGAGTATGGGCGGGCGGGTGGGACACTGGAGGAGAATGTTTGACGACAAAGAAGCTCGTAACAATGGGCGCACGAGCCGTGCTACTTGTAGGACGGAGGGCCGGCTGAGGTGGAAGCCGGTTTTGTGGAGTGATGTAACGCAGGTATGACATCACTGACCAGGTTTAAGCTTTTTTTCGCGAGGTTGGCAAAAAAAGAGCCGCACTTTAATGACGGGGTGCGAGATATGGTCGGGGACGCCTATAACCGATGGAAAAACACCCCCAACTTTGACACCTATCTCCTCTACCAAGAAGATTTTTAAACAAAAACTCTCTATCAATCTATAGAGAATCGTATGGCCGTAATTTAAATAACGTCCGATTAATTTTAAGACGCGTGGTTGTGGAGGAGAAGAATTTATAAAATAAATCATTTTGTATGGAGGCCAACCCAATGTCCCTCCCCTGTCATCACCCGATATACCCATGTTTGCACTCAATTTGCCCATTCTGGGCCCATTCTGGGCCCATGGACAGCCAATCAGGTAGTCAAGAACCATTTTAGGCTCATATTTGGTCTGAATAGGCCTGAAATGGAATTAAAAAGCCTATTTTTGCGAAAACAAATCTCAGAAATCGCTATTTATTACCAGATATCAGCCGAAAATGGAACTAAAATGCCTATTTTTGCCAAGAAAAATTCAAAAATCGCTATTTATTACCCGTTTTGTAATTAATTCGATTTTTCCACGAATGTCCCACCCTATCGGCTCTAGGAGTCCCCAACTACAGAGTATTTGCCAACCTTGCTAGCTGGGCACCTCCCCACGATTCATCAACTGGTACATAGATCCAGGAACCATCATCCGTCTGACCACGTGGGTGAGGGAGACCGCAGAGATGCATCAGTTATCACTCGGTGACGACGCCTGCGATCATGATCAACCTCCAGATACTCAAGCACTAGAGTGCTCAAATGGCGCTCTGCTGCTAGTAATCCGATAGCATTGAGGAGCTCCACCCACTAGAAAGGCTAAGCTAAAAGATTTTCGAAGAGTAGTTCACATGCAGACATCGTTTTTGACAGACACGCCGATGTTATGTAAGTGTTCTGGGCTATTTATTACGCTTGAATGATTACCCAAACACCATTCAACCGATTACGGGCGCGCAGATCAAGGTATCTGATAGTGTCCAGATTACACCGTCATGAAAACTCACCCGCACACACCGAGGCAACTTGGCGCTAACGTCCCCCCCAGCCGCACAACCTTCTCCATTCATCTTCCTACTCTAGTCGGGCGCCGCAAATGGCATCTGAGCCGAATGCGACCCGCTCTATGCAGCTGCCTAAGTGGCTGACGTTCATAGTCGGTCACTGGATGTGGATCACTACTCCATCCGTACATATCACGGTTCTATGCAAACGTTCCCCGCGCCATTCGGCTAGCCAGCTTTCGATCCCACGGAAAATGATATACCTCATTTGAGCCCGCGGCCATTCATGCTGCGCTATTCCGATGCATTTGGTTCCACGCACATCGGCAAAAAAGGAAATATGGGAACGATCGGCCGCCCAATTCGTCTGGCGATGGAGAAGCCCAAATCGGAGACATCCCACAAATATCGCAGGCTCGTCGATGCTATCATATTACTACTCCGGCAAATCATTCATGCAGAGTTTCGCACTGAAGCGACGATGGTCTACCGACGATGCCAGCGGAAAATCTAAGCGCAGACAGACTCCGGCGCTGCCGCGTTTGTGAGGCACCACCTCCAACTCTCACCGTCGTCGATCCCCACCTAGGCGATGGCCCGAAACGCCTCAGCAAGTCGCAAACGTCAAGTCCATTGAACCGTCCCTCGACACCCTGAATGATAAACATTCAGCATCTCGTTCCTGGACGATAGTTTTACGTACACAATTCAACTACACAACCCCGCCGGGACGAATCGGTGAGCCGATTACTTTATCCACCTCACCCCCAGCGAGGCTTCGATACCGATGCACATTCCGGTACAAGCGATTTGTACTACCTTACCTTCTAGGCAAATCCTCCTACTTACCTTCCTCCCGTGTAATGCGCGTCTGAGGCGGGGGGGGGGGGGGGGGGGAAGGGGGGGTACCGGAGCAAGTCGACGTGACACCCACAAGAGAGGACGTTACTCGGCGTCTATACTGCAATTTCTAGGCGTAGACAGGTAGGGCAGACGCAGTATTAACCGTCTGCCGACCATAGCGCCACAAAACGGCGCTTGCCACCGACCGAGCACCTCCCTCGACTGGGGGGGGGGAAATCATTTTATTGACGTATCTGTAGACCTAAGTAGATCACGACGTCCGAGCCAATGAGAGCCACCGCCGCGAGACTAGCTAATCGGCGTCTCTCGCCTGCCCGCGAGAGAGAAGTACATCCCTCGACTGGGGTCTCTGACTACGCTCGCTGTCAAAGATCGGCAAATCGGCGGCAGCTTCAGCGCAGCTGCGGACCTGCGGTTAGTTAACTACTGGTGGCGCTTGCACTTAGAAGTTAGCACGTCTACGTATGGTACGTAGACGGCCAGGCGGACGGATGCCTAGCTCAAGCCACCCACATACCACCACTTCTGCCTTCCCCCACCACCCGCCCCCCCACCCACCCCCCGGTACACTAGGTCACGTTCGTACAAGAATTTTCGGTGCTTGTCGAAACCTACCCCAATGGGCCTTGCATTGATCGCTTCTGGCGGACTCGAAGCACCTATGTACCTACCGGCCTGTGTCCCAAGGTCATAGGTAGTCAAGGATGCTCACCGACTGATCTCACCGGCTGCAAGTATGTAACGGACATGAATATAGCATCTTTATCATGAATCATGATTACCTGCGGCATTGCGTCTTACAAAGAACGTATGTAACTAACGCACTGATAGTCCCATGGGCTCGGTTTTTTTTTTGAAGAATGCAAATACATTGTACCCATGACAACAAAAATTTCACAGCTCTTTTGCAGACGGTGCTGTGGTGCATTGATTGTTGTGCTCCGTCTAGCGGGGTGCAGTGGGTGTCTTTTCGGCCGCATCCACCTCGCATCCGTATCCGTCGTGCAGAAACTAACTACTGCGGAATTGACTTCCGTCTCGCGGATCATATCAGTTGGCTTCGACGAGGCTTCGAGGCTTCGAGGTTTTCGGGGGTCCATAGACCTTGGACGGATACCATTTCTGCCTGCCTGCCTGGCCTGGCACTCCAACTCCTGGACGCACACCACAATGTGTCGGAGACCCGGAGACGATTGATGGCCGCCAGGATCCGGCGTTCAGGCGAAAATTGCGGGGTATTATGGACTATAGTTAGAACAGTCCAGCCGCATCGATACGAAGGGAACTGCTCGTTGTGTGTGTATGTAACGTTCTGTCTGTCCCGCGTGGAGGGCTGTTGGGATGGCGGATCAACAGCCAGCTTCTCAGCCTCACTCACTCACTCACTAACTCACTCACTCACTAACTAACTCACTAACTCTCCGGAGCACATATGTAATACATTACATTACGCAGGCGAAACCCGCCGTTGTCCCTGAGTCATGTCATGGGTTCCAGTTCTGGTTGATCCCGTGCACCGGTGCAAGTCAAGAGTAGGAGAACACGGTCATGAGGGATTTTAACCGCCGAACACACAGTTTTTGGAATCGAAAGCCCCGCCTCCTCCCCAGCCGCTGCCGCAACGGCTTACAGGAACTTCGATTTTTCGCTGTATATATGTAGAGTACCCAGCGCGGGGAGGTGGGGTTGCGTGCTGGCGATACCTACGCGGCAAATGGAGTGGGTATTCGCAGGGTCGGTTCGGGGCGATTCGAGGGGCGGCCAGGAAGTAGCCTGAACGGCCAACCCGACCTTTGGCATGGACATTTGACTAACGAGCAGCCGCAGGCCCGCAGTATGTACGGCCATGCATTGCATACAGCGTCTCCGTCCGCTCTACTCAACCAACTAACTGCCGTACTACTTACTACACCGCGTCAGGCCCGGTCTTATCTCGACTAGAGACATAGAGTAGTAACTAGAGTATGTAGAGTACCGTAGCGGTTACAGGGCGCAAAGATGTTCTCAATTTTCGGCTCGGCTCTAGGCAGCTATGGATGTACCATGGCTTCATTGCTGTGGGGGTTGGAGAGGTTGGAGCCTCATCATTCCATCAGCCTGCCATCCCCTGTTGCACGGGGGCGGGGGAGAGCTCGCTTACCAGCAACCCAGCCCGCAGCTTACTTATCTAACTACTATGTAGAGCATCTATCTACGGTAGGTATCGGTTGGGTTGCATACATAAATACACTACATAGGGCTGAAGGCTGAAGACTGGGACGGTGGGTCAACCCGCCGGGTCACATCACATCACATCGAACATGTATGCATGTAGGTAGCTTGGGCCTAACATGTATGCCCTCCTGCCCCCCGGTGCATATTCCTACCGAGCCGAGTCGACATATGTAATTCAGCAATCAGCATTGCATCAATCTTCAATCATCGACCACTCGACCACGGTAGGTAGTATGTAGCGTCACACACACGCCGCTGCTGCACTGTAGTGCACCCCGCTTTTGAAAAGTAGCCCAGCCTTCACGCCTCGTCTGGTATGTAGAGTAGTATCCTGTAGGTAGTAGGATGAATGTAGTTTGGGATAGCAGTCACCCGCTGCTAGTCAGAAGATAGATCTCGCTCGTCGCACTTCCAATTCCAACGGTGGTGACGATGAAACGGGATGAAGAAGGGGAGGGGTGCGTCTCTAGTACTACTACTGGCTAGCACAAGCCGAGCGAGTAGCGGGACTCGGGAAAGATGCGGGCTTGAGTCGAGACACATGGTCCACAGCGCATGTCCATCACGCAGCCATTCATGATTCATGGGGGGAAGGGGAACTATAAACAGTGCCGGTGGGCACAGAGATCGAAGATCCTCATGTAGGTATGTATCATAGAGTGTTTAGCTTCGAAACATCATGATCTCCCGGGCGAACTATGTAATTAATGAGAACCCCATTGCAATTTATACTAGTTGCCTATTAGTCCTGACGCTGCCAACCCATCCCCCCGCTTGATGCGACGATAAACACTAACACCAACGACCGATGGCTGTGTGGATGAATGGATGGGCTGTGTGCACTGCGGAGTGGATTGGATGGGTATTTTGTGTGGACGTCTCATAGTTGAGGTAAGCTGTCGGCCTATCCGCCGACAAACGCACCAACTCGTCCAGACGAGCAAGCGGCAGACGGTAAAACACGTTGGCCTGCTTGCTTCGGAGGGGGGGGAGTGCTGGCCCATCTATCGGTCGCTCTCTCTCTCTCTCTTGACGTCAAGTCAAGTCGAGGATGCGGGGGGTTTTCGAGGATTGGCCGAATTGAGTGTCGGTCATCCCAATATTTGCTGTCCCCCGTATCAACCATCTCGGCGGATTGCCGTTCTCATTGATGACCGCCGGTCGTCGTTGTTGGCAGCAGCAGCAGCGACGTAACGTATGTACAGCTCGTGTAAGACAGCACCGTCCTGCGTGATTCCTCCCCGCTGTTCGGATGAGATGCTGTGTCGCACCGTTGAGAGGGGGGCCCGTTTTGCAGTGAGTGAGAGGAATGCTTCGAAGCCGGCCGCCTTTATCGTCGTCGCGCTTAGCTCGGCGGTACGATATTCGATCGTTTTTGCAAACGACCGTATCAGGAGCCACTTGTCACGACGTTCTTTGTCCCACTTGGCTGATCGCCGGCGGCGACGGCGGCGACAGCGGCGTGGAACCGGGAACCCCGAGAGAGAGAGAGGGGGAGAGAGAGCCATATCCTCGGATCGAGTTGACCGATTCCGCCGTTCTGAGCAAGTTCAGCTTTCGGACTCAAGTCTGCAATCGGTGGTCGGGAATTCGCCACATGAACGCCTCCTTTCAGCTCGCGTCGTTTCGTGCGTACACGAGCGAATGCCTCACGGACTAGGTACGCGAACATGTGCGGTGGTCAGCCGCCCAGCGTTAACGGCCCGACTAACTAGTGGTGGGTAGCAGAAAGGAAGGACCAGCAAGGGTCGCCCATCGTTCGGACGCGGCAAAGAAGCTCTCTAGTCACTAGTTAGCTGAACAGTTGAATTCTCGGAAATCAGCAGGCTCGTTGGAGGCCGATGCGATCGTGGCGGCGGTGAGAATTTTTGACGCAAAGTGACGATTCACCCACGAAGCTGTTGCGTGTGGGGTAAGCGGTGCGTTTTCGTCGCTGCTGCTGCAAGCCAGATAGATGGCAGCCAGCGGGGGCGGATGACTGACTGGTTGTCACTTTCAGGCTTCCATCCATCCTCCATACGGGGTCGGCTCAATCACCAGCTCTCCATTATGTCTTGCATGGAAGTCAATGCGAATCCAACACCCGCAGAGGCCGGCCCGATTTCCTAGTACATACGTGCACGTCCGACGGACTTCGACCTTTGTTTCTCGGCGTGAGCTTCGACAGCCAACAGCTAACAGCCAACAACCAACAGCAAAATTCTTCATCTGACTTACTTTGTTTCGCGGTGTGAGCGTCGATAGCCAACATTCAACAGCCAAATTTGTTCGACTCCGTTTCTCGGTGTGAGCTTCGACAGCCAGTACCCGCACCGGTAGTATTCGATGCGGGGCCGTGATTGGCTACGAGCCAAAATCCGCAACTGTGCACGTCACTAATTGTTCTCGCCTATCGACTCTATAGGAAAGACGCCGGGCCAGGCTGTGACGCCCAGCATAGCGTCGTGCAGTTACAGCATCTTAGCTCTGAATGTTTTTCCTCCCACCGAAGAGGACCTACGTTCACACTCGTCTGAGAAAAGTGCATTGGTCCCCTAGGGGCACTTCACAGGACACTCCCCCCCTCCCCCAAGCCTCCCCTAATAATATTTATCCCGAGGCAGCATAAATATCATCATCTCCGCACACCTCCCTCCCGTGGCCCCCCCTCACCCTGCTTACTTCTACAAAGAGCTGCTTTCCACAGCCCCAATTCTTCCTCCTTCCGTCTCTCACCCTCTCACCACCACCCCCTCCGCCCTCATCCTCCCCCCAAAGCTTCTCACATGCCAATTGCTCTCCCGCCGTTTCCAATCCATTCTGTTTCCGCAGCCACGAATTGACTGCTGGATCCCATTCCGGAGCTTCGAAATCAAACGGCTTCCGGCTTTCTGCTTGCATCGAACGAGCCAACTTCCGAGCAAGGGAAAGAAAGAAAAAACACCTCGATCGGAAACATCCCCCCCCCCCCAAACGTCGACATAGTGGGCTCTCGGATCGTCGGAGTGAAGATTATGGAGAACTTTTCGTCGGCCCTCCCCCGAATAGGTACTTTGGGATCAACCCCTGGCCTTCACGGACCGGCCCCGTCTCCCAGTGGGAGCTTCGACATGGGTGGGTTCCCGGGTTTTGATATTGTCCAAAGATTGCTCTTGAGGTTCGGATTGGATCCTAGCCTGTTGGGTATGTTTTTATCCTCCTCCTCGTCCTCGTCCTCCACTCCCTCCCCCTCCTGTTATGGGGGTAGCAGCGGATCGTCACTTGGCTCCATGCGCATTTTCCGCTGCTGCCAGTGGTAGTGCTGAATGTGGAAGCAATATGGCTGTGTATGTACTAACGGATGTCATGCAATTTGGAAAACAAAAGTCACATTGGGCATGTCACTTACACTCTTGACATCGCTGCTGTCGTTCTTTACATACTCATTCGGCTCGCTTACCACCATAACACGATTCATGTCGGCAAATCTGGTGTCCTCGGCGACTATCCATTCCTCCGATGTCACGTACCTCTACATAATGAGATGGCTGGCCACGCACAAAATCTCGACCGATTGCCGGCTGTTCTGCGTGACCTCTCGCAAGAACCCCCAGAGCTACGCCGTAAGACGGTACAGCTCCTACGCTCCCTATGGAGATGGCAACAGGGCGTGTCAGGAGGACGACGAGGATGGAGACGACGACGGGGGCTGTGAAGATGATTCCCTGGGGCCCAAGCTAAAATACACCCCAGCTCCCGGTAAGCCTTTCCGTTCCGCACCCCTCCCTCCCCCCTCCTCCCCCCCTTCTCATTCGTCGTGGTGGTTTTTTCTCTCTGCTCTTGTCCCGATCGGGTCACATTGGAGGGTTTTCGGTTGTTTTTCCCAAGCCCTTGTTTTCGCTGTCAGCCCTGCAGCCCGAGACTGCCTAGATACCACACTTCGGAAGTCAATCATGCGTTGTGCCGTCTGTGTATGTGGGGGATCAGAACCGATGTTGCTTTTTCCTGCATCTGGTTTTCTTTATTTATTTTTCTCTTTCCTTTTCCTTTGTTCTGCGGAGCTCTTAATCTATCCGGGACCGTTCTGCACGCTTTCCTCCAGCCCTCCGCTTTCTCTCACCCCTTCCTGCACCCGGACTCATCTCCAGGGAAGATGAGTCGTCCGTCCCATATCGAAAAGAAGGGATTGTTGCTATGGTGTGATTTGTGTAAGGCGCTGGAGCAAGCATTAACGTTCTTTTCCAGGCTTTCTCTATTTTTGGCACGGGGGACGACCGATAATTATCAACAGAAAATTAGATTTATCGTACTACACCGGCGACATACCGGATGAGACGATTGTGAGGGCCGTTGGCAGCCTAAAAAATGTTCGCAGAAGCTAACCCGCTGCGTTTTTTCAGATCCTCACGACAATAGGTCGGTCGCCGTCTTTTCTGCGAGATATCCTCAATGAGGCCAGACGGGATTATCTCCAGGCCCAGTCCCGCAAGACGATGGTGTACACGCTCTCGCCAACACCCTTCGCTCAGAAGACCTGGGACCAAGGTCGACACCGCCCTTCGCGCGACATCTCGACAGTCATCATGCCTCCGGAGCAAAAGGAATTTCTCCTGCAAGACGTGAAGGAATACTTGAATCCGCATACGATGAGGTGGTACGCTCAGCGTGGACTGCCATACCGCCGTGGATATTTGTTTTACGGGCCACCCGGAACGGGAAAGACCAGCCTGAGCCTCGCCCTTGCTGGGGAATTGAAACTGCCGTTGTATATCCTTAGTCTTTCGACTGGATCACTGACCGATGAAACCCTCACGATGCTGTTTGTTGGATTGCCGAGGAAGTGTATCGTTTTGCTGGAGGACATCGACTGCGCTGGGGTCCACCGCAGTGGTGGCCATACGAATGACTATGAGTCTGATTCTTCCGATGACGACGATGACGATGAGGATAGCGAGTCGGATGGAGACAGTACAGGAAAGACCGCGAGCAAATCGACCACAAAAGGCAGCGGGGGAGGGGGAGGAGGTTCGGGAGACAAAAAGTCGACATCAAAGAGCAGTAGCAACAACAACAGTTCCAAAAACTCGGGACCGGGCCAGACCCGTCGGCCTCGTATATCGGTCAGCTTTTCGGGATTGCTCAACGCGATTGATGGAGTTGCAAGCCACGAAGGACGTATACTCATAATGACCACTAATCACCGCGAACGTTTGGACTCTGCACTCATTCGCCCTGGCAGGGTCGATATCCAGGTCGAGTTTGGATACGCGGCGAAGGAAACCCTTTCCGAGATCTTCCGCGAGCTCTACAAGGAGATTGGCGGGCGAAGCAGTATTAGCCTTGCTAGTGGTGGCAAGCTCTTCGACAAGAAGGAGAAACAGAGGCCGGAATCTGCGGAGAAGGAGCGGGTACGCCAGCTAGCAGACACATTTTCCGAGCGGATTCCAGCCAACAGGTTCACACCGGCAGAGATACAGGGTTATCTGATGTCTTACAAGGGACAACCCGAGAAGGCCATGGATAATATCGACGACTGGGTTCTGGAAAAGACCAAAGTGGAGAGGGAAAAGAAGGCAAAGGCCGAGAGAAGGAAGAGGAAGGAGCAGAAGATTACGGCCGCCGAACTCGACAAGGAAGCTGCAACCCAATTCAACACGAACGGCTTCACCGGCGGTGGCGCTAAACCGCCCCCCGATGCTACCTCGCCTGCTCAGGACGCGTTGACTCACAGTCTCGCAACCATCGCCAGCAGTGAAAACCTACAGCCAATCTTGCAAGCCCTACTTCAACTGGTTGCGCAGAGCCCTGTGCAGAACTCTACGAACAACCCAACGGTTCCCCCGGCCAGTACGACTACGCCTTTGCACGGTGGACGCACTAACGAAGTGGCAACCAGTCGCAGCTCCACTAATGCGGTGGACGATTACACAGACGACCACACATACAAACCTACATCCAACCTATCGAAGGATGAAGAGTGGGAGAGGATCTCCAACGGCACCAATGGGGTTGACAAGAAGACGGACGCGAAAATGACCAACGGTGTGCATAAAACCAACGGGGTCAGCAAAACCAATGGTGTCGGCAATCGCGATCTGTACGTTCGAGCGGGTTGAGGATTTCAGCGTGCGTCACGGGACGTTGCATTTGCACAGCGATAAAGGATGCGGCGACAACAACAAATTGTGCATGTGGTGGTACGGAATTTTCTTTCGGGCGGATGCGTACGGGAGGCGTTATTTTTTTGTGGCTATAGTGAGTTCGGGGAAAAGGGAGGGAGGGAGGGAGTTGAGTTTGATGTGTTGGCGGAAGGTTGTGCTCTGGAAGTCGACTTCGTTTGGGGGAGGAAGGAAGCGGTAGGGCGGGTGGGCGGCTGCAAGGCTTCCAGGTTCAAGCATCATACATGGAGGCGGGTCCGTTTGCCTGTCTGCGCCGTGCGCCGTGCGGGGAGCATCTATTGTTCTATTGTACCGCCATACATTTGTCCGCGAGGAATGGGGTTGCATGTGGCGGTGGTGATGACGGTGGTGGCGATAATCTTTCCATGTACATAAATATTTCGTACTCAAGTAAGCGCACAACCGCTGCGGCCTATTCTCTTCTTTTGGGGCTGTTTTCTTGCTTTTTTTCTTGTTACTCGTAGGTATTTCATTTTTTTACTGTTATTTCTTTCTTCAGTTTTTTACGATACGATTGGAGTTGTCTGCCATTGAAACATTCTCTCTCTCTCTCTCTTTTGCCATTCGATTCGCTTCCAGAATCCTGCGTTTACATACAGGAAGTCGCCGAAAGTGTTAGTTTATGTTATGCCCTTTTGCCTTATTTGCCTTATTTTTGTGGAGAGGCGCAATCCTGATCCGTGACGGGGTTTCTTGTCTACGAGTAGAGTACAGGTACTCTAGGTACGTTAGAGTAGACTATTGATCATTCGTTCATTGGATAGTTGGAACGGTCACGGCACGGGTTCTGGGTTCTAGGGTATGTATATTGTATTCGAGTATTTTGTTTTTATCTTTATGTTGGAGGGGGTGTGTCCAGTTCTACATACAGGAGACTGAACATGTAGAACATATGCCTCCCACCACCACCACCACCACCACCACCGAACGAAGTACCGTTTGTTTGTAGTGCGGCTAGAAGAAGAAGACTTTGGGCACTTTTGCGGGTTTTGCGGGCTTCAGAAGCACTGCTACATATGCTAACTATGCTATGCAATGCTAGATGTGCAATGCAATGCAAAGTGGAAAGCTGCTGGCGTACGAAGTAGGTAGCTAGGCGTGTTTGTTGCTCATGTGCTTGTACTTGTTGCCGTGATGTCATATGTACTGTCCGTGGCCGTGTCTGTATCTGTATCTTTGTCCGTGTCTGTATCTGTTGCCCGCGATTGTGCCCGCGAGCCCGCATGCCCGCCGTGTCAGTGCCCGTGTTAGTTCCCGTTTCGGTGTTTGTGTCTGTGTCCGTGTCAGTGCCAGTTCCAATTCCAGTGCTAGTGCTGTGTGCGTATTCCCGTGTTCGTGAGCTCCTAGGACGGCCAACCAGGAGATAGGAAGGGTAGGTATCGATAGTGTTCGATAGCTGTTGCCTGTGTTCGCTGGCTGCTGCCTGTGTGATGGAGGGGGGTGCGCCGAGTCATGTCCCACAGTGCACACCACAAGATTGGATCGGTTTTCGCCCGTTCCGGAGGCATCCCCTCCCATCCCCCACGAGCCGCAAGCTGCCGAAACCCGCGCTGCTGTTGGATAGACGAACGGGGGAGAAACACAACGATTTGGCATCAGATGCTCGCACATACCATCCCAGCCCCCGCCCCCCCGCCCTCCCATATCATCAATTCATCACCATCACTACCACCACCACCTCGAACCTCGAACATGCCGGACCCCGCCCCGATCCTGATAGAGCTTTCTGCCTTCCTGTCTGGATTGTGCTTCTTCTTGCTGTCTTGCTGTGGTGGTCTGGAGCGGACTACAGGCAGTCGGCGTGTTGCTTTCAGAATTCAGACCTTGGTCGTGCCCACTGCTCAGGCAGCTGCGCTGGCCAGGCATGAACTCTGGAGCGCGAGGGTAGATCAGCAGGTTACCTGGTTTACTCGCAGTGTGGGATGCAGCATTTGGGCTGGTGAGGGGGGGGGGGGGGTGAGGGGGGTGAGGATTTGTAGATTGATGGACAAAGTGATAGGGAGTGAGGGGGGGAGGGTGGGGTTCCACATAGCTTTGGAAGCTGAAGGTTTCGGTGGAAACTCTTTTCTCATTCCATCCACCCTCCTCCCCCCCCCCTCCTCCTCCCCCTCCTCCTCTTTTCCTTCAGCTATCCAGGTCTCATGGCCATCATCAAGATTTACGGCGAGAAGGTGCAGAGCTTTGGTCTGGCCCAGACTGGCTCAGCACACACACACCACTCCCCCCTCCTCCTCCCCCCGCCACACACACACACACACACTCGCTACTTCTTTCCCTCGGACACTGTCCGTCTCATCTCCCCCAGCTGGTTCGTGTAGCTGGCAGCGATCAATCGGCCACGAGAAGAAGCGACCCCGCAGAGGAGTGGGGGTTGCAGATTTATCTGTGCGGCACGTGCCGGCACGAACCCCACCACGAGCGGTCCTCCTGTCCAGAACGGTTGAGATATTGTCTTGTGCTCATTTCTCGACGCAGCCAAAACCACTAAGGAACCTATCGGCCTGATCATCGGCTTCCCACGGATATCGGTGGGGCCGGTAGCCGGCGGAGATGGGATGGATTGATCCTCAACTAACTGGAGTCAGCCCGGTACGATTATTCCGTCGGAGTGGATTACATACATACGTACCTAGGACATGGACATCCGTCGCAATCCACATGAGCTTTCCCGCTGAGGCCTCCGCATAGATGGGTGGTTGGGAGAGGCGAGATCACCCTTATGTGATCGGGGCAGAAACCACGCGTAACTTAGGTAGTGAGTGGGTGAGCTGCGGATAGTTCGGATACGGGGAGGAATGGATACCACGCTGAGCAGGTATTCTAATCCTCCCCCCCAGATGAACAGGGTAAGCAGTCAGCGAAAGAGAGAGCTGGCCGCTATTTACCGTGGAGCCGCCCTTGTTTCGTTTACCCAACCAGAAACAAGCCGCCGCATGCGTACTATTTTTGTGTAACCTCTGACCGGCTCGTGTGTGAAACGGTAATCTTTCAGCCGCATAGGTGTCCTATGTATCATTGTACATATGATGATGATATTCGAGAATGCAGAAGTGCGCATTGACTCATTTTCCCCCACCATTCCATCGGCGTCTGGCGACGGACGGACGTCGACGTAGAAGTCCCGGATGCCTACCACTGCAGTTGCACTTGTACTCGGCTGGAGGGAAAGTCGTGCACCACCGGCACCACTACCAAATGGTGCTTGATGGGATGCACCACTTACCCTTACACCCGAGTACGGTAACTACGCCACGCAACGTAAGCATCCCCCGCCCGCCTCGACGTTCTTCTCGTGGGCCCAGCTAACTAGCAATCTCAGGCTTCCCTCCATGTCCAGGCAGCAGGCCGGGCAAAATTTCGAAGAGCACTATCACAGTCGCGGGTTTCGTGGCGTACGCATCCTCTCTAGCGGCGAGGATGGTGAGTCAACCACTCTAGCTATGCTATGTACTATACATAGTCGATAAGGTTCCCCGGTCTGCGCCTGAATCTGCCAACTGGCTGTGTTTCTACGGCGTCGTCTACGGCAACTACTTATCTTCTCAACAGAAGGATCGAGCGCGGCTCCGGAACGAAGCTTTTCGAAGCAGGTTGTTAATATCGCGGCGCAACGGAGTTCGCCATTTCGGACATGCAACTAACTAGGAGTTCTACGCTTGCATGCGTTGCATGCAACCATGCTTGCGAGAAGCACTCCTCCGTGTAGGAGGATCCCGGAGTACGTCAGCAAAGCCCTACGTATGCGTATTTGTCTCGCCACAAACCAAACAGCATATGATATGCATTCCGCCACCTCCTAGGCATTCCTTCGCATGCGGTGTCGATTGCTGGAGAGAGGGAGAGAGAGAGAGGGAACATCGATTTGCGGTTGTCGCACGTGGCCTGCCGGGACTGGGTATGATGGCCACCTCCTGCCCGACCTCTAATTGCTGCCAGCTCCGCGGGAATATTGTCAATTGCTACGCTCCAGTTCTGACGGTGTGCGTGGCAGAGGGCATCCTGTCGAGTGACGACATGTGGTCGATACCCACACACATGCACAGCGACAAATTCCTCCTGCTCCTCCGCCGCGCGGTACCTCGACACAGGCATACTCCCGAGGGATATATATTGAAGTGTTGCTATATTCTGCACTGGCCTGCGTGCGTGCGTTTCGTGTCTAGGTAGCATACATAGCACGCTCGACCTCACGGCCACCCCCGCGCCGTACCGTGTAGAGCTTCACCAAGTTCAGACTTCTAACTGCGCACGTTTTTCCCTGCAAACTGCGCACGTTCGCTTACCCTGGTTGGGTATGGTACACTTGCATCCGTTCGCAAGCGGCGAGGGGCCCGATGCAAGCAGCGATGGAAAGTCATGTCCGTTTCGCTGGCGTGGGTCAAGCCTCCTCCCCCACTCCCGCTGGCCGTGTTCTCGATTGGGTCACGACAGCTGGAGGTCAGAGAGGGGGACCTCGTGAAGACCGTCATCGGGCTCGCGGGAAGTGCGTTTCGCAGCCTGGTGGTGCCGCCTTTCGCTGTGTGCGTCAAGGAAGTGTTCCGCCATATACGGGGACGACGGTGTGCAAGCAAAGCTCTCGGCAGCTTCGCATACGAGTGATAGTACATGATATCATTCTCCCAGCTCAGATACATTCCGAGGACCGTGTCTTCTCCGTGAGCGGAATCAACCAGTATCTATCAGTAGACTCACTACTGTATGTACCGAGAAGCCCAAAAAGAGCGGAGGGATGGAATTATCGAGAGTGTTGTATATTGGGCTATGTAAAGGAGAATCGGATATTGCCGAAATGGGAAGTAGGGACAAATTGCAAGGACAGATCCTGCGTATTCAGTGCTTAATTCTCTTCGTCGTCTCTGAGAGTTCTCGGCCTACTCCGCTGCCGCGCAGCCGCGCTGGCTTCAGAAACCTATGTCACATGAAATAGAAGCATCATGCCTCGTTCTTTGGTATGTGCCTATGTGCTATATACTATGTAGAACATAGACCAGAGCCATGGCTTTCAGTTCCGGGTTTCAAATGTTTATACCAAAAGGCTTGTCGACGATACCATACCTACCTAGCACAAACATGCAAAATCACGCTGTGGTCACTAGCACACTTGAACCTTTCGTCGCTCAGTCCAT